CCCCCCCAAGTGAGATCGAGGCAGGGGACATGCACATCTAACAACCACCACCAGTAGTCACCACCGTTATCTTTTTCCCCCCTCAAACACGCCCCACCTTGTCCCTTTGTCTCCAAGAACCAGCCTCGTATGTCCCGTATCCCATATCCCATATATCTCACCACCTCATCGCCGCGTATACCCCGGCACCTTATACGGCTTAGGCGTGTACCACTTGGGCAAGACGCCCGCCTCGCGCTGCCGATGCACGTACGCGGCACTGACGTGGCCGCCCTGCGTGAAGTTGGACTGGGTTTCGTTGTTGAAGCCGGGGATCTGCGTGTACTGGTCCAGAGGCTTCGCGAGGGCTGGTTGGGAGGGGGAGTAGTGCTGGGAAGGGGAGGAGGCGGGGTTGAGATCCCCGTCGGCGTCGTGCATGTCGTGGGAGTCCGAGAGGAGTGGGGGGAGCGGTGCAGGAGAGTGAACTGGGGATTTGCTGGTCGATATTTCGGGTCGATTGGGGGATCGCTTGTCAGGCATTTCTATGCGTGCTGATGGCCTAGGTGAGGGCGACGGCGACGAGGAGGACGGAACGATGCGCTCTGCGGGAATCTCCTCGGGCGAAGAAGCTTTCTTCTTGGCTGCTTCGTGCTGTGGCTGCACGGCAGAGCTGGGCGGGTCAAGATCGTAGTCTTCATCTTCTTCCTCTCCAGGCTTGAACGCATCGAGACCCAGGTCAATGTCCAGCTGTGACTGAGATGGCTGAGGCGGAATTTGACTCATTGGCATGCGCATTGAGCTTGAGTCCTTGATCGTAACCCGCTGCGTCGTGCGAGGCGTCTCGAAGGGCATGTAAGATGATCCTGCGTAGCCTTGCGTAGCCTCTTGTGTCGAAATCTGCGAAGGATGTGGCATTGAGGCAGGGCCAACAGAGCGTTGAGTGGCTGATCTTGTTGATGGCAGTGGTGGAGAAGAAGATGGTAAGATGTCATTCAGTGGCACACGCTTCGTTATACCGAAAGGGTTTGCCGTCGGTGGAGGCGGCGGCGGGAGACTGAGACCGCTAGAACTCGAATCGGAGTCTATACGCTGGAGGGGGCTTGACTGTCGTACAAGCCGTGGAGTAGGGATCGGACTTCGCTGACTTGCACCTGTCGCGGATTCATGATCGGCTTCAGGCTCCTCTGCCGCCCCAGGGGATGAAGTCCTCTGCTTGATCTCTTCGTTATACTGCGTGTCATTCAAGATTGGTGACCCAAACTCGGAGTATGCGTCTTCTGAATCTGCAACATACGGGCGGGATGGCTTCGGTGTGTCCGGAGCAGGCTTTGCGCCAGCGTCATTTTTAACCGCTGATTTGGTGCAGAAGGGAGGTGCTAACTCATATTGGTCGGATTCGCCCACGACATGCGCAGATGCGCCTGCTTGAGGCTCAGACGCGGTTTCATCCTGGCGGTGTTGACTAGAGCGAGGCATAGCATCGAGTGTATCTGGTATGACACCATGTTCCACGACATGCTTTTCAGGATCGGGTAGTGTAGACGCGGCATCGATCTGACTTGTGGAAGGAATTTCGATAGCTGTTTGAATCGAGCTACTAGCTTCTCTTGCTCGAGACGTGGCACCAGATATGCTTGCGACGATCTCAGCCTCAGACGATCGCTTTGAGGGTGAGGATGTTGGCTGAATCGACCAGACATTAGTTTGCGAATTCTCAACCTTGGCCGTGCGTTGCTGCTTGCGCCGCTTGAGCCGTGCGTCAGTTCCCTGGCTGGCGTTCTCCTTGCCGTACAATGCAAGCGGCGGAGCAAAATCGGCGGCAGACTCGCGGGCATTTCCAGACCGCCGGCTAAGAGGCAGCCTACCTTGTTGAAGCTTGTCTGACCTTGTGGACCGCTCCGTGGACGGAGGTACACTATCTGGTGATTGACTCGACTTGATTACTCCAGCACAGGTGATCGCTTTGGTAGGTGTTTGGGGACCTCTATGGGGTGTGAAATTCGACATGTCAAAGATGTCGCCATCCTCGGTCGAGTCTTGTATCTCGCGGTCGAATCTTGGCTGAACACGGGGAGTTGCATCGCAAGCAAGAGCTTGATTGAAGTATTCAAGGTTGTCGACCGGATCTGACAGTACCGTACTTCGCGTGGCGGCTTTGCGGGTACTGCGCCGTAGATTTAAAGGATTTGCATCATGTTCAAAGACAACTTTCCTACTCTTTTGTGGCTGGTATTCCTGGCTCTCCGTCGATTCTTTCTTCAAGGTAGGCGGGGGTTTCCTCTTCCGTTTCCGTCTTGGACTTTCGTAGGTGCCGTCAACTTGGGGAAACGGCCGTGCGGCGGCCGTCTTCGGCTCCTGAATCATTCGCAAGGCGTCTTCGTCCACCTGATCTGTGGGTGTCGCAAAGAAATCCATCTGCGTCAATGTTGCATTCCTCTTCCTCAACCTCTCAGCCTTCACTGGTCTCGCCGTGGATTCGATCGGATTCATGTCCGATTCGTCGAAAGACTGTTGTGGCCGACTGACCCATTGCGCTTGCGTTAGGGTCTGCTGGGGCCTCGAAGGGGTGTCGTCTCGACGCTGTCGCTTGCGGCCAGTGAAAGTTGTAGGAGTGCTCCGGCGTTTGCTGGATGTGACGGTCCACGGTGTAGTTGCCATCGCAGGCACATTGCTAGTCATCAAGGTGAGCACGGCCTTTCTGACGAAGTTGGGTACGATGAATCTGGTGAAGGTGAAGGTGGGGCTGCGGGAAGAGGCAGACGCGTCGAGATCCCAAAAGACGCGTTTCGATTTTCTGGGGCAAGCTACGTCATCCTCGTTGGTCTGAGAGGACATCTACCACCACCAGTACTTGGATGGACTACATCCTTTTGACGCCCTTTCTCAACAGCAGCAATTGTCAAAATCAGCTTAGATTTGTGTATCTTTGATGTACTGATGCATACTCGTAGCCGAGCCGTGATGGCGCAAGATACGCTACCATGCCATGACTTGCCAATGCAGCAGCAGGCAGTGAATGAACCTTAATCGACGTTGCTCGCTCGCTACGCTCAGGGATATTTTTGGACATATCTATCAACGACTCTTTAGTGACTTGACCTCGGCCGTCAGCTCTTGCACAGTTTTGGCCAAAGTAGCAATCTGTCGAGTTTGTTGGGCCATCATTGTCTTCATGTTCTTGATTTCACGCTCCAGGACTTCGGTGCCTGCAGCAGAGCTCGTGGAGTCTGCTGTACTTGTAGGCTGGACAGGCGTACTCGTAGCTGAAGCCACCTCAGACTCGGGCTCCTGAGCTAATGTTAGCGAACAGAGCAAGCTGCTTTAGGAGGATTGTATACCTTGGTTGGGACGGGTGATTTTGGACTAGGCGTTGCAACCTTCTGGGAGGCTGACGGTTTGGTGTCGACTTGTGGTGCAGGACCCTTGATGGCGGTCCTCTCGATTGGTTTCTGAACCTCCTCGAAGCTCGAGGAGTCATTGTCCTCATCTTCGACAGCCTCCTTGTCTTCGAATTTGGAAGCCATAGCCATCATTGAGCTCCCCTGCTCCTTCATCGAAGCCGGAGGTGCACGCGCAGTGACGGCAGGCTCTGGCTTCGGCGGCTCGGCTTCCTTCTTAGGTTCCGGAGCCTTAACTGGAGAAGCAGGCTTTGCTGCTGCCGGCTTTGCTGCAGGCTTCGCTTCGGATGTGGCGTATTCCCCCGCGTTGCCATCGTATATGCTCTCCAAGTTGATCTTGGGTGGCAGTCTCTCAGCACCCTCAAACCACTCGGAAGCACTCATCGCGGGCTTGAGGCCAATGGTTGGTGGATAGATGTCCTCTTGGAAAGATTCGGCGCGGCGAGGAACAACGAAAGAGATTGGTTCAATGTAGGAGTCGTTGACCGTCTTGTAGGCACGCATGACTTCATTCTCGTGCATGTTAACGCCGCGCTTAGGCAAGAATGAGATTCCTCGCTGCGGGTCGGAAGACTTGTACTCTGACAGATACTCGAATTTGTCGTTTTCGTATTCGTAGTAGCGGATGTTGCCGTCACCCTTACCAGCAAGGTACAGGCAGTTTGTGCCATCATCCCAGAAGGGAATGCAGACGCCTGATATCGAATCGAGCATTTGGAACCCGTCGACAGGCGCATTGGGAGCTTTGATATCCCACAGCGCCAGCTGTCGATCGCTCATCTTAGAAAATCCGGTCGTGGCGATGCGGTCGTGCTCGCCCATCCAAACAGATCTGCTGTTCTTGGCTCCTTGGTGGCTGGCAACTTCGATCGCCGGCTTCTCCTGTCGTACATCCCATACCCGCAGTTTCTTGTCGCGAGATGTGGTCACAAGAAGCGAGCCGTTGGCGCTCCATGACATGGACTGGATCACCTCGCCCACCTTGAGGTTAAGCTTCGAAGAGCCCGCTTCGATGTCCCAAATCTTGACGGTAAAATCGCCGGATGCAGACGCTAGAACATTTTCTGCGGCAGGGTTGAAGAGAACGTGCCCGACTTTCCTGGTCATGATGAGCACATATTTTCCCACACGCGCACAAGATGCTCACTTCGAATGGCCGCTCAGCTTCCCAACCGGCGCAACGTCCTCGATCTCATCTGCGGGCAGATCCGGCCGGACAGTGAAGTTGTCAGGTACCCGCCACAGGAACACCTGCGTAGGTTAGTTCTGACTGTGTGTGTAGGACGAGCCATTTGTACCTTGCCATCGTCGGAGCCTGATGCTATTAGGGAGTCGTTGAAGGGGTTCCTGGACGGTCAGCCGTGGCATTAGGCATGCAGGGCGTGCGAACCAATCTGTATCAAGGACGACTGCGGTATGCCCTCGGAACAGAGGTATGCGATCCGGCAGCCTCCCTCTTTCTGAGGTAGGAATGACTGCAAAGGCACCTCCACCACTGGCGTCCCAGTTGACGGCAAGATATTCAGGGTTGGCCTACTCCGGTCAGCCGGCGCAAAGCTATGCAGTGTCCCGTGCTCTTTACTTTCAGTAGATTTGAGTCCCAAGCGTTCCTAGAAACTCGGAGATTGTCGTAACATTGTTCCTAAGCCCGGTCAGACTCGGCGTCCCAGAGCTGTACGCAGTTCCTAACCTTTCTCGTGGGACGTCCGAAGACATGGCGGTATTTGGAGGAGCGCACGAAGCGTCCAGCCATTTTTGCGGACAGAGGCGTCTCGGAGGGAGTTAAGCGATTTCGTGGCAAGAGGTGCTTGAAGCAGGATCGATCGAAGGATAGAGCAGGGCACGAGAGTAGCAGGCAGCTGTATTGGACATGGAAGAGGGTCTCAGCACTGTTTCATGCAGCCCGCAGTCTGGCTACTTTGGGCATTGGGGGCCATCCGGGATGACACGCGGATTGATTGATACTTGGCGCCAAGCACTGCAGTTTGCCGCGGTCACTGCTCGCTCGTGCAAGATGTCGAGCAACTATACTCGACCATATACATATCATCATCAGGAGGAGTGCTAACGCAAGGATGTAGGTCTTTGCTTGATCTGACATCGCACGCACCGTGTTCGATCGGCTCGAGCATGCCTGTCCAGTGATCCCCATTTTCTCCGGATCGGCAACCAAGAGCACCAGTCAGCTGTGCACAAAGTATTGGTCGCCTGCTTGGTGGCAATACTCGGTAGCTGGGTCGTGCTATGCGCGTCGTCTTGGTGCTACTGACCATCAGCTATGGGATCGTATGTGCATATTCCCACCCAATATTACCGGATTTTACTATACACACGAGTCTCTTGGATGGTCAGAGGTACCCGCCATGTAAACCGCAGCCGCATGCGGCCTTACGATGGGGCGAATGCTACACTGGCATCACATGGGTGTTGTTGTATGATAACTTGATTATGAATCAGATGGTCTTGAGCCACCATGGGCAAGCGACTCCATCGCGTGAATGCTATCGATCTGAAAAGCAAGAAAAGCCAGACGCAAGAGCTTAACACAGCGTCCAGTCATTATCATACGCTCCTCGTGACTAGCTGGATTTCTATGAGCACTGAGGCCTTTTCTTCGTCACGTGGAACGAGGCTTTCATGTTCTGAGCCCTTGCTACCTCACCTTCCAGCAGAAGCAGTCGTGAATGCTTGTCACGCCCAGGACACGGCCGGGAACGGCCCGAAAATGCACCCGTTGGTGTTAGCTTCTGCCAGTGCGTTATATATTTTGACCACTAAAATTGGTCCCGAAATCGGTGTCGAAAATTCAAGTTCGTTTGGTGTAGTGGTTATCACGTGTCGTTCGTATGTCTCTCCTTCCCCTACCAACGACGTGTTTCCTGACTGTTCACAGACACTATGTGAGCATTGATCTCTCAAAGATCCGACAAGGTCCCCGGTTCGATCCCGGGAATGAACACAATTCGTTTTTTGCTTTTTGACAGAATAGTTTGACTAAATAGTTTGACTACAGACAGCCCTCCCTTTCTTCTTCCACCGTACTAGGGCTACCCGACGTCGGGCAAGAAAAGCACCACCACACACGGCTTTGAAAGTGCCGCGCGCGCGAATCTACGGGCGGCACATTGCCACATGGCACCGGCACCCTCTGCGCCAGTATTCCCAGAGTCTAGAAGGGGGTCTAGATCAGTCTCCGGGCTGATGAGGACAACCTGTTGCCGTGGCGATGTTATGGTAGAGCGAGGTTGGGGAATCTTCTCTATTTCCCCCGCAACAAAGTTTTGCAAGCCGTGGTGCCCACCGTTGTCGACCCGTCAATAAGAAAGTCAAAGGGCATGTTCCATGATTTCACTACATTCCTGGCGGCGAACTCAACGGATGATTGTCTCGAGCGAAACGAAGTTGTATTCCTTTAATTACTTGCACTGAATTACAACTTGACAGTCAATGCTTCTTGTCAGTCGACGATGAATCATAGAGTTTGTCTGTTCGACCAATTCCACCGTGGGTATTTCGATTTAGTCTGTATCTTGTGGGATCTGGGAATTCCGCCTTATCCGAAGTCCAAGAAAAACCGGTCTTGTGTGCGGACCTCTAGCATGTCGAGATCCTTGCTGCGCGTCAGTGCGTACTTGAAGCTCCACGTTTTGCGGGCTGAGAGTCTGCGGAAACCTGATTACCGCCCCTTCTTGCAGGAATAGATGATGCCGACAATGGTCGCTGACAGCTTAGCAGTGGTCAATATTCACTCGCCGGACTGAGATCTAAGGGACGAAATCTAAAGTGTCAATCAGTAATGATGAACCTTTCAAAGGCTGCCCCTGCCGCATATGCACCTGTGCCTCTGTGCCGCCCGGCATTCCTGGTCGCTCCGGTGGCGGCCAAAAGCTTGGAACCCACTTCGAGAAGGCAGCTTCAGGCTCGCTCTGAACCCCAAACGGACGCCTGACGAGAGAGGCGATGTTGCTGCGGGAGACTGCGGCTGTCACGATTGCCAAAGATGGGCTTGCTTAGTGGGCTTGCGCGTCTTGACGATACTGTACACCCGGGTGAACATACGATTTACGTGCATGTTCATGTCAGAGGTTTGTGTCAGTGTCAGGCTGCTAGCAACGAAGTAAAGCCGTCGAGCATGGATGCAAGGCGTCATTCTCGCCAGAAAAGTCAGCTGAGTCGTTTGCGAACTCCTTGCACGAAGGCGATTCCGAGACATTTATAGTCGATTATGCTGTGCCATCAAAGATAAGGGGCAGAGAACTCTGCCATTGTCGGGGAACTTTGACGCTGTGTCACTCGGTAAGCGAGGAGACGAGGGTACCGGTGCTATCGGGTCATCGACGAGTGTACATGTACAACGTCGTCTGAGCGCGCCGCCATTGACAGCTGCCAGATCAGGCCCGGCCCATGTTGAAACGCAGCGGCGCTAGCGCGTCCTCGGGTGGCGTATGTCGTTGACTCGACTTTACAACATTGTCGACGTGAAAGGAACACTTTACCAGGCGGCAACGCCAGTTCAAGGAGGTGGTTGGTTTGGCGGAGCAGCATCCTGGACGTTCATCTGAGACGAGGGTACAGACCAGGGCCGGCCTCGCCAGCGTCTGTGGGATTGGCTGATGGCCCAGTCCAAATCCCGGCTGATGCTGCAATCAAAGGTAGGCGTCATTACTGTTTCTCGTTATGTTGACGACGTCTCGAAGTAAGCCAGGTCTGAGTACGTGCTGCCACCTCAGCTCGTCCGACCGTTAGCCTTCATGACTTGGACCCCTGTGTAGATCGTTCAGCCTCACTGGAGCTTCGCATCAGGCGGTATCTTGTGATTAAGTGAGTCTTTTGTCCAGCATGACGCCATGTGCGTTGCAGCGAAAAAGGGGATGCTGCAGTTTAAGGTGTACTGATGGGAGGCCTCAGATGATTACAGGCGAAAGTGCCCAGCCTAACGGCAAAGGCTTCGGGACGCTCCCACCGCTCCGATGTGCCTGTCAGCAGCCGGGCATCGTACCGGGTTCCGTATTCGGAGAATTCACCTTATATTGACGATGCCGAAGGAGGGAGCTGCAAAGGACCAGACTCCGTAGGGCTGCAGGATCGTCCAGCGCATAGAGATGTGGATTCGCTAATTTATTGCTTGTCCTATTCATGCAAGTGAGATTTTAACCCAGAGCATCGCGAGATTAAGGTCGGTGTCTATCGGCGATCTTGGCAGGCAGATACGTGGCAGTATTGCTGCAAGCTGGACAAGGCGGCCAGGCGGGGCAGTCGCTCGGGGGGCATGGCCGGAGGCGACGGGGAGTACTGCCCAATAATGGCAAAGGAAGCTCTGTCTGAGGAAATTTACTGCAGGTAACTCTCAGAGGAGTCGTAGACTACGACGTGCAGAAGCTGCAGACTTCAAGCAGCAGTATCGTCGCTACAGGGCCATCCGAAGACACATGTCAATTCGGAAGAGGACAGAGCGTGCGAACATGGGCTCGGCTGGGAAAACATTGTCGTTCAGTATGCGATTTGATCCAGGCATGGCAACGAATGGGTCGGGAGTAGAGGCGGTAGTAGGGATCGTCAGTAACGGCGCCACTGCGACGGGCATTTTTGTTGCAGCGAAGGCAGGGACCGCCCAGCAATCTGTTGAGCAAGCGCAATCATTGCTGATCAGGCTGACGAGGAAAGCACCCAACTTGACCCCAAACCCCAAATATCTCGAATTAAAACCCCGCAGCTGTCAAAAGGCATCCCAGAACTCTGAACCATCTCAAGGGCCTGGGCAGGGACCCAAATAGGCAGCTGTGGAAGGACAGCTGCCGCATTTGTCGAAATCCACAGGCTGAGAACACCGAAAGAGGGGAGATTTCAGTACAACAGACTTCTGTGGTGACGATCTTGATTGCGTCTGGCACTGCCAGCACGATAAGACCCCTTGGCGCATGCGGGGAAGCGGTTCGTGCTCGAGCTTGGGATGGAGCTGTGACCAACAAGGGAATGATATGGACATGTTTCTACCGGGTGGCGGAGGGTGTCAGGAACAATGAGCGGTCGAGCCAGGCGTCTCAGTCATAGATACGGTATCGGGCTGTGGCTATCTAACCCGGGTGCCCAGTTGTAGCGACCCGAATGGGGTCTTTGCGTGCGGTCAGTCAAAGTTGGGTTAAGGTTCCGGATAGCAGATGTTCCATGGGATGGAGCAGGTGTGACTGTGAGGATCGAACTAGGGTCGACTAAATCTGAAGGGCGGTCATCACTGGGATTTTCGATCGCACCCTAGATTGAGCTTCAAATGACCGAGGTCGGCAGTGGCAGGCGACGTGATAGGGTGGGGAGGGTACCTTGGTCAAGCTAACTACTCATGTTCATTAGCTTTCCACGGCGAGGAATAGCTGGATTCGGCACCCATCCTTGCATGCCAACACACTTGGCCTCTGGACAAACGATGATCGATAACCATGTACCAAAAACTAAGGTAGACATTCAGCTGACGCCACACAAATACACGACGATGAATCTTATCTGGCGTCCATTCGTTGGGTGGGTTGACGTGACGATTATCACCCAGCACGAGAGCTATCTCACGCAGAGCAGCCATGGCCCAAGGTAGGATGGGCGTCGGAATGTGCACGGGAGTGACAAGTGAAAGGTCAATCTGAGACACCAGCCCGCGACCGTCGTACCATCAAAAGACGATATGACCGCCAGCCCACTCAAATCGTGACTTAACTTCGCTTCAGCGGGAAGGCGGCTGGCAAGGGCTCGTCTAGAGCATAGATTGATGTTTTCGCAGTATCAAGCCTAACGAAGACGCATCATTCGAGGTTTAGGCCAACGAAGCTGACACATTCAGGGACGTATAACTCAGGTAGGCTTTACCTGACAAAACTCAAGGGCAAGGGCTGGCGATGGCGCCGACTCATGCAACGCGGGTAGTAAGCCAGCCAGCCAGGACAGATGATGGCGCGGCTAACGCGGCCGAGGCCAACGGGACAGATAGCTTTCCCACATGCTTGAGAGGCAAGCTAGGTACTAGGTACAAAGCAGTGTAGGGTAGGCAGGACGTGCAGCAAGCACTCCAGCGTACATCCCCGTCAAGCTTTGGCGAGCTACTAATAATACGTGACGATGATGCACAGGGCTGTACCGTGGTCGACGACGAGCTGATCCTAGCGTGCTCACTGGCCCCGCCGCCCAGGCTACGTATTCGATAGTCAAAAAAATGCGACAAATGCGAGCATCCCACCGCAGAGTTGCACCGACACCGGTTGTGTCCAGACGTCGCAGTGGCAGTGGCAGTGCTCGCTGGGCGGTCTATGGCCACCATTTGGGGGCTCGACCAACGTAGCAGAGCTGTTTCGAACAGCCTGCGGCGGACACCGAACCGCAACCGCGCCCTCGGGGGGCCAATATACGACAAAGCAGGCGGTGGAGCGACATAAAAGCTGTGCAGTCGAGATGGCCTGGACGATGCTGCATGATCATCGCGGCGAGTGATCCTGTTTCGCTGCCTGGTCCTGCCGTGCCATGGTGCTATCGTGCAATCGTGCAATCGTGCCACTGTGGGATGCCCGCACTGTCGCCGGGACAAAGTGCAGCAATGCTGGCGCAATGTGAAATGACGGCGTAACGATACATTCCCGCGTTACCAGGGTGTTTGGTTTTCGCAATTCATGGCCGCCAACCCATCAACGCATAGATCGGCATACGCGACCTTACCCAATCGCAGTCCAAGTGCTTGTGCCTTACTCCCCTTTCGCATCCACCCCACAGCATCGGCCACCCTGCCCTTTCCTTGTACACTCTGCGCATGCTGGACTGTCTTTCGTATATGCTTCAATGACCCTCGTTTGCCCCCTCCCCCAGGCTGTCCCAACTTCTCTCGCTGATCGACACTCGCTGCCCCGACATTCGCTATATGCTTGACCACTCCCATCAGCATCTCACGCCATAACCCTTTCCCCTTAAGCTCCATCTTACCAACGGCATGAGCACCTCGACCTAGACGCCGCCAGAATCCCAGAGATCCTCCGCTTGCTGGTCAATCCTCGCGCACCGCCCCAGCCTCTACCCTTCTTGGGCGTGTATGGCCTGGCCACACGCGACTGCCGTCCTGTATCAACACTTCTCCATTACAAGAGACATATAATTCATAATGGACTCCCCTACCGAGCGGATGCCTATTGCCTGCGTGCATTGCGCCAAAGCAAAGGCCAAATGTGACAAGAAGGTGAGTCGGCAGACACGTACCGTGGGAGCAGAACCACCGGCGAACGGCACAGCTTCCAGCACCCTCTCGGCCAGTGTTGCTGTCCCGCTGCAATGGCAACGTTTCCCCGAGAATGTGGCTGACTTGAGGTATTTTAGGTTCCATGCTCGCGCTGTGTCACCAAGCAGATTGTATGCCAGTCCCGAGCCACACGCCGCTCGTCTCACAACCCCAATCGTCGCAATGGCATGCCACGACCTCATCCCGAGCGGGCATTGACGACCAGCACTGGCTCGTTTCATGTTTCTCAGCTGTCCCAGTTTTCCGCACCCACGCCCGACGTGCCGATGATCTCTCCAAGTGAGCCATACCCATACCCATCCACTGTCCATACTGATACTCATTCTCGAGCAGATCATGTCAGCCCTCAGCACATCCCACCTGTGCCGCCAATTCCACCGCCCTATGCGTCTAGGACGATGAGTCTGCCGGATGTTCACCATACTCATATTCCGCTGGCTCCAGCCCAATACAACCAAGCAGAGATGGATCACCACATGCGAAGTGGCTTTACTCAGACACCACCTGATCTGACCATTCCCATCACACCCTTGATGCACAATATGTCACAGATGGATCCTTTCATCCATGGCAACGGCTTCGACAATGATCCTGACAACAATTTCTTGGCCATGAACGCCGGCAACCTCATGGATTTTGATACGACAAATATGCTAAACGACTTCACTAGTCCACCAAGTATATTCCAGGACCCCAACGACCATTTCATGGTTCAGGGGAAAGGCATGCAAACACCCAATCAGACGCATCCATCCTTGTATGATGGTTCCATGACGAACAAATCAGGTGTGGACACCAGTCCTGCATACTCGGTTCTCCACCGACCGCGCTCGAGGCCACCCGCCGGACTCTCCCCTTCAACGACATCATCTAGCGGCCTGCAAGAGCCCGATGCTGTAATCGCATCACACCATGCATGGCCGTTCTTCCAATGCAATCGTGTAGAACAATATGCATTCTATCCCCCCAAAACAGCACATATCTATCTAGAGGGACTGGCCCAAACACTACGCAATCAAGCCACGTGGCATGCATGGACGGCACAAGTGGATGAGCGTTCGCTCGACATTGCAACTGAACGCAAAATACTCACAGAACCTATTGTAGGCTGGTCGCGTGAGAAGCTCCTGGCTATCACACAGTCATTCCTGCACAAAGCTCTAGATATTCACAAGAACGACAGAGCGGCTCGAGAGGACAGCCCAGCCAGCCCGGGCTCATCGAGAGATTCCTTCTTGATGCTCCCGCCACCAGACGTGATGCAATATTTTCTTCGCAGTTACTCAGTACGGTATGAGCCTTACTACTCGTCGGTGCCAGCAGGTCGCTTGGACCCGAATGCTCTGATGCATTCAGCCAACAGCAAGGCGGCAAGTTTACTGATTCTATTGATGGTCGCGTCGGGCGCATCGGCAACGGCGACAGTGGAAGCTCGTTACATAGCTAGCGGTCTGACCGAGGCTTGTCGTATTTCGTTGTTTGACCTCATCGAAAAGGACGTCATGCAATCTCGTGACCCTCTAGTCCTGCGATCAGCTCTTCTCTTCATCTGCCAGGCAGCATGGTCTGGCGACAAATGGCACATGGATGTAAGTCATCTTCATGTTTATTTCCTCGGACCCCTTTGCTCACCAGAACCAGATGGCCATGGGTCAACGCGGGACCTACCTTGCTATGCTCGCTCATGCGGGCATGCTCGAAAAATCAAACTGCCATTACGATCTGGAAGAATGTCGTCGCGAGCCTGAGAGAGCCTGGGAGGAATGGAAAGAACAGGAGACTAGACATCGGTAAGCTCATTGGCCTACCTTCCTCTGAAGTGAAGCTGACCACACGTTTGCAGACTCGCACACGCATGGATCACTCTGGACCAGGAGATCAGTCTGTTCGCTGATACCGCTCCGTTGCTGTCCATCGCGAATCTGCACACCCCAATGCCGGAGTCTGATGACCTTTGGCATGCTGGTTCGGTGACGGAGTGGACGGAGTTATTCGACAAGACTTACGGAGCTTCATACAAAGCCCCAGGATCTCTTCGAGATTTCTTCACGAGCTTCGTTGATGGCGACTTTGCCGGTCAGACGTTGTCTCCCACGCAGCTCCGACTCTTGCTGCATCCTCTTCAAGCCCAGGTGTGCCACCTTAGGCAGTTCATCACCTGTCTTCCGGACGGCAGCAGCGGCAAAGCGTCGCGAGCGGTGTCCAGGGCAGCCACGAAGGCGAGGCTGGAAGAAATTTCCAGCTTGCTTCAGCAGTGGTATGCCATCATCAAGCAGAGCTTCTCCGGCAACAAAGGCACTTGCTGGACGACGTGCGCCAATCTCATCATGTATCATCTCATCTCTTTGAATGCCATCACAAGCTTCAAGGACATTGAGCAATTTGCTCGGCGAGAGGTGGTTCTTGGCCCATTCCGACATGCGGCGTGGCTGCAGATGAAGTGTATCGATGCGCCAGAAGAGGTGTACTTCCACTGCGGCCAGATCCTACGACTGATCAGGTCGATGCCGAAGCCAATCCGTCCACCCTGGTGGGCTGGTGCCGTCTATCGCGTGGCTCTGACTGCATGGGCCACAAGCATGGCTAACAGCAGTAACCGCCATGGTGGCAACTCACCACTAGAAGTCGAGCATCCTTTTGCCATCGACAACTTGACACCTGAAAACGAAGCCATCAGTCGGTACATCAAGTACCAAGAAGGCACGCCCATGCTGACAAGGGTGGACAACACCCTCGTACCGCTGGACGTCCCATCCAATGTCCTCCAACACTGCATCGACGTCTTGGAGGACGACTCGTCCATGCGCTTGGCTGATGGCGTCAAGCGCAAGCTCAGAATATTCCTCACCAGCTGGAGGGAAACTTGAGGCATGGGATATCACTCACCCTCTCTTATATTCTCGACACATGGTCTTGACCCTGCCACACGTTGAACGGCGGGCATGCCTCCCAACCATTTGTATACTTCACCCACCCCTTGGACGTAATGATCTCCGTCCAGTACATAACCACCACAGGAGGAGTTGACGATGAATGACCGCTTCATGCATAGCGACGGCGTAACGACCACCAAAGAGCAGGGAATCGGAATAGACGGACGGTCCCGGCTAATAACAGCGAGGAAGATTGCTGTATCGCCCACCGGGACGAACAATAATAGGAAAGGATCGGGAGCATGAACGCAAGAGCATCGAGGCTTCTCCCCAGCTTTTTAATGATTCGATGATAATGGGGCGTTTGTGGTCGGTCGTTGGCGGCAGGGATGCATCGGCCCGTTTTGTTTTTTTCTGGATTGTTGTTGAGATGAGAAGCGGAGTTCCAGCTTACGCTTGGGCAGCAGAGAGATACTCGACAGTTTTTTTTAATCACAAAAGAACAGTTTCTTCTCGTTTTATCTTTCCCATTCCCATTCCATTCCTCTTTCGTCTTTTTCCCCCCTCTTACTTCGGCCGCAGGGCGTCCCATGCGGCCCCAGCCAGGGCCAGGGCAAGTTCTTGGTTGGTGGCCCCGACTGAGGTTTGGTTGGGGGGGCTGGCAGGGCATGGCATGGCATGGCATGGCATGGCATGTGTGTGCGTGTGTGAGAAGGTGGGGGGGAGGGAGGCCGTGCAGCCGGCCCGTGCGCCCTGTTCCGGTTCTCCGTTGCCATTGCAATGCAGTGATGCGGTGGTGGTCCGAGCAGTCATGTTGTTCGTCCGTCGTCCTGTGCGTCCATGTTGTGTATAGCCATGGGACCCGCCCGGGCATGGGCATGATATGATGGTGATATGTGAGTGGATATCTGACGTGAGGTGGGTTGAGCTGAGTGAGCTGAGTCGCTGGTCCAATCCTCAAAAATATGTGATCAGGGAAGAATGAAGCACGAAAAGAAGGGGGACATGGGATGGATGGGCCCCTCGAAGCCCGGCCATGACTCCGAGGGAAAGTGAACCAAGGAAAGGGCGGGTGTTGGTCCTAGTAGGTCCTAGTAGGAGGACACGAGTAGGACTAGGGGGTTGGAGTAGGAGAGAGCAGCTTTGAAAGGGGGGCTTTTGGCTTTCTTTGTTCGATGGTGAGTGAGTGGGTTTGGATTTGAGAGAGTCGAAACGCTCGGTGTCCTAGAGTAATAGTCGGACTATTGGGGGGTTAGTTGACGCGATGAGACTGGGTCTTGCATCTCTTTCGGAGGATCGACATCATGGCGGTTTCTCGCTTTGTTGGAATGGGTTTTTGCGTTTTAGAGATTTGCGAGTTCGCGGATTGGGGGGGAGCGGCATATTCGAGGGAGTCAATCGGTCACGGAGTTCAGGACAGTAGGTTGACTTCGTTGGGGGACTCATGAAGTCAAGAAAGCAAGCAAGCAAAGGAAAAGGCAAGCATCCTACTATATTCAGTACGGTACCCAAGCTACGGATCGGCGGGGCCCCCCATTGTGACTAAGGAGATTTGCCTCGCTAGCAAAGACCACTCCTCTCCTACGACTCCTGGAGACAGTGTGAAATGGGTAACGGAGGAAGCAGGCAGGCGCCCGCGCCGTGCCTTGTTTGATTGATAGTTCGGGATACTGCGTTATAGTGTCGTTGTTTGGACTAGCGAGGGAGACCTAGATTCAAGGCTACGGAGTGCGGGACACAGAAGATCGGTATGTCGGAAGTTCGCATTGGCCGTTGATGTTGCGGTTGCGCAACGAGGCTGCAGCAGATGTGGGTGATGGGGCGTCGATCATTTGCTCTTGGTGCAAGTGTAGCCGGGTTTGGCCTGCACACGGTTTGACGACATGGGCAGGAGATTTTTTTTGATGGTGCTGCCTGGAGCCCCGGTGCGCTTTGGCAAATCTGCGGATTCTTGCTTGCAGCCACAGACCGGATGGGGAGAGAGGCCCGAGGTTGCCCTGGCCGTCTGTAGCTGGAGGTGTAGCTACTACGGAATGTTATTGGATTGAGGCTGCGAGAACGGCCTGGCTAGAGGGAGATGAGCAGCCAAGAGCAGGTATGAGATGGCCCATCGGAGGACGTTGGCAAGGAGCTCCGATGGCGATGGGACCGGAGGCACGGGGGATGGAGAGCTGAACCACCGCCCTGGGTAGCGCCGTTTCAGGACATGCAAGCAGGCGGCCGACGCCAGTAGCCGTAGGAAAGAAGAACAGAGTCCATTCTTTTGGCAGACTGCTCCGGTATGAGGTGGTCTTGATCTGGAATTTAGGGTGTTGTGAGATTGTCGTTCAAGAGGGTTCGAGTTCTCAAGGCAATCAGGCGTCAGCTCGCGGTCTGTTCGTGTGCGAGAGGGTGGCCTCAGGCTGGGTGTCCCCGGGGGATGGCACACAGCTTGACTAAGCGAGGCTACCACGCCCAGGACATCCGTTGATGAGCCTCATGGTAGCCAGAGCCCTAGCCACAGTGATCAGCCACGAGGGCCAAGGCAGCAGAGGCTCCCCGGAGATCATCACAGCTTGCAGCAGGCTCCCAGCGATCGGCGGGAAGAGCTCAGCTCGAGAATGGCCCCATCAGGATTAGCAAGTCCGTGCGCTAATGTCGACCCCTGGACAATTAGAGCTGTCCGAAAATAAGTTACCAGGCGTAAGGCAGATTGTACAGCCTGTTACGCACGTCGTCCCGTTACTAGCGTACCTTTACAACTGAGACATGTCCAATCTACTTTGGGTGAAGATGAAGTCGACGACTCCCCGAAGAAGAAGGCGCGCCAACAAGGCGAATACGGCCACCGCAGATGAACTACTGCGGTAGGTCACGATCCGGTGGCGACTGGTGTGCCCGGCAGGCGAGCTGGCAGCTGGCAGTCGGCGAAAGGTGAAGCTTCTGACCTTTATCTCGCAGGTGCATGCCACGGTAGTTGCACCGTCAGCGGCGAGCAATTGCGCAGTCTCGCTTGGACGCTCGTCCTTCGTCATCGACGATGTCAATGGCGTTGCTGTGGCTTCTTGGTCAGAAGCGGCTTGCTGCTTGTATCTCGTACCAAATAGTTAGGCTTCAGCTGAACTCGTGTGAGCCTCATGATTAATTGGTTCGGAAACTGTTGGTCGGTAGTCCCTCTCCAGTCAATCTTGGTGGCGCTTGTGGTCGACAAAAGTAAATGGTGCCACGCAAGTATCTCCTCTTGAGGAGCTGAGCCGTTCTACAGTCGACGGCGTCATCGATCCGCGTAATGGAGGGCCGGCTCTGCACGGAGCAAAAGCCATAAATCGGGGATCGACGGCTGCAGGAGCTTCTGCAGGAAGTTCTGGACATTGATAAGGGGAGCACAGGTAGTGACACGACATGACTGCCGAGAGGCAGCAAACGGACATTTCATCTTGACACTGCATTATGTTGTAAAAGTGTAAGAGGCAAACAAGAGATTGACCCTGCTGACTGCGCGCCGCCATACGTGGGCCAGCTATAGCAGCAACAGAAACGGCCTCAGACAGAGTCCAGGCCTCGCTGCCATGCAAGTTCCCATGCTGCCGAGCCGCGGTGTCTCTCTCTCTCTCTCCTCATCGTTGTAGCGGATTGCTATCAGGCGCTGGCAAACGGTCCGAGGCAAGGGCACACAGAATGGCGATGCAGGTTGTCTAGTCATCAACACCCCCACGAGCGCATGCGTATGCTCCCCACAAGGGCGGCAGCCATGGCAGGGTCTTACCACAGTAGTTATTGATAGCTACCAAGCGAGGCGAAAATTGCCCGTAGCGGGGACCACGATGGCGACGGCTCAGAGCATTCCAAGCATTTCTTGCACGAGGGGTAGAGGAGGGGCGGTGAACTGGCCGACGATGAAAATCAGGACCTGTCTCAGCACCTGGCCAGCTGCGCCAGCCTCATGATATACACGGTGCTGTATTCTGGCTTTCTCCGGCGACAGAGATCCGAACCCTGATTGTGCGAGACAAATATAAATGTCCAATGTCCTGCCTTTCCCCATAATGCTGCGGGCGGGTAGGCCACGGGCGTAGGCGCGGGCGCAGGCACAATGGGCTCCGGTTGCGGAGACACGGGGGCCGACGACCAGATCTCCTTTTCCTGTCTGCGCATTCACCGCCCCCGACAACCGCGCCCGGCGGAAATCTGTTGAGAATTCATCGGCCACTGCTCTTTGATAGCCCCGTACAGAGTGCGTGCAGCATTGTCGTGTCCGGACAGCGGCGGGAGGATGTGTGTATGTATAGTATAGTAGGAATGTTGAAGACGCCGAGAGTGGGCTCCGGCCTAGTGGCGGCGTACGGTGACGGGACCGCACAATTGGATACCTCTTCCTGGAGCATCCCCCTCCCACATCCCCTATTTCTGCTTTTATCGATAAATCCTTCTTTTGTTTATATCCATTTCGGAAAGAGGGACGATCTTCTCGTTGTTTCATCGTTGTCTTCTTGCACCCGAGCACTCGTGAGCATCCAGTCCGGAGAGCACACTAGCACCTACCGTACATATCGTCTTGCCTCACCGCTACTCTTCATAACTTCCTCCCCCCCCACAACATGTCGCGTGCCGATATTCGTCTCGACGGCAAGGTTGCCCTCATCACGGGTGCCGGCCGTGGTCTTGGTGCCATTGTGGCCAAAACCTTTGCTGAGCGTGGTGCCGACGTCTGCATCAACTATGCCACCAGTGCCAAGCCAGCCATGGCCGTGGTCGCTGAGATCGAGCAGATGGGTCGCAAGGCTATTGCCGTCCAGGGCAGCGTCGAGAAGAAGGCCGACATTGAGAACCTCTTCGCCAAGACCGTCGAGCACTTTGGCAGACTCGACATTGTGGTCAACAACGCCGGCATGGAGGCTTTTGCCAAGCCTGACGAGGTGACTGAGGAGCTGTGGGAGAAGGTCTTCAACATCAACACCCGTGCCCAGTTCTTCGTTGGTGTCAACGCCCTGAAGTATCTTGGCAGTAAGTTTCCCCCCTAGCCATCGAGCTTTGCCCCGGTGTACTGACATGGTTCACAGAGGGCGGCCGTATCATCTTCATGTCTTCCATTGCCGCCAGCATGTCTGTGCCCAACCATGCCCTGTATGCGGCATCCAAGTCCGCCAACGAGGGTCTCTGCAGATCCTTCGCCGCCGATGGTGGCCCCAAGGGAATTACTGCCAACTGCATTGCCCCCGGTGGCATCAAAACCGACATGTTCGAGCAGAATGCTTGGCATTACGCCCCCGGAGGCACTCCCGACACTCCCATCTCCAGCATCGAGGCCGGCATCGCCAAGATGGTGCCGCTAGGCCGTGTCGCTATTCCTGCTGACATTGCACGCGTGATCATGTTCCTCTCGCACCCTGACAGCGAATGGATCAACGGTGAGCGGTCACTGCCAGACCAATACGCAAACATTCTAATGACGAAACAGGCCAAATCATCCGTCTCACCGGCGGTGCATCCAACGCTTAGACTTGGGCAACGACATTATTACTGTCCACGAAGACGGCAGAATCATATGTGGAATACAGCCACAGGGAATGACGATAGATAAAAAGATATTTCTTGGTTACTTCTGGCTCTGGCTCTAGGGCCACCGTGAATCTCGCCGACCGATCATCAGCCATCAGGCAGTGAATGCACGCTTACCATACACCTCCCGCGCAACCCGTCAGCCCCTCCTACTACAACAAGCCAATCAGCCCACTGTGCGGTTTACTTCCCAGGCTTTCTGCCTAGGCTCGTGAACGACATGAACGCGAGTAGTGTGCAGTACAACCTCGTTGCCTCGCTGTAACCGGGATACTCTTCGTTACCACTAAGTGCTCTTCAGCCTTAGCCCACGGACTCGTCGGTGCCACGGCCTCTCCCAACATAAAAATGTGCCAGGTTGACGACATCAAGCAGTCGTGGAAAGTTCGACATCTTGCTCGCTCAGGCATGGTGCACGGACTTGGGATGTCGGCGCGGGTAACCACCGACTCCCCGATCCACCCCTCCCTAGTAGGCGATCAGGCTACGCGAGGCTTGGAAAGGGGCAACCTGTCTCCGTAGCGCGCTCTAGCACACCTGTCTGCAAGGCTATACGATCCGACGCTTAGTGTCAACGGGGGTCAATGCACGGCTTTACTGCCTTCCCTGCATGCCATGCTTTCAATGCAAGATGGGCCCGCTAACGCTTCCTCGGCCGCATGCGAGCCCGGCCAGGCAGGACCAAGCGAACTCCGGGATCTACACGACTGTACCGCACAGTGCGTCGAGAGGTACCCCGTACCTTTCCATACCTACTGGGGTACTTTTCTTCCGAAGTGGCGGACGCATGGCTCCTCGTCGAAACAAGGCGAGCAGCCTCAAGACTCTCTGCGAGGACCTTGGCAAGGAATTACAAGTCCGCTGAGGCGCTGCTGGCGTTGAATGGCGACTAGATCCTGGCTTCGGAGAATGGCTTCGTACGCCTTGAGCCCGAAAATGAGGAAATATCGCGTTGGGGCTGCCCTAGGGGTGGTAGGCGAGGAGGGTCTTCCCGCAAAGCTGACAGACCCCACCATGATGGCAAACACACCCCTCCTCACTCTCCGATGGCAGCAGCCGGTGCTTACCTAGAGTCTACGCCGACGTCTTGCTGCCCACCTTCTCCTCCACCCGAACCTCGCATCTGTGCTACAACTGGTCAAGAGCATGCAGCCCGCCCGAGCCCTCTGCCACTGTGCCTCCATACGTCAAGCATCTGATCTCTCTGGGCACTACTGACCACCAGAGCCGATGTGGCTACGGACTCGGAGTTTGCTGCAATCTGAAGACAACCTTTCTTACGCGAAAGCCATCGGACTGCGATGATCATGGCGTTTGGAGGGGAGAGCGAGAGCGAAGCAGACGATGGGGAGGGCGCGATATCCCCCACTTCGACCATTCTCTCACTCTTGCTTCATCCGCAACTGCTTGATGGTCGTGAGCCGACCTTCGTGAACACCCATGTGTGCAAATTGCGCCCTGATGCCATGTTCACGCCCTTGACAACGCTAGCCATCATGGTCCAGCAGGACATATCCACCTCTTCTCCCACTGAGCTGAGATTTTTCTTTCGCAAAACATCTTGCCCTACGCTGCGCTGTAGGAAGCCTGACTCGCCTGTCCTGGTTACTCTGAACATCAGGTGCCCCTCGTACGCAGGCGATCGCTCCCCGTGACCCCCACTGCCCCGCTACAACTCATGGCCAGCCTAATACTCCACGAGGACCCCGTCTCAGGCAACTGTTACAAGATTCGACTCACAGCTTCGTTGCTGTCGGTCCCTCTCGAACGCCGCTTATACAACATACTGAAAGGCGAGACCCGGACTCCAGATTTCCTTGCGAAGGTGTCCCCGTATGGCCGTATTCCTGTGCTACAGGTAGGGGATGCCGCATTGCTACCCGAAAGCAATGCGGCGTGCCACTATATCGCCGAAGCCTACCAGTCATCCTGCAACTTGATCCCTGCGGACCTTCTACAGCGAGCACAAATGCTTCAATGGATGTTCTTCGAACAGAATCAGCATGAAGTCAACATCGCCACTCTTCGCTTCTGGCTCTCTATCATCGGCGAAGACAACCTCACCGCAGGCCAGAGAAGCCAGATCGCTGGCAAGCGCGAAGGAGGAAGAGCTGCGTTGACCTACATGAACGAGCATCTGGCCAAGGCCGAGGGTGGATGGTTTGTCGGTGGAAGGCTCACGTTGGCGGACATCTGCCTTTTCGCTTACACGCACGTCGCCGACGAAGGTGGATTTGACCTCAACGAGTGGCCTCATGTGCAGACCTGGTGCAAGAAGCTTGCTGCCCATTCTGGCTTCGTTGCCATGTGAGCCCAGTCGTTGCTTTCGGTGCTCCAGCGTCTCCTTCGGCGGTCCTGTTGCCCGAGCAAGACTCTCACAGTTTATCGCTTGTGACAGTATGCGGCGTCTGCTTCGCCGTGTGCTGCGCAGGTGACAGCCATTGATGAGTTGCTGGTGCGTATCACACAAAGAGATTACAAGCAGGTAGAGCCACCTGGGAAGAAAGTCTAGCCTCAAAAGAATGATCCAATGCTTATTGTTTCCATTGGGACGCTGCCACGAACGGTGTCAACCACAGATTTCGATGCAATGTCAGTCTTCTTTGTCGAAGGTGGATCAAACCCCTCTGTCTCGTTTCGAGTGCGTTCTCCCTGAGACAATGAACTCACAACGAGCTCTTTGTTTCTGCGAAACAATGGGCGCCGTCTTAAAGCTTCCGATCTGGCTCATCTGCCACGTCATACACAACTTGGCCTGGTCGTCAACGGTCACACCAAGTCCGAGACATTTATATATGCATCGATACTACAAGCATAGGAGCTGTGAACACCATCTACAGACAACGCTGTTAGAGGTAAGATATACTACTACTACTACTACAACAACAAACACATCATGAGTGCGCGACGCCGGCCTTTATCCTTCGAGGAGGCGAGGATCGACCCCCGTCATGACGCTGTTCTCGGGCACAACGAGCTCGGTTACAACGCGGCCCTTAGGCCAGGGCAGCGATCGCTGGCATCCAGGGACGATGTCAGCTCCATGGTAAAGTCACCGTCAAAACGGAGACTTGGCAAGTCTATCAAGCGTTTTACTTCTCAGCTCCTCATGGCGGGGCGCAAGGCACCGTCTCGTGTTAAGACTTTCGATACACAGCTGCTGCCTGGCGCCGTTCGAATTCCCCCCCAATACCTCGAGAATTCCAATCTCATGAGGTGGCCTGGTGAGTCTGACACGACTCAAGCAACTGCCAATCCCCCACGATCCAAAATCATCAATCGTCTTCCCTTGCCGTCAAACTCTACGTTGAAACCCAAGTCTGAGGATATTCCTGAAGCCCAAGACTACAGACAGCGTGGGAATGTCCCCATTAGTAAGTATCCGTCAAGGCAGTTGCACCCTGAGCCACAGCATTTCCTCTCCGAGTCGCCGCCTCTGCCTCGGGCCAGTCCTATCCTACTTCAGGTTCCTGTCGACCAGCGGGCCGAGTGGGTGAAGAATCACCCCAAGCGGACGACATCTTTTGACTCCGCCGTTAAGAGCATACAGAGCGTGGACTCCCGGCCGGGTAGCTCCAACCGTCCCAACAGTGGCGCGAAGCTATCGATCAACGCCAGACACACGTTTGAAGTGATCATGGGCTACGATTCCTCAGGTGCCAACACTCTCGGTGCCATGCATGCCCTGTCGCCACAAGGCAAAGTTTCCAGCCCCGAGACCGAGCCACTGGCTTCTGGCGCCGTTCAAGACAATGGTAAGTTGACGTCAAAGACTGGTGAAGTTCTACAACCCTTGGCCAGGACTCCCATCGCTAAGCCTCCCGTCCTGCCTTCCAAACCTGATAAAGCTGCCGCTATTCTCGGCTTGTCAGTTCCATCGACTCAAACATCTAGCCTGAATGCTGTCCCTTCTCTTCTCCGCCCAAGGCATGTGAGGAAGCCGGTGCCCCCAACAAAGGAAGTGAGATCCCCACTGCCCCTGGAATCTGACATGCCCAATTTCTCGACGCTCGAAGAGAAGCAGACGACCGGCGAGCCTAAAGGTGCGATTCAGGTCAGTATGCATAACGAACTACACTACAAATACACGGCCGTTCGGCGCGACTTTCGACTACCGTTCCAGTCTGCAGGAGGCCAATCTGGGCTCCAGCGCAACCCTGGACGATTGCGGCCCGCTGAGCGGAAGCAAGCCAACCGGATCTCTGACAGCTTCCTGCGCGCTGGCCCAGACCTGCATCAGGCTGCTACCGAGATCTTCGACGAGGTTCTGAAGAATCCCCCGAAATTTGAGTCTGTCAAGGCCAGAGTGTTTGCAATCGAAAGAGGATTTGAGGGCTCCCATCCGTCACCCGGAAGCACCTTTGATTACTTCGATCATAGCCGCTTCCCCATCCTCGACATGGCTGCTCAAAACCTCAACAGAGGTGAGTCAATGCTACGCCATCCCCTGCCCCTTGGACACACAAGCCGTAACGGCAGCCCAGCAACTATCGACCGGTCGGTATTCACCGACTTCGAATGGCAGCGGTTTTCTCACCAAGAATATGTTGATCCTGCCGTTGAAGACTTCCAACGTAATCGTCGAAGGCGGATGAACAAACGCAAGCTGGATCTTGCCGCCTGGAAGGCTGCTGCTGCTCAAGGTAGGTGTGTGGAAGCGGAGCCCGCTGCATCACCCCGACGTACGGACCGCGATGCCAACTTGCTGACTTTGATCGACTTCGCTGATGACCAGGACCGCTCTCCGCCACGGAGCCGTGACGGTGGTAGCCAGGACCTCATTGACTTCTAGGGATTTCGTCGGGCACAGAACCCGTACAGCAAGTCGTGTAACGAGAATTGAATTGACGAGTTACAAGTGGACCGTTACCTAGATTGCCAATAGTTAGATTGTACAAGAATAGCCTTGGACACTCGCCGTTCACCACGTTATGTCTCGTGCCTATACAGGAAGCCCGTGTAGTCTGGCGTCGCGACGATTTCTTGGCAGTGATGCAATGATTCGGCAAGCCTTCCGCATTAGTGTCGCCTTCTCTAGCCCTTTCATATCAGCGCCTTTGGTCGCCATCTGCCTTCTGCTCTACATACCACTTCAACGCACGGCTCCTACACAACCTTCTCTACCTCTTCTCTGCTCCCTCAACTACCAACTACTAAACCCGGCAAGATGAGCGACGACATCGCTGCTTTTGAGAATGATATCAAAGAGTACAGACTCCAACTTGAAACCATCCAACTTGGTCTGCAGAATGACCCCGATAACTCTGAGCTGCAGAGCCTAAAGGCCGAGATCGAAGAAGGCATTGCACTTCTCGAGTCGACCATCGCCGAGTTACGTCCCACGCCCCAGGCATCGAAGCCTTCGCCGCCTCCCACCCAAGCGAAATGGTCCAAAGAGAATCACCCGGCCTATCAAGCCGGCTACAAAAAGCCCGAGGCCGAGCATGAAGAAGCCGAGACCCAGGTCTCCTTCTCCGTAAACGATACAGTATCGGCGCGGTGGAAGTCCGGCGACAGAGGCTTCTACACTGCTCGCATCACATCCATCACCGGCTCAAAGAACGACCCGGTGTATATCGTCAAATTTCCGAAACACGGTACGGTTGAGACTCTCAAATCCCGCGATCTTAAGCCACTATCGGCCGAAGCGAAGAAAAGGAAAGCCGACGTAATCTCGGGATCCTCGACGCCGAACCTGCCACCACCTTCCAACCCTAGTGTCATTTCTGCGGCGGCGGATGTGGACCCTTCGTTGGCGCAGCAGGCGAAGAAAGAGCCGAGCAAGGTGAGCGATGGCCCTATTAGACCTGCCAAAATCCCTCGAAAGGTGAAAGCGAACAAAGAACTGGAGGCTGGAAAGGGTAAATGGCAGGACTTTGTGGCCAAGGGCAAGAAAGGTGGCAAAATGGCCAAAAAGGAGAGCATGTTTCGCACTGGTGAAAGCTTCACAGCTAGAGGTAAGCAAATCTCCCTATCGTTACACTGACTATGTCTAACCATTCTCTAGTCGGCTTTACGGGCTCTGGCGCTGAGATGCGAAAGGATGTCACACGGTCGAGACATGTCTATGACAAGGGCGACACCCTCGATTAGAAGAGGGCGAGAGGCGGCGTTGTATTTTCCCATGCATTTGATTACGGCGTTCTGTGGTTTGACGACCAGGCTAACGACTCGAGCATTTCCAGAACCATTTGCTCGGATATACGCTATATGCTCAGCATTTTACGACTTCAATATCAATTTTCAAGACAAGTATCTTCCCGCTTCTGCTTTGAATGCTTCTGACTCTCAGAGAGCGTGCGTCTTCTGTATTTCAGTGCCAGGCACAGGCAGGTGGCATAGCCATCAACCCGTCGGACTTTAGCTGATGGTCTTGGTCAGCTAAGGCGAAATGGAAATCACGGCAGTGTCGTCGCGGTATGCCGTGCTCAGCATCTTACATTGAACATCAGGTAAGAGGAGAGACCGTGTAGGTCTTGTAGTCTGTGACTACCTCTGGGCAATGCTCCGTTGCAATACATTGCCTGATTGTGCCGAATTGAGGTTAGCCGGCTTCAGGTGAGGGGTTGGCTGTTCTTTGCTTACTCAAAAAGCTGCTTATCTGCTGTACGCCTCGTGTAGGCCATTGTTCGAAACGAACCAATGGCTGCCATCTCGTCCATGCCAAGTTCAAGCACTCAGTACAATGACATTGCTGGTGCTTATGCAAAATTGTGTCCTGCTTGGCCAGCCCGCTCCCCATTCTTGCTGCCAGATCTTGAAGAGGAACAGCTGAAGCGCGTGCTCTTGTCTCCAGAGGTTGCAATGCGGGGAAAGAGCGTGCTCGACCTCGCTGGTGAAACGGGTACTATTCCTTCCGCTCACTGGACTGGCGCGCGAAATATGTTACCAGCTGCGACATTTCTCAAAGTATGGTCGATGCTGGTCGTGCAGTCGCAGAGAAGCAAGCAATACCCCAGTCGAGGATACGCTTTAGCGTGGCCGACGCGACGGCTCCTGACGGGAAGATCGAAGGTGCGCCGTTCGATATTGTCACCGCGGCCTGGCTCCTCAATCATGCGCCAAATGCAGAGACGTCGCCGAGGATGTGGCAGAACATTGGCTTGTAGTTGAAGCGCGGTGACACGTTTATGGGACTCATCGTCCCGCCTTTGTTGACTGATTGTCCCTTTGAGAAGGAGCTCCTCAATTTTGCATACTCAGAAGGGGGAATATGGGGACGGTACGGGCAATGGTGGCAAGGTGCTCGAGAAGTTGAGTGGGGGAGCGGGCTACAAGGTCTTGACGACGATCTTGAATGTTCCTGGACAAGATCATGGAATAGCGAGCTTTGAGAATTATCATCTGAGCGAGGATCTGATTGAAGGCGCTTTGCAAGCGACAGAACTCTTCGACGCCGACGGTCTTCGGTGGATGGACTGGGGTGTCCCACAGGACCTAAGAGACGGTAATGTCGCCTTGGTGAATGATGCCACGCTTTTGCCTCATTGTAGAGTATGTATTGCGAGACGAAGGTCCTAGGGTAGTAGCCATGATGCAGTGACAGTATGAAGATAGATAATGCAGCGCCCAATTACAGATATGCAGACTTTCGAGGTGTATAATTCACTGCCTGCAAGGCTATGCTGATGCTGGTGCGAGGCTGACTTCGAGCACCTCCCAAGCCGCCTCTGCACCGCCCCTGCTTTCACTCTGCCATTCATTTCTCATTGCATTGCGAAGTAGACCTTTCGAAATATGCGGGTGGTATGTTCTTCCAGCAGCTCGTCAGTATGGGAGTACTCAAGACCATCATCGGCGCCATCCTGACAATCTCCCTCATTGTTTTCGTCGCGCTGTTTGGACGACTGCCTGTTTTTAGGTAAGGCCCCATCTCCTCCTTTAACCCTCAACCAAGACACGATACTCATGGGAGCGCTCTACAGGAGGACACCGATCGCGTTCTTACACAAACTCCTCACGAAATACATCCCCAGCGCATTTGTATGGGTGGACTCGTACCTCACGGGCCGGCGCCTGTCGCGGGCTCTCTTCTCAACCGGACACTATCTGATGTATGAGAAGCATCCGGTTGTTCTGGTAAGTCCTGACTGAATCACACCCATCGTCACTCCGACAAGAAGCAAGCAACTCAAACCCCTCTCCAGATCTTCTTCGTCGTCCTCCAAACCCTCGGCGAAATCGCCATGGTGCCTCGCCTCTGGCCCACCCTGACCCTCTTCCACAAAGTCCTCATCCCCATCATGATCGCCCTTCCGCACTACTACCTCTACCTCACCGCCACAACCAGCAGCTCCATCCCCCTACCCTCCAACCTCGCCTCCCCACAACCACACCCAGCATCCCCCTCCCCCAGCACCCCACCCACAACCCTCGACTTCGGCCCCGCCCACGCCGCCGCCATGCGCGCCTACCCCTACGACTACCTCCTCTACCACCCAGGCTACTTCTGCAGCACCTGCCGCGCCCCCAAGCCCCCACGCAGCAAGCACTGCTCGCTCTGCAAAGCCTGCATCCAAAAGCAGGACCACCACTGCATCTGGGTCAACAACTGCGTCGGCCGCGCCAACTACGCGTACTTCCTCCTCTTACTCCTCGCCATCACCGCGTTGCTCGTTTACGGCACCCTCCTCGGCTGGTCCGCAATGTCCCTGCGCCTCACCTCACGCTTCGCGCCCCCGGAACTCACGCGCGGCAGCGCCACGACCAAGACCTGGGCCAGCGGCACCGACTGGGCGAAATGGTTCGACCGCCTCGCGTGGGCGCTGGTGGTGGACGTGCGCGTCGGCGCCACCACGCTGCTGTGCGCCATGTGCACCCCCCTGGGGGCGGCGTTCCTCGCGTACCATGCCTATCTGCTGTGGGCGGGCATGACGACCAACGAGCAGGGGAAGTGGGCGGATTGGAAGGAGGATGTGGCCGATCAAGTGGTGTTTCGCGCGCGGATCGAGGAATTGAGAAGGTGTGTGGATGGCGGGTTCGCGGTCGGGAAGGAGGCGGGCGCGTATCCGGCGCTGCCGCGCGAGGTGGAGGTGCCGAGCGACGAGGTGGATTGGCCGCCGAGTGGGGTGCCGGCGTGGGTGTGGAGGGGGAGGGAGAGGGGGAGGGGCGGCGTCAAGTGGTGGTATATTCGCACGAGGAGCGGGGATCAGCCGACGGTGAAGATGTCGGTGGAGGAGGCGAAGGCGAGGGGGTTGGCGGATGGGTATCCGGACGGCAATGGAGTCAAGTATGGGGAGGTGGAGGTGGAGGATCTGCGGTGGCACAGGGTCCTGAGCATGCGGCGGGAGATGGATAACATTTACGACTTGGGATTTTGGGGGAATCTTATGGAGGCTATCTATCATCGAGGACGATAACTAGGCCTGATTCTGCGACAGAGCAGCCCAATCCCAAGTCCTAGCATTGATCCCAAAACGTGGGCCCCGTGGCCAATCCGTGGAGCCAGTGCGAACACATACTCCAGGACCCGGAAGCACGTAACGATGAGGAATGACTGTCCCAGTGTCGGCATCAACAGTGCCTTGGTCCATGGGAAATTCTGCATCACCAACTTTTCGAATCGCCTTAGAATTTCGACACTAACTATTGCCTGGAAGGTTCGCAGCGTATCCGCCTCCGCAAGATCGTTGGACAATGGCCCGAGTACGCTGGCAGTCAAGCGCACCCTGCCCTGTGGGACTATGCCAGTCGAGAAGCCATTGATACCACTGATTCCGCCGGAGGCGCCGATGCTCATTCTGACATCGTTGAGCGTTGCCACTCTCCAGCTCGAGGCAATCAGCGATTTGAATGAGGACCACGCTGCGTATAACCGTCCGTGCCAGAGGTCTTGGTTCAGACTGCTCAGAGACGCTGCTCTTTGTTCCCAAGCATGGCGTCTCAACCTGTCAAGGCCGACAGCTGATTGATCATGCACCGGAAGTCCAAGGAAGATACGACGTTTCCAAGCCCAGCACAGTCGTCCAACGATGGTCCCGACGAGAAGCAAACCGGCAATCATTATTGTTTGGCCCTGGGGTGGAAATATAGTAAGCGCCCAAACCGACCGTGCGCTGAAAAACACATGCACTGGAGAGGTGTGCAAAAATTGTGGCAACAACATTTGCGTCCACGTCGGGCCAGCATTCGAGCGAGTGGTCAAATCTATGTAGGCATTCTGTAGGAAGGTTTCGAGCAGCGTTGCGTACGGGACATTCAAAATATCCCTCGGAACCTCCTGTTTGGCTCGACTGGCAACCCAGTCATAGAACCTGAGATAGTAATGTCTTTCCGACGTGTCTCGGAATGTCGGCCAGCGCAGAAGAGCCTGTTCGAGGTGGTAGAATGCGAATATTCCGATATAGACGTGGCCTAGAAATGCAGCAGGTGAATGCAGAGGTGATGGGATTGCTATCTTTCCCAGTAGATGCCCGGCATTACGGGAAAGAGGCGTGGCCACAACAGCTCCTAGGATCCCAATGCCGGCCGCCACTAGCGCGGAGGGTTGAGAGAACTTATCGACGACAGACTTTAAGCCGGCATAGAGAGACCTGCCATCGGAGCCTTTGCAAGATAGAGCCAAGGAGTTGCTAGATGGCCGCTGAGTGACAGATTCATGTGAGGTCAGCCCGGAAGACGCTTCAGTGCCCTTTCGGCGTGCAGATTCCACAGCGACACAGCGCCGCAGAGATTCAAAGGGTGAGGCCCATGCGGCACGGTAGTTCAAGCAGAGGATGATCATGATCATCAGCAGCGTTGGAGGTGCCTGGGTAGAGATCACTTAGAGCAAAGAGGAAGGAATAATCCCTGGGAAATGGGGAAATCATCAGATCTTGAAGGCTGGACTGTCATGGCTGTCGGTGCCGCCAGCAAGTACCAGGTCACACAGCATATGGCATGATGGCAAGCGCGGGAGCGAGGCAGGTACGAGGTTTGAATCATCTGGATTTGGACTAGCGTGGCTCTGCGACCTCAAAGGTTCCGTTGCACAACAGCCACCCAGCAGGAAGCGCAGCACCATAATTGCTCAGTACCTCTTGGAGCCCACAGTCGTCTGAACCCTCCCAGGGCGGCATTACAAGAGGCTATGCGACAATGTAGCCTCCTGTGCTCATCTCGACTCATACGTCCATCACTACTCCGACCACCAGCACGATGCACCCTCTCGACCGCCTCTATCTCGTCACAGTCTGGTCATATATCCTCGCTTTCCACATCACAACCCTCACTCTGTCTGTCGGTGGCTACGAAGAGCTGCTCCGGCTCTGGCGGGAACCTGAGATGTGAAGTGCTGAGGCAGATCCGGGCATACAGCAGCAAGAGATGGGTAGACCGGCAGTCGAAAGATCAATTCTCCAAGGCCGCGAAGGTTGCGGGCCTCAAGAGTCGTGCAGCATTCAAGCTGCTGCAGATCAATGACCGCTACCGGCTGTTCAAGCCAGGCATGACAGTGGTGGACCTGGGCTTTGCGCCCGGCAGCTGGAGTCAGGTTGCGGTAGATCTGACCAAACCTAGTGGCCGGGTGCTGGGAGTCGATCTGATCCCGTCGGAGCCGCCTAAAGGCGTCAATACCATCCAGGGTGACTTCCTCTCCCATGAAATCCAAAGCGAGATCAAGAACTTCCTCCGCGACCCGGACCGTGGGCGGCTGCGGCGGCCCACGATGCTGGCTCCCTCTCAGGATGAGCAGGGCCGCACAGCCGTCGCCGAGGATGTCATCCGAGAAACGACCAGCCAGAGCTACGTAGATTTCGAGCGAGAAGAGACTTCGGGCGACGATGAAGCGACCGGCGAGCATGACAACAAGTGTGTGGACGTGGTGTTGAGTGACATGTGCGAACCCTGGCCTTTGCTAGATGGCTTGTGGAAGAAGAGCAAGGTTAACCCATATATTAGGCTGATGAACACCAGTGGGAATGCCTTCCGAGATCATGCTGGAAGCATGGTACGTCCAACTCTCCCTAAAAGTAGCAGGGTACTGACTGGAGCAGGACCTTTGCCGCGCCGCACTGCACTTCAGCTATGAAACCTTGAAGACTGGAGGCCATTTCGTCTGCAAATTCTACCAAGGTGCCGAAGATAAGGCTTTGGAAATGAGTTTGAAAGCCATGTTTCACAAGGTGCATCGAGAGAAACCCGAGAGTTCGAGAAGCCAAAGTAAAGAGGCATATTTCGTTGGCATCAAGCGCTTGGCCAAGGTCGACAAAGCCAAGGTATTCGACGTGGAATAGACGTCATCAGGATCGGAAAGCCATCACCATTCGGTTAAATGAGCTCGCCGTCCCCCTCATCCTCGATGCCTTCTTCCTCGCTGAACTCAATGTCGGCGGCGGCGGCTTCGGCAGCCCGCTGAACCTCCTTCAGGCCGCTCAATTCTTCGACATAGTCCTTGTCGTTCAGCGCCTTCTCGACGAAAGACCAACCATCCGTCTCATACGCCGACAGTACCTTCTCGGAGCAGGCACTACAACAGTCGTATGACTGTCCGACGATGTTCAGATTGTTGAAGCTAGACAAGAAGCCGCGGATCTGATGCGGAACAATGCCAAGTGGATGGTCGCCACGATCTTCCTGGGAAGATGACGCAGCAGGTGCGGCGTGACCCTGAGGATGCTGGAGCACTGAGATCACTAGCTCGACGAGCAATGCGGACGCGATGGCAGCGATACCAGGTCGGGTAACAGTGCACTGCTGGTCGAGAGTGAGGTCTTTCATGGAGTCTGCTGGGGCCACAACATCGTTGCAGAAGTAGCATCCAAGACTTAGCATCGGGTCTGACGCGGGGGATGTGCGAACACCGTGTCTCATGACCACATACGTGTCGAAGCCAAGAGCAGCATTCACAACCAGCTTGCCCGCAGCTTTACCCATGACAGTGGGAAGCCAACGAGACTCTCTTGAGTCCATCAAGAGGAATATAACATCGTGCTCGTCAATAAGGTCTTTCAACTTCTCGTACTCAGCCCTTGAGCGCTCCGCATCTGTGACCGGATGTCCCGCCATCGGGACGGACATGACATGCCCCGCCGAGTCGACGCCCGGATAGATGTCCTTCAACGCCTCCGCGGCGGCGAGGGCCTTCTTCTTCCCTCCCTCGAGACAGTCCCTGAAGTTGAACAGCGGCTGCCTCACGGGATTGGAGAAGGAGACGGCGCCGTTGTCGACGAACGTGATCTTGTGCACGCCCCAGCCCAGCAGGTTGCGCGATACGTAGCTGCCCAGCGTGCCGGCGCCGAGGAGGAGGCATTTCGTTTGTTTGATGACGTCGAGGTTGAGGGTGGGGCTGATGCGCCACTTCATCAGCTTGAGGTTCAGGTCGACGCTCGAGTCGGCGAGTTTCTTGGGGTCCATGTACTCGGTCAGGTCGACCATGCGGCCCGCGAGCTTGCCTTGAGCGTTGCGCTCCCAGCCGACGACTTTGGGGAGCGCCATGGGGTCTTTCTGGAGTGCTTCGTCCGTCGTGCTTGTGGTGGTGGTGGTGCTCGTCTGCTTCGCGCTCTGTCGGGGGATCTCCATGTCGAGAATGACGCTTCGGGCGGCGTCTCGACGGCTCTGGGTCTCGCGGTAGCACAGGATCTGGGCGCGGTCGCGCTTCCATCGTTGGCGCATTAGGACGAGGAGGTTTCTTAGCACCCAGGCTGGGGCGACGGGCCCGGGTTCGGAGTAGTTGGAGGGATCAGCGAAGCAGACGTAGCAGTCGTCGGCATACTCGCCTTCGAAGAAACCCGTCTCGTAGGCGGACAATGACGCAATTTGCCACGTGAAGCTCAGGCTCGCGCCAGGTGTAAGTGGCGGTGACGAGGATCGGTCCTGTTCCTCTGGATCGCGCTCAGGCTCTGGCTCTGATTTTGGTTGTGGTCTGCGACTCTTTTTGGCTAAGAAGAAGCCGTGCTGGCGGGAGTCAACGCTGTAGCGCCATGTTTGGACTTTGTCCACCAAAGCCGTGCTCTCGTCGGAGCTCAGCTTTTTGTGTGGCGTACCCTCTACCGCTTGTCCTGTCTCGGATACAGGCGCCCAGGATGGTTCCATAACGAGGGCCGGGAAAGCGAACCAGTAGGAGAAGCGATATTTTTTGAGGTCGGCGAACGATAGCACGAGGAACGAGGCCAGAAGCGAGGGACACGAAAATATAGTGCCATCATTAATGGAATCCCAAATGGTCCGACCGGCTTGTTGCAACATCTGGATTTTATCGATGTTCCTGTAGTCTTCGACCGTGTTGACGTTCTTGATCATTCCCTCGGCACGATAGTATCCAGCCGGAGTCTCATCGTTGGTCAGGGCGTTGCCATGAATCTGCATCCGACAAGAATGCTCTTTAGCATCAGCTGGACGGATCTCGTAGAACCCCATAAGCTTGCGGGCCGAGTCGTCCAGCTTATCATGATTGATTTTGTGTGAGGCGAGAGAGGCGTAGAAGGGGATCTCGATGTCAGAGGCGAACGGAACGTACTGCATGTTGAAGACCAGTTTATCTGTAGTTCTACAGACGATGTATTATCTTCGGACTGGACACGAGTCTCCTCAGACAGAATCGATGGAAGGCGAGGTTGGGTCGACGCCTGATGACGGAAGGCAACGCCGGCCGACGCCAAGACATTGCCCCCGGTCAGGCGAAGAACGCGACCCGGTCACGTCGACACGCTCTGCCTCCTGACCGCGTCACTCGATCCCAACTTCTGCTTGCCAGCTGTTCCGGTCACGTCTAGAAGATACAGTCGGGTTTACTGGCTCGACGACACAAGTGCCTGTTTATTGTCAGTGGCTTCACTAGGATCCTTATTTTGCGGTCCCCACTACTAGCCGACCAGCAGGTAAGAGTCATTGCAGCGACGATGCTGATCGGCATCTGCGGACCGATCTGCTCCGGCAAACACATTACTGCAGAGTACCTTGTCCAGCATCACGGATTCTTGAGGCTGCATCTGCCTTCCCAGATTCAGCTCGCTAGGACAGCCTCCGACGACGTCAAGCGGTTACTTCCATCAGTGACCGACGAGAAAGGTACTCGAGGCCTCACATTCCCTGACGTCGACTCTCTCCTGGAATTTGTCACCAAGCGCTGGCGCGAACATTGGGTATTGACAGACATCCATGACGAAGCCACTCTTGAGCTGTTGCTTCGGAGACCATTCTTCCTCCTGCTCAGCATTGACGCACCGGTCAGTCTTCGCTACAAACGATTCACAGAAAGATGTGTCAGGCGCCAGCTAGATCCGATGCCCCTCTCTGATTTTATAACCACCAACGACATGCAACTCTATGGTACAACAACCTCCACACCGACCACACCCGATCTAGACGGCCAGTCGCAACCGTCCATAGCCCTGGGAATCGCCCACCTTCTGCCGCGGGCGCATCTGCAGATCCTCAACCAATACGCCTCAGTCTCGACATACTACAGTTTTCTAGCTTCGCTCGATCTGCCGTCACCGGTCCGCCTGCGCCCAACTTGGGACGCCTACTTCATGACCATAGCATCCCTAGCATCCCTCAGATCCAACTGCATGAAGAGGAGAGTCGGTTGCGTATTGGTGCACAATTCTCGCATCATTTCGACCGGCTACAACGGCACGCCGCGAAACCTCACCAACTGCAATGAAGGCGGCTGTGAGCGCTGCAACAGCGCCCGACAGGGTGGCGTGGGTCTGGCGACCTGCCTCTGTCTGCACGCCGAAGAGAACGCCCTCCTCGAAGCTGGTCGAGAGCGCATCCGTGAAGGTGCCGTGCTCTACTGCGACACGTGTCCGTGCCTGACGTGCAGCGTAAAAATCGCTCAGGTCGGTGTCAAGGAGGTGGTTTACAGTCAAGGCTACAACATGGACGATGCCAGTCGAAGGGTCTTGAAGGAAGCGGGAGTTGAGCTGCGGCAGTTCAGTCCCCCACGAAGCGGCCTTGTGGGCACCGGAACGAGCTACCAGGCAAGTTTTGAAGATTTAGGGCAGGATCTCGTCCTTCGCAACGGGGATCATTGAAAACAGAAAGTGTCATTGCTACGGATGCACGACTGCGTCCGTCATAAAAAAATGGGCGATGATGTACCTGTAGACAAATCATCATGAGCTTTCGTAAAGATGACTCGAAAGTGAGGAAGCGCCGCTCATGATCAAATGCCTCCGAAGCCCCTTAATCGAGACCTCAAGCTTCCCAGACATTGATCCATGAGGAACCTCACCTCTACAGCGATGCCCTCAACGGCCCGCCTTGCCCCCCTGCCGGTACCTCAGACCGCTTTCCAGATCCGGCGGCCTCTCCCCGGCGTCGCTCGTTATGAACCTCGAGCTGATCCTCCAGATTCTCAACGAGTGGCTTGTACCCCCTATAGCCGCCCTGTACCATGCGCTCCAAGGCCTCATAATACTTCTGCATGCCGCCAAAGAAGAAGCGGATCGCGTACTTCTTGCCCGGCACGTTGGAGCCAAAGATCCAGCTCGCCGTCTCCTTGAACAGACTCCCCTCAGCCGCGGCGTCGCATTCCCGGAGCCACTCTTGCTCGGCTTCCGGTAGCGCTTCCACCAGAGGATTCTCCTTGCCGGGTCGCTTGGCCCGGACCTTCTCTGCGCGGCTGATCAAGCGCGAGGCGAGGACGACGTGGGCCTCGATGGCGGGCGGCAGGTTGGCGAATGGGCCCTGGGGGCCGGCGATGAGAAACATGTTGGGAAAGTGCGGGACGCTGATGCCGAGATAGCTCGTTGCGCCCTGCGGTTCCCAGTGCTCCTTGAGGGTCAGGCCGCCTCTGCCTTTGATGCGGAGACGGTTGTAGCTACCTTCGATGGCGTCGAAACCGGTTGCGAATATGATGACGTCCAGTTCGTGGAGCTGGCCGTCGCTGGTTTCTATGCCGTTTTCCCGGATCGCGGTAATGGGTGTTTCCTTGAGGGATACGATGTCCACGTGGTCGCGGTTGAACTGCTTGTAGTATCCGCCATCGCAAAGTGGGCGTCGTGCGTAGTGATCCTGTGGCTTCAGTTTGCGGGCCTTCTCGGGATCTTTGACGATCTGTCCGATCTTGCCGCGGATGAACTCGCAGGCGGCCGCGTTGGCTTCGCGGTTCACGGCAATGTCGCTGAAGCCACCAAACATGAACCGAAAGCCGTTGCCTTGTTGCCATAGTGACTCAAAGACAGCGTTGCGCTCGGACTCAGGGACGTCTTGGAAGGGGATTTGAGATTCCTGGAAGCCGAAGCCGGTTATTGAGTTCTTGACTCGGTGCCAGATATCATCGTAGTTCTCGTTGACCCATTTGCGATACGAGGGGTCCACAGGCCGGTCACCGCTTGGGACAGAGTACTGCGGGTGACGTTGGAAGCTTACGAGCTTCGAGACGTCCTTGGAAATGGCGGTGATGACCTGGACCCCGGTGCTGCCATTCCCGATAACGCCCACCCTCTTGTTTGTGAGGTCTAGGCTGTTGTCCCATGATGCGGTGTGGCAGAGGTTTCCTTTGAATGATTCGATGCCGCTTATATCAGGGTAGTGCGCGCTCGAAAGGACGCCTAGGGCGGTGACAAGGTACCGAACAACATATTGCTGGCGCGTGCCGTGGGATTCTGTCTCCACAATCCATTGCCGGCTGTCGTCGTCCCATTCGGCAGACAGCAGCTCGGTGTTGAATTGCATGTCCTTACGCAGGTCATGCCGCTCCACTACGTGTTGAAGGTATGCAAGAACGTCTGGTTGCTTGACGTAATGGTGGGACCATGGATATGTCTGCAGGTCCTCCTTGTCCCAGGAGAATCTGTAGACGTAGCTCTCGGTGTCGCTCCTGGTATTGTCAGCTCATGGCCTTTGGTGGAAGACTCCTTGCTCGGAGACCGCTTACATCGCACCCGGATACCTGTTCCAGTACCATGTTCCGCCCACATCGCCGGCCAAGTCGATGGCCCGGGCGGAGAGGCCAAGTTCCCGCAGACGATACAGCATGTAAATGCCTCCATACCCGGCTCCAACCACCAATGCATCTAAGTGTCTTGCTGTCATTGTGTTTGAGCTGGTACGAACAAAGCTGAAGTCCGCCAGGTACTAAGTGTGGCGGCGTGGACAAACAGCACAAGCAGGTCTTATTTAACAGTCAGATTGAGCAGCTGATAACACTTGCTCGATTTCCAAAACTCGACCTACCTGATCATGCTCATTTGGGCAGCAAGTCTTTCACATGGGGCATTTGTTCTCTCGACCTGGAACGACTGTGTCGCTTACCCTTCCCTGGAGAGTGTGTATCAGGGATCCCACGGAATTAGTCGGCCGCGCTGCACCGCGCGTCAGGCGTAAGAATTGACATCTTCAAGAGCTCCTAGTGGTCCGTGGCCAGGACCTCAGTGGATTACTCGGCCGCTGAGAGGTATGCCCGTTACCGCTGTAGAGACGTAGCCAAACAGATCCGATGGCCGCTCGCAACGCAACATTGCTGAAACGCGCAGCCAGGAGGTATCTCGGGCCGACCATAATGTAGCCAATGTCCAGACTCGAATGGCCCAGGCTTGCAAGCATGGCGACAGGTCGACTCCCAGAGAGGTTGCGAGACTACCAGACGAGGAAAGATGGGCGTCGTCATGCAGAGACGTGAGGCAGCCCCCAGTCTGGTGGTCGGCGCATCGCTGCAACGATCTCCGGTATATAATACGGTAAACATCGTGAAATATACTGAAGCCATTACGATACGGACTCGCCCCATCTTCTCCGCAGTTCCGACTGAACCTCCAAGGGACACCCTCCAGGGCAATTCCACGGCATCCCGAAATGCGGAGTAGAAATTATGCGCCGGCTATGGCGCATACCAAATGGCGATGGTTCGGGTGGTTGAATGTCGAATCCGAGGTCGACAAATTATTCAGAGAACCTGCCGACCCTCTCCCTTCAGTCTGGGTGAAATTCGGCCACAAACTCAATGGCAGCATCAATTGCCCGCGTAGCCTTGATAACGGGTGCAGCCCAGGGGATTGGAAGAGCCACCGCCAACAAGCTCGCCAGCCGGGGTTGCTCGATAGTCATTGCAGATTTCAACGAGGATAAGGGTCAACAAGCAGCAAAAGATGTGGCCCAGCAATGGGGTGTGCAAACCAAGTTTGTCAAGGTCGATGTAACACAGGAGCAGCAAGTCAAGGACATGATCTCGCAAGCAACGAAATTGACTGGTCGTGTCGACTACGCCGCTAACTGTGCCGGCATATGCGAGTCTGTGTGGGACAATGAGGTCGATATCTCTGTTGAGCTCTTCGACAAAACCCATGCCATCAATACGAAGGGACTATGGCTCTGCCAGAAGCATCAAGCACTACAGATGAAGACGCAAGAGCCAAGGCCGATCTCGTTTTCGCCTCCTTCGTCTCACCAAATTCCAGGTCAGAGAGGAGCCATCGCCAACGTATGCTCGATCTCTGGTCTCCATGCAGCTGGACTCGCTGCGTATACGCCCAGCAAGTGGGCTGCGATTGGAGTGACCAAGACTGGAGCAAAGTTCTACGGTAAGGGCCTTGTTAACGTCCACCTTATACCACCTCTTCGATACTGACAAGCCCAGGACCCGACGGCATCCGCATCAACGGCCTATGTCCCGGTTGGACATTGACTGAAATGGTGCAGGGAAGCATGGGACGTGAGGGCACTGTGGGTACGAAGGAATACGCCGAATCGCCTACCGCCAAGCGAATCAGTCTTCGCCGGATGGCGTTTCCGGAGGAGCAGGCCAACGCACTCAGCTTTCTGTTGAGCGACGAGAGCAGCTATATGCACGGTCAGAGCCTTGTCATAGATGGTGGCTTCTATGGGATCCGCTAATACGAAAGTGTTCGGACCTCGATGGGCTTCTGCCTGACTTTGAACATAAGGTCAGTTCTCTCGGTGGTCGACTTGTGATGCTGCGGGTTGTGGTGCAAGGAATATACGGGTGGATGTTATTCATCCACTCCTGTTGTAGATCGAACCTGCCGAATGCCGGAAGCATTCTCAATTACCAACTGAGTTCAAACCCCTGTGCCCGTTCTCGATGCAACGACCAGGGACTATTCTGTAGCCTGGCAAATATTCGACACGGAGCTTAATGCAAGGTAAGATAGATCTGAACAGCTTCAATGCAAACGAGCGCTGAGCCGCATGGCTTGACAGAATGAGCCAAGGTAACGGGAACGGCCCGCCCCAGCAGAGCTAGACTCGAGGTGGCAGGCCTGAAATTCATTGCGATTCCTGGATAATATTCTCCCCTTGACGTCAAATGACCGGATAGTGGTGTGCAACCTGGAGCACGCTGCCGTAAGTCCCAACCCCCCTTTCTATGCGCCATGCATGTCTTTCGTTCTCCCATCTGCAACAGCTGCGCCGGCCGGATGCATGACCAGGAACCCGCTGGATATCCTGCATGACTTGACCATCCATCACAATCTACGAAAAGGGTGTTCGGACCCAGAAGTGTGACTGCATCTAGTCGGCCACGGATTAAACCCATGGCGACTCAGGTAGGCGTCTTGTAACCATCCGCACACCATCTTCCTCTTGGGTGCTAGCTGTTCTGCATGGGAAAGCCTGTTGATCTACCTGGAGGCTTTCAAATTATGTCCAGTGAGCATGCAGACTTCGGTGAGTTGTCATGCAACTCTCTATATATATCGAGCAGCAGGAGCAGTAATTGTGTGGTGGTCGCTGCCCAGTCTAACAACTCTCTCACAAACAGTATGTGTGTGGGGTCTGAGTACTACTTGTGCCTGAATACCGCTGAAGACCACTTCTCCGTTGGTCGCGTGATTATCTACCTCTTATGCTCCCCCTCGTCCGCTTGCAAGACACCACGCTTCTGCCACATCCGAACGGGATACTGCGGGCCATGTCTCGAGCGCTGCCGTCACGTCAACCTGACCGATTGGAGCACGGTGTCGGACATCGATGGGTATTGCTTCTACACCAAGAGCCCTGAAGTCACCAGCATCGCCCGCGCCTTGGGGCTGCAAGATTTTGCTTCCACCATCAGGCTTCCCGGACGACCTATAGCACTTCCGGGGGCTGCGCCTGCGGCCAGTGTCAACCACGGCTGTTCTGAAGCCTAGGTTCGGGCGAAGATGACCTGCTCCTTAAGTGGTACGCGAGCCGAGAACGACTGTAGCGAAGGACAATGAATTCGACTTCGACAGTTCAGGGAGAATGCAGTGTCACACTGGCATTGATAAGCAAACGACGCGGAACAGGGAGTGGTACGTCACTCGTGGCTGTTGATATTCATGTCTGCGTCCAGCCAGATATTCAAATGACATCAAAAACACTGTTTCTGAATAATTCTCGTCGTATATGTAGAAAATCGTCGATACAGTGCCTCATTACAATGTAGAAACACTCCACTCCACTACCGAGCTTCCCCACTGCTCCCCCGCAACTCCCTTCGAACGGCATCCTTCCTGCTTCATTACTCGTACAACTAGCGTGTGATGCTTAGTATGTCGCAAAAACAGACTCGGGAGAGGCGATATACCTCGCAGGCATGCCTCGCCTGTCGACGGCGGAAAGTCAAGTGCAACAATGAGCGACCTCGGTGCTCCAACTGCGTGCTATATGACAATGCTGAGTGTATCTACGGCCTGGATCGCCGGCGCGCTTCGTCCTCTGTGGCCCCACAGCGGGAGCCACTCGCTTCAGGATACTTAGCCAGCACAGACGCGAGCGCTATCGGGACAGATGCAGCCGCCAACGTTGCGTCTCTGAACCAATCTGCATCACACGAGCAGCTACTGCCTACTCTTGCAGACCATCTGCCGAGCCATACATCGGACGACGTCGGCGGCAGTTTCCTTCACACACAGATACCGGACCAGGAGTGGCATTATTGGCCAAGTCCCAGCGACACAGGCCAGTTGCCCCCGGGCATTTCATTGGACTTACACCACGACTATAACGCGTTCGAGGATGTCAATCCAAGCGCTTTCCATCATGATCAATACTTCGACGCGTTCAACGTCGATGACGATACCCCGCAGACATCACCTGCTAGTCAGGACATCTCCCCCACCGCTATAGCTACGGCAGGGCCTCAGACGATCGGACCAACCGCGGTGGCGAAGCCCGAAGCCAGAACGAGCCGCCTACGCTCTCCGGAGTCTGACGGAAGTTACGACGCCTTCAGTGATGTTACCAGGCAACTGACTAGTCGCCTCGGCAAATTGCAGATAGCGGAGGATGGGCGTCCCCGATACTATGGTGCAACAAGCAATCTCCATCTCCTCTACACTGGAGCTGCATCTCTTACCCAGCCCAACATTCGCGACGTGAGACTATCGGGGAACGCCTCGATAGAATCAGCTGGCCTTCAGTGGAAAGGCGACATGGCTTACCAAACTCATCTCACCAAGTTGTTCTTCGCCTGGCACAACAATTTGCAGTTCCCGGTCGACAAGGCGATCTTTCTCCGCGAACAAGCGCGATTCCGCCAAGGAGAAAGCACCGACCTCTTCACTCCGTCGCTTGAGAATGCTATCTTATGCGTGGGTGCTGCATATACGGACAGATACCATCCCGGAATCTCAGGGTCAGTTGACGAGTTCTTTGCTCTTCGTACCAAGGCATATCTCGATATTGAGATCGATAGTCCGAGCATAGCCACGGCACAAGCATTACTCATTCTCTCTTCTCACGAAGCAGCTCAGACCAGAGAGAGCCGGGGGTGGATCTACATGGGCATGGCGAATCAGATAACGATTGACCTTGGCTTGCACCTTGACCTCGAGTCAGAGTATACCCGCCTCGACAGCGAATGTCATTTCAACGACGTCCAAATCACCCGTCGCAACGTCTTCTGGACAGTCAAGAGCATCGATACGCTTTGGAGTGCCTACAGTGGACGTCCGTCGATGATGAAGAATATTGTCCACAACCAGAAGAGCCCGTTACCGTCCCGCACTTATGAGTGGGAGTATTACATTGATGAAGCGCATAGGCTCAGTTTTCCTGACGATTTCGACCTCCGGGCAGCAGCCTATGTACACGTCCATCTGGCGTCACTAATGTTGATCCTGGCACGAGTCTCGGAAGTCCTCTACTCCGGAGTACCGGACATTACTAGTGATATCAGCGCCTTTGTCACTTCAGCAGATGCTGACTTCCGAAAATGGCTCGCTGCCTTGCCGTTGAATCTTCAACTAGATCTCACAAGGCCTTTCCAGGTTCAGAGTGTGTTAGAGCTGCATCTAATATACCACGAGTCTATCATCCTCCTACACAGGCCGCTAATGACCCCTGTTGAGCCAACATCGCCGTTCGGCCTGGTCTCGGATCAAGAGTCTGCGGCAGCCTCACTGAGCAGATGTCTCGACTCGGCGGACAGAATATGCAGTATTATGGTGTACTACCGCCACCGGTACGGACTGAAACGTAAGTTCACCCATGCTCTGCAGATTCTGAGCACACACCTTGTAAAAGGTGTCACTTATTTTAGACCTTCCCCAATCAGCGAGAAGATGTCTATTGCGAATCCATCTTGCTGACGATCTCAGGACTACATCACCAAATGGTCCATGCGGCGATGACAGCAGCCCTCATTCACGCTTTCCAGCTGTGTACGACATCCAATGCAACCGTCGAAAACAGCAAGGCCCAGGCATCTTTCCTGACTTGCATTCAAGCATTGGGTGAGATGGGGCAGACATTCAAATCAGCGTCTCGGGCGCTTGACGTCGTCACATCATTGCGACAGAGCTGGCGAGACGATGCATCTGCTGGGGACCGTTTCAAGAGGGCACGGTTGCGGTAGGAGATGGTCCGCATGAGCACTTGTCCACCCCCAGCGGGCAATTGAATCTGAAAATGCATACAGCCCGCAAAGGTCAGCATCGAAGCCGTCTACCGAGGACAATTTTAAGGCCTACCCCGACTTCCTCCCCGCACGTGGCGTATCCCCACGGGGGCCAAGGCTGATTTGGTTAGCCTCCTGGCAGCCCCAATACCCTCGCTGATCGTTCCTGCATACGATTTGCAATTCCGTGGAACAATACGCCGCGTGGTTTGGGGACCCGAGTCTCCTCCGTGCACGTGTACATAATGCATGCAGCCTATAACACGAAGTAAGGTCTCTGGGCGCCTTCCAACCGATCAGAGTACTCATTCAGTATTCGCACAAGATGGGCAACTTCAATCGAGGATATGGCTCCGGCTTGCAGGGAAAGAAGCTGCAAGCAGGCATCACACTGTGTTCCGCTTTTGCCTTTACGCTGTTTGGGTAAGCTACAAGGCCGACGTGATGCGCATCCACTGACCTCGTATGCCAGCTATGATCAAGGCGTACTTGGCGGGTTGATCGCCCTTCCCAATTTTCTGGAGAGCAATCGCATGGATCCGGAAGACGCAGATGAACAAGGAACTATTGTCGCAATCTACGACGTAGGCTGCTTCACCGGATGTCTGATCATGGCTTTCATCGGGCAAAAGCTGGGACGTCGCATGTACATTTTCATTGGTGGTCTCCTGATCATCCTTGGTGGCAGTCTCCAAGCTGGCGCAAATGGAACAGCGTATCTGTATGCTGGCAGAATCATTGGCGGCGTCGGAATGGGTAGGTGTCGAAGAGTCCATCACCCTCTTCTCCTGCTAATTGCTGTCCAGGGTTCAACTCAACCATGGTTCCGATCTGGGTTGCAGAAACATCCAAGGCTGGCAGCCGAGGCGCTCTAATTGCCACCCAGCTCACGGTTGTCATCCTGGGGGTTACAATCGCTTACTGGTTCGACTACGGAATGATTCGTAATTACACAGGGTAAGTGTGGGACTGACTCGTCACGGATCTACCTGCTGACCTGGGGCCATCCCAGATCTATCGTATGGAGGTTGCCTATTGCATTCCAGGTCGTATACGTCCTCCTCTGCTTTTCGATGATCTTCTTCCTCCCAGAGAGCCCGAGGTAAACCTAGCTCGAGCCCATGTGGCGAGCATCTATCGTTAACAAACAAACAGATATCTTTATGCCGCGGGTCACATTGAAGATGCGGACGATGTCATGGCCCGCATTTACACCGTCCCTGTTGACGGCTCAGAAGTTGCTCGCCACCGTCAAGATGTTATGGGAGCCCTCGAGACCGAGAAGGAGTACAAGTTCAACTGGAAAACACTCTTTTATGATTCGTCGCCGCTGAATGTCACGTGGAGACTATGGCTCGGAGTATGTCTGAGGCCCTTTCGTCGTCCTTTGCGTTACTGACACGTACATTACAGGTCCTTGTTCAGTTCTTCCAGCAGATGGATGGAAACAACATGGTATGGTTGATCAACCCTATTCATATGGGTTCCGGATCTGACAACAATACAGGTCAGCTACTACGCCACTTACCTATTCATCAACTCCCTCGGCTACTCGCAGTCCAAGGCCGCCTTGACGGCCGGCGGAGTTACGCTCGTATTCTTCGGCGGCACTGCTACGACCATCTATACCGTCGAACGACTGGGCAGGCGAGCGGTCATGCTGTACGGTGCCATGCTTTGTTCACTCTTCATGATACTCTTTACCATTGGTCTGGCTGTCAACACCGACGCGTCCCTCCAAATGTCCGTCGCCAGCATCTTCCTGTTCGAGTTCTTCTTCGGCGCTTCGTGGTGTCCATTGCCATGGGTCTACGTGCCGGAGATTGCACCCCTACACGTTCGACACATCGGTACGAGCATGGGAGTCTTCACGCAATGGTTCGTGACATTTATTGTGGTCAAATTCGGCCCCATGGGTATTCAACAGGCGGGCTGGAAGTTCTATCTCCTGTTCTGCGTCTTCAACGTCCTTGCGGTTGTGTTCGTGTGGTTCTGTGTCAAAGAGACTCAGGGCTTGACTCTAGAGGAGGTAAGTCGTCATCCCGTGAAGATGGGCTCAGAAGCTAACCTAAAGCAGATCGATGTGCTGTTCGCCAAAAAAGAGTATAAGCCGCTCCTGGAGGCGAAATTGCGCGAGAACGCGAGGCGGGATCAGAAGCGCAGCATGGATGGCGCACAGGGACACCCGGCGGTGGATGAGAAACGGGTGGACACTGAGCATCGTGAGGATTCTGGCACGAGTGCTTGAAAGAGGTTGCCATCTAGGGCTAGGGATACTTGGGTGAGAAGCTTGTGAGTTTCTGCGCGCCGTTGTCCATGGCTAGGAGATTCAGACGTGATACAATGTAGGTATTGGTCTCGCTTCTGGGCATACACCTGTCAAACAAAAGTACCACCAGGGGTAGACAAGATTGATGCGAGGGCTTCCTGAACTTACAGTAGACGCTTGGATGCATAGGCGCTGTGACTACGGGAGCCCTCCCGTCAATTGTGTCGTCCCCTGGGCCACACTGCTTAGCCGAACATTTTGACATAATATACTAGTAAGTAGGCATCGAGAAGTTGGTGGTTAGGGTTAGGGCTGTGTGTCAACCTGAATCTCCTGTTGGACGCCCCCAGGGTCGTGGTCCGTTAGGATTCACAGTTCGTTGCAACTCATCATTTCGTCGATATGATACCTACAAGAGAGAATCCTGCTGTCCGATGTGGTGACTCTAAGAGTGCTACTTCCAGCCAAAGGACCCTCAGGTAAGAATTTCGGGACCTTTGGCAGGGCCGTCTTGACGCTACGTCACCCTCCCCCTCAGGACGATCTTCAGTTATCTACAAAGACATCACATGCTCGCTTGAGACGGCGAAGAACCACCCCACGCGCTCTGACCGGTGTCGTGATCTGCTGCACGTCATCTCAAGAGCCGCTCCTTCCTTGTCCGGGCCAGCCGCCAATATCCGTTGAGGCCAGTCTGCCCGGTTCGCCGAGGCGACCAACAAGGCAACCACACCTTGGCGGATCTGAATCCTTGGCAAGGCCCGGGAATTGGGAAGTACCCATCCCACGCTGACCAAACTCCTGGTTCGCTTCGGAACCAATGGTCTCCCTGCCTGTCCCGCACACCACGGGGTCTTTGCCCTGCCGCCATGCATCAAGCCAAACCGTGACGCAACATAATCGAAAGATTCAGAATCCGGCAATCTGGACGAGGCAGCGCAGCATGCCGCTCTGTTGTACCTTCGCTCCCTTGAGACTATGATTGACAATCCGCAGCCAGATTTCGACTCACTGCCCAGGCACTACTGATGAAGTCCCCTCCTGGTCTTTCCGACGGAATCGCACCTCCTGACCGTCCTTTGCACCCAAAAAGTTTCCTGGGTGTGGTGCTTTCTGTCCTTTGGAGCGTTTATCGTCAAAAGGCCGCGTCGGCCGCAGCTCAGACTCAGCCTACTTGGTACAGTGAACCTGGTATGCCTCCTAGTATAAGTACCATGGCCGGTGGGACGTTCTCCCTCCCGGCCTTCTGGCGAATATAACCACGTCAAGCGAACATTCGTCCTTGTCCTTGCACACAACTCTTGATCAAACTGTTCAAAACTTCACACGGGCGCGACATACCATGGACCCTGTCGGATTCTCCGTTGGTATTATCGGCCTTGCAGGCTTGGTGTCAACATGTATCCAAGGCTTTCAGATTATTCGGTCGATGAAGGCCTTCTCACGGGAGATGGAACTGCTATTCACTAAGCTGGACATCGAGAACGAGCTCTTCGTGCAATGGGCTCACCAATGCGGACTGCTCAAGCGCCAGCGCATCGATGGGAGACTCTTCAATCCAAAGACGGACATCGTCATCCACAGGATCCTCAAAGAGATATCGGAGCTGCAAGTGGAAGCTGCAAATCTACAGCGGAAGTACCTGCCAGCCGGCCGAGACGACGAGAAATGCGACTGGGGATATACTGCTGGCGGAGACAAAATCGGCCTCCGCAGGAAATTCATGTTCACCATTCATGACAAAGAAGACTTCAATCACCTCATTACCGAATTGGGGTACTTCGTTGGCAAGCTCTCTCAGATGATTCCCAGCATTGAGCAACGCAAAGCAACGCGCGATGACATGGCTGCCATCGGATGCGACCCAAGCACCGTGCACCTCCTACAATACAAGCCCAAGTATCAGTCTAAGCACAGTTATCGGGATGAGGACGATTCCAGCACAATCACGGTCGCGGCAAACATGGCGCGCACGCTACAGGAAGGTCGCCAGGAGCGACCACATAAGCGGCGACCAAACAGTCTCGACCCATACGAAGACCGATACCTGCAGCCACCTCCACCATCATACTCACAAACAGAGCTATCAAACGGCAGTGGTCGCTCATCACATGGCAGCCATGGCTCCGGCCGGTCTCATGTTTCGTCCGCGTCGAGGTCGTCAGGTCGGAGTCGTCAGTCGTCGGGAGATGCGGCACGAGAGATGTTCAGAGACTTGACTTTCAAGAATGGCCGTCGCTCCTCTGACTACAGGTGACGGGGGTGTTTTTGGGTCTGCTTGCTTATCTACTGTGATATCATCGTGTATAAACTTTGAGCGTTTGAGCGTTTGAGCTTCTCGACCGGGTGCATAGAGCTGACTATATGTATACCGAAACTATTGAGATACCTATCTATAGAATGTACAATACACTAGACGGCCGCTGAAGACCACGCCCTCGATCTGTATTCGAGCATCAATCCTCCGCCACCTTCGGCCCTTCCTCCCGATGCGAATAGATCCAGCCAAGTCCAGCATCTTTTCCCTTCCACAGCAGAACCGCCCAGACCAGCCACTCCCTCAAGATCTGCTGAAAGCTCGACGGCGACGCCCTTCGCATGTCCGCATTGGTGGACGTAAACGCCTTGATCTTCCGCACCCGCTCCTGCCGCCGGGTCTGCCACGCCCGGACACCTTCGTCAAAGGAGTCGCCATCCGCGCTGCACGTGGCAAACACCGTAGCCAGCGACGCAACATCCTCGAAGGCCTGGCCCGCTCCTTGCCCGCCGGTAGGGGGCATCGCATGCGCAGCGTCGCCCACGAGAATCACTCGCGACGACTTTGTGGTCCATGACTCCAGGACTGGCGCGTTGAAGAAGGGCCAGATGGTCAGGCTCTCGGCCTCGCTCTCGCGACAGGCCTGCTGCACGACGTCGGGCCACTCGCTGCCCTCACCGCAGTGTCTGTCGACGAGCATTTTCTTCAAGCCCGCCTTGTCCTCGCCAGCCTGCGCCCACCCCTCGCGGCTCCGCGCCTCCATTTCCACGGTCGCGAAGCACGAGACCGTCTGCCCATCCGCCGCGGTCGGCATCATCATGAAACTGTTGGCCTTGCCCATCAGCAGACACGGCAGACGCAGATCATCTCCGATTTGACTGCGCCGCAGCCTACCGCCACCAACACCACCCATGCCACTAAACGTCGGCTCCACACTGCTGATGAGCCGCCTGACACGACTGTGAATCCCATCCGCGCCGACCACAACGTCAAACTCCTGCTCCTGCTCCTTGTTCTCTCCCGCCGCCAGGACAACAACCTTCACAGCCCTCCCCTCCTCCCTCACCCCCACGACCTTGACCCCAAATCCCACCTTAATCCCCACTCCCTGCACAGCCTGCACCAACGTCCTCCTCACCACATGCCTCTCAATCCTCAACGCCGGGTACCCATACAGTGCATAACTCCCATTCAGCACCCCCGCCAGCGGCGCCAGCGTGCGCGCGCTGTACATCGTGAGCTCCTCGTACGCGCAGCCGTGCGGCAGCAGGGTCTCGTACAGGCCGAGTTGGTCGAGGACGTGCAGCGCGTTGGGGGCGAGGGCCAGGTAGCCGCCGTCGGGGGCGGTGGAAGGCCGGGCTTCGAGGATTGTAACGGTGGTGTGCGGGAGGCGGTGCAGGAAGAGGGCCAGGGAGAGGCCGGCGAGGCCGGCGCCGATTATTGCGATGCGAGTGGGGGTTTGGGGGGTGATGGTGGTGGTGGTGGTGGAGGCGGCAGCGGTGGTCGTCGTCGTCGTTGCCATTACTGCGGAGGATGCTGCGAGCGATCGGGGTTGGGCGTGTGGGGTCTCTGCTATTGCTGGTAGTGAGGCTATCGTGGCAGCTCCGTCCTCATCCCGGTCTCTGATTCCGATAGATGGATAGGCTGGCTTGTGGTCGTACGTGTATACTATATGCGGTGGAACGCACACAGTCTTCCCTCCGTTCCTCTGTCGTAATAGGTAAGTCCTTGTCTGACAGGCCAACGCCCACTCTACCATGGGAGCAGTTCTCGGTGTAGTAGATATATACTCTCTCTCAGGGACCTCCGACCTCCACCTCCGATTACCCTTGCCCCTGCCCTGCCCACCCCCAAGCCACGCTCAAATCGAAACCAAAAGCCAAAAGCACCCCTCCAGACCCTCCCAGCTGAATGCCATGATACGAGCTCAGCTTCGCGAAGACCCACCCAAAGCGGTAGGCGCAGCCGGAACAAGGAACATTCACATTCTCCTATTGGCTATTGGCTGGGACTAAAAGACTAATGAGTAAGGGAAACGGGTATGCGACAGGAGAGGGAGAGGTCCTGCAGGTACTGATGGGTACGTATAACTATATTTAGGTTGCGACTTTGTCTTCCTTTGAGGCTGGCGCGGGCTTGCCTTGCGTCTACGCGTGGTTTGCTTTGAATCCTCCGCGAGCGACAGAGGATAGAGGAAGAGGAGATTGAACCTCCCTCCCTGCTGTGTTTGCTGTGGTGGCGAGAATACCAGCTGCACGCGAGGCCGAGGCAGTGCTGTTGCAGTGTAGAAGTTTGGCTGGCGGAGCAGTAATTCGAGGCTGCGTATAGTTGCAAAGTGGACAGGCTGGAGGAATCTTTCCTACCTAGCCAGCCGTGAGGTCGCATGACGCGAATCTGGAAGAATTGAGGGAAGTCGGGATGCAACAAGAGTAGCTTCTATCAATGCTGACGCAACACTCTGATCTTAGCTAGATGGCATGATTGTGAGCCTCGCGCAGCGTACCACTTAAAATTCGTTGTGTTCGTACAGACCCCTTACCCTCGGTACCATTGCCTGTGCAATGTTCTTCCTGAATCGTTCCTATTCATCCGGACTCGCTCAGACAGGTCCCTCAAGCCAAAAACGCCGCGCTGTTCCACGAACTTCAGAGGTTAGGCGAACAAACCTAATCATCTTCGCCCTCATGATCCCTCTTCACCCCTCTAGGCTCCTGCTGTTCTCCCTTCTCGACCAGGGCCAGCAACTGACCAACCCATGGCCGAAGCGTTCTGTTAAGGTTGAACGCATGCCACAGGTCTCGGTTCACACCTCCGAATAGTCTATCCATGAGCGTTGAACCGTTCTGATGATACTCGGCGCCATGCTTGTTAGCAAACCGCGCGAGGTTGCGTAATATCATGACGCTCATGAACGAAATGCCTGCTGGAGTGCCGTATTCATCAATTTGCGTATAGTAAGAGGTGTGTTCCGTCACTTCGGGTTCTTTTTCAGGTCCCATCCCGGCAAGATCGTAGATGAGCTTCTCCATGGCTTGGGCTGTCTCTGGAATATGTGCCCTTAGGTGTGCGCCGATGTCACTTGCCTTTGTAAAAGGCGAGGACCGCAAGCAGCCTTGCCACCTACAATGGAACTCAGCCGTTGCGTTGTTGTCGTACGTTCCATCCTCGTTCCGAGGCACAGCCAGATGGTCATTAAGCATATGAGCCCATAATCCCTTGCGACTAGCTTGCCACACGTTGCAAACGTGCTTCTGTGCATGAGGCCTTGCAGCATCGGAGGGGTCGACCTTTTCGTTCTCCCAGCAGCACTTAAAATAGGGTTGACCCTGAAGATCTACCAAGATTCGTCGTGGCCGGATGCCCTTGATGATGAAACGCGGTTGGGGTCCATTAATCACCTGAGCCTGTGCGTTGCTGAATGTCGTCGAGACATTTTTGATGAACTCGGCTGCAGGCATAGCGCCATTGTGGGCGAAACGACTCTGGTAGGCTTGCCAAATGGCGATCTGGGTTATGTCATCCTCCCTGGATTCCTCAAAACAAGATTTCAACCAGCGTGACGACCGGGCTGGTTCCTGCAACTGCAGAAGCTGCGCATGTAAGTCCGCGGGTACTTGTGGTATCGTGGCTGGAACAGGATTACGCTGTGCCTTTGGCCTGCTCAATATCTGTTCTTTGGTGGTTGTAGGGTTGTGATTCAGAAGCGCTACCAGGCGTGGGATAAGATTCGCGTACAGCCTTGGACTAGCCGCCAGGAGTTCATGATTGTTCTCGTAGATGGCGCTGTATTCGTACAGGAAGTCCAGCGCAGGCTCGACAAGCTCGTCGTCAGCTTCGAGTAGTACTAGTGCCACTAATCGCTGTATTGCCGATAGAGGAACATCCGTAAGTCGGAAAACTGGCTCAAGCTCAATACCAATTCGAATAATCGCTTGTAGCGATGTCAGCAGCATCGCTCGGTCAGGTGAGGCCAGGTACTCTAGTAGCGAGAGATATAACGGGTCCTTCGGTTGCATCTCCCAATATCGAGTAGTCCATCCTGCCATCTCGAGAGCGTAACGACGAAACTCTGCGAGTCTTGGCTGTTGTGGCAGGCTGATGGCGATCGTGAGGAAGTCTCGGAACAGCCAGAAAGGCGCAAGAAACTTAGCGTTCTCGTCCAGTGTCACCATGTTGCGGAGAACCAGGGCAGCCTCGTTTAGCTTTTCCAGACGGTCATAGGAGTCATCCGACGAATCGTCTTCAGCCTCGAACCTTGACTTCAGGCTATTCAACCGATTGGCGAGGTCAGGGGTACCGAACGCGGCGTTCAAAGTGCCCTCAGGGGCAGTGCCTTCGGGCTCGTTGTAGGACACCTCCCACGTCACGCCGTAGACCAGCGGCATGATCTCCATAACTTTTTCGAGTAATGATTCGGCAAGCAGCGGGAAGCCTTCGAACTTGTATTTGTCACCGCGCTCGAATGAAACTTTGACCAAATGATGAAGCGCAAAGTGTTGTTCTTCGGGAATGCCTGATCGCAACCCATACAAACATCGCAGGTAGATATTAGGCCCGCCCATGGAAGGAATCATATGGCGAAAGAATTGTTGAGGATCTGGTTTTGGTCGCGGCAAGGACTGAGCCTTTGCCAGGGCTTTCTGTTGGTAGAACAGGGCAGGATTGCTTCCGGGGGTAGTGACCGGCCGCAAAGTCAGTGGCATTGGCTGTCGTGGTTCATAATTCTGAATGTTAAATGAGGAACTCCGAGGATCTGATGAGGCACTCGAATAGTTGTGCTGAGGAGGCATGGGCTGGGGAGAATTAGTGGAGCGCGCGGCCCTGGCACGACTCGCAGACGTGTCTGGCTGGAAAAGCTGTGTCCGCTTGGGATCCTGACGCAGATTTCTGGAAGGGTATCGACTACCACTGCCTGGCTCTTCTGTCTCCATCCGCTCCGGTCGAGGCGTTCGCTGCTCGTCGTCGACAGATTCACTGCCGTCGCCCAGGGCCATGGTTTCTCGTGCACCAGGAATGGGATAGTTCTCGAGGGTGCGTGTGCGCAGGTTGCCGCCCTTTGCTGTCAGATTCTCGAGGATCTCCTTCGGGGGAGGTTTCTCTCCCCAGTACTTTGCAATCTCATATGCGCTTTTGGAGGTCAGAATCTGCAGTTGCACAATGCATAGGGATTGCTTACGCCAGATTGCGGTAGTACATGCTTTTGATCTGGAATGTCATGGCGCCTTCATGTTGGTGGCCGAGTCCCAAAGGTTTGACGAGCTGCCGCCATGCCATACGCTCATCGGAGACCTTGTCATAGCCACCTCTTTCCATGACTATATGATAAAGCTGGTGCAGGGATATTGATTTGCCCGATATCTTTGCATCTCTCTCGAAATTGGTTCTGCCGATGATTAGGATCAAGCGCATCGTGATGGGATAGCAACATACCCTCGTTGCTCGTGGAACGCAGCGACATCATCTAGGAACTCTTCCTCGTTCTCGATGATCTTGTTCTGGCCCATAGTCGCCATTTGGATTATTAACAGCAGAGCGACGCCCTACCGATATTGGGGAGGCGCAATCGTGATTTTTGTGCTGTTCTTCGTGCCCAAGGCTGCATAGCACTGTCCAAGACGTACTGAGGGTCCAGTAAAATTGTAGGCAAACAGGCAGCAGAGAAGGGTAAGGCTGCAGCAAGAGCAGTAGATGCGAGTGTCCTCTGGAAGTCGCGACGCAGTTGATCGCGACTTTTGGGCTCCGCGCATGTCCCCGGTTGCGCCTGCAGCTTGCGGCAAATCTCGCCCTTCGCTCGGCTGGACCCGGCGCTAATGCCTTGGCGTACCAAGCTTTCTACACTGCTCCATGCTCATCCTACAACGTCTCCAAAGTCACACCCATTTCTGCCCTCCTCGAAACCTGAATGTATCTTCGATCCATTTCTGCACTTGCTATCATCCATCATGTTTTCTCCGACGTATGCTGTGAGTCTCTGAGTCTTTGTGGTTCTATGAAAGGGCATTTAGATGAGCTCTCCCACCAATAATCTCCTCGTTGAATCTCGTTGAGTTCGATCACGGTTCTTTCTGAGCCTTATTATTCCTTATGTTCCAATCTGTGTCTTTATTATCATCTAGCAACTATGCCCGTGTCCATTCGAAAAACCGCTATAGCTTCTACCCCACCTACGCCCGTCTGCTTGCCATTGCATAAGTTTTCTCATGCTACAGTACCCCGAAACAGCGTGGGGCCGCTTCCATGGAATCATATGGTCAGCCATGGCGATCTCTTCGCCATGTTCGAGACCGTCAGAACAATCAATGCCGATGGCAAGACCACCGACTCGAAAAGATTCAAGATCTTGCACGACCCGAACATCATGGTTTGATGCATCATGGACGTGCGATTGACCGACGCAATCTGACCACCATCTAGGAAGACCTCGACCTCGAGACCTTAGCTTCAGAATCCCGCCGCGCAATCGATACGGCCAAAGATGCTTCGGATCACAATCGAGATCACAATGTGGCCGTGATCAAGAAGGTTCCTGTTATTGCGGTCAAGTACCCTATGGCTGGGGGACAGGTGATGCCTTTTAACGCTAGAAGCATTCATTACTCACACTCAGTTCAGGTCAAAAGATTCCAGATTCGTTTCACGTGCGATGCAGATTTCTACGAAGCTCTCAAGCAGTTGGCCAATAACGGCGTTCATATGCTCGAGGCTGGAACATTTCCAACCATCCGTCCTCAGACCGCGCAGCAAACGTTCACACAGCCACCCAATCAACTGCCGCAGTGTCCTACTACTGCTGCCGGAGTGATGCAAGCTGCGGCATCTGGCCCAGCTCCCGGAGAAATCGAGTCCAGGTATTCAAATATTAGCCTGATGCAACCTCCGCCGCCTTGTGACCATTATCAGACCGTCGGACGAGATACCCAGTACGCTCAGCCACGAGATAACGCACTTCGCAGCCAAATTCCTCCCTCTGCACAAGCTGACACCGGACACACCGTCCTCCAGAGTGCAGCTAACCAAAACGTCTCAAGGTTTCCGGAAGCAGGCACTGGTGAGCCACAGGCGGAACCTACGATTCAAACACTTGTTAGTCGCCCAGCAGCAATAGATCTGTACACACCGAGACCGTCGACGGCGCCCGCTCAAGTCTCACAGCATTTGAGTCAGCTGCTCCCTCCTAAACGCGAACTACCTTTCAAACAACACAATACAGGTGCAAGGGCCGGCTTGGAGCCTGTGAATAGCATGGACCCATCTGCAAGGGACCAAACAGGTCAGATTAGTGCAGTTGAGATGATGAAGGGCACTGCTCCTAATTTCGACACCATCATCCCCAATTCTCAGGAGCTTGAGTGTCAGCCTCCAGCCAAGAAAACCAGAGTCACTAGATCAAAAGCAGCTTCGAGAAGTCAGCCATCTAAGACTCAAACCAAAGAGCCTACCAAAAAGGCAGCAGCTCCAAAACCTGCAGGTAAATGTGATGCGTGCAAGTGAGTAACGCCTCTCCGGACTAATGGATAATCTCAACTCTACATTGCACCTTCCTGGAACCAGAAAGGTGTTATCAAGACCTCTCTCAGCGCATCAAAAGTAGGCTGACATTGTATCAGAAGCAGAGGCTCCAGAACCCGCTGTAACCACAAACAACAGTCGCCTCCCCTACCAAGCATCGAGGAAGTGTTTGAGCCCAAGAAGCAAAAGGCTGCGACGGAAGTTGTTGACAACGATATTGACACACAAGCGCTACTCGGCCGTGCAGCAACCACGAAGAAGCGGACCGCAAGGAAGCCCCCCGCCAGGAAGCGCGAGATGTCTGAGCAACCAGATACCACTCGTGTAACGCGAAGCATGAGCGTCGCAGGGAAGGCGACAAGGCCTGACAACACAGAGGCAAATCGAGCCAGAGCCGAGGACAATCCCGACGACCAAAAGCCAGTCGGTGCCTTTCCTTGCACGCCAGCGGAGCAGCTCATTCACCCCGCCACGCCCCGTTCGCCAACAGCCAATGTCGTAATCGACAAATCGCCACAACCTGCACCGGCGCCGTCTCGGTCACAAGCCCAAGTCGAAGTCGAAGCGACCTACGAGGAGGTCCTTGAAGACTTCAGCAGTGTCCTAGACAGCTACCCGCAGTTCGCTAATGCAGACAAGAAACTCGCCGGCTTCGCCAGCCTGTCAAGCGTGGCGCGCAAGCAGGTTCTCGAGCAGTGGTGTATCCAGCAGTACAAAAGCAAGGATTTCAGAGTGCTGTGCCGAGCCATGGACGCTAGTGTGAGCTCGCAGCTGGCACTTACACTTTGAGCCGGCGTCAATGCCGTCGGCGCGGACCATGAGCGTGGTGGGCCTAGATGGACGGGTCCTTGCTGAGGCCTTGTATATTAGATATTAGATAAAGATAGAGTTAGTAGTAGTATTAGTATGAGAGGAGGTCCTCAGGAGATGCATCATAGATGACAATAGAACAAACAGATCACTGCCCATGTTGTGGGACAGATTATCAGTAACTTTTGTGGTCACAAATCTTGCCAGCGTGCACCCGCAATTATATCCGCCAAAAAAATGGACTTCACTCACTAACACACGCAAACCCGAGGAGTCAGTCCGTTAGATTAACTCACTGTTGTCACGGTCGGTGCCTCCATGTCAAACCCATTTGACTCTTCTGCGGCGGGTGCCCGAGAAGTGGCCAGCGCCACAACCCGCATCACGGCGATGAAAGGATGCGCGGGGCCAAGGACAAGGGAGAAGAAAGCACAGAGACACACGGGGTGAATTTTCAAGGTCTATCATTCATGCAAGTCTCGCTCGCATGTTTCATGCTTCTAAGCTATGATGCCAACCCGAGTCTCTCTTTTGGACTGGGTGGGTCGGAAGTCAAGACCATTTCTCATACTTCGCTGCCATTTACAACCACAAATGTGCAGAGCCCAATGAGGGTTTCTGTGCGAAACACCCTGCGCCAATGCTCTACCGCTCCGATAATGCAGTGCTACTGTAGATGCCAGCAACATGAGCGCAGCGTACCTGTCGCTGCCGGTGTAGGTCAAGTCGCCACTTCAAGCAAAACCTGCGCCAGTAACAGGTGTCTGCTTGCTCCATGTACAAAAGTTACGGCCTGTCCTTCTGGCACGTGTTGATATGGTTGCTCCAATGATACTGATAAGGAGTGCCATGTGCTTCTGCTGCAGAGAATGTAAGGGCACTCCTAGGTGGTGATCAAAGGTAATAATTCCTGTGGGGTGACCCTGTCGAAATGGCTCCCAATTTGTTGTGTGTACACGAAAGCGAAAGAGGTTCTATTGACAGCTGGTTGTGCGCACCGCAGTGACTGATCGTAGTAGATCATTCGGTATGGTTGGATCCCGAGTGAGATATTCGGTGGCAGTTGGTGTTTTGGTATCGGTCTGTACCCGAGGTGAATGCCTAAGGCAACGTGCACTGTGGCACTGCCTTCTGTAGTTTGTTTCAAAAAGGAAATAATAGGTAATGTGAGGTCGTTGGGGAATGCGATGCCACAACATCCCTCCGATGGTCAATAAGCCGGCAAGTCATCAAATCGATCCAGTAATGACGCCGTGCTCCAACGCTGAAAAAGCTAATATAATCAAAGTAAGAGGTGAGCAATGCTCTCGGGGAAGAATGAAATCCCAATGCCATGGCCGAAGATCTCGCGTGTATGTGCAGGATAACGGAGGTGTGAAGGTGAACAATGTAGCGTAGTAATATGTCCAGCGCAAGACCACCGATCAATGTAGCAGGGTGAGGCTGACGGCAAAGGTTATCATCTCCAAACTGCTTGCAGATCCGTCCCAAGCGGCCTGCTAGTAGGAGGCCTGTCGTAAAGTGCCACCACGGCGCAGATGATCAAGTGTAGGGCGACCTGCTGGTGCCGGGGTGTAGTCGAGACTTATGTCCATATCGTCTGAGTCAATGCGACTGCGACCCATAGCCGTGGGACTTGAGTCGACTGACGGTGAATGTTGGCCAAATGCAAAAGTCTGAGCGCGCATCAGCTTAGCTCGCTGCTTGACCTTGCCCAAACCCCGCTCGCAAGCCAGCTCATGCTCCTTTGCATCCATCTCAACGTAGTTCTGAGGGAAACATCGTGACTGATGATCTTTGAAAAAAGAGCTGTAGCCTCCGTCAAGGATATAGACTTCAGGATATGTCAAAGCTGGATAGCGATCAGCGTTGACTGTACGATCTCTATTCCGAATGAACTTGGCAGTGAGAGGAGCACGATGAGCTGAGTACTCGCAATGGAAGATGAGCAAGGCATTGGAAGTAGGCTCCACGTCAAGGAGTTGGGTGGCCAGCTTTTCTCGATCGTTGAAGTTGACGGCACCATCGATATGGCCTCCATGGTACTCGTACTCGAAACGACAATCTATGATCACCCGCTTCTCGTACATGTGGTTGTAGCGACCGTCCAACACGTCTATCATGGTGTCTTTGGTTATCCGGGGAAGATCACCAGCTTGGTCAGATTGGAAATGTGGTAGCTGCAGAACGTGATGTTGCGACTCAATGTCCACAATAGGTGGTAGTGATGGCTCAGTCTCTTGGTCTTGCTTCATGACATCACCTGGATTCTCGAACATGCTCAATGAGCGTCGAGTGAGCTTTCGAGGTCTCTGGATAGGATTAGATGTCGAGACCTTTCGCGTATGAGCGGCGAGAGGTGAGCCGCCGCCACGAGCTCCGAGGAAGGACTGTCGCGGACGCATCAGAGACTGGACTGGAGAAGGCTTTTGTGGAGGCGAGGACTCCCAGATCTGCTCCAAGGTTAAGCTGGACTTTGTTGCTTGGTAGTTGCCAAATCTGAAGGGCGGCAGCTGGCACTCTGGGTTAGGCGCCTGGGGAATGGATCCAGTACTCAGGCCCTTCGTACGTGTCAATGATGGCCGGCGGGGCGTCGGCTTCTTCTTCTCCATCATCAAAGGGGAGAGAAGCTCCGATGACAGAGGCGCCGATGTGGGTGGAGAGAGCATCGATGACTCGGTCGGGCTTTCATCCGGCGTAGGTGATTGCAACTGCAACTGGATGTCTAATGTTCCGTACGGGACCTTGTGGGGTAGAGGAGACATGTCCATGTCCATACCATCAACAATGCCGGGTGAAGAGGCGACAGGAGGGGTCGTGGCGAAACCTGGCAGGTTTAGTAACGCGTCAGGATCTGGAACTGATCTGCTTACACTTATCGCGAGCTTGAAAGATGTTGCCGGCGAACAATGCACGACGTGGAGTCGGAGGGACGTCCGGACTAGATCAGATCAGTCATGATGTACGTAAGGTCATTATCCCACACAGCATACCTCTGGTCGATGTGCATGTTCTGCGAAAGATCGGCAGCAAGGCTGGCTGTGGGTGAAGAACCTCGTACAGGCTTAGGCATGTTGAAGTAGTCCATATTGGTCGATCTCTTCATGGCTAGATCTCGGAAATTGAAGGCTTCGGGACCAAAGGTCGAGGTGGAATGCAACCTCGAGACGAAAGCACCCGGGCCCTCTATTTTGCAGCCATAGTGGAGGTTGTGCAGCTGGTGCATAGCACCCAGCGGCGAAGAGGTTTCCATCATCTTGTGTGTGTTTGAACCAGAGCAACAAGCTCCGGATTGATCCTTGTTTGAACAGCGAGCCGAAGCGGTGCTGCCCGGTGCAAAGATCCAAGTCAATGGATCTTCTGGTATACGCCCGTGGGCCAGGAGGAATTGCTCAACGGGAGGTCGTTAAGGATAGTCGTCCCAGCGGATTGTCTTGTCGTGATGAGGAGAGGAGTACTTGTGTCAAACTCTCATTGCCTAATGTCTCGTTCTTGACGCCTCACAGATGGTGATGGGTCTTAGAGACAATGAGTTGGGAGGAATGCTGTGAGAGGGCAAGGAGGCAATGGAGGTGCCAATGGTGGGTGGAAGCCACTGACAATAGACACAAGCTCACGACTGAGCTGAGGAAGCAAGGATGAGATGGACCTTCACCTGCATGGAGACGAGAGGCTGAAGAGAAGAGGAAAGGGAAGTCCTTATGAGACGTTGACCAGGGTACGCGGTAGACGGTGGCAGTGGTTGCCCGGGCGTTGGCAGCGCCCAGGCGATCCCAGCTTGTCAAAGCTGCAGCAGCTTATCAAACTTAGCCGCCCACCTGCTGAACGGCCAGAACAAGCCCCCCACCCGGGCCACACAGCATCGGTGGCGTGGGTATTTGGCTGCTACGGGTACCTGAAATCTTCGATCTGGTTGTCCGATGGACCTCTAAACCTGGCCATTCGCTGTCAGAACCAGAAGCGCTGCTGCACCAGTACCGGAGCCATGATGCATCGCGTTGTTGGCACATGCTGGACTCCGCACTCTGGTCTCAACCTTGATTTTTCGGCTCTACGCATGTACAACTCCGCAAACCTCAGACATCGCTTCGTGCAAAGCTCTGGTACCTCAATTTCCTCCCCACAATACAGAACCTGGTCTTAACCGGCGAGAGGTTCGTCAAGTGAGCCAACGGATCCGCCGATCCATTTGAGTTTCAATACGCGATAACGCCGGCGTCAAGACTGTCAGCAACTCAGCGGGGCCCGCCACAAGCCGCGGGCCCTCGTGGGCTACCTCCACAGTGTTGCCCTGGCAGCCTCGCACCATAATCGACATGCTATGTCTCCGTCCTCTCGTTGTCACCATGAAAAATTCCCTTACGTGATGTGGGGACGACTCGTGCCCGCGCCGAGAGCTCGGACATCAATTCATTGTTGCTCAAGAATGAGCTGTGCAAAAATGGCACATACGAGGAGCCGCCGATTCGACGCCGTCTAGAAGCCGTATTCAGACCCTGAATTGTCAGCCTTCATTCCTTGTGGCTTCGAAGAATCGGACTTTTGCGTCAGTGGGCTTCTACAAGCTCGATAGCAATCATGGAGACACTTGAAGGTACCAAAATTATCTTCGTAGACGAGGGCACACGAGCTCGTACATTGCTCACGTTCGTTGTGTAACCTACCCACTAGGGGCTCGTCCATCGAGTTGTTGACCAACATATTCGCCTATGTAGAGGGCTTATTGAGTCGCTTATAAAGGTGGTACTTCTTTGTCGAACGCCTAAGTGTTTCACGCCTCTACTGGGATATGAAGAATTGTCCGAAGTGTCGAACTCCTACACCCAACCGGCGAACGTGCTTCTACCAGGATGTGTCTTGATAGTGCGACGTAACCGACGTTGATCTTCAGCTGAGGGCGGAGCCTGCTATTGCCGGACATCCCGACTGCTACCTTGAGCGCAGTCTCCTCGACAGCTTTGAGGCTCACATCATCCGCCCTCGTGGTTCTCGGAAGCCCGATTTGCTGCTGATGGTGAGACTGCTCGTCCTCCAATAAGACATCAACAGTCTGGCTTCGCAGATGATCAAAGGCGGCTTAAAGGATCGGACATTGAGAACTCCTTGCGGGGGCTGTTTCATTGGCGCGGCGCCGGTTACAAAGGCGTTGTTGTGACCAGGTCCAAGAGAGGCAATTTACCCCTCCAACGCGTCTCGCCTTGCAGCAAGGCTATCTGCTAGTCTCACGGCCAGCGACCAATGACGGCATCAACATTGATCTCGTTGAGTTCTTTGCCGATTGCACAGCTTGGAATTACATCACAAACATAGTGCTTGTGGCAGCCAAGTTGGTCGGGCCTAGCACCAAGCAAACAGGAAAACGCCTCGGACGCGCTGAGCCAAAACAAAGTGACGCAATTTTGAATCCTAGGCCGCTAATAGCGCAAGCGTTGACGCGTTTTGACGCATTAGCACGTGATGAAAAATAGCAACTTTCCTCAAAGGCGTAAGTCTGTGTGGATTCACGGAGTATTTACAGCAGGTTGGCCATCGATGCTGCTCCGCTGAATCGAAGATCTGGCGACGCATCGACCGTCGTGTCCAAGTTATTTCGACGTTGACCACAAAGGTGATCTTCATCATCTCATCTCTCGTGCCGTCGCATCGAGATCTCGCATCTACTCGACTCGTAACGAAGATACACAACAAACCACGGTGATGCTCGACGCGCCGTAACTCGCCAACTTCGCAAATCGGCCATGACCAGGATCTTCTTGATGTTCCTTAGGGAATACATGTGAGCCGATTATCATTTCCGGAAGGAGACGGACTCCGGAAGTCTCCTCGAGGCGCTGCAAGGGAGTCAGACAGTACGGAGTATTGTACTGATTTGTTTATCTGCATCAGTTCATCCTTGCCAGGATGTCTTGCTGAGCAAGTTCACGTGGGAGCAGGCCGAAGCGAGGCACGGACATCCCGGTTTGCAACTCAGGGGCCCTGCTATATACAAGTGCGAGGTCAGTGCGGTTCAGCATCACACCACACTCGTAACTCATTTGTCCCTCATTAACATGTCCATACGGCCTGTTGGTTCGGGCAGTCGTTACAGATCAGGGATCATGTCGCCAAAATCTCCAGGTAAGGGCCGGGGTTGCAGTTTCATGATATCTGCTGCCTGGATCTGTGCACACTTGATCTGTCGTTCTTAACATTGGTGTTGCGGCCTGTCGTTTCACATATCAGGCGTACTGCAGGCCTCCACTGTGTGATACACAAGCCGCTCAACAATTGTGGTGAACCGTTCGACTGCCTGCGACAACTCCGGGGCTTTCACCGACTCTCCAACTCTCTCGACCGCTGCCTGTCCCGCACTGGGCTTCTAGTCCAGCTGCTCTGAGAAGTCGTTGTGCCGAGAATGCGTACTGTGTAGTGAGACGGCTCAAACCTCGATGCATCTGGACACAGCAATGCTATGCCTCGGCTATAGGGTCATTATAAGGCACAGGCTCGTACTCTTCGGGGCACGTGATGCTCGAAGCTGAGCAGATGACAAGCTACCGCAAGACAATGGTCTGTTCATGGCTCTGACAGCTGACGGGTCGTTGGTCACAGAGACTGCTAGTCTCGACTTATGCAAAATGCTGGAGCAAACTCACCATGGAAACTTGAGCATTTGTAGTACCGCCGATTGCTGGTTGCCGACCCACGTAGAAGCCACACGTCCAGTGGCTTCTCAGCTACGGCCTCGTCCGAACCCTTTTCGCAGCAAGTTCTTGAAGGGCTATCCGAGCATTGTATAATATGCGTCGAAAAGGACAGCAAGTTCAGCAAACCGCCTCACTGACCACGGTTTGCGGGGGATGCTTCCCCCCATGTGGAAAGCCCCCTGTCGATGCCCGTGCCGAGTACCTTCTGTGCCCAATGATAGCTGACCTTTAATTTGCCGATCCTTCTGTTGCCTGAATGCGAGCCGTTGCGGTCTGACCGGGGCCTAGGCTGCGGCCCATCCCCGGGTTCTTCGGTGCACAGCCCAAAACCACGGGACCATCGCTGTCTAGTCATCGCTTTTGCGTTTTCTTAATGCCAGGCAGACTCCAGGACAACCTTGCTGAATGACAGGTACCTCCACATCATGTCAGGTGTTGGCGAAGCCCTCGCAATTGTTAGCTGCGTTGGAGGGCTGGTTCAAGCCATCGACGCTGGTCAGCGCATCGTGAAACAAATCAAGGACCGTAGACAAGCCCATCGCAGCAACGGCGCTCTGCCACCATCGGAGCAACTTGAGCAAACGCTAGCCAGTGGTAGACAGGAGATTGAGAAGCTGGTGCATAAAGGCCAACAGAGATTTGGTTCTGATTTTGAAGCCGATGGTAAAAGCATCCGAACCACTAGCCTACCTGACAACTCACTTACTTGTGCTTAGAAACCGCACGAGTAGCCCTCCTCCAGGTCACTGTTCAGATCCAGAATGCCCTTCTCAACCGCCTGACAGAGGCCCGAACAGATGACGGCGTTATCGACTTCGACGAGTGTATTGACCTGTCTGATCAAGGTTGCAATGATGCGCTCGTGGCGCTACAGGCGCTTTACAAGAGAAAGCTGGAAGAAGATATGGAGCGAAAACAGCGAATGTCTGCAGCCAGCAAAGAGATCGTTCAGGTGCAGGCCGAAGCCCTCGCCCAAAGTCCTACCACCAAAGCATATCAAGAGCCGACGTCTCCACCAACGAGAATGCCTACTCAGGATGTGCAATCCAATACAAGCAAGCAGCGGGCCGCAAAAGAAGCTGCTCCACTCCCGGTGGCTGAGCGCAAGAAGGCCAGAGCGTTCAGCCTCAACCCTTTTACTTCAAGAACGAAGACCGAGGCGCCTCCATCATCTACTCGATCTCCGCCAGCTCTTGAGCGTTCGCAGACTGCAAGCCCAAAACTAGCACTCCAACGAAGGAGCACTACTGCCTCGGATATGTCTTCTGACAGCCCTGTGAAGCGGTTCTCGATCAGCTCCGAAAGCTCCCACTCCACGGCGGGAGCTCCGAAGCAAGATGCGAGCAATCCAGCATGGACTATCGAAATGTCACGCGCCTCAACCCTGATGACCGTCAGCTCAGCCGTGTCCTCGGGGCCAACACTTGCCAAGTACAGCGGATCTTGTAAGTATGCATACAAGGCTCGAGACAAGGGCTACAAAGATGGACTGTCACCCGTCAACCTCTCCATGCACTTCCATAACTGGGTCTACCAGTGCAAAAGTAGCAACTGTCGATATCAAGCACTGGCTATCCGCGACAAAGCTGGCGTACGGCTTGATGACACGATCCGCACATCACATGGAATCCGATACCGCGCGATCTTCCTAGCCAAATCTCACGTCGCGTACAAGGAGAATAGCCAAGCGTGGCCGTACATCTGCCTGTTTTGCCTTTGGGCCAAGATTCCGTCCGAGGTGTACTACGACATCAATAATCTGATGAAGCACGTGTCACTTCATAAAGAACCCACGATAGGCCTGAAAGAGCTTCCTATGGAAGGGCCACTCGTCTTCAGCAATATGGATGTCAGTGCGGTGTCAGCGTTCGATGTCGAGCTTCCGTACCTGGACCAAACATCCCTGTCCCCTACAGCCCAGCATAACCCAGACCGGGTTGTAGACATGGTGCAGAAGCGATTGGAAGCAGCTGGTTTAGAAGCGGAGAGCAAGCCATCCGAACGAGTTCTCTCCAAAGCTGAAGAGCTGAGAGTGCAAAGCGACCCTTTTGCCAACCCCTGGGCTTGACGAGACGGAGCTGCGCCAAAGTAATGACACGCTTCTTGCCTGCAGTGCGATCGTCGAGAGCACAGTACATACGAAAGTGCCAGGCGACTGAGAAGAGCACGTGGGCGCCAAGGCTCCCCAGCAGATGCTGGAACAATGTTTCTCCGATGCTGGTAGGTGAGATTGCACCATGCATTTTCTGTCATCCATCGTCTATCAGGTCGCCTTGCACTGCAACTAAACATTTGATATGACCCGCGACTGAAGCACGATCAAGATACTTACTTGTCCTCTAGAACTACTGCAAGATCCATTTGTGCCAGTGCTCGAAGAAATTTCAGTGCCAGTCTAGGCCCCGAAACGAGTGGAAGCCGTTCCGCCTCGCCCAGTAATCTGCACCTATCGCGCAGACATCTGTGAGCATTCCGCGAGAATGGCCGACCTAGCCTCCAGCTATTCGTCACCAGTCCCCATCGCCGTCATCGGTGGCACGGGATTCTACGACCTTCCTGGCTTCAAGGCCGTCGCCTCACTCAACATCACCACTCCATGGGGCAACCCTGCCAGCCCCATCGTCGTCCTCGAGCACGCCACGCCCGAAGGTCACACACTACCCGTAGCCTTCCTCTCCCGCCACGGCCTCAACCATGAGTTCTCACCCGCCGACGTGCCCAACCGCGCCAACATCGCCGCCCTCCGCCACATCGGCGTGCGCTGCATCGTCAGCTTCTCCGCCGCCGGCAGCCTGCGCGAGGAGATCCGCCCCCGCGACTTCGTGGTCCCCGACCAAATTATCGACCGCACATGGGGCCGGTCCAACAGCTTCTTCGAGCAAGGGCTCGTCTGCCACGTGCCCATGGCCGACCCCTACGACGACGGCATCCGCCAAGCCGTGCTGAAGTGCGCGGGCGTGCTCGAAGGCGGCGTCAAGCTGCACGACAAGGGCACGACGGTCGTGATCCAGGGCCCCACTTTCTCCACGCGCGCCGAGAGCAAGATGTACCGCCTGTGGGGCGGCGACGTCATCAACATGAGCACCTTTCCCGAGGCGAAGCTGGCGCGCGAGGCCGAGATCGGGTACGGCCAGATCATCATGAGCACCGACTACGATTGCTGGAAGGGCGAGGAGGACGTCAGCGTCGAGATGGTCATGGGCCACATGAAGGCCAACTTGGGGAACGCGAAGCATCTGGTAGGTGCCGTCCTCGATGAGCTGTCGAAGGAGCAGTATGGGGATTTGCGGGCGGGGAAAGCCTGGGAAGGACAGCGCAGGTTCGGCGTCAGCACGAAGAAGGAGGGCATGGGGAAGCAGGCCCTCGAGAAGCTGGATTGGCTCTTCCCGGGATACTTTACGGATCATGGGGGTCGTCCCGCGTGAACGGGAGATATTAGGGGCTACAGGGTTGGTTATGCCTGTAGAATGACTGATGGTTGATGCCAATATAGACGATTCACAACACCATTCCCTTTTGCACACGGTATTTGTCTCGCAGCAATAGCGGCGGGTGATCTGCTCAAGTCATCGGTCCCACGTGGCCCAGCAGCGTTGCGAGACGATAATACGAAGGACACATCCAAGTCCGGCGGCGGAAGTGAGAAAGGTTATCGTAGAAACACACCAACCGCCCGTCTCCGACTCTCTGTAGCGTTTGTTGTATCGCACCGGTCTTAACAAGCACCAACGCGTATGCAGTTTGTGGCTTCATGACATGCTCAGATTGTAAGCATGTTCCTTCATGATCATTTCCAGCCCGTAAGGCCCAAAGGCTTTGCGTCCCTCATCCCGCCACAAGATCTGCGCGACGTTCACGACTCGTTCGAGCTGGGCCGCGCCGTAGAAATACGATGCGGTGTTGTCCATGGATTCAATCAGCAGCGCTCGTTTGTCTTCATCGGTGAAGCAGGAGCTGGCAATGATCAAGGGCCACAACGACGTTGCTCCGTAGCGGGACATGCCTAGGATCGGCGCGAGGCCCATGACTATCTCGGTGTGGCCCGCTATGTCTGCGAGCATCTTGGCGCTGGGCAACGGCCAGAACTCGGAACCCTCATTAGGCACGGTGGATGGTCCCATGAAGGCATCGGGAGCGTGTTCGACGCAGCAGGCTTTCAGGTATATCAGCAGAGCCTGCCGGTAGAACTCTCCTGCGGCGCGGTGGCCCTGCTTTGACTGTGCTGCCTCAGCACTCGGCTCTGGGCTTTCCCATGCCTCGAGCCATGAGATCAGGTGAGTAACTCTCCTGGAGATCGATGCGGGTGGTGCGGGTGGTGCGTTTGGTGGAGATGGTGCATGTGAGTCGGGTTCGACCTGATCGACTCTGGAACTTGATGGCTGTCGCTGGCCGTTGCGTACAGCTCGCCAATGATTGAGACATTCCTTGGCTAAAGAGCATACGATAGGAATCTTCTCGAACAGGTCAAGACCGTAGGAGAAGAAGGTACCAAAGCTCCCATACTCCTTGATCCAACCGACTACCGCTCTGTCAGACATATTTTGAGAGTTACAAGCAGATGGGTTTGGGAACAAAGAGGCGTGGGTGGAAGAGGGCTCTTGGGCATCGAAGCATGCTACTCCCATGTAGCTGAACGCCAGTACGGAGTGAGACATCAGATTCAAGTTTCATCAAGACGCTGTCTCCTGCATGAAGTAATCCAAACGAGAAAAAGGAACGATGATGAGTAACTCTTGCCAGGATGTGGATTGCTATTCCCATCTCATCTCGAATGACCCCTTCTATTCAGCATGGAAGAAAGCCTGGTAGAACTTACTGTTGCTCATGAATTGGTCGTCGGCAACCGCGCGATTCAGTCTGGCATCGTCTGGCACAATCTTGGACACGAGTGTGAGATACATGAAGGTCTCGATGGTGAAGCCCTCGAGGTCCGCATTCATGCTTTTGATATGCGGTCCAGATGGCTTCAGTAATTGAGTTACTAGATGCCAGCCGGCGCGGAGATGCGGGAAGATAGATCCCTCTACATCGCCTCTGGTCGACTGAAGGGACGTCAGACGCCATGCACAGCAAATAGAGGATGAAAGCTCACCTCGACATGTGCCAGCAACAGCACCGCCAGTAGTATTCGTAAGCATTTCTCCGGTGGGCACTCCGTCATGCTGTCGAGGCTATCATGTCTCAGAGCTTGGAGCGCCAGGGAATAGTGTTTATAGGTATCTCTTTGCAGCTGTGAAGATGTGTTCCCGTCCCGCGAAGCATGTACGAGATGTGTTCCTCCCAGGGTCAACACACAATGCATCAGTAAATCATCGGCAGCTGCCAAGGGTAGAACGTAGTTGACGAAGGGATTTGCAGACGATGGCCGATGCGTGCATATCACGGATGTTCTATTCAAGTAATGCCTCAGGAGTGTTGGCGAGGATGGGAACAGCGATGCTGCGCGTGCATTATTGGAAAGAACGAACGCGCCGATTGATGGCTGCCACGTCGTAACAACCTTCTGATCAGAGTCGTCGGGATCATCTGTAAAAGCGGATGGCGTGCCATTTCCTTGTCCATCTGAAGACGGTTGATCTTTAGTTGGGCTTGCATTTGGTTGCTTTATGCGCGGCCAGGAACAGATCAGGCCATTTCGAGTGCACCCACTGCAACTGGGCCTGACTTCATCGCATTTCTTGCGGCGAGTCCTGCATGTGAGACATCCAGTTCGGGCACGCGTGTGGCGTGGACGCGGGGTGCTGACATCGAACGATTCTTTGGGCTGGACAACGTGTGGCGTATGTGACTGGATCATCATGGGTCCAAGTCTCTGATACTTATGTCGATGAGACCTGGTTGTTACGCGCGGCGAAGCGCGATGGCGCGGTGGAGAGGCTACTCAGAGGTTGAGATGGTGGTGAGCATCTGTCAGACGGAGCAAGGCGAAGCGAAGCCCGATCGCCTTGGCTCCCGCCCGACACCAATTCCGGCCCCCTATTCGCTCTCAGCCTGATTGTCGGACCATCAACGCTTCGATACCTGGACCTCTTGCCATTCTTTCGAGAAGCATATCAATCCTCCATAGGCTCTGTGAAGGAATTGGTTGCGGTCTACCTAAATACCTTTGGAGCCGAGAGACTCGGGCAGCTCTTTTGCTCCCCTTCGTCTAGATCAAACGGCGCCCTCCATGTATCGCTTCCAAACATTCGAAGTCTCCGTTGCACAAAGTGTATATTGTCAAAAGAAATAGCGACGGTATCTGAATATGCACTGAGTTCTCGTGGCGTTACCGGGTACGGGGTAGCCAGATAGCTTTCCTTCTTCCATTCCTGTTCTAACACCTTGATAGGCTTAGGGATTTCTGATACAGCTGGATGCTGCATGAAGACTTTGCAGAAATACTCCCATGCTTGTGATGGCTGTTAGGTAATGCCTCCAGCACAAGGCCCTAGAATCCGGCCTGTTGGATCAGGTCTGCGGCTTGCAGGCCAGGCAAAGGTTGTTAAATAAGGACTCACAGAAACAGGCGAGCTTTGGGGTATATATCCTCAGCGCCAAGGATACCGGAGGAAGTATCAAAGGCACTTATACCCGATTACGAAGCCATAGCCTTACTACATGACGGTGAATCCGGATGCATCCATGTGATGAGAGTACTCGCAAATTTAGCCGTATCGCAAGGTGGAGTCAGGGACACGACACTTGTATCCAGTCGCCAGATTGCCCCGCATCGCGCGTAGCGCGGTAGAAGTTCAAGACTGTTTGGACACGGATACTCGTGAACGCTGCGAGCAGAATCGCATGCTGTAGGTGGAATTGGGCTAGAAACGCCTGTATCAGGACGGAGTTGTCTCTGAACGCGCTTCAGGCGGTACAGGCTTGCACTTTAGATGGCTGTGTATCGACAAAACGCTCAATTCGATCCATGCTAGTCTCTTATTGGCTGGATGGCTCAACAGTGAGCTCGAAGCGGTAAGAGCCAACAGACAGGGGAGTGGCCATTATAGGGGCGTCTAGCATTGTGAAAGCATTGTTGGTCTGCTAGACAGAAGAAGGAGATTAGCATAAGCGCTGCTCAGGACATCCTGACTAGTCGTCCGACGGGCATTGTGGACACTTATTCAGATGTACGAGGTAAGGATGTCGCAGTACAGAGGCGCTTGCTGCTCATGTCGTTCATATGCTGACATGAGCACCTCAAATTGAAGCCAGCGGAAGGAGACTCGGACTCGACGAGTTCACCAGAGTGTTGGTCGCGCTAACTATATCTGGATTTATCGATAAAGTGTGGAGACGCGTTTTGAGAGGGCCGAGTTTTGGAGATGCGACGAAAAAAGTTCCAGCAGAATCGAGGTTCGCAATCCGTTGCATTGCACCGCATTGTATCAATGTCTCTCGCTCTCGCTCGCGCAAGCTGAACCAGCTCTTTTTAGAGCTTGATACTGGCATCGGATCCAGCACGGCGCTCCATCTCTGGAGCCGGCGCCTGCGCCATGGCCACTGCTACTCAGACCCAGACCCAGCCGAAGCCTCAATGGACTGTCGATTACAACACCACAAGACGACGGAAACTGTTCAGAGACCCGCCGAAAGATAAAAGCGCATACCCTCTCCTGCAGGCTGCCGTCAAGCCGCACGTCGAGTCGTTCAACGCACTGTTTGGACAAGGCCTGATTCATGAAGCCCTGAAAGACATAGGCACCGTGACTGTGGTGGACGGCAACCCGAATGATCCCAGTGGTCCGCGGAATAGACTCGATCTCAGAATAGCAGACGTCTCGCTAGAGTCCCCGAGGCTTCCAGACTCCAACAAGTTTAGCACCAAGAACCGCGAGATCTACCCCTCCGAATGTCGCGAAAGACACTCCAGCTACCGAGGAACGCTCAGAGCGAAGCTACAGTGGAGAATCAACAACGATGAGTGGCAGGAAAGTACGAGAAATCTTGGTCAAATGCCAGTCATGGTCAGGTCGAACAAATGCCACCTCGAGAAGGCCACACCGGCCGATATGGTCACCCATCGAGAAGACTCTGAAGAATTAGGAGGGTACTTTGTCATCAATGGCAATGAGAAGCTCATCCGCCTACTCATTATGCCTAAGCGAAACTATCCCATGGCCCTATCCCGAGGCGCATTCACCAACAGAGGGCCAACATACTCAAAATTCGCTGTTTCAATACGTTCTGTACGGCCAGATCAGACGGCTCAGACAAACGTTTTACATTATCTCACGGACGGGAACGTCACATTGCGATTCTCATGGAGGAAGAACGAGTATCTGGTGCCCGTTGTGATGGTCCTCAAAGCGCTGGTCGAGACCAATGATCGCGAGATTGCTGAAGGCATCGTTGGAACGCCCTTGGGGAGCGAGAAACCCAGCTCATTTGTCTCAGAACGTACAGAGCTACTTCTGCGGACATACAAGGTCTACAATCTCAAGTCAAGGAGCCAGACGCTGGCATATCTGGGCAGCAAGTTTAAACCTGTCCTACAGGTGCCATTCACCATGACCGACGAGAAAGCTGGCGAAGAATTCCTCAGACGCGTGGTATTGCCACATCTCGGCAATGCTAATGTAACCGAGGCTCAGAATCATGACAAGTTCCAGTTCCTCCTGTTCATGATTCGCAAGGTCTACGCTCTGGCGGCAGGAGACTGTGCTGTTGACAATCCTGATGCCGTGTCCAACCACGAGGTCCTCCTGAGTGGCTTTTTGTATGGCATGCTCTTGAAAGAGAACCTCTCTGAATGGCTGGGGAGAATTGGCGTTGCTGCACGCGACTGGTGTCGCACGAGGCGCGGTACCTTCGTTGATGCAAAGTTTGGCGCAGAGTTCCTGTCCAGAACCGTCAGAAGGTCGAACGAGAATGTCGCCCACTCTTTGGAATATTTCATGACGACAGGCAACCTGGTCAGTCCGACTGGTCTCGATCAGTCGCAGACGTCAGGCTTCACGATCGTGGCCGAGAAGATCAACTTCTATCGGTTCATTAGCCACTTCCGATGTATACATAGAGGTGCTTTCTTTGCTGAACTCAAAACAACCACAGTGAGAAAGCTTCTGCCAGAAAGCTGGGGTTTCTTGTGCCCTGTGCACACCCCCGATGGATCGCCCTGTGGGTTGCTGAATCATCTTGCCCACCAATGTGTGGTACCCACCGAACGACCCCGAACCGAGGAACTTGAAGCCACTATCGCAGAGCTTGGTCTTGCCTCAACACCTTCGATGTCGATTGAATCTAGTCTTGGTGTGCAGCTTGATGGACGCATACTCGGCTACTGCACAGCCAGCAGAGCGCGTGAGATTGCCCAACTACTGCGACATTGGAAAGTCAACGGCCAACGGAACGTTCCGGTAGAGCTCGAAATTGGACACGTGCCCACCTCCAATGGTGGTCTGTATCCTGGTCTGTATTTGTTCACGCAGCCTTCACGGATGATCAGGCCTGTCAGGTATCTCGCTTCTGACAAGCTCGACTATGTGGGGCCTTTCGAACAGCAATACATGAATATTGCATGTCTGCAGGAAGACATCATCCCCAACTTGACAACACACATTGAATACACGCCAACCAACATCCTCTCCATTCTTGCCAATATGACGCCATTCTCAGACTTCAATCAGTCGCCACGCAACATGTACCAGTGTCAGATGAGCAAGCAGGCCATGGGCACACCTTCGTCCAACCTGATGTACAGAACAGATAACAAGGCTTATCTACTTCAGACTGGGCAGACTCCTGTGGTTCGACCACCGTTGTACAACGAATATGGACTGGACAACTATCCAAACGGCATGAATGCGGTAGTTGCTGTGATTTCGTATACCGGCTACGATATGGACGACGCCATGATAATCAACAAATCATCTCACGAGCGTGGTTTTGGCGATGGTGTCATCTATAAGACGAAAGTGTACGCGCTACCCAGCGGCAAATCTCAATCCCGGACCGAGATCAAACACCTGTTTGGCTTTGCCGAGAAGGACACCAATGTCTCAGCTGAGGCACTCAGAATGCTCGACTCAGATGGCCTGCCGACGGTAGGGCTAAAGGTTGCAGAAGGGAGCATCGTACTGGCACATCATGCAGTCATGTTGGATCCCTCGACCGACCAACTGGTGAATCTTGACGGCCGGACCGAGTACTTCAAGTACAAGGATCAGGAAGAGGCCTATATCGACCAAGTGCGACTGATAGGCTCTGATACTGGTGAGCAGCCTTGTCAGGCCATCAGCATCAAGTACCGCATACCTCGGCGACCGGTCATTGGTGACAAATTCTCATCTCGCCACGGACAAAAGGGCGTTTGCTCGTTTCTGTGGCCCTCCGAAAACATGCCTTTCTCGGAATCTGGCATCCAACCTGATGTCATTATTAATCCGCATGCGTTTCCATCGCGAATGACCATTGGCATGTTCGTGGAGTCACTGGCGGGCAAGTCAGGAGCGCTCCACGGTCTGGCACAGGACTGCACGCCTTTTACATTCAGTGAGGATAACACGGCTGGTGACTTCTTCGGCGAGCAGCTTCGGCAGGCGGGATACAATTTCTCTGGCAATGAGCCTATGTACTCGGGCATCACTGGCAAGGAATTCGCGGCCGACATTTACCTAGGCGTCGTGTACTACCAACGGTTGCGTCACATGGTGAGTGACAAGTTCCAGGTGCGGACAACGGGACCGGTGAATGCATTACACGGTCAGCCAATCAAGGGACGGAGCAAGGGTGGTGGTATCCGCGTGGGTGAGATGGAAAGAGATTCACTCATCGCCCACGGCTGTGCCTACCTTCTGCAGGACCGGTTGATGGATTGCTCCGACAAACAGCGAGCGTGGATCTGCCGAGGCTGTGGCTCTTTCCTTGCGACGATGATGGTGCCCAACCAATACGCACTCAGCAAGAAAGGCGGCAGGATGGAGCCAAGTGGCGTTGTGAGATGCCGTGCCTGCGCAAGACAAGCACAGTGGGGCGACAGCAAGATGAATGTGTGGGAGGATGGTGCTGGCAGGAAATGGGTAGGGGGTGACAACACGACTGTGGTCAATGTGCCCGGAGTGCTACGATATCTTGATGTTGAGCTCGCAAGCATGGGTGTGCGGACCAAGTTCACTATTGAAAACTGAGGCACCGGAAGAGAAGCATAGCGTTGGTGTTTAGCAGCCTAGTAAGAATGCATTATATTCACATTGTGAGGACTTGCCAATCAGGCTCGAACTCCTCCTTGACCATGGTAGCCTTCCAGTAGACAGCTGCGGAAGGATTGTGGCAAGAGCAGGTGACACGATCAAAGAGGCGCTTGCCCCACGTTGGCCGCGGTAGGCGCGACTCGGGCACCTGAGCACCTGGGCATTGGGTAGCGGGCCACGAGCGCTCCACCTTCTCATGTCCTCGAGGTCAACGTCCAGCGTGACCAACTCGTCCTTATCTCACTCCCTCCTTCCGACCCCTCCCCGACTCTGTCCTCTAGCAACCTAAGACCACTCTCTAGATACGTCCATTCTGTCGTCCCTTTCCTCGGTGCCACACCTGCGTCCTGGCGTACGCCTCTCCGAAATCGGTCAACAAAGAACCCCGCCGTTCGCCGCAAGGAACCGAAGTACGCATCTGGTATCACTCAAGACAAACGCCTGGAGCCTGAAACCCGCGTATACGATCCCTAAAACGCGCCCTGTAACGAACTGTCGTCCGCCTTCTTCGAATAATTCCACACCTGAGCAGGACCACAACCCGTCTTTCCGAATCTACGAAGTAACTGGAGCCGAGGCAAGATGAGCAGTCCCAAGAGGAGAATAGAGACGGATGTCATGAAGCTCATGATGAGCGACTACGAGGTCACTCTCGTCAACGACAACATGCAAGAGTTCTTCGTCATATTCAAAGGTCCATCCGAGAGTAAGAGACGCCTGTCGAGAGACAGATTACGAATGCGAAGCTGACCTTCTACCACAGCTCCCTTCGCGGATGGGAGATGGAAGGTGCATGTTGAGCTACCAGATGCGTACCCGTACAGCTCACCATCCATTGGTTTCGTCAACCGCATCTTCCACCCCAACATCGACGAGCAGTCAGTGCCTCCGACCCGTGTGGTTCGCTGGACCAGACACTGACGTGATTCCGCAGGTCCGGGTCCGTTTGTCTCGATGTCATCAATCAGACATGGTCCCCCATGTTCGACATGATCAACATCTTCGAAGTCTTCCTTCCTCAATTGCTGCGGTATCCTAACCCTACCGATCCCCTCAATGGTGAAGCCGCTGCTCTCCTTATGCGTGAACCAAAGAGTTACGACGTGCGTGTCAAAGGTAACTACCCCTGTATATGTGATCGCTTCCGGTAGGTCAGAAAACTGATGTGCACAGAATACGTGACACAGTACGCCACCAACGTACACAACGACGACGAAGAAGAAGACCCAGAAAGCGACGGCGAGCTTAGCGAAGTCGAAGACTTTAAGAGCGACGATGAGGAGCCCGCCGGTCGCATGGAGGTCTGACTGGCAGTAGCTAATACGCGAACGGACTGTGGTCGAACTTCAAGCGGCATAACATGGCACGGCGTGATGATACACAGGATACTCAACGAACGAATCAAGACCAAGGATCGGCTGGCGGCTATGGGCAGACCGGTGGCGTTATTCCGCGGGATGGAGCGAACTGGTGGGCAGGTATTAATGACTGATTGGCATGGGCTTTCGATGTGAATCTTCGAATCGAACGGTGTACTGTCAATGGCATCCCGGTTCGGCAAGCATCGGCGCCATTAGGTAGGGAGGGAGACGGCACGGCAAACACCAAGCATCTAGATACAATTTCGCTCTGTTTCTCGATTTCCAACTCACTCTAAGGGCCCTCCAGGCGGCGCTCCCCTTTCCATGACAACCAGCTAGGCGTCGTCAGCCTGCAATACACCAGCATCTCTAGATTTCGGCACTACAATGACCTAAGATCTGTCTTGCCTGGAAGTCCAGCTATATCCACAGGACTGACTATAGGGCAACGAGACAGACAATTTCCAACCACAAGTATACCTTATCAAGGCCACGAAAACCACTCCTCATGCACGCTGCGCAAGTCCACCGTGCCCTCCCTCCTCAGATACGGCGTAATATCCGCCTCCTCATCGCGCTCCCGCCGCGTCCACCCATTGCCCAACCACCCCGCGAAGCGATTCCCACTCTCGTGCCAGTACTCCCACACCCAATCCTCCCACCGCGGCTCCTTCCTCACCAACGTGACATGGCCCGCGCTACCCGGCCAGATGCCATGGATGCGTTGACCGGGTTGGCCGCCATTCGCCCACGAGCTGCAGTTGTCCGTCAGCACCGTCTTGGGGAAGAACGCGTCCGCGTACTCGACAAAGTCGTCGGCGGCCCGTCGGGAGGGCGCGACGGACTTGATGCCCTGCGCCGACACCTTGCGCAGCAGCTTGGCGTAGTAGGTGAGCTGGACCTCGACGCTGTGGGGCACGGTGCCTGAGGGCCCCGTGCCGTGCGGGCCGGCGATGAGGAGGAAGTTGGGCACGTCGGGGACGCCGAGGCCCAGGTAGGTGTAGGGGAAGCCGTGGTGGAGAGGGTCGCGTTGCGCGTCCTTGGTGCCGGGCCTCCACACGTCTTGCAGGTTGCGGCCGCGGGCGTGGATGGAGAAGGGCGGGATGAAGTCGATGGCGGCGCCCGTGGCACAGAGGATCGCGTCGACGGGTCGGTGCTCCCCCGTGACGGTCTGGATGCCGGTCTCGGTGAAGCGGGCGATGCGGTCTTGGATGAAGCTGACGTTGGGGGCGACGAGAGCCTCCAGGTATCCCGGCCCCGGAGTCAGGCGGCGGCAGTTGGGATTGAAGTCTGGGACTAACTTGTCGATCAGATCCTGGTTGCCACCTGTTCGCTCGCCCATGATCTGGATGAAGCGCTCGCGCATCTCGGCGGCCTCCTTGGAGCCTCGGAACAGTGCCGGAAACCGTCGCCAGTACTTGGCCTCGATCTCTTTGCGGAAGGCGAGGTATTTGTCGGGATCATCGAGGAACTCTGCTTTCTTCTCTTGATCGTACCATTGAGGTTCGAATGTCCGGGCGTCACCGGCCCAGGATCCTGCTATCCAGGTCTTGTTGCGTGCGTAGTGGTCGACATGCTTCGCAACTCGTTGTACGTTGGGAAGAACCTGGATTCCACTTGCTCCATTGCCTATCACAGCAATCTTCTTCCCTGTAGGGTCAAAGGTCGGGTCCCAGTTCGATGTGTGACGGATGTGCCCCTTGTAATCGGAAACACCCGGATAATCAGGTAGTCTCCAGTCATTGAATCGACCGATTGCTGGCAGCACGAAATCTGCAGTCTGTGTGAAGGGCTCTCCTGACTTGGTGTCCACCCCAGTGATGGTCCACTCAGCCGTTTGATCATCCCAGCTGAGGTCTTGCACGCGTCGGCCAAATTTGACGTACTGGTACACATTGTACTTGCGGGCGTTGGACTGCCAGTAGTCTCTGATCTCGTCGCCAGGGGCAAATTGCTGGGACCATTGGGTATGAGGAGCAAATGTCGACTGGTAAACGTGACTAGGTATGTCACACCTGTTGCTGTCAGTTCAAGCCCCTTGGCTTGGTAACATGGATGTTGGGGTCTCAATCACCTGACACCGGGATACACGTTTTCCAGCCACGTTCCACCCTGTGAGGGCGTCAGCTCGTTTCCCAAGGAAGCGACTTTGCAGCACAGTCAACAACCTACCACATCTTGATTCTTCTCGAGAATGGTGAGCTGAATTCGAGGAACCTTGATTGGAAGGAGTATTCCAGCATTAATGCCAGCGATACCTGCTCCAATCACGACGACACGTAGGCTTCGGATGTCGTCTATATGGTGGTCTGGAAGCTGCAGACCAGAAGCAGGATATGATCCGTGCAATACGTTTGAAGGCTTGGGGTGATCCTCGATGACAGTGTCTGAGATCGAACTCGGGGGCGATGTATCAGCGAGGGTAGACCGGGAATCATCATTGATGTCCTCCACTGACGATGTCGAGGACACAGGGGCAACACGAGCATGGCCTGGCTGTAGATCATCCGCTGCGACAGTCGAGATAGTGGTATAGTCTGTGGTGGCCATGTTGATGGCCTACGGCTTCGAGTCTGCTCCTGTTTCGGTCGTTGTTCAGGCAAGCTTTGGCGATGCTGATGGTGAGAGTCGAGGTAAAATTGCTGACAATTCGCTGCTCTCGACTGTTCGTAGCACGGCCGGTACGCACATGGCAAATGCTCCGTGCATGGTACATCGCCGCGTGAGGTACGAGAGTGTGGGATATGGTGTACAGGGCCCGTTGATTGACGCCATTTTTGGCCGTTATTGGCAATCCATTAGCGTCCATACTGGAAAAGAGTAAGACAGCTGGTTTCGTCAGTAACGCTGGTACGGTAATTACGCTGTCACAACATATGCAGCTACGGACAAGTGCGCCGGTGTCATCATGTGAGAATTGCCCACTCTGCAGCGGCAGCCAGGTCGTAGATGTGCATTTGCCTAGTTCCTGTGATTCCTCATTCTTTCATTCGAGCCGACGTCTGATTTTCATCAACTAAACACATCCCTAACATGGGCTCAATCGCTGAGAATAGTGACGGCAACGTCCAGCCAAAGAAGCAAATCTTGCTCAATGCATTTGACATGTCTACAATCGGGCATTTGTCTCCTGGGCAATGGAAGGTGAGTGTGAAGTCAGGATGGCTCCTGAGATTCAACGCTGATCGAGATCAGAACCCGTCTGATCAAAGTACCAAGAAGAGGAAGCTTGGGTACTGGATCGAGCTGGCTAAGTTGCTAGAGCGAGGGAACATCAATGCTCTATTCCTCGCAGATACTTATGGTGGCTACGATACCTGGTAGGTTGCAACACATGTCTTATCTGAAAAGGTCCTCCAATGGGACCAAATCACCAAGATCACAAGGGGGAGAATGGGGATTCGCCCTCATGCTACCTTTCATTTGCACATTGCTAACAACCAACATAGTGAGTACAGTCCAAGCCATTTTGGTATCTAGGATGCACAAATCGTTGCGAGCTCGATCAATGGGATCATTTCCATGGCGGAGTTTGGCACTGCACCCCAACGAGCCATCAAGCCTGAAGGGCATTTCCTCCTGAGGCCGCTTAGGTCTGGTATTGCCTCCGATCATGCGAAGCTAACTATGCGCTTAGACGAAGACTCCCTCGACAATTGCATTCGCCGAGCAGCTCAATGGCCTATGACGGATCCGTCAATTGTAAGCAAAGCATCAATTCGAATGTGCGTAGCAATTGACCTCTCGTAGCCTATCTCTGCGATGGCAGCTGTCACGAAGAATCTCACTTTCGGCATTACCGCATCTACAAGTTTCGAGCCTCCATTTCTCCTCGCCAAACGGTTCTCTACATTGGACCATCTGACTGATGGGAGAATTGCCTGGAACATCGTGACCTCGTGGAAGAAAGCTGCTTTCAAGGCGATTGGCGTGGACAACCCCATCGAGCATGACACCCGTTACTATGCTGCAGACGAGTATTTGCGTCTGCTGTACAAGTCAGTGGCTCTTCTCCCCTACTACGAACGGTACTGATCTCGTGATATCCAGGCTGTGGGAAAGTTCCTGGTCGGATGATGCCATCGTTGCAGACGCAGAGAATGATGTCTATTTCGATCCAGACAAGATACGCACGATTCGACACCACGGCAAGTACTACAATCTTGACTCTCGGCATATAACAGACCCTTCACCCCAGCGCATACCTTTTCTGTTCCAAGCTGGTACTTCACCAGCTGGATCGGCATTCGCAGCAACTCACGCTGAGGCGATCTTTGTTTCTTCCCACAGTCCCAAGGTACTCAGACCAAAGATCGAGAATATTCGCAAGCTCGCAAAAGAGCAGGGACGTGATCCACAGTCGATCAAATTCTTCGGCACATTCACCCCCATCCTTGGCCGCACCGAGGAGGAGGCCAGAGCGAAGTACGAGGAAGCTCAGAAGTATGCTTCCACCGTTGGTGGTCTTGTTCTGTTCTCGGGGTGGACAGGCATTGATGCATCAAAGATCCCATTGGATCAAGACATTACGGCTGCAGACTCGACGGAGGCTCACAAAGTCCGAAGCATGCTCGATGCCTTCACGACCACCAGCCCCGATGTTCCTCGTTGGACGCCACGTGTAGTTGCCGAAAAGGCAGCCATCGGCGGCTTAGGTCCCGTCGGTATTGGCACGCCAGCTCAGGTAGCCGATGAAATGCAACGTTGGATTGACGAGGCCGACTTGGATGGCTTCAACCTGGCATATGTTACCACGCCAGGTACTTTCGAGGATGTGGTTGACTTACTGATTCCCGAGTTGCGCCGACGTGGCTTGTACGCTCCTGCTAGAAAGGAGGATGACGAGCCGCTCACGGCTAGAGAAAAGGTTTATGGTAAAGGACAAAGCAAAGTTCGAGATGACCATGCTGCGGCAAAGTATCGGTATGACGTGTACACTGAAGAGGAGCCGTATGGGTCTTCGACGGATCCCAAACCCGCGGACGAAGCAGCAAGTAAGGAAGCTTCCTCCGCTTGAGATGCGGCCAAGAAGGCCTGTTGAAGCTCCATGAATTCAGTTTAGTAAAAGGAAATACATGAGTATGTTCTAAGATGCAATCAAGATCGGCTAAAACAGCCCACCGTATTCTCTGCTTGGTGTAAGGAAGGAGGTGAAAGATCTGGACTTAACTCGAAGTACCCAGGTCTAATATCTCAGGAGTGTTGGAGATCTTCTCCTGTGATAGGGGAGGCTCTCCTCTTTCTAGGTCTCCTACCTACATTGAATCATTATCTCGACTCGGCCGGAAAAAGAAGATAAGAAGTGAAGTGATTGGCGACTCTATGTCAACAGCTTCAACGTGTAGCTTATTATCTTTTCTGCTAAAAATGCGTGCTTGACGTGTTTTATCTGCAAACAACCACTCACCACAATCCTGAAAAGTGCTTCGGTATCTCTCCGTGGAGCTCTGTGTGTTGGCAATAAGCCACACAACCTTTGGAATTTGTTTTGTTCTCTGACCGGGTACTGCTTCCCAACATGTGCCTAGCTCAGTCGACTCGAACAACAACCCGTCCACCACTGATCTCGCCCCTACGCATACGATCCAGTGCCGCGTTCACCGACTCAAACCCGTGCTCCACCGCCAGAATCGGAGGCGGCGCCAACAGCCCTTCTGCCAGAAGTCTCTCCAACCACACCATCAACGCCTCTCCCACTTCTGGGATCTCATGGAACAACTTGATCGGGACGGTGTGGAACGAGTATCCGGCTGGGGGAGTCCCCTTGGGCAGGCCCGTCAGACCCACCAGATGATGCTGCTGAGGTTCATCAGAAGTACTTGACCTGCGTGGCGTTGATGGTGGAGTTGGTGAAATGCTTTTCTCGATCGGCTCAGGCCCGAGACATCGTAGCAGGTGGCTGGCTGTCTGTCTGCCTACGGTATCGACGGCGAAGCGGAGCTTCTGGCCGGCAACTGACCGCACCACGTCGACGGCTCTTTCGGCATTGTGTGAGTCGATAAGTACATCTGCCCTAGGGAAGTCGCTGGCGGAGTGCTGCGCAAAGCCATGTTTCTTGCAATCCAGAACACTAATCGTTTGGACGCCCGCTAGCCGTGCTAATTGGCAGATGATGTAGGCGCTGGTAGACGAACCTCCCCAAACGGCCAGCCAGTCGCCCTGCTGTAGCCTCTCGGCTGGGTCAATTCCATTGAGACATTCATTCCTGATATCATCTGGTAGTCGTGTTTCTGGGATGCCTCGAACTAACTTCAAAAGATCTGGCCCATTAGATATCAGGCTGAAGTCCAATCCAGCACAAACCCCAATCGAAAGTGCTGCGGCGACAAAGGCGACTCCGAGGGCCGCTCCAGTTTCACTGGATATTGATGGCGGCAACCGGGCGGTGTTGAAATCATTTGCGATCACATATTGTTGGTAGGCTCCTTTTCGTAAGTCTCTGTAGTCGGTGGAGATGACCAGCACCTTAAGATGTTAGTCAACAAAACGTTATGTGAGGGGTATGTAATTATTTACTCTGTCGCCTTTCGCTACCCGGGATTTCTTGCTAAATGGTGTAGTAACTAGTATGCCAGCCAACTCTCTGCCAGAGATGTAGGGAAGTGTTGGAATTCCAAAATTGAAATCTCTACGTATCATATCAGCTTGTGATCTTAGTATGAATGCCAATGTAAGACTCACGGTGCTTTCCAATCGATCGGGTTCAAGCCGATAACAGTGTTCCGTACAAGAATCTCCCGGCTGCTCTCGATTTGTGGCACGGGATGCTTCTCGATGGTTTCATATGGCTGCTTGACTCCGTTCAGAATAAGAGCCCGTTGATGATTGTCTGGCATCAACGAATCCACAGGCTCTGCTGGAAATTCCTTGATAAGTAATGACTGACCAACCGTCGTTGAAATGGATTCTGAGGTTGATAATGTCTTTTCTTTCGAACGGCCCAGAATACTCTGCAGCCAGGTTCGTGAGGACCCCATGATCTCGTGATGAGAATATCAGGCGGCGATGGTAACTGTATAAAGGACGTGATACTCCTCATCTCGGACTTCACGAAACGACGAAGGTGTCTCGCAATACGTGCATAGCCTTATTCTCACCGGCTGCTCCGACCTAGGAATCGGAGATGTTCGTGTATGTATCGTTACGTTTCTCGCATTTGGGGATGGTTCTCTCCACTGACTTTCTTGTACGATTCGGGCGAGGTCGAAATCTTCCTGACATTGCAGGCTTCAGGACGAAATCCAATTTGGCCAGTAGCGTATTGCATCATTACAGACTAAGTGACGATAACTTTTCCGAGGCTGACGTGGGCAAACCCCGAGAGTCAGTGCAGGGGACTGCAGGGCAGCATCCCATGCTCATTACTAACACCTTGGAGCCTTGCCAATGTCGTCAACGTGGCTTGTCGCACATTAGCGGCACCACCGCCCCACGTGCGGGACTGTATGCACAACGATAAGCAGTCAAGGCCCACCCGACTCAGTATGCTGGACTACGTATTGTCATTCGAAATTTGGGGTGAGTCCTTGGGATGGATTGCGTGCTTTGGCTCAAGATTGCGTATGAATATCGGCAATTGCACCATTCCCGGGTCAAAGTCCTGGCCAGTATGCAACCCAAAATCCTGAGATCGCTTTGAAGAGCGCGCAACGCAACTTTAGCCTCGCCCAAAGTCCTTCACTCCTACCAGACCATCACCATGTCGTCGGAAGAAGGCGCAAGGCAACGAGAGGCCCACCCGAATGGCTTGGCACAAAATGGCCAATCACCGAAGAGGAAGGAGTTGATCCTCAATGCATTTGCGATGAATACTCCTGGTCACCTCTCGCCAGGCCTTTGGCGTCATCCCACGAACAGGACGGCGGAGTACAAGAAATTACGCTTCTGGACAGACCTTGCGAAGCTGCTTGACGAGGCAGGCTTTCATGCTCTTTTCATTGCCGGTAAGTAATCTCACGGGAAGCACGAGTCGGGACATTAGTCCCCGCAACACAAAACCCCCGAGAATCAAGAGGAACACTCTGATGGAGCTTACTGACACATATCAGACGTACTGGGCTGCTATGATGTTTACCGCGGACCAGCAAATCACGGCCCCGCGCTTCAATGTGGTGCACAGTTCCCCATCAATGATCCGCTATATCTTGCGCCGGCAATGGCCGCCGTCACCAAGAACTTGGCTTTTGGTATCACTGCATCGACAACATACGAACATCCTTATGCTCTTGCTCGCAAGTTCTCAACTGTCGATCACTTGACTGACGGCAGAGTCGCCTGGAACATAGTAACTTCCTACCTAGACTCAGCGGCTCGCAACTTTGGTCTTGACAAGCAGGTGGCACACGATGATCGCTATGCTATCGCGGAAGAGTACATGGACGTACTCTATAAGCTTTGGGAGGGCAGCTGGCGCGACGATGCTGTCGTCGAGGATAAAACTACCGGAGTATATGCTGAGCCTGACCGCGTTCGCCAGATCAATCATGAGGGTAAGAATTTCAACGTAGCAGGTCCACACATCTGCGAACCCTCTCCACAACGGACCCCTTTTCTCTTCCAGGCCGGAACGTCGAAGTCGGGCAGATTGTTTGGTGCGAGGCACGCCGAAGTCATTTTCGCTGGAGCACAGCTACCTGAGAAGCTGCGGCCGTCTGTTGATGCGATCAGACACTTGGCAAAGGAACAAGGTCGAGACCCATATCACGTCAAAGTAATCGCTAGTATGTGCATGATAGTTGCTGAGACAGATGAAGCTGCGGAAGCCAAGCATGCAGAACTTCTTTCATGGGGCAATCGTGAGGGTGCACTGGCTTTATTCGGTGAGTGACATCATCGCAATCCCAGATATTTGTGAGTTCGAGCAGGCTAACAACACGGACAGGCGGATGGACTGGTGTCGATTTATCAACCTACACCGATGACGAAGACTTCAGGTTCGTTAAGCTGCCGATGATACAGTCGATTATTGGTGGCTGGGCCGACACGGTGCCTGGCAGCAAAGATCTCAAATGGAACAAAGCAAGAATTGCTGAGTATCTCATTCTTGGTGGTATGAACGCAAAGGTCGTGGGTAGCCCCAAGACAGTTGTCGATGAGCTGGAACGGTGGGTGGAGATTGCTGACATCGATGGCTTCAACTGCTCACACGCCACCAACCCTGGGACCTTCGAAGACATCATTTCACTAGTGATTCCAGAACTTAAGAAGCGAGGACTATTCAGGGCGAATGTAAAGACTGGTGCTACGGCTAGAGAGCAGCACTTTGGCCAGTCAAGGCTGCTCGACGACCATCCTGGCAGCAAATTCAAGTGGCCAAGTACTCGGGAGGTACCTGAGTACCTGAGCGGCTGAAAGTCGACAGCAGCAACGGTATCGGGCTCTCTATGAGAGTTGTACGTCATAGAGTCTTCCATATTTGGTCATCACCAACTTCCGCTGATATAGAATGTGCATTCTCCGTGATCATGTTCGCGCAGGACTTCGCGCATCTGTTTCCCGAGTACCGAACAACAGCAGCACGAGGCTCATCGAGACCGAGGCAGCACGCTCTTGTGTGATAGGTATCGTTAAAGCCCCCATCGTACCCGCAGCGGGCACGGTGCCGTGGGTGGGATGTATTTCCTGGTGGACCGTATGGACGATTACAATACACTGCCTGTACAATATCAATACCGCCAAGAAATGGCGTGACGAGCCAACTTCAACTTCATTCGATCTTGACATCGAGCACGCCATCTCACAAAGACTCCAACCTACATGAGATCAGCGGAACGTGTTTGTAACGTTGCTACAAATGGCAGTTGGCGTTGGAGAACCATGCTGTCGTGATAATAGCGTGATGATAGCGTAACGTGCCAAACGAGCAAAAGCCAGATAGTTCCTGGCCTGCGACTTCTGGCCCAAGCACGCCATCAATATGGCACGTAAGCCGACAGCGTCTGTGTTGGAAGATCCATACTTAGTGAGGATACTTTGGGTCTCATGCAGTGTGGCTGCTAGTATGCAGATAGGAGATTTCCCACGTTCCGAACGAAGGGACGCGTGCTCTTGTTTACCACGTTCTGAGGTCGGACTATCGCCGCTATGGAGACTGCAGTTCGCGGAAACACTATCTTTTGAAAACGAAAAGTGCTTACATGTAGCTGACGACTGGGTTCGGGGGAAATACCTCGGGCAGCCTTCCCGACTTCGGTGGTTTCGTCGAGCGAACTCTGGTCCTTGTACGCACCGTTGGTGACAACAGGCGTCAAAGACTCTTCTCTGTGCTTTTCTCCTCATCTACAACCTCAGACGCCGGTCGCTTTCCACGATTCTTTGCATACTTTTTTCTCCCAAAACGACGCCACGATGAGTATCCTTCCAGCTGTTGAGCCCAAAGGCGACGTGCCAGGGGTCAATGTGTTTGCGGATGAGAAGAGCGACAAAGCCCCGTCGTCATCAAGCGAGCCACAAGATGTGCAGTCCTTCCTCTCGTCTTTCACCGCCGAGGAGCATAAGTCGATCATGAAGAAGGTCGACCGCCGTTTCCTGCTGTTGATTGGTTTGATGTACATGCTCAAGAATATCGACTATATGAACGCAGCTGTGGTGAAAGTTCTGCAGGTTGGGGAACCGAGAAACATTCTTACAGAGCTCAATATGACTCCTGACGAGTACAACTGGGTAAGTTACTTTCTCATCTCCGGTCACGAAGCTAAGTGTTCCCACAGGTTCAATCCATCTACTTCATATCGTACATCATCTTTGAGGTGCCCAGCAACCTCATGCTCAAGAAGATGACCCCGAGACTTTGGCAGTCTCGCATCATCTTCTCATGGGGTCTTGTGCTGGCATGCCACGCCGCCGTCCACAACAAACAAGGAATCTATGCCTGTCGGTTTTTTCTTGGCATGATGGAAGCGGGACTGTTCCCCGGCTTAGCAGCACAGCTTTGCAGTTGGTACCGGACCGAAGAGATGGGCAAGCCCATAATGTGGATGTTTGGTTGGCAGAATTGTGCAGGAGTGGTCGGATCAATGCTGGCGTATGGGATCTCATACATGAACGGTCTCGGTGGCCTTAGTGGTTGGCAATGGTAGGTCGCATCCAGCACTTGCTAATTAAGCCCAATGCTGACACTACAGAAGGGTCTACCTTCTCGAGGGTCTCTTCACGGTGCTCTTCGCTGGCGTCGTCTGGTTCTGTCTACCAGACTATCCCAAGTCCGCCAGCTCCGACAAATGGCTCACACCGCGGGAACAAGAATACCTCGAAGTGCGCCTCACTTCCAACGCACCCAAGACCTCTGATTCCGCCTTCGACACAGCCGAGATCATCGCCTCGCTGAAGAATCCGCGCACATACTCATTTTGCTTGATGCAGGTGCTGATGAACCTCGGTGGCTATGGCTTGCAGTGGCAGTTGCCGACCGTAACGACGAGTCTGGGCTTCGCTGGCTTGCCAAGAAATCAGCTATTGAACATTGCACCTGCGGCAGCAAGTGTGCTGGCTATCATCTTTGCAGGCTGGTTTCTTGGTAGAGCATATTTGACAAGGCCGCAGTTCTCCATGTTCATCTGCGCTGGCGCCTTCGCGTTCTTTCTGGTACTGTGTGTGCCAGGGGACGTCAGTCGGATGGCGACATACATGGCCTGCATTTTTGGCACGATGTTCTATTCTGTCTACTTTATTCCTTTCTGGGCTTGTAAGTTCAACATTTTCCCCATAGAAGAATGTTCGCGGACTCAGAACTGACATCGATAGGGCGCTCTGCAACTTTGGTCGGCACCACAGGCACCGCCTTCACGCTAGCCTTTCAATCATGCATTGGACAGGTCGGCGGTGTTGTCGGTCCGCAGTTGTTCCAGTCTCGCTTCGCTCACAATGGGTACAAGACATCCTTTGCTATCTGTGCAGCCGCTATCGGAGGGAGCTGGTTGGCCAATTGCTGGACATGGTACCTGACGGCGAAGAACGAGAACGATATCCGCAGGGTCGCGAGGCTGAGGATCAAGGCATACAGGGAGGGCCGGGTGTGGGCTGGCAAGGATATTGAGGTCTAGGTCGTTCCGCCAGCATCATCGGCGCTCTGAATGGGTGCCTTAGCTCTACAGGGTTCTAAAGCTCATAGCTTGTGTGGTTCTTGCATCTTGAGATCTGAATCTATTGAATCCTTCCGCCCGTAGTCAGGACAATGACATGCCCCATCTGCTGGTTCCTAGACTTCATGATCGATAGGATATGGCGTCAATAGCAGCACGAATATGCCTTGACTCTGCACTGAATCTGCTGCTGACCATTTCTCACTCAGAATTTTTCGACACGACAGGCACTAGATCATGATACACTAACAATGAGCGGTCTGGGCCGAACACTCCCGAGACCGGGGAGCCCATATATGGTGCAATCGCGGGGAATAATGGTGACAGGCAGTCGAACGAGGGGGTCATGCACGAGCCTCGGGCTCAAGCACACTATTTTGACTACCTCCTGTCAGATCACGCTTATCGTACCTGCGAGGCATGAAAAACTTTGCTAGAGCTGGGAAAAGCCCATCGCCATCATGCCATGCAGGTCCACGTTTGCGCCCCTGACACGACGTCTGCAATTTCTGTACCAGGTAAATACATGGCTTGGTCTCGAACGCGAGCATGAGCACGTTATCAGGCTTGAGATGCATAAAAAGCTGGGTGTTTCGCTTCATGGATGGACTTGCTTCGACAACCCTCTTCCAAATCTACTCCTTACGCTGAATTATCTACACTGCCACCATGGCAAGTCCAAGAGGAGGTGGAAAGCATCCGGAGCTTCAAGATGTCGTCGAGAAACGTGTTGCGAAACACCCTGGTATGTTTCTTAATACACTCTCACAGCACCCTTAGCTCATGGCGATTCTCGTAGTCCGCTGGTACCGATCAACCTTCTACAACGCCACGATTCTTGGTCTCTGCAACTTCGCCGCCCCAGGCATCTGGATCGCCATGAATAGCTTGGGGGCCGGAGGCGCACAGAAACCTTACCTTGTCAACGCAGCCAATGCTCTCACATTCTGCCTCATGGTGGTTTCATGCTTTTTCTCGTCCATACTCACCAAGTACATCGGCATCAAGGGTGCTCTGATCTTCGGTACTGTGGGCTATGCACCATACGCTGCAGGATTGTACACCAATAACCGCTATGGCACAGAATGGCTTGTCCTACTGGGGGCAGCGCTGTGTGGTATCAGCGCCGGTGTGTTTTGGGCGGCTGAGACAGCCATCGCACTGGCGTATCCGGAGCCATACAATAGAGGTAAAGTGCTAGGATACTGGTTGACTTACCGCTTGGGTGGTCAGATTCTAGGAGGCGCCATCAATCTGGGGCTCAACGCCGACCGCGACCAAGCTGGGAAGGTTAGCTATACGGTGTACCTGGTCTTCATTGCCATCCAGGCGGCTGGTCCCCTGGTCGCGCTCCTTTTGAACAGGCCTTCTAAGGTGGAGAGGACGGATGGCCAGAAAGTCGACCTGAGCATATTCAACCACCCGGTCGAAGAGATGAGGCTCATGGTTCGTACGTTTCTCCGACCAAAATACCTGTTGCTTCTCCTCTTCATTGGGCAAGCGGTGTATGCGGAGGCGACGTTCTTCACCTACCTGAGCCTTTGGTTCTCAGTGCGAGCCAGAGCTCTTGGTTCCTTCCTATCGGCACTGATCGCGGTAACTTGCGGTAATGGACTTGGAATGTGGCTGGATCGGACATCCGTCAAGCTATCAACCAGGTCGAGAGTCGCTTTTGGCGTCATTGTCACACTTCAGGGCGCTTGGTGGATCTGGACGACTGTTCTAGTCACTAAGTTCAGACACACCAGACCCACCTACGACTGGAGCACCGAGGGCTTCGGACATGCCTTTGTACCGTATCTGTTCCTTACCGCCGGGTTCCAGCTGAACTACCTCTTCTGCTACTTCCTGATGGGGCAGCTGTCCAAGGATCCTCAGGAGGTAATCCGCTATTCGGCTCTTTTGCGTGGGACGGAGTCTGCGTGGCAGGCAGTCAGCTATGGACTCAACTCCATTCGGATATTTGCGGAGGTCGGAGGGGTATACATCTGCTTAGGGCTGTGGGCGTCAGCCATAATTCCTGCCTGGCTCGTGATCAGGCACTTCGGGAACGACGCCGTGGCTGTCGCGGCTGCTGAGGCTGTAGGGGAGGACCAAACAAGTCTAGAGCAGAAATCAGAGGTCCAGTCCCAGAAAGCATGACTGAAACCGGCAGGATTGATACGAGTCAAAAGTCTCAATGCCCTCCCGGGAAAGTGGAAGCCACTTCACAGGTCAAAGTCACGCGGCCTGTGGTGGACTTGAAGGTGCGTTAAGTCGGCAGCTATTTGCGAACAGAAGCTTATCCAACCGGAACCCGACCTGTACAGCGAATGAGCTGGTCTATCGAGACGAGGTCTGCAATCAATAAGGTAGATCTTGATGCTTCTACACCATGGTTTATGCCTCACCTGCCAAGCGCAGTGCACTCCGCCCTGGACCCAGCCTCGCCCCGGGGATTAGCGTAAGGCGGCTTCGCGTGAGACTGCCTGAGGGGCTTCGGAGTCGGCTGACTCTCAGATTCAGTCATACGGGACTTTACACTGGCAATAACACATGAGACTGAGTGGAAGTATGCAGCCGTGAAGGGCAGATTGGTGGAGGGATTGAAACTCTGACGTCGATGGACAGGGATATCGGATATAGAATCCGAGGTAGAGGATTAGTAGCTACACCTTATCAAGGTCCCAAAAACTTCTTGCCAGCAACTTCGTATGTCTAGAACACTGTTAGTTTGATAATGGCAGCACTCACTTCTACTTTGAAAGCTCTTCCCAAGCTCAACGCCCGGGCGTTGCCCTACAGGCACCTTCCTCGATCACTTGGCTGTACCAGGTCCTTCCACAGTACTCAGAGCCGACAGCTTGAAGCCAATAACTCAGCGAGGCCACTGCTGAACGACGCTAATGGGTTCGACTTCATCCGATCCAACCCACGCCCAACCAAGCCTCGAAAGATAGGCGTTACTGAGATCAGAGGACCTTACTACTCGGCGTACGGCAAACGGCATTTGCAAGACCTTCTCGAAACCATGGGTTACCACATCGACGGGCTGAAATTCGCGGGTGGCAGTTTCAGCCTCATGCCTGAGGCTTCCTTGAGGGAAATGATTGATTTGGCTCATCAGCATGGCGTCTACGCCAGTACCGGAGGCTGGATGTGAGTAACTCCCCAGACCCATGCCACAGAGGCCAGAAGCACGCCCCTTCCTTTGTCAAGGAATGCTTCCAGAGATCTTCTTTTTACATTTGTTGCTTTGACTGCTTTCCTGACCGCGGTGCTTTGGGTGCTGACAGCATTCAGGGAGCATATCCTTACCCAGTCAAACACCATTGATGCCGTCGACAGATATATCATGAAGATAAAAGATCTCGGATTTGATGTCCTCGAATGCAGCACAGGCTTCCTGTCCATCCCCTCTGAAGATTTCATTCGCCTCGTCGACAAGGTGCAGTCTGCTGGTCTCAAGGCCAAGCCAGAGCTCGGCATCCAATTTGGCGCCGGCGGCGATACTGCGGCCGAAGATCTCGAAGCAACCGGCACATCCGACCCTAGTAAGGTTGTCAACCTGGCCAAGCGCTTCGTGAACGAGCTTGGCGTTGAGCGAATCATGATTGAGAGCGAAGGCATCACGGAGAATGTCAAGAGCTGGCGAACGGACGTCATTCAAGCCATCATGCGAGACGTGCCGTCGGAGAACTTGATGTTCGAAGCAGCGGACCCACCTGTGTTCAACTGGTACATCAGAGAATTTGGTAACTCGGTCAATCTATTCGTCGACCACTCTCAGATCGTCCAATTGAGCTGCTTAAGATCCGGGATTTGGGGCATGGCTGATACGTTTGGAAAGATCGTGAGCTATCCACAATCCGGGAGCAGTGGTGTGATGAGCTGAAATGAGTCCTTTCAATGGACCGGGCGTATTAGCGAGTTGACAATGAGTCTTTTGAGATGCGACGTGGGAGTGAGATGGATTGAGGGCAGATTTTGCGGATATTTCGTCTTCGAGTGCCAAGAACATTGAAGACGCGACGCGCTCGCTACGTCATCGCTCTGGACCGCGTGATTGACTGCCACTAGGGTTCAGCCTCAAACACCAGTCGCTTCAGCCCTAGATATATGTATTCCTTGCCCCTATCGAATCTCAGCATTGCTCGTGACAGCTCGCATTCGTTTAGTGTCCAACTCACGTTACCATACCACAGCATCGTTCGCTGCTGACGATGCATGTGCACGTGCACCTTGAAGAGCTTCCCCAAGAGATCCTTCTGCAGGTATTTTCATACCTTCAAGTCAACGACCTGCTGCAGCTGAGTCGTACCTGCCACAAACTACGCGACCTCGCTTGCGACCCCTTTCTTCACCTTCAGCGCATCCACTATGCGTCCCACGCCATAGAGCAAGCACTTGCAACGCGGCCTACAAGAGCTTCGATTAGTCCACCCAACGCATGGATATGGATGAGCAGGACCAATGTGCTCTCTAGACAAATCTCCAGAAGTTTGAACAAAATCCGTCTTAGCCACAATCTCGAGAGAAGACCGCAAGTGCAAGATCTGGTTGCTCGAGCCGTGCTCCCCGCAACATGCGCTACGTATTCATCCTCGGTTTCACCGGCGCTGATCCAGTCTCACCAAGCCATTCAAAAGCAGAGATTAAAGGATGGGCTGGGTCGTAAGTTGGAGCGCCGCCCTAGCGTAAACAGTCTTGTCTGGCTCAACATTCTGCCCGAAGAGTGCACTCGCAGGATGTCACCCACCATACTAGCAAAGAAACGGCAAGTCATGCGCGAGAGTCTGAAGGACGGTCTTCGTGCGTGGGTCCAAGGCCATGGCATCCAGGCTCAGAAGCGCAAAGCTGATGAAATGGAGTTCACTGAGAGGAGGAGCGTCAAGATTCTTGCCAGACGCTTCACAGCGAAGAAGTTAGCCATGGATGACGCCACAAACACCGTGGAGAAGCGAGCACAAGTAAGATGGGGAAGGGACGCTCAGAGCGACTCCTTCAACGCAGCTTATGCGCATCCAACTCGTGCCAATGTGCTTGGTATGAAGCGGTTTTGGGAGGGTGTAATAAGTGCAGCCTCTTCTTGACCTAGTAGATTGATTCTAGGCCTATTGATTCTAGAAAATCGGGAAATTTTCCTATCTCTTGAGCACATTATGCTATGGCAACAATGATCAGAGCGTGTTCCTCCTTAGCAATACGTTCATAGTTTGAAGCGCTTTGTACACGAGGCTGCGGCAGTGTGGAAGGAGGGGTCTGTTGCCTGAGTGGTTGCCTGCCGCAGGCTTGGCGTACGTCAATGTTTACAACCACAGCGCCCGCATGCAGATGCGCACTTGGTGACAGTTCAACTTGACGCACACCTTTGCATTCCCTCGGCTGCGCATTCACCGTGGAGCGTGTAAGTAGTACTTGAAGAAATCCTGGGATTCTGCTGCCGATACAGTCTCTGGCCAAGTAGCCCTGCCACCACAACCGACTCTTACGATCTTTTGCGTAACGAGAGGCGAAGCGGTTGTCAGCTACAGTCCTCCTACCATCGCTCTGACATATTTGCGCTTTGGGACAGATACCTCGCGTCGAGACAGTCCACTACGACTGAGCCACAAGCGCCGTCTTCAAGGCAAGAGCGATCCCCAAATCATACAGATTGGTCCCTGAAAGGACTCGCATGAGATTTGGAACACATCGTCACCTATTCACCAATCGCGATGGTTCGGGAGCAGGAGGCGGCGAGGGTGCCACTGTCCCCATCCGTGGTCAATGCTGCTCGTCAGCCTGATGACAGCAAAGATCCACCACAATTCGGTAAACCGACCGCCCTGGGCTCAACGGCCTCCCCGCACATCAAATCCACTCAGTCCAACGTTTCCGCGCAGCGAGCGCCGGCCGCTGCTAGTAACAAGGACAGCTACAACCATCTCTTCATCAAGAATAACAGACCAGATTACCACAAACCTCAGATGAGCTCGAATCCTTTCCACCAGCTTAAGAACAAAGTGGAGCAGAAAGTGCACGACTACGTCGATAGAAAGAATGGTGATCCATCGCAACAGCAGGTTTCTTCAAAACCGGGAGCCAGCTATTCCAGTCTTAGCAGACCGGATCGCAGTGATGATGTCTTCATCATTCCCAAGCCATCTGACGGCCCCTCATGGCGCCCGCAACCTGTTGCGCCACCCCAGAAGTTGTCGACCAATGTCAATACAAACCCCTACTTTCGTCCAGCCCCGGCTCACAACTTTGTCGATCTGACTGCACTTAGCCACGGCGCCGAGTCTGCCAATGCATTCCATCAAGAATTTTCCTCTTCCGACCCGTTCACCTATATGGACTCTGCCAAAGCAAATGAGAACATCAAGGCTCTTCTTGAGGGCGCATTCGAGGACGACGAGGACAGACCACGCACGAGGAGGAGCAAGAAGAAGAAGAAGAAAGAACAAGATTTGAACAATTTGGCCAGCAAGACGGAGAACGTGAAGCTCGACGATCAGGAACAGGAAGACGAGGATGCTGAAGAAGATGGCTCAATTGAAGGTCTCAAGGTTAAACTACTCCCACACCAGATTGATGGTGTGGAATGGATGCGAAACAAGGAACTCGGTACAAAGAAGACTCGAGGAATTTTTCCTAAAGGTGGCATATTGGCTGACGATATGGGCTTGGGCAAAACGATCCAGTCCATTGCATTAATCCTCACGAACAAGAAGCCAACAGCCGAAGAGCTAGAAGCAAACCCAAAGCGAAAGCTCACTCCTGGTCTAGACAAAGGCACTCTTATCGTTGCGCCGCTTGCTCTCATCAAACAGTGGGAAGGCGAACTCAAGAACCGCGTCGAGGACGATCACGCACTAAAGGTTTGTGTCCATCACGGTCCCAAGCGCGCGAAGAGCTCCAAGGACTTGAAGAAATACGACATAGTCATCACTACTTATCAGACCCTGACCAGTGAGCATGCCGACTCAGGTGGTGAGATCAAGTCTGGATGCTTTGGTCTGAAATGGTACCGCATCATCCTTGATGAGGCACACTCGATCAAGAACCGTAATGCCAAAGCTACCAAAGCTGCTTGCGCTCTAGATGCCGAGTATCGTTGGTGCTTGACAGGCACACCGATGCAGAACAACCTCGATGAGTTGCAGAGCTTGATTCACTTCTTGCGCATAAGTCCACTCGATGACCTGAACGTCTGGCGAGAACAGATCACGAAGCCCATGAATGGCGGTCGAGGTGGCCTCGCAATTAAGAGACTGCGGGCCGTCCTTCAGGCGTTCATGAAGCGACGCACCAAGGATGTCCTGAAACAGGACGGCGGCTTGACCACGGGCAAGAAGGTCGACGGCAAAGGGAAGGAGAGCTTCAAGATTGTTCAGAGAACTGTCGAAAACATCGAGGCCGACTTCTCTCCCGAAGAACGAGCCTTCTACGCCAAATTGGAATCCAGGACCGATAAACGCTTAGAGATGATGATGGCTGGCAACAAGATGAGCTACGCGAGTGCTTTGGTGTTGCTAATGAGACTTCGACAGGCTTGCAACCATCCAAGACTCACTGGAAGTGATTTAAGTCAAGAGAAAGATGCGCTAAACGCTTCCGGCAGTCAAACTCCTTCCCGAAAGAAGAATGGAGAAGATGATATGGACGCCATCGCCGGTATGCTTGGTGGACTGAGTGTAGAGACTAAGTTGTGCGACATGTGTCAGATCGAGCTCACCCCTACAGAGGCCAGCGCAGGCAATATTCGGTGTACCGACTGCGAGGCTGATCTTAACGACGACATGTTCACGGTAAAGGATTTCAAGGATAAGAAGTCTGCCAAGAAGAAGCACAGAAAGGCTTCTATGGCCAAGCCCCTGCGCGAGAAGCGCCGACAGGCCCAGCGCGTCATTATCGATAGCGATGACGAAGATGCGGATTCCAGGGATGCCTCAGCCATCAAGACTGCGCCCGACTCTGAACCTGGCAAGGATTCTGACGAAGAATCGGAGGATGATGAGATCTATGGAACCTCCGAATCCGAAGACGAACCACACAACGACTTAGTCGCGTCCACAAAGATCCGTCACCTACTCAAAGTCCTTCTGGCAGACTCGTCCAAGCACAAGTACATCGTCTTCTCGTTCTTCACCTCCATGCTCGACCTCATCGAGCCTTTCCTTGACGCACAGAACATTCGTTACGTCCGTTATGATGGTGCTATGCGGAACGATATGCGCGAAGCCTCTCTGGAGTCATTACGCAGTAATCCGAAGACGCGAGTACTCCTGTGCTCCCTTCGCGCCGGCAGTCTGGGTTTAAACCTGACAGCAGCTAGCCGGGTGGTCATTCTTGAGCCTTTCTGGAACCCCTTCGTTGAGGAGCAGGCCATCGATCGTGTCCACCGCTTGAACCAGACTCAAGATGTTGTCGTCTACAAAATGACAGTCAAGGACACTGTGGAGGCAAGGATTGTCGAGTTACAGGACAAGAAGCGTGAGCTTGCCAAGGCGACCATCGAAGGCCAGAAGGGCGGTGCGATGAAGTTATCGCTACAGGATATGCTCAAGCTGTTCAGACACGATGGTGGCGAGGATGACCGCAAGCTCGATATGATCGGCATGAAGCAAGGAGGTGGACTTCTCGAGCGCGGTGAGAGCACACGGGAGACAGAGGCCCCACGATCAAATCCAGCATATGCGTCGGAGAGACGGGGCATGACCGCTGCGGAGAGGGACCGAGAGCGAGAGAAGGAGAGACGGAGGCAGCAAGGCATTCCGGAGGTTTACGGACGGCGTTGATCTACTCGAGACCTCATTCAAGATCCGGCAACAGCGCCCTAGGGTTGAAGCAGCATTGAGGGCTCACTATCATTGTCTTCTGCATTGGGTGTAGAATTTAGACCGAGGCTCGAATAGAACGGCTTCTAGACCTAGAGGAGGGTCTACACATTGTTTCAATGGGTGTGGAAGACACTGGCCACGGCCACATCATCGAATCCCCGTATTCTGTCTGAATATTGATAAACATACTCTCGAGGAGATACGTCCCAGAGTATCCGATTTGTCCATTAGCCCTTCTTGACTCAATCTATGCCGTCGGGCGCGCGGGCGAAATGTCCTCCACTCCATCCTCAGCCAACAGCTCCCTTTCCACGCGCGTCATCGGTGTCTTTGGTAGCATGCGGAAGCCCAAGGGCATGAGAATTGCCATAATTGTTCCGAAGCCGGTCATGGCAGCTACCGTGGAGAAGCCAAGCTTGTAGCCGGGGCTTTGTGCACTAGGCCACAGTCGCGAGCCCCAGATGATACTCAGATTGCCCCAGGAATTGATGAACGCTAGGGCCACTGAGCGCTTCTGGTCGGGCAGTGCCATCTCCTCGCTGGTCCACTGTTCTTGTTAGCTCTGCGAGAAGTGGTATCACTCGGCTTGGGGGAAGGGCATTGAAATGTTAGCTCCGTCAGAGCTCCAAGAGAGCATAGATCATCACTCGAGTGGTGATCTGGGTTCGGGCCTCGGGCTAAATGCTTCCAAGACACCAAACAAAGGATGAACTTACTATATAACCAGTCAGCAAACATTCATCATCTACGGTGGGAGAAAGGGCTTATGAACAACTGGAGAGAGTCCTCGGGAGAACCTCCAGTCAGCCCGACGCGAGCTTCCGCAGGACTTACCATTCAGAATCTGTGTGATGGCGGTGTATAGGCCACCAATGTAGAAGCAGAGCATGGCATAGCGGACGATGCCGGCAGCTGTGGTCAGACAGACAACACTGCAGATGAAAGCCATCATCAAGGCGCCGGCGGTGTGCCAGCGGCGGTCGCGGAAGTAGTCGGACGATGTTGAGATAATGACCATGATGATGGCGCCGGAGATCCAGATTGGAACAGTCATCCACTGAGCCGTGACAGAAGTATAGCCCATCGTGCGCAGCGTGACAGGGACGAAGTAGCTGATCGAGGTAGAGGTAGAGTTCATGATGTAGAGGACCAAAAAGGCCCACGAGCGAGGATCCGCGAGAACTACCCAGACCGATTGGAGCGCAGTGAGCTTCTTCTTGTTCTGTGACACGCCGGTCTGGCGGTCATGCAAGATGCGGACATGAGCGAGTTCACGCTCCTCGGCGCTGAAGAATCGTTTGGTGTTGATAGGATAGTCGATCAGGACGAAGAGGAAAATGCCGGCGAACGCCACTGTGAGAATTCCTTCGATTAGGAATAGCCAGCGCCTGCTGCATGTGAGAAGAGCCCCAAGCTGAGATTAGCGAGCTTACCATCCTGGCATGCCGAGTCTGCCGTCAAGTCCGGAGATGATGGCGCCGGCCATGATGCCTCCGAGCGCAGGGGAGACGCAGCCGGATGTGTAGAAGAGCGCAAAGCGTTTGCCTGCCATCATGAGTAACGGCACCGCATGGTCCCGACGTCTGACTCACCAATCTCGCGCTTAGTGTACCAACAAGTCAATAGGTACAATGCTCCTGGAAATAAACCAGCTTCGATACAGCCAAGGAAAAAGCGACCGATCAGAAGGTGCTCTCGGGTCTTGCATTGGGACATGGCTGCAACACAGACACCCCACACAGCCATGATGGTGTTCAGGTAAACAGAAGGCCGCATTTTCGCGAGAACCAAGTTTGATGGGACCTCAAACAAAGTATAGCCAATGAAAAAAATGCTGATGATCAGACTATAGTCTGTGTGCATCAGCGAGAGCACAAGCCAGGTCTTCTGCGCCCTTACCGCCATCACTCAGATCGAGGTCCTCACTCAGGCCAGCAGCATTTGCGTTCGCCTACATAGTCAGACATGTTTGAGGCTGGAATATGATATACATACCACATTGCCACGATCAATATACGCTAAAACGTACATGACCCAGAGTGTGGGCAGAAGAATGAAGTCGAGTTTGCGAACAAGGCGTCGTTCCGCTGACGTACCGCTTTCGAAGTGAGCCAATGCTTGCGCTCGCTCTGCATCATCGTCCAGGAGATCGGGCTTCTGTATGTCAGAGCCCTGGTCGATGGCGATGACTTCAACACCTGTCTGCACCGGGTTGCACTTGCTTTCGATTCCTGACATGATTGCGTTTGGAGGTTGCGAATGAAGAGTTTACCATGGACGGCTGGCTGTTTCTTAAAGCTCGGATGCCTGCCTAATCAATGAAGCCGAAGTCCTGGCCTCGATACCTTGCCCACAGTCATATATCGCCACAGGCCCATGTTATCAAAGCCTGGGCCTACACCTTCCGGGGCGAGCATGAATGCCTTGGGGTAATGGCTACAGGACAGATCTTGATTAGAGTCGATCTTTCAAGATAAGGAGATGCCCATGATATTGCGCATAGTCGAGACTGGGCATCCAGGGCAGTAGAGCGATCCAGAAAGATAGGAGAAATCTAGATACAGTAACGAGATGCAGCCCATCCGTGCAAGCAATCAGATGGCGGGTTGAACCCGAAAAGCGCGCCATGTACCCGCAATGCATGGCTTAGTGCTCGCCAGGCCGAGCTTCGTCCTTAACCCTACATTAGACACCACCCGATCCGTGACGGGCTCAAACGGGAACTTATCGCCGAGTCAGGGACCGTGTTGAATGTGGGGCATACATATCAGTATTGTGGCAGGGCGGCAATGAGCTTGGAGGATACCGTTATCTATGGTCGTTGGTGCCGTGTTCGACTGTGTGCACAGGTTGGGAAGAGAGAGAGCAACCAAACCAAAACATCTCAGAAGTACCGAGAGAATCCACTTCTTGGCAAGCACTTACAACCCAATCGACGATATCCCAGAGACCGACTTCATCATGGTCAACGAAGCTACCAGACCCAGAATTGGAGCAGCTACGAGAGACAAGATCAAAAGTACTATCCGCAAGCAGCTGACTAGCGACCCTCAACTGCCCCGTGCAAAGCCTACCGAATCGCTATGGCAGCTCCCAATCGCTCAGGACATCGGTAGCATTCAAAGCCCACGATTGCCAGAGAAGGTTGACTTCGCTATCATTGGATCCGGCGTCGCGTCTTGCGGTGTCACTAGGAGTCTATTGACCAACTCGCGCTCAGGCAATAAGACTGTCGGCGTTTTCGAAGCCCGTGGCTTGTGCAGTGGTGCTACCGGCAGAAATGGCGGCCAACTTACTCGTCTTCCGCCAACACGCCATACCTTCATGGCCGAGGAGTTTGGCGTCGAGCAGGCAAACAAAGTCATGCGTCTGACAGTCCGCGGGCTTCACGAGATGCATTCGTTGGCAGAGAGCCAGGGTCCCGAGTTCTTGGCCGCGACCCAGAAGACACGGACTGAGAAATTCTTCGCTTACTTTGACGAAGAGTCCTGGAACGAGACTGTCGAAGCAGTGAAACTGTTCGAGGCAGAGATTCCTGAGGAGAAGGGTGCTTATGAGTTGGTTTCTAAAGAGGACACAGCATCGGTAAGGTCTTGATCGGGACCCCATTTGGCGCAACGCTGACGTATCCAGGTCTACAATATCAACGGCGCATACGGTGGTCTTAGGTTTCCAGCAGGTGTCTGTGCACCTTATCGACTTGTGACTGGCACTTTCAAGTCCTTGATGGAAAAGTTCCCGACACGGCTCAGCATAGATTCCAACACGCCGATCGTCTCGATCTCTCATACCTCAGACGAAGACTACCCCTACAGGCTGGAAACCCCAAGAGGAACAGTCAAGGCCGCGAACGTCGTCCATTGCACCAATGGCCACGCAGGTCACCTGATCCCGGGACTACGCGGTAAGATGTACCCCCGACGAGGGACCATGTCCGTCCAGTCGCCCGGTTCTCAGTTCCCAGACCTCAGCAGCCAGCAGTCCTGGTCCTTCTACTTTACGCCTGAGCACAATCCGGCTGTTGGCGACGTCGAGACCGGCAGATACTACTGCTTCCAGAGCAAAGAGACCGGCCATCTCTGGATCGGCGGCGATCGAGACAGCATCGACGGCTTCATCTCGGCGGACGACTCCTGCATTGATGTCCACGCCGAGAAGAACCTGCGTGGAGTCCTTCCGAAGCTATTTTCGAAGAACTGGGTCACAGGCCCGGGCGAAGTCCGGGGTATCTGGACGGGTATCATGTGCTACACAGGTGATCAATTGCCGTTCATCGGCCGACTGCCGGCGAGTGTAACTTTGCGACAGGGCAACGGCGAGTGGATCGCTGGCGGCTGGAACACGTACGGCATGACCAACGGCTTGCTATGTGGCGATGCTCTCGGTAAGATCATACTTGGAGAGGACGTGTTCTCGTGGTTTCCGGAGTCGTACATCATCACCGAGGAGCGTCTGGGGGGCCAGAAATTCGAGACTGAGGCTGTTATGGAGGATTACTTCAAGCGCATTGGCGCGACCCAGTATGTCGATACCAGGGAAAGTCGGCTGTAGGATGTCGAACAAATACTTTGATAGCACATGCAATCACCAAACTCTACTTCACCAGTGCTTGACAGAACTCATTCAACACTGACTGACATCCCGTATAAGTCTCAGCTTCAAAGGCGTTCATTATATAATGACCAGGCCTTGGACACTGCCTGTCAGAGACCTCACAAAGGCTGTTCGCATGGGTATATCCATGGTCTTAGTGCAGCTCTTCCTCATATCACGTCAGCCTCTGTCATGAGGATTCCATCGACCCTTGATGCTTCCACACTAACTCAGAAACCCAGACTGGTAGTCAAATCGAACTGATTCTGCGGGCTCACGGGCTTTACCATAGTATGAAGACTGCATTGAGCAGCTTGATCAGTGAGCACGTGATTACCCTTCCCCTCAACTGGCCGCTTTTATTCTAAATTTGATGAATACAGGATGTTGTTGATGCTGCTGAAGTTCTCCTTAATCGTCCTTTGCGACATGAATCTCGTAAGAAGACCTGCTGTTCCAGCTTTGTCATTCGTGCCGCTCGCCCGTGACCCCCCGAAGGGCTGCTGGCCCGGCATAGCCCCAGTACACTGATCACTGCGATCCGTTAATAGCTGATCCAAATGGACGAGGGTATAGTGCTCACTTGATGTAGAAGTTACCAGCAGCGAAGCGCAGCCCCTCTGTGGCTTCGATGATCGCCGCTCGGTTCTTTGCGAAAACTGCACCAGTCAAGGCATAGTCGGTGGTCGATTCGATGAGGTCGAACAGTCCGCTGCCATAATCTTCGTCCTTATAGACGTAGATGCAGACAAACGGTCCGAAGATCTCTTCGCTCATGTATTTCGACTTGGGATCCGTAGTCTCAATGACGGTTGGTCGGATGAAGAATCCTTCTGAGTCGTCGAATGTGCCCCCAGCAAGGATATTGACAACTGAGTCGGACTTTGCCTCTTTGATGTACTGAGAGACCCTGTTGAAAGCCGACCGGCTGATGACGGGGCCCATGAAATCTGTGAAAGCGGAGCCCATCTTGATGGCATCAGCCTCCTTTGCCACGATGTCCTTGAATTCTTTCGCAAGGCTCTCAGGCACGTAGATGCGAGAAAGCGCACTACACTTCTGGCCCTGGTACTCGAACGCTGCTCGGACACTCTTGAGAGCCGCGTTCTTGACATCTGCCGTGGGGTGTAGGAGATGAAAGTTCTTGCCACCTGGATAGTATCAGTCTTGTACGTGATAAGTGGCACTTTCGTTGGGTACCTGTCTCGCCCACGACCCGAGGATAAGATCTCCAGAAGCTCATGTTAGCGCCTATCTTTGAGGATAAAGACCGAAACACCGCTGTGCTACCCGTGAAGTGCAAGCCTCCCAGCTCTCGACTGCTTAAGACGACGTCGGTAACGAGCTCAGCATCACCCGGAAGAAACTGTAGAACACCGGGCGGCAGACCAGCCTCTATCATAATCTGCTGGAAGAGGTAGTTGGAATAGATGGCCCCAGGACTTGGCTTCCAGATCACCACATTACCCATGATGATGGGTGCCATGACCAAGTTGACAGCGAGAGCAGTGAAGTTGAAAGGCGTGACGGCATAGACGAACCCATCCAACGGCCTCGCCTCTGTTCGACTGGTGGCATCTGATTAGGTGCTGCTTCGACCTGTAGACTAGATGCACTTACTTCCAGACATTGGGAGCGTTGAAGGGTGGCTGATTCTTGTACAGCTGCTCCGCCAGAGCTGGGAATGTTTGCAGGAAATCGATGGACTGCACATCGTTAGCGAGTGTAGTGGTTGAAAAAATCGCTCCGATACACACCTCAGCGTAGCAATCAATGTCTGCTTGATAGGCATTCTTGCCCTGTCCGAGCATGGTCGCGGCCAGCATGCGATAACGGTACGGTCCTCGCAGCAGGCCTACTGCGCGATAGCAGATCGCCGCACGATCGTGAAGTGAAGTTCGGCACCATGACTTCTTCGCCTCGAGAGCTCCTTTGATGGCCTTCGATACGAGCTCTGGCGTACCATGCGAGTACTTGGCGAGGACGAGGCTGTGCTTGAAGGGGCTGCACTGCGTCTCCGATAGGTCGCCAGTTTCCTGTGGTGGTCAGTCGGCCATGTCGCCAAGTGGTGGCATGACGAGCGCCTACATCGCAGCCGTTCACGTTAGGGAACACTTCATAAGGGGCACCGGCTTCTACATCTTTCAATGCTTGCTTCAGCAACTCTCGCTCGCTCGTGTTCGGCCCATATGTTGTCTAGGCAGGATTGTTAGCATTCTCGATTCGCGAGCCGGACTGTGAAGTGTTCGTACGAAAGGCTCATTGCTCAGGGGCAGAGCGTTGAAGCTACCGAGGGAGCTGCTGGATGAGAAAGCCATGACTATCATAAACTGTATGAGACTTACGTCCCATAGCAAACGTGATGCGAGCGTCCTCCATTTCTATCCTTGTTTTCGTCGTGCTCGACTGAGACGCGACTCGCCCCGAGACCAGCTTCCAATTAGGTTGTAACAGGGCGTTGGACCCACGCTCACCACGGAATCTGAGCCCGCGCTTCGATTTTCACCGAGTCGTGGCGCCTAAGTCTTATCTGACGGGCGGGGGCGGCATACTGGCTGCAGGAGAGCATAGGCACAAAACCGAGCGGGGTCCAGGGCTGAGGCCGGGAGTCGGGGTTCTCCTCCTCGGCACCCCAACGTCGACGACCTGCCATCGGGGGCCTGTGATGAGTTTCCGGGGGTGACAGGTATCGATCGACAAAGTGTGCTTCTTAACAACCCGTTGCGTTGCCTACGTCGGGCTAGCAGCATTCACCGATGAGCTGAACCCGTGCCCGCTCGATGGCGGCGATAGAGCTGCAACGCAAAAGACGTCGTGGTGGAAGAACATACACGGTAGGCTTCCATGCGATTCCGATTGATCTCGTCTGACCGTGTCCAGGGCTGTTTAACATGCCGGACTCGGAAAATTAAGTGCGACTTGTAGATTCACCCTTGACTCGTGTCAGGCGCTGCTGATGGTGGTCCTAGACGCTATCCCACATGTCTGAATTGTGACAGGTCGCGCGAATACTACTGCAAAGGATACCCGGACACACAGGACCTCAGTTTACCAGATGGTGGCGGGCCGACTCAACTCGTCTATGCCAACTTCGACAGCGGATCTTTTAACGACCTGGTCAGTTCTGACCTCGAATTGAACCATCCTGGCGGACTTGAGTCAGATCAAAATGTTATCGAAGAGCTACCAATCTCGCAGCTACCGGCAGTGACCCACACACAAGGAGCAATATCTAGACAGACCTATCCAGCTGACAGCAACCGGGCATGGACACCAGTCAGCCTCCTCCAGGCGCCGTTGCCTACAGACTACTGGGATGAAGCCCTCGACTTGTTCGATGCTGATAACATTTCCACGACGCGTTATGAGTTCAGCGCTGATTTGCGTGGGAGATCTGATCTACTCTCGACGGCTCCAGTCCCGTGTAGCCCAACAGACACTCAGCAACAGCGTTTGCCCTTCTTACAAGCCCACAATGTTCCACCGGCCATCGTTCCCAGAGACACAGCAGTGGCATCCCCCCCTGCTCGAGGCAACGATCCACGAATCGTGGAGGAACTCCTTCATCACTACAGGACTCACGTATCCCGGCTGATGATGCCCACATCGTCGCCCCGTCAGAATCCGTACCTTTGCGTGTGCCTGCCTCTGGCGCTGCAAAGTCCCTCTGGAGATGCGAAGGAGTCTCTGCTGATGGCGATACTTGCCGTAGCAGCCTTCAACAAAGCTGAGCTTGCGACGTCGAATGCCAAGGGATATCGAGATCAGGCGGTCCATTTCGCCGAGAGAGCCTCGTCGATACTGAAAAGCTATTCTGGAGATTTCGGCAGAAAGAGGGCTGGACCGGAGGACGAAGTTGATAGGAAAGCTCTCCTCGCTGCTGTAGTGACTATGACCACGATTGAGGTACGCTGATAACCCAACCATGAGTCCAAGAACACCACATTAACATCTACTACTAGATCTTCAGCGGCGGCCAACACGGGAAAGGCTACGAAAGCCTTCTTCTCGGCAAGCAGATCATAAACATCACGGGGGGGCCAGAGTGGTGGGTGGCGGAGCCTATGCGCTTAACACTGCTCCAGATCTACCGCTGTCTGGAGATCGTAGCACACACATCTGGCTGGAAGCCGCCCTCATCCTCAATTGACGTCGCCGCAGACTGCTGGTCATTATCCGCAACCAGTCGACCAGGTGACGCCTTGCAGCATCCAGACGACATCGCCCCCAGATCTCCCACGTCCGCGTCACGCATCCCAGGCCCAGGAGGCCAGTATACACTAGACGTCTCCTTCGGTGTCGCACGCAAGACGCTGCAATGTCTCAACAAGACCATCGAACTCTCGAGTCTCCGTGAAGCACGTCAGGAACAGATCCCTGACTGGCAATGGCCGGACCACATGCACAGCGTGCTCCGGCAGCTCGAATCAGAGATCTTTGACGTCTTCGACGATCCGAATGCACTGGCCGGCGAAGGCGCCTCAAACCTGCTCGCGCAGGAAGGCATCTCGGACTACGTCAACGAGGAGATCAAGGAGAATCATGTGTGGGCGTTCCACTACAGCGTGGCGCTGTTCTTTCGTAGAGCCCTTTGCGACGGTGGGTCGTCGGTGGATGCTATGCTTGGCGACCATGCGGAGGCCGACACTACGGTTAGTACCACAGGCCGCTGGAGCGGGCAAGAGCTCGTCACGAAGGCACTGGACCATCTGGAGAACATCGATGTTCTGTCTGGGGATGCGATTGTGGCGAACACGCTGTGGCCGGCTTTCGTTGCGGCGGTGGAGGCGGTGCATACGCCGTTGAGGCATCGGGCGCTGATATGGTTTGTAAGGGCTAAGAGGCATGGGATAGGGAACATTGCAAAGGCGAAGGAGTTGGCGATGGAGGTCTGGCGAAGGGTTGACCGGCAGACATGGGGGCGCCCGGAGAAGAAGGCGCAGTATGTGGAGTTGAGTAGGGTTGATTGGCGGAAGGTAATGCAGGAGATGAAGATGTACATCATGCTTACTTAGCTTGCTAATGATGAGTCTATGAATTCTGCTTGACCACCGGTGGCGAGATGCCATATGGGTATCTTGTCGTGCAATGCATTGCTTCTAATACTCCTCACTAGGCCCAAGCACCTGGTCCAAATGCTCCTCCAGAACCTTTTCCCACAAGGACTTGTTCTTATACACCGCAACTTCGGGCTTGTAGCTCCTTGTGTTCGTCCTCAAAGCTCTAGCCACGTCCTTGTCCTTGGTCACCTCGGTGATAGGCGTGATGTAGGTCCGAATGCTAAATGCAATGGCCTTGGTTTGGGGCAACCGTTGCAGAACCTGCCGCTCGACTCGTAGGTGCAGGTCGTCCAGTCGGACAGGGTGTTCGAGTGTCGAGACATCTAGGTTGTGGTGTGAGTTGATATGAAACAGCTCGCCGGAGATGTCAATTGCATAGTTGAAACGCATATGCGGCTGGTCCACCCGCAGCCTGTTGAAGAAGCGGTGCATCGACAGCGCTAGTCGCTCGGCGTAGTAAGGCACTTTGTTATGATGTAGTTCTGATATTGTGTGGCCGATGCGCTCACGCAACTTCCAGCCGGCGGGAAAACAGTTAGCGCCGGCGGTCAGCCTGTAGGTATTGCCCAGCTGTGCCGAAGTTGGTGTGGTCGTGGAATCAACATCCGTACCGCTTTTCTGAAGCACGAACCAGTCTTCTGTGCTGAGCAGGCCCATGATTTGTAATGGGTGGTAGGTACTCCAGGTATCTGCCCCTTCCCGTAAGTCCCAGTTATCGCCTGTGACAAGGTTTTGAATCCCTTGAGCTGTCTTCAGGAACATTTTCGGGTAGCGACGCGGCAGATACTCGGCAAGAGCATATAGGGCTTCGAAGCAGGGCTCGTCACTCCCGGCGGCATAGCAAACGGTGTCCTCTGGGTGATCCCGATAAAGTTGTGTCTTGTAGTCGTAACGAGCGCGGTATGTCTCATCAATCTCACACCAGTCGTTGAAGCATGTGCGTTTTATGCCTGATGTAGTCAGCTAAGGAGTCGGTCTGACGCTTATGGCTCAGTGACAAACCCATGGTAACATGGTGAGGGCCATCGTGCCATGGTCGATAGGGAGGCTCCCTGGTCTTCGTCCAGTCGAAGTCCGACGCGATAGGCTCTACATTACTGAAGTCAAACTCTGTCCAATCAGGCGTATCTGTTGTGAAAGCCAATGGTCAGTGCCTGAGTTCATCAAATTTGCCGCATGCTTACCTTCGCTGATTGTTTTGGAAGACTGGGGCTTCGTCGGTGGTTTGGAAGACGCATGAGGCCCTTGGGCGATCAGCAGCAACCTGCGAAAGAATAGTAAAGCGTTGCATCGGAATTGCCATACTATTGAATACAACCACTGGGCCAAAAGCAGACATCTCAAGGCTGCCGTGTCCTTTGGCTTCGCAGGTGCCGTGACCGCTGCAGTTTTTGGAGCGACAAGCGCCGGTGGCTGATTCCTTGACAACATCATTGTGGCTTTCTTCCACTTTGCCGGGCGAGTAGGTAGAGCTCTGCTTGCTCTTCAAGTATCACTCACATCAGCGGCCCACTGTGCGAGGCCGAATCTTCCATCTGAGGCGAACTGTAACTCTCGAGCCCTTGCTGCAGTTTCTGCCCACGCTTTCACATTAATCGGCGTAATAAGCACGCTGGTTCGGAAAACATGCACCACCGCAGAGTGGCAATCAGTGTGGGCTGCCGTACGCCTTGTGGAGCTGTCACAGGGTGTGCTGATAGTTTGATGCCGTGCAGCAATGCTGCCTGAACCCTTATCCAGGATGGAGAAGTCCGGTGAAGCGGATGCTTGCAGCGATTGGCTTCAACACCTTAGTGCCATACTCGCTCCGAACTTGATCCACTCAAATACACACTCGCCACGGGTGGATGCTGACTCGTGCGCTGAGCTAGTCCTCAGCTTTCCGGGGAGCCTATCTCTAAGCAATCCATTGTTCCCGGAGCAAGTTGAACTTAGTCGGCACAACGGCAGAGAAGTTGCAATGCCACTGAGATACCAGGCGTCTAGCGAAGTGATCATAACACAGTATGGCAACAGTAACACAGACAGTGGCAGAGGCGCAGGGTTCGCTGGCCCTCGACTCGACCTCCCCACAGACTGCTATAGATTCAGCAGCACCTTCAACATATAAGCTTCCCAAGGCCAGAAAGGTCCCAGTTTTCGAGACAAAGGAAGAAGAACGGGAATGGCAGAAACAGCAAATGGCAGCAGCATTCCGTGTCTTCGCCAAATTGGGATTCGCGGATGGGGTGGCCGGACATATGAGCCTTCGTGGTGAGTACTATGATCAAAACGACAAAGAGACGTGTTAACGGGAGAGGATCCTGTGAACCCACATCTATTCTGGATAAGTAAGCGCATTACGACAGGGCATCACGGCCATGATACTAATCAGCTTGCTCAGATCCTTATGCCGTTCATTTCAGCTTGATCAAGGTCTCTGACCTCGTCCTGGTGGACGAGGAAGGCCAAGTCCAGCAAGAGACATCTCACACTGTCAGCCATGCTGGCTTCATCATTCACTCCGTGTTGCATCAGATGCGGCCGGACATCAATGTAGCGGTTCATTTGCACTCACCTTCGGGTGTCGCCTGGTCCGCTTTTGGCAAGCCAGTAGAGATGCTTTTCCAAGGTATGAAAATGTCATCACGAGCTCCCGACTTGATACTGACCCATTAGACATGTGTTATTTCTATAATGATCTGTCAGTGTACGAGGGTTTCGGAGGCACCGTGCTTGCGAAAGAGGAGGGCATGAATCTTGCAAAAGCGCTGGGCCCGAAGAACAAGAATATCATCCTGCAGAATCATGGGTAAGTGGCAGTCCGACGATGTACTCAATCCTTTCTACTGATACCGGAGACAGCATTCTCACATGTGGAGCGAATGTCGGAGAAGCGGCGGGATTCTTCATTGCACTTGAACGAGCCTGTCACCGTCAACTGGCGGTTGAGGCAGCGGCAGCGAACGGTCTTGCCAAACGTTATATTCCCGAGGCTGAAGCAGCGTATTCGAAGAAGTATGACTATACCCCAGAGAATACGTACATGTCTTTCCAGCCGGAGTATCAAGCTGTTTTGGCTGAGACTCATGGCTCATTCCTAGCGTAGGAAATAACATGAGTATACGAGAGCGGATGTTCATGACATTATCTTGATCTTGTGCGGTATATTTTGACGTCTCACAAGTCGTGTAAGCCACGAGGAGGTCTCCGTATGGGCGATTGACTCTCGGCGATTGTTAGCGGGCCACTTCGCCGAATGGTGCGACAGGGCGGAAAGTCGGGCTCTTGCAGGCACATGTGGAAGAGTGGGGCTCACTTGCCTGGCGTTAGTATGCTTCTATATGTATCAGCCAGACTCCAAGGACATGAGGGTCCATCGATATTGGTGCTGCTCGTCAGATCGTCTAGCCGTACACAGAGAATGGCTCAATCGACAGCTGTATTTCATCGGTCTCTCGAGAAAGCCTACCCAACGGCAGTGGCTGGACAAGGTGTCTATCTCGGGACGGATGACGGTCGGAAGATCATCGACGGGAGCTCTGGCGCCGCTGTCTCATCCATCGGGCATGGGAATGCGGAAGTCGTAGAGGCGATCTGTGAACAGGCGCGAAATCTCGCTTTCGCCCACTCGTCCTTCTTCACGTCGGATCCGGCAGAGGACCTTGCCAGAGTTCTGATTGACAGCAGCGACAGTGCATTCTCTAATGCTCTGTTCTTGTCGTCGGGGTCCGAGGCAGTTGAGTCCGCGTTGAAGCTTGCACGGCAATACCACATCTTCAATGGCGAGCCGGAGCGCGTCCATTTTATTGGTAGGATGAACGCATATCATGGCAACACACTCGGTGCGCTAGCAGCGGGCAACAACCCTGCGAGAAGAGCGGCTTTCCATCCGATGCTGTCGACCCGGTTTCGCCACGTCAGCCGATGCTTCTACCAGAAGGACGGCCAAGGGCGGTCGGAAGCCGAATACGAAGATTTCCTGATCACGGAGCTGGAGATAAGATAGCAGAGCTTGGTGGAAGGACTGTCGCAGCCGTCATCATCGAGACGGTTGGCGGTGCCACACTAGGGTCCCCCGAGCCTACTTCGAATTACCTCAAAAAATTATCGGAAGTGTGTAAGCGGCAGGGAATTCTGACGATATTCGACGAGGTGATGTGTGGCATGGGTCGGACAGGCTCATACCATGCATGGCAACGTTATGGGTTCGTCGCGCCAGATCTCCAGCCAGTTGGCAAGGGGCTTGGTGCTGGCTATCTCCCCTTAGCTGCCGTCCTGATCGGGACCAAGGTACAAAGACTCTTCGAGCTGCACTCAAGGGGTTCGAATGCCTTCGTGAGTGGCCACACGTTTCAAGACCATCCGATGAGCTGCGCTTCAGCACTGGCAGTACAGAGAATCATGAAGCGCGACGAATTGATACAGAAATGTGATAGGATGGGAGAGCAACTCGTCCGAGAACTGCACAGTCGTCTGCCCGAGTCGTTCAAGGATTCCGGTGGTAGCATACGTGGCTGCGGGCTGTTTCGAACAGTCGACTTTGGTGAAGCGGCGACATCCTGTGGTGGACCGATCGCGAAAGACGTAAGCGTGGAGGCGTTCCGGTTGGGCGCCGCTGTGTACCTTTGCTCGCCAGTAGTCGACGCTATCCTGATCTGCCCGCCATTCATCATCAACGATACAGAAGCGGCAGAACTTGCTGAAATCGTCGCTCAGGCTTTCAAGAACGTTTTGAACTCACGAAAATGCGAACCCAAGCCGTGACCATATCACACTTTGATGTCGGTTTTCGTGGTTCTTTCATTCTGTGTGTGGAGCGAGGTCTTGTGAAAAGGTGATGTACATAGTGTACTCAGTCGACACCTTCAGAAAAGACTCGGGTTATATTAAGCGTTAGCTGAGTCAGGCCGTTTGGAGAAAATCATGTCACAGCTTGCTTGAACGACACAGGGACAACTTCATTTACAGGGGGATGCACTTTGGAGCGTAAAGTAAGCGTCTGCTCTTAGACATTGCGAGTCAGAGACTCAAGCTGAAGGCATCTTTCACTGTAGCTTACATTACAGGAAGACCATTGATGCAGTCCTTGAATGGACTGGTCTGTGATATATTCCCAGTAATTTAGCTGAGGCTCACTGGGAAGTGATGTTTCCACGAGAACTTCCCCGTCAAAACTGTCGGCACCCGCCATGTTGTCTTACAGGGAACCTCCCACAGGCAATATCGAGATTCTTCCTGTTCCCTTCTTTCCTTCCTTCTTTCCTTCCTTCCTTCCTTCCTTCTCTTTTCGTCGTATCCATATGTGACTGGCTCAGCGAGGCGAAGTCTACGTGGTACATCCGCAATGGGGCCCTTATGGCACTGGTATTCTCCTTCACGTTCGGGAATGCAGGTTGTCAGTTCGTCGCTCAATTACAGTCCGACTACAATCCCAAACAGTTGCGCGGAGCTTTTCGTCTCTTCAGTCTTCGGCCATTCGAACCCGGACAAGATAGCCTGCCTCCTACGGGTATCACATACGCACTTTTGTCAGTTGGAGCAGCGACGCTGATGGCATGGGCGATGGGCCGACCAAAGGCGCTGCCTAGCTCGTCCCAGGGACCGCCGCAGAGTGTCAGCAGCTTTATCTGGAACGATTCTGTGGACGCTTGCCTGGGGCTTTTGGGAATCCTCGTCGCATTGACAACGCTCGCCTTTGAACTGGTTGCTAGGCATGCTAAGTCGAAACGTGTTCAACGTCGATGCAGACAATGGCCGCTGGCATTGTTGGCATTACTTGCGATACCGAAGGGTATACTAGCCGTTGCGTGCTGCATCGACGGCATCGTGGGACCTGTTTCGCAACTCCAGCCCCTTAACAACGCGGCGGGGTCCGGGATACTTTTCTGTTTGAATGTGATCGGACTTATGGGCTTCATACTTGTAGCATTAGGACTACCATGGACGAATGGGGATCGCCAACAGCCAGAGAGATCAACGGTTACAGGATCGGACGCATAGCATTCAGGGGCTCGTTAGATCATAGCTTGGAAATGACCAAGAACAGTAACCGTGTGATTGATTTGTGCTTGCCGCCCTCCATGTATGCTGATGAGATCTGGCCACTGGTTCTTTCCTCCCATTCGACTTGCGTAGCTAAGAAGGTTGTGTTCCTGCATGTCATCGGCATCCTCATGAATCAATCAGTGCCTTTCGACCATAATAGCGACACTTTCGTGGAGAAAAGGCGCGAAAGGGCAGGCTGACTGCCGTATGATCAGCGGATTGAAGGCTATGCTAGCATCTAGCACGCAGGCTATGGTGCGCACGGGGGGCATTCTGTGACAAATTTCCTGCGCCGTCAGGATGTCCGTCCAGTCACTCTCATGGCTTTCTCAACAGCATTCAAGGCGCCCACAACGCTGAAGCTCAGTAAAGGCACACAGATGTAGGCGATGGCCAATATACGAGCCACGCTGATCTTGGCAGATTCTTCGGCATCTCCCACATTTGCCATGGCGATCAGTTTCATGGCTGGGGGTCCGGCTGGCATCAGAATCATTGTGAACCAGAGGACCGGATCCTGAGAGAGGATGTTGGTGTAAGTGGCGAGCAAGTAGATTGAGACCAGGGAGACGAGCGGCCAGATGGCGAACCTTATAAGAAGAACTACTAGTGTCGGTCCGAACCGTTTGAGGAAGCCTTGTCGGTGTTGTTGGTTCCGGGAGAAGTGTCCTTGGTGGAAAGAGGCGGAGAGTGTGAAGCCAACGACGATGACTTGCAGGGGCACGAAGGACTGCCCGAGGCTGACGAGTGAGGCTGTTAGCCAGGCAGTGAATAGACCTCCCTCAGAGGTCGACGCGAAGAAGCTTCGGTGAAGGCTGGGCGTGACGCCGAGAATGAGTCCAATGATGGCTCCGATTGTGGGCTCGTTAAAGAAATCGCGGAGGTGACGCAACACCTTCTCTTTCGTCATTCTGGGTGGTTGATTAGTGCTTTCGGCTTCAAGTTGGTGCCCGGATCCTGGTAGAAGCGATGCGCGTTCTGTGGATGCGCGTTCCCTGGAGCTTTCTCTCAGGGGCGACCCATCCTCGCTATCGGAGTCCGAGTGACTCTTTCGTCTCACCACACCCGTAGTAGAAGGCTCCGGTGGGCGCATCAGCCGTGGACCGATCGCGAAAGTCAGGCAGTTGCCGACCATCGAGTTGACAAGAAAATACGACTGAGCTCGGGTGATGGCTGCAGCGCTGGTATCGTCTCCAACCAGAAGCCTTTCGAAAACGCCAGTAGACTCCAGAGCTCGTGTCAAGAGCAGCGGCAGGCTTGTAGTGTTGTTGAATGCGATAGTGACCGGCAGCCATCTCGGAAGCTTGAATAGCTTGACAGCTGACATGCCAAGACATAGAGACAGGACATTGTAGAACAAGGCCCAAGCGAACACTGGTATATATCTCATCCACGTGTCCTGTTCAAGCTCGCCACCAAGTCTAGTCACCAGCAAAGCAGGTAGAGCCATGCGCACGCAAAGCGCGCTGATTTTCTTGGTGGCAGGCGCGTCGAGGATATTGAGCTCCCCGGCCAGGATGCCGTATACGGCAACCAGGAGAACCGAGGAGCTTGCCTGGGCGGCAGCGAGGAATGTGGCGAGGAGGTTGTTCGCCATCGCATCTGCACAGCATCTACGGCAATCGTGAACTCTCAAGATTGTCAAAGCTGCTGCTGTTGAAACCGGTCGACCTCAAACGCTGGAAATGGTCTTCCCCACAGAAAACTAGTCGCGCCCCACGAATGGCGTAATTCTCCTCATGCAGGGTATTGCGAAAAGCGGAAATACAATCCTGCCATAGTCGGTCAACGTTGGTAAGCGACGCCAAGTATCTGGATAGAAAGGAACGAGTGCAGCCGAGTCACGCTACAAGACAACGAATGCGGGCTGGCGTTGGGAATTTCTGGCATTTATGTTGGAGCGGGTCAGCTTCTCTTCTAAGTATTTAGGCCAATGTCTTCACACATGGGGGGACTATTGATTGCAGACAAATTAGTCGACCACTTTCCCTGTGAGATGAAGTCCTCCTCGAGGATGAGTTGGACCAGTCTCTGTGAACAGTCAGCCTTTGCAGGACTTTAAGTCGCCTGAATCAGGCAACCGCCAAGACGGACCCCCGTGATCACACCTGATGAAAGTCACGGAATGACAGACGTATCATAGAGTGCTCCAGAACACTTGCAAAATCGTGCTAGATGAAGTTGTATATTATATAGAAGGTTGTTGCTACAGGTATTGTACAGTAGAGTTGCGACAGATGGGTTCGATAGTCATTGGACATGAGACCGATGTCTGGCGACTTGAGGGATGAGAGACGCCGCTTGAAGAGGTGAGCCTGGGATTCGTCCGTGATGCTGGCTGTCCGCGAGGATATTCGTGAAGCCATCGAATAGCTGTTACCGAAGCGTACTCCGTCCTCCGTCCGTCGCTGCGTGTGCCCAGAGATACGTTTCGTCAGGCGGGCAGGACTTTCCGTGCTACAGATATGACGTTCATTGTGCCCGGAAGGTCCTGAACCTCGAAGCTTTTGGTGGGGGCAATTAGGTAGTGTAGCTGGTAGAGAACCACTCAAGGCGCCTTTTCGTGGACAGTTTCGGAGCCATCTTCCCAGAACTCCAGGTCTTCCTCGCCTTCGTTGCCGACGATGGCGCCTTGTCGAATGCCGAGCTTTCCTTTCTTCAGTAAATCCGAGAGCGGTTTGCCGTCTGGAAGTTTCTTCTTCATGATGTCCTCCAGCGTCGTTGGCTGATCGCTGAATATTTTTAAATGATCCGAAATTAAGTGACGATTTTTGCACTTGGGACAGGTGATCAGTGTCGTACCATGGTGATAGCCTTGCTTCGTAACACGATGGGCAGACCGCCTGCCGCAGGGTCTGCAAGTAAATGTGAGTTGGTACGCCGGTTGTAAATCTTTCGCAGGTTCGGGCTGGTCGCCTGCTACCGCAAGGTCTGACTTGTGTCGTACCGATGGTAGAGACCGAAGGTAATGTGCGGCTGACGTGCGCAGTGGTGATGACTGACAGCGACTTCGAGGTACTAAGGACGACTGATAAAAGCGCCGCGCAGCCAGCACTTGGGATTGCGCAGGATTCGCCGCGCCGAGTCGCGGCTGGAAGGCCCTAAGGAGTGAATGACACGACTGCTTCATTGTGACCGATGAGGAATGCGTTGGACAAGGAAGAGTGCGGCGTTTGAAACTGTTCAAAGAAAAGATGGCTGCGGAGCGTGAGGCGAGACCATCAGTGACGTCGGTCTTGGCAGGGACTTTTCTCCGACTCAGAGAAAGCGCAGGCAACGGCCGCGCACCCAAGTTGATGCATGAACCACTTGTACACTCTTTTCTAGCCACTCAAGCATTCGATCCTTCATTTCACCTCTTTCAACTTCCGTCTGGTTTCACAGACGCCTCTTTTCACAACCCCTGCTCCGCGACATCTTTTCCTGGTGTTCGCTTCTTGTGGATGAGGGGCAACAGAGCAAGTGAGTAGCGGGTGGGCGCGACACTCGTCAAGATGCTGTCCGGTAGAGGTAGAGGGGGTAAGATACGCGCGCCGAAGAGAGTAAGTTCATGACCGTTCACTTGTGTCTGAATGTCTACCTCGGAGAAGTTGCTTCATCAAGACTTGACAACAACTTCGTCCTTCGTTTCTCATCCCATACTTTTGATTCTTGACTCCGTTTATATATCCTCGCGCCCTCGCGCCCATAACTCTGGCTCGCTAACACGACTTCTCGTAAGGCACTCGGCAAAGAAGAGACCGATTTCGAGTCGTCCTGGAATACACTGTCTACTGCTTTCACCGAAATCCACCAGAAGAATGCGTCTCGTCTATCTTTCGAAGAGCTATTCCGAAGTGCTTACAAGCTCGTACTGAGGAAGAAACATGAGGAGCTCTACAGTAAAGTCACCGAGTTCGAGCGAGCGTGGCTCCAGGGCACTGTCAAAGAGAGAATCGTCAATCTTGTTACGCCTACCGTTCTAGTTGGTGCTACAGGTCAGTCGAGCGATGCACAATCAAACGAGCGCAGACTTGCAGGCGAGCGTTTCATGAGTGCCTTGAAGGATGCCTACCAGGACCAGTCCATGTGCATGAATATGATCACCGATGTTCTCATGTATATGGACCGCGTTTCAAGCCAAGACGGCCGCGTGCCCTCCATCTACACTCAAGCCATGGCCCTCTTCCGTCGGGAGGTGCTCAGAACACCATTCAGCGACGACACGGACTCAGACCTGTTGACCCTACTCGAACACGTCCTCCTCGATATGATCTCTATGGAGCGAAAAGGCGAAGTGATTGATCGATCACTTGTACGAGCTTGTTGCTACATGCTAGAGGGCTTGTACGAGAACGTGCAGGAAGATGAGGCCACCAAACTCTATCTGACCTCATTCGAACCCAAGTTTCTTGAAGCCAGTCGAGAGTTCTACTTCAAGGAGGGCCAACAATACCTCGCCGATGCAGATGCCGGTTCGTTTTGCGCTCAGGCTCGCAAACGCTTGAAAGAGGAAGAGGAGAGATGCCAGCAGACTATTTCAAACATCACCGAGCCCAAGATCAAGAGCGTGGTCGACAAAGAATTCATCTCAGCGCACATCAAAGATGTCATCAACATGGAAGGTACCGGTGTAAGAAATATGCTGGATAACGACAAGATGCAAGACCTCGCCAATGTATTTGATCTCATTTCTCGAGTTGATCCTAAGAAGACAGCTCTTAAAGAGGCCGTTCATAAGCGCGTCATCGATCTCGGCAACGAGATTAACAAAATGGCACAAGTGACCCTGACAACCAAAGCCCAACCCAAGGCTGTGGCTGACAGATCAGCGGGTGACAAACCCGAGAAAGGCGTCAATCAGCAGACCCAGGCGGCTCTTGATTGGGTCGAGCAGATACTGCAACTCAAGACCAAATACGACAATCTGTTGGAGAGAGCCTTCAAGAACGATGCCACCATGGAGAAAGCACTTGAACAGGCATTCCAAGATTTTATAGCCGCTAACGATAGAAGTCCGGAGCATGTATCCCTGTTCCTCGATGAATATCTCAAGCGTGGTATCAAAGACAAGAGTGAAGCTGAGGTCGATGCCGTCCTTGACAAGGGTATTCTGCTGTTGCAGTACCTTGCCAGCATCGATCAGTTCGAGACCTATTACCGCAAGCACTTGGCCAAGCGATTACTGATGAAGAGATCTGTCAGCCGAGACATGGAGCGGCAGATGCTGTCGAAAATGAAGCTCAAACTTGGCAGCAACATCACTCAAAAGCTGGAAGGCATGATCCGTGACATGGAATTGTCCGACAGCCTGGGCTCAGATTACAAGCAATACGTGTCTGAGCTCGGCGCCACCGACTCCAAGCGGGTTGACATGGATGCTCGTATCTTGACCAGCAACCAGTGGCCTTTCGAGACCTTGTTCAAATCCACAGATGGACAAGACAAGACTCAACACTGCAAATTTCCTGCGTCTGTTGAAAAGACTAAGCAGGTATATACGCAATTCTATCTTAGCAAGCATACCGGACGCAAGTTGACCTGGGCTCCGCATTTGGGAGATGCCGACGTGCGCGCAACCTTCAAGGGACCGGATGGACGCATCAATAGATACGAGTTGAATGTGCCAACTTACGCCATGGTGATTCTCATGCTCTACAATGAAGTTCCCGATGGCCAAGGTCTCTCTCTTGAAGAAATCGAAGCCGAGACCAATATTCCACACAACGACGTGGTCAAGACTCTCACATCGCTTTGTCAAGTTCCGAAGTGGCGCGTTCTGAAGAAAGAGCCTGCTGGTAAGGAGCTTTTGAACACTGACAAGTTCTACTACAACTCTGGCTTCACCAGCAAGTTCGTCAAGATCAAAATCGCTGCTGTGATGGTTGGCTCTAGTAAGCTTGAGAACCAGGAAGAGCGCAAAGAAACGCAGAAGCGCATCGACGATGAGCGTGGTCATGCTATCGAAGCAGCCATCGTCCGAATAATGAAAGCCCGGAAAGAATTGAGCCATCAAGCTCTGATGACTGAGACCATTCAGCAGCTTTCACAACGCTTTCAGCCCGACGTCGGTATGGTCAAGCGGAAAATCGAGGCGTTGATTGATCGAGAATATCTGGATCGCGGCCCGGACGAGTCTAGACCGCCCTACTACAACTACCTTGCTTGAAGCGACAATTTCAATCTGGTTGTGGCGAATGATGAGAAGTCATGGCTGGGAGACATATGGATGACTGATGCAGAAAGATGAATGATGGGAACATGACACCATGCATACTCTGGCGAAGGGTTTTGAGCGGGCACAGCGCGGCGCCTGGGTTTGAGGTGGGTGGATTTGATACCCATTGATTATTGCTCTCAGCGGACTTGACCCCCCGCTACGGCAGACGCTACATAGCAAAACTACTGAAAAGCATGAGTTGATCTCTCCGCTACTGTTTGCTGTGTCGGTGTGCACCATGAGCGCTTCTGGAAAAAGGCAACGAGGCAAAGCCCTAACCCTGATCTGATTTGCCGCCTTTTTAATTCAGGGTGACCCACCGCGCCGCTGTCCTCAACCTCGCCTGTGTTCGAAGCCCTATGAACGCGACTATTGCTTTATTCCACGCGTCACTGACGCTGATAGACTGTTTGATTGCCCCTCAACCCCCGGAATACGCGAGCGTTCCATCCTAATGCGCGATAATTGGCACATCACCACGTACGTTTAAGCCAAGACCACCCCCACCAGACCTTCCCCAGCAGCAGCATCATCTCCATCCACTGCTGTGCCCTCGCCGGAGGGCCCTCAGTCCTTTCCAAGCTACGAATCACCAACGACCACAACACATCAAACCATGGACGTCGACATCTCCGACATCCTCGCCTCGGTGTCGCGCCCTGTGCCAGCGGCCCGCTACGACCCCACCACCCCTTCAACCCCCTACTACGACGACAACACCGCCTTCACGGACCACCAGCTCCTCACTCGCGCCTGGACCTCCGAGCGCTGCGCGCCCGACCTGCTGCCTTACCCGACCGAGCTCCTGGGCCGCGTCATGGAGCGCGTGCAGGCGCAGATCGCGCGCATCGAGGACCTGGCTGCTGGTGCGGGAGTCGGCGACGGGAGCTCCAATGGCGGTGTGGGGAATGTGAATCTGGTGCTGAGTATCCTGCAGACGGACCTGAGCAGGACGCAGTTCCTGGTCAGGAGTTTGCTGAGGCAGCGGTTGTCGAAACTTACGCGGTTTGCGGGGTATTATACCTCTGTGCTGGACGCGGATCGGAAGGACGATGTTGTGGCCCGGGAAGCTGGCCGGGCTGCTGCTGGTGGATTGCTGAGTGGCACGGAAGCGCAGTTTCTGCGGGGGCATCAGGCGCTGCTGAAGGGGTTCTATGAGGGGAGTTTCCTCACGGGCTTTCCGCAGAAGTTGAGGAGGTTGGATGATGGTGGGACGGGTGAGGGCGGAATGCAGGAAGGGCCGGATCTGTTGCAGGTCGTGGTGGTGAGGTGTCTGGGGGAGAGGTGGGGGAATGAGGAGCGGGTTGATGCGGGTGAGGAAGGGGTGAGTACAGTGCTGGAGATGGAGAGGGGGCAGGTTTGGGTTGTGCGGTGGGGGGATGTTAGGGGTGGTGTTGGAGAGGGAGCGCTGGAAGTTCTGTAGCCGTTGATTCGGTGTGTGATGATTTAGGCAGGCAGCAAGGGCGTCTGAACAGCGACCAGCTCGATAGAGAGACACATTTTGGATCGAGGGAAGCCAAGGGGTGTTCAAAAATGACAGACCGCAGGTCGCCAGGCAACTGAGGTGAAGATTGGGTGGACAATGTGCGCCTGAGACGCACGCCCACATCTTCTACCCGCGCCTTTCATGTTCTGCTTCGGGAGACGATTCATGTGGCTCAGCCATGAGCACCTCACTATCTACCTTCGCCGAAGATACTTCAGCGCGAAGTACGCCATGGCCGACAATGCCGTCACGACCACTCCCTTCCCGATCACTTTGGCTAAAGCCATCGCCCAGAATATCTTCCCCTGCTTCTCGAACTGCCCGCCGGCCGCCTCCCTTGGAAACGGCGCATCCGGCACCTCCTTAGCCAGGAACTTGCACAGCGGCGCCCAGCCCTCTTTCGCCTCATACACGAGCAGTGGCCGCCCCTGCTTCTCACACTCCCGCTTTACCAACGCATTGTGCTCCTCATATCGCTTCTCCAACGCTTCCTTGTCCCACGGATTCCCATCCGTCCATGCATTCAGACAGCGTTGGCCGCACTGAATACAGTCGCGAATCAGTCCATTTTCGAGTGGCAGGAGGACCTTCCAACTTGGCCAGGTCAGGCGCGTGACGAGTGTGCGGCGCATCGACGCGCTCCAGCTTGAAGTCGGGCGGTCCATAAGAATGACTTTGGCGTCCGGGTACGCTGCGAGGGCCTCTTCTGGGAAACAGGACAGGGGCCAGCCTACGACGGCATCGTAGTTGCCAAGGATCTTGTCGAAGTCGGCGACAGCGAAAGACGTGGTGGTGCCATAGCGCGTATTGTTGGAGTGAGTCAGCGCATACTTGGCGTCAAGCGCTTCGGACCATTGTGGATAGGTATTCTCGCCGCGAGAAGCATAGAGGAAGGCGTGCTTCATTCCCTTGTAGACGTTGTATCCGAGATGAGTAAGTGCAGACTCCACAGATGTGGTGCCACTACGGGCTGGACTGAGAACAAGGACAGCCATGGGCTCAGATCGGGTAATTGTGGGGAGTTGATCAATCAATCGTGGCCTCGTTGTGGTCGCCATGTCGGTGATGCGTGTTTGTTATGACCTAGTGTAGCTGAAACAGAGGGAAGTAGACAATGAATATGGCAGATGTGCGATCCGGAGCGACAAGGCTCAGGGAAGCCTGTTGGCGTGCCGAGTATAGTGCTTAGCGGACACCCGATAAACTCAGGGGTAGTTTGCCTCTCATTTGACGTCCCATGTCCGTCGCAGATGCACCATTGGAATACGGGCCTCCCGAGCGCCTTATCCGCCAGTGGAGCAAAGCTTGTGCGCCTCGATTCCAGAGGGGTTAGCCTTCTCCGATAGCCGATGCCAGTAGGGTAGATCCCAACTCCGACAGCAGTGGGAGCTAGACATTGCTTCAATCATCAGTATCTCTCCGTAATGTTCTGGCAGTTATCTTCGGGTCTTCAGCATAATTGATTACATCCAGCTCCCACTCAATCATCGTTCCAGGCCTACGCTTGTCCATCGGCCTCCTGAAGCTGCTTGGATTGCTTACCCTCCGCATTCTTTGGAAGCAACTGGCAATCAAAAGTAAAGCCTAAAGCCAGGACTGCCAACACAATCCAGATCAAGTAGCCATACACGATTTGGTGTTCCACGCCGACCGCAAAAATGCTGGTAAATAGCGCTGGACTGAACGACCTAATGCCGCTGACTAGCGCAAGCGCCAGTGAGTTCAGCGTACCTAACGTAGATGGCTTCGGATTGACATCATTGATGGCAAGCTGAATTGCAGTAAACGACATCGCTACTGAACAGCCTAGCATGAGGAGAATCGGACCGCTGATCCAGAACGCAAGGGTGTAGTCGCGCCGCAGGACGAGATTCAGCAGTGGATGGACAAGGAAGAAGAATGGATAAGCCCGTGCGCAGGCCCGGATCACAGTACCCGTACTGTAGCGCCGTTGGATCCACGGAAAGGCTACCAGCAGCCACATTGATTGCGCAGCACCACCAAGACACATGAACAGTGAGATCTGTTGAGGATTGAAGCCGAATCCAGCCCGCCGGACAGGTGTGAAATAGAAGACAGGCATAACGGCTGTATAAGAGAAGGCCAGTAGCATGATGTGGCATTGCAAGAATAGGACCATCGCCACGCCAGGAGATCTGATCAAGTCCAGTATTCCCATGCCGCTGTCAACAGGAGCCGCTGAATTCTCTTCTGATGACAACTTCTCCTTATCTTTGAGGGTCTCCTTGACAAATATTGTGGTCAGTAACGCGGTCAGTAGGCCAAGTGCGCCGCAGACAAAAGTGGCTAGGGCGTATGGATAATCCTTGAAGTATTGCGTGTGTCCAAAGAGAGAAGGATATTGTCTGACAGGGTTGGCCAACATGCCACCGAGCAACGGTCCCAGAAAGATACCAAGGTTGCCGCTGAAAGCGAACCAGCTGAAGACTCTCGCCTGCGTCACCTTGTTGCTGTTTTCCGCCATCATGGTCCGAATGGTGACGACTGTTCCGGCAAAGACACCAGCAGAGCAGCGATAGAGAAACATCTGCCAGATGGTGCTGCTGGTTCCGAATAAAGCGGTGCATATAGAAACGCCGACTAGGGAGAATACTAGAACGGGTTTGCGCCCTACTCGGGGGTGGTCCGCAAGCTTGCCCCATGGAATCATTACTAGCATCTGAGTGATAGAGAAGATCGATTCGATGAGGCCTGAGTAAAAACCGACGGCCGTCTCCTTGACTTCACCAGTATCGAAGATCATCTGGTTGACGAAGGGAAAGATGCTGAAGAACGCAATGGGTTCAAACAGCCGGGCACAACAGAGAAAGAAGATTTGAACTTTGGGAATCTGATCGACCTCATGTTCATCTGTGGCTGGAGGGCTGCCATCGAGGGTATCCGTCGGGGAGGTAATGCCATTGGGTTGCTGTTTGCCGGTTGGACTGGCCTCGGTGTTGGAAAGTAGAGGCGTGTGCTCTGATACTGGTCCGTCGTGAGAGTCTTGGTTCTGTTGTTCTATGTTCGTCATGACGTTTGGATAAGAACAGAGTTGAGGCTGGTCGTTGATAACGATTATGATGGCACATTGGACCAGTGAAGAAATGTCCAGCTTCTGAAGCAGCTCTCGTAAACTTGTGCCTACAGGTACGTGCTGACGCATTTCTTCCTTACGAAGTATAGCTGTAGCCGGGCTTTCTCGGCAAGATGTTACTCCGGACCCGCAAGGCGCCCGTCGCGTTGCGCATCATACTCATAGCAGCAATCCTGAAGCTCGACCACCTCACCAATTCATCATTTCAAACCGCTTCATCGTCGTTTTTACTTGTACTACCACGACTTCTTCTTCAGATCTTGTCTTTTCCAAGTCTATTCCAGTCCATACCTTCCTTCCGCAGTCGCTGCGCATCGACCATCATGGATACGCTCGTTGCGCAGTACACGCAACCACAGTTTGCACGCGAGGGGTACAACTATGAAGAGCAGCAAGACTATGCGTCTTCGTTACCACCGCTCTCTCTGAAGTTCGCCATGCCACCCGTACCGAAACCTGCTGCTTTCCTCCGTGCTGCCACCGATGACTACTCCAATCCTAATTGCCCCATCAAGATCGCTCATGGAACCACGACACTCGCTTTCAGATTCAAGGGTGGCATCATCGTAGCTACCGATTCAAGAGCCACAGCCGGCAACTGGATTGCGTCACAGACCGTCAAAAAGGTCATCGAGATCAACCCTATGTTGCTCGGTACTATGGCTGGCGGCGCCGCCGTAAGTTGTCTTCAGAGCTGGTTCAAACTGCATAACTGACTTTCTGCAGGATTGCCAATACTGGCTCGCATATCTCGGAATCCAGTGTCGCCTGCACGAGCTTCGACAGAAGCGCCGCATCTCTGTCGCTGCCGCATCCAAGATTCTCTCCAACCTCGTCTACTCCTACAAAGGCATGGGTCTCTCAATGGGTACCATGATCACTGGTGTCACTCCACAAGAAGGGCCTGCACTCTACTACATTGATTCCGATGGCACTCGGCTTTCGGGCAACCTCTTCTGTGTCGGATCTGGTCAAACATTTGCGTACGGTGTGCTAGATGCTCAATACAAATACGACTTGGAGGATGACGAGGCTCTGGAGCTAGGCCGAAGGAGTATTTTGGCGGCCACCCACCGAGATGCTTTCTCAGGTGGCTACATCAACCTCTATCATGTCAAGGAGGACGGCTGGGTCAAGCATGGTTTCTTCGACACAAACCCCATCTTTTGGCAGACGAAGCTGGAGAAGGGCGAGTTCTCAAACGTTACCAGTGAGCTGTAAATGGAATATCGGGCAGCATGGAATGGCGTTAGCAGGGCCGGCCGTACGGCGCATCTCCTGTACAACTAGCAGCAGTTGCAGATTGATGGCAAGGGTGCCATTGCAGGTATTCTCAGGCAATCAGATAGAGACAATGCCTGAAGTTGAGAATTCACGAGCCTTCTGGTATACCATCAGTCGCAAGTTAAAGATAATTGGCGGAGCTGGTAGAGTGTTGAACGAACAGATGCATTCCTAACACCACAGCATCGGGCTAAGTGCCAAGACCCTGCGGCTGGATCTGTAGAACGCGCCTGAGATGCGCGTCCGCATCAAAATTGGGACAACTTTCAGCGCTCTTGTGTCTGATTATCCTTTGATTTAGATTCGTCGCCAGTCAGTGGCGCATAGTTCGGCGATCAAGATGCAGCACTTGAAGGACCCTGCGGCCGGCGTTGCCCAGGTTCTACTGCCCCATATTCACCTGGTGTCAAAAAGCCGATACCCAGTTACCAACAATCCCACCCTCGAGAGCATCGTTTCATACCTCTCCGAGGCACCTAAGGTCGTCCGAGACCTTCAGCCGATGCAATGGCAGTTCCTAGATGCGCCGACCGACGGAACGCTGCTGCTCGTTTGGCAGCCGCTGGAGTATATGGGCACAACTTTCGCCAGTGATGGCTACATCTATGCAGATGCTGAACAAACCTTCAAATCCGACGTCAGAGGCTTTGTACGTTGACCCGATAATCACTCAGTTCGAGACTGATCTAGAAACAGCAAGTTGAGATGTTCTATCATCGCTCCGGATACCGAATGCAGGGTGAACCCATGGCGTCGCATAGCAGGAAAAGATACCGGCTTCTACCTACGAACCCAAACATGCCGAACTGCGATCCTTCACTTTTCCTCGTCGCCTATTCCAGGGCGGCTCCGCGCGATATCGTTCCCGCGGGCTCGATACCCGTTTCATCACAAACTCAGCACCAGATCCAGCAGAGGAGGATGATCCAGGCGCAAGGTCAGCTGGCGCGCAAAGAGTTCATGCTTCACGACAGGTCCAACTGGCCGACGATCAATGCCCCCCAGGCGGTGACCCGAGGTCAGAGCGGCCATCGTCGGGGAGCCAGTCACGGCAATGAGGCTACTCTTGAAGAAGAAGAGGATGTATCTCGCGGAGATATATTGGACTTTATGTCGCCAAGAGACATAAGCCGCGTGCGCTACGAGCAACATCATGAATGGATGGAAGAGATTCTGGAATCGCCCTACGGCATCTTCTCGATTCTACCTGGTGACCTAGGGCTCGGTCGCAAAGGTGAGCTCGAGGTGTTGACCAAAGACTTCTTCGACGCGCCTGTTACAGTGTTGCGGGAATCTTCTGGCAACAGCGACCCACTGCGGGTGGGCAGGTTGGAAAACGGCAAGGCTGATGATTTCAATAAGCGCGCAACCCAGAGGATCGCCGACATGCAAGCAGAGATCGACAAGCTCAAGCGACAACATGCAGCAAGAATCGATCGCTTGAAGCGCACGAGTGTGCTAAGTACGGCCGAGAAAAAGCTAAGAGCGGCACCTACGGAAAACGAGAAGGCACTATCCAACGCAAGCTCAGTAGACCACCCGAATGGGGACGTTCTTGACGACATAGCTCAGGAAGTACAGAGCTCTTTAGGCAGGAAGATCGAACGAGTATCGCCGGTGACGATGGTGGAGCGGGGTGGACTTGAAGACCGTCCTCCTCCAAGGACTCTGAGCATGTCAAGCTCGTCCAAACCTCAAATGTCGCCAGTCAAGATGGCTACGTCGCCTTCAGAGTCGCAACCACCACCTCAAGCCCCAGCAGATCCGCAACAAGCCACTTCAGCAAGCGAAGTATCAGCTGTGCAGCTTCAGGCAAATGAGTCAGCTCCATCGAATGTCTCAGTTCCACCACCACAACCTCAGCAGACTGTCGGAGAGCCGCAAGATACACCTGCAATGGGGGAGGACGCTCAGGATCTGGATCTAGCAGACGGGGTCGATCTCGACATCAACATGGACGGCCTTGACGATGGCCCAGACGCTGGCGACGATCTGGTAAATGCCGACAACGATTGGGTCATGGACATGGAGGGTCCGGAAGGAGGCGGAGAGCACATGGAGGCGCCCACAGCTGAGGAAGCGGCTAAGATGCCAGATACATCGGCGTCTAGCTCTGCGAATCAAGCCCCCGAGAACTTCGCAAATCAGTCAAATCAGCAAGGACTGAATCGATCCGGTCAGACATCGAATCAAGGAACCCCAGCCGAGCAGGGACAAGGAGATCAAATGGAAAGCAATGAGTTTAGCGAGGCGTTTGGAGACGTAGATACGGCAGGAGACGCGCTGGCAAGCTACGATGATGATGGCAACGACGAGCTGAATCTGGATGGAATGGACGATTCGGCGTTTGGAGATGCATTTCATCAAGAAGACCTCTCTTGAGAAGTTCACCATTGGTGAATGAAGACCGTGTATACCATACAGCAGCGTCCTAGCACGGGCTAGGTGAGGTCAAGTGATGTCAAAGTCAATTGTTTCTCTCCCTGCAGTTTTGCGTTTGCACGGAGTCGTGACTTCCATTTCCAAACTCGGAAGACCTACCACATGTGTCTACTGAGGAAGCAGCCATCATCGCAAGAACCGCAGATTTCTCGATCGGTTGGATCCATTTGATCTCCTTCAACTACACCTCTTGTCGTCAGTCATCCTTATCAGCAATTACCATTATCCATACATTTGCAGCTACAACCCATCCCCAAGATGTCTTGTCCGCACGTGTGCAGCATCGTTCCCAACCTCGTCCTTCAGAAGGTTGCCTCCAGTCCATCGGCTTCCGCCCATAGTCGTGCCTGTGCAGCCCGATCCCTTCTGCACAGTCATCGGCTCCATGCCAACCGCCGAGCCCTTTTAGGGGTACGTTCAGCAACTATAATCCCGACTCAGATCTATGATGCTATCATCGACAATGAGGCAGTGTCGGACGAGGCGAAAGAGCATGCCCGCACCAGCAGGGCAAATACCGAGCAACTTCAAAGAGACCGTCAGCAAGGGGCTATCTTGATGTCTGCGGACCAGCGCTCACCCAAGCGACTTCGTCGGGTGCTTTATGATTGCGAGCACACCGATGAGGTGCCAGGACAGCGGGTCCTACGCGAGGGACAGAATACGTCTCATGTGGATAGCTGCGGCCAGGTACGCGAGGATTCCCCTGCGTCGACGAATGAGCCTATGACTTTGTACTGATCTACCCAAGAATGTCTAGGAAACCTTCAAGCAGACATTCGATTTCTACTATCAGATGTTCGGCCGCAACTCGATCAATGGACTCGGGATGTCACTCCTTGGCTCCATTCACTTCGATGACGAGGTGCCCCCTCCTGGTTTTGCTAACGCATATGGTAAGCCTCCTCTTCCTCTTGCGGCCTTCCTCGCACACGGTGGCTCTGCCTCTTCTAGCGTCTGCGCACTCCTTGCATTTCCTTTAGAGTTTGGCTGACCACTTGTTTAGTGAGTAGTTGAGCTGCCTGTCCCCTATATTGTTCCATCACCAGCAGCGGACCAGACTGACCTGCAGTAATAGTGGGATGGCACACAGATGGTCTTCGGCGACGGAGACGGAGACGTCTTTGCGGATTTTACCTGCGCGCCGGACGTCATCGCTCACGAACTTACCCACGGCGTCACACAGTACGAAGCTGCCCTGCCGTACAATATGCAAGCTAGTGCCTTGAACGGTGAGTAATTGGTCTCCCGAGTGGCATTGTGCTGAACTGGTTCAGAGCACATGTCAGACGTCTTTGGATCGATGGTCAAACAATGGCGGGGAGGCGTCAATCCTCAACGTGCCGCTGATGCCGACTGGTTAATTGGCCAAGGCATTTTCAATCCCCAGACAGGAATCGTTGCTCTCAGGAGTATGAAGGCTCCAGGTACTGCTTATAGCGAGTCTGTGATCGGTACAGATCCCCAGCCGGATCATATGGACAACTACCTTGACGTACCCGATGACGAAGGAAGCGATGCAAGTGTTGATTACCTCATTGCCTTGTCCGGTCACTGACTTGTAACAGTAGGGAGGCGTCCACGTCAATTCGGGAATCCCAAACAAGGTGTTCCACCTCGCCGCCACAGGCCTTGGAGGCTACTCCTGGGACATTGCAGGCCGAATCTGGTATGACGTTCTGACGGACCCTGATCTTCGCTCGTTCGCTGCAGAGCCAGACAATCGGCACTGGAACTGCTTCCCATTCTTCGCCTCTCTCACGGTGAAGCACGCCGCTCGCTATGCCAAGAAATGCGTTGACGTCGACGTGGTCGGTGTGGTCACTCAGGCGTGGCAAGCGGTTGGCATCGAGCCGACGCAGTCGGCGAAGCCCGGAAAGAAGGTCAAGCCTGGGTGCCCCGTGCTCTGAGGTATATCTGTGGCGGCGGCGGTAGCTGAGAGCCATAGTCGTTAAGACGCCATGCCTCGCTTCGTACTTTTATATTCATCACATCGAGACTAGCGAACCCGAGCCTAGAATGACAACACGGTATCCATACATATTGCCATTGTCAAGAGTATTTTGTCGGCGCGATGCAGTATTGACCTCCATCCTAATTTGGTGCTTGACGATCATAATCTGCGAGCCCACGTGCGCGCAGAGCATTCAACCCACCCCACTTCAGCTCACGCATTTTTCATTCTACTACAACACTACTACATTCCAACAGGACGAAAGCAACTAATACTGGTCAAGTCTATATCTTTCAAACTAATATTGAGACGCTAAACCTCAACCATCTGCTCGGGAAGCCGAAGTTTCAAGAGATATGCCGGCCTTTTCGCCAAGCGGGCTGTACGGCCTGGTCGATATGGGAAGGTGAGTTTGCGGCCCACCAAGCGAACCTTGGTCGTACGTCCTGCCTTCATCACATTTCCCCCAGAACACCATATAAACCCAGTCCTCAACGCTGCTGTCACCTTACTGACGCACTCCCCCGTGACCCTTTCCAGCAACGGCATCCGCTTCTCCATCACAGACGTCGGCGGCCCCACCGCGCGCTCCCTGCCCACCGTCTACCAGGATCGCACCGGCGTGTCGCTGTACGATGCCCAGTACGCCGAGTCCAACACTAAAGGTCCCATCCCGCAGGCGACCATCGATGAAGTCGTCGCCGCGCTGAGGAGGTTCAGGGTCGTGTGCAAGGATTTTGGCGTGCCGGAGACTAATGTCAGGGTGTTGGCGACGGAGGCGACGAGGACGGCGGTCAATAGTGAGGATTTTCGGTGAGTGCACTTGACTGATCGTTTTCGCTGGCGGCAGTTGTTGGTGGTAGGGGGAGGGGGGAGAGGCGGGGCGCTGGCTCTTGCTTGCGTGTATTCGGTGACTGGGTAGGGCAACGGAAACGATGCTAACGCTGCGCTTAGAAAGCAGATCAAAGATGCTACAGGCTGGGAAGTCGACATGCTTTCGAAGGAGATGGAGGGCCGTATTGGCGCAATGGGCGTGGCCAGCAGTTTCAAACATGTGGAAGGCCTCGTCATGGACCTAGGCGGTACGTCCACTACTGACGGTTTTTGCATTCGCATCTCGACATTGATCTCATAGACGCAGCTTGGATCTTGCTAACAGCTCTGGTGCAGGTGGCTCAACGCAGTTGACTTATCTAACCACCGACTCGGCCGGAACAACCATCACCTCGCCGATAGGCAGCATTTCGTTCCCGTACGGCGCAGCAGCTCTAACGCAACAACTCTCAACCCTCTCCTCCACCCAAGGACCTTCGGCTGCCAAAGATGACCTCGCCAGCACGATCAAGTCCCAATTCCGCCAAGCCTACTCCGACCTCCAGCTCCCCGAGTCCCTGCGCCGCCTCGCCATGCACCACGGCCTCACGCTCTACCTCAGCGGCGGCGGCTTCCGCGGCTGGGGCTTCCTGCACATGTCGCGCCACAAGGTCTCGCCGTACCCGATCCCCATCATCAACGGCTTCAGCATCAGCAAGCACGCCTGGAGTCAGACCACCGACATCGAGGAGCTGGCCGCCCTCGCCGTGCGCGCCGAGGAGGGTCACGGCGTCTTCCGCGTCAGCAAGCGGCGCGCCGCGCAGGTCCCCGCCGTGGCCTTCCTGGTCAACTGCGTCGTCGAGGCGCTGCCGTTCGTGCGCGACGTGCGCTTCTGTCAGGGTGGCGTGCGCGAAGGCTTCCTGTACGATTCGCTGCCGCCGGCGGTCAAGATGCAGGACCCGTTGTGTGCGGCGACGAGTGTGCTGGGTCCCGAGGACGCCGGACGCATCGCCGAGGTGCTGTGCGCGAGTCTGCCGGGAAAGTGCTACTTGGACCGGCAGGTCCCCGCGGTGTTCTCGATGGAGATATGCCGCGCCATCGCCGACTGCATGTATCTGGGCAGCAGCCACACGAAGGAGACGAGGAGCTTAAACGCGCTCATGATGCCGTTGACGGGGGCGCTGGCCGGCGTGCACGGCGTGGGACACAGTGAGAGGGCGGTGTTGGCGCTGGCGCTGCGGAGGCGCTGGGACGGCGAGGTCCCCAAGCCGTGGGATGAGGTGGTGGACCGGCTGAGGGGTGTGCTGAGTCCGCAGGAGGGCTGGTGGGCTGAGTATCTCGGCGTGGTGGCCGGCTTGCTGGGTGAGGTGTATCCGGCGGGCAGGGTGGGCACGAAAGCAAGGCTGAAGGTCGCGTCTCAATGGGCTGAGGGCTTGGGCAAGAAGGGCCTGTATCAGGGAGTGAGGGTGCGGTTGCGGGGGAGAGAAGGGGAGGAGGTGCTGAAGAGGGAGACGTTGACTGCCTTGGTGGAAGGGTGGGAGAAGGTGGGTAAGAAGAAGCACTGGGTGAGGGGCTTTGGAGTGCCGGTGGAGGTTGATATTGAGCTTGTTCCAATGGATGAGGGCTTATAGAAGGTTCGCGCATGCGTGTCAGGCTGTGATGAATTTCGACTATGACTTTTATATGACACTGTGGCCTCGATGTCAGGTGCATCCATACTGACATAAGCTAGAGTTTTGATTCGGGTCTGGGTCTGTCAGTTGTGCCGCTGATTTCCTAGCATTGTTACCCTGCTCACCTGGTTCCCGATCATGGACTGTATGAACAGGATGCGGCTTACTTGGCAGCCAGTTCTTCTCCTTTCAGGTGGTAGTCAAACCACTGCACACCCTGCAAGAAAGCGGCTTCCTTGGCGTACTTTTGCCTCTTATCGTTGAGATCGCCACGAACAGAGAATCCGTGCTCCACACCGGCGTACAGATTGATCTGATACGGGAATTTGAGCTCCTTGAGAATGTCCTCGGTGTGGTGGCGCTTGTCGTTGGGGAAGATCTCATCGGTCTCGGCGGCAGCGATGGAGAGCGGACCTTGGATGTCCTTGAGCTCATCGTCCTGCACAAACGAAGGGTGGGCAGTGTAGCCGACGTCGATTTTGCCCTGGTCGGGACGCAGATGGCGCACGACATATTTGCCACCGAAGCAGTATCCGACGGCGCCGATTTTCTGCGTCAAGGGTCAGTGCCTGCGTTTGGAGGGCGAGGGGAGGAGACGAATGGGACAACGAACCTTGACACCTTGATCCCTCAAATAGATGATAGTTGAGTCGATGATGGGGTCGACATGGGGAGGGTCATGAGCGCGCTTCTTGGGGTGGTACTCGCCGCCCAGCCACTTCATGATGTCGAAGCCTTCAGGGCGGTTGAGCTCGATTGGATTGCCATCGAACAAGTCTGGCATAACCACGAAGTAGCCATTCGCGGCGAACTGATCCGCAATAAGCTGTGCGTTGGTGAACTTGTGGCCGATGACGTCGGTGATGCTGGCGGATGCTCAGTCAGCTCTAACGGTAGAAGCCTTCCCTTGTCAACTTACATTATGAGGCCGTACTCGCTCGGCTCACCAACGGTGTAGATTTCGAAATCACCCAGTTGGGAGAGCTTACCCTTGGGTGTTCCTTCATGTTTTACGCCTTGGTAGCAGCATTTGCCGGGGGGGTTGGAGGCCATGGCGAGTGATACTTTCTCGAGGAATAACTATTTTCGTTGGGTGTGGGTAGCAATGATGCTGAGATCGTTGAGATTCCTCGGGCGGCGTCAGGCAGATCTGCTTTTATCTATCACCCACAAGTACGAAGAGGGGCACGCAACGACGCAATCTACCATAGACTTCCGGCAGCTACAAGGGCACGGCGTTAGGCGGGAAGATCATGACGAGGCCAGCGTAGTGGGGCACCGATACCACCTACCGCCCGGTCACGGCCCGATGACAGGCACGGGCAAGACCACGTAATCAGGGTACAGGATGGCACGATGATATTCACCTCTCGGAGTTCCGTGATATCGGATTGGACACGTCAGGGTTTTCGAATAGGAAAATTTTTGGCCATCATTTGAACTATCAAAAGAGCAGCCGCACGAGCCGAGTGTGCGGGTCAGTAGACTCTAATGTCTTGACGGAGAAAGCCCCTGGATTTACAGCCTTTCTGCGGCCGCCATCAAGGCACCTAGAGTCATGTTAGCGATTCATCACCATTACTCTATCACGAGGGCAACTTACCAACAAACGTCATCACCAAGCGAGCCCGACCCTGCACAATGTCATCTGGCACGAGATAGATGGTGCAAGCCATCTTACGTGCGATGCTGATGCTGAGCTTAGCATTGGCGTACGCATCATCATCCGTCTTGCCTGGTGTGACCAGGTCATAATCCACGTATCCTTGCTTCATACCGTTGAGCACGTCCAGCAGAAAGATGCCGGAAAGAATAGCAGGATCCTTGAACGACCGTACGCTTGAATTCCTGCCACCTTTGCGAACCATGTCATTGGCCCACTTGATCATATCCGAATCGGTAAGCTCACGCTTACCCATGCGCTGTGAGACTGCAGCAAGGGTGTTGAGAATATCCCGCCGCATGAGCTGCCACACAAGACCCAGTGTGAGCGTTCGTTGACCGTCAGTGATATCAGCTCCCTGAATACCAACCAAACTGAAGCGATTTTGCTTGCCAAGCTCCACGGCGTAGTTGGTGTTTTCCACCGCCTTGAAGCGAGACATCTCGCCGCCATGCGCAGGGGGCTTATTGACGTGCCGCATGTTGACGGAACCCGGGATGACCTTCTCGTAGGCTTGGAGCAGGATACTTCCGTCCCGCAAGTCATCGAAGAAGGATTGCACCACAGGCTGTACGTCCAATGAATTGAGCCAGAGGGTGAACACGCGAGCTTCTCGCTCGCCTTCCGCATCGAAATCCTCGATCTCGGGCTTCTCGCCTTCCTCCAGAGGGTCCAGGCCCGGGTGGGTGTTGAAGAGGTTAGCCACAAATGCCAAGTTGAGCTTGGGATTTCCGGCCACCAAAGCAGTCGGGGTGAGGAACTTTCGGCACTCGAGCTTCTCTGCGTTCTGGAGCACTTGTTCGGCACGTTGTAACAGATCCGGTGTTTGAAGTGGACCTCGTGAGCACAGATCTGGCGCAAGTTGATTCATGAGTACGGTGTAGTTCTCGCCATCCTTGACATCGCTGGAGAAGTTGTTGACACGACGAGGCCATTTGGCATTCTTGAGGTGATAATTGAACCATCGGAGAAGAATCTGTTCGGGCGGCAGACGTAGAAATTGCTCGAGCGTCTCATCGTCCTCCAGCAGACGGTAGAGTTCGGGATGCAGCTTGATGTCAATCTTGCCCAGCAGGCCCCGTCGGATGATTTGCCAGATCAGACCCAGGATCAAATGCTCGCGCACTTCAATGATATCGCCCGCACCAATATTGACCACCGAGCATCCGATACCTTTGGCAGATTCAATGACAATATTGTTGTTTTCCGTCATGTGAAAGGCATTGAGCGATTTGATTTTTCTACCAGCCTTGTTCATAACCCGCTCGTCAATGGTGTCTGGAACGCTGTCGTTGATCAACTTGGCAAGCACCAACCCGTCCTTGCAAGAATCAAACATCTCAAAGGAATCGGTGGGGAAGGGTAAGAGTTGGCCAATGTCGGGATCGCCGGCAAGGACGGCATTGATGTGAGTTGTAAAAGCGACTCGTTCATCTTCGTTGATAGTATGTGTAACGTTGGCTGACGAGCCCTGGACCTGGATTCTGCCTCCCGCTCCACCTCCTAAACTGGGTTTGGACGCGTGCTTGACTGGGGGTGCGCCACTGCCTGCAAGACCGCCGGACTTGACGGGACCGGTGGACATGCGCTGCTGAGCAGGTGAGGATTCTCGCAACTTGGAGATCAGGTCAACATAGTCCTCGAGTTCGACTCGCCGCGAGGAATCGAGTTCGACTTCCTTCAGCGCCTGACGGACAACATCGTAGCTCTGGCGCTCGGTGGTCTGCGTGGCCTTGATGACAGTGGCCTCGTCAAGGTAGCCTTTGTCGTCGACATCGAGTTTTCGGAAGGCATCCGACAACTGGAAGAGTTCGTTCTGTGGGAACTGAGGGTATTTGCGCTGTAACTTGAGGATTGCGGCCATGGTGGGGTGGTGGGGGCTGACACCCTACGGATTTCGTGGTTGAGAAGGCTGCACGGCGGTATGGATGAGGGTGAAAGAGTGGGAGAGTTTCGAATTGGCAAATATCTGAGAGTCTACAAGCGCAGGCTGGGAATGATGGTGCCTGACAAGCAGCCGCGTGTATCCTGGGCTGGAGGGAATTGGAAGATGATCAGGCACGCTGTGACGCCATTTGATGCGGCTGTGTTCTGCCCTAAACCCTAAGCCAAGAGCCCGCAGTTGTGGCTGAGTCCAGGGCGGCGCTCGTGCTGCGGTCCCGTGAGGCTCTCTCAACTCTCAACACGATTGCCTTGTTACTGTGCCCCATCTCATCGTTGTCATGTGGCAGGCGTGGTACGAACGCTGGTTCTGACGCTGTGTTGACGTCGCTTCGCAAATCTTGAGACGATCCGAGCCTCATTGCTTCTATGTTCACCCTTCATCTACCCCTTCTAACCACTTCGTAATTCAGCCCAGGCGGCGGATCCCTGCTCGTATCCTTACCACGAGGGGGGACCTTGTATTACTATCGGCACCTAGCAAATCTAGAAATCAATTGAGTGCCGCCGCATTGGATCGCTTTCCAGCTCTTCTCAACACCTTCAAGAAGGCTATGGCTGATGCTACTAGACCTTCGGCGGGCTTCCTGGGCTCGCTCTCCCCATGGACTAGAGCGAGCACACCGCCGCCCAAGTCGCCACAAGTCAGGCCATTGAACCAACCCGAGGGCCTGAGGCAGTCGACAGGTGTCGATCACGCAATAAGCATCCGACCCTCTCCCAATCTGCATCGGTATCCGAGAGACTGCCCTCCTCTGAGAGCGCGTTGGTACTATGCTGTTGATGTTGCCAAGCGGAAACCCCTAAGTACCGAAAATACATCTACCGAAAACAAGAAGCCCCCCCCAGCACCCAAAAAATACATTGCCTTCTCCACCACCGACTCACAAGCATTAGAGAAAGCCTACCAGTCTCTAGATGAGGGAGAAGCTAGTCACGATGACGCAAGCCCCACCACTAGTACTCGGGTTCCGGTCAACGAGGATTATCTGTTCGATGTCCACATCGAGAAACGTGAGCTCGAGCCAGCTTACTGGCTAGGACCAGTTTACGATGTCAGACGTGGAAGCTGGTTCTTCCAGGACACCTCGACCACCTTGAGGCCATGCGATGAGAATCTGGCTAATCAATTGGAAGAAGGCTACCTGAAGGTCACCCCGTGGCGCAATCCAGCTTCATCTCGATCTCAATCTCAACCGCGAAGCAGACCAAATTCGCAGCTTACAGAACCCGGCTCGGCCCAGAAGCCAGACGGCACAGCAACACCCTCAGAGAGCCATTTTGCCGAGCAGCCATCAAACAACAGCTATCGCCTATTTGGATCTTGGATGAACACTATGGTGACCTATCAAGACGGTAACGTTGCATATCTGACGCAAGACGATTTCATGTCCCGCATGAGTGTCACCATGTGGGAGCGCTTCGGAACCTATGGTGGCGTCAAAGTTGTTCGTGGTTGGTCGGAAGGGACCAAGGCGGTCGACACAAAACCTGGTGACAAGACCAGTGCTCAAGACAAGCGTCGGTCAAGAAATATGACCTCGGAAGCCGATGAAAAGAAAGACGAGACCGAAGTTCCGCCGGAGAAAGAAAAGAAGCGGACCGCACTCGAGAGACAGCTCTCCTCACTTGCCGGTCTCGGCGGTGAAGAGAGTGAAGCGGATGCGAAGGACGCCCAAGAAGAGCAGCAACGTGAAATGGAGGATGCTCGAGAAAAAGACGGTGAAGACCAAGAACGTCAGATCGACCATCTCGTGCTTGTCACCCATGGCGTCGGCCAGCGTTTAGGATTGAGACTTGACAGTGTCAATTTCATTCACGATGTCAATACTCTACGAAAGACGATGAAGGCTGTGTATGGCTCCGCGCCTGACTTGCAGGCTGTCAGTGGAGATCCAAAGAATTGTCGTGTTCAGGTCCTTCCCATTTGTTGGAGACATCTCCTCGACTTCCCGAAGCAGAGCCTAAAGCAGAACCGTAAGGAATTCGACATAGGGGATGCAGAAGCCCATCTCGATGATGAGTATCCGTCTCTCCAGGATATCACCGTCGATGGAGTCCCAGCGGTACGGAATCTCATCACCGATCTTGCCATGGATGTTCTGCTGTACCAGAGTGCTTATCGGGAACACATTGCTACTATTGTTCAAAAGGAGTGTAACAGAGTCTATAAACTCTTCAAGGAGCGAACGGGTTTCAAAGGTAAAGTGAGCCTCTGTGGGCACTCTCTCGGAAGTGCAATCTGCTTCGATCTCCTCTGCAGGCAAGACGAAGGACCTCGCACACGACCTAGAAGAGTTTCCAGCAAGACCATAAAGGAGGCCGGCTTAGAAAAGTCAGACTTGAAGTTGAATTTCCCGGTCGATAACTTCTTCGCACTTGGATCGCCGATTGCCCTCTTCCAGATGTTGAAAGGACGCACCATCTCCGGTCGGAGCACAATTGCAGCTCAGGATCTTGCATTCTCGCCCTTCGATCCCGATCCTCTGGGAGCCGACCCGTTTGAGAAATCTTCAACAACTGCTGCAGCACAAACTCGCTCAAAAGACCTCATACCTATCACTACCTCATCACCTAAATGTGTCGACTTTTTCAACATCTTCCACCCTACAGACCCTATCGCTTACCGTATTGAGCCGCTGATCTCCCCCGCGATGGCCTCTCTCAAGCCTCAACCACTACCGTACGTCAAGAAAGGTCTGTTTGGTGCGCCTGGAATCGCCAATATAAGCCAGCGAGTGGGCCAGTCTGTCATGTCTAGCTGGTATGGCTTAACATCTGGCGTCGCTTCTAGCCTTATCAATCGGAGCTTAGGCATCACTGGCGAGGAACAAGCGTTGCCTCAGGATAAAGCCAGACCCCTGCAGCAGCCTACTACGCTGCCCAACGGCCAGCAGGTTGTTACTGATGCCGCCGCAACTAGTGGCAAGAAGCAAGAGGCTGTGGCCGAAGCTGCCAAGAAATCTGGCACTGATGAAGTGCCCACGTTGATAGACGGCGAGATTGAGACACTGTACGCGGGTTTTCAAAAGCGCCGTCGATCCGGAGGCAGTGCTGCATCCGATGAGCCGTCAGGCCTTGCCCTCGAGCTCGAGCAAGATCGCGGACGAAAGCTCAGGCGCGAGGAAGCAAAAGTCAAAGCCCTCAACAGCAACGGTCGAGTCGATTATCATATTCAGGAAGGCATGTTTGACATGTCTCTCCTCGCTAGTATCGCGAGTCATCTCAGCTACTGGGCGGACGAAGACTGCACTCACTTTATGCTTGGGCAGATTCTAAAGAAAGGCAGATCGAATCGCGCTGAAGGGGACAAGGTGAAACAAAGGGTGGCGGATCTTGGTGAGATTGATATCACGGCTCTTTAGGAAGGCAAGCGCGAGGGACGAGATGCATGTATGTGTTGCAGAGTTGGTTTTAGCGATTGTCGAGTGAAGAGAGGGACGACTAGCTGAATTTCGAATATCCTCACGAGCGAATACCCTTAGATCGAAATAGCAATGACACGCGCAGCCATTCTTTTGACCACTATCATCAGACTCTTACAAACAACAATAATACCTTCATGGGTAGTTTTATCTCACATAGCAACCGCCGCCTGACTATGGTGCAAACTATGAGAGACCTCCGCGAGCAGTCCGCTGTCCCATCTCAGCTGGCTAAACCCATACCTTGAACACATATCCCCCGCCCGGCGCGGTGCTGACCCTGACCCTCCTCTCCTCCTCCTTCTTCTTCTTCTCCCCCCACTCTCCCCCCTCCTCCATCCCGCCCACTCCCCTCCCCGTCCCACCACCGCCGCCACTCCTCCTCAAACGCGACGTCACAAACCCCTCCCCGCGATCCACATCCTCGCCGCAGCTCTTCTCGCCAAACGCCGCAGCGCTCAGACCCCTCAAGCTCAACTGAGTCGCCACCTCTCCGATCCCGCGCTCGTGCTGCACGGCGCGCCACGCCGCCACGCCCAGCCACACGCCCAGGACCGGGTACAGCGCGCACAGCGCGATCAAAGGCCACAGGGCGGCGTGGGGGATGCGGGCGACGAGTACGGTGTGGCGGGCCTGCTGCGCCAGCACGGTGCGTGGCGTGGTGTAGGCGCCGATCTTGGCGAGGATTTTGGTGCTGTAGAGGTCGGCGAAGGTGGAGGTGAAAGAGGAGGGGTAGACGGCGGCGATGGCGGCTCGGGTCAGGAAGTCTTGGAGGTCGTAGGCGGTGTTGCCGATGCCGGTGTAGAGTTGGGCGCCGTGGTAGATTTCGAGGAGGGTGCCGTTTGGGGTCGGGGTGTGGGAGAGGGTGGAGGGGAGGAGGGAGTTGGTGCGCGAGGTGTAGCTGTAGGTGACGTCGTGGGAGGTGGTGGCGCAGGTGAAGATGTAGTCGACGTATTGGTTGCCGGCGGGGGAGGTGAGGGTGAGGTTGGAGCTGGGCGAGAGGAGGGCGGAGGTGGGAGGGAAGGAGGAGATGGAGGAGCGGGCTGCGAAGGTCGTATAGACGGGGTTGATGAGTTGGGCGTCCTCCAGAGGGAGGATGTTTTCGTCGAGTTGGCCTGTGTCGTTGTAGCCTGCTGTGTTGTAGATTGTTTGTTGGTCGGGATCGGTGAAGAAGGTGTACATCAAGTTGGCGGCGGGTTTATACATGAGTTCGGAGCGGTAGGGATCGGGGGCACGAGTTCCATCCGCTTCACTGATGTTGGGAGTTTTGCCGAGCGTACCGTGGAAGGAGTTGCTGCAGGAGAAGTTTGTGTAAACGTCGCTTGGACCCCAGGTCGTGAAATTGCAGTTGTTGGGTGACACTAGGTTGCAAGTTGTAGATACGCCAATGGTGGTGGCTCGGTAGTCGGTGCTGCTATCGAGGCCGGTGTGTGCAGGAAGAAGATACGCCATCTGAGTATCGGAGGAGGCATCCACACGTGTGAGTCGAATCTCTGAGGTTGTAGACGTGTTGTGGGCCAGTTTGACATTTTCGTTCTGCTCCTCGATGAGGTTAGGGTCTTCCCAGCCGATGGCTACCGAGCAAGGCCAGCCAAAATGGTCAGTGCGATTGAAGCTCAGGCAGGTGGAAGAAAGAGCACGACCGAACTCCTGACTCGCGGGTTCGGAAACAATCTGGCTGAACTCAACAGTCTGCGTTACATAATGAAGAATGCTGTCGGTAAGGATTACAGCCCAGGCCAAGAACAGAGCTAAAAGAAGGACGACAGCAGAATGATTCACCACTGGCGGAAGGCCAGATGTCCTTCGCCTGGAGAAAAAAAGCGAGATGTAGTCTCTGAGCTGGTCGACAGATGCCAGGAGCAGCCCAACGAGAAGACCCATCTGATGCGGCGTGGGGAGTGAAGAGGCATCATCATCCTGAGAGGCATTCCTCAGGCGTTGTGAGGCCAGCAGTGCGTAGAGTGACATTATCAGGGACGAGAGCATGGGAGCGACAGTTGACAGGAAGCTAGCCAGAAACACGATCCTGGCTGGTAGTTGTTAGTGGGTGATATCACTTTGGCGTGAAGAAAGAGGCTCACTCGCGGAGAAGTTGACAAGAACGTCGCTATCGTAGTTGTGGCCATGGTCATCCACATCGAGGGCATTTTTCCCAGGGACGATACGGTTGGCGAAGACAATGACAAGTAGTATGGTCGACAGTACAGGGACAGGGACGCAAATGACCAGCGAAGGCCACAAGACGTACCTCAGCGGACTGCGAACAACATGCTTGTCTGGCTGGTCATGACTTATTGTAGTGTGTCGAACGAGGGAGTGTCTAAAGGCTCTCGGATCCGATGGCAGGTTATTTTGAAATTGGTTTGCGTATTCAAGCATAACTCACAAGTCGTCAACGCGCTCGAGGTACACTGCACAAAGCAGCAGCGCCGAAGCATGCGGTGGCCTGGTTGAATATGAATGAATAGATAACTTACCTCGTGCTAGAAAGAGGATGTGACCATCAGGTAGTAGACCCGACTACCACAGCTCTTTGCGGATGACCCACCATACACTGCGGTTTCATCCAGCCTGGAAACATTGACAACGCTGTATGCATCCATGGTGGTCACGCAAGCGGTCACCTAAGCGCCGTTCAGTTCGAGGCGCTTGGTTTCACCGTTGCCAAGACTGCCGCTAACTGGGCGCCACCACGTTGAAGGCTTACCACGCTCACTTTGATGGGCGCTCAGCTCTTAAACGCCTGGGTGTACGGGATCTGTCTTTGCGCCCTAGGAAGAATTGTGCAGGTCGTACTCAGTGATGTGTGACCTGAGGTTAGCCGGGGATATCACAAATAATTCATTCGCTCCGGTTTAGCGAGGTGGCACTACTGGCTCTGGACGAGGCGGTGGAAGAAGGATAGAAGGGTTCCAAGCGGCTGTCTGGGTGTGTTACTCAGCTGGTGCCGCTTGCTGCTCGCTTCCATATGATAACAGCTGCAGTGGCTGCGCAGACTACGGCTCCAAATGCTATTCCATATCGCAGCAATTTTCCGTTGTCCTCATCCTCTAGCGGTCGTGGATAGGCAGTTATTGGCTCCAGACCCGCCTCTGATATAGTGACGAAAAGTTCCTGTATCGACGGCCATGTCACACTGGTATGGATCGGCGGCCCTTGAGGCATCCGTTCCACCTCGGTGGTATACTCATCAGGCTGATATTCGGCTCGTTGGGTAGTTCGGTCAAGGTCGGCTTTCAAAGCCACGTATACCGACGGCAGATCGTTTAGATGTGGGTGGTTCTTTCGTACCATAGGAACATACGCAAATGAGTCAGGATCCGATGAGTCGTACGTGTAAACCATGACATCGCACTGATCAAGCAGCTTGCTCTTGTTGTCGAGCACGGCTGCCTCTGATTCGCCCAGTTCTTTCAGAATGAGATAGCATTGCCTCCCGCCAGGGAGCTCGACTGTGTTGACAGCTGTTCTGGGCTGGATCGTTGGCCGATATGTTTGGCTAAAGGGCTGGCCTAACAGTGCGTCCAGCAGATACGACTTGCCAGATTGGGGAGGACCAAGCACATGAGCGAGGATCACATTTCGTCCCGTCCGGCCAGGGCGCCTCCTCCGTTTGCGCGGCTTGGTGAGCTTCAAAGCCGCCGTGGTATTCGGGGTAGATCTGTCTGGTGATTCAAAGCCCAGATATGCGAGGTATTCAAGGGTAGTCTTCGGTGACATGAACGTAGTCATTGACCATTGGGCCAGCCATCCCTGTAATGTAACGTGTCCGGCGTCGTTGCGTACTGTACAAGAAGGGAAGTTGTACTCTAGCCAAGAATGGGGAATACCTGGCGTGGGCGCGAAGAGGGCGGCTAGTTCCTGGTCATTCAAACCACCGTCATTGTCACGATCTGAAGTGAGGAAGAGGTCCACGAAGAAGCGGTATCCCGCAGGCGACAGTTCTGCGGAGGCAAACTCTGGGACCTCAAGTTTCGGGTGAAGGAAAGACTCTTGCAGGGACAGGCTATCGGTGTATTGAAAAGTTCGCAGAATGATCCAAACTGTCTCGTGCCGACCTTTCTCGGCGTACAGCTTGTTGAGCAGAAGAAAGCCTTGTACCGTAATTCCGTGCTCGGTGACTGCATCTAATGACATGCTCTCGATGGTCTCTTTGATGTTTCTGAGGTCATCTTGGTTCAGCGTCTTGTCAAAGCACTTAAGCTGAAACTCCTCCATCTCCTTATCATTGAGAAAACCGTCTTTGTCCTTGTCACAAAGATAAAATATCCGCTGAAGCGCCGCGATTGCAGGAGACTTCATGACTGACTCTTTGGCGTCGAAGAGCGGGGCGATGGGATGCGTGACAGCCTTTTGGCAGAGGAAGAAAGCTTCATTGACATTGAAATGCTCTCGGGCACTGGTTCGAATGCACGAATCGATCTCCTTGAATTCTGCCATGACTGGTAGCATTTCCTCCTCGACGACTTGTGCCGAGGTGACCTCCTTGTCCACATCTGATTTATTGGCGCACAGTATCACTGGCAGATTGACACCGAGGGAACGAAAGTATGGCATCCAGAAAAGCGCAACTCTTTCATAGCTGTAGTGATCCGAGTAGACCAGGAGAATAACATTCGACTTGCGGACTTCTCGTGCCAGGTTCGGACGCTCTTGTGGTAGGGCAGAAGTATCGACGACGGTTGTTGTCACGTTCTCAGGGGTGCCAATTGCGGGAGGTATCGTTATAGGCGGTAGAACGGGCTGTATCTTGTTGCTGACAAAGGTATCTTTGACTAGAGATGCCACCAGACTTGACTTTCCGCAGCCCTCGTCGCCGCAGACAGCTATCCTCACATCTCGGTGGGTCATTCTGTGTGATAGGTCTCGTGGTGTAGGACAGCCAATTCTCCAAAACCTGCGGCGCTGTTTGAGATCGTAGGGTAGCGGCTGGTGCTACCGGCGACGATTCATCATTGTTCTGATCGCAGGAGATAGTCAAGTCCTAACTGCGCCAATAGTCAACAAGTAGGAACGTATGCGGAACAGAATATAGATGATGTGACGAGCGCGTTGGTCGCGACGTGACTCGCCAAACTTGCCCGGCCCGGTATCTGGTGCCTTCCGCCCCGCCAACGCCCATGGCACGCCAGGGGTGGATCCCCGCCACACTTTCACTGCCTGAAGTTGGTTGGGGGTGCAATTGACTTCACCGAGCCATTCGCACCGAACAGCGGTTATTGCAGTCTGCAACTGGCCTATAAGATTGTCCAGATAATCATTGACAGGTCGATATCGTTGCCCACCGGTCTGGTCATTGCCCTGTAAGCCAAGGATAGGCTCTGACTCACTGCAGAGCTGAAGGCTGACAATGCAGCAAAAATATAGGACTGGTTTTGACGCTCGTTTTGAATTTACGGAGCTACGGCCGATAAAGATGGCATCGTCTCTAGCTTTCTGGGACGGGATCGCCTCTGACTGGGACAGAGAGATACGAGACGTTGGCAATGATTACTGGACCTATCTGCAGAAACCAGCTCTGGAGCGCATGGTTGCACCCAAGGCTGGCGAACATGCACTCGAGCTTGCAACGGGAAACGGTCTTGTTGCACGATTCCTTGCCCAGTACGGCGTAGACGTCCTGGGAACGGACGGCAGTCCAAAGATGGTGAGCCTAGCGTCCGCGCGCACGGTGGTGGGTGAACCCAGTGCTGGGTCCCTCCGCTTCCAACAGCTCGACGTCAGTAGCGAGTCAGAGGTAGATGCGTTCATCGCCGAAAGAACGGCTCAGCTTGTGTGTGCCATGTCCATCATGAGCCAGGCCAGACGCTCACAGCTCTAGGCCGGCGGTGCGGATATTGTGACGATGAACATGGCCATAATGGACATCGAAGACCTGCAGCCACTCGCCAAATTGTTGAAGCACTTACTGAAACCCGTTACTGGACGGTGAGTATATATTATGTTACGCAAAAGTATCACCGTTGACATCCTCCCCTCAGCTTCGTCGCGACATTACTTCATCCGTTCTTCTTCACCAACAATGCCACCCGAACTGTGGAAGTCGACGAAGACGCGAATGGTCGGCGGCGCGTCGTCAGATCCATAAAAGTGAAAGAGTACCTTGAGGTCGCGCCACACAAGGCAGGACTCTACCTACCACAGTCTTCTGCAGACGACGTACAGGTGAGATGGTATCACGGAAGAGCTGTTGGACGACCCACCTGACCAATGCAATAATAGGTGGTCTTCCACAGACCCATTCATGCGCTGCTGGCGCCGTTCTTTGCGGTCGGCCTTGTCGTCGATGCTCTAGAAGAGCCTAATTTTGATGAGAGCTTTATGGATGAGACTCGGCCGTATGGATCCAAAAGCTTTACCCAGATTCCGAAAATACTAGCACTCCGGCTCAGGCTGCCCAAGCCGGCTTAATCTGCGAGAACTCGGTCACCTCGCAAATAGAAGATGCCCGGCGCAGCCCTGCTTCTCACTTTGCAGACAGCTTGCTTGGCAGCTGCCTGGAGGCTACTCGTAAGTGGCAGCTAGATTTTGAGCGTAGGAGGCGAATCATGATGTCGATGGTGCATTATAGAGTCTTGCGTGTTCGTAAGCACTCAAACGGTCGGCTGCTATTTTGCACGGGCAAATCTAGGCACTGCCACACTCGCTCCCGCAAGCCATCTTCTTAGGCTTCTTAGGGCGGGCCCAGGGTCCTGTGGGGCACCCCTCGGCATGACGCCCAGTAGCTCCGAGCTCACAGCCGTTCGCTGCGGCGAGTGCGGCTCGTGCGGTTCACTCTGCATCACACTGCCTGTTGCTTGCTTGCTGATCAGGTCGTAGGCATTGGCGTGCTCCTTCTCCTGTACTGCCATCCGTCGTGCGCACGTCTCGTGGCGTTGACCCTCGCTCCTTCCGTCACTAATATCTAATACGTCGCACCCGTCTGACGACGTCGCCCTCGACCCCTCCATTCCGAACTGCACTATAGCCGCAGTTTCCGTACTCCGGGTGCGAGGCCTGAATCTATATTGGAAGAGCGACGAGGACCACAGCGCAAGCAATACAGCTTGCTCGAGACGCTACAATGCCTCTGAACATTCACAATCCGTTGCCCGCTTCTATGCGAAGTGAATGCCCCGTCCTAATGTTACACGGCTATCCACTGACTCCGGCGCAGGCGAGTGCAAAAAGGCTGGGAAGATTCTGGCTTCCTTCGTCGACCCTAGGCAATCCTTTGGCCCTGACAAGGTCATTCCGCCATCGGTTCTAGGGAACGCAAAGGTAGAATGCATTGCCCCGCGATGTTTCACGAAGCTCACATAATGGCAGGGCCTTGCTGTCATCACCGTCTTCAAGGCCGGCTTCCTCGGATCTGGTCGATTTGGCTCAGGTATCGTCGTTGCGAGGCTGTCGGATGGCTCGTGGTCGGCTCCTTCAGCAATCGGCACTCTGGGAGGAGGTTTTGGAGGCCAGATCGGCTTCGAATTGACTGGTGAGTTGTCTTGCAGCCATATGTCGGCGCGGATGCGAACTTGTTCCTTCACCAGCGGCATCCTCTCATCCAAGTCAATCCATCATTGTCCTTAGGCCGGTCCGTTGCAGATTGACTGACATCATCCGCCATAGACTTCGTCTTTATTCTGAACGACTATAACGCGGTCAAGACTTTCTCGCAAGCAGCCAGTGTGACCCTAGGTGGCAACGTCAGTATTGCTGCGGGCCCAGTCGGGCGCAATGCTGAAGGTGAGCAAACCCCCCAAATAAAGCTCGGTACGACGACGTACTAACATACGCCAGCTGCTGGCGCCGCAAGTATGAAGGGCGTGGCAGGTGTTTTTGCTTACAGCAAGACGAAAGGCGCTTTTGCTGGGGTTAGTTTGGAGGGATCTGTTCTTATTGAACGACGGGACGCCAATCAGAAGATGTACAATGGCAGGATAACGGCTCGCCAACTCCTGGAAGGTGCCATCCGTCCTCCGCCTGCAGCTGACCCACTGATGAATGTCCTGAACACTCGTGTCTTCTCGGGCGTGGCGGCCGGTGGGGACAGCATGTACAATGACATGCCAGTTTATGACGACAACCGCGATAACGTGGTATGGGAAGGTCGATCTGGTGAGGCGTTTGGTGCGGGCGTACGCAATCACCGATCTTCCACTTTTGGATCTCGGAATGGCGACAACGAATACGAATACCGCGACTCTCCTCGACGTGCGAATACATGGCAGGATGACGTATACGATCAAGGCTTCAATGGACCTCAGCGAACAAATAGCTCTCGGGCCAATCCGACCGAGACATTTGACAGCATGAACGGCAGAAGTCGATCGAGTACACTTAACAATGACTATAGCTATAGCGACAATAAGCCAGCTCGACCCACCGCACCCAAGCCCATCTTCCGACAAAAGACTGGCCTAGGTGATCTGAGGTCGGATCAGGCAGTCGCGCTCTTCACATTCGAGGGCGAGCAGGAGGGCGACTTGTCTTTCAAGAAGAATGATGTTATCACCATCACCAAGCGCACAGAAAACAAGAGCGATTGGTGGACAGGGAGGACCGAAGACGGAAGAGTGGGGATATTCCCTTCCAACTACGTCGAGACTGCGAACTAGGTTATGATGAGAGGGTCGTGCTTTGGCAGATTACGAATCTTTTAACTCGATTTCCCCGGATACCGTTACGACACATCATCAGCGCCGGCGTCATGTTTCAGCTGTGCAAAATCTGCTGCTTATGCGACGAACATGATCGGTGGATATAGATGGAGTATGCGATGCTTTGCCCGACCTGCAACTTTGACCCCTTCGGCGCTCAGCCTTTGTGAGCAACGTGTCGGTTCTACTGCTGTGTGCGCTTTCCTGCTTCTACCAAACACGATCAAGCCGGAGGCTGTAATCCTTCTGGTCAAGCTTGGGCCCTGTTGTAGCATGAAGACGACCAAGGCTGCAGCTGTCCAGGGGAAGGCTGACCCCGGCTGTACCTTCCGTATCAAAAGACGCTGTCATTTGATCCATCCATTTCATTGCGCCTTCTTTCAGCTCGACCTTTCGCTCGTCCACTCGTATAAGCAGGATGTTCTGCTGCATCGGTGGACGCCTTGTTCTCGCTATGGCGCCATTGAAGCCGGCCAGTAGCAGCTCCAACCGTGATGCAAACCATCTGGCTGGTTTCAGCCACGCTCTCTGTGCCCATCCGTGAGGCTGAGCGACTCAAGCCTCCCAGCAGAGTGGTGTCAAATCCCATCATCTCATTGCTTACACGGTGAGTTGCAACTTGAACGAGACGCATGGCAGTCTGTGCACAGAAGTGAACGATGACTCTACATGCATCATTGGCAGATCCTGACACCGCCTTGTTGCCTGCAACATTCGTGCCATCCATGTGATAAGCTTGCCACCAGCCCTGCAACCTCTGTCTTCTGGTCTTTGTCTGCTTGGTGCTGCGTCAAGACTCAACTACCACCATTCTCTCAGCATGGCTAACCTCGACTGGCCTCTCTCCTCCCCATCGTTCAACACTAGTCGCGATCCACAGTACTACCACAACGACTTCACCAGCGCCTTGCCTCAACCGACAGACCCTTTACACGTTCCAATCACGCGGTCTAGCGTCTACGATGTCAGCTACACTCCGGATACCAGACCGAGGTCCAAAATAAAGCCATTGATATGGCCTGCTGTCGCCATAACAACACCTCTTGCCCTGCTATCTGCAGCTTTGATGGGTCTTGTGTTCGGCTATGGCGTTCGTCCTCAGCAGAGCATCTTCAGAAGTGATGACGATCAGTCGTATAGCTACAGTAAACCATACGTGCTGGTAGACTTCTCCGCAAGTACGTATGCTCGGCCTATGCTGGAACCTAGCTAATTGTTGGTAGCCCGACTCGTTTTTGCAGCCAGCTTCCTCTCGACGGTTGCGCCGCTGCTGACCAGTTTCATCATGACTCTGTGGGGTCTTCTAGCATCTCGTACCATGAGCCAAGCCTCCACTACTTCGCATTTTGAGAGACTTCCGACACCGTACCAGCTCTCTATCCTCATAGGTCTGTGTCTGGCGTCAATGGAGCAGCTGAGAACCTACTTCGGCTACGTCTTCTCGCGACGGCGAAAGATCGCATTGCCACCCGTACTCAACAGAGCAGCATTGGTGTTTACACTTTCAGTGTGCCTGGCTACCGCAGTCTTCATATCAGACACAGTTCTGCATTATGTCACCTCGACTATCCTCTTTGACCGTGTTAGTATCACGGTCGAACCAACGAGAGCCTACGGCTATGGACTGTCACAGATATGCCTTGACTTGAACCGAATCAAGGACAACTCCGGATTCCCCTGTTCACTGCCAGTTGGACCTGTATTCGATGATGCAAACAGCACAGCCAAGTATAATGAGATCAGTAGGCTGCAGGCCAATATTTCTTCAGTAAGCCAGATCCGCATGACAGGTGTCAGTGGGATGAACGCGGATGTTGCAATCATGATTCCCAACCCCAACACAGTCTCCGGGGCCGAGGACTATCGCGCCGTCACCGTCGGCGTAGCGACAAGCTGTAACCTGGTTCCCCCTGGACTGTGCGATCTGCAAGCGACTGGCAACAGAAGTACTTTTACCGATTTTCACTGCTCGGACAACTTCTTCGGCATGCTAGGCAAAGCACCAAACGTGTCTCTCACAGATGGCACCAAGGCCGAGGATCCAGATCTATCCCCGCTGTCGTTCAAACCTTCAGGCAACTTACAATATTCCTATTTCACGAGCCCCAATTTCGATGTCATATACAACCCCGAGTCGTGGGATCCCAATACCAACCAGCCGAACGATCCCGAGGAGTCGCACATTTTACCGGACGACAAACTCATAAATCCTATGTACGTGGGATTTGCCGCACGGATCGGCCAGTTGACATTCACCGAGGGATCCAGCATGCCATTCTCAGACATGATTTTCGACAGTGGGAACTATGTTGCCGATTTCATCATGTCGTGTTCGATAACGTCCTACACCGTTGAGTATACATGGTACAAATCATCGGTCCACAACGTCTCGGCCACCCCAACGCCGAACGGAACCCTCATCGAAGTGTTTCACGGCGACCAGGTCTACAATACAGTAGCCGGAGGGGCCTTTGACTTGCAGCAGAATCTCGTCAGTGCAGCAATTGCCGGGAACGACACTGAATCGTTCCTCAACAAGTGGCAAGATCTCTACTCAGTCAAAGCGATGAGTCATATAGGCGGCCATCTTACGGGACGTACCAATCTTCAAGAGCAAAGGCGGGAGTCTGTTCTGGTAGCGAAGGTCCCCAAGCCCGCTCTCGGGGCACTCATTGGTTTCTCGCTAGTTTACACTGTGCTGGGAATCTGGCTGGTCATAACAGCGTACAAGGCCTCCTCCGACGAGGTACACGCTATAGCTGAGCAGTTGAGTTTGGCTGGCCTAACGAACATGGCCTTTGGTGGCTCAAAGGACAAGGAAGCGGCTGCAGCGATCACTCCGCGCTCACAGCAACCAAATACACCAAGCGAGGGTGACTATTTTAGTACAAAGAGTGTCTCTCGATCAGAGACGAGGAGAGTGAAGATCAACGGGGCAGATTTTCAAGTTTGGGTCTGACAGAATGACACTATGTCGGCCGACAGAACAAGGGCTGGTTCCCTTGCTGTACGCCCCGCACCACATAGACGCGTTTGCAATCATTGCAAACAGGACCCTCGACGAAGCCGCCAGTTCAAATCGTCCACTCCAATACTTGCGATTGTGTGACGTCCGAGGACCAGCGGATGTAAAGCTCTCGTATATCAAAACCCATGAGGCATGCTAGGTCGATTGGCCCGCCATGTGCATTGGTCCTTGTCATGACCAGAAGCATGGTTCAACAGCGGAGCGTATGTTTTCCCAAAGGACGAGGTCAACAGGCCAGACCGCGGGCGTTCGCGTATGAGCTGAAGTCAAGCTGAGAAGCTAAATTGCCGAACCAAAAGAAAAGTCCCTGCCTTTCTGCCAAAGCTTCCACTCGGAATCAGCCTCGTATATGCGAGAAGCCGTCCAATCACAGCCCGGATCCGATCGGTTGCCTGTTCTGCATCGTCGCACACTAGGGCAGGTTTAGACGACCACCTCCCCGGGTGAACGAGCTGGAGCCGTCTGACCTGTTCCCCTGAGTACCGGATCTCTTTCTCGCTTTCCTGAAGCGGTGAATCATTCGAGAATGCGTTTTCAAAGGAGACCAGGCCCTTTCAGCTTCTGCTTTGCTCAGGTGGGGGCCTAACTGTTTGAACCATGATAAGGCCATCGTGCTTCGTCAATGACCGCCTTCAACAACCGCGACTGAATCCCCAGGACAGACACCGGTGAAGGAAACGACCATTCTCATTCGCTACCGTCAGACCGGGCTGCCTGGCGTCTCTAGTGCCAGAAAGTCCAGAACATGTGCTCCCGTCCGTCATAGTACTAGAGACGAGAGTCTTCCATTTCAACGCATCATTGGTTGCGTTCAGTGGCTTGCAGCTGCCTGCCCTACAACTACGCGGCCCCTGAACCTTCGCATTCTAGTACCGCAGATGGATGGATGAATGATTGGTGAAGATGCGTTGGTAGGTTAATGCAAGGCCCCGTTCGTTTCTGCGGGAGCTGGCACAGCCCTCCCTACCAGAAGTGTAAAAGTTGTAGACATAAGTATGAATGAAGGGGCTCTAGAGATGGCGTATATATCTTCGGACCTACTCGCCACTTACCAATGCACTCAAAACCATCGCGATAAGCGCTATTGTACATTTTAGACGCCGCTACAGGGCACAGGGATCCGACCATCTACGAACAGCATGCCTCCCCTCCCCCTACCCATCACGCTACCCCTTCTCCTCCTTCTATCCGCCTCTACCCTCCCAGCCCTCACCGCCGCCTCCTCCCCACCACCAGAGCAAGCCCCCCTCATCCCCTCCGCGGACCTGGCATCCCTCTCCTCCCTCTTCCTCGCCCAACCAGCCCCTACCGCCGGCCCGCCCCTCCTCTGCTGCGGCCCCACCTGCGCGCCAGGAGCGTGCAACGCCTTCCTCGCCTCCCCCCACAGTGCCGCCAATTTCGCAAACCTCTACCCCCTCCCGACCACCACACCCCCAACCCCAACATCCAAACTCAGCTTTCCCTGCTGCGGCCCCACTTGCCCGGACGGCGCGTGTCGCGGCCCTGGAGCGGTGCAGAGCAGTCGGCCCGCGCCCGCGCCGGAGACCACGGCACCACCACCGTCGGAGGGAGGGCGTCTGCGGCCGGGCCACGGCGACGGCGAGAATGTCGGTGTCGTCATCGGCTGTTGTAAGGGGTGCAAGGGCTGTCGGCAGAGCGCGGGTGGTGGGGGCGAGGATAGCACGGAGGTGGTGCGGGCGAGACCCACCGGTGGCGCCGCTGGCGCTGGCGAGGGTGAAGGGGCAGCCGTGCCGCCGAAGAAGCCGGAGGATCCGGGCTTTCAGCCGCCTAGACCGGCGCCGGAGGCGGGGATCTGCATTGGCTGTGTGGGCGGCGTGTGTTGGCCTTGTATACAGAGTCGGGTGGCGACGTTTGTGGGGTTCACGCCGGAGGTTGGTGGGGGTGATGAGGCGACGGCGACGGCGACGGCGACAGGCGAGGGCGCGGGGCAGACGGCGGTTGCGCCGGGTGAGCATGCGGAGCCGACGATGCTGTTGGCGGCGGATTATGTGGATGCGATTAATGGTGTCAATCAGGATGTGGTGCCGGTTGTGGTGCAGAGTTTTGGTGTTGGTGTTGGCGAGGATGGGACTGGTGAGGGAAAGGGGAATGAGTGGGAACTGTTGACGCTGCTGGCTAATGTGGATCTGAAGGTGCAGGAGAACTATATCAGTCGGCGCGTGCTGGTGGCCCTGGGGCTGGTGGACGATGTCAAGGCTTTCAAGAAGGGGACGGGCAAGGTGGCGGTGTTGAGCGGGCTGTTGGAGCCGATGGTCGTGGATGGCTATGTGGATGTGGATATCGTCATTGGGAGTGCCACGGGCGGTGAGGAGAACGGCCTGTGGCAGTTGCTCAAGGGGCTGAGGTGGAATGTTTACGGTGAGGACAAGGAGGGTGTTCTGGGAACTCCAGACGTTGTCCTGGGCACGAGGGTCCTGGGTGAGATCGGCGGTCTGAGTGCTGTGCAGGGTTTCAGGAGGCAGGTCGAGGCTGGAGTGAAGGTGCTGGGCGTTGGGCACTTCGTTGGCGATTCGACTCCGGAGAAGACGCCAGGGAAAGATGAGCTTTGAGTCAGAGGCAATGGGCGAGGCAATGGGAAAGCCTGCATCTGGCTCGCAAATGCTGCAAATACGTTCGCAGAGGCCTATGGTAATCAGCTTCTATCCCGTGTGGCTCACAGATACGTTTAGCTACCAGTCGACCGTAATGTCTCCATTGAGCATTAACCTCCTATACCACAACAGTTCCTTGCATTTCTGGGTCAGCGTTCGTGATGTATTTCCTGATCTTAAGGTACATGCGTTTGCAAGGGAGCCACAGGTCGTCGAGTATCAATGCAATGAACACCAGCAAGAACGCGACAGGCGTCAGGTACCCTTCGCCTTCGCTCGCCTTCGCTCGCCTCGAAGGCTTGCCGGGTATGGTAGAAGCAGACTCGAACTGCAAACGTAGTGAACTTGTGCGCGAAGGCTAACCACACTGTCGTGGTCAGGACAATAGAGAGAGTGATTGCAAATGTCGAAATTTCGAAACCGTCAGGAGTCTGCACGAAGTTCATACCGAAGATTCCGCAAACGCACGAGGTTGGAATGTAGACAAAAGCAAGAATTGTCAGACGTGTGACGGTAGTCGCTTGTTCGATGGCTTTGCGACTCTCCCGGATTTGGGTCTGCGTGAGCTCGATCTGGAGATCAGTCAAAGTCGTCTCTTGTTCGCGCCTGATAAGGAGCGCCAGAGCATCAAGCTTCTTGTGCAGAGCCGCAGCTGTCTGTATGGCCGCTGATGTGATCTCACGCATCTTTGCGATTATACTCGAAGGGATCTGCAGCGCCTCATCTCTCAGCAAATGTTCGATAGTGTCATGATGCTGGTTCAACAGCACACGAAGCGCAGATGCTCGAGAGTCAATCACCCGCACTGTTGCGATCCTCTCTTCCGTGGGCAGGTGTCGCATGACGCGAATATTTGCATCAAGGACTTCTTGAATTGAATTGATTGCAGCTGCTAGTGCCAGCATATGAATTAGACGCATAATCAACTGGGATTCCCGAATTGCACAGAAACGTGGCCATTCATATGTCCGGCACACTGAGAGAGCATCGGCGATGATGCTTGCGCCTGAGAGACCACCTGGAATGTCTGCATGGCGGCGAATTTCATCGATGTCAAGAAGGGACTCCGCCAACGAGGGGTCATAGGCACGATCCAGAACGGTCTTTACTTCAAAGCCTGTCTTCTGCAGGTCCAGGCGTGCTGCCGGGGATTTGACAGCAGGTATCGGCGATGTTAAGACCATACCTAGCCACGAATCAGACACGCAAGACGTGGTCTGACGGAGAACTCACCAAGAGAGCACCGCTGACCGAGCATACCCGATAGCAACAGAATCGTGGATGTCGTAACAATGTCCAATGTTGCCTGTCGTTCGCCGGTACTTCTCGCGTGGGCAACCTGCGATACAACTCTTCCAGGCATCACGGACGATAATCCGATAGCCTCTGCTTCCATGTACCTGTACCTGTCGGTAGTGACCAAATCAAAACAAGACCATGAAGCGTGGGCAATCTGGTCAATGCTTGCTTCGTAAATGGGCAATATACCAGCGAACGGTCGTTTGTGGCCGTTTGGACTGCACGATCGAAGGCTCATCATTCTTAACGACCACATACCGCGCGTATCGATCCGTTCATCGTATGGAGCGCGGACGGATGGAAATTCCACGAACTGCACACCATGATCGAGATGGGTGTCCAGAAGGTCTCGCCAGAGGTGTGAAACGAACACTGATGGCGCCATGCGCAGCCAGTGGCCGAAGAAGACAACATCAGCTGGGCCGATATCATCGATCAAAAAGACTGAAATCAAGTTACCATCGTGCATGTGCAGTAGATCCCAGTGTGCGGCAAGGTGATTTGGCACGTCGGCAGGAAACTTGTGCCAGGTGATGTCTGTCGAGCTTCCCATAGACACAGGCATGACTGCCAGGCGAAGGATTACCGTCTTGCTTGTCTCAAATCTATAAGACGGCGGCACATAGTCTTGCCACGCCAGGTGGGCCCACGCTGATGTTGAAATTTGTCTATTGCTTAGCCGACCATGTCGGATATACGATCCTAGCTCATGAGAGCCAGGCAAGCCGCGCCACTCGCTTTCGACACGACGAAGATAGCTTGCGTTCGCTGGCTTGGCGGTATCTCTTGCTGCCTCCAGCAAGCTCAACCACTTGTTCTTCTCGGACTTTTCGGCTTCGAGCGTGGCGTAATCTTCCCAATTCGTGACCTCTTGGATGAACTCATCGAGAATACGCGTGCGCTGTTGGATCAGATTGATGAGTCGTGCAAGGTTGTCCTCAGATAATGGGGAGCTTGTTTCAGTGTCACAGCCGGGACATGGCGTCGCTTCTCTCAAGTCAGGGAGCACTTCCATGATGGGATCAGATTACCGGCAGTGGTTGACTGACAGAAGTCATCGATCAGGCTGGGTCAGCCGGTGCTTTTGTCGCTCCAGAAGCGAGGCGACAGGGCTGGCGAGGCAGTGACCCAATCAACCACTACCGTGCAGATGGTTGGACTCAGTCATGGCTGGGCACGAACGTGACTTGCCAGCCTAGCGACTTCCGCCACCGGTCGGCTCTGCAGTCTGCAGTCTGCATCCTGCATATTGCATGATCACAGTATCCGTCGAGCATCAACGCGAGCATCGCTACAAGACAAGAGGCAGGATTGCTCAGATTGGGGCCGTATTCCAGGGTCGTCAAGATACTCGTCTGTCCGAAGAAGCTTTGGTACGTCATTGTCATGGTGATTGCCAAGCCCGTGTCCGGTTGCCACTTTACGCGCCAGGCAAACACGTTATCTGTTGCCGGGAGAGTGCAATAGTCATCGCGGTCATCGATCACTTCACATACGACGCGTTTGATGTTCGCGAGAATTCTCTGCGACTATGCAAAACCCATCACGACAGTGCTGACGATACTGAGGTAGCCCGAGCTGCCTTCTTCTGCGCGTCATGGCCTTCTTCACATGGTTATGGGACTGGCTGCTATGGATGTTCTGGGCGACGGAGATGGATGTCACGATTGTCGGCCTACAGAATGCTGGAAAGACGAGCCTACTTCGAGTCCTTGCTGTAGGTAATGCCGAGCATCCTTGCGGAACCACGTGCTTAACGTGCCAATACAGGGCGGCGAGTTCACCATCGACTCAGTTCCTACGATAGCCTTCAATAAGAAGGAAGTCAAGAAGGGTCATGTCAGCATCAAGTGTTGGGACATAGGAGGTCAACCACGTTTTCGGTCTATGTGGGAGCGCTATTGCCGCGATGTCAATGCCATCATCTTCGTGGTTGACGCCGCCGACAAGGATGCAGTGCCGGTAGCAAAGGAGGAACTACACGCACTGTTGGAAAAGGACACTCTGGCGAGCATCCCTTTGCTCGTCCTCGGCAACAAGAGCGACCTTCGCGAGAAAATGAGTGTCGATGAGTTGATCGAGGGTCTGGAGCTGAAGAAAGTCGTCGGCAGGGAGATCAGTTGCTATGGTGTCAGTGCAAAGGCCGAGACGAATCTGGAGGCTGTATTGCAGGTGAGTTCCAGCAACCCATGCCGCCTTGCCGACGCCTGGTCCGATTTGGCTTCATTGCCCGCTCTGCGTGTTTCGGGTTCGCTTTGCTGACACACTTCGTCGCTAGTGGCTGGTAGCAAGGAGCGGCAAATAGTGATGCCTATGGGCCTGCACTCGATAAGGCTGATTTCAGGCCTTCCAGCTTGAGTCCTCTTCCTGGGGGTGTAGCGAAGCCGCAGAGTAACCTCGCCGTTTCTTACTCTATCGGTCTATAAGCAGGAGTCTGCCAAAGCGGTACTTCGCATATTTTGCGCGTGTTCGCGAAGTTTGATATGGATTCCATCATCAGCATAGCCAATGATGAGTGATTTGGAAGATCCTAGGGCACAGCCTCATCCTGAAACCCGGGGAGGAACATTGCTCGGGTGTCGGCAAGCCTATGATCGCTGCCAAGCTCGCAGGGACCCTCAAGGATTGCCCAGCGGGCACCCTCATCGGTGCTCTCGGACGCCGTGCAGAGGATCCTGTTCAGCCCAATTCAATATAATCAGCTGTGGAAAACGGGGCTGATTTGCAGATATCGCTCTTCCTTCACCTCCGGCATATCCTGCATATGCAATAGCCTCTTTGACCTAATCAAACGTCATCTTGAGCCAGCAGTGCCGAGTTGGAGTGGAAGTTTGTGGCAACGCCTCCGGGCGGTTCCAAGCAAGCAAGCGGGCGCGCCAAGTTGTAAATTTCGTCACCACGTCATTAAGCCATCGAGCGACGGGGCGGAGCAGCTGAGCCCGTGAGCCCTAAGACGTACTTGTATCGCCTGCGACTGCGACAGTGCCAACTTTGCCTCTCTCTTTTCACAATCCATCATTCCACCACAACCGACCTCTTCCCATACCAACGCACCTGAGCATCGTTACACGATGGAAGACACACACCAACTCTTCGCGCGCGCAACTTAGTACGTTCAGTCCACCTCTTTCTCCACACATCACCCTAACATAGCGCAGTTGTCGCGATCAATTTGGCAGAGTATACCGTTGCAGAAGTACTTGGAGCAATTGGGGCCGTTGGGTCGCTTTGGCTGTCATTGTCATCGCTGCGCTTATCCTATTCTTCCTCATTGCGTAAGTCTCGGCCACCTCTAGCTGAACGGCAAACACTGATCGGTGTGCAGATGCATCAGTTCCCGCCGTCGTCGCAAGGCCGGTCGCAAGCCGTTCTACGGCACTGGATGGGCAGGTAATGCTAGACCTCCCTTTGGCGGGCAGCAGCAGCAATACAACCCCAACTACAACACCCAACAGCCGCATTACGGCCAACAAACCGCACCTCCCAACTACAACCAGTCGACTGGTGGTTACTACGGTCAACCACAAGGCGGTGAGGCACAGAGCTATTTTGGTGGCCAGCGAGGTGATGTCGAGATGAACAACAGCGGCTATGCGCCACCTGCTGGTCCTCCTCCTAGCAAGGTCGTTCACTAATTGATACGACACGACATCCTCCACCCTTATTAGGCAGCAAGCAATACATCAAAGCAGGTTTTCTATTGGCAGCGATACACGGGCGACATTGGCTGGCGACAGCGTTTGGAGTTGGACAGTGGACGGGTTGTTTGTTTGCGTGCTACGGTGCTACGAAGTCAGCACGCGAAATGAGTACGGCTATCAACGAGGCACGCAGATTGCGATCACCCCAAGGATCTTCAGCAAGAGGCTGGACACTCACAACACAGTCATGATTGAGTGAATATGTCTTAGACGTACTTGGCCGACACTTTATCCGTTCAATGTACGCATTAGGATACCCCTCATAATTAATACCACCGTCGCTACGGCACACGCACAGCATGATGTATTCCGTATTGCGCGCCCTTTCCCCCCCGTATAGACCTTACTTGGCCACGTTTCAGGCTATGCAGGACCTGTTTTTAGTGTCGATCTCTCGCTCCTGCGCCCCATACTAACCCAATATGGGCTCGTAGAACCCATTTTCCCGCATGGCCGCCCCTGCACAGCTGCATGCGACTCTTCAACTCAGCCTCCTTTCGTTGCACATCCCTCTTCTCGCCTCTGTCTTTCAAAATACAAGGCCACTTGGTTGCCTGGGGACAAGAGGACAATCGCTTTCTTTCAACCTTCACCCATCTTCACCGTCCCATTCGCTTTGACCTTATCTGCCGACTACACATTCGCTACGCCCTATACGCCAGGCGCGCATTCCGCCCTCCACTTACCCCAGCCTCTGCCCACATTCCTCCGCCGCCTCCTCTATTCACGATTCGGACTGCACCACTTCACGATCACTTAATCGCTCTTTCGTCGCTGTTGCTCACGCTCTTCGGCTTACTGCAAGATGTCCAACGTAATCGATGAAGTCAAGAGTGCGCCCGACACGTTTACGAGTTGGGACAAATGCATGGACAAGGCTTACTGCAAGTATGTTAGCTGCCATCTCTTCTTGCGGAGCGACTAATGGTAATTAGATGGCCGGCCATTATCGGTATTGTCGTTGGCTCGCTGATCCTTCTCTCGGTGCTATTCTGTCTGGTACAATGCATCTGCTGCGGTGTATCCTGCGCAAAAATGCTGTGCTGCTGGTATGTCCTCCATTGTGGTGCCGTCAGACATAGCTGAATTATTACAGTTGCAATGGCTGTGATTGTGGTGGCAAGAACAGACGTCGTGACCGAGATGACCGGCCTAGTCACAAAGACAACGAATACCATCAACTGCACTCCCAGAATCCCTACTCCGGCTATCAGCCACCGAGCATGATGGCGCCGACCTATCGCGGAGTGCCCCAGACGGCCACGTTTGAAGACTCCAAGGGTGGTGACACTCTGCCCGCCATGCCAACATGGGACAATGCTACAACTCATCGCGTCGAGGTGCAGGAGCCTCCACGTCACAGGCCGGACGATGTCGAGATGGGACGGCTGAACCCAGGCTACTCAAAAGGCGGCTATGATCAAGTCCCTCTCTCGCCAGCCTCACCTACTGGAGCAGTCCCAGGATATTTTCCCCCTCAGCAATCTCACCCGTACCAGTCGGATATGGGCGCACAACGTATGAATCACCAATCTACTGGATACGGTCACGGCTTCGACCCTGCACCTATTCCCAGCTCTCCCGCACCTACATACCAAACCCACGCCCCTCACCCATCCACAGGCGATCGTTTCATGTCAGGAGCTGCTTCTCCACCCCCGCACCACTATCAATCCAACAGTCCTTCTTATGCTCCTTCGAGCACCAACTACGAGCCCAGCCACAACGACTACTCTTCTCGAGCCAACACCTTCTCTCCTCCGCCGGCCGGCACCATGCCCACCGGTAACAGTTACAGTACCTACAATAACTCGTCCGCTTTCGAGGCCCAGACATCACCCAGAGAAGCTCGTCCGCCCTCACTGCTGCAAGTCGGCAGAAAGGCCGTGCCCGGTACTAGACGGGAGGTATAAAATCATCATATGATATTTCGTTTTGTGGGGAGACCAGCGTCTCTGTTTTGGATTCAACCCAGCATTCTGGGAATGGGATAATGACCAGTCATATCAACGGCGCACCTGACACACAAAAGACGAAAGGTGTCGCTTATCTACAACGTGTACGGTGTGTAACATTAGAGACATGATTTCTTGCTACGGCAGGCCATGATGCAGGAATCACATGGCTAGGCTTGTGCTACCGCTACAGCATGCAAAGAGAATATACTCGGCTTGCTAGAGGCAGAACAGAAAATGACGATTCAAGTCGCTATTTACCTATAGCCATTGCGTTATCTAAGTCCTCGAACCCCCCCCCCTCGATTACGAAAGAAGAGTACAGTCACCATCACTACTGACACTTCCGGATATATGCCTTTCTCCTTGGTCCTTATGGACATATAAATGCCAAGACACGTCAGATCCCAACAGCGTCTGGGTGAGGGGAAGAGTAGATGTATCGCACGAAGGAGACAGTAATGCTCGTGGAAATGTCTAGTTAGTGTCTTGGAGACTGAGAAATGAAAGTGAAATGAGATAGTGGGCTATCATGGGGAATCAAATATTATGTTTTTGACGCTGACGAAGCCATCGTCGCTAAAGGGGGATATCTCATGTACGCAATCATCAAGGCCATCCGTCTGTCACCTCGCCTCACCCTGCATCGGTCAAGACCAAGCTGCGCCTTCTTCTCGATCAAAGGGGAGCGCCTCAACCACCCTTGAACTCGAGCTCAATCTCCTCTCCTCGTCCGCTGCCGCCTCGCCTATTTCTCGACTCCACGATGCGCCATCACAGCTCTATTGCTTCGCCACATACTCACGCTCGCCCAGCTCATTCGTGGCAGGTCCTGAGTGATAGTGCTTGCCATCGCCTGCACCACTGGAGCTTCTCGCGAGCCCCGTGTTCTGATTAGGTGCCGCTAGACCTTGCGCTGGTGCGGCTTGTGCTGGTGATGCTTGAGTGGCAATCGGACTTCCGTGGGCGGCTTGGGCAGCCTTGCCTGACTCGGTAGGCGAGGTAACAACGCCGGATTCTTGAGCCGGTGGTACTGTGGACGCAGGGGCTTCCGTATGAGTCGCGATGGGTGTAATATTTCTGCTCTCGACAGGCGAGGTTGGCAAGGACGTAGACTGTCCAGCAGACATATCTGCAATGATTTCATGCCACTTGACAGCGTCGGCACCGGTGTGAGCCTTGAATTGGAATTCAGACGAGATGGACATCTTCTGTGAGAGCTTATTGCCTGAAGAGTCCTTACCCTTGATGGTGAATTTCTGACCGTCGACCGCGCCGATCGTGGAATCCGGGAGATAAATTGACTTCTCTGGAGAGGGTTCTTTGTGGAAGTCGTCATTGTCCTTGAACTGATGCAGCCACCCAGCAGGGGTGATGGCATAGTAGCCGCTCTTGTAGCCGGTAAGAGCACCAACCCCGCCGCGGGACTTGCGCTCCAGTGAACCTTCGATGAGAGGTTTTGTCGCTCGGTGACCCTGGTTGGGGAACGAGATGTTGTCCATGGAACGAGGAGGGGCATTTGGATTGACGAGAACATTGCTGCTGCGCTCACGGAAGCCGTTCCACTCGAAATCAAGAGGGATATTGGAGGCGGTCGAGGCGATATCGCCAAACATGGCCTTCTGACGGTCGGCTTGGCCTGACATGAATTGGTTGAAGGAGTTGAGCGCGGTCTGAAGGGTAGTGACGACGTGGGCTTCAAACTGCTGAAAGCTGTTCTGTACAGCAATCACGTCCTGGCGGTTATTGTTCTCCTCGAGGACTTGCTTGTTTAGATGGTGGTTGACGTTGCGCTGTAGGACGTATGGATCGTCGTCGGCAGCTAGCCTTCCATGAGAAGAATCAAAACGCGCCGAACTCTGAGCTAGAGCATCGATGTACTTTTGAGAGACCTTCCTCGCGGCATCCACAGCCTTGGCCCCCTTTCCTGCCCCGGACTCGAGCTCCTTGGTCTTGCTCTTGATTTCAGCGTGTAGGCGTTCAAGAATAGGCAGCACCTGGCCATGGAGGTTCTTCTCGGTCTCGACATAGAGATTACTTTGGGATTGGGTATTGGCGCGCAGGTTCTCAAACAGACCTGAGATACCTCCTAGAGCTGAGTCGAAGTGATGGCCCTCTCTCAGTGGGTGTGACAGGCTCTTCAGAATCTTGTCTTGATCTTTGGCTGATGTCTTTTGCACTTTGGCGACTTCCTTGATGTACTCCTCCAGGTAGCCGCATGTGTGCTTCCACGCTTGAAGACGCTCCTGAAGGAGACCGATGGAGGTAGAAGGGTCACCCTGAGGACCATCGCCGCTGGACACCGAACTGCCACCCATCGTGGTACTAGTGGCAGTCGTGTTCGACCGCGTAGGCAGAGAAGTCATGGTCGAAGAGTATGATGGAGGTTGCTCGTATGTGCCTGTTCGAAGGGCCTGCTTTAAGAGAGACATGTTAGCATACGTTGTACTAGAAGCGGTAACTGGGTGTTTCATTTGACGTACCAATCTTCGCAAATGCTCAATGCCGTTACAATGGTCTGGCTGCAGCTGCGCCGGACCACGTTAAGGGGGAAGGAACGCGGCCTTATATCTCTGTCGACTGGTGCAGATCGCTACTGGTAATTTGATATCAAGACTGTTCGTCGGTCTTCAGGAGATTGGCGAACGTGGATCGAGCCCCGCCGTTGCAGTTCTACAGTGCCGTCATCGTGCAGAGAACACAAAGGTCGAGACCTACTTTTCATCCAGCGCTTTGCCTGGTGCAGCCTAGTGATCGACAGGATACACCCGCCACGGTTTGCACAGCCACAGGAACTATCCTCAATGAGGCTTTTTGATGTTGCGGAAGAAGGTCGTGGACTTGGTGGTTGCTGCTGTTGGGCAGGCTCGATCGAGCATCTAGAAAAAATGATGCAAGCAATCCGAGAAATGCAGCCAGCCTTGAAGCTGCAGCGCACTTGTATTAAAATTCATCTGGGATGCAATTCAGACGTGGGTATCGCTATCATGAAAACAGTATTCGTGCGGCCTGCACTCATCTATAAGGACTCTCCGGGGCTGGCCTGGTCCGTGTTCATTGACCGTTTGTGAATGATGTCCGTCTACGCTTGACGCCATACCATGGTACCCACAACTCCACGCTTACCCCAGCGCATGGTCTTAAGACCAAATCATTCCTGGTGCATTCAAAGACTTGATCTCAGGCTATCCATCTTCCCAGTCAAGTTGGGCTGCTGTGAAACTCGTCTCCCTCCACTTCGCTTAGTCCCTCCATGTCACTACTTCCCTCGAAGTCGCCCGGACTGACGAGCTCAACGATGGACTCTCTCTTGGATCGTAGTTGATTCATTGTCTCCTCGATTTCGGCAAGGTCCCGTTCGTCTTCGGCAGTCGAAGCATCCGAGAATGCCGCCCTCACGCATTGGTCGGCAACCAACATGGCCTCGTTGAAATGATCTAGCTGCATTGACTGATTCTCTCGGGGACTGACGTTCAGAAAATTGGTCCGCCCGCATTTAGCAATGTTCAATGCCAGTTCTCTCACGATGTTCCGCAATTGATGGTACCGCTGAGGATCCGTCTCCTTTGCCTCATCCAACGCCGCGAAGAGCTGTGCATTCACAAGCTCTGCCGCTTCGGCTCGCACATTACATCCTGTCTCATTGAGGCCCAGGATCAGAGAAGCCGGCCATTTTGAAGCTGTCTCTTGCACAATGGGCTGAAGCCATCCCTCGGACTTAGCCACATCGGGATGTTGGTTATCGATTCTCAAGAGTCCCCGTACCAGTCGGAGGTATTCCGGAGCATAGTCGACCGTGATTGAGTCTACACTCTCCAGAGAGAACCTTGCCATATCCTCGGCCATTGACTCATCATGGCAATTCTGGCAGAATGCAAGGGTTGGCTCGACATACCCCGCTGCAATTTGCATATCGCGGTGCCCAAGTCCCTTTCTCAGTACTCGAGCCATGTCATCGGCGAATTGGGGTTCGCTGGCGAATTTGCCCACAATTTGCGCTGCACCATCAACAGCTTGTCGACCTTTGATTAACCGCTGAAGCCAACTAACAGCCATTGGGTTGTATGCAAGACCCATCTTTTCTTGCTCAGACGCAGATAATCCAATTCCATCGGTGTTCATCTGACGTTGATGAGCATCAGGCTCCAGTTCAAGGTTGGCCTCGCAGAGCAGGTGAGCAAAGCATTGCACGAGAGCTGAGTGATTGAACTGTCGGTGCTTCTCCCGCATGTTTACATACCCCGCATAATAAGCTCGTACAGCTCGATCAAAGCGACTGTCCGGGGCGTCGAGAGTGTGCAAATGGACCATTTCGAAACACCGCTCAATGAAGCCTGTCTCGATGACGCTCCTGCTGGCCCCTGGACTGATGTTCGAGATGCCGATGACGAGATTAAAGTAATCAACCCAGGCGCGCGGCGTGCGCGTCACGAGTTGGAAAGCTCGGAAGAGATTCTCGACGATGATGTCAAGGAAACGGTAGTAGCTGACGCTGGTCGACGTCACTGCCCCTTCCTGATCAATGTCTTGTTGGAGGGCTTGCAGACAAGTGAGTAGCATTGAAGCGAACGTCTTTCTGGCTAACGGGTACATGCTGCGGATAGTTGAATCCATCAGCACGTTGGGGTATCGCGCAAACCAACTCATGCAGGTCCACGCACAGGTGGTGCAGCGCTGCATGAACGACTTGACAATGTTAGCAGTCACCTCCAACTCCGGCAGTAGTTTCCAACGCGAAGACACTTTGTGCATGTAATCAAGTGCCATACCCAAAGCAGCCTTTTCAGGGTTGTGATCCTCGCTGCATTGTCCCGAGCCAAGCTCGTTGACGCGACGAAGTAGATCGCGGATGAACCGAGCATGAACAGGATCTTGCATGCAATAAGCACGTAGGAACAATTCGTTTTCTTGATCAATGTGCTCTTGGAGATCATGAGAGATGCTGAGCTGTAGAGGCTGACCGCGTTGAACCTTCGGATAGTGCATCTCGGTCTCCACGATGCTTGAACGGCGCTGGTAAAAGAGCATGTACGCATTGTAGAACTTTGCCATGCCGTAGATAGAGGCATCAATGCCGCCGAAACAGTAGTCTCCGATAGTGCTAGAGTCAAAAACCGTGACGTCTGAATCGTTGAATTGCACCCACGACCCTCTGGGTTCATCAGCGGACGGACGTTGACGGATGTATGAATAGTAATGGCCGGAATCGGCAGTTCCGGAGTGCACGATAATGCCAGTGAGTTCAAAGACATCCGGCGTCGGGGTGTCGTTGTCGCCGCTTAGATTGTCTAGCTTGTAAGGGGCCATATCGATGGTCTCGGGAAATTCGAATTGGTCGTTCAGCTTGGCTCTCATGCATGTCACCAGATCGAAGTCGAATCGCTTGAGGTTGAGTATGAGATTGTCGGGAATCTGCTTGAGGCACGACCGCTTGACGGCATCGACGTGTTTGGCGCAGGACGTACAAGAGTACTTATTGTCTCCTTGGAGCACCTCACCTTCGACATAAGCTTTCAAACTTTCCTGGAGGGAAGCTTTGCCCTTGATCTCGACCGGTAGCACTGAAAACGTCTCCGGCCGTTCAGAGATGTGCTCACACTCCTTAGATTTGATTTGCTGAATTGTTTCTCCACCGTAGAAGCTCTTTAATTGAGCTCGGACGGAAGGATCCACGGTCTCGCTCTCCAATCTATCGAACAGGAGGTTGAAGAACTCATCCACGTCCATCTGCACAGTGACATCGATCTGTTCACCGTCCCAGGTCGTAATGGACTCAACTGCAGCTGACGGGTCAATCGATTTGTCGTGAGAGTTTTGCATGTATGCGAATACCTTCGACAACTCCCACACCAATTTCTGATTGCGAGCATTCGCGCCATTCTGGAGAATAAGATCGCGGAACTGGACATTCATGAATAGCTGCGAGAGGAGAGAGTTGAGGTAGCAGGTATTGGACAGGTTTCGAAGCCCCGAATACCCAACTTCGCTTCGAAGAGCGAGTCTTTCGTTGCTGGCAGCCGCCGGAAGTTGATCACTGACATCAAAGTCTTCGCCGAATTCAGTGACCAGGAGTTCGGCATCCTCCGGCTCTTGGCAAAGGGTCAATAGCAGACTGTATAGGCACTCGCGCACAGTCATGTCGAGCACGGGCAAGCGACAAGCCATTCCACTGACATCTGACAGCGGCGGACGAAGAAACCGCCCGATTAGCTCTCTCATTAGTTCGCTCTGAGCAGGAAGACACTGTTGGCTGCGTAACAAACGCGCAATTTCTTGCAACATTGGGATCATACCAGCAACAAATCGGTCTGCGAGAGGCTGCCCAACGATCTCTGTGTGATCGTGCGCGAGCAAGGTTGTTGTCCATTGCGGGAAAATGCCTGCGAGCGCTTGTACTTCAATCACTTTGCCCATTCTCCTTAGCACACCCAGGGTGGCGTCGAAGTACTCTTGACATTGGGAACTGAACGCAGCCGCAACAGGAAGTAATCCCAGGAGAATGTTCCAGATATGAATCGAAGCCGCTTCGATTGTAGCCGAGTCGTGTCTTGAACGAGCAGCTCTGGGATCGTTTGCTTTTGGCACATTTTTGAAACCAGCTTGCCCCGTCAAGCCCATGAAAACATCCACAACAGCTTGTCGCACCTTCTCATTGACATCTCCAATGAGTGCTTGTTGAAAGACATCGATGAAGTCTTTATTGCCATTCAGGTGCTGCCAGATGCGATCATCATGGAGACTGGCTTCGACGAGAGCCTCGATACCTGCACGAATCGGCTTCTCAGGATTCTGAGGTAGGATTGTCTGCCCTCCTGCAACTTTCACCGAGGATGTGTAGCGGACAACATGGTCAACGAAATCTTCATGATTGGCGATGTACAACTTTCCGGTGGCAGGTGGCACCTTAGTTCGAAATGCCAGGAGCAGAGTGTCAATGGCTTCGTATGCCGCAGACAGCTGCAAAGGAGAGTCGAAGCTGGTCCTATCGAGTTTGTGCAAAGCCACAACAATGGCTTGGACTGCATAAGAGACGAATGCCAAGTCTGGACTTGCTGAGAAGGACTCTTCTTCGATACAGGCGCGCAAGGCGTGGGTACAGAAAAGCAATTTGTATGGCTTCTCACAGGGTAGCACATCGGAAGCTGGTGCTTCCATATCTCGAATCTTTTGCGACACCTCCTTGCGAACAGAGGTGATTGTGAGAAAAGTATACACCTCTTTTGCAAGGCGGTCGTCAGCCTCAAGAAGCCCGTAGAGGTCGTCAAAATGTAGCATGATTTTCTCGTCCACTGGTGAGCTTGATCGTAACCGCTTCTGAGGCATTGTCTGGGTGGCGTCTGCAGTCTTCTGCACCTGGACTTTCGCAGTGATGTTGAGCTTCTCAATGGTTTTCAATTCTTCCTGAAGAGCGATGAGCTGTCCGCCATGGAAAACCTTGAAACTGCTGAAGCCGGTGACAGTGGCGAGATAATGCCAAAGCTCGGATCCTGTGTTCTCACTTCCAATGGAGACTTTTCTCTCACCCATGACAACGTACTTATTGCTGCCTATCTCAACAATGATATCGCGTGCTGGCCCTCTGGGGCTTGGGAATTCCGGGAAGGCCTCTTCTTGCTTCGGAGAGATTGGACTGCAGCCAGGATTGCCTTTGATAGCTTCGGTGAAGCGACGTAGAAACAGTAGAGACCGATCGAAATGTCGCTCTTCTCTGCGAATTCCGTCCTCGGACGCAATGATCTGCATGGCATCTTCGCCTTCAGAGAAAGACTTTAGTTGCGCAGCTGATCCTAGGACAGCACCGACCCAATGATCGATTAGGTTCAAGTGCGTGGCATGTACCACTGACTTTGGCCGTCGCGCTAGAATTGGGCTGCGGAGATACTGTGCAATTATGAACTCGGTGGCAGGTCCCTCGACCGTCCCTGGCTCAGCGTCAAGCATAATCTGCTTGACACGGTCGAGACCTGGGATTTGGACAATCTCAGATTCAGCATCTTCGGACTGCTCTCCAAAATGGCAGTCGTATAACACACTTGATTTGGCAAATTCTAGAACAGCATTATTGATGTCAATTGAACGCAACCGAGGCCAGAAGTGTTGAAGAATTTGGTCCACAACCGGATTGCGCTTCTGGTTGATAGCCTTGACAAGGAAGTGGAGATGATCCCAAGCGTGAACACGCGCCTGTTGCTCGATGGAAGAAGAAACGAGGAGGGAACTCCACAGACTCTCGAGGCATTCCAAATCGAATTGCTCTGGGACAGTGCGCATCAACAATGAAAGGCAGTTCAGTCGGTAGTCAAACTGCGTCAAGATCTGCTGCGACGATAGCTCTTGGCGATTTGCACTCGAGATGCTGATGTGGGCGAGGTCATCCACAAGGCCGCGTGGCAGCCCACACTTTTCAATAAAAGCGACTGTTCCTGTATGATTCAAGTGACCGTTCTGAAGAATGTGCGTGATGGCAAGAATTGAGCCACAAGCAGCGTCGTCATGTGACTCAATGTCCGTGCGGATCTGTGAGAGCATTTCATCTTCCTCATCTTCTTCAATGGCGAGTCGCGTAAAGTCGTCCGCAATGCCGCGAAAGTATCCAATCAACTGGTTGAGAAAGGTCGTGCGTATCTTCTCCGATAACTCCAAATCACATGTCTTGGGCCGCATCGCGTCTCGGATCATTTTGAGACAGAGTCTGCGGACAACCGGCTCGACAGGAGGTGAGAACCAGAACGGACTGGGGGCCTGGAGAGTCGTATTGAGGGAGCTGAGCACAAATTCCGTGAATTCAAGAACTTGGACATTCCAGCGGCTGTACGGTAGCTCTGATAGCTTCTGACAGAGGTAGTACAGATGCGCGGCGGTGAATGTCGTGATCGCTTCTCTCAACATATTGAAAAGCTCCGCGGCAACGCGGTTGTCTGGGCTTCCGAGGATTGCTTGCCAGATCGTGTCGGTGTCCGAATTCTGGTACGATCCAGATACTCCGAAGAAGCCGATGATGTTTCCTGCGCGGCCAATGAGTTGCGGGTGCGAGTCGGGTCCTATGAGATAGCTTATGACGTTGTTTTCGCGAAGAGAGCGTAGGGCGAATCTGACGAGGGGATCTTGCGCCCCGTTGGGCACACCCCGCAACCTCAAGTTGAAGATAGAGATGAGATCCTGACTCAAAAACCCGAGTCCATGCACTCGTAGTTCCATTCGACCGTGCTTGATGAATTTCCAGTAGATCATGAACTTCCACGCGTACGGCATTATATGCGCCAGGTCTGTGACATCTGCGTCATCCCATGTGACACCGGCTGCATGGACAATGGACTTCCCCATTCTGGGAATTTCCACTGGCAGATGGGACATGATCTGCTCCAAGCGTTGGAATAACATCAGTGCATTGTTCTCGAAACTGAACCAAGCCTGTTGCTTCTTGATTCCTTGCTGTACGATGTTGTCGACAGTTGTGACGGAGGCTTCAACACTTTCCCTGATGTCTTCCAAAAGCGGATGGCTCTGATCAATCGCGCAATATTCGGGTGAGCTTTTGAACACAGGACAAAAGAGCTGGGTAGCCAGTGTCAGAGCAGTCGTGACCTGGATGAGGTCTTTATGTAAAGCAGGGGCTTTCGGTAGAGTCTCTCCAAGGGCCTTAGTGTATGCGTTCATGGCGTTGAGCAGAGGACTGGCAACGCGTTCGGCGATGGGTCTGACCAAGGCCATCACATCGAGCTGGTGGCGTCGTCTGAGACTATCAAAGAATAGTACCTGGTGATTCGGAGACGTGTCAGACAGCCTGCTCACGATGGTGTTGAAAGGTAGCAGATAAGAGCCACTGAGAGTATAGAAATCTGAAGAAGGTGCATTATCCTGCAGCGATGAGAGCTGTCTTGTGTCGTACTCGAATATCAATTTGCAGATCTGGCCGTAAGCAACGAAGAAGTCGACCATATCTTGGAACTGAATCGAAGATGGACCTCGCTGGTCACGGCGCCAGAGATTATCCAAAACGATGGGCAGCTTTTTCCAGAAAAACGGGTCTTGGTCGACGATCTCGCGGGTCATCGCTTCGCAATCGGCTGCCAGGTTTACAAACCATTCTTTGACTCTTCTGAAGGTATCGACATCTTCCTTCGAGGGGTCTGCGAATATCTGAGCGATCGCTGAGACTGCAAATCTTGATTCGCCTGGGCGAAAGCCAGTGGCAAGGGGGAATGTCCGGTAGACCCAAAAGGCTGGTACGACCGGCACCCCACCCCCAATACGGGTTGTCCATCGCGTCTGAGCTGGATCTTGGTCGAAGTCCTCCGGTTCAGCGACCTCAATTGGCGGCGAGGGAGACCGTTCGATGGTAGTCGCTTCGCTGGCTGTGGGGTCGACATGGTCAACAGGAACGGTATCGACGGTACCGTTGACGATGAGGGCAGGATCTATGATTTCTTCGGTCGGTGGAAGATCGTCTGCAGTGTTCATTGATTGTGATGACAACGGTCGAGTGTTGATTGTAACTTTGCTGGTGGGCGATGGCGTAGCCATGGTGTCAGAGGGTCTGGGCGGAAGAGTAGGCTTATGCAGAGTTTCGGAAGATGCAGGCTCAGTCGGAGAAGGAGTAGGACTTTCAATTGTTTGCTGCGGTGCGGAAATGCTCAGATTTGGGAGCAAGCTGTCTTTGTCACCGCTCTCGCTCAGCCTTGGGCGCTTCCTGTCATGGGTGGGCAACTCGGCATCGTCTCCAGAATTGCTCCGGTTTCTGACAGATTCCGGGAGCGAGGACATCCTGGAAGACCAAGAGAATTAGATTATGTAAGGCATGTCGAGCGATGAAGGAAGGCGGATGTGTCGACGCGGAAGATGAAAGAGTTGAGGTAGTCACAATGCTTGGCAGGACTTTTAAGGCAACTGGGCTGGAGCCTGAGCGCCTCGCACAAAAGCCGACCCAGAATTTTGACAATTCGAGGCACGGCAATATGACACAGGTCCGGATGAGGTGTCTGAAAAGTTAGAGAGTAGATGTTGCCAGGAGAAAACGAGGGATAGTAGACGCGGTACCCATAAGTAAGATGGCGCGGCCAGCGATCAAACGGAGTGACTTGGCCAAGACCAGGGTGACCTAAAACCGCAGAAGGTGAATAGGCTGTGCCTGATCGGTCAACGGAACCTCTCGGTTTATCCTTGTCCTGATAAGCAGGAAGGAAGAATAGGATCTAGTAGCTGGAAGACTTAGGCTGTACCAAGTCCTCCATGGTTGACAGTCGACGGTCGATGGTTCAAGACGCGCCCCTCTAGCGTATCGCATCGCCCTAGGACCACTTGGGCCTAGCTCTCCATGACGTACTCCCGCCCCTCCGTGCAACACCAAATATCACATGAATTTTGACCGGCCACGATCTTGCACCACCACTGATCCATGGACAGGACCAGGATACAGCATTCGACCGCACTGCCGTATCCCGCACCAACATGGTATGGAATAGCTGTCATTCTTGCAATATCTTACTGATGCAATGATAGGCCGACTACGTCGCAAGATATCGAGGAAGCTGTCCTTGCCCTGCTCCTGCCACTCCTCAGACCGGTCGGTGAACACAGACAACACACCGCACGGCCTTCAAAAGGTCGCAATCGCTCCAAATGCAAGCCAAGAACTGAGACCAACAATAGCATGGTGAACGAGACCGCGGGAATTCCAGAGATAGCGGGACAGCTTACAGTAGGTCTTACAACCACGTACCGCAGCCTCAACGCCCAGGCACGCAAACTTCACGACGCCGACAGTGCGGCAGAGCCTGCCATGGCAGTCGTGTTTGTCTGTCGCAAGGCTCTCCCCGATCCCGCCTGCGCCTCCTTGCCATTCCTTATAGTCGCAGCTTCATCCAAAAACCAGCCTGCGGAGGCCATGCGGTTAGTGCCGGTTTCCGAAAAGGCCGAGATGGCGATCGCATCGGCCCTCGGTCTGCCCCGTGTAGCGATGCTTGGATTACACGAGGCCGCCACTGGTACGAAGCCACTGGTACAATACGTCCGGGAGAAGTTCGCACCGATCGACATTCCGTGGCTTCGGGCCGGTCCGGTCCCTCAGTACTTCCCGCTCAAGGTCGATACCGCTCACATTCCAGTTGTGCAGAAGGCCGCGATCAAGCAAGGGAGCTCTGCAAAGTGATGGTCAGATTTGTCACAATTGTCCAAGCTGTTATCCTGAGAGCCGTGGAAGTCGTCGATCCTCGGTCTGTGAGTGCGCGTTTGACAGGCCTAGTAGCCATGACTGTGGTGTTCCCAAACGGACGAGCTGCTATCTCATCCCACGAGGGGAATCCATGTTGGAGTCCGCTCGCGGTAGTTGCGGTAGTCGTCACCAAAGAACGATATCAGGTACCGCTCCTCATCTAGGGCGGTTAGTCCAGCTCCTGTACTGGTCGGAGAAACTCACGCATGACTCGATGAGAGAAAAATCTCCAGAGCACCAACGTGTAGGCGAGGAACGAGAAGGAATTTCCCAGCACCAGCTGCGTACCTAGCGCCCAATAGAAGAAGCCAAAATAGCTCGGATGGCGAACCCAGCTGAAGATACCGCTGGTGACGAGAATATGGTCTTCTCTCTTGTAGTATTGAACTGCTGCCAGATTAGCGTGCCTGTTCATCATCGGCATCCCAAGCCACTCACCTAAGTGGTTGAAACTTGCTCCAGCTTCTCTCATCGCCATGCTTCTGGCCATCTGCCCCAACACAATCAGACCCATACCAATAACAGTTACCGTCCCGTTCGGCACTATTATGAACACGCCTTCCCACTTCCCAGACCACCACCCCTTCCCCTTGACAAGCTCCCTTACTGCAACCTCTACCAAAGCGACCAGATATGCGCAGCCCTGCGCCGCGCCGTTCCCTACAATCAAGAAACTCGATCGGTCCGCCATCGCGGGATTCCACCTAGCCGTGCACCAGAATTCCAGGAAATGGAACAACGTGCACGTGGCCACAAAGAACGGGAGGCGCCACAAGGGATTGCGAGAGAAAGCGAGCTGGAGCGAGAAGAGAAGCGCACCAGAGAGTACCGCTCCAAGAAACAGTGCTTGCAAGGCGATGGACGTGAGAGCCGCGGGGCCGGTGGGCGCGTACCGAGGGTGGTAGAGCGGCGAGCGGACGGGAGAGCTGGAAGAGGATGGTGAACGCGACCGACGGGTTGTAGACCCGTTGGCACGGTGCTCAGGACCATCATCGTGGTCAGCACGGGTGTCCGCCGCTTTGCTCCTCGAGCGAGAACGTGTCTGAGGCATTGTTGTGGTTATTCGTGATTAAGGGGGCCTTGAGAGACTGGTGGTCCGGAAAAGCAGCTGGCGCCGAGAGTCCTCGTCAAAGTGCAGCTGCAAGCAAGGCTGCATAGTCGCCCCTTCCGTCCGGAAGTCGTGACAACAATACTAAGACGGCGCACAGACGATTCCTCGTCGATGCTTCGCAAGGAAGGCCATTTGTCGCCTTGGCGCCGAGGCCATCCGGAAGCTAGTTCACAGCGTCATTGGCGAGCATACGCCGCCGGAGAGAGGCGCAAAAGGCTCAACGCTCCAGGGGTTACGGGTAAGACTCTGGCCGTGCAGAGGCCGCTACGCATTATGAGGTTCAACTGCTTACATAAATCTCCCCCCTGAATACTCCTTCCGCTTTTATTCCTTTACATATCGATTGACTTCTGCTGCTACCATGATGACCCTCGCAGATAGTCTAGAATGGCAGAAATGTCAGCGCGGAGAGCTCTACGTCTCGTTCAGCCCAGAGCTCATCCAAGCTCGCGACAGGTGTGCCAGCGCCTGCCAGGCCTTCAACTTCTCCACCGATTCCTCTCGCCGCAACCGCGTCGGGCTCTGGCGGAAGATCACTGGGGATGAACGGCCACTGCCCCTTCCCACACCGGGGCAAGCGACAGATGACGATCTCTTCGTGGACGATCCGTGGGTAGAGGCCCCCGTACGAGCCGACTACGGCGTCAATGTCATGCTCAGCCCTGGCGTGTTTCTGAACCACAATGCCACGTTCGTTGACTCTTGCCCTATCAGAATAGGTGCCAGGACCTTGATTGGACCGCACTGCTCATTCTTTTCCGGCACACACCCCCTGGACCCGGCAGTAAGGAACGGTACGGCTGGTCCGGAGACCGGGAAAGATATCGACATAGGCGAAGACTGCTGGCTGGGCGGTAACGTGATTGTCCTTCCGGGTGTGACAATTGGTCGGGGCTCGACTGTTGGAGCGGGCAGCGTGGTGACGAGGGACGTACCGCCTTTTCATCTGGTAGCTGGAAATCCAGCAAGGATTCTCAAGAAGATTACGTCGACATTAGACGCCGCGGCAGAGACTCAAGCTCCGACGAAGGAAAACCTGGAGGGCGCAGAGGTGGCGATGTCGAAATCATAGTTGTCCGATCTACGCCCCGTAGCTGCCAGGAGAATTTCATATGGAGTCCAACCAGGACCTTGCTGGTGCAGTCAACAGGTCTCAGTGATTCAGGTCAAGGTAACGGCTCGACGGTTGGCTAGGCGCTGAAGCTGACATCCACTTCTGCACATGAAGTTGCTTAAAGAAGTGCTAAGGGTACCGTCGTTAAGCTACCCGTAAACCATTCGTACAGCATTGTCGACAAATCACGCCATTATGAGGAAAGTCTTGCCCCCAGATCTAGCTCTACAGGGTTGGTCGGGCCGGGTATGACATCCTGCGGGAGGTAAGTACACTCTGACGATTGGGCGGTCAGGCTTAAAGTGGCGGTGATGCACTTAGCCAGGAAGAAATGAGAGAGGGGATGCTTGTATGTAGGATGGGTGTATTGTTCAGGCCAATAGTGACCAGAGTCTACCACAGAGGATCGAGAGAGAAAGCGATGAGGCTTGACTCTGGGTCAGTAGAACCTCTCCATGTCTTCGCTTGTGAACGTTGTGGCTGCAAAATGTGCCAGCTGTGACCCTTTCGGCCTCATGGTCTCGCATCGCTGGGCAATCTCTCGCGTGCCCGATGGCTTTCTGAATCAATCACTCCCAATCCTCCAAGCCGTAGAGCAATCAATGCCATCTCCTCCCCGGGCCAGGGAGACATCAACTCTCTTGAGTTTCCTTGGCCGGTGGGTAATTGAGACACAGGACCAAGTCGCGATTCTCTCGCAGATGGCCTGAGTCTGTTGCATACACAGCTCGTAGCACCGCGATTTCATCGTCCTGCCGTTCTTGGGACTGCTCGACAGAGTGAAAGCTACCCGACTCATCCTTATATTTCTTACACCCAAAGCTCTCTGCAAAGCGACGGGAAGCCTCTTGCTTCAGATCTTCCACACCACACTTATCCGGCCACAATCATCATGTAATGATGCGGCAAACAACGGTCTGGCCAGCCTTTGTTGGTGCAGTGGAAGTTATCAGAGACACCATGGAATTGAGCCAGCTTATCGCCAGTCATAGAAATCGTCAAGCTTTTTGTTGAATAGTCTCCGGTGTCCATGTACGTGAGCATGCGGGCAATGAGTGCTGGATCGTCTTCGGGGAGTTCGAGAGACTGATTGACTCCTTCCTGTTGCGATACTAGCCTTCGACATTGACTGGGTGATGGAAACCTTGAACCGCATAACTCACACGGAAGATAGGCTTGACGGCAGCCTCATTTGGCTGAAGAATCATTCGGTGAACTTTCAACTCGTGGCCATCTTCACACTTGAGCACAAAGTCGTGGAACAAACTGGTCGAGAGCTGTGAGGCGAAGCCTTCCGTGAAGCCTTCTGCCAGGCTGTCAGGATCCGCCATGACCGAGTCCAGGTGGGTAAGAATTTGCAAGAGGTTGACGATTGGAAAAAGATTGCAGCTATAACACAAGAAATAGCGAAGGAAGAGGCAGCAAGAGTAGGGTGTCGTGACTGACAAGTGACTGACTGCTTGTTGAATCCAAAGAGCGCCCAGGAACCTGGTGGCTGTACCTCGTGTTCCTTTACTTCACAGCAACATTATGCTCAGTTCGACCATGCTCCATCGTTCTCTCGCGCGTCACCTTGAACTCAGTTGTACCCAGGCTAGACACATCATAGCCTTCGCTAAGCAAATAATTCTTGAAGCGTTCATCCTCCTCCTCAATCATGTCCTGTCCAACATTCGGCAGTCCAAACCATGCAACAATTGCACTGAAAATGCATAGCGAACTGGACACCCAGAAGGGATACTGGCCTTGCTTGACGGTGTCCCCACCAGCAGCATCAATGATCAGCGGGAATAGCCACGTCCCGATGAACGCTCCGACCTTTCCCCACGCCGCTGCCACTCTGTCGACACGTCAGCTGATGCTCCCAGGAAGCAAGCGGCAGTCTCACCCATAGAAATGCCCTCGAATGGGAGTGCTAGCCAGCTTACTGCTCAGCAACCCGATATTCGCCCCGGGCCCTACCTCGCCCAGCGCGGCAAAGATGCCGTATATGACCACGAAACCACCGACCCGGCTCGGCTGGTTCAAGTGCGGATACGCGGCCGTCATGGCGAAGCCCACAATGCCTTGCAGCGTCACGCCGAGCACCAACGTGTTCTTTGCGCCAATCCAATCACTCAGGAACGCACCCAGCACCGCACCCGGGACCCAGAAGAAGTTGGTGAGGCAGGCCCACCCGAAGGAGCGCCATAGTGGTGCATCACTGGGGAGGATGAAGACGAGCCACGACGAGGCAAAGATGCCGAAGCTGTATGCGGAGAAGTTGTAGACGAACCAGATGACGGACATGACGGTATTGCGGAACCAGTAGAATTTGATGATCAATTTCCAGGGATAAGAAGTCATCTTGTGGCGGGTGTACTGCTCGGGTTCTTTGAGCTTGAAGCGGAGATAGAGCAGTGAGAGGGGCGGGATGGCGCCGAGGCCAATGCAAATGCGCCATGCTGTACGTAGATTGTCTTGTCCCGTGCAAAGGACAACGATCATCGGAACCTGGACATTCAGGTTAGGCATGATAGCAAGCGGAGTGGAGGGAAATGGAAAATACGAAGGCAGAAACGACGAAACCAAGGTCGATCTGGGCGTCAGTGCAGAGCACGAACCAGCGGTTACGATCTAGATCAAACCAGTGTCAGTGGAAAGCTTAGCAATCAGGTCACGAATTGAACTTACGGCCTTTCTTGAGCTCGCCAGTGGATTCGGCTGCACCAACGCTGCCGGCAGGACTGGCAAGTGTCAGCTCAGCCTCGCCTTTGGGCAGCTTGATCGCAAAGAACGTACTATTCACCGCCGATGCCGATGCCGATCAAGAAGCGGAAAGCTTGGAGCGCCGCGAACATGCCTTGGATGTTACCACCAGCTCCGTAGGCCCCTGCGCAAAGAATAGAGAATACGATGAGGACTGAAATACCTCGGTCAGCATGCTTTGCGAACATACTGGGCAAAGGGCGGGCTCACCGATTGTTGAGATTAGCAACGAGTTCTTGCGCGACCATCTATCGGACAGGACTCCAAAAACAAGGTGCCCTAGCACTGTGCCCGCAAAAGCAATGGATGAGACGTTGGACTGAACGTGGTTGTTCGTATATGCTTCGCCGTAGATGAGTCGAAGCATCGTGTTCACGCCGCCAATGACCTGTGTTCGCGATTAGTGCGACGAGGGTCCTGCAGCCGACGGTGGCTCTGAATACCCCATTGATGTAGCCTGAGTATCATTGTATCAGTATCGTGATGGCAGTTCGTGAGTGCCATCTCTCTCACCATCGCTAAACAATCCGGCGCCGCAAGCGATCACCGGCCATGATCGATCCCAGCGACCCTTTGGGAGCTCGGAAAGCGGTATCTCGCCAAGAGCTAGTTCACGCTGAGCTGCATCGTCGTCACTGGAAACGGCAGTATCTCGTGGGTTCTTCTCATCAGCCATTTTATGGTTGATGACCAGTGGGAGACTGAGGGAAGTGTACAGTATATATATGAACGAGAGATCCGTGGATGCTCGCTAAGTCCCAACATTCTGGGCTGGACCCTTCACGCTCCACGTGCGTGAGCCTTGTGATCCGGCACTGGAGTTGAGCATGGTATTTCTGCTGTTCGGTACTCATCGATCACCGGCTATACCTAAAAAGGTGTGCAGCCCATGAGAGGACGTTGAGGAGCAGCCAATCAGCCGTCGAGACAGAGCACGGGTAGTATGGTTGCAAGCCATTAGTTTGATGTCGGTGCCATCTTGTGGGCTCAGGTTGATGGCGCTGTCTAGCGTTGCAGTATTCGGTAGTCGACCTTGTGGGATATGCATTCTCTATCCGCCATTCCACGCGAGTTGCTGTTTTGGTAGGGCCGAATGCGCGTGACTAACCCTCTGGTTGGACTCACTTGTGCAAGCACCGAGCGAAGGATTGTTTACATCGCCGCACAAACATGCTTTGGATGAGAACGAGATGAGATCTGCGCGAATTCAGTACTGATATTTCGTGTTTGTACATGTACATTGTGCACAAAATCAGATCTTCGCCTTCTTCCCACTTTGCTTCTCTTCCTGCTTGGCCTTGTCCTTCAATACTCTCCGCAAGATCTTACCGCTGGCAGATTTCGGAACTTCATCGATGAAGCGTACGCCTCCCCGGAGGCGCTTGTGGCTCGCAACTTGGCCTGATACCCAGTCAACGATCTCCTTAGCATCCTTCTCGCTGTTTTTGCCCTTTGCTGGCACAACGTATGCTCTCGGCACTTCGGTGTGCATCTCTTCGTCCTGGACACCGATGACAGCAACGTCGTTGACGCTGGGATGGTCCATAAGCTTGCCCTCCAACTCTGCTGGAGCGACCTGGAAGCCCTTGTATTTAATCAGCTCCTTCACACGGTCGGTGATGTAGAAATTCTCGTGTTTGTCCTGATATCCCACGTCTCCTGTTTTGAAGTACCCGTCTTCCGACATAGCCTCCTTGGTAGCAGCTTCGTTCTTCCAGTAGCCCTTGAAGATGTTCGGCCCACTGAGCCAGAGCTCGCCCGTCTCACCTGGGCCTAATTCTCTGCCTTCAGGAGAGATATACTTGGCTTTCATGTTCGGGAACATCTTGCCAACGCTCCCCACCGAGTCGTACCACTCATCCCAGGGCTGCGAGGTTATTAGAGTTTACTCATCAGACAGAATGGCACATACCTGAGTGTGTGTCATGGGAGAGGTCTCGCTCAATCCATAAGCTTGGTTGATCTTGATATTTGTGCGCTTATGCACACTATCGACAAGCTCTTTGGTCAATGGAGCAGCACCGCAGGTAATCATCTTGACGCTGCGGATATCATATTTATCCACGATCTCATCTCGTGCTAGACGGACGATGACTGGAGGGGCGACGTAGATGAAGGTGATCTTGTGCTCTTGAATAGCCTTCAAGAAGACCTCGAGATTGAAAGCAGGCATGACCACCACTTCAAGTCCGCGATGTAGTGGCTGATGGACCAGACCTGTCAGACCGTAGATGTGGAAGAAGGGTAAGACACCGAGAATCTTGTCTTTCCCACCAGAGTACCACTTCCCCACCGCACCATTGATCAGCAGTACATCTGAGATGATATTGCGGTGGCTCAGCATGACGCCCTTGGGGAGGCCAGTGGTGCCGGATGAGTAAGCGAGAAATGCGAGGTCACCGTCAGGATCCATCTTCCTCCTCCGATACCTCACAGCTCCGCTTGTTGGGCGGATATTGGACCAGTGCTTATACTTGTGGGCTTCATCCCGCTGCTCTCCAATCAAAATAATACGGTCATTGGGTATCCCTGCTTTCTCTGCAGCTTTTGCAGCGTTGGGGAGAAAGTCCTTGGTCGTGACAAGAGCTTTGGCCTCTGAGTTGGACAGCTGAAATTCCAATTCATTTGCCGAGTAAGCAGGGTTTGCTGGGGTGACGATACCGCCAGCGTAAAAGGTACCATAGACGACCGGGGCAAAGTCGATATCGTTGGGTGCGTAGACAGCGAGCACATCGCCTTTGTTCCAATCCCACAGATTCCTCAGGCCTTTGCCGAAGGCAGTAGCAGCTTCGCGAACCTCAACCCACGTATACTTGCGTGAGGAGTTGTCGCATGATCGATATATCACTGAGATGTGTTAATACATTGGCACTACCATTATTTGGTGATCGCACCCTGATCGTCCGAGAAGCCACGGTCCTTGCGCTCGAACATGAAACCCCACAAGTCCACATTGGGAATGTCGACCGTGGTAAAGGAGGATTCGGTAGGCATGTTGAGCTGTCTTGGTTTGCCGAGGTTTCTCGCTAGCTCATGCCGCTGGCCCCAGTGCCAGGGATAGATGAATGAGCGCAATCAGATTGAGGCAGCTCACAACAGGTGTTCAGTTCATCCTCAATACACCAGATTGCTTCAAAAGTCCGAATGAAAAAGTAAGAACAGCTGTTGCGCAACGAAAAGGCCGAGCTGGATGGCATCATGTCGCGTTCCCCACACAATTGCGCTAGCGGAGCAGGGGTCGTCAGTGAGGGTAGATCCCCGGAGTACGGAATTGGGGGCCCTCCGAGGCTGGTTGCTTCATTGTGGGTGTTGGACTATTGCTCAATCCTGAAGTGTAGCTTGAATCTATGTTGCTTTAGTGACCCGACAACCGTAGTGGATGAGCCTTCGTTGAGGCTGCCCCTACTCACCACCATACTGTTACTGTTGCGAGGCCCGAGTCCGTTCGTGCCTGCCTTAGACTGCCCTTGCCCTCGCCCGCAGATCTAGGGTCAGCGCAGCCGAGGCACCCAGTGCTTGGCGTCACAAGCCAGGCCGAGCGCAGTCCACCAGTCCTGACCTCAAACTCTCCTTCTCCATCCTCCCAACAACCATCGCTTCGTCTTCTACTAACGCGAAGTTGTGTATACTACAGCGTCAAGATGGTCGCGGACGCGCTAGTCTATCATCCAGCAGTGGCGCACTACTTGCGCTACGTTGCAACCACTGTTGGGAGAGATAAAGGTCCGTTACCCCGAATAGGCTGACATTGGCACTGGAAATTGACACATCGCCAGTCTTGCGGACGATTCAGTACTTTAGTCGCTTCTATGCCTGGTATCTCTACCGCACGAACAACCCAGAACGTCTCATCCAGCCCTGGGCGACAGTCAAGACCCAATTCGCCTTGACCCGTAAGATTCTCCGCATCGGCAAGTTCGTGGAGCATCTCCGCGCTGCAAGTGAGATTTACGATGCCTCTATCAAGGCCAATAGTGGCGATAAGGTCACACAGTATCTCCAGCTACTGCGACAAGTCGGATATACAGGCTACATGTTCTTCGACATGCTGACCGTGCCGGACGCGCTCGGTGTCAAGAAATACGAGAGTGCAAAGCGGCTCCAGGCCACGGCATACCGCATGTGGCTGTTCGGTCTCATCTCGAGCGCAAGCGCAGGTCTCTACGCACACTACAAGCTGCAAGCCCGCGTCAAGGCCACCGATGAGAAGGATGCGGAGGGTAAGGTCGAGAGATTGACTTTGGCAAAGTAGGCATCACCATGTCCCATGAAGACCCCAGCAGCTAACTGTGGATCAGACAACAAAAGGTCACCAACATTCAGCTCGTGTCCGACCTGTGCGACTTGACTGTTCCCAGCACCTTCCTCGGCTACACCAATCTGGACGATGGTCTGATAGGCCTTGCCGGCACTCTTTCGAGCTTGCTCGGTGTGTACGGCGCTTGGCAGAAAACGGCATGATCTCGCCATAATTCTAGCAATGCACGAACCCTCAAACGTCAAGCTCAGTTTCAACTAACGCGAAATAATCTGGCACTTCTCCAACACAGGTTGTTGTGGCTCAGACAAGGCTAAGAATGCCGTCGGTGATGGCGCCGCCAGCCGTCCTCCGGTTCCTCCCGAGCTGGAATAGGAACCCCCAATAATCTGGAACCTCCCCCAATATGGGACCATGGGGTTCCATATTTTTCTCCATGTTTGACATTGGGCGAGACCCGGAATCCAAACACGAAAACATCCAAAGATAGTGTGGTGTTCAATGGAGTCGATCTGTTCCAATTCATTTTCGTGCTCGGGTCCCTCCTGTTGCTGTCTTTCCGGACCACTTCCGATGCCAACGTGCTGTCGGGCCAGTCCGTGTGATTTTCATGCTGTGCCTGTAGACTCGACTCGTTGCCGAACTTAGAAATATATTGCCGCGCACGTGTCGGCGGTCCTTGAAGCTGGCACTTTGGTTTGCTGGGATACGAGGTGTGGTCTAGACTTATACGAGCCTACCACGTCCACGTCTAGCCAAGACGACGTTCCACCGCTTGCCTAGTCCCTGCTAGCCGCACAGGCAACGTGTAGATGCTGTTCGAGGCAGTCCTGCATGACCTCTGGGCGATGAGCCGACAGGCGCGACAGTGGCTCGATGAGGCTATTCGAGACCCACTTTCGGGCAGTGAAATCTGCGACCTCACCCCCCTCTACCAAAGCGAGTCCAGGAGCGTAGTCGATATTCATGGCGGCTTGCCATATCAAAGGCCTTTGCAGCAGCGCCTCAAGTCTATCTGCTGTCGGTGGAGAAGCCAGTACTTAGATGAGGTGCTGGAATTACAAAGCCTTTGCCGGCCTGAATCTTGGAGGCTGATGATGCGGCCGTAAATGCTGCTAGCCAAGGAATCTGTTCAGAATCCACGCCTACGGATACTGGCTTGCACACATTGTCAGTTGCAGAACAGGTCAAATAACGGAGAATCCAGATGTTCCGATGACTGCTGCGGCCGTATAAGTCAACGGGACAAGAGTTATCGATCTGCCCGGTGATGAATGCTACGATACAACTGATGCTTTGCCTGTGGCCGAATTGGCAACGCTTCCGACGGTTTCAAGGACGTAGATGACTAACGCTGATTTGCCAACATCTCAGCCACGATTGATCGCCATTAGCTTTCGGGCGAGAAACTTGACATACGCATGATATAAGATGAGGCGCATGCGTGGAAATCACAATCTCAACAACAGGGGACGAAAACAAGAAGCGTTGTTGTATTCTCACTTCAACAGCAAGCACTTCTTGGCCCTTAGCAAACTAGCAAATCATGTCGCACCTCCAGTATTTCACCTACAAGGGTTTCGGCGAAAGAGTGCAGAAAGACACGCACTACAGTCAGGCAGTCCGGATCGGAAACATTGTAAAGATTTCCGGCCAATGTAAGCCATCCTCATCAGGCAACCTCAAATGCCAAGCCAATATGATTGACAACGCTTAGGTGGTTGGGATCGTTTGACCGAGGAAATACCAAGTGACATTGGCCAACAGGTCGATCGAGTCTTTGACAATGTCGAGCATACCCTGCGGCAAGCCGGTGGAAGTGGGTGGGAGCAGGTATATCAAATTCGTCTCTACGCAGCGCCGTTCGACATGGAAGTAACCGAGCACTTCATTCGCAACCTCCGCAAGTACTTACCTAACCATCAGCCACTGTTGACTGGGGTTGGCGTCGCCGCTCTGTACGGCGGGGCGAGGCTCGAGGTGGAGGTTGAGGCGCATCTTGGTGAATGATGTATCAGTTCGAACGACACTCGGTTGCGGACCAATAGGAATGGGCGCCATGACGAGCTGGTTGGCCTCCGTTGCTCCGGATCACGCTGCTGTGAGGACCAACGTCAGCAGCAAATGCCAGCGCGGGGCTGTGAGTCGGTAGTGACGAAAGAATCAACGAAAAGATGGACTGGCGTCATGTATAGCTTAAGGTGATGCATGGAAAGCCGCAAGGCAGGCAGTGCATAGAAGTGCCGGATGTCTCGCCTTTCGACCTAGTGGCTCGCTATTGGCATCCAGTCGCATTCCAGTCTGTGCTGAAGATCGAGATATGTCATAGTATGGCTTGATTGCCTAATAAAAGTCAGCTTTTTCGAGAGTCGTTCTCATTATGCAAATGTTTGTTTATCACTGCGGGGTATGGTCGCGACGTCATCTGTACGTGGGTAGCAACTGCCCCGGCTGAGGCTCTGTCAGACCCGCAGGTTGACAGCACCACCCATTCTACAAGTAGCTAGATGAAGGCAACCAGGTGATGAATGATGCCCTACGGGTAGTTCGTGTCTGTGGTCAGGTGCAGTTAGAACAAAGAGAGAAGCGGGCGAGGCCAGTCGGAGGAAGTGGGGCAAGCGCGGGGGGCAACCATTTGCATTTTTGAGCCTGCATCATCAGCCAAGTCGTCCAAACCAATGCCAGAGCTGGAAGATCCGTTTACAGGTTGCTGTGTCCTTTCGTAACACGTTTCCACCTAACTCTTTGCTAGCCCAAGTACCTGGATTGCCGTGGCGGCTGCTTCTGACGTGCATGGTTCGAGCCAGCCACCGTTTCAAGCGCAGTCTGTTCCTTTCGTCACCGCTCCGGATCTCCTCCTCCTCCTGCTTCAATTTTTCTCGATCTTCTCCTTCTTTTCCCGTCTCTTTTACGTGTCGAAGGCGTTCTAGGTAAGTCGTCAGCCAGATCTCGACCCTTAAGACACCCAATCACTATCGACTTCGGGAAGATTCGGGGGTAACTGTTTGATATATAAACCTGACTCGTCTCCAGTGCAACATTCCGACTACACCCGCCTACCGTCTCCGACACTCGTAGGAAACCCACTCTTGGCCTGATTGATCGGAATCAGTACATATACACGGCAGTTACCCCAAAAATCATGACTGATTACTTTAAACGTCTCGATCCCACCAGCTCTGCCACTCCTCGTCCCACCACACCAGGCCCAGAGGACTCTAAAGCTCGTACTGAAGTTCTCAAGAGGAATCTCCGCAGCTACAAGCCCACCATGGTCTCCAATTCAGTCAACAAGACTGCTCTTCACCCAGGTGGTGTCGAACCGAGTCGGGAACACACTGAGCTCGAGGAGACGCTACACGAGCATGCCAACATTGACTACGACAGAGTCGCCATTGTTGCCAATCCCTCAGTAGCTGCCTTGTACGAAGATGCTCTGGTGAGTAGACAATCATCCTCGGATCAACTGAGCTCTAACAGGTTAAGGTTTACGAAAGTGGTTCAGCCGTCACCTCAAGTGGTGCTCTAACCGCGTACTCTGGCACAAAAACTGGTCGTTCGCCTTCTGACAAGCGTGTCGTCAAGGAGGAAGGCTCAGAAAAAGATGTCTGGTGGGGACCTGTGAACAAGCCTATGACCCCAGACGTAAGTTCTATCCTCTTGTACACACCTTCACATGCTCTCATCTCGATATCACTCGGACTTGTCTGGATTCAGAGTGACACTCTGAACCGGTCGTTATCCGAATGGTTCCCCCGCATTCGACGATAACGCGGGCATGAGGAAACTCCCGATGTGTCCTCCAGCGACCAGCTCAGGCAGTGATAGTGGGGCTCCGGGCAGCCGTGACGTCGTGGCTCCTTGCCGAGGCGCGCGTTCTCGCCAAGAAATCTCCACACCACGCGAGGATTCGGAACAGAGCCGCCCCACTCCTATGCGTCTTTGCGTGCATCGATCCGTGAATAGCCATGGCTAACATATGTTGCACAGGTCTGGAAAATCAACCGTGAGCGAGCCATTGACTACCTGAATACCCGGAACCGCATCTACGTTATCGACGGTTTTGCTGGTTGGGATGAACGCTACCGCATCAATGTCCGTGTCGTTTGCGCCCGTGCTTACCATGCGCTCTTCATGCGCAACATGCTCATCCGGCCTTCGAGAAAAGAGCTGGAACACTTCCATCCCGACTACGTGATCTACAATGCGGGTTCTTTCCCGGCCAACAGATATACCACTGGCATGACCAGTGCTACTAGCGTAGCCATCAACTTTGCCGAGAAAGAGATGGTTATCCTCGGTACTGAGTACGCTGGCGAGATGAAGAAGGGTATCTTTACTGTACTCTTCTATGAGATGCCCGTCAAGCACAACGTTCTGACACTACACTCGTCTGCGAACGAAGGTGAGAAAGGCGACGTCACTGTCTTCTTCGGTCTCTCTGGCACCGGGAAGACTACTCTATCTGCCGACCCTAAGCGCAAGCTCATCGGTGACGATGAGCACTGCTGGTCTGACAAGGGCGTCTTTAACATTGAAGGTGGCTGCTACGCCAAATGCATTGGCCTCTCCGCTGAGAAGGAACCCGATATCTTTGGAGCAATCAAGTTCGGCTCCGTCCTGGAGAATGTCGTCTTCGATCAGGAAACACGCGAAGTTGACTACGACGACTCAACCCTGACCGAGAACACACGCTGCGCCTACCCCATCGATTACATCCACAACGCCAAGATCCCTTGCCTGACCGACAACCACCCAACCAACATCATCCTGCTTACCTGCGACGCCCGCGGTGTGCTACCTCCGATCTCCAAGCTCGACACCAACTCGGTCATGTATCAGTTCATCAGGTAAGTTTCTGACCCATGATCGTTGATCCCACTAACAATTACTAGTGGCTACACATCAAAGATGGCTGGCACTGAGGATGGTGTCACCGAGCCCCAGGCTACCTTCTCTTCTTGCTTCGCCCAGCCCTTCTTGGCTCTTCATCCCATGCGTTACGCGAAGATGCTGGCGGACAAGATCCAGCAACACAATGCCAACGCTTGGCTCCTCAACACCGGTTGGGTTGGCGCCGGCGCCACCACTGGCGGCAAGCGCTGCCCTCTCAAGTATACTCGTGCCATCTTGGATGCCATTCATTCGGGTGAGCTTGCCAAGGCCGAGTACGAGACGTACCCAGTCTTCAACCTGCAGGTGCCCAAGACCTGCCCCAACGTCCCTGACGAGCTGCTCAACCCCAAGAAGAGCTGGACTGCGAGCACGGACTTCGATGAGGAGGTTACGAAGCTTGCCAAGCTCTTCGTCGAGAACTTCGATAAGTACAAGGATGAGGCGACTGACGAGGTCATCAAGGCTGGACCTCAAGTGTAAGATGATGTCTGACTAGCTTTCTGCATCATTGCTCGGCGTTTGGGTTGTTACAGAAACACGCGTTCGTCACTTGTGAATAGCGCAGAGCCAGATGGGATTCATCAAAGTACGAACGCGAGACGCGAGAGGCATCACGATGGACACGAACGGACAACATCCGATGATGGCACCTGGCGATGCGATGCACGTAGGGCCTCTTCATATCATGCCTACCTAGAATACGCAAAACCCTTTCATGCTATATGGTTGAAGACGTCCAAGTCTTATGTAGTCTTTGTCTACTTTACTGTCTCCAGCGTCATGCCGAAACATTGGCTGTCTGCAAATCGTCATAGTTCTCGTTACCCAGCTTTGTTAGCAAACGATGGAGATCAGCGATATTGCATTTCATGAGGTGAACCTCGATCCAACATCCTTGCGTTTATCATCGGACCCTGAGGTCCTGGTCCCAACGAAGCGGACCTCCCGGCAAGCTGAGATCAGCCCCATACATGCTCCGTTGGCCTCCAGATCTCCAACGACCTACGCCATGATATGCACACTAAGCAGTGATCCCTTCATTGAAACCATAACTCTGGTAGACTCTGCAGATGCTGCCGTGATCTACCACAGTGCAGATCTTTATGCATACTTGACGAGAGGCGGTTATTATCAGTCGCGAACAGCAAGACTCCCCCGGAGACTTTGAGCAATGACTGCTTCAGTGACCGAACAAGAAGGCCTGACGTCCCAGAGTTATTGTAGGAGCCATAGGGCGTGGGCCGCTCAGCAGGATGATATCGGCCGTGTGGTTCAGACAATGTGTGTGGGTGAAATGAAAAGCCTGAAGTGGCGACGTTGCGTCGTCGACCGAGAGCAGAAACTAGGATAGAAAGGCAGGGCTGCTTCCATGCCACCTGCCAGGATAGTATTGTTCGACCCGCTCAAGCCACGTTCGCGTGTCCTTCAGATATCGAGGTACACTTATTGCGTGGGATTGAGTAGAATCCTGGTTCACGAGGCCACGTCAGACACGGCTGCAGAGTAGCCATACTGTACCATCCGACCTGGGCTGAGGAAAACTCTCATCAACACGTGCTAATAATAAGGGCGGAATACTACTCCAATGCCAGGGCTGAAAGGTGTAAGCGAAAGCAAGAGAGAATGAGCAGCTGGGCGGGCCCGTGGAAGTCTGTCCGAGTGCCCCTCTGTGACATTATTCTGGCACCAGCTTGGCGGCCAAACTGCGCCCCAAATCTTTACTCGCCGCTGCTCCGTGCCTACTACACCTAGCCTCCTCCTCCCCAATTCGCAACTTGCCCTTCTACTTCACCCACAGCACCGCACCGCTGCCACCCGCCCTCAGCATGGCTGACCCGGACAATATCTAGAGACACACCTTTTTCCCCTTCAGCACACTCGACTTGATTTTACGGCGCTTGGGCGGTTTTCGACGGTTTTCCCCCATCACAATTACTGTGCACTTTTCCCCGGCGTTCTCCCGTTTCCTACCCACTTCTATCGCACGCCTCAACCGGTGCGGGCACCGCACCTCAGCTTGACCGATCTGACTGTAAACTTGGGTACTAACGCTCAACATTGTTCGCGACCCACTGCTATCCTCATTCGCGGCTTTCGACGCTGTTCGCGCGCTTCTGTCGTCGCTGAACTCCAGTCTGTGTGCTACCCGAGGACCCGAACCGCTTTCTCAGCCCGACAAAACTCGACGACACTCCTGCGCAGTAACGCGCGCTCGACACTTGAGGCCTTCACAAAACACATTTACAACGTTTAAAAGAGCCACGCAAAATAGAAGCGAGCCACCATGCTCATCGACGGCGAGAAATATGCTTGCGAGGCCTGTATCCGCGGCCACCGAGTGTCATCTTGCAACCACTCTGAGAGAGACTTGATCCATGTCGCTCGCAAAGGACGGCGTAAGTCTGCCCTTTATCATGTCTTCGTGTGCTCTGTCTGCCCGCCGCGCGGGTCGGCATTGCCTTCCCATCCTTACGCGCCACGACACCTCCCGCCACAGCCTAACTCGCAGACTCTGATTTTACCCCATGCCTCCGGAACACGATCCAAGACAGAGGACTGACAGACTGCCAGCCATATCTCAGTGCCAACACTGCCGTGGTCAGCGTAAAGCTCGCAGCCAGCATGTGAACTGCCAATGTGGCGCAGCCAACGCCCACGACAAGGACAACTGCCCACACGGCGATGGTAACAGCGACAGCTGCTGCTGTTCACACACGTCTAAATGTACTTGCGCGATCAAGCGCGACAAGACCGCTCAGGTTGTGCCGGAAGATGGCAACCAGGTCCTTCATCCCAAGGACTCGCCTAAGCCGTTAGCCCACATCAAGAACTGTCACGATAATAAACCTATGGTTTTCACCGGCAATGGACACCACAAGCCTGCGCATAAATTCAATGATGCCCACCATCAACTAGGATCGCCGTACAAAATTCCCTCGCGCGCAAACACTGTACACCACCACGGACATCTTGCTCAGCGATCTACGGACAGTCTACCTCTTAGCAAATTCGCCAGACCACACCATGAATCACCACTGCACCACTCTATTACTCCACGGCAAATAAAGAGCGAACACAACTCTCCACAAGTAGGACCGACATTCATTCCCACCAGTATCCCCAACGATTTCAGATTGCCAGAATACGACCCGAATGCTTACTCGTACTCACCGTTCACCGCAAGTACACCGGGCACGCAGGGTAATAGTCGCGACGAGCTCTCAATCGAGGAGCAGTTTCCTGACGCTTTTCCCATCCGGTTTTCACAACCCGAGGAATCACAAGCTCCCCAGAATGTGGATTGGTCAAGTTATGACTTTCCTGGTTTTGGCGCGAATGATAGCATGCTCATGAACAATCCGGGCTGGGCCAGCCAGGCTATGCCCGTGGCCTCTGAGCAATTCGGCAATTTGAACCTCGGTGTCACTCCCTCTAGCGGCGACGTCACGGATGTGGACGAGTTCGGATTTAGCAGACCAAATCAACCTCAATCGATGAGTGGTGATGGCTCGACTGGGGTCAGCAGTCCTGGCGATGGTCAGCTGGATACATATCGGCTGAGTGTGGAAGGCACTCCCCAATCCAACATCCTAGCTAGTGACAATCTCAACAGCCTGGATATTGATGACTATCTTCGACAAGCGCAAGAAGAGACCAAGCGCATGGCGATGCAGAATCAGATACGCCAGCCCCCGGCGACGACACGACCTCAATTGTCGCCTGAATCATCACAAAGTGCTTTTAGCCCAGAGCAGGTCCTGCCGGGACCCACTTTCAACAGCATGCACCCTTACACTGTGCACGAGGCGCAACAGCGAGCACATTCTGCAGATACTGGACCGCAATCTACTTCAAAGCATTCAAGCACGGTGCCAGCAACATCGTTGGCGGAAGATCCATCTTGGTCGGCGGCGCCTGAGATCAACCCTACTTTGCTTCTGGACGACGCTCAAGAGGATGAGGACTGGATCCGGTAGGCGCTGAGCGAATGATTTCACGAGATATGACCATGCACAACGGATGGGTTGGTTCTGCTGCTGGTGTTCAAGTAGCCAAAGCTTCCGGATCGCAAGTGGCAGCTAGGGGTAACAATGGCGCGGTCTAGGGAGTCAAAAGGTCTACAGCACAAGAGATATATGCTGGAAGCGTATAAGTCGCAGCTGACTTGACACGATCACTTCAAATGAAGATGTGATGCAGTGATTTATTCCTTGATTCAATGATTATGTTCTTTAACCTTGCTCAGAGCGAGGCAAACGACTATAAGATCTTTCTTCAACCATCTTTTTTCGGCGTCATGCTATCCTGTAGTGTGCTCAGCACAATGTGAGATCTGCATTTGAATTGGGCTTCTCGGTGCCAGCTGTTGGGTCTTGGCAGGGTCGGAGCAGGCAACGGGTGGCCGCGCCTTCGCGTGCCTCCAACTCGTGGATTTATCCATCACCTCGACCACATCACAACCTCTCTTCAGTTCACTGTCCACAGCTCTGCCTCCTTTTGCAGATCTTCAACCATGGGTTCTGAACCACAATTCGCCAAATATCCCATCCTCCGGGTGGCACAGTCCATCTTCACACTCTCGACCGGACCCCAAGCCGCTCAGCAGACCTCTCTCACCTACCTGCAAGATGCAATCAAAGAGCACAAGATGGCGCCGCTATATCGGCATCTCGCACATCCTACGGAAGGTGTACTGAACTCCGTTGGTGAGGGCACCGCCGAGACAGCAAAACCGCACTCGCAGTCGCAGTCCCAGCCTCAACCATCGAGGCGAGGGTCGTTGGTGGCCAGCAACCTGGTGCCGCCGAGCCGGAAGGCGCTGGCGGGTGGCGTACTGCCGTGGGATGAGGCACTGTACGAGCAGCTGAAGAAGGACAACGAGCGCGAGTTGCAGGAGATTCAAAAGGAAGAAGACGAGGCGGAGGAGAAGGCCGGCGAGACGGAGGTGCAGGCGGCGCGGAGCAAGCGCGCGGACTTCTGGGCGCGGATTGGTGATAAGGTGTGCGAAGCTCCATGCCGTCTTTACGGACACTGCTTGATTGTGTGGATGGTTTACTAATGAGCGGGCGTTTCTAGGACAAAGCCATTTCTTCCTACGAGGAGATCTTCGAGAAGACGGGTCCGCTGGGCACCAAGATCGATATCGTGCTGGCCATCATACGCGTGGGCCTGTTCTTCAACGACAAGGCGTTTGTCAAGAAGCAAGTGGAGCGGGCGAATATTCTGGTCGAGGGCGGCGGTGATTGGGATCGACGCAATAGATTGAAGGCTTACAAGGGCTTGCATTTGCTGACGGTCCGGTCGTACAATGTGGCAGCACCGTTGCTACTGGATTCACTGTCCACATTCACATCCTACGAGCTGTGCAGCTACTCCAGTCTGGTGGTCTACAGTGTTCTCGCAGGTACCTTATCACTCAAGCGCACGGACTTCAAGAAAAGCGTGGTGGATGCGGCCGAGATCAAGGTCATCCTAGGCAACGACGAGGGTGAGAAGCTGCCGGGTGCAGGGGACGAGGAGATGAAAGATGTCAGTGCCGCGACTGAATCGAGGGCTACGGGACTCGTGAATCTCAGCGCGTTGGGCACGGGTACGGAGGCGCAGCCGGAGGAGGCGGTCGATTTCAAGCCACTGGCCAGCCTGGTCAACGATCTCTACAACGGCAACTACCGCGGCTTCTTTCAGGCGCTGGCGGCGGTGGAGGAGAGCTTTTTGACGACCGACCGCTACTTGTACGAACACCGTGGGTGGTTTGTGCGAGAGATGCGACTGCGAGGCTATCAGCAATTGCTGCAGTCGTACCGCATCGTGGGACTGGAATCGATGGCTCAGGCGTTTGGTGTCAGTGTGGACTTCCTGGATCGGGACCTGGCCAAGTTCATTGCGGCGGGCAAAATTCACTGCACCATCGACCGCGTGCAGGGGACAATCGAGACCACGAGACCGGACGACAAGAACAGCCAGTACAGCAACGTGGTCAAGCTGGGCGATCAGCTGATTACAAAGCTGCAGAAGTATGGGCAAGCTGTACGCCTAAGAGGCAGCGAGCGGGCGTAGATGGAAGCCTCTGTACTGCATAGCGGAGCGACAGGCGTTGCTGGAAGAGGTTATCTGTACCTGTAGTGTCTACAGCTCGGCGGCATGCGAGCAGATACCCGTCCTAGATAGAGAAAAAATCCGGCATTATCAGCAGGACGGATTGTGATACCAAGAGAGGGTAGCATGCATGAGATCTTGCATTATCCGTAGACGGGCCACTCTGATCGCTGCGTGTTGCTCGCTTGATGCACCTTGGACCTTGCAGCCGGACGCTTCATGTTGCTTCTGACACCCCCACTCTCCACTTTTGTTTTGTTCATCCTTCAACGACACAACCGTCGTCTCGCGTTACCTCAGATAGCTCAGGAGCTCGCCCTGCAATCAGGCTCCTAGAGCTTGCTCATATCTATCTCGACTTATCTTTCTTTTGCTCCCGACGCATACCGCACAGTGCTGGACGAATAGAGCTGAGCTCCCCCACAGGCACCGCCCAGCGACACTGCTGCACCTATGGCCACGATGCAAGCGTCATCGGTCTTGCGACACGACATATCCACGACCTGCAAGCATATTGTCCGCGCCAAACAGCCTCAGGTCATCCTCCACCATCAAGCTGGTACGTATTTCACCACAGAATCACTCCACGCCAAACAGCACCACAGACACTCCACACCCCACAGCCCTCGCATGACTCAAAAAGCCGTGCAAACGATCGACCCCAGCTGCCCGTCGACCTAACTTCTCCGACCGTTTTTCTTCCCGCACCGCGTGAGCCCGCCCAAAGACATCTAGCCCAGCTGGACTGATCAGACTTTTCCGACTATATAGCAACATCACCCTACCTACCCCGTGCTTTTGCCTACCAGATCCACAGACACCCTGTATCGCAACGGCGCACGATGGCCTCCACTCAGAGCCTTAAATCCCTGTCCAAGGATAATATTAACCAAAATATTGTCTCCGCCCAATATGCCGTCCGTGGCGAGCTCGCTATAAAATCCGAAGAGTATCGCGCCCAACTGAAGTCCCAGTCCGCCAAGCCCAGCGACCCCCCCACCCCTCCAGACTCCTCCTCCCACCAGTCCTCGCTGCCTTTCGACACCGTCATATCCGCCAATATTGGTAACCCTCAACAGCTCGACCAACGGCCCATCACCTTCTTCCGTCAAGTGCTCGCTCTGCTCGAGAACCCTCCACTCCTCGAGCACCCCGACGTATTAGAGTCCACCTTTGGCTACCCTCCCGATGCCATTGCCCGCGCGAAGCATCTGCTGTCGGAGATTGGCTCCGTCGGCGCCTACTCCCAGAGTGCAGGAGCCCCTGCCATCCGTCAGTCAGTTGCCAAGTTCATTGAGCGCCGTGATGGCTTCGAGGCCGACTGGCAGAACATCTACCTCTCCGCGGGCGCCTCTTCGGGCGTCAACACCCTCCTCAATGTCATGCGTGGATCTGCAAACACTGGTGTATTAGTCCCTATTCCCCAGTATCCGCTTTACACGGCATCCTTATCCGTCCTCAACGCCACATGCGTTCCCTACCTACTCGATGAATCCAAGTCATGGGGCACATCGCTAGATGTCATCAAGGAGAGCTACGAGCGTGCCGTTGCCGAAGGCACCGACGTGCGCGCCATCGTCGTCATCAACCCCGGCAACCCCACAGGAGCCAGCCTCAGCGAAGACGACATCAAGTCCGTGATCCGCTTCGCCGCCGAGCGCAAACTGGTCGTCATGGCCGACGAGGTGTACCAGACCAACGTCTTCATCGGCAAGTTCCACAGCTTCAAGCGCGTGCTCCGACAGCTGCAGCAGGCCGAGCCGGGCACCTTCGACAACGTCGAGCTCGCGTCCCTGCACTCGATATCCAAGGGCATGGTGGGCGAGTGCGGCCACCGCGGCGGCTACTTTGAGCTCGTGGGCTTCGACAAGGAGGTGCAAGCGCAGATCTTCAAATTCATCTCCATCGTCCTCTGTCCGCCCGTCATCGGCCAGTGTCTCGTGGACCTCATGGTGAACCCACCCAAGGAGGGCGAGCCCAGTTGGCAGCTCTACGACAAGGAGTACAACGGCATCAAGGAAGGACTGAGGGAACGCGCTACGGCGCTGTACAAGGCCTTCAACGAGATGGAGGGCGTTGAGTGCGGCGAACCACAAGTACGTTTTTCTCTCTCTTTCCCTTTCCCTTTAACTTCCCCTCCTGGCTTCCCTGACTCACATCCATCTGACACACCAATGCATGCACCCCTTCTCCCGTCTCTGCCTCTTCTGAATCTCCACTAACGTCCAATCACAGGGATCAATGTACCTTTTCCCGACGATCCACCTCCCCCAAAAAGCCACCGACGCCGCCAGCGCCGCGGGCAAGAACCCAGACGACTTCTACTGCCTGCGCCTCCTGGACGCCACCGGCATCTGCGTCGTCCCCGGCAGCGGCTTCGGCCAGAAACCGGGGACCCTGCATCTGCGCACCACGTTCCTCGCGCCCGGCACGGATTGGGTGGGGAGGTGGACCAGGTTCCACAAGGAGTTTATGGAGAAATATCGCGACTGAAGCGCAGCGTTGCGTACGATGGTGCGATGTTGGGGGCGTAGGGAGGATGTGGGGAGGAGGAAGGGAGGGGGCGGGAATCGCCATGGCCGTCGGGAGAGGTTGCGGGAGAGGGGGCTGAGGGCAACCAGCAGAGGAGTGAAAGAATGAGAGCACTGTAGGACGGACTGATGGCATGACAAGGGTCCGCAGAGTTTCCCAAACCCGAATTGGAAACATTTCGTGTACATGCTTGCATGTCCTGTCCAAGAAAGCCATTAACAGACATCAACTGCAGCCTTTTTGCAAGAGCCATTGCATATACATATGCAAGTGCATACACTTCTACCGGCACCAACAACAGCAACGGGACATATGCACATATCGTGGAACATTGGTTATGGGATCTACTGGATGAAAGGGAAGGAGGGGATCATCAGACTGAGAAGCACCATCTATCAATCCAATTGTTTAACGAAATAAGGGCTAGCGTGCATCATATGGTATGGGTCAGTTGAGGACGGAGCATATCATCATAGGCGAGATTAGCATACCAGGCAATAGATTTGGCACTGATCTCTCTTCTTATATGTTCGTTCTTTGCCCGAAGGACGTGCTTAGCACGGAGGAGCGGAGCGGGCAGGAGGATGATTTGGAGCGCCATATCTTTTCACTGATAAGCCCGTCAATGGCCGGGACCCATCCGACACCAGGTATTCTGGTACGGTATTCCCGAGCGTCGCCATCTAACCATACCCCTCTCTACCTAATCAAGGCAACGCCAAAGTATCCCACTCGAACTGGCCAGTCAAGAAATCGTCCGTCAGCAACAGGCCCAGGTCCGGTGTCGTGCCGTCCGAAGCCCCTGCCGCCGGTACGCCAGACTCAAACTCAGGCAACTCCAGCTCCTCGCCCGCGGTCCACGGCGAAGCAGCAAAGTTCACCACGGGCCCGAGGTCGATGTCCATGCTCATGCCTATGTCCATTTGGCCCCGTGGCGTGCCTTGCGTCTCGGTCTGCATGGCTCTCTCAATACTGCCCTTGATCTCCCTGACGCAGGGCCAGACCCTCTGAATCTCTTCCATTGCCCCAAGGAGAGTGGCGAGGGGCTTCGCAACGTCGCTATCCGTCCAAGCGGAGTTGTCGAAGAAGCGCTTCATGAGGACGGTGCCGGCGGCGCTGGACAGGATGTGCACAAAGTCCAGGGGGAGATCGGCGAGACGGTAATGTCTGCTATAAGAGGTGATGAGGCGAAGGACTGCAGATAGAGAGGCGTAGCAGATCTCAACATCCTCGGATTGTGCAATGTTGGCGGTGTGGAAGAGATGTCGTGGGGGTCGATGAAGGATGGTCATTGCCGTATGGAACAGCATGTGTAGATGCAGGACGTAGCTCGGCACTTGCCCTACTGTCCACTGATTCCAGTGTAGCTTTCCAGGTAGCTCTGACAGCCACTTTGTCAGGCTCACGTGAACCCGTTGAGCCGCAGTAGCAGCAACGGTGGCATTTTGATGTCTGTTTTCGAACACATCGACAATCATGTCGTGCAATATCTTCGACAGCTCGATCTGATAGACCAGGGAGGCTACTAATGCAATCCCATCCTCGTAGGCGGTGGCGGAGGTGCCTGTAGAGATGTAGGTATCTAGCAGAGATTCCCACTCTGGAGGATAGGGTATGCGAATTGTGTTTCTGACATCGGACTCATGTGGATACAGGGCGGGTGGGCGGCCGAAGTGTAGAGACAACTGCTTATCTGCAACGTATGCTGTCCAGTACACCCGTCGGAAGATCTCTCGGTCCACAAGTCCCTTGTTCGACGTCCAATTATTAGGATCAAGGTGTAGACCCATTTCATGCGCAAGTCGAAATGCCATCCCACAGAACAGCCAGCCTTTTGATGCTTTGCCCTGGCCAATTTCGAGGTAGCCGAGCATGATGAGCGACTGCAGCGTAGTTAGATCAGGCTTTTCGAGGGTTTGGAGTAGCAGTGCTTGTGACTGGTCCATGAACAAAGATGCCAGGGCGTAGAACTCGGGGTCCTCAGACAGTCGCGCACCGAGAGCGCACATGCTATAAAGCAGGACTTCGGAATAGTATGGACCGGCTCCTGCATCCCAGTCTCGCAGAAACCACTCTCTATAGACGTACATGTTGTAATAGTATGACTGCTTGAAGAAGGTGGTCATCAACTGGCGGCAGACAGGGTGATGGGGCGGATACTCGAAGGAGAGGCTGTCTGGACTAGTGATAGATGCTGTAGACGTCCTGTGGAGTGCGGGACCACTTATGGTGGTATCGGGCTCATCGTCAAATAAGACGGATGCCTCCTCCGACACGTGAAGTTGATAGGCTGATGTGCCGCCAAAGAATTGTGTCGCAGGGCGGGCGGACAAAGAACGTAGCTGACCAGCTCGGGCTCGAGCCTCTGTGATTTCGCTCTGAGGGGAGGTCGTTGGCTCGACGGCGTCAATTGGCTCCTGGGCACGATCCAGCGACGGCTTGCGAGAAGCTGCTCTCGAGTTGTAGTCTGCGAGCATCTCGTCCCGCTCCGAGGCAGTTGAGGACGCTAGCTTCTGGATGAAGGCATCCAGGGCTGCAATCTGGGACTCGAGTGCCTGTACATGCCGGCGGGGCACGGGGCGTTGCTTCTCGCCTGTCCCAGATAGTACGCAAGCGGTGCCTGCCTTCTGACATCTGGCGCAAGGTCTGCGGCGGTCGCATTTGATTTTACGCCGGCGGCATCTCTCACACGAGATAATGGTACCTTCCGCCGCCTTGCCCGATTGCGGGGCTTCGACCATCGCTTCACGACCTCCCAAAGACCAGCAAGTCGAAAGCAGAGAAGCGCACCGATGCAAAGGCGATAACTATGTAGCTGGCTTGCAGCTGGGTTGCTATCAAAGGGTGCGAAGGAATGACAAGAAGATAGATCGTGAGAGGGTCGAGGTTGGGAGATGAGCTATCCTCCGCAAATTACCCCTCGAGTACGCGGACAAGGCAAACCGAGGCAACCACTTGTAGCCTTACGATGGTTGATCCAAATGTTCCTCTAGGACACAACCCGACAAGCGATATGTATGGTTACTACATCTGCGCAACCGTTTCGATTCATACGGCAGCGGTATTCTCAGATATCCTTCAGAGCTGCTTCCTGGGCTTCTCGCACCCACCCCAGCTCTACGGCACTGACGCACCTGGCGTAACTCTTGGTAGTGAAGACAAACTCACTGCTCATCACCGCCTCCACGCGTCGCCCAAAGAGTACCGAGCTTGGATGAATGCTGACCGGCTGATTTGTGGCGATAGTGAGGTAGGAAGGTGGCCCTGCCATGCTTTCAGGCTGCTTCTTGTTTGTCTTTGTGGTGGCATTGGCCGCAGGAGACGCCAGACGCGCGACGTTCGGGTGCAGGCCGGTGAGCAGGCACTTGAGGATCCTCGTATTGAGATCCGTGACTTCCACGGCTGGTGTCGAGACGATTGTGGCTTTGCCGTCAGGAGGATTGCTGCCATTTTTCGAAGACCCTGACGTATCTCGCTGGCGAGCCAAAATACCGCTGAGCTGCTTCCTGACGTCCAGGGCACCCTGCATGGCTCTGTGGCTGATGCCTCGCTCGCTGCACCATCGCTTGCGGTCACTATTCTCCTCCACGTATGCCTGAACAGCAGCCAATAGCGTGAGGTGGTCGCCTTCTCTTCGATATAATTTGGACCTCAGAACCAGCCTCGGGTCTGAAGGCCCCTCGTCCTCGCTCTCCTCGCCGTTGCCGCTACCTCGCCCCCTCCCCTCGTGGATATTCACAAAAATGTTCTCCACAGACAACGAAGCGACAATGTCCACGATTTGATCCACACATCCCCATCTCACGCTTGCCAACAACACCCTGGCCAGGTTGCCTGGCAGCGGCAAGAGACTCATCTGCTTGCCCACTCCAGTGACATTTCCCGCCCCTTCGTCCAACGCCCCGATGCCCAGAAGCCCGACAAACGCTCTTTCTAGACCCCTCTTTGGCGGCTTCGACAGCATCTTCCACTCCCTCAGACTTTTGACCCCATGTGCCTTGAGAGTCAGCACCAACTGGCTCAGATCACATCGCAGAACCTCTGGTTCTGTATCCTGCTTCAGCTCGTAGTAATTCTTCTCCGTGTAGAGCCGCCACGCTGTGCCGGGTGCGTCACGACCAGCTCGCCCCGCCCGTTGCGCCGCTGACGACCGGGAAATGGGCGTCGTGAGCAGAGAGTCGATGTTGAGGGACGGCCGGAAGAGACGTTGCTTGGAGAGGCCGGAATCGATGACGTGGCGGACGCCGGGGACTGTGAGTGACGTCTCGGCGATGTTGGTGGAGAGGATAATCTTGCGGGTGAATTTGGGCGTGGGCAGGAAGACAAGCTGTTGCTGATGAGGCGGCAGCGCAGCATAGAGCGGCAGCAGTAGAAGCGCTGGAATGGCTGGAGCTTTTGGGTTCTCTTTCGCATTCTTCTCGAGTGTGCTGGCGTAGGTGGTGAGAAGGGACAGCAGAGACTCAATGGTCTCCTGACCGGGGAGGAAAACGAGAACGTCCCCAGGTAGTGGGCTGTGCGTGTGGATGTGGGTTATTCGGTCGAGGGCAGCGGAAATGATATCGGGTGTGGGCTGCGGGAGATAGTTGACTGTGACGGGATGCAGTCGGCCAGGTATCCGTAGACTAGTGACTTTCGTCGCGATATGTGTAGCCGATGATTCGTCGTCCGATAATCCATTCCAAGTCTCGTTTTGCTGCCCCTTGACACCATCCACAGACCCGTTCGACACGTCTTGCTGCTTCTCTTTCTCATCTTTCTTGTTCACGTTGCCGTCAAAGAACCTCTCCAAACCCTCCATATCAGCCGTCGCACTCATCACCACGACCTTGAGCGGCGCGCCCCCTCGGCCCTTGACAGCCTCTCCCTCACCCCTAACCAACTGCCGCAGAAACCCCAAACATAAATCAACTCCCACTCCCCTCTCATGCACCTCATCCACCACCACACAACTATACCGCTTTAGCGCCGGATCCCTCAACATCTCCATCAGCAACATCCCCTCAGTCAGAAACTTCACCCGCACCCGCTCCCCGACCCTCCGCTCAAACCGCACCTCGTACCCCACCTCCCCCGCCTTCCCACCCACCGTCGTTCCCATCTCCTCCGCCACCCTCTTCGCCAAGCTCACGGCCGCCACCCTCCTCGGCTGCGTGATCGCGATACACCCACCAACCTCTTCTTCCTCCTTCCCCACTCCGCCGCCAGGCAACTGAACGCGCCGCCGACGGCACCAGCGCTCTTCGACGAGAAACTGCGGCACCTGCGTGGACTTGCCAGAGCCGGTTTCGCCGACAAGGAGAAGGACGTCGTTGGCGGAGAGGGCGGCGCGGATGCTGGAGGCGTGAGACCAGATGGGCAATTGTTTCCGCGTGGCCAGCAGCGTGGCTGCTTGTTGTTTCAGCCCCGGCTGATTATGACGGTCTGGGTGTTCATTCTGCTTCCGCTGCTCGCGCTTATGCGTTTCGCGCGGAGTGGTGGCGTCGAAGTCGATGTTCTTGTTGTTGGTTTTTGCCGTCGGAGCTCCGTTACGATGGCGCTGCAGCACCGTCTGACCGTCTGTGGCCAGCTTTGGCGAGCCAAATGCAGTGGCACTGTTGCGCTTAGTGCCTCTTGAGGGAGCCATTGTCATCTTGCGGTCGTTCTAGAGATGGCAGGAAGTGAGTTCGCCGAGCAAAGATTTTTTGGAGTCGAAGTTGCCTGGCGGCTTGGCGGCGAATTTAATTGCACCGGTGAATGCCTCGTTTGCCGCCTTGTCCTGAACTGCCCACCAGAAATTGGAGATTGGTAGTGCCAGGTGACGATCACAGCACAGGTTGTAAAGGAATGGATGGGACAAGGCCAGATGTCAGGTTCGTGCAAGGTCTTCTACCATCTTCAGGCTGCGTGAGGCCATCTATTTTGGCATACTCGTATCATATCCCGCTTCGCTATGCATACAAATCGTAAAGCAACGCCACTTGCACGCCCTCTGCGCCAGCCCGCATCTGCTGTGGGCTGCGCCACGTATGCCATGCCTGGCACATAGATTTCATCACCACATGCCAATTCCGTTTTCCGGCTTAAGGTCTAGCGAGGCTACACCTGTCCGCAATGACCCATCTGAAATGTGCCTAAGGCCTTTTACTTTGCCTCCCAACGCCGATGGTGCTGAATCAGTGCATCATGCATCATACACCGAATTGAAATCTCACGAACTCCCATTGGTCACTGCCGGACCAGGAGCACTTGAGCTCTCGCCGAGGCTGTTGGTGAGGCGCACCGTATCGTCCTCTGCCTTGGCTTTCCCTTTACTCGTTGTGTCGTCTTCATCCTCACTGTTACTCTCGTCTTCATCGCTCTCCTCTTGGACGCTTCGACTGTCCATGCTGCTTCTGAAGTCTTTGGCATCAACAAACAGACTCCCCCTATCAACGTGACTAGCCCGGCTGACGGAGCCCTCGAGACTGGTCTTTGCATCCACGAAGTCTTCATGATCCTGCGTGATGACACTCAATTTGCGCGGATCTACCTCTCGCACACTGTTGGCCTCAACACTTTCGGACTCTGCACGACTGCTCGGCCTGCTGGCAATGCTAGCCGTCCCGTCATCAACAGCGTCGTTATCATCCTTCTTGTTCTGCTGTCGCATCTTCATCCGCTCTTCAGCTGACATGTTCCGCCATTCCTCGCCCATGGTGATGACACTGGCTTTCTTGCCATGGAGGATGAAACTGCCAGTGCCACGACGTAGCTCCTCACTCTCACCAGAATGGGTGCTCTTGATGTCACCTTCGGTCACAGCGCTCGATCCAGATTCACGATTCTTCTTGTGACGGCTCGAGCTGGGAGATGCGTGCACGTGATGATGGTCACGAAGACTGCGATGCAGGCTTCGACGGACACTACTGCCTCGGTCGCGCAAGAAGTGGTCAGACGATGGGGATATGGCACCCACGCGGTCACGCTCAGACTCGCTAGTGTCTGGACGTTTCTCTTTGGTCACGTTGCCATCCACACCGAGCAGACCTGCCTCACGAAGGACCTGCTCCTCCCCAGCTTCGATATGTGCAGACTCGTGCTCATGTAGAAGACGTTGGGAAATCGTGCTTGACTGTTGAACCATGTCTGGTCTCGAATCGCGTTTCGTAGGCGCAAATGGCTCTTGGAGTGTCTTTGGACTACTCGTAACTGAAGGAGCGTTCTCCACGACAGTATCTATGCCTGTTTCAAGTAGAGCCTGGGAAGCCCTCCGACTTTGGCCCGGCTTCGATGAAGTGGTGGGTGACAAAGTTTGCTTGCTGGTTTCAGTATCCGTGCGAGCCAGACTCTGAGCAGTCGACTTCACAGGCGTAAGCTTTTGTGGCGTGCCGTGGGGAGCCGGAAAGTCGGCCTGTGCCTCCTGGTCAAGATCCAGAGCAAGCACATCACGATGCGTCTTGTTCCGCCACAGCTCGACTCTGGTCCACTTGAGTTTAGCCGACATCCGACCAGCAGCCATAATGAGAGACTCCCGAGTCTTCTGCTGAATCGGCAAGCAGACAGAAAGACCCCTAGCATTCCTCAAAAGGGTCTCGAGCTCCTTTTGCACAGCAGCAATCTTTTCATCGTAGTCGCTGATCTTTTCGCTGATGAGCTGACGACGATAAAACATAATCTCCCACGCAGCTTGAGGATCCATGGAAGGCGACAAAGGACCGTTGTGCTTGGCTGTGTCTGCGCTGGCGGTTGATATCTCCGAATCCTTCCTGAAGAGCTGTCGGCCCTCGTAAGTTGTGCCCAATGGCCCACGCATGCGGACGCCAGCGGATCTGAATGTAGCAGCATAATTGATTTTCTGGATGAAATCATTTCGGTCTGTCTCGGAGTTCGCTAGAAACACTTCTTCAATGTTGCCGTGTTTCAGCAAAACCAACGCATTCTTATGACGCTTGTAATTGGAGTCATATAATGCCACTGCATCGTCCATCGATATGAGAGCATCAGGTTGGAACTCGGTAAGTGCAGGCTTGAAGATGAGCGGGGCAGATTTGGTATTCGCTTTTGAATGGTTCTCATGCTGCGAAATGAGCTTCTTGACCCAGCCGATATCCTTGAAGAAGTAGAGCTTGGAGTCCGTTAAGATCGCGCCCCACTCCTGCCACGGACTGGAAGTCTTCTTCTTCTTTGGACTCTTTCGCCATAAGAGACCGACTTTGGCGACCTTAATGCTGACTAAACCTGCTTGTGCCTCGGAAGGGTTGAATATCGTGGCTTGGGACATGAATGCATCCGGCCGGGAGCGAGCAGAGACGATCTGCAGGACAGAAGATTTCAAGAAGGCGCGGTGTAACTCGAAGATGTCGAAAGAAGCAGCTGTGCCGGTTGATCTATACGTGTCCTCTGTATCCATGACATCCTTGAGCGACGGGCGCAGTACTTCAAGCTTGTTGTCTAGGATGAGGAGATAAGGATCAACGGGGCCACGCAGCTTCTCGGAGCTCTTCACTCGGATGAGACTCTTCTTCGGCCTAGGAGCGTGTAAGCGGTGGCTATTTATGGCCACCTCATCATCGAAATGGATGAATGGCGTATAGCAGATGTTATCGTAGAAGCAGTCTAGGATATCGCTCGACACGGTTACTGAACCTTGTTGGGTGTTTTTGAAATAGTCGTGCTTGGTCATCTTCCGCTTATTGTTCTTGTTGTGTGTATCTGAATGTAACAATAAGATGGAGAAGGCCACGAATGTCGTCTCATCGGTGGAAGAAAAGATGCCCGGATTGCACTCATAGTAGCGATCTGCAAATCCAGCAAGAAGACGATCGATCTGCTGCGTTTCTTTGGGCAGTTCGACCTCCATCAGCATCTTGCGAATAGCCATATCGATGGACTCGCCAAAATAGGAAAATCCCCGCATGTATTTGCGCAAGCACGTCCTGGAGAACTCGTCTGCACTCTTGCATAGAATGGTGGCCATCGAACCCCGCTGCACCGCAGCTTCAAGCTTCTCCAGGTACGATGCAGGAGTATCAGATTCGTCTCGCTTAGGGTACACCAGCTCGGGAACCTCTTCACGTGGTATCTGCAACGAGTTCGACTTGGAGCCAGGTGTGCCGGGACTATTGCTAGAGCCGTGGCGCGGGGGTGGAACGGAGTTCTGTCTCAGGCGGTGTGGTAAAGAGAGCAGATCGCCAAAGCTTCGTCTGCCAGTGGTAGAGGTCGACGTACGCGTAGAGCCGGGTTGATCCTGACCGACTCTTTCTGCGGATCGACCTAGCGAGCTCATGGTAGAAGACCGACCACGTGCGCCTAGTCGAGGTGGAATCAGCGCAGCAGCAGGTGGCGTGGATTGTCCGGAATGAGTAGATTCCTTGCGTAGTACAGACGGACCTGGAGAGCCAAACGGAGCATTTGTCAAGGCTACGGTTGAATTGGTGGGTGAAGCCGCGCCGGAGTCTCCGCCACTCGTGCCAGGCTCAAACCGCACTGCGGAGGTTGATTTGCGACTAGGTGACATGGATCTTCTCCCCCCTTCAAAGCCGGTCGTTGAGAAACTAGCTCTTTCCGAAGTTGAAGGTTGCAGTTTCTCAGGCAGTGGAAACAAGGGGCCCTTGTTCTTCTTCCGTCGTCCCAGCTTGAAGAATGTGGTGGTTGAAGTTATGACATGAGTCGTTGTAGTCCTCGCATAGACTTTTTCGCCTGAACTCGCATCCGATCTCGAGGAGTCTGATAAGCGTTCTATGGGAATGGCGAGCTGCGAACTCGACTCGTCACCATAGGCAGGTGGTCCAGGCACGCCGTCGAGGGAATGCATCTGCTCCAATTTCGACGCTTTTTCGTTGTGCAAGTCTGGAGTGGACGCAGCGACTGTAATATGACCGTCTGGCGTCGTAGAACGGCCGAGATTGCTGTGTCGGACCGTGCCTTTCCTTCGGAACGGGCTAGGACTTCTACCAGAGAATAGCTTCTGTGCCGACTTCTTCGAGGGCTCCGCTGTAGCATCGTTGACGGTTGGGGACGTTGTGATGATAGCGGGAGCAGGTGGGAGGGGCTCGCGCTCTTCAGGAGGCGTGGAGGCCTTCTTGAAGCGGAACGACAGCTGCGGGTCAGAAGCGTTCTTGAATCTGAGAAGAGAGAAGCGTTGTGGCCGTGGAGGAGCAGTTTCATCGGATTCTGGTATTGCGGCCGGAGAGTTGGTAGGAGGTTCGAGATGGTCCGCTGTAGCATGATCTTCTTGCGAAGACACTCTTTTGCTTACATCGTCCTCATCCTCTTGCCCGCTACCTTCGTCCGACCTTCGTGGAGAGGGAGTAGGTTCTTCTCTCTGGATGAGCGGTGGGCCAAAGTCACCGGAGCCGAACTTGGGGATGTGCACACTCATGCGGTCTTTCGCGGCATCCTTCTCTGACTTCTTGGGCGAATGGGCCTCAAAGATAGTATGTCGGTGATGCTTGCTGCTTTCCCCTGTTCCGGGCCGCGAGCGTAGGCTTGGGAAGGGCATCGCGATTTATGGGGAATGCTTCAAGTCCGTGACATGATTTCTGACAGTGTGCAGCGGTTCGTGAGATTCTAGGAGAGGAGAACATGCGCCAATAGTCCTTGAACCATCATCAGGCCAGCCTGCATGGGTACCGTGGCACTGGCGGAGTCGGACAAGAACTGGGAGCGGGCGGGTGAGATAACAGGCTAGGTTGGAGAGGAGGTTGAGACCCGACAGGGGAGAATGCAGTCTGGGTAACAAAGCGAGCGGAGTCAGGGTGCCTATCGCAGGGACACTGTGACAAGAGCAAAGCAGCGTAGAGTGGGAGGTGAGGAGTATGCAAACAGGTTTCTCGATGGGGTTGTGCAGGTTATCTGCTGCTCCGGCTGACTGCACAAAAGGGCAATCAACAATACTTTACTTGCATACTTGTACGGAAACCTTCCTATCGCCCTGTTCCCAGCACTGGCCCTACGAGTCTCCGTCTCCACGTGCGCCCGCACCGCTCTGGGCGGCCGTTTTTGCTTGCCAACTCTGGCCAGGATTCCATTTAGAGACAGAAGGGGGCCTCGGGGGCCCTGACTACCCTTGCTGCATAATCCCGGACGTCCATGGAGCCTCGCGTCGTCGAATGGAACGTTCGGAGGGGTTTCTCAAGCTGGCACTCGTGCGGAGAGAGCAGCATTTGAATCCGTTCTGAAACATGTGGCTCATGTCTCTCCGGCGAATCCTAGCACCACCGAGGGAAGCAAGGTCTGACAACCCCCACCTGTCATGCAAACGGACAATCGGGAGACTGCAGCAGGTCTACGAATTGTACAGCTCTACATCCAGAGCCAGTTGCTCGCTGCTATAGATTCGCCGTCGACATGTGCACGTTTGTCTTCCTGTCCGCCCCAAGCAAGTGAGATTCCCAAACGCCTTGCTACGACTCTCTCGATAAAGCACCGAGGAGCACTACACAGCATGTCCTATAGTCATCACAATATTTCGCCTTCGCATCAACGACATTACATGGCCATGGGATGCTGGTTCCCAGGCTCCACGCGAGAGCTTGTCATCTCGCCGTACCTGCCGCGCTCTTTCGTTGTGTCGTAGGCATTGAGCAGCCGCATTTGGCCACCATCGTCGTTGGCAGAGAAAGCGTAACTGCGACCATGTCAGTAGCTGCGTATGGTGAACAAAAGTTCGACATACCCTCTTTGTTTGCGTTGTCGTTGCACCATCCGAACTTTCCGCACCGCTTTCTGGAACTGTAATCTATTAGTATGCTGCAACGGTAGCCTGATCCGCTCGACACTCACCTGTTCCATCCGTGGGCGGTAGTCCGCCACGTTGTATTTGTTGATCTCCTGCACAACGTGGTAATCCTGCGCGCGATACATCCGCTTCGCATACTTCCATGCAAAATCCCGCACAAGACATGCAGGAGGCAAAATCAAGCACAGTGCGTAGAAGATTGGCGATGTGAACATCTTGGGCACGATGCCAACCAACTCATTGTCAGTTGCAAGACCGCCGGCGAGTCGTGGGCTGAGCCAGCCATAGAAGGGGATAAAAGCAAGCCAGATGACAAACGAGCCTGGTATAGCAAGCACTGTCCACTTATTCCAGATGGTCGTCACCAGTGCCGCCTTACCTAGCGCAACCAGCAGTACAGCGGTATAGGTCGACGTGCCCCAGAGCCAATGTCCACCAATCTTACCGTTGCTCAAGATGAGGTCCTCGCGGAAGAAGTAGATCGAAAAGACGTAGCAAATGATGGAGTGATAGAACCCGTTGCCGACCCAGGTCCAGAAACTGTGCATCCGGAAAAACGTGCCTTTCTGTCCCAACTGATACAGTTGAGGATACCGGTCAAGCAGTCTCGCACTGATGAATTGGTCGAAAATACCAATGGCAAAGGGCGGCAATGCTGTGAAGAACACGTTGTAGAATGACAGAATCCACGATTCGTAGATAACCTGGCCGGTATACATGTTCTGGAATGAGTACTGTGCATGTTGTTAGCCTCGCCCAACGTCGCTCTCGCCGCACTTACCCAAAATTGTGTGATATAGAGAATGACGTTCTTGTAAAATGAGTAGAGGATGACCTTGCTGATTCGCTGGTAGCTCCACGCTCCATGAACAAGCAGCAGTTTTCGCAGGAAGCGAAATTGGGCAATCGAAACATCGGCGCTCCGGGCGGCCTGTAGCCCTTCGAGACCGCTGATACCCACGCCAACATGCGCCGCCTGGATCATCGACACGTCGTTCGCACCGTCGCCAATGGCGAGTAACAGTTTCTTGAGATTTCGCTTCACAAGTTTGACAACTAGTGCTTTCTGCAAAGGCGACACACGGCAGCAGATGACCGCTTTGCACATCAGAGCGAGATCAAGGAACAGCTTCTCCAGATCCTTCTCCAGCGCATACGTGAGCGACTTTCCATCGATGATGAGAGCAAGAGTGTCCTGTTCGCCATTGGCTGCTGCACTACGCACGGCGTCGAGCTTGGCCTGAATGCTGTTCCTTGTGTCGTGGGAGTTATCTTCGTTGATGATCAAAAGCGTCATGTCCTCACTGATTAGTTTGCAGCTCATACCGATATTGATGGCAGTCTCTTGTCGATCGCCAGTCAGCACCCAAATCTTGATGCCAGCGGTTTGGAGAGTTGAGATGGTCTCGGGGACGCCATCCTGAAGGCGATCTTCGATGGCTGTCGCACCAAGGAAGAAGAAGTCTCGCTCAATTATCTCAGCAGCCTTATCAAGCTCTTCCGCTCGATTGCCGCCGACGGTCGCAGCGGCATTGTCGTAGATCTGCTGCCATCTCTGATATTCATCCTCAGGGATTTCTCGCATGGCCAGGCATAGCGTTCGGAGACCTTCGGTGGCGTAGTCCTCAAGATGGCGCATGGTAGCGTCAACCACCGGGTTGTCCTTCGCCAATCGTTCCAGGATGACAGTATCAGCACCCTTGGTATAGATGCGAACTTTGCCGTCTGGACAGCGATAGATCGTTGACATCCTCTTGCGGGTAGAGTTGAATTCGCACACAGCCAATAATGTGTATTCCTGCTCTTCACCATGGACTTCAATGAGAACTGATCTTGGTTTTCGGGCAACGAATTTGTAGCCAAGCTGGACTGCTCCTTCGACAAGTGCAGCCTCGTCTGGAGAAGAGGCCTGGTACTTGATTTCTGCCTTCTCGTCCGTCCGTTCAGGGATGACGGTGTGGCAAGTCGCAAGAAGTGTCAGGAAGTGTTGAGCAGCCGAAGATGTCTCGTGTCCCTGCTGGTTCTGGATCAGTTGCTTGAAATCATGAATACCATCGTAGTCGTCTGGACCAGAGGCGCGCCTATCTTCTGGTACCGCATCCGCATACATAATGCCCCCAATGGAGCATTGCCTGAACTGCATCATGTTGCACGTTAAAGTACCAGTCTTGTCCGAGAAAATGTACTCAATCTGACCAAGCTCTTCTACCAGTGACGATGTGCGACACACAGCTGCAGTATCGGTTTCCGCATGGTACATGTCCAAATCGCTACCGATGAGCAGCGCAGTGACTGTTTTGACAATTTCGACAGTGACGAACAATGATAGAGGTACCAAGTTAGAATAGAGCACCCAGTATGTGCACATATCCAGGAAAAATTGCTCCACAGTGCTGTAGTCTCCTAATTCGAGGTAGAAAGCGTCTCTTCCCCAGCTTCCTCGGACGATGAGGTCACCAATGGTGCTGATAGCGCTGAGTACAAGCAGGATCCCAATCAACATGATAATCTGGAGGTTCAGCATGCGCTCGACATCGGTTCGCTTGATAGGCGTCGCCGTCGCATTTCGCATGAGCTTCGACTCGTGACCAGTGAAAACAACCACTCCATGAATCCAAGGGGTGTTTCGCAGAGTAGCACCTCGTAATAACAGCTGTTCCGGATTCAGTGGGAGCTCCTTCTCCGAAGAGGAGATGTTGGATGCGATGGTGGCTTCATAAGTGTAGAGACTGCTGTTCGGCTGCTCGGACTTGATTCTTCCTGACAGCCTAGAGAGCTCACTCGGACTGACGAGATGTGCAGTCTCCGGAATGGCCTGCTTGATCTTCAAGTTTGTCTCTCCGTCCAAGTTTGCGGTTTCAACGTAGCACAGTCCTTCTGGCTCTGAGCTAGCGAGTAAGACCAGATCGGCTGGAAATGGCTCCTCTGATTGCACCCGCACGATGTCCCCAACCTTGACATTGATCCATTTCGTCTCGGCGAAGTCTCCATTTTTAAGGATACGGGTTTTCGAATAATTCAACCCGCGGTCGGCCAGCCGCCTCTGGTAATCTTCCCACGCTTCCTTTGCCGCAGAAACAGCAAGGACAACCAGGAGCGGTACGATCGTAGTGTATCTGTTGGTGGGTGAAACGTTGGGGATTTGCTGAAGTACCGCTGTAAACAAGAAGAAGAGATTGGCAACTTTTGAGAACTGTTCGTACAAGAACTTGGGGAGGAAGGTTGCGGCATTGTATTTTGTCGTGGAGACGTGGTTGTCGACCCAGCCATGACCCGTGTTAGCGCCCGAATTGTTCACATGAATCATTCGGGGGCCTAATTTCGACGGGTCAACCTTCTTGGTGAAGATGCCTGTTAACCTGTCCACTAGTGGCTTCTTCTCTTTGGATGAGGGTGCATCGTCTGTCCCGACAGTGTCGACTCGTGATTGCTGCGTTCCGGCGTCGGTGAGAGGCACGTTCATTTCCGAATAGTGGGCGTCGCTCCTAAGACCTAGCATGCCCTTCGCCTTGTCCACCATGCTGCCGCCCATGGACAGTACACTGCTACGTTGTCTTCCGTGTCTGTTGCTGGCTCCCGCGCCTGAGTAGTCTGCATCCGGGCGGCCGCCGCCATCATAGTATTTCTGGTGCTGTGAAGAATAGTCGTCCCCGAATTCGTCGCCGTCCTGGTATCGCGAGTAATTGTTCAAGTCGGAGGTCTGAGAGTAGTTTCTATCGTTATATTGCGGAGCGAAAGGCTGTGGAGGATTGTAGGTAGAGGGCTGGCCGCGGGAGGGCCCTTGAGGGTGTGCTCCGACAAAGTCATCGTAGCTGGTGGAGGGTCTTGGGTTGGGCTCGTCGGAGTCGTTTATGTCGTATTGTTGTGTCAGGTGCCGATCGTCCACGGGCGGCCGCTGGCCGGTGTTGTATGCGTTGCCTGTGTCAATTAAATCGTTGCCGGCAGAACCTCCGGGACTGTATGGGTTACCCGACATGCTGAGGGGGCAGGCGATCTGGCGCGCAGGTAAACTGCGATATCAGCAAGCTAGGGCTTCATCTGTCGGTGACACATAGGCGACGGCGACAGCAGTGGATGGTGATGGAAGCCTTTGCCGTGAAATGATGAGGGCGCAAGAAAGATGTCGTAGCGGGCGCAGGCTGAGCAGTTGCAGTTCGTTCGCCAGTCTGGCACCTAGTTAGTGCTGAGCCTCCGCTGAGCATGCAAAAGGCTGGGCGGAGCTCCTGGGCTTTGAAACAGGCCCCGGCCCCCGGCCCTGAGGCGCTAACTAGACCTGTGGCACGTTGGATCCGCTCCCTTATTTTTGGCCGTGGTCCCCTCCACAAGGGCAACCAGTGACATGGTTTGCTGCGTCCACTGCCACTGCCGAGTCGCTGATCGATGGAAACTTGAACCTGTTCAAACTTGACTCGTACCCGCATACAAGGAAAAGGGGCGACATTGCTCCCGCAACAGATACCGTGGGCCCTCCACCCTTGAAAATAATACAATGCACGATCGTAAAAACGTCCAAACATGATACGATGAAGGGTATGTCCTCAGGATGATATTGTGGCTCATCGCTCGTTCTCTGCACTCAGTTCGCCTATTAACCCTGCCACATCGCGCTTCGTAGTGTCTTCAGCCAACTTCTGCGAAATCATGGCATTGATCTCCTTGGCCTTCGTGAGTGCTAGCATGCTCAACTTGAGCATCTCAGTTGGCTCAACCGATACACCACCCAGCTTAGCGATTTGACAAAGCTCGAAATCGTTCGCAGTCAAGATCATCTCCGCCTCACTACACTGCTCTTCCCTGCCATCCGCATCAAGCACCACACTATCTCCGCTGTGGTAAAAGCTGAACGTGAGGCAGACCGGATTATGCATGATGCTCAAGGGTACGGGCGTGCGTTCAGCAATAGTGTAGATGGTCACATCCTCGCCGTTGACTGCCACCTCAGGGCGGCGGAAGTGTCGTAGAGCCGCCATGATGCCGATACACGACGCATCGATCAGGCCTCCGTCAGCATCCAGTACATGTACATCTGCCCGAATCGACCAGCACTTGGCGCCCGATATAATGCACAATGCTTCCGTATCGATAGCTCGTGATTGTCTGATTGCCTTCTCTAGGATGCGGCCAAGGATGACTTCTTGTTCCGATGGCCTGTCCAGTCAGCAAAGGATCTCACTTCGAGGCGAAGAAAGATGACAGACCGTCCGACATCAAAGCTGGCTGATGCTATCGGGCTCAGCTCTGTGTTAATGGTGAAGACGCCATCGAATTTCCTGTCTTCCAACGGTTTGGTGACTTCAGCCGAGATTTGGATCAATATTCTGAACTTTTAGTCGGAGGCCAGGAGACCGATTCAAATGTGCTCACCTGGTCTTGCCCAACGTCACCGTTGCGCTCCCATACTCAGTTCCAAAGTTGACATTGATCTTCCGAAAGTCGTGAATACCTCGCCCATCGACGCGAAGACCTTGTGCCAGAGAATCTAGAACGAAATTTCGTTCCACATTGGAGATGTCGTTGCCACGCGGCATGGTCTGTTATCAACGCGAGCACTGTGCCACCATATCATCCCAGGTCTCTGTGGATCGGACCAACTTCCAACAATTAAGATTGTATTCTGCACTGACAGTGTTTGCTCACGATCAATGCTTCACGGGCAGATTTTATGACAAGGCTGAGGAAGGCTACGCAAGGCTGAGATTTGGGGGGTCAGATGAGGATGAATGCTGGGACATGGTCCAATATCGCCCAATAATATGGACTTCCACTATTCAGGATGGCAACGTGACGCCCGATAGTTGCTCACACACTTCAATGAATGATTGCTGCAACTTATCGTCCAACGCGGCGGCTATCGGTTTGTCCTGTCGCATGAAGTTAAAGTACTTCCCAGTCACGGTCGCTGCCTTATCCTCACTTGTCGCCAGCCACACCTGAGTCTTCGCACCTTCCTCCAATACTCCTGGAGCACCAAAACCTCCCATCTTTGTGCTATAATACCATGTCAGCATGAGTTGGAACACCTGATAGTCGACAAAGCTTGAACTTACGGCTGCCATCCGGGATCGACACTATTCGATCTCACCTCACTACTCCATCGTTTCGCCACAGCATTGGCAAGGAGAATGTCGTGCAGTTTCGAGTCACAGTACGCCTGATTCCCATTCCACCGCTTCGACTTCCAAGTGATCTCATCAATATCCATCGTGGATCTTGCACCGCGGTGCATGCCGCTGCTCATGTACACCAGCCTAGCCGGCTTGTTGATCAAGCAGGTGAGGATGTATGGTGCGAGGCTGTTCGCCGCAAAAGTTGCGGCATAACCGTCCGAAGTGTGGTTTGGCGAGGACGCACTTGGGCCTATGCCGGCATTGTGTATGATGGAATCAAAACGGCCAAGTTTGTTGATTTCGGCGGCCAAAGCCTTGGTCTCTTGAATGCTGGTGAGGTCGCCGACGACACAGCCTTCGGCTTGAGGTACGCCAGCCATGGCGTCTTTGGCACGCTGCTCGTTACGAGCATGTAGAACGACCTGATGCCCTTCTTTGGTGAGCATCTGAGCAGCGAGACGGCCGAGGCCATCGGCGGATCCAGTGATGAGAACACGCGTCATTGTGGCCTCTTTGATGAGATATTGGAAGTTGCGACCAAAGAAGGTCTATGTACTCACAGGGTCGAGCAGGATGGGAGATGTAGCCTCACCACCTGAGGTCATGGATGTTTAGCTGCTATCTCCGGAGCTCGCGAAGATCGACCCCCGAAGACGTAGGTCATGATACTAACTCCAATATTGGGTTCGCGTGATGTTCCCCACCGAATCGCTGATAAATCAGATGCCACCCAGTGCTTGTCGCGAAGAGTTGTGATTCTATGCAGCAGAGCCTTCCATAGCGTCAAGCACTTATCATACAGAATGCAAGAGGATTGATTGTGTTCACCTACAATCGACGCTGACTGAGGCTTCGCGGACCTGTAACGTGGATGTCATTGTCAGAGAAGGCTTGATGCGTTGATGAGTTAAACAACGCTTTCTACACAGTATAGTCTCATATCATGATGCAGCATACCGACAGGACTATCGCTGGTCGTCTATAGGCCGGTGCGCCTATCGACGACTGACGAGGGCATACTCAGGTGGTTGAAGCTAGACGGCGATTCCCAAACTCGTCTCCGCCGAAGGTCTCCTTGCTGGGTTGACCATGCTCGTTACGCCTCGAGGGTGAAGTCACGGGTCCTCAGTTTGGCCTCAGCGGCGAGACCGGCCAAGCTCATGTCTCGAGCGCTGGGGCTAGCACCCATCATCGGCCATGATAGCTCACAACACATGAGGTGGTAATGAGGGAGCCAACGTCGCGAGAGATCCTGTCTCAACAGTAGCTGAGCCTGCAGTGAACACCTATCGACATCAAACTTGGCTATGACAGCAACCTGCAGTGAATGCCCTCTGTCCAGGCAGAAGTATTTGAGTCATACATGTATGTCTCTCGAACAGCAGCTTCTCATCCTACATCTTCTCCGTTTCAAACTCGATCCTGACACCACATCTGCATTCAGCCATCAAGACTTGAGAACGACACTAGCCCTTACACACCACTGAACCTATTCCAACGCAAGATACCCCCACCATGGCCCCAGGCAACACCCTCTCCACCGACGACGATCTCAAGTTGTTCTACGCCATCATCAAGCTCTCGTCCTCCAAGCCTCGCATGGCTGAAGTCGCTGCCTTCATGGGTCTCAAGGAAGGTGCCACGTAAGCCCACCCTCCCAATCACCCATCATCCCCACCACTCAAAAGACTAATCTCAGACGAAGCAACTGGCGATACAATGCCCTCATGAAGCGCTGCAAGGCCAAGTTCGGTGAGGACGGCTCCGGCGGCACCGCTGAGGATGCTGCTGCTGCCACTAGCCCTGCGCCCAGCCCATCCAAGCGCAAGAGAGCCAACAATAACAACAAATCCAAGTCCAAGGGCGAGCCTGCTGTTAAGAAGGGCAAGGTGGATGCCGCGAATGGTGTAGAGGAGGACGACGTCAAGGTCAAGGATGAAGTCAAGGATGAGGATGGTGTGGGCCCCGTGAAGACTGAGGACACTGGTACCACCAATGGTCATGATGGAGAGGGCAGCGAGGGTGACGATGATGTCTAGCGGCCTCTGATGGCGGTTGACAGCCAAACCTCAATTCTAGGCCGCTTCTCCAAGTGCAAATGACAACACTTAACGGAGGGCATTAGCAAACGAAACAGCCATTCTGATTTCTATGGTGTTGCTTCGGTGCAAAACTGAGAGCTACATGAGCTGCAATTGCGTTGGCGGACTTGCAATGACGCATGGCGCGATAGGCCGCAGGGAGAGCAAAGAATTTCGTGGATGGAGATGACACATCATCTGCAGTGAGGCCGCGGACGAGCCAACAGATACTCAATGAGACGATTTGCTGGCCGCTGCTGCCATAACAGCCCTTGGTCCCTGTTCGTAGTCTGTCTGCACATCATCGTTCTCATCGTCTTCCGCAAGTATATTCGTTCACAAGGCAGCCTCACAGGGCAATTTTATTCCGGCATCCCGCAGGCCCACTTACCGTGGACGACTGTCAACGTTGAGGCCGTTAGTTTCGAGATCGAGGACAGAGTGGTTCGTACTGATGACTGTATTCTTTCACAGGTGGTAGTTCTTTACTGAGCTACTTCGTGAGACGACCAAGTTCCTGAATTTTAAGGGACACAGCCTCCGGGCTTTTCAAGGACAACATTGCCGCATATTGCGCTCTAGAAATGGCTCGCTCAAGGGATGGTTCATGGGCCAGCGAAGACATGATGACGCCGAGCATAGTGTCGCCAATACCGTTCACACTGACAACATCCTCGGCTGGAACATCTTGCTCAACGGGGAACATCCGCATGTACACGCCTCCGATCCCCGTCGTTTCGCCATCGAAGCATCTTGCCACGATGTAGGGAGCAGTATCTGGGTCTCGCAGCTTTGGATCGTTTGGCGGAAGGATCTCGGTCAGGAGACAGCCCTGCGAACCCAGCTTCGTGACTATGCTGGGAATATATGGCAAGAGTTGCATGCATTGCTGCGGGATGCCCTGATCCACCAGCTCTGGCGAGGTGACGGAGATGAATCTATCGCGGCTGGTCAAACTGGACAGGCCAAAGCTGTCGATGACTGTCCACCAAGCCTGCGAATCGAAATAGCCGCGCTCTCTTGCGGCAGTGTGCATGGCCCTGAGCTCGAATTGGTTCGGCGTTGCAAAGGCAAGGTCGTGCGAAGGGAAGCAGCGGGTGACTCTGATTGATGGGTGTTCTTTGTCGAATGGTGTTATGGATTTGGCGGTAGAGACTGGCTCAAAGACTGGGACAGGAACGCCGTTGGCGCGTGCGGACGCAAAGATCGTTGACATGATCCGGGCAGACCAGTTGCCGTCGATGACCAGATATTTAGGCTTGGCTTTCTGGAGAACATCATCCCAATATGCCTGCTGCTCGAGCTCTGGTCGGGTCAGGATAGACATATCTGCCATAGCTAGGACCAGGTCTTTCTTTGCATCGTTGACTGCCACATATTGCGCCGTTCTTGCGCCATCCGTTGTCTTAAGCGTCCGAATGTAGTCTGTGACGAAGCCACCACGAGCCATGTGCTCGATGAGTGACTGACCAGCAATGTCGTCAGCTACAACACCAGCGAGAGCCACCTTGGCTCCAGCGTAGTGGGCCGCCAGTGTCACATTTCTACCCACACCACCTGAAGATTGCGCGATGCTGGCTGGATTCGAGGTTTGCAACACAGGCGATGGGTCAGAACTCGATACGAAAGGAGCATAGTCGCAGAGTGTATCGCTAGCAATGGCGCCCGCGACGAGAATGTCAACTTGGGGAGGTGCGGTCTTCGTTGTGCCTACATTGTTCTCTGAGACCGCATTTACGGGACCCGAGACCGTGACACTGGCGTAAGGTCAGCCCTCAATCGTCGTGTTACTAGGTCGAAGCTCACCCTTCTTGGGCGTAACTCCCATGCTTCTCCAGTTTCGCAAGCTCCACAGCGATCCGTGTGCCCCTAATAACATTTGCCTCCACAAGAGCCGTGTTGGCAGTGACAGTCACTCCTTTGCTCAACTCTCGAATCCTCTTTAACAGAAAGGGTGTGTTGGCGCTGCCTGTGATTGCCTGCTGCTCTGCCTCTGCAACCGCCTGAGCAATATAGCCATCAACTTGGTCCCTTTGCAAAGCCGACTCTACCGGCACAGGGTTGGCGAAGAAAAGGCCAGAATGGACAGGTAGCTGCGACTGGGCATAGATCATAGCTGCTGCGTCAACTTCATCCTGGATTGTAAGGGGGCTTTTGAAGCCACTATCTCTTGCCCAAAAAGCGGGAAAGTCGACTTTGCCTGGTCGCCCGTCGGCAAAGGTGCCCACACTGACACCTTGAGTCTCTAGGTACTCGATGGTTCTGCCAATGTCCAAAATACTCTTGCAGCCAGAAGCAATGACCGCTACTGGCGTGCGACCCAGCTCAGTCAAGTCAGCAGAAACGTCCATACTGTCCTCGCCGCCACGATGCACACCGCCTAGGCCTCCTGTAGCGAAGACCTTGATGCCAGCCAGGTGTGCGAGAACCATGGTCCCAGATATTGTAGTTCCGCCGTTCAGCTTCCTGCCTCTTAGCCCTAGGCCAGTAATGTATGCTAGGTCTCTACGTGAGACTTTGAGTGTTTTGTCGTTGCCTGCCGTAGATACGAGGCGTATGATTTCTTCCGGCTCCATACCAACATATGCAACACCATCTAGAATGCCGATGGTCGCGGGGATGCCGCCATTGACGCGGACGAGAGACTCGAGGCGTGAGGAGAGTGAGACATTGTCAGGATATGGATAGCCTGTGACACTCAGCAAGAATTCTTGAACGTAGCAGGTGGAGCTGACCATGGGTATAGATTGTCGTCTCAAGAGCTACCACGGGCTTTCCAGACTTTAAGGCATCTTCTACCTCCTCGTGCACCCTCAAGAACGGGGGACGCTGGGTAGACAGCCTCCTGGCTTGCCGTACCGTTTCCAGTCGAGACAGCGCACGGCTCCCACCACGAGCGGAGAGCGAGAAGCGCATGTTAGCACCCACGACGGCCACCCACCTTTCAAGGCTTTGCGGGCATTATCATCAGAGCATTAAAATCATGCTGTATGTTAGCTTGCGTCGGAGACGTCCGCAGTTTTCCCTTGGTCTATCATTTGCGCTCCGGTGGTAATATCCGGTATGCCAATACAGCACTTTGCCTGTTGCGGTAATCAATGAAACAAGAGTGATGTCACTCCACTACGGTTTGGCCCTCCTCAACAGCACGACTTCCAAGATTTGAAGCACTTCTGTATCTTCGATCTCTCGGATTTCCGGAAGCTGTCTTGCAATCTCCTGTACACATCGTCACGATGGTCAATGTAAAGGTCGGTGGTTTTCCTAATATTCACATCAATCCGAACGATGAAAATCCCATCGGAGAAGCTAGGACGAGAGTCAGGCGTCGAATGAAAGGAGGCACGCCTGTATCTTGGAGATGGGAGACTCAGCAAGCCCGTCTGATCATCGCTTCAGATACCGACGACTTCGACGAGACAATCATTTCTCACTTCCGGCAAGAAGGTTTTCAGATCAGCTATCTTGCATATGATGGCAATCGAGCTGCATTCACCAACACTTTGCAACACGCCGCCGACAACCTTGAACTTGGAGAGCACTATGCCATAGTGGCTTATGGAGATGCTGCAACGCTTGCTCTAGAAGTGGCGATTCGGCCGATGCCCAAGCTAGCAGCATTGATAGCCTACTACCCCCCGTACATGCCACGGGCAAGCACTGGTTGGCCAATGACCCTTCCTATCCAAGTCCATTTGGCATCGTCGCAGAAGTTTGGTACTACACTGCCGTCGTTCAAGTATGAGAATACGCAAGATGGTTTCGCAGAACATGATCTTGACGAATACGACAAGGCAGCTGCCACACTGGCTTGGTCACGGTCGCTGACCGTTCTTCGCCGAGCATTCTCGATGGACGACCGTTGGGACCTAGAGGCTATCTGGGACAACCATACCAAACTTGAGTTCGACACCCGTGACGCCTCTGCAACGATGAAGACTATGGTCAAAGAACCGTATGTCAATCATATCCCTACAATGACTGGTGGCATCGGTTCCAAGGAATTGTTTCGTTTCTATGAAGAATTTTTCATTCCGAACAACCCGGAATCGATGAAGCTGAAGCTCTTGTCGAGAACCGTGGGTGTCGACCGCGTCGTTGACGAGATGTTAGTGTCGTTCCGCCACGATAGAGAGATCCCCTGGATGCTACCAGGGGTTCCCCCAACCAATAAGAAGGTTGAAGTCATACTCGTGAGTGTGGTCTGCATTCGAGGGGGTAAGCTATATCACGAGCATATTCACTGGGATCAGGCAACTGTTCTCGTGCAGATTGGATTGCTTGACCCGAAGTATGTTCCCGATGGCTTCAAGACCGCTGAAGAGGGGAGAGAGAAAGAGGTCAAACGACTACCGGTTTGCGGCAAGGAAGCGGCTCGCAAAGCTCTTGACGAGCACGATGGTGCTAGCAACGAGCTGATTCCAGACTGGAAGACAGGTAACGCGAGTTCTGAATCGACCTGATCCAGATCCAAGAGGATGTTGGTCTAATGAAAATGCTCTCTCGCAAATTTGATCCACTGTGTTAACAGCAGAGTCATAATGCCAAGACTTTCACTGCCTATTCAGCGCATCCATCTCCGCGCCTCGATGTCCTACGCGTTGGAAACTCGTCGTTGGCGTGGAGCAGAAGCCTTGCTCCTGTCTACCTGGTAGGTCAGCACCAATAGGGCACGAGCGCCGCCACCGGAGGCCTGCTATCGAACCCTTACCATTTTGAGCGAACTGCAGCGTGCCCCCATGCCGGCTAACAGCACCGGATAAATGCTGGGTGTTCTCCAGCATTCTACATCCGGGCAGGACTCAAGCAGCGGAGAGCGTCGCGCGGAACTGGCTTGGCATGCTTCTATTCGCGCTGTGAAGCAAATGCCACGCCCGATCGCCCGCTTTAGTGGCATGGCATTTGAAGATCGTTACTAGACTGGTCAGTTGTTCTCTCCGCCCCCCGCAAAGCGAGGTAACGTCTCCAGGATTCTGCTCACCCAGCTACTACTCCGGATTACTTCCCGTGGACAACATATCGTCTCTCAGGCTTAATGCTGCTCGATTGCGAGACGAGAGCCTTGGACCATCGAAATCGGATCGCTACATTCCGAACATGTCCCGTCTCCTGCTAAGCCAGATGGCTGGTAAGCTACAATTGTATTCGTCCAGCATTCACCGGCCTGAGCTTGAAGGTAGGTGGCTATCCGGGGTAGAATATCACCCTCGCCGATCCTTGTCCGACTGCGCCAATCCACGATGATTCGTTCGCCTGCATTAGGTAGTAGCACTCCTGCCCCCACGACTGGCATTGTCCTCACGTGGCGATTGTCCTCCGGACCAGATCCCAACCTATATTGACGGGTCCCCATCTCTACCAACTTCGCTTTCAACAAGAACCGAATTGGGCACATCAGCACATCAGCAACCATGTCGAAGTTCCTCAAAACAGTTGTTCGCAATGATGCGATGAAGGAGGATCCTCCAGAGATCTATGGCTGGAGAGTCTATGCGCTTGCTGTCTCGGTAATTGCCTCGTCCCCCATATTTGCGAATCTGGTTGACAGACCTAGGCATGTTTTGGTGGCATGATCTTTGGCATCGACACAGGTACCATCGGCGGTGTCCTGCGTATGCCCGAATTTCAAGCGTACATTCCGCCACGCCAACATTTCCACCATCCACTAACTCAAGACCAGTGAATATGGGCTCGATAATATCAGCGCCGACGCCCGGGCCAACCTCAGTGCCAATATCGTGTCTACTTTGCAGGCAGGCTGCTTCTTGGGAGCCATTGTGTCGGCGTACATCGCTGATAGATGGGGACGACGCCCCATTTTGCTCTGGGCGGCCCTCATCTCTATCGTCGGAGTCGTCCTTCAGGCCGCTGCCGCAGGCCACCTGGGTCCCATGTATGTCGGACGCTTTCTGGCCGGTGTCGGAACTGGACACGCAAGTTTCGCCAACCCGCTCTACATCTCGGAAAATGCCCCTCGCGCCATTCGTGGAGGTCTGACCGGCCTGTACCAGCTTGCGATTGTCTTCGGTATCTTTATCTCATTCTGGATCAACTACGGCTCTCTGCTGCACCTTTCCGGCGCCTCGACATATGTGGTACCGCTCGCCATGCAAGCCCTGCCCTGCGTCGCGCTGCTAGTGTGCATGTTCTTCTGCCCTGAGACCCCGCGTTTCCTCGCTAAGCAGGACAAGTGGGAGGAGGCACGCACGATCCTCGCTCGTCTTCGCAACCTGCCCGCCGACCATCCGTATGTGGCGCGGGAATTCACCGACATCCAGATGGCCATCGAGGCCGAGAACCGACTGCTCGATGGCAGCAACTGGTGGGCGCTCCAGAAGGAGATGTGGCTCATTCCAGCGAATCGCAAGCGTATCCTCATTTCCATCACTCTCATGGTTTTCCAACAGATGACTGGGTAAGTGTCCTTGTCCAGCCGCGACTTGTACTCCATAACTGACAACGCCGCTCTCCAGTACCAATGCTATAAATTACTATGCTCCCCAAGTGAGTTGCTCTTATCCCGGAATACCTGGATCAGCCCGGGTCATTGTGTCGAGTCACAGCATCAGGAGCAAGTCCCTCTGTTGGGTGGCTTACCTCTTGAGCGCGCTCCAACACCTGTCCCAACCCCACGCCCACTGAACCCCAGATCTCTGAATCTCCATTTACTGACCGACGTTTCCCAACGTCTTCCATAGATCTTCTCCAACCTCGGCGTAACCGGCTCACAAAACGAGCTCTTCGCCACGGGCATCTACGGCCTCGTCAAGCTCATCGGCGTCGCCGTCTTCCTCGTCTTCGTCGCCGACTCTTTGGGCCGCCGCCGCTCGCTGATCTGGACCGGCATCGCACAGGCGCTGGCGATGCTGTACATCGGCATCTACGTGCGCGTCAAGCAGCCGCAGCCGGGCGAAGCCGTCGACGGCGCCGGCTACTTCGCCCTCGTCTGCATCTTCCTCTTCGCGCTTTTTTTTCAATTCGGCTGGGGACCCGTCTGCTGGATCTACGTGAGCGAGATCGCGACGGCGCGGCTAAGGGCCACGAACGTGTCGGCCGCGGCGGCGACGCAGTGGCTGTTTAATTTTGTCGTGAGCAGGGCCGTGCCGCCCATGTTGGAGAATATGGGTGTCGGCGGGTTTGGGACGTACATCTTTTTCGCGAGCTTCTGCTTCACGATGGCGCTGTTTGTGTGGTTCTTCCTGCCCGAGACGAAGGGGTTGAGTCTCGAGGCGATGAATGAGTTGTTTGGCTTGCCAGGCGTGGGGGCCAAGGACGTGGAGAATGGCAGCGAGCATGGCGGTGGGGAGACAAGGAAGGGGAGCGATGTCAAGGAAGCTGAGGTGGATCAGATTGAACGCCGGACGTAAGATCAATGGCAGAGCGAACAAGAACTTATCCGTATGGCGTGGCGTGGCGTGGCGCGACGAGTGGAAGAAGGAAGAGCCTTGCCTGTGGGAGCATGAGCACAGGTTTGGAACGGTTTGGAAACGGTTTGTCGATAGGAGATCTGGAAACAATGCTCGGCTATGCATATCGTGCACATCTATAGCGCAGCGCCAGGTAAATCATTCCTCATCTGCCGTCCGCTCAAGAGACCCGATCACTTACAGCCTCCCACCCCTCCTCCTCTGCTCCTCCCTCTGCACCTCCGCCCACACCTGCAACAAACTCTGCTTGGACGCGTGCACAAAGTCACCCACGTCCCTGAACACCCTCCTCCCCCGCAGCACCAACTCCGGCGTCACCACCAACGTCTCCATATACCTCCGGCCCAACTCGACGCTCTCCTCCCTCCCCAATCCAGCCTCCAGCGCCGGCATCTCCTCGCCGCTCTCTCTCTTCATGTGCTCCGCCAGCTCCGCCAGCAGCGCCAGGTACCGCTCCGTCAGGACGCCGGCGGTCTGCGCGTCGCCCACCGCGCACGCTTCGAACGCAGCGTACAGCTCCAGCAGCGTGCGTCGCGCGTTCTCGTGGTCCTGCCGATCGTGCTCGGCGGCTTCGCGGCCAGCGATGGGGCCCATGTGTCGTATGAAGGCGGGGCGCATCACCAGCTCCTCCGAGAGGTCGTGGCGGACGAGGCGCCAGGTGACGTCGTGGAGGAGGGCGAGTTGGCGGCGGCGGATGGCGTGCAGGTCCTCGGGGGTGGTGGAGGTGGGAGCGGGGCTGCGTAGGAGGCGCGCTAGGCGGACGGCGGCGGCGTTGATGGCATCGTGGTCGGCGTCGATGATGGCGGTGAAGCTGGGCATGGGTGGTGGGGCGGTGGTGGGGTGTGAGGCCTTGTGTTGTGATGGCCGCTTGGGGGTATAGCTTGAGTGCGAGTGGAACATGATGGGTGCGGTTGGGAAGGGGTGGTAAAGCGCTGAGTTGGTCGCGTGATGTGTGCTGGGGCTGGCTGAGTGTGGCTAGGACCAGTGGAAAGGCTGCAGGACGTGCTCGAGAGCAGTGACGTTGAGACAAAGTTTTTGATGAGGATGTGTTGCTGCAGGTAACTTGGACTGCTCGCTGATATATACGTTCCAAGACCGGAGAGACCGAGTCAATGTTGCAGCAGAGTAAGGGGAACTTGGGAGAAGTGCTTACACACCTCTGCCAGCAGGGGCGGCTAAGTGGACGAAGCAGACATTATGCAGTGCCTCCAGCGACAGGACGTTCAACGTATCGTCTGATCTACCCCGGAGGCAAGCCGAGGGTGAGTGAAACGGACCAGTGAAGTGTGGCCTGACCCCTGTCAAGCTTGGGTTTGGGTTCGAGGGGAGACAAAAGTACAGAGTGCAAAACTGGAGCGAGATGCATTTGCGCGGTTTTAACATCAGCCATACGAGTACCCGATTGGCTGCACCGGCGACGCCGTGAATGCGATGTACACCGTCGGTCAGGCACTCGCTGGGTTACGAACAAAGGTCCCCGTAAATACTCTGACTGATGTACACGAACCCCGGTCCGCTGAGTTCCTGATCCTGACCACAGATCCCTTCCTTGATGGTGGCATAAGTACTCAGATCCTTGCCCACAAGTGTGGTACCTAGTAGTATCAACCCATATCCCGCTTGAACGCTGTCAACCCGCAAATCCGATGTGTTACGACATCACCCTCTCATGTCGTTGCCGGACTAGTGTCGTACACTTCTCGACTGTTCCAAAGTCTTCTCATTAGAGCCTCTTCCGGCGACATCCCATCATCCTCGTCCGCTCCATCAAGGCTGCCTCCTAATGGTGTAACGCCGATGTCATCATGACTGCCTTGTCGCTGGAAATTCATTCTGCCGCTTCTTTCACCGCCGCTTGACCTCGACGCCAAAGGCGATGGTTGATTGTCTTCCAGACTGCGGCTGACATTGGACTTGGCGGTGCCATTTGCCGCCCCCTGAGTGACCACACTTCGCCTACTTTGTGGTCGAGTCTTAGTCGAAGGGGCGCCGCGGGGTGTGATAACGCCGGTGTCAGGCGGGATGCTTTCACTATCCTTCAGGCGACGAAAGCTTTCTGCAAGTGGATTTCGGAATCGACGAACAACAGCGAGCTGGCGTAAGCCGGTTTCGTAACTAACTTTAAGCGCCTTTGACTCGTCCACATATGATCTATTTCGCCCGCGAGACCCTGATCGGCTATGCAGGGAAAGGGTGGAAGCGCCGCCTAGGGCTAATGTCGAAGCCGGAGGAGTGGTCGGTCCTCCGCCGGTGCGTAGCATTTCTCGCCGTTCTAGTTCTAGTTTCTGCTGGGTGCGCGACGGCATACTAGAGAATCGCACCTTATGCATATGTCTCGGCTTTTCAGGCGACTCGGAGGGCTGCGGTTTGTAGTTGTTTAAAAAGTTAGCCGAGTCTTCGTCCGACGCATCATCCATCATCGACTTTGTATCGCTTGTGTTCGAAGGCTGCCGGAGGAACTTTGACACGGGCTTATCGGCTGATGCTGAGCCTTCGGGGACGGACATGTTAGGTGTTGCATCCATCGACTCAGCTTCGGCATGTTTAATCTCTTGGAATGATCTGTTGGATTCTGATCGTGTCAGGCCAGCCATGGCGGATATGGTAGACATTGCCGGAGGAGCTCGCGATCCACGCCGTGCTTGCAGGAATTCGGGATCGGGAGGGGCGTGCTCATCTGCATCGACCTGTTCCGGCCGCAGAGTAGGCAGGGACCGGGCGCTCAACTTGGGAACACCTGTGTGAAATGGAACATCTCTTTCTGCTCCAGTGTGACTCTGCTGTACTCTTTCAGACGTTCTCTCACTAACGGGGGTCGCGACTCGCGCCGGAGTGGATGCCTTGGAATTGTTTCGGGTCAGTTCAGGGGACTGCGTTGTCGAGTCTTCCCACTCGCCCTCTTCCTCCTCGCCGGAGGAATGGTCTCCAAGTTCGAAGAAGCCCGTCTTCTGCGTCTCGTCCTTAGGCTTTGGGGTCGGAGGCAAGCCTTGCCGCTTTAGATTCATGTGCGATCCATTGCGCGTGGTCAGAATGGTGGCCGAGTGATTCTTCCGTAGATTGGCGTGAGACGTGTTTTTGGGTAGCACTACATGAGAGCTGTTGCGCTTGGGTAGCCCTGGAGATTTAGGACTCTGGCCTGGGGTAGATGCTCCTGACTTCTTCCTTTGATGATTGCGAGTAGTTTGAACATTGCTGGCTGATTCATTCCTGTTGAGTTTGCTTAGATTCTTTCCATGTGACACGTTCCTAGAATGTCTTCCAACGATATGCGGTCTGTGAACTTTGGGGATGTGTGTCTGTTGTTTGCCTGATGATGATAGCGAATGGCCTGACGTGGAGCGCTCGTGCATGGACGGTCGCTTGACCGAAGCGGGGGAGGCGGAGGGCATGACGAGGAGGATCCTCGTTGGAGGGCACGAGGCGAAAATAGCTATAGCGAAAAGCAAGGATCGATGGCAGCTATCTCATGAGCTTCGCAAGCAGCCATGTCAGAAAGCACGACTCTCTGAAAGCAACAGATAGCCGTAGTACAATCTGCAACGTTTCCGACCCGACGTACAACTTTGAGATTCACGAGGACCAAACTCCCATTAGACCATTTAGGACAAGGGCACGTGATGGAATAGCGACAGATTCCGCATTGGGCCATCTCTGCACAAAATGCCTATTGGCTCCAGTGCTACTACAACACTCGCAATAAGTCAACAAAGCATCAACTTGGATCGTTGTAATGTGTCTTCCTGATTGACAGGAAACCTTGAATTTATTCATTGCGAATGCTCTTGTCCCTTCCAGAATCCTTCTATGCTGCAGGTCGACTATCTCGAGCACATGCTAAGTTCTCACCACCAGCCTTTCGCACGCCATTTCCTCCGGCGTACGTTATCGTGGATCTCTAGTACTTTCTTAAGCCCAGTTCCCGAACTCAACTCATGCACCATCGGTAGTTTCCCCAAGCTCACTCTTCGCTGTGAGCTCTGATTGGGCTCGTACAGAGCATCGTATCCTTGCTGAGGTGTGGGTGTCGCGAGGTACTTCGCCTTAACTTATCGCCGAGATCGAGGCTCTCCCACCCGGCTGCTTCTCTAGCCGCGATTTGCCATGCAATTCCAGTCAATATCTGCTCTCACGGTAGTATACTTTTGACATTCATATCTAACGATTCGACCTCCACGCCTCTTGATGGAGGCGTCGTATGCGAGGCCTTGAAAGAAGTCTATGTCGTCATCCCGCTCACCATGCATCGACTTCTCTACTAGCCGCAACTATAGTCGATCTGAGTCTTACAAATCTTATGTGTTGCCAGGCAGCACAACTACGCATCTCGTTATAGACGACAGTGGAAAGATGGCTGACGCTTTCTACTGAGCATCTGATTTCCGGGTGGCCATTTCTTTTTCTGAGCCTGCGTTCCTGCGGCGAGGGCTGGTGTTGTGCACATCAGTCTTATGCGCACTTCGGAGACATTCAAAAGCGACTGAAAGATAGTAACCCAAAGACACACTTCAACAACACCATGGCGTTTACGTATCGCGCGTCCTTGCCGACTCCGGTCACCCCGTCCATGCCGCTATGTGCCCCTCTAGCGGAACAAATCGATCCATTGCCCATTACCCCTCCGGACCATATTGAGCACTTTGACGATAAGACTTTCAAGCCCGACAGCAGGATCATACAGCGCGCGCTGCACTGTCTGGCCACCGAGCGGTCAGCGCTGGCACATCTGGAGGATTTGTATCGTTCGTCTGCCGAAGCGCAGATCGCTCTGCTGGGATCGGTGACCCAGATTATTCACAGCGAGACCCATTCCGGCAAGGTGATATTCACAGGCATTGGGAAATCTGGCCACATTGCGACCAAGCTCTGCGCGACGTTCAACTCCTTAGGCATACAATCTGTTTGTCTACATCCAGCTGAGGCGCTTCATGGAGATCTTGGCGTTATTCGGCCCAACGACACCATTATCATGATCACTTTCTCCGGGAGGACACCGGAGCTACTAGCACTTGTCCAGCATATACCATCGACCATTCCTCTTGTCATCATGACTGCCCATGTCAACCCCAGGACGTGCTCACTTCTAAATCATCCCAATCGATCCGGTGCAAAGAACTTCCTTCTTCCCACAGTTTTACATGAAAGCGAAACGTCGTCTTTCGGCTTCTCTGCACCTACAACATCCACGACTATCACTCTTGCACTCGGAGACAGTCTTGCTCTGAGCGTTGCCGACACCCTTCATTCTACTGCAGGACTTGAGACCCCACAGGTCTTCGCAGCAAACCATCCTGGCGGCGCTATCGGCGCGGCGTACTCGGATCCAAAGGCCGCTGTCCAGCGAATGTCCAGCATCGCCACATCCGTGGCCGAAATCCCGATTGTTACCGGCCGGGATGGGCATTGTCTGCGTTGCCTCGACGTTCTTCTCGCAGCAGCTCGGTCGCCCAGTGGATTCGTCCGGACAGGTGCCCAGCACATGATTGGCCCGCGTCGGATACAGAAGATGGACGATCCGTCGCTAATCGTAGATGTGCTCTACGACGACTTTGGGCGAGTTGTAGTAGAGAAGACAGACTGGATTTCCATCCTCGGAGAGACACCTGTCCAGGAAGCTACACAGTGGATATCGAAGATGCGGAACGAGGGCGAGGGACGGGGAAAGGATTTTTTACGGCACGGCACCATCCTGGGCATCGTCCAAAACAACGAGGTTACCGGCGTTGTGGAGATCGAGGAATTGCTTGGTGAGGATTTCGTGTAGACGCGGAAAAAACTGTGGCTCCGTTCTTATAGCATCGGCATGTGGTGAAAGCACGATGAAGCAGTATCGACACTTGAGGGTTTAGCGCATTGCTAGAGTTCCAACGATCAATGGCGTTATGGGTATCATAGATAGACGATCACAACTAGTGGTACCAGTCGTCTGGGTCACTCTCATCATCATCAACGTCCTCACTCTCCTCCCCTTTCGTCGCATCTGTCACTTCGACCTGTTCTGGCGGTTCAGGCTGCATCTCATCTGGCGGCAGCCCACCAATAGCTCGCAGCTTCTCCCTCATCTCTTTCAGCTTTCGTACCCGTTCCTCCATCTCCTCCATGATTTCAAACTCTTCCTCCATTCTTCCCCTCTCGTCCTCCTGCTCGTCCTCCGCAGTCAGTTCCTGTTGTTTCCGCTTGTCCTCGGCCTGTTGCTCCGCCAATTGCGCGGCCGACAGGGGTGCAGCAGAGATGGTTGCGGCGGAGTAGTCGGGCGCCTCTGCCGACGGAGGTGCCGAGGCCAAGGGCGCGATGTCGGCCTCGAAGGCTGCCCATTCGTCTTCGTCGACTGCTGGATTTGAGGGCGCCGCGGGTGGTTGCACAGGAGCCGTCGTCGACACCACTGCTGGAGGAACGATGGCATCTGGCTCGACCGAGGGATCATCGTCTGGTGTCTCTTGTGCAGGTCGAGAGGGCATCGGTGGCACGATTTCCGGCTCTTCCTGAAACCTCACTTTTGCTTCCCGCTCTGCAAGACTGGTTGCTCGAGATTTCGGCATTTTCCTCCGCTCGATGTCTGCATTTGGCTTGTCTGTACTTTGCTCATCCTCTTTGCCGTCGTCATCGTCGTCTCTCCTGCGCTTGAGACTCTTCTGGCTGGCCTCCTGCGCGGTTCTGGCGTTCTTTCTATGGTTGGCACTTCGTAGATGTCCCTCCCATAGCGACTCGGACTTGACATTCAGTTGGCATACATTACATATTAGTGCACCGGACTTGGTATACGTCAAGTGAGGATGTGAAATTCGTCGACTTTGGCGTTCTGCTGCGAGGAGGGCGCGAACGTCTGCCATATTCGCTTCGTCGACCGAATGCGAGGCAGCAGAGGAGGTGACGGAGGGCCTTAAGAGGAGAAAACCATTCAATTAAGAGCTAGATCTCGTTTCCAATATGTTTCAGCCTCTCGCTCGCCGTCTAGCAGGATTCGTGGCCCATGCTTCACATCTTGAACCTCGAGACTGGATGGAGCATCTGCAGGCAGTACTTCGGCAACGGAGTAACCTTAGTCCGACGCCACAGGTCCACCGGATCTCTTCTGACAAACCCGGGGCTCAGACATGCGACCACTCTCCTCTCATCTTCTCCTTCCGCTCCATCTTTGATCGCAAACTGAGCGCGACACTATCAGCATCTTCGACCTGACGCGACACAGGTCATAAGCTTGTGGCACCTTCTACTAACAGTTACTGTGCTTGCGCACCATCGCCCGAGCTTGAAAAGAGGGGTCAGTGGAAGCTGTACTTGTACTTAGAGCGCGCGCAACCTGCGTGATTCTACAATCCCACATCGCGAGTGCCCTTGCTATTTGTAAATGTGCGCGTCCTGCAAGTAGTCACCATGACTGGTATGTTATCCCCCGCCGTTAGGCATGTGCGACGCGATGTGCCTGTTACTCACCCCATCTCAGACGAGACGCGACGCTCCGGAAGAGCCACCAAAGGCCAACACACCAAGGATCGCGATATTACGGAAGCAGCCCCAAAGAAGAAGGGAACTGCGAAGAAGGTCAACAAGACCAGGCCTGTGGAAGAGGAAGAGGAGGAAGAGCCCGAGGAGAAGATCCGCTGCATCTGCGGCGAATATGAGGAAGAAACCGATATCCCACGCGCCATGGTCTGCTGCGACAACTGCGACGCGTGGCAGCACAATGATTGCATGGGCTTGCCCGAGGACTACGAGGCTGACAGCTACTTCTGTGAAGAATGCAAGCCTGAGAATCACAAGCCCCTCGTTGCCGCGATCAAGAAAGGCCAGAGACCATGGGAAGAGGCTGCTAAACGACGCGCAGCACTCATCGAGGCCGAAAGATCGGCAAAGAAGAAGGGAAAGAAAGGCGGTCGTAAGAGCGCGGCCGCTGAGGAGGCCGAGGGCTCGGCGACTCCGACCACCGGTCAGAAACGCAAGGCCGAGGAGTCGCCAGCACCATCAGAGACCAAAGTGAGTTGCTACGACACCAATGCGTCGGCAGTGCTGACATTCACTCAGGGCAAGAAGGCCAAGGGCACTCCGCAAGCCACTCCCTCCGCAGAGCCGGCTGCCAGAGGCAGAAAAGCCGCCACTGCTACTCCCATTCCTCCATCCCCATCTCCAGCAGTTCAAGCAGCTCCAGCAGCCCCAAAGGTTCCGAAGGATGCAAAAGAGCTACCGCAGAATAGGAAGGCTCCGGGACAAAGTCTTGTCAAACTATTCATAGACCAAACTAAACTCGCCGCAAAAGATGGCTTTGCCGTGCCCCAGAACCAGACCGCTGAGAGTTATGGCACACATCTAGGCTTACTTGTTGAAAATGCCATCCATGAGCATTCTGCAGGGACGCCCACCGAGCAAGAAACCTACAAAACGCAGCTGCAGGCGGTCCTGCTCAACATCAAGAGAAATCAACCTCTGAGCAACAAGATAGTCCGAGGAGTGGTGACGCCCGAGCAACTCAGCAGCATGAACTCGGCTGAAATGGCTAGTGATGAGCAGAGACTTCGGGACGCTGAGATGCAAGCACAATTGGACAAGCAGAGCACACTTGTTGGTCAGGAGGAGCCAGGACCAAGAATCAGACGCACACACAAAGGCGATGAGTATGTGGAAGACTTGAACAAGTCGTCAGTGGCAGAAAGCGAACCAAAACCAGCTCCTGTCCGGTCGGCAAGCGACGTGAAGAGCCCAACAAGTGGTCGGCGCCAACCTTCAGTCACCATCCCCAACCGGCGGACATCTGGCGACCCACGCCGCCAGTCCTCGGTGTCCAACTTCGATATTTCCAACGTCTACTCGAATGTGCAGGGTTCTCCTATCGGGGACCAACGCTTTGGTGAGCTACCCAGCCAACCCTCCAACGAAGTTGCTGGTCCTGGAGCGCGCCCCGATGCCGATATCGACAACCTGCTCAAGGATGAGGATGCCTCTGGCCGCTCTTCACCCCCTTACTCGCCTCGCGCTGCCGACGAGGATGGTGCAGTCTGGCGGGGCATCATTAATGGCGGGAATGTTGGACGCTTTCACAACACCTTCAAATTCGCTGCCGGTGCACCCATCGACGCACCCACCCTTCGTCTGACCTGGGAACAATTGCTTCCCAACGAGATCGGCATAAGCGGTCGTATTGACCCTAGCAAAGCGGATGACTACCTCTGCGGTCTTGAGTTCAGCACCACGTCCGACCTGATTGTTCTTTGGATGGGCCTGCCGCCCAATCCAGCTGAGGCGGACCAGTTCGAGAAGTTCTTCACCTACTTCAAGAGCAAAGACCGCTTCGGTGTTGGCGCACAGAACCACAACCCCGCGCTCAAGGACATCTACTTTATTCCGCTGGAGAAGGGCGCACAGATGCCGACTTTTTTCAGCAACCTGCAAAGCGACTTCCCGCATCAGGTGCAGGAGCGGATGATTCTCATTCCGCTGGTGATCAAGAACAGCGAGCTGCCGCATGTGACAGACAGTCCGGCGGTGGGAGGCACGCTGATGCAGACGCCCATCACGCCCCGCGACAGCTGGCAGCCGGACGCCGTCAACGGCGGCGTCCCACCTCCAGCAATGGCATCCCACGGTTCAGGCCTACCAGGCCCCATGAACGGAGGCGGTAGCGGCGCATCTACCCAGCAACACCAACCTGGCTACCCAGCGCAGCCAGGCCACCAGCAGCCTCCCTTCCCCACTCCATCGCCTCACCAGCAGCAACAGCAACAGCAACAGCAACCACTCCCGCCTCATCAGATCCCCACTCCGCACCAGCCATCACAAAGCCCGGCCCCTGCACCCCCTCAAAACGCATCGCAAGCCGCGCACGCAGCCTACAAGATCCTCGGACCCTACCTATCCCTCGCGCCGGCCGTGCAGCAGCTGGTGTCGACGGCGCCCTCGGCCGGCGAGCAGGAGATGAGCGTCGTCAAAGAGTGCATCGCCGACAACCCCGCCGCCGCCGAGCAGCTGGACGTACTGACGCAGATGCTGACCCGGAAATGGGAGGGCCAGCAGCAGTCGCAGTCGCAGCAGGGTGCCAACGGGAGCACTAATGCCGGAGGTCTAGGGGCCGCGGCGGCGGCGGCGGCGGCTGGAGGTGGTGAGGCGGCGGGGAGTGCGCAGGCTGCTTGAGTAGATTTGTCGGGTGTATGTGATGGTGGTGGTGAGTGGTGTGCGGGCTGCAAGGATGTGTGTTGGGAGAGGGTAAGATGTATGAAAGTGGCGTGGCGGAGGAAGATTCGCCTGGCCTTTTTCCAGTGAATGAGGGGATGTTGGCGTCTGTCATTGCAGAATTGTAAAGTGGTGTGAAGCGTGGATCACTAGGCATGTTGTTTGTGCCGTTTTCACAGGCGGTAATGCTACGGAGTGTTTCAACACGGGATCGAGCGAGCAAGGGTGTGGGATTTGTGCATGCTCTGGTATGTATGGGATGGGAGGGCAGGGCAGGGCAGGGCTTTGCGAGACTTCCTTGCGGCAGGCTGCGTTTTCAGCTTGCCGACGTGTTCAAGTTGCTTTGTCTGTTGCGGTGTCTGCAGTTGTATATCCTGGCTGGAGACGATGGGTCCGCTAGCAGCAGGTCAAAGAGCGCGCAGAGCAGGGCAAAAGGAGAAGAAGGGGGTTTTGCAAGATATGGCAGACACGTCCCAAGGACTCGCCAATAACGATAAGTCTCGTCTATGCTCTGTTGTTATTCATTGGTCTAGTGTTGCGTGTTTCTTGCAGGCAGCAATGTTGTCGAGCTTGCCATGGGAATGCGTGAGGAAGTGGACGGCTCCCCACGGCGCCTCGTTTGGTAGTGATAGCTCTATCGCAACTCTCGTGCCACCTATGTGGAGCATACCTTGCTCTGATCTCGTCGCCGCCCTGCCTCCCTCGTTGATCTCGATTCGTCCCAATCATTGCATGACATGCCGAAATAGCGGCGCGGGCTCAATGTGTCATTTAAGAGTCATAATGGTCTCACGTGAGGCTGGCCTGCAAGCCGTGGACGGCTAAAGGCCATGGTCGGCCTGCACAGCATGTGGTCCTTTCTCATCGGGAGACCCCTGGATAGTGGACCATCGCGGCCTTCGCGGCCTTCACATGGCCTTGTTGTCGAATAAATACTTTGTGCCGTCGTCTCACAGATTCCGCCGCACAAAGTCGATACCCTGCTTCTTTCCGAACTCCCACAGGTTCTGGATACCCTGCTCGCTCAGGTCAATGTTCTTCATGTTTGGCGCGTCTTGCGCAGGGGCTCTCGAGACACGACTCGCGACCATGATGGGGTCGGTCTCGAGGATGATACCGTCATCAACGATCTCGTCGATTGCTAGCGAAAGGAGGTCGTAGTTCTCTAGGAGGGTGCGGCGGTCGGTAGAGTTCCTGGATGGGTGTTAGAAGAACATGCGGGCCTGCGAGCAGATCGGAAATGGTCGTAAAGGACCAAGTCGAAGGCAACATACTTTAGGAGCAAGGAGAGAGTGTCTCTGAGGCATAGCACCACGTTATACAGGAGCACTTCGTTCTCGTGGCTTTCCCCAACCACATACAGCATGACATCGCTTTCGGACTTGAAAACCACAATCTTGTTGTCGTACAGAATCACATCCGAACTCTGCTTCGCGGTCTTTTCCAGCAAGCCCTTTTCAAAGGCCTTCTGCTCTTTTAATGTTGCATAAGCGGGTGTGGGTGCGGGGGCAGAGGGAGCGTGGTGCGGCGGCGTGTAATACTTCGCGAAGAGGCGCGGGTCTCCGCTGGACGCATCGGGGGCCAGAATCAGTATGGCCAGGGTCGACGAGAGGGAGAGTGTTGGTGCCATGGCTTGTGTGTCGTTGAGTTCGTGGAGGGGTGGGCGTTACCAGGCAGACCTGGTCAAGATGTCTTTGTGGGGGGTTTATGGGGAGCACGTATGTGGTGCGGTTGACGAGGAGGTTTTCGGTCGTTAGGATGAGATCGGGTTATCGCTAGATTCACAAGCTGAGGAATTGAGGCAGTGAGGCGGCAGACGAAGAAGAACACCGTGGTGTCTTTTTGTCCTGGTACCCGTCGAACGAGGATAGAGCGAAGTCGATGAGAATGCTTGGCATTGGATGTTGCAACAGGTCAGCGGTAGACTACTTGTGATTAGGAACCAGGTTTAAGCAGAGACTGATGGCGAGGATCACTAGAATGCTCGCGTACCATTCGTGTCATATATCTGTTTTGCACGATAGCCTAGTCGCTGCATGGTGATAGACCAGTACTCTTCCCTTTCATAACCTCTGAGAATACATTCAGTCTACATTTAGTGATTCTATGTAATGCCTCGCTGTCCTGCAAACATGTTTTCGATGAACGCTCACAACTTTTTAAACAGACATGCTACCTTCGACTGTAGTAGTTATCGTACTGCGTCTGCTGCGCAGGCGCCTGGTAGCCAAAATCCTGCATAGAATGGACATTATGCCCAGCTGAATACGCTGGATCAAATCTCGGAGTCGGATTGTATGCCTGGTAGCCATCCTGGTTAGATGTGTAAGGTGTATTCTGATAGGTCGGCTCTGTCGTGTATGTTGGCGCCGCGGTGCTGTAAAAGCTGCTCTGCCTGCTGGGAACCCGCCGGCTCTCGGTTCTCTGCACAAAACCCATCTGTTGCTGATCTTGTTGGCTATGCATTCTCTGCGCGGCACCATCCAGGCCTGTTCCCATCGGCAAATCATGTACACTTGATTCCCGGCTGTGTAGCGGATCCATCTTGAGATCCTGGCTGTCGCGCATTTTGTTGTACCTGCCGAGAGCAGACTGAGTCCGGCGGGCACGTACATCCAGGATGATCAGCGCGATTTGACACAGCCAGCCGATGACGACGAACGCAAAAAACGCCTTGTATTGGTGGCAGATCATGATACCATCCTCATTGCCCCAGTTGGCGGCAGTGCAGGAGTGGCCGAGTGTACCGTACATGTTCCAGATAAGAAGACCAAGGCCAACCGTCCACAAGAGGAGGATAGGTATGTTCATGATCATGTTGAGAAGTGGGGAGAGGTGGACACAGAAGTAGAGGACGGTGCCGACCATGAGAGACAGAAGCAAGACAGCGTCAGCAAGGAGCATCTAGAGCACGTCAGTCAGAGTGTGGGGGTTCGGAGGCCAGATAGACATACGACGAGGAACGTCCATGGTAACTTGAAATCATCTTGTGTGAGTTGGACACAGAAGGAGGCCAGAACCCCGCCAACGATTATTACAGAAACGAAGGTCAATGCGCGAACGGCATGGAAGGGCAACGGCGGCACATAGGCGGACGGTCTTGTTCGAGCGCCCATGATGGTTGTTGTGTGTGTGTTAAGAGAAGTAAGTCGTGTAGATAGAACGCCTGCCGCGGCGACCGATGGAAGCGAATGATGTCTAGGTACCAAGTACTGCTAATTGTGGATGAGCATTCAACAAAGCCAGCTTTGAATTGACAGAGGCACTTTGGAATTGGTACACAAGGCGGATGAAAGAGCGATTGAAGGGAGTGAAAGAGCAACTGCAATGACAAGAGCGCAGGATTGAGGCTCGGATCGCCGAATCTGCGACAACAACTGAGACGGGCATACGAGACAGGAGACTCGGTGGCCACTCGATCGCTTCCTCATGGGGTTCGTTGCGTGGCGGAGTAGGCGGAGTAACCGGCGAGAGCGGCAGCCGCCCCCAGCACCCGGGACCTTGGCGAAGTCTTCTGCAGCGCCGGGTACCTTGCAGTTCTATTTGCGTCCGTCAATCATCGTAGGTATTTTTCGCCATGAACGCCTCCTACTATTCCGTAATAATGAATGATCTGGCGCTCGCTATCACGCTGAAGTCGTAAACAATTGTGCTACCCTGTAGGCCACCTGCCGTGAGGATTGCACCGAGCCCTCCCGGATCTAAACAGGCTGCCCAATGCCCACCACAACGTCTGCTTCTAGGGCAAGGACATCCTCGATCTAGGCGACTTAGGGAGAGTCTGCAGACTCGATGCAATGTAATGTTTCCTGTTGTGTATTCAAGTACTTGTCGACCTAGGCTGTGGCCCTGAGTGTGTGCCTCACCGCAATGGGCTTTCCCCAATCTTTGTTCCCACTCCATTCTCGATGCCAACCGTCCCACCTCTGTAAGGAGATAGCATCCCATTCTGCACCCGGGGTCCTGTTCCTGGGGTACCAGGCATTGCGCTACCGCCAATCTCCGGCGTATTCCTCCCGCTGGCAAACGTACTGTTCACGCCACCATCTGCTGCCAAGTTTCTCTCACCACTTCTGAGAGGCGGCTTCCAGCCAAAGCGCGAGCCTTTCCGATAAATTTCCTCGATCATCTGCTCGGCCTCGCCTTTGATCTCGGACTCCTGGAACTTACGCCAAAGTCTTAGCGCCATATGCGCGTCTTCAATGCTGTCGTGCCCCTCGCTCTGTGTCTCATCAAAGGTTTCTTCCTGGATGTATTCCCCGAAAACCGCCCAGGCCAGATAACGCAGTGAGAGGCGTCGGTTTTTGCCAGGAACGAGATACAGCCATTGAGTGTCGACTTGCTGTGGCTTTGGTACATGAATGTTGGCCTTTCGAAAGTCCGACGTCAGACCGTGGCCGACGAAGATGCAGCCCAGGTTCAGTAGAACCCATAGCTTCTTGTACGCAACCTTTAGTGGTACCAGATTGTGGGTCGAATTCGAGATGTCCAAGTCACCGGGCTTGATGCCAGAATATTGCGTCTTGTAATCAACAATCGGCTCGCTAATAGTTATGTAGTCGTCAATAAACGTCAGCCCCTCAACCTCGCCACTCCCACGGAGCACACTGACGCGAGCCAAGCCGTTCCGGGCAGGTCTGATAGTTTCGTGACTACCATCCGCTTTGACGTTGATCTCAGCTTTCTCGAGCTCGACGAATTCCGTGTCCAGAGCGATGTGAGTGCCTGCTTGTGGCGTTTCATCTGACTGGAGGATGTGGCACTTTGGTGACTGTTGAACCCGATTGATGCTGTACGGGTGGTAGAGGAGGGAAGTGTCCATCATAGAGCGCCAGGTCTCGTCGATCTTGCCGTGGGCACTCTTTACTTGGTAGCAAACCACACTTGGCATCTTCCATGTCTTATTGAAATGCAAAGCTTCTCGTGCTTCAACTTTGTCGACCAGAAAGTCGTTGAACAAGTGCCAATTTTGGGGCGCTTTCTGCGCGAGATTGACGCCGTCCTTCTTGGCCGATACCTCAGTATTGATGATGCTAACGAGATGAGGCTGTCGGCGGTCATCCGTGTCAACGTCGGCAACATATCCGACTAGCTCGTACACCATCAGGCCTGGAGTTTTATTCCTGATGTGTAGCTGAAGGTCGGAGCCCTCATAGCACTGGATACGGTCACCTATCTGCAATCCAATTTCTTGAGGCAGCCACCCCGCTGTCTCCCACAGTTGACGGGCAGCAGGGTTGAGGATCATGGTATTGAGGATCAGCACATATGGCAGCTGGCGAATGGTTTTGCGAATAGCGAGTTGCTGATAGCGCCGGCATCTGTTACACCAAGCACGACTCTTAGTCTCGCGCTCGATGCTGTTCTTCAGCACTTGTGCAAATCTGAACATGTGGGGTCGATGGTGCTTGACATCTGTTGGCATGTACGCCAGGTCATGCAAGTACGTGGTCGACTGTTTTGTTGTCTCACCGTTGCAGAACATACATCTAATAACCTCAAACGAGGTAGTTGACAAAATTTCGTCGATTCCATCTTTGCTGCCAGCGATTTTTTCATAGTCATCCGCCATCTGTTTCAGGAAGAAGCGATTGACCGACTGAATCAGGTTCGACAAGGGAAGGCTTGCAGCTGTTGCCGATGATTCGAAGAGATTCATACTGGCTGCCCCTCTTGAGGCACCGAACGCACGTAGCAGATTGGTGGCTTGACAATTCTGGCCAGAAGCCTTCTCCAGCATATCAAAGAGAAAGCCGAATTCGCACAGCAGGCAGTTTGGCCACACACATGCTGTAGCCGCATGCTGTATCGCGACATTCCTCAGCAATGGAACGAACTTGTACAACTGGAGCAGCGAGTTAATGTAAGAGTTTGCAATGTGCGTCTCTAAGCCAGAGTACTGAGTCTTGTTGAAGAATGAGAAGTCGAAATCGTCGACACCAAAGCGACTATACTTGATCTCAACTTTGTTGTATTTCAACATTCGGTCTTCTTCGGTCTGAACACGCCCATTGAGCGCTAGGCCGTTCAGCGCGTCCATTGTGCTGGCCGCAGCTATATCTCCTTCGCTAGCCGCTTGTCGACTTTTCTCGCTAAGAAACTTGGGTGCAGCTATAATGGTAGGCGCAGTACCAAGCCTGGTATTCTCCGTTTGGTACCTTCGGCCTTTGCGATTAATATTTGGGGCAAAATGGCCAAGCTCCGCAGGTTGGAGATACGGTAACAGTGCCGGGTCGACTGGGGTCGGAGGCGATCCAAGTTCGGAGAGCATGTGACTTGGCCATGCGCTGAGAAGCCGTTCTGAGTAATACGACAGGCCAACAGCGCTGAGCGGGCTGTCACTCCAGTCGACACGTGGAGGTTGCGGAGGGCTAGGATCTGCAAAACGAGTTTCTCTACTCATGTTGTTGAAACGAAATGTGGTGGGCGGCCCCCACAAGTAGATGAAGCCACTCGAGTCATTGAACAACAGCGCGTCGCCAGAGGAGGAGATTTCTAGACCAAGGATGAATTGTACGCTGGCTTGTTTGAGTGTAATGTTCAACGGATTCATAAGGTCCAAGACCTGCATCTGGCCGGTTTGCGAGGTGACAAAGCTTGTCGTTTGTAGCTTTGGATGCAAACGAACGTAAGCTGCACCAGCCTGAAACGGGATCGGAGGCAGAGATATTAGCGTCTTGAGATCGTAGACTTTGGCCAGAGGATCAACCACTGGAGCCCCAAGATGGCGAACGGAGAAGCCACAGGTAACTAGGTAGTCGCCTTTGGTGTCCATATCGTTGACAGCACTATTGTGTGCTTTCCAGGTAGCTAAAACGGAAAAGTCGCTGACGCTTAGAACGTCAACTTCGCCGTTGTCAGAGGCAGCGCAGATTTGGCGGCCTTTCTTGAGCATAGTATATTTCGCCCTAGACGGATGCTGGGAGACGATAGAGCCCTTCTCAATATCGATGATGAAGAAGAGTGATTGAGTGCCGGCCACGAGCAAGTGATTGGGATTGTTGGTGATGCACATGCAGCGCAAATTGATCATCTGCGGGTGGCTGATATGCCATAGCGCAGGACCACGCCGATTGATTAGATGGACACTGGTTGTCGAAATCGAAAGGATGCCTCTTTCATGGGGTAAGAGCTGGTGGACTTTGCCTTCGTCGATATGGGCGCGAACGGATGTGTATTTTCGTACTTCAGGTCCATGATACGACACGACCCGGCCATCGTTGGTGCCGAGCCAGATCAGCTCCTGACTGTCATCGAATATCACAGCTGTTGCAGGCGAAGGGATATTGTGGATATTGTTGATAGTGCTCGGCGGCACTCCCACACGGGCGATTTCGTCCCATTCTGAAGCCGCCATCGGCACGATCGTACGTAGAATGGACTCATCGATCAGGCGGCATCAACATCTCTGCACAGGTGAACAGCAGCTCGAGCAAGAGCCAGCTATCACAGGTGTAAAGCCATGCTGTCACAGTGAGAAAGAACAAACAAGACGTGTCGTCGGTTTAAGAAGGCAGCGCGCTCCGTTGGAGTTGCCTGATTTGGCCACCACGTTTGCCGACTATTTGCCGACCGCAGGAATATCGCGCCAGACAACGCAGCTTCGCGCACCCGGTAGAATGCTTGTTGTTTGTACGCAATTCTTGAAGAGAAGTCGCTTGCATCTATGCTTCAACTGACGAGACCCAAGTCCGACAATACTAGGGCAGCCTGAGTAGCGAACACTCTTTCCTCCGTTGGGACCCCGCTATCACCCGCCGCGCCATCGTGCTGTGCCTGAGCGCTTTGGCTATTTCTGCCTCGTCCAGTACGTGGACTTTTGTGCTGCCGTGTATTCTACAGTCTCGAGACCCAAAATGACAAGCTACGAGAGTACATAAATTCAAACCCTGGTGATTGACTGTATCACTAACCATGCAATAGCCGAACATGCTACCGATGCGAAAGACCATGGCCAGGAAGCACCTCGTCGGCCAGACCTGTCCTCGTTTTTCAGCCTCATGTCAGAGATCACACCCGATAGTCCAGAAGAGCGTACTCGCGAAGGAGCCGTGCCTGTGCCAGGCGATGTGTCTGCAGCATTCCGATCACTGGCGGACGCTTTCCGGGTGATGCAGCGGGACAATGATAATGCAGACACTGATTTGATGGATGAGATGATCGAGACGCTCATGGCCTCGGCCGAGCGACCGCCTACGGAAGTCAAAGGCGTCGATGAAGAATACATCGCGGCTTTAGAAAGAGTCAACATCAAGAAAGTCAAGAAAGACGCAGACTGTCCCATCTGCGGCAATGCTTTCGTCGAGGACCCTCACCCGTTACTGGTGCGGCTACCATGTCATCCAAGCCACATCTTCGATCTCGAGTGTGTGCGCCCATGGCTGTTGCTCAATGGCACATGTCCACTCGATCGAGTGGATCTCGCTAAGCGTGTCCGGGAACGCAAGCAGAAACAGCTGGAAGAAATCAGGAAGAAAGCCGCCCCTGAAGATGATGAAGAGGAATGGGACGGGCTCTACGGATAAAAGTGCCGCAGCTGATGGTCTGCATCTCCCACCGCAGAGGCGTCTCGTATGCACGAACAGAGGGATCATCACGATCAAGCGCCGGTTCACGTCGTTCAACTCCGACTGCAGACCACCTCCTAGAATCAAGTTCTCTGCGACCTTGGGGCGGCCGTGCAGTCTAATGTATCTCGCCCAACTCGTCATGTGACAGGCGCAAGATGCACTACGAGACCCTCGTCACAGTGATCATAGGCCTGGACTACAGGGAAGAAAAGAGCATGGGCCTAGGAGGGTGGGCGGCGACGGGTGCCTACTGTCGCAGCAAAGTTGTGATGTCCGGAAAATATCGAGCATTAGGACCGGGGGGAATGCTCCGGCCCACGCATCCTGCCGCTCAGGTGGCTGCTCCCTCAGGGTCGATCTGGCAAGCATAGACGAGACTTGCCCATCTACTCTCGTCTAAAATGCTGCCATGTAAATCCGTTTGTTCATTGGCTCAAACACAGCTTTACTTCAGCCAATCAGGTCACGAAAGGACCGGAATCGCACCTTTTCTCACATGGTGACTTCTTTTCGTAACGCGCGGCGCTGCGGCAGGCTAATGGTTGGGAGGGGTTCCCCGATAGCCTCCTGGCGGCCAGATCAGGGATCGTTGACAGAAGAAAACCTCACGTCGGGACTATTGCTGTACTGCCCCAGACTTCAAAAGTTGACAGGCAAATGTTTGATAGCTAGACTGACTTATGCACGATTGACACGTGGTCGAAACAATGGGCCTTTCAGCTGGCATTTTCTACTCTCGGGGCGGCCATCAGTGCGGCTGAGCATGAAGCGAGGCGAGCCTTGTTTTTTTCATGTTTAGGCGCAAGGCTGGCTGTGTCTTGTTGCAGACTCCATAGGCGACAGCCGCCAATGACGCGGCTAACGGTAGCGTCTCCTGGTGCGGCTGGTCCCTAAAACCAACTGGGGACATCCACGCTTGAACAACAGCTCAACGCTCCGGGTGGATCGCCACTATAGAGGCACAAGCCACCACAGAACGTCCCACCTCGAATGACTGGACCAGGCGATTTCAGCTTCTAACCACTACTCAACCCACAACGCAGTCGGCCCCCAGGCTTTGGGCAAGTTACGAAGTCACCATTGATTCCACTGTGGCCAGCCCTAGCCAGCCCTGTTCCACGTTTGGGCGAACATCACGACCATGCTGTGCCGCTTCGCTCCGTCCGGAGGTCGCCACAATAGTGCTCCATCATGTTGTAAGATCCCTCATCGATAGGCAGCGTACATATGCCTGTCATATCACGAGATTCCCAAGTCACGTTGGCATTGGAGCGACCAAGCCCCCGCCTGTCTGTTGGCTTCTCCAACCGCTATTCAATCCCCTACTATAGACTACCATCCTCATGCATACGACCTGACGCCGGTCGCTCTGGATTTACCTTCCCAGGCTGACCTGAGTGCCTGTCTTGTTTGACTTCGTGGCGTGAGCGGCCTCTACCTATTGCAGTGTCCTAGCCCCATATGTCATCCGCCGCAGTCTTCTCTGGACGAGATTACCCATCTACCCACTACTGACAACGCGCTACGAGGTCTTCATCCGTCTTTCATACCGAAAGACTCAAAAACCAGGATTATCCCTCCTATACGACTTTCGCTTTCGCTTTCCACTTGCTCATCGGCTGCCTGTGGCGAGCCGCTCTCTTCACGTGCCGCTGTCTTCGCCCCCATCGGCTGTTCCGACTGGCAGTGGCGTCAAACGCCGCCCATGCACCGTTGAGCAAGACTGGCTTCTGTCTAAGCCGCTCGAAACCTGCAGCACTTCTGCATCACTCGACATATGCGCAATCTGTTTTTGGTTGGGTCTGCCTTGTTTCATGTGCCACAGTTGCGTCTTTCGGATCCATTCGACCAAACCCTACCAACATCCGAGTCATACTCAATCTCGTCCTGCATCCTGCTCATCCCCAATATTCCATTGCATATCGTACTGGGAGACGTTGCATGTTCACTTGGCTAGTAATGTTGGAGCAAGTGGTAGCGCGTCTCTGCAGTTCTTGGTTTGATTATCAGGAGGACGCTGGCGGTCCTCGACCATGTCGTACAGACATTCAGCAACACAGCCCCAGCAAGATGCTTCATCCGCCTTTAATGCCTCCGTTGCACGAAGAATTCCACCGACTCGGCCCTTAATCGACACTCAAAAACTACCCTCGAGGACCAGACGACCAGGTTTGCCGTCGTCTCCTCAGGCCAATCCATCGCCTCCTTTAGCGACGAGTTCAGCACCTGTTCGCCCCCGGGCATCGGCGCTACCAAGGTCGACATCAGGACGCGCAACACCACAGTCATCGACATTATCTCCGAACAGAGCTCCATTTCCAGCGCTTTCTGGACAGCCTCGGCCAGCGCTTGTTCAGACGAAATCTGCTCCAGAGGACGTTCCCCTAGTATTCGACGTTTCGTCGCAGCCAAGACACAAACACGACGCCTTCGCCTCTGCCTCTGCGACTCTTGATTCCGCCAATGATACAGTTCTGGGTGTAGCAATGCCGGAGGTTGGAAGGAAACAACGCTCGCCGAACTTACCGCCACGGCTGGTCCCAGAACTGCAGGCTCTTGCCAGCCACACTTCTAAGCCATATCAACATGCGCCTCCGCCTTCAGTGAGCACAATCAGCAGCCCATCGACACGCTTCACGGAGTCGCCAGCGCCATGGAGCGCAGGCACCGCTACGACCACGCCAGTATCTTGGTCTTCTGCATCCCCAGCGTTAACATCCTCTTACGGCATGCGGACCCCCGAGAAGAAATCAAAAACGGTGCCAGTACCTAACCCGCCTCGGTCAAGGCTGCCGAAGCTGCCATCAATTCCACGACCGCCGCCACCTCCACAGTCTGGTGCTTCGGCGGTTGTGGAGAACGAGACCCGATCAACAGAATCTCGGGGCCCGTCCCGCAAAAAAAGCATTCTCCACAGCCCTCCGCCAACGCCTCCACCTCGAACTTCATCGGTCAAGAGGCCTAGCACAGGTGGACGGAGTACGAACACAAGTATCGACGACACACTATCCAGAGCTGCACCATCTGGGCCGCCGACTCGACCGTCCACTGCACCCTCCTCCGCCGACCGTCACGGAAGTCCCAGAGCGCCGCAATTGCGTCGGGAGGATCGCATCGATGATTTCTCTGCTTTCACCACCCATGAAAATTTGCAAGACTCCATTCGGAATGTGCCTACCCGCCCGAGCCGCAGTGGTACCTTCGATCTTGGAGATAGCAGACCTACAACTGTCAACACGCACAAAGCTGCGTTCTCGGCGCAACACCGACAGTTGCTCGAATCAGGCTTCGAAGACGTTACGCCTCATCGGGTAGTGGTGTCCTCCAGTACGGCACAGTCAGACACCGAGCGGGGCCTCGCTGGAGAGAAAAGGGCGCGTTCCCCAGCTCGTCTCGGCAAGTTTTCGAAACTTCGTATCTTTGGCCAGCGAAGCATCTCTTCCACTGATGCCGACAAAAGCCCCAAGAAGCTTCAACGACGAGGTCCTTCCGCCGGCACCGGTCACGAAGGTTATGGTAAATACGCCAAGAGAGGTAGAAAGCAATCGACCGAGCCATCCGGAACAAGTAGTGAAAGTGAGAGATCCCAGAGCAGCACGCGAAGGCTGCCGCTCTTCTCCCATTCTCGCAAAGCGAGCTCCAGCTCTAGGCGGACGAGTCAATCAGATCTGGACGAATTCGCGGTTCCAAGGCTGAACCCAGTCGTTTTGCGAGGAGGCTCACAGACGAGCGTGGCCACGGACAACCCAAGTTCTGATCGCGGATACTTGACATCACCCGATCTCAGAGAGACGACGCCCTCGCCAGCACCAGATGATCCGCCATGCCATTACGACCGTCGAGTACGATCTCCTCTTAGTAATGCAACAAATAGCCCGGGTAGAGATGGGCCAGTCCCTCGTCTTGCTCTGCGGCGATCTCAACGATTCCCCACAGGATCAGAGCCCTTGCGACTGCCGGCTCCAATCCGCACGGACGACCTCCAGGCGCAGCCTGGTATCAACAGCTATGATACCAGCTTGTCCTCAACAATGCCGTCTTCGGCTGCGTTATCGTTGCCAGCAAGCGAGCATGTGTACATCGATCCAGGTCTTTTGAAGGAGAAGAAAGCCCGCAGACGCTGGTGGAATCCGTTTCGAGCACGACCGCAGGGCATGATCGTGCAAGAACCGATCATGATGCCATCATCGGAGCCAGAAATGGCTGTCAGTATTGCTACGGGTCCTGCTCCTCGCTCAATACCATACTATGCTATGCTGGAATCGGAAAGCGAGGGCACAGGACCTCAACAGATTGGCGAATACATGTCTGAGGCTGCGAACCCATCATACAGTCCATCGCCAGAAGAACATGAGGACCGAGCAAAGGCTTCGCGTAACACAGAGTCGATCCTTCTGCCAGCGCCTCCTATCTGGAGCTCTGTTGACCAATCGATGCAGCAGGTAGAGCCGCTCGAACCCTCACCACTAGAAGCAGGACCTCGACAGCCACGACTAGCGCAGGTCGGCCGCATCCCAAAGGTTGTCAGCAGGAGCGAAAGACAGCACAAGCCAAGTCGGCAATCTTTCTCTCAGCCATTCGCGAGAGGTCACCCACTACAACACCCTGCGGGATATAGCCACGACCCTCGTCTGTCATGGGAGGAGCCACCCCAGCTACAGATTCATACCGAGACATTGCCAAGCCGTCCGTTCTTTGAGGTTGGAAATCCGAGTGCAAAGCCCTCAAGCGCTCCGGCTCACTCTCGTCCTGCTCAAGTCAGCTTGCCAGAGCCATTCACCTCAGACCTAGTGAAGGTTTCGTCCATGCACAGCTCTGATGTGTCAACATCGAGCTCGTCAGCGGGCATGATCAGTGTGATGGGACCAGGCATCATTCCAACGACGTATGAGATGCAAGCTCAGTCCTATATGCCAGTGGTGCGACAGCCGTCGGTGTATGCTGAGGAAGATGTGTGGAATGAGTTCGATGACATTATCGATCACGTCATGTCGCCATCGAGGTCCCCAGGATCCAAGTCACCAGAGACTCAGGCTAAGCAACCGCTGCGTCCGCTCGTTGAAACATCAAGCTGTTCTCCTCTCACAGGTCGTCCGGTTATCAGACCTACATCCAGGGGCAAGATGCCTTTCCCAGAAGGTCGGAGAGCAATGACGGACTTGCCGCTCGCAACGCGAGGCACACCACCGGTTATCTTTCCTTTGCCTTTGCTGACGGCCGATAAGTCGGTGAGTGAGGAGATCAGATTACGACGGTCGCGCATTGTTTCAGCGTTACATTCTTCCTACGATCCATCCTCGCCGTTCTCGATGCGTGAATTTCTCAAAGACTACAGTGAGCCACGGGACAGCATGAGGCTCTCGGAAAGATTGAGTGCTTCAACCGCTGCACGGTCCACACTCACAGCACCAGCGCTGGTGGAAGAACCGGAAGCGGAACGCACCCACCAGGACAACGCTATACTGCTAGACGTTGCCGGACGAGCCAAAGACCCAGCCAAACAGTCTGAGTTGCATTACGCCTCGTTGGAGGTGTCTCGGTGGTTGTCGTTTGGACGGGTTCTGTTCTCTCCTGCTCAGGACGAGATCCAAACCCTGCCGGACCGCAACGTGCTTGTGATTGACGGTCTCGGGAACGAGGACTGGTCGATCTACTGTGCGGTAACCTACGAGGCAGTCAAGGCGGTCGTCTACGATCTCAAGGAAACATCGCAATACAAGAAATCTGGTAGCCCACAATCGCTCGGGCACCTGCCAACAAACCATCGCCGAGCCGAAATCGCCACCTTTTCTGAGCGTTTTCCATTCCAGAGCGCTTTCTTTTCGGTCATCGTATTACGGTTCCCACCCGCAATGTCAGAGGCAAAGCTGAAGAACATCATCAGCGAGTGTCGACGCAGCCTGATGCCCGGCGGTCACATCGAGGTGATGTTACTGGACTTCGATTTTGTTAACATGGGGGTACAGACGCGGCGGGCTGTCAGAGAGCTCAAGATGCGTATGGCTACTAAAGATCCCAATGTCAACCTCAAGCCCACGATCGACAGCTTCCAGTCTCTTCTCGGCGGACGAGGCTTTACTGGACTCAGCCGATGTGTGGTGGGCGTGCCAGTGGTAGGGCGTCCACCAGGATCGACTGATTCATCCACCTCGTCACGGTCAAGTGGTGGTTCCTACGCACGTCGACCTGGTGACCCTACTCGTCTGACTAGCCGACACAGTCAACGAGGTCAAAATTTCTCTCTCAGCGAGCTGGTGGCTGATCCATCAGAAAGCGCTGATGCGCAGATTGGAAGAATGGTGTCCAAAACAGCGCGCAATTGGTGGCAGCACTGCTACGAGGCCGGCGTAATACCAAACGGAGACCTCTCACGCAGCATCTTCTCGGAGAAGAAGGTGTTGCAAGAATGCAAGATGCGGGCATCGAGCTTCAAACTGCTGATCGCACACGCACAACGACCAGTCTTCGAACAACGACGACGCACCATGAGTGAGTCGGCGGCAGCGGCGATGGCCACCGCAGGCGCAGCACGCCGGCCGAACGCTGCTTAGCTTTCACTTCTGACCCTCAATATTCGAGACGACGAGAACAACGAACGACACGAATGACGCCAGCATGACTTGAAATGGACGCGGCGTTCAACCAAAAGTTAACCATGTTAGCCTTGAATGAAGTCTTTTTAGCGAGTGACCGACTGATATATTGAATGATTTCCCTAATTATGGCAAAGCAAGAAGATACCCTTGTCGTTACAGAACCAAGCGTCAGCTCGATGTTCATGGTGCTGGACGATTTTGCATAGCAGCAGTGGCAGAAAAAGAGTCTGTCTGAATGGTCCATCCCATTACACGCATGTGGCGCAAGCCAGCAACACAGATCGATCGATAGGGATCTGGTAGGTACGGGCGGTCGAGAGGCCGCTGGCGGCTTGCTCGCCAGTCAGCGTACATACATCTGAGACAAATAATAAAGTAGATATGCCACTCTCTGGTTCACATTTGACTGCTATCTCAGGACGACGCCTATTTCCATGTATTCATAGTAAGGCGTCTAGCTGAACCAGTGAATGACTCAAGGTCCAGGCGCGGGGAAGCGCACCTGAAACGGCGCTCTTAGGTGCACCCCCACTTGGTGTAGGCCCCGCCCGGATTGCCGCTCTTCTGCCTATTCCTGTGGCGGTATTGATGCACGCCCTCACTACAACTGGAGCACCATCAATATTAGCGAGTTCCATATTCCGCGATGATCTGAAGCTGATCAGATGTTATTTTTCGGGCTTTGTCATGTCCAAGCCTTTGCCTCATCGTAGTTCTGTTTCTTCCACTACTTCGTCGCATAACAACCAACATTCCACGCAGTACGCCCAGTCCACCGCCCAGTCTCAGCAACCCCTCCAACGTCCTACCGTCCAGTCGTTCCTTGATCGAGTCACTTCGCCAGGCACCGTCCTCTACCAGCATTCGCGAGTCCCGCCTCCGGGCAAGACGTGGGCGCAGGAGACACTGAAGAACAATCCGAAGGTCATGGACAATCGACGACATCCCAGCTCATTCCAGCAGCTCGAGAAGGTGAGATCGAAAATAACACAGTAATATGTCCGGCCAACTGACAGCCTCTAGCTGGGCGAAGGCACCTATGCCACCGTCTACAAGGGTCGCAACCGCCAGACCGGCGAGCTTGTTGCCCTCAAAGAGATCCACCTTGATTCCGAAGAAGGCACCCCTTCGACTGCCATCCGCGAGATCAGCCTTATGAAGGAACTGAAGCACGAGAACATTGTCACCCTCCACGATGTTATTCATACGGAGAACAAGCTTATGCTGGTTTTCGAGTATATGGACAAGGACCTCAAGAAGTTCATGGACTCGCGCGGCGACCGTGGTCAGCTCGACCATGTCACCATCAAACGCTTCATGCAGGATCTGTTACGGGGCACGGCTTTCTGCCACGAGAACAGAGTGTTGCATCGCGATCTCAAGCCCCAGAATCTGCTCATCAGCATCAAGGGTCAATTGAAGTTGGCTGACTTCGGTTTGGCCAGAGCGTTTGGAATCCCTGTGAATACCTTTTCCAATGAGGTTGTAACCCTCTGGTACCGCGCCCCCGATGTTCTCCTGGGTTCAAGAACCTACAACACAAGCATTGATATTTGGTCCGCTGGTTGTATCATGGCTGAGATGTATACCGGACGCCCACTATTTCCCGGCACCACCAACGAAGACCAGCTCCAGAAAATTTTCAGGCTCATGGGTACCCCATCCGAGCGAACCTGGCCCGGGATTTCACAACTTCCCGAATACAAATCCAACTTTCCTTCGTACGCCACCCAACAACTGCACATTCTGCTACCTCAGGTTGATCAGCTGGGCTTGGACCTGCTAAGCAAGCTCTTGCAATTACGCCCCGAGAATCGAATCAGTGCCCAAGAGGCGCTGTTACATCCTTGGTTCAACGATCTCAACAACTATCAGGCTCAAGGTCGAGCTCAGGTAGGGCAACAGGTCCAGCAGACTCTGGGCCACGGTGGAATGAGTATGGGGGCGTATGGCACACAACCAGGAATGGTCCAGCCGGGGCAGTACTAGGAGGACCCCCGACCCACGGGTGAGCTTGCTAGAGTTGGGTTGCCTGAAAGATTGGCTGGGGTAAGGCGAGAGAGCAGCACAAGCAAGGCTCTTTCACCTAGCGTATTGTATGCCTTCCCCTTGGATCCATTACGAGAACCGTATGATACCAAGACCGAGGAGGACTACTGGACTCAGGTGGGGATGGCAGTACATACTTCGCCGCCGCAAGGGAGGAAGCCGCCACTCACATATGACGACTTATCTTAGGAGCTGGAAAAGTCGTGTCGTCTCGAAACGAATGGAAGAGGCAACACGAAGCGCGGCAGCAAGCTGTGTCTAGCCACGAGATCCATTTCTGAGCCACCACGGCCAGGGAGTATGGGCTTCAGCAGAGGGGACGAGGCTTGTCCCCGAGGCTGCAGGGCAATCAGTCAGCATTAATGAAAGTAATTCGAACCATGAGTCGTTGAAGCACTGCACGCACCGTGGTATACCCTGCTCCGAAGCCATGTAGGCGTTGAATCGTGTGGTCTCCCCGATCCACCGTTCAATTGTCGCCAAGCAAGCGTTGGGAGTCTGCTCGCGACTGCTCCATTGAGCTCCGCAGCCACTGCCTCTCAACATTTGTCTGCATCTCCCATTTCACTTCCTTCTCCCCTTGCCTTCTCCTCTGCTCTGCTCTACGACCTGTCAAGATGTTGTCGAGGGCTTGCATCCGCAGCTTCGGCCTGGCTGCTGTCTCTCGGAGACAAGCCTATGTCGCCGCCCGGAGGACTGTTACCACCGATGCTGCTAGCTCGCATGCTGAGAAGGATGATGTCCCAGATGTACGATAAAGGCTGCCCTGCTAGCCAAGAATGACTTGCTGATGATGGTGGTGAAATAGGACGATGATGCGCCATTCCCCGTCAAGCTCTCAGACGAATCCTTCGAGACCTACGAGCTCGACCCTCCTCCTTATACTCTCGATACCACCAAGAGAGAACTAAAGAAGATGTACTATGATATGGTTGCTGTTCGGTACGTCCCAGACCTCGGATACCTTCTCCAGCTCAGCGCACAACGTGTCTAACAATTCCTGCAGCCGTATGGAAATGGCCGCCGATCGTCTCTACAAAGAAAAAAAGATTCGCGGTTTCTGCCATCTTTCTACGGGTCAAGAGGCCGTCGCTGTCGGCATCGAACACGCCATCACTCCCGACGACGCCATTATCACCGCTTACCGATGCCACGGCTTTGCTCTCATGCGCGGCGGCACTGTCCGGTCCATCATCGGCGAGCTGCTTGGTCGCCGCGAAGGTATAGCCTACGGTAAGGGTGGCTCCATGCACATGTTTGCGAAGAATTTCTACGGTGGCAACGGTATCGTCGGTGCGCAAGTGCCCGTAGGCGCCGGCATCGCTTTTGCCCACCAATATACTGGCAGCAAGACCACCACGCTTGCGCTCTACGGCGATGGTGCTTCCAACCAGGGCCAGGTCTTCGAGGCCTTCAACATGGCCAAGCTATGGAACCTGCCCATCCTTTTCGGGTGTGAGAACAACAAATACGGAATGGGTACATCCGCCGCTCGATCTTCCGCTCTGACCGAATACTACAAACGCGGCCAATACATCCCTGGCTTGAAGATCAACGCCATGGACGTCCTGGCTGTCAAGGCTGCAGTACAGTACGGTCGCCAATACACTGTCGAAGAGAAGGGTCCTCTGGTTCTGGAATACGTCACGTACCGCTATGGTGGTCACTCCATGTCAGACCCTGGAACTACGTACCGTACCCGTGAAGAGATTCAGCGCATGCGCAGCACGAACGACCCTATTGCTGGCCTCAAGCAAAAGATCCTAGATTGGGGCGTCTGCAGCGAAGATGAGCTGAAATCCCTGGACAAGAAGGCACGCGAGGATGTTGACAAGGAGGTTCAAGAGGCTGAGGCAATGGACGTGCCACCAACCACACCTCAAGTCCTGTTTGAGGACATCTACGTTCGGGGCTCCGAGCCAGCATACCTGAGAGGGCGGACACCCGATGAGACCTTCTACTGTAAGTTGCCTTAAATGAACGCGAAGGAATAATGTTAATATAAAGCCAGATGACGAAGCCAATATCCCGAAAGAGCGTTCGGTGCCTGAGGGTCATCCCGAGCAGAAAATGGTGTCCAGCCCGAACTCGCGACAAGGCTCTGCTCTATGAGCTCTGCGGCATGCAACTTCAACTAAGTCTAGATCATCACGCTTCGCCGTGGAATCTGAAACGGCAGAGCCATACCGATGGACGTTGATGGCTGTCGCGGACGCATCCGAGCAGCAGGGAAAGAGGAAAGTACAAAAGCTTCTGAGCGACTTGGGCACTTTCGTGTATGTTTAATGCTTCAGCGCAGCTTTTGGAAGGGCGCTTTTCATCGTCATGGGTAGTTGGGGGGAATAGGAGATGAATATGGCGGTATGGGGAGAGTGTTATACAGAACAATCCATGAATCCGTCATCCAGGCAATCCAATGTGTTTGGTCCCATCCTCTTATCCGACAGCACTTCCGTACCGGGCTGAGTACGTGGTGGTCACTGCTAGATGGCATCACTACGCTGCACCCCTTTCGTGTAAGTGAAGAAACTCGCAATCATAATGCATCAACCATATTCGGCCTGACACTCCATACTTTCGTTGGTCCGGACATTGTTGCATTCACCTGTGCGGAGGCTTAGATTCCCTACCACTATGGTGCAGATACTGCCACCCTCTCAGCGTCCCCATGACACGCGGTCTCAATTTCTAGTTTCGTTTTCCCCCTGCCGCCCCCTCTGGCATATCCCCCTCCCCAGTCCGCTCTTTCACACAGAGATAAAGATCTCCTCCCCATCTCCTCTCTCGCGTATTCATGCCATCTACCGCCAACCAGCCAAACAACCAGTCAGAAATGCAAAAGTCCCTCCTCATATTCATACAGACCGACCAAAGACACACGCACGCACGCACGCACCACCAGCTATGCAACCCCGTCTTCTCACACAAAGACACACACGCACAGAAGATAGATACGATAACAACATGCCGGAGAATTGTGCATATCCTTTCCCTCATGATACTTCACGCCAGGATTGCCACCGGTCGAAAAAGTCCCGCATGCCCCTTCCGTGAACGCCTTGTCTTGCTTGGTTGGAAATGCCCCAAAAACGCAAACAAGAAGATCCTCTCTCCCCAACCTGACCTTAAGTCTCTACCTTTACAGTTCTACCGCTTCCCCATCAATTGGCTGGGAATCAGGGTGTTGGCTATGGCTTCGACTTCGACTTCGACTTTGCTGGGGAGTCCGACTCCGACTCCGACTCTGGCCTCGGTGCTGCCATCCCTCTGAAGCGATATTCTCAGGAGGATCGTCCATTTCTACATCGTCATCGCCATGCACGGCCGCCGTCTCGGTATGTTGTTGAGGCTTGTCGCCAGTTTCGGCCTCGTCATGCATTCCTTCAAGCGGAGCATCAGTAGTGCCATCGCAAAACAACGCCGGATCTAGTACGTTCTTCTCGCGCTCGTGCTCGCGCTTGACCCAAACATCGCTATGACTTTCAGTCTCATGGTCCGTGCGCCAGAGTGGCTCCTTTTCCTGCGTCGCTGACTCTAGGGTCTGCAGCTGCTCGCCCGAAACAGGTGAGGCCCCATGTACCTCTCCTGCTGAGGCGTCGCCAGGCGATGCCGGCGCATTATTCGTTGTGGGAACTGCATTGGCGTGGGAGCTGGCTGGTCTTGGGGGATTGCTGCTCGCAGCCCAGACGTTGGTCTGGGAGCCTCTACGGCCACCGGCACCGCTCATAATGCTAGTGGCAGATGTAGACGCAATCGAGGTTTGCCGTTGTATAGATTGAGCGTTGGGAGGCGGAGGACTTGGGCCGTGGGCAGACGGTACAGAGCCCTCCTGCGGGTTCGTTGCAGGCATTTGGGTATTTTGATGGCTTGGTAGAGGTGGCGGGACGCCGACTTGAGGGTTCACTATTTGATTCTGTACGAAAGCAAACTGGTTTGGTTGTGAAATGGGTGATTTGACGGGCGATGCAACTGCTGGCTGAGGTGGTTGCCATTGATTGAAGACTACAGGCGCTGGCGCAGCACTGGCGGGGGAAGCCCAGTTTTCGACTGCGAAGGTGCCACTCCGGGTGGCGACAGGGAAAGGGTAGGAAGGCTGCCCAGGATTTGGTGGGGCTGGTCCGGCGTAAGGAGACTGCGAGAGAGGAGGCGCATATTGGCCTTGACCATTGAGCATGGGGGCCCCTAGGTCGGAAGGGCTGAAAGAGAGTGGTGTGAAAGAACCTTGAGGTGCAGGTTGGAGTTCTCGAAGACCTTTGGTAGTTGAGCCGTTCGGCAACATGCCAGGCATGGGAGCGCTGTCACGGCGGACAGTCTTGCTGTAGCGGCTGGCGTCCTTCTGCCGGGCCTCTGAAACAGAATGTGGTACAGCATCGTCGCGACCATCCAGGATACGGAGGCGGCGCTCAACCAGATTTTGCAAACGCTGTAGTTGAGAGCGCTCGTCGCGAATAAACATTTGCTCGGCGCGCTCGGGCACCTCGGCTATGAGGGCGTTCGTTAGGTCGGCAAGAGCATCGCCATAAACATGATCCTCTTCTGCGCGAGCCATCATGCTGAGGTTTAATATGGCCTGCTGTTCCGGCAACGTCTTGCGGCGCAAAGCGGCATTGGCTTTTGCCGTCTCGACAATGGACAGTGCTTGGGATCCCTTGTAAAACTCTGGCTCCTTGATTGTGATGGTCGTCTGCATAGGTGCATGAAGGACGGTTCCACCCGTAGGCCGGTAGTCGCGGGTAGTGAAGCGCGGAGGACGGCGACCGTTAGCGGTGTCAGGGTAAGTCTTATCCTCATACCAACTCTTCTTGACGCGGTCGATGAAATCGAGCCGGATAGCCTGTTCGGGTAGTCGATAAATGCTACCCTCCATATCAATTTCTCTGATGGCAGGGCCATCTGGGGCGAGCTCGACTTCGATAACACCGTTGTTGCGAAAGCCACGAGGAAAGTCAACATCCAAGGGCTTTGCGTTCTTGGGCCTGCGCAGGCGAGGCTGTCCACCAAGATCGCCAGGAGCAGCCTCTGCTTGCCTTCCAAGACCAACGAGGTCTTGCTCGATATGCAAAGGACACCGCCAGCTAGCATTGGGTTTGTCACCGGCTCGTCGGCGAGGTGGGATCGCTAGTGGAGGATTGACGCAGTCAAGATGCCATTTGGCATCGCAATAGTCACAGGGTACCAGGTCCTTCCCATTGGTTCCGAGCCCACATCCTTTGCAAATGTTGAGCTTGCCTTTGGCATCGCGAGGCTCTTTGTAGTTTGGCTCTTCGATGAATCCAGCACGGTTCATCTTGGGTGGATTGTTGATGCGAGGCTGACCAAACTCTGCATATTCGCCCTCTTCGCCAGTGCGCACGCCTTCGAAGTAGTCCCGAATGCCATCGGGTAATATGAAAGCCCTGGGAATGACGTGGTCCAGTGAACGCAGGGCTTTGCCAAACATGGCTTTGGAATCTCCTTCGTCCTTGGTACGTTTTGCTTGACATTGTGGGCAGAACCACTCGCCGATAACCTCTTCCTCTGGATCAAGTGGCGGCTCGAGACATGCATGATGAAAACTGTTAGTACAACCATCGCAGCATAGTAGTTTGCCCTCGCCGCCACATGACGCACAGAACTCGTCGTTGTCCTGAAAAACCAGAATGTCAGTTGCGGCCTCAGTAGAATGGGGCATGAGGTGGTCTATGGATGACAGACTGGGTTGGAAAAGCAAGGAAGGGGGAAGCAGAAGCAACGGGAAGCGAAACATGACAGTTGGTGAAGACGAGAGCCAATGGTGAAGGTGGATCAGAGAGGGCGTTTGTCTTACCTCTTGCGACGAGTCCGCCCCATTGCCGAGCGCAGCAGCTCGCCGAGGCCCCGCACGCGTGAATCCCGCCGTGATGCCTCCGTTCTTCGGTTTGTTGGGTCTGTAAATCATTGTATCAGCACGCGTGTGAGGCAGAGATGGTAATATGGACAAGGTGTTCCTGTGATGGCGCGCGTGGTTGGGAATTAAGCGGGTGGGGTTTAGGCTTGGTGCCTAAAAGAAGCACGTAGATATTTTGGCCACGTTGCTTGCCTCACTCTCCTAATACCTTACCACACCTCAAACAAAGCAAGAAATAACCAACGGAAGTGTTACTCACGATACCATCACACGTGCTGATTTGCGTGCGACTTTCGCCACCGGACCCTGGCTGCGGGTAGAGGCTCGAGGCGTCGCCGCCCTGGACTGATCAGCTCCGGGAGGCGGAGGTGGTGCAAATGGTGGAGCGGGCGACGAGGAGAGCGGAGTGAGAGCCTCGGAAGAATCATCGTCATCTTCAAAAAATTCATCATAGGCTCGCTTTCGCGCAGTGCCGTTCATCAAGACCTTGTCGCCAGCTCTGGTACCAATTCGCAGCGTCGGCACCTTGTGCGGTTTGGCGGGCTCCGGATGAACAACTGGCGGGCGAGGGTAGTCACCGTCCTCAAGGGTGTTGGCTGGATACTCGTCGTCGAGATAAGACGGTAGTTGATGGCGCTCGTTGACGACAGGGCGAGGAATGTAGTTGTAGTCAACCTCGCTCTCCCTTAAAAGTCGCTTGCGCCTCTTGTCGACATCAGCCTGCTCCTGTTCAGCTTCTTCCCGAGCTTGCTGCGACTTGTTGAGCTTGTCCGAGATGATTTTGTTGGCGGATGAGTTGAAAATCGAATTTGGGTCGGTGTTGTTGATGGAAGAAATATTGTTGGCGAGACGGGCGGATCTGGAGCCAGTGGCTGCAGAGGGCCGCTCGCCCGCTTGGCGCCTTCCAGATCTGACGCCTCGCTCATCACCGCCAGCCTCCTCCTCAACCAGTCCTGGCGGTGCCAATTCTTCGGGAATGGATTTGGCCGATGAAAGCGATGAGGTAGTCGAATTGCTGCGTGAAGGCCGTTGCCGAGGACTTTTGCCACGGCCTTTGGGACCAGGGCTGCGACTGACCGTAGCATCCATTTTAGCTCGTCGCGATGAAGGAGAGGTAGGATTTGATTTGGACGACGGATGCATCTGCGAGGACAGAGAAGGCCGCATCCTGAAAGGGGACGTAAAAGTGGATGGTTCATCACCGGGTAGTGAAGAGGGCAGATATGCCCCTGGCCCGAAACTGGTGCTGTCACCCATAACACTCTGAGAAATCGCACTGGAGGAGTGAGCCGAATTGCGTCGGTGCTTTTTGATTCCTCGCTTGATGAATTTCTTGAAGATGTGCAATTGCTCCGGGGTAGGACTTTGGTGAGCGATGGCTTCAAGCACTACCCATAGCTCGCGCTTATCGTTGGCGTTTCGTCGTATTTTCTCGAGCCCAGGCACCAATCCCCAGTCTCCTCGCTCTTGAGCCTCTGCGACAGCTCTGTTGACGTAGCTCTGTACACGTTCCTGGCGGAGGTGTTCTTGTATCGAAGTAGGCTTGAAAGCGCTGGCCGACGGCGCCGGGGTCGTGGAAAAGGTCGATTTGGACGGCGAGGGCGTCGTGTCCATGGGGTGATCTGATCTCATTTCTGCCACATCTCTATTCGATGGCCGTCCTCTTGGAGGACTCGAGACGGGTATTGGGTCTGTTTCTCTCGCCAGGGGTTCGGTATCCATTGGGGAGGCTGTGTCTGCAACCTCGCTGTCCATTCCGTGCGAACCCACCTCATCGTCTGGTAGCGGCGTGCCCCGATTCGATGGTCGGTTGAAGGTCAGCTTGAGCCGTTGCAGCAGCTTCTGCGACGGAGGGACGCCGAGCGGTTGCTGTAGTTCCAGGACTCCGAGACGCTCGAGTCCTTTGTGGTCCTTGTAGCTGGGAGGAAGGGAGCGGACAGGCGGCTCGCGCCATTCGGACTCATCCACTTCTTCCTTCGAGCCCGCTTCCGTCTCGGTCGGCCGGTCGCGACCATCGTTGTCGACCGTGACCGCTGGAGACGAAACGCGGCTCGACATGCGATTCCTCAGACTGCGAGTCGCCATCGCCTCCACAAACGCGCACTTGATTGCATTAGTCCACCAACAAACATGTACACGATAGAACGCCACTTACACTGCCTCGATCAGAGGTCAATTGCTCGTTGCAGGCCGCGACGGCAAGTGCAGATGCTATGCAACGGGTTGGTTAGAAATGAGGAAGGAAGCGGCTTGGGGACGCAGGTCTGCGCTAGAAGGCGAGCGGGTCAAGGGGCAAGGCTGGGCTCCTGGCTGTTATGGCCCGGGACTTCGCCTTCAATCATCCGCCGCCAGGACCACCATATCTACAGTCCTGCGCATAGAAAATTATAGACAGCTACTCTAGAGAAGAAGGCTGACCAGAATAGCTCAAAAGCGGATCGATTTGATTGATTGTGCTGTGAGCAACATTGTGCTGCGATCTCCCGTGTTCCTTGTGGCAGTCAATCGCGGGTGACCAGGCTACAGCGCGACCCGACGTTTTGAGATGAATTTCTATCTGCTTCAGCGTGTTTAGGCCCCTAGAAGCTTTCGCGTTAGATACCCTTCTCCATGAGCGGTCCTTCGCCCTATGTTCTCAGTTCGGGATCTTGGTTTGGCTCTTGTATGGATCATTGGGATTGGCCTCCTTTTCCAAGGCTGGAATTGATGCCCCAGCAGTCTCGGTGCCAAGGGCACTTGCACATCCTGCAGTTTCTATTGTCGAGAGCGCGACATTGTTACCGACACGGCGTCTCAGCAACTTATTCGTCGCTGTCGTCGTCACTGTCCTCTTCCTCCTTCTTCGCTGCCTTCTTCTTCTTTTTCTTGTTCTTCTTGGCTCCAGTTGACTTGGACAGTGGTTGCTCGAGAATCTTCAGAATCTCTTCGTCCTCGATCTTCTTGTCGGACTTTACCTTTGACAGGTCCAGAGGCGGAGGCGCTGCTAGTCTTGTAATACCATTTTTAGTGATAGCTGTGTAGTGCTTAGCAACGATATTTCGTAATGGCTAGGTTACTTACCGATGGTGGTGAAAAGCCTGGTCACAGCCGATCCATCAGATTCCGCAGATGGCTTGTACTCGCGCAATACGCCAGCACGAACACTCTCAACGACTCCGACCTTTCCGGCCCGTTCGTCGTCAAGTTGCCGCAAGCTGAAAGGGAAGTTGCCGAATTTCTTGACAATTTCGGACAAGGTCTGCCGAGAGCTCGGTCGCTTGAGACCGTAGGTTGTCGCCGTCTTTCGCAGCAGGGTCGCACGCTTGTCGAGATCCTTGATCTTGCCGGATCCTAGACTCATGCCGATCTCGACGCCAAAGACATCACCAACCTCTGGAGTGCCCTCGCCCTTGGTTCCGTCGGAAGGAGAGAGAATGAGCTTCTTCTTGCCCTCGATCTCGTTCCGCTCGAACTGCCAGGAAGTGGTCTGTTGGACCACTTTGACGTCGTAGGCTTTGGCCACCTTTTCGACCAAAGAGCTGATCTGGGAGTGGGTAGGAGCTCGTGCAGATGCAGCTTTTTTCTTCTCTTCCTCGGTTCCGCTTGCGAGTAAGCCCGGAGGAACCATCAACCGAAGTAGCAGCTCATTGGCATAGTATGTTGCAAGCATGACATCTGCATCGCGACCCGTGATCTCAGCTTCCTTCCCTGCTTCTTTTGGAACAATCACGGTATCACACACAATGGCTCCAAACCCGTCAATCTGTGCGCCCAGCTGAATTTTGACTAGCTCGCCAGCACTGATTGTCAAGGCTGCGTCTTCTGCGTCTGAGTGGAGCGGGGTGAAAGGGGTGACATGTGATGCTGGGGAAATGGTCGTTGGAGTAGCGATGCCCTTGAGGACTTTCTTGCCCTTGTAGACTTTGGCAACCTCCTCATCAAGCAACTTGTCGCCTTTCTCGCAGAGCTCAACGATTTTGGCACCGTCGGCAAGCCATGATGAGACGGTTTCGAGGACCTTGTGCGAGATGCCTGCGGCGGTCTTGTACCTAGCGGGCTGTCAGAGCGGAAGAGAATGCGGTTGAAACAGCATACTTTGTCAAGGTGTCCGGATTGCTCAGGCTGTAGTCTGCCAACATGTTAGAACACAACAAGGTATTTCTCCTTCGCTAACGGGTGCAAAAACATCAAGCGGAAGTCCATCAGAGCAATCAGGAATGAAAAGACGGCGACTCACCAGCCTCCGCGGCTTCGGCCATGGTGACAGGAACAAACAAGTTTGGCGATTGAGAGGAAGCAGCGACAAATTAATGAGGCCGCCCTGTGGTAGTCTCTAGGAGCGCAAGACTGACGTTGTGAAAATTGGGGAGTAAATCGCGTGGCCCCTCTGTGCGATGTCAAATGCCCCGCAGTCAACAGCGCGAGTCGATTCCGTGCCAAAATTCAAACATCCGCAGAACAAGAAATGATCATTTACAGTTTAGATCAAGGGATACTCCCGAGCTAGACCGCTGGCCGCATCCATACATAGTCCAGTGTTGTCGTCGTTACAAACTACAGCGTCCAAGCCGCGCATGTTTCTTCTTAAGCCTCACGTGCTACGCGAGCGTCCACCGTCTCGCGATGCTTCTTGTTCTTCGAATGAGACTCGAAGCCATTGGCGAAGTAGACCTTACCCAAGCAGTCTAAGCATCGAACTCGTGGTACATACTTGTGCGGAAGGTGCTTGTTCTCTTCGTTCGCCGGTAGGAGCTGCTTAGTCTTAGGGTCGACGGCCGTATGTTTCATTAATGCTTCGAAGCGGTCATTTGGATACTGCTTCCGAAGTTGCTCTAGACTCAGTTTGAGCCAGTCGGGTACCGGGGGCTGGACGATATTAGTTACAGACGAGCTAATTTAATGCTGCACTTACTGCTTCGCTGTTAGGCTCGGCATTCACCGCACCATAGAGAGGATCTGGAATATTGGACGACGGGCCAGGGGTGGCAGATGATGATGGCTTCGGTGACGGTGCAGGTGCAGGTCCACCAGCCAACTTCAGTGGACTTGGAGCAGGTTTGTTCTGCAATCCTGGCCGGGGGCTTCCAGTAGATGCCTGAGCAGCTCTGTCCTTTGCTCTCCGCTCACGCATCCAAGCGCGATACTTTTCTCGCGAAATCTTGAGTTTGATAACCATTTTCTCCGGCTGCGATTCTTCGTCGCTCTCTTCTTTGTAGTCTCTCTTTCGCGTGGCCGACCGTGCGTCATGATGGGGTGTAGTTGATTCGGGGGTTGCGGATCGGATCGATGCGAAGCCACTCAAGTTGGACCGGATGCCAGCAGTTGCAGTCAGGGCTGCGTTTCGCATTGTCCCTCTGGTCCGTGCGGTACCTTGGAGAAGATGTGCTGGGATAGCCGGGGAATCAGGCGCAGAATCCTCACTTTCCGAGCCATCTGAGTCTTCGAAGTCTTCGCCGCCTGCTCGCCTTCGCGTCCTGGTCGCCTTCGGCATGCGGAAGATTCGGCTATCTTCCATGGTCAAGGCACCGCCAGGAATAACGGACGAGACCACCAACGATCTGATAGTTCGTTGTCGGTCTTTTAGGTCCGGCAAAGCGGGACCACCACGGCGATTGGTAGAGCGCTTTTGCCGCCGCTGCTCACGTGAGATAGACAATTCGGTCCTTTCAAGATCCGCATCGTTCAGCTCGTATAGATACGGCACATAATCTTTGGCCAGTTGGTAAGGTCGGAAAGTGACAGGCATTGGTGATGGGAGGAAGTTCTCATAAAGGTCGGGGTCCTCGATCGGTCGACCATCGAACGCGTAGCCTGTGATTTGCAGGGACTTGGAGAAGAGCTGGCACTGCTCGCGTATCGAGTGCGCAATTGCCGTTGTGAACTCACCAGCCAACGAGTTCTCCTGGGTCAGCTGTTGCGCAAACTCTTCGGGAGAATTGGAAGCATTGTTTACTTCCCATTCGAACTGATCAATGAGCGTGTTTTGTCCAATGGTAATGTTCAACTTGATAAGGATGCGCATCTCATCGTTCTTGTATGCGAAATACGGGAGATGCGGGTCGAGCGGTTCGTCCTCCGGATAGATCTGTGGGCAATAGTCGGTAAGCTGCTCCCGCATGGCGTTGGCGACGTAATTGACAAGAGGCCGGCATTGTTGGACTTCAAGACCGAAATCCTCCACCAGCTTCTCTGCGAAATATTCAATGTTGGTGGTGCGATCGTGCAGATTCCATGTAAAGGTATCGCGCAACTTGATCTTGCCCCATTCGATGTCTAGACGTATGGGTACAAGCTCCTCTTCTTGTTCGGCCTGGATGGCTGTCTCTTTTCTTGACACCCTTGGTGGCAGTGTCTTTCTCTTCCCCGGCCTGCGGTTTCGAGGGTACATGACGGGATTGGGGAGCTTTTCGTCGGTGCGCGGATTGCCAAAGCCTTCATAGCCAGCGCCAAACACGGAGCCAGGATCATGTTCCCTTCTATGGCGTACAGTCTGATAGAACTGAAGTTCCTGCTTCTTCTGTTGGAGGAGAGTAGCGTGGGCATTGCGATCAGCAAGGAGGGCTTTGTGCAAGTACTCGCGAGTTACGTATTCGTCCGTCTGCAGGCGCTCGAGAGGGGTTTCGCGCTTTCGTTTTCGAGTGGGACTCTGACTGGCTCGTCGCGACTGTGTTTTCGATGTTTCGCCATTCTGAGTGATGCCGGCAGCGGCCAAAACTTCCTTAGCCTTCTCTTTCCCTTCGGCGATCGTCGACGATGGCAGCTGAGAAGGCGTCTCCGTTGCAGGCCCTTCGGCCGTGGCGGAGTCTTGCTCGCTTCCGCTCATATTGTTGGCATTTCAGATATACAGGATGATTGTTACTAATGAGGTTGGGCGCGGGCAGACACCTGGGAGCGCGTAAGGTTAGCATATGCGCCCAAGCCGGTAGGAGGCAGCCAATTCAGGAGGGGAAGAAAAGCAGGCCGCTGGGCTCCAAGTCCATCGAAACAGGAGCACTAAGCATCAAAGACAACCCAATCGAGGAAACTCATACATACCAGATTGCGCCTAGGCTGTTTGCGATGTCAATGGACCGCGTTTTTGCTGGATCTGTCGCGACGAGACAAATGCCGCAGTCGTTGCAAGTCCAAGCGCAAAAGGCGCTAACACAGCGCTAGACCTCTTTGGTTGTACAACCTCGCCTCAGGTTTGGCGCTCTTCGGATCAGTGAACATCGGTCAATATCCGTAGAACGATCCTGATCAGGACACCTGCAGCAGCCCGTGTGGCATATCCTGGTGCTATGCTTACCGGTTGTGTCTGGACGCTGACATCGTCCCAGGCTGCTCTCCGCGCCTTTCCGGAGCACCCCCATGCATCGCTTCGGCTTCGGACGCTAACACTTCCGCGCCCTTGAATCAACACGTACTCATTCCGCACTCATCAGTCCGACGAATTGCCCGTATAGGATATTTACGCTATCAGTAATGGTAAAAGATTACAGTGTGGAGTCGCTGAGGATTGCTTTCTAGCTGCGGCGCCTTTGGGCCATATCATACACGTATAAATACCAGGCTTGTCAGCCAGCTTAGCATCAATCAGCTGCTTTTTGTAAGTCTCGATCAGAAAGCCACCACAAAGAATGTCTCTCTCAGAAGAATTATCAAAGGTCTACGACATATTTCATACAACCGCACCACCGGCACTGACTGTCCCAGTCAGAGATGCCACATCCTCTATCAAAGCTGCCTTTGACCCATCCAAGGCCATCCAGCCAGGTCACCAATTCCCATCATTTTCCTTGGATGATGCTAATCATCACACCGTCACATCGGAAAGCCTGCTGGTAAGTTACTGATTGTCGAAAGACACCAATTAAAATCCCGCCACGTCGGAAGGGCGCTGTTCCCATCATCCGTGTGCACGTCTGCATTCTGGCGCCGGACATAGATACCCTTGTGGTGGACTGAATGCAAGAGTGTCCCCATCAATATCAACTCCAGAGCTCAGCTTTCGGCTATCAGTTTGTCACCTTTGAGTATCATCACTGACTCCTCTCCTCCAATGTCTATATAGTCTAAGGGCCCGCTACTCATCACCTTCTACCGTGGCTCATGGTGTCCATTCTGCAACTTAACCTTACGCGCCTACCAGCAGCATCTCCAAGCATTTCGCAAGCGAGGCGTCCAGTTCGTTGCCATCACCCCCGAGCTCCCTGATACCTCGATCTCTTCGGTGGAGAAGCAAGAGCTGGAGTATCCCGTCCTATCAGACGTCGGTTGCAAGCTTGCCCGCCAGCTAGGCATCGTGTGGGCTCAACCAGACACTATGCGTCCAATCTTCGATCACCTGGGCGTGGATTGGGATAAGGACTATGGTAACGGTGCTAGCGAGCGTCTAGAAGTGCCAATCCCGGCTACCATTCTCGTTGGGAAGGACAGTGTGGTGATGGAAACATTCATTGAAGCGAACTATCACGAGCGCCTGGACCCGGAGATTGCCCTATCGTGGCTGGACAAGCACCAGCTTTGAAGTTGGTCCAAACGTAGGACATTACAGATGCAAACGTGTATTGCTTGAGATAATCCCAATATCGTCCGAGGCCTGTCCGCCCGCGTTGCTAACATGCGGCACCTCTCAAAAAGCAAATGACATCGTCACTCTTTTCTGCAGTATTAATCTCCTCCCATAGACCTGTTGCGATTCCTGAGGCAGGGCCTTTTCAACTTACTCTTTGTTGAGAATATTCACTCCCACATCGATACCAAGGCAATTCGCCACATTGATTAATCCAGCAGATTCACAGTTACTGGTGATGCCAGTAGGAGAATCGTCGCCGGCAGGGGGGTCGGTACTAACAGGAGGCGTGCTGTCAGCAGGCGTGGTTTCGGCCGGTGGGTCGGTAGGGGCGCGTGGTGCGGTGCCAGGAGAAGTACTACCGGCCGGGGTCACGCGATCTTCCCAGCCGTCCCTTTTCTCGCGGGCAGCAATGCCATTCAGCAAACTAGCATCGACATCGACATCAACGCAGTTAAGCGCGTTGATAAGACCAGAAGTCCTGCAGCCGTCGTTGCCCGATGGGTTCGAGTCTTCTGGGCTTGGCTGAGGCGCGCTGCTGTCATCCATGTCATCCTTTTCCGTTGGGAGGAGACCGCCATTCAGCAGGTTGACGTCGACATCAGCATCGACACAGTTGAGCACGTTGAGAAGACCGGAGGTTTCGCAGCCGGCAGTGTCAGATTGGATCAAGGCTCTTGGCCCGGTGACCGGGAAGGCGTGAGCAATAGCGACGACGCTGGCGAGGGAGATGAGTGGTGAGACATGCATTTCGCGTAAGTTGAGAACGAGTGGGTTGCTTCAAGAGGATGAGGTAGCGAGTGACTGTTGAGCCCTGGAGCTGCTAGGGCGAGTGTAGTGTGCTGTGGGGGGGGGGAAGTCCTTCTCCTTGCCATCGACGGCTGGTCTTTATAGCTTCCGTAGACACGCTTTCATCGGGCTCTCAGGACATCCGGCGAGACCTCCGTACATCAGCTACACATTAAGCGAAGCGAAGTGCTTCGCCAGGGCACTCAGATGTGAGCATGGTCTCGACTCCCTACATGAGCTAGTCTATCAATTTTGCAGCACATGAAGCCTTGGTTGTAGGCAGAATCTCCTTGTCGTAAGCATACGGCACTTGGCTTTGGCTTTGAAGAGGCTCAAATAAGCCGAAGCGCAACCCCTGTCAACTCTTACTGAAGGATCGTGTTCGCAGATTTCAGTCTTGTCTCATCCTGCAAAATTGCAGCGACTTGCCTTTGAGAGCTTGAATGGTCGTTTACCAACCCTACTCCCTGGAGTAATCGCATGTAGATAATGATCGACGTTCGATGCAAGGGTGGTAGCCGATATCAAATATAATTGTCGCCTTGTTCAAGACTTGGCAAGCGCCGATCATGGCGTAAGGGAGGCAAGGATAACCCTGCTCATTCACTTATGCAGCGCCCGTTACAGCGTCGCCTCACCGTCTTCGAAAGTCAGGAATAGTCTGCAGGGGAAGAAACGTGTAGAGTGTCGGCTCATACATAATATATTGTTTGGGCTGGAACGGAGGCAAGGGACACGGGCATTGGAAGACCATAACGGTCGGCCGAACTGATGCGGCGTATTAAATCGATAAGTTAGGCCACCTGATACATAGCTATGGAAGCACAGCAAACATCATCTGCCACCAAGCCACCTCCCTACATTTGAGTTACTCCAACAATCCAGCACTGCTGTTGTTGGTCTATGCAAAAGTGGCTACAGCGGGACCCCAAGTCAGAACACCACGCAGAATTCCCATTGCGAGTCCAGCGAGGATCTTCTGCAGTCCCACCTGCGACTCTCCCTCGTCATCAGAGCTGCCACAGACCAAGCTCAACCATGCAAGTATGATTCCATGAATGTTGCCGAAAACGAGCGAGACTCCGGCAGAGACATAATCTTCACTACAGCGGCAATGCTTCTCAAAGCCAGTAAAACTTGCGGTCGTCAGGCCGAAGAGTATATGGCTCGAGTACCCATTCGCTTCCACAACGACTGTGCTTATCCTGCCTGGCTCTCTGCTGATGCTAGCAATGTGGTATTGCAAGCATACTTCGGGGCCGTCGGATCGCGCGGAACGCAACAAGAGATAGGCTAGTGCAGCGTTTGATGTGTGTCGAGGCAGTACTTAACTAGATCTGTGGCTGTGTCTGCGAAGGGACGATGCAAGTTCGGCTGCTAGGTTCCAGGTCGATGCACATCGCAAGGCCGTCAGGCAGATTTGTTGGCGCGGTAGAGACGGCGGATCCCGGCTTGGCATGGCAGATCTGCCGCCTGGTTGCCTTGTCCGCAAAATTCCTTGCTCCACCTCCGATCTGCGTTCATCGTCACGAAGTAGTATCCTGACCAGTCAACAGCAATATGGGGAAGTCGTCCAAGGATAAGCGAGACGCGTACTACAGACTCGCCAAAGAGCAAAACTGGCGCGCTCGCTCCGCCTTCAAACTCATTCAGATTGACGAACAGTTCGATCTCTTCTCCTACCAGGACCCGTCTAAATGCACACGAGTCGTCGACCTTTGTGCCGCTCCCGGTTCGTGGTCACAAGTTCTCTCTAGAGTCCTCATTAAAGGCGAATCCTTTGGTCGGCGTGCTTGGATCGAGAAACAAGCTGCGCACGAGAAAGCCCGACAATCAGCCAGCTCGGATCCCGACATCTCCACATTGACGCTCGCGGCCGACAAGGAGCTCAAGCCCCGGCCCAATGTACACATAGTGGCTATAGATCTCCAGCCCATGGCACCCCTCGCCGGCATCACGACGCTGAAGGCTGACATTACGCACCCCACAACCGCACCCCTGCTGCTCAAAGCACTCAACCCTTCAAGCCCGGACTCGCCACAGCCGGTCGATCTTGTCATCTCCGACGGTGCACCAGATGTCACCGGCCTGCATGACCTAGACATCTACATCCAGGCGCAGCTGCTCTTCTCCGCCCTGTCACTAGCGATGAAAGTGCTACGTCCTGGAGGCAAATTCGTGGCCAAGATCTTTCGCGGCAGGGATGTCGATCTCATCTACGCGCAGCTGAAATGCGTGTTTGAGCATGTCACCGTCGCGAAGCCGAGGAGCAGCAGAGCAAGCAGCCTGGAGGCATTTGTGGTGTGCGAGGGGTACACGGGGACACCGCTCGACCAAGCGCCGCAGCCCGTGTCAGTCGGGACCGAGACGAAATCTGGACCGCAGGAACCAGTGACCCGCATGATAAAGGACGATGGGACCGTGGAACTGTCATTTCAAAAAGCAGTCAAGCCTACAGCGCCGCCACCACAGAGGTGGATTGCGCCATTCTTGGCGTGTGGCGACCTCAGCGCGTGGGATTCGGATGCGACGTACAAGCTGCCAGAGGGACACGTGAGTCTGGATCCAGTCCAGCCACCGACAGCGCCGCCGTACAAGGAGGCGCTCGAGCGGCGAAGGGCAGAGGGCGGAGCTTACGGAAAGACGGGGAGCAAGAAATAAGTCGAATCTATCTGACCAGGGTGAAATCGCCACAGCGCAAGACTCCGATCCGGGACACGCAGCCGGGTCTACACCACTTTCTACAGCTTGTTCGGAAACAAAGGCGCTGTCCGGCCGCCACGGAACAGAGCCAACATCTCTTCGCCCATCCACATCCCCCTTGTCTTCGCAATCCCAGCCTCCAGATCTGCCGTCCTTCCGGCCTGCACGAGCATGCCCTTTCCGTTGCCCTCCATCCCCAGGCTCATCAGCCATACTACACACCTCGCTACCTCCTCCGGGCTGTTGATTGGCACCCCTCTCTCGCGCATCTGCACCGCCCAGTTCTGCAAGCTCTGGCCGGGCTTGCGCCCGCTGATGATTGGCGTCAGGGTGATACCCGGTGCAACAACGCTGATGGAAATGTTTAGCGTTGCCAGGTCATTCTTGAGAGCGCGCATAAGGCCCACTACGCCGTGTTTGGCGGCGGAGTACAATGGTGCGCCTGCACTGGCCAGGTACCCGGCTAGACTGGCGGTCATGACGATACTGCCACCTTGTCGACCCTCATTCATGCGCAGGTAGTGGATGGCGAGGCGCACGGTGTCATCGGCGGCCTGCAGGTCGATGTCGATGACACGGCGGTCGGGCTCGGCGAGGAGACCGGAGGCCGGATCTGTGTCTTCGCTGAAGAACTGGTCGTGGTACTCGGCGATGCCGGCGTTTACATAGACGAAGTCAATGCGCTTGAACTTTTGCAGCGTAGCCTCAAAGGCGGCACGCTGAGATGCCCAGTTGGTAATGTCGGCTTGTTGGAAGAGGAAACGCGAGGAGGAGAGCAGGGACGCGGGCGCGCGGGAGGGTTCCGGTGCGGTGGTGGAGGGTGGTGTGCGGTCGATAACAGCTACATTATTGCCCAGGTCGTGGAGGATTAGGGCTGTTTGCAGGCCAATGCCAGAAGAGCCGCCAGTTATGATGGCGGTACGGCCGGTGGGAGCGGTCAGTTGTTCGCGAGTGATAGTGAAAGCTTCATTATTGAACGCCATTGTGGCAGACAAGAAGAGCGGGATTGAGACAAAGAGAAAGGTCCACAAGCTGCGACACCTTGGGACGGAACTGCGCACTTGTAAGCAGTGGTGCAGGAGTTGACAGCCGTAGAGCAGGCAGTAAACGCGCTTCCCCGCACGATCGAAGACTGGAGGAGCCGCGGTTGCAGACGAGGCTGAAGGCTAGCCTTGTGCGGCCAACCTACCTGGCACGATCACCCAGAGTGCCAGCTATCGCCGGCCTTGAGAGCCAGACATTCCCTCCCGTTGGCTATCTTCAGGCTTCCTGCTGGAGACACACACGGGCAGCCACTGGCTCGGATCTGCCTCAAATTCGACCTGCTTCTAGTCTGCGGTGAGACCAGTGCCATGTCTTATACGAGTTGAAAATCACGCTTCATCCCCACACGATTCATACTATACTAGGCTCGCACACTAGGACGTCCAATTTTAGTCCTCAATGACCGATCTAAACGAGATAAGAGCACCGGCAATCTCGGATCGGATATGTTTATGCCTCCGTGGCCGTTATGTTACCTAGGAATTCCGTAAGGCCACCAACGAGGCCGCTGTAAGCTCGGCTAAATGAACTTGGAGCTCGGGACTGTATTGTGGGACTGATCCTTGACGTAGAGCAAAGGCAACACTTGCTTGATGCTATAAACCATGATACCCTTCATCTCCCCAGGAAGACATCACCCAGATCTCACCCTCTCCTGATCACCGAACTCCGCCGGTAGTTAGCACCTCCCTACTCGTTCCGAATCCTCTGTCATCGTAGCCATCAACGTCGTTCAATCAAGTAGCAACTGTCTTTCACTACGCGCCTTTGTTATCAAGATGAGTCAAGCAACAGCTCCCTACTATGCGGATTATCTTCCATACTACATCTTCTTCGTATGTTGCTATATCAAAGTCTCCCCAAGCTACGAAAACTATCCTGCTGACCCAACCTCGTCTTAGTTGGCCATGTGCTCCCTTTACATGGTCATTGGCACCACCATCTCGACTCGCAAGGTATTCGGCCAGCTTTACTTCCAAAACAGCAACATCACAGGTCCCGGAATGCGTATATGGGTTCCGTGGATGATGATCTCGACAGGTGTGCGGCTAGGCCTGTTCTTTCACTTTGGAGACAAAGCGTGGCACGATGCGACCATGATAACTTTTGCGGCGCCGATTTGGTATTGGATGACTGAGTATTTCATTTACAAGACCGTGCTGAACTCGCAATTCGCTACTTCGATGACATTCGAGATCACGGCATTTTCATGGCTGTGGCTCACGAGAGACTATGTGACTGGTGGCTAAGCTCTTCAGACGGGCGGTGGACTGGGACCCTGGCTTGCGAACCATTTGGGAGCCTCCTACCCATGACTGAAAGAGTGACGGAAATGGTTGCCAAGACGTAATGCCGGGGGCGGGGATCGGACAACCTCTCCTCTGGTGATACTCCGTACTTGATAGCAAGCAGCACCTGAGCACTGGCCCGAGACGATCACTGGAGCCCTTCATCCGAAACGAATCCCCGCAGCAGAGGCTGGGAAGCGATATCCGATTTCCACGACGGTCCTGCAAGCAGACTTCCGTATCCGGCTTCGCGCTAACCGCTTTTTGCAATACTGCAATACTGCTGGTCGTGCACATTTCCCGCATTCCTCGCACCCCGGACAACCAACCTCCTTGACGTTTCCAGCCTCCAGCCATTTTCCTTCACCGCCGCCTATCAACAGCACAAACGGTTCGCACCCGGACAACCAGCCCGCGTCAGAATCCTGGACATGTCCGGACAACGGCACGGCAGCGCATACACATGACGAAGCTGATCGCCCCGGTACCTGTTTTTGAAACATCTGCGACAGCCTGATCTGTCTTCTTGCGGCTCTCAACTCAGTCTATTCCCGGTTGCAGGGGGATACATCGTTTCTCTACAGGCTCATTAGCCTTCCGGCTCTGAATATACCCCATCCGTCCACTTTTCCCCGCCACCGTTCTCACTTATATAAAGTCCCGATCCACTCTGTTGCCTTTGCTCTTACTGCTCTGTGTCATCTTCTATCTCTTCGGTCCCAGATCCCGCACCAAGCCTGCCGCCCTTCGATACTCTCAGAACCTTCCTTCTTCTTCTTTACACATCAAGTGAGAAAGACTTTTTCTTCCACGATGCCCTTCCCCGCGCTCCCCCAGGCCCATGACTCTTCCCCTCTTCCCCGTTTACACCTTCACGTCTCGGGCTCACCTCCTTCTTCTCCCCCTACCGCACGCCGTCTGCCGAACCTCAACGCCGCGCCAATCCCCACTCTCGCGGCCCCCGGACCCGCGACACCACCATGCTCGCCCATCGAAGCTGCTGGTCCTTCGCACCTCTCGTTTCCACTTATCGCCAGTCTGCTGTACACTTTCCCGACTGGAGCCACCCTCCACCCGAGGACACCGAGCCGTAACCCGTCCTTCGGCAGTGTCGGCACTCCCATGAGCGCAGGACATATGGGACACTAAGACAGCCCACCACCCCTCCAGCTCGAGTCGCCCGCCAAGTTTATATTCGCCCTATGATCAAATTTTACAACCACAAAGTCGGTCCTTTCCTCCATTCTCAAGCCCAGTTTGCAATCTTCTTTCGCTAAGGCGAACCAACAACTACAGAAAAAAACTCTACTGCCCAGACGCAGCGCGTCACACCACGGCCCCCAGGGGCCTCAACAAATTCCCTTACTTGATTCTTCACCGAAACCACCATTTTGGGAATGCGCGCTCATAAACACAACCCCTGGACTCCCGATCACAAGTAAGCCTGGATGTGTGGTTTCGCGACACCATCCAGCGCGAGCTTGAGACGGAAGAAGGCCAGAGAGAGTTGCAAGAGCGCCGCACCCACTCCCATCCAACCCTGTTCCAGAACCGACCCTAGCGACACAAGGTACTGGACACTCATTCGAAAGCCAGGGGACGGGATGCGTGGTTTCGCGACACCATCCCCACCCCTAGTCGAGAATCGAGCGCCAGAACGGTGTTGTCTTACCAGGCGGGAGAAAGAGGGCGGAAACATATGGGAAAGGAGTTGCGGATGTTGTTATACTGCCACAGCGAGCAAGTCGTTCCTATGCTTTTTGTTGTTTATTGGAAGGTGTCAGACGCTGTACCAGCTTTGTGGTCTGTCGGCCCTACCTACTTGTTTGTTTGTCTAATCTATTCACCTGTCTGTCTGGTTTTTATCGACCTGCGTCTGCTGGCGACTGCCAAAGCCCCAAAGTCAAGGGGCAGGAAATGGCATAGGAGCTGCTAGGAAGCGAAGGATATCTGTTTTGTCTTTTTTGATTGTCTGTTCATTGGAACCACCAAGTTCTCCTATTTTCTCCTGAAATTGATTTCGACATGGAATCGACAAGTACGTAGCCAAACGAATCTCTAGCAGCCTAGGATTCGCAATAAGAATAAATATTGAAAAAGAAAAACTTGTGTTCGTTCTACTAACAGGTGTCCCAGCACAAAGGTGTGCATATCCCAAACTCCTCTGGAAATTATGCGGACATAGATGCTACTCAACGCCCACAGGTGCGTCCTGCAGCCGAATCCTCCAAAATCTGCGGCCCATCTCGTCGTAGTCCTGAGCTCATTATCGCACACATCCCATCGTCACTTCATACACATAACAACTATGTTCGTTCCCATGAGCGACCTTCTAGACCTGACCCGTGACCCTCCGGATCCTCCTACTCCCACCATCACCCGTCACGACGACCTTGCCTTCAGCCTCCAAACCCCTCACGGCATCCTGGAACTCGCTCCCCTCGACTTCGCCACCGCTATTCCCATCCACCAGCTTTCTGTAGAGCTCGCTCCACCTCACCTCCCCACCACCCCTCACCCTCTCATCACCGTCCAACGTCCTCAACACCTCGCGCTTGAGATCCTCCTTGCGCTTCCGCTCGCTCGCGCTGCCACCCTCGCTCAACAGGCCCATATCGATCAGGCCCGTCCTCGCGTCCGTCGCGCTAGCCTTGATGGCGGACTTGATCAGTCGCACGGCCTCGATCACGTCGCTCTCCTCGACCGTCTCGGAAAGCCGCATCTTCGCGTGTGCTTCCGCAAGGCGGATCATGGACTCGAGTTGACGGGTCGTGGCGGTGATGCGGCGGTCGGTGGCGGCCACGGCATTGCCTAGGTTCCGCATTTCGACATATGCAGTCGTGAGAGCGTTGCCGGCGGCGGGCGTGAGAGCCGGGTGGATGTTGTTGCGGGCGTATGAGATGTACGCGGTAAGGAATTCAATAGGCTGGGTTTTGGTTAGATGGATTGATGGCACGTGAGAAGGAAGTACTTACCAGAATTTCATTTTTGGAAGCGTTTTCGGGCGCGTCTTCCAGATACATGCCAACCAAATGACGCGCAAGTTGGCGGTCAGTCTGCTCGTCAATGCGGTCGAGGACGAGGTATACTAAGTCGAAACGCGACAGTAGAGTCGGAGGCAGGTCGATGTTCTGCGGAACAGGCAGATTCGGGTTGTACTTGCTACCAATTGGATTGGCGGACGCGAGAATGCTGGTGCGGGCATTGAGGGTGGTGATAATACCGGCTTTAGCGATGGACACGGTCTGCTGCTCCATCACTTCGTGGAGTACGGAGCGCGTTGAATCGTTCATCTTGTCAAATTCGTCAATGCAGCAGACACCGCCATCGGAGAGTACGAGTGCACCTGACTCAAGGACAAGCTGCTTGCTCTCTGGGTCACGGGTGACATAAGCTGTCAAGCCGACAGCGGATGAACCTTTGCCAGAGGTGTAGACACCGCGAGGCGCAATCTTGTGAACATACTGCAAGAGCTGCGACTTGCTGGTACTTGGATCACCGCAAAGGAGGACATTGATATCACCTCTATACTTCGGGCTGCCACCTTTTTCGAAGCTTTTGTTTGTGCCTCCGAACAGCTGCAGAAGGATTCCCTTTTTGACATCGTCCATTTCGTATATGCTGGGAGCCAGACTCCTCGACAGGAGCTCGTAGATGTCATCTCGCTGAGCGGTGGCTTTGATCTTATCTTCTTCCTCCTTGCTCACCTTGCGGACCTGCTCGGTCTGACCGGCAAGATGTTCTGCAAGCTCCTGCTCGACTGTGCTGGCATCGGTGCCAAGTCTTCGCTTGTCGACCTTTTTGACGTGCAACACGTCAATGTAGGTCTTGAAAAGGTTCTTGATGGTCCGCATCCGAGGGTTGACTCGGACAGGGTTGCTCCGGAAGACACCGGTGACCTCAATGCGATCACCAGCTTTGCACACATCGACCATCTCATCGTAAACACAGAGACTGACGCTGTGAGGAGTCTGGCCATCGGGTACTGAGTCTGGAGTTTCTTGCAATTTGATGACTTGTTTGTCGGCGAAGACGCTGCGGTTGTGAACGATCTCCATTGAATTCTTGCTCTGGCACATCCGCGCTGGGCAGATACTGGGCTCCTTAATCTTGCCACGATCAATGCCGACCCATGCCGTTTTATTGCAGACAGCACATTTGAAGAATGCTTCCTTCATATCCGGAATGACTGGAGTGGTACGGATAACAAGGCCTTTGATTGACACCAATTTGTCGATATCGTTCGGATCAAGGTCACGCATATTAGTGGTCGTGTCCATGCCAAAAGGCAAGGTCTTGAAATTTGTGACTTCAACTTCGGCAACAAGGTCGGGAACACCGCTGGCGCTTGTTTGACCTGGAGTAGCGGCCGCATCCATCTCGGAGCTCGGGGCCGGTGGCATCGAGCTGCCGTCGCGTGCATGAACACCGGGTCGTTGAGCTTCACGCATCTCCTGACTGGCTAGCTCAATTGCAATGTCTTTGACAGACTGGTCCATGATGGGAATGATCTCTTGAGGATAAGATTGTAGCTGATACCAGAGCTTCAGTGTTGCAGGGTAGGCTTTGAGATTCCGGGTGTCTAGATTGAAGGTCGAGATGCCGAGACGTCGCATGTTGTTGATCATATTGATATACTCTTTCTCCTCGGCCGCGGAACCTAAAGCGCTCGTTTCTTGCTCACTCATGCCATCAGCCCACATGCGATACTTCTTCGCGTAGTTGCGGAGAAAGTTCTTAAAACCAGCCATAGAGTCAGTGATAGAGATGTTAGTTCCCCAGATGACACGGCTTGAATCGCCACCTAGGAGGTCGGCTTCAGACGTCCCCGGGTTGAGGTCAGAAAAGGTGGCTTGGGACGCAGGCTCGTCTTCCCGGACAGGAAGGCCGTCCTCGCCAATAAATATGCGTCGACGAGCAAAAGAAGAATCTCCCAACGCGTCTGAGTGAATATCGCCCCGTCTAGATGAGATATCTGGTCCATCTTGCCGGAAGAACAAGCCACTGCTGCTGGAGGGAACATCATTACGGTTTTGCTGCGAGGCCCGGGGGCTGGAGCTGGGATCATAGCGGACAGGCGATGATTCTATATTCTGGTCAGGACCTGTAGTGCTTCCTCGTGGCATGACTTACCTCCTGGGCCGAGCTGTCTGCTTGCTCTCGGGGTCGTCTCTCTGTCGCCTGCAATGGAAGACTGTCTAGGTGGTGAGCTGATGATCAGATCATCAATGGAGCGCTGCTGTTGCTGCTTGGGCGATGGCCTCGTCGGCGATGACGATTGGAAAAACATGGGCGATGATGAGGGTACTGCAGAACCATTGCCCTTCTGCGAACCCTTCGGGGTTGCTTGCGAGGGCTGGATAGGGGTAGAGGACTGCGACTTGCGTGCAGAATGGCCTCTGCTGCGGCGCGATGATGGGGTCGAAGACATGTTGATGGATGTACACCCAAGAACTGCGGCGATGGAAGTGCAGGAGATGGTAATTGCGCAGCGAGGGGGCACCAACCCAACTTGCGACGCGTTTTCGCGTTTGAGACGCGAGCGCGTAAAGTGGTGGGGGATATTGCTACTTAAGGCAGGTTTACCGACAGCGCTTCTTGGTACGAAGCCACGCGCAGCCAGCAGGGACACGATCGTAACATGGTCAATTCGGCAATGTGCTTGAAATGGAAGTGCATATCACGAATCAACGCTAGTGGGCCAAAGTTATCTCGCAAAGGAACCAGTCTACCACTGGAGGGGTGCCTCTGCCACGAGATGCCGCGTTGCTGGGCAGCTCTTTACCATTGCGAACCTGCCCTACTGAGACTAACACGAATCTGAAAAGCCTTTCCAACGAGTCTCGATGAATCTTTAGGCAATCTTCGCAAACGCACAGGTGCTCCAGTTCACTCATATTCTCAGCAGAGCGCAGTTTCTATCATGGTGGACACTCTACTCGGATATCTTCTCCACTGACCTGAGCAATTTTCTTACCGCCTCTCCATACAGACGCTCGGCTCCCGGGCACCGACAGCTCCGGTGGGTAGCTCAGCCTAAAGAACCTGTTTCGAACCTGGCGGTAGCAAGCCGCAGATATGGTTGTCGAGTCTGATCTGGAAAGGGTCTTTGTTGACCGCCAGGAACCGGCCTGCGGTGGCATCGCTTTATTGGTCACGGCGGGGATCGGCAGGTACCCGAAGGACCCTTATGCAAGGACAACCGGCACCGAGACAGGCTGGTCATCACCACACTCGCTCCGAACTGACTACTGGTCAACCATCTCTGTACGCAGCAAATGGCCACGGGCTGGCAGTTTTGACAGGCAGTTGGTTAGCCACGTATACTCGCATTCGGCGCGGACCATTCCACAGCCCTTTTCAGGTTTGCGTGTCCCATTGTTGCATTCCGACCCACCCGCCCGCCTCACCGAATCTCTCGCCTCGTCCCAGACCCTTTCAGCTTTGTTGCTGCCTGACTAGGGCGTGTAAGATTGCCACCCTCGCGCCTAGACGTGGTTCATCACCGTACGGCAGAGGTCCCGGACTGTCTCCACCAGGGTTATTCCTAGCCGTCAGAGCATTCTGGAGAATGCTTGTCGGCCAAACATTTCTACCAGAATCAAATCTGACAGCGCACAGTCCCAGAAGTTGCAAGTCCCGACCCCCCTCCCGAAGCCTGATTTCTTACTTGTACTTCATCGTTTCCTTGCGCGAGACCAAAACTTTAGACCCTGAATCACATCCTCCGCCTTTGACTTTCTTTGCCTCTTTGCTACCCACGTTCATTCTTCGACTTCACTACGACAAACATTCATGCTGAAACGCCTCTGCCGCATCCTACCCGCGTACTCAGATGCTCATGTCCATCTGGCTAGATGCGTTCAATGGCCTAAACATCCACCCACCGGGCGACCGCGTTCCAGACCGCCAAGGCCGACCTTCAGCCGCGCTACGAAGTACCTGAGATGTACTCCGTACACATCTCGCCAATGCGAAGCCTGGGCTAGGTCCATCAGTTCTATCATATGACCTTGAAGGTACTTCGCCTAGGCGATCCCGAACATCTCGGGCACAAGAATCTGCAAGTCCAGGCCATGTCCCGCCTACAAAAGCCGTGGCGGAGTGCTTTGCACCGCAGCCCAATGTCCCTGAGGCCGAAGACCCACAACACAGTCGGGTGGAAAGTACAAGTAGTCATCTGACCACACGAACTACCTGGAAAAGAGATCCTTGGCTGCACACACCAACCTCAACAGGCTTCACGAGCCTGCCAATCCTGCCAGCACCCAATCAGCAATCCACAAAACATGATCTCTTCGCCACCAGAGTCCTCCCAATACAGTATCGAATTTAGCCTGGACCCACCTCCACTTCATGTCCAAGACAGTCAAATACTTTTTCAGTACTCCATGTGGGCCTCGGCTTACCGGAACTGGCTATGTAAATGGTCTGTCTTCCTACAACTACTCGACTTTCTCTCCATTTGCCGGAGCTGGAAGCTCAACTCCCTCGGAGCACGCCACAACATACCACTGTTGCAGCAGTACAACAACAGATACCTGGCTAGTCAATCGCTGGGGTAGCATCGCCTTGATCTCCAACCCATTCCACACCACGCCAATGCTCTTTCTGGAACCCGGGCCGCCCCACACACCTGTAGAGCAAATTATCTTGGAATCTCCTCTTACTATCGGAAAGCTGGACTGATCACACGGACCCCCAAAGGCTGCAACGCAAATTCGACCTACAGTACATGTAGACAGACCTCGCCCCCATGGATGTATGGTTCCCCTAGCACCTCAGCTCGACACCCGTCCTACCAGCCTCCGATACTTGAATGGCACGCCGTCTTCCTCCGCCACACCCAAGGATAAGATCGGCCCAATCTCCCCCGCAGCCAACCTGATCATTCACTGCCTACGCCACGGTGGACCGATCTCCGCTGCCTTCGGCTCATGTGCATGGGGCACTCGAGTCAGCTTAGATGGGACGTACTGGTATATCACTAGCCCGGACCACCTGCTGCACCAAATCTCCCCTGATGCGTTTCCTGCTCACTACGGCATTCTTTGCGCACGTTGCTATCGTTGCCATCCATTGAGGGAGCACCCTGCGGTGGACAACATACCTCACTATTACCGACGCCCTCGACGATGACTATCGATCCGGGCCAATCTGTTGCCCGGTTCTCGACATGTCAAGCCGTCGATTTGCCTCGTCGTGGCCGCCGCATAAGGTGGATGTCCTGGCTTTGGGGGCATGGTATAAGTTACCGTGTCTGAGGTGCATAGTCAGGCCAAGATTTACGCCTTGACGCTGCACATTCTGAAGCATATTGACATCGAGGTATTGCCCATATTGTCCCAGCGTCGTATGGCAGCTGCATCAGCTCAGACCAGCACTAATCACGCTCGCCAACACAATAGAATGGGATCAGCATAACATCAATAAGCGACTTATGGAGAAGAACGAAAGACCAAGTTTGTCCCAAAGCAGCTCTGTTTGACTGCCTTCGACATGAACAATATCGTATGTACTGTCACCCAAGAATGTCTCAGCACACCTCGTCAGGGCAGCCAGTACGAACACTGCCAGTCACAACACGACTCGCCCTTCAATAGGGCTGGCCTGTGTTGGCACACCATGCAGAGTCTATGGCCAATCCAACTCGCAAGATAACCACTCCAGGCGCAGAAACTTTTTGAAAACGCAAGTCCGATCCATCAATCCGTCCCGTCGTCGAGCCATCTATCCATGTATTGTCCAGCCAGACGGTCTGCACATGATTGATCACGCTGCAGCCGCACGTATGCAAGCACCACTGTTTCCCGATCCACCGCTCAGCGAAGAAGAGAGATGCCGCATATCTATTAACAATAATCCAAAAAGCCCGATTATCAAAGCCTTTGTAACGCCATTCCGAAGTGGTGGAGTAGTGAAGAAAGTGTGCAAATGCGGTTTGGCGGTGGGTGCCGCCCAAAGTTGCAGCGCTGAAATCGCAAGTTTCAAAACAGCAATTCCTTTTGTCGATGCAGCGGCGCCATGTATCTGTTGTTCGCGGCAACAGACGACAAAGCGACACCACAACGATATCTGGTAACAACATTCGATGTCAGAGAAGTATGCCCCAGCGATGGGAAACGCATTGCGCCTGTTGTTCGCGGCAACAGACGACAAAACAGTCTCCTTCGGATTCCGTGGTACTTCTCGGGTATCAAGTGTTGAACATCTTGCTCAGCCACGTATGGCTGTTGAGGTGGGAGCTTCGGACATCAACTGATGATTGCCATAGGAGTACCCGAAAGCAGGCGAGGCGGATCGAGAGCCGAAGCACGAGTTTCTACCCGGCATCGGCGAGCTCGATCGCGATACTTGAGAACTCAGTGCCTTCACCGACGCAACCTCTGATGGAGGCGAGGGCGAAGCACTACGAGCAAGAAGAGGTGTGGAAAAGCCAGAACTGTTCGAAGAACGAGTGCTGTGCTCCTCTGAAACATTGTCGTTGGTGCCATCAAGGTCTACCGAAGCGTGAGTAGACAAAGGTGGCGTGCTGACTTTTGGCGTTCCAAACTGTTCAATGATGTTAGCCTATCAGTGCGTCCGGATTGCGTCGTTGTCGCGGGTACCTACAAAGCAGTACTTTTCCACTAGTTCCTGGTAGGATTGAGAGGTGAGTGGTGGCTTTTCTGACAGCAGAGCAGCCGGTTTGTCCGTCGTCGCTGAGTCGACAGCAGGAGCTTTGGAGACCACATCAGCTTTCGCACCAGCAACAGTCTCAGGTCTGGGAGAGAGAGTCCCTGAGCTGGCCCCGTTGATCACAGGAACATCGCGGGAAGTCTGCTTTGCGCCTGAGCTCGGGGAAAGACCACTCTTCTCTCCTAGAACAGAGATTGCAGTGGTCTTTGCTGCACTCAATGATGAGTTGAAATCGTAGCGAGTGCCAAAGGCATTGCCCGATGACCGCGGCCGCCGTGCGGGGGCGTCGGGAACCAGCTCCTGCTTGGAGCGCGGGCTACGAAGCTTGATCTTGGGTTCGCCGATAAGAGTGGCAGAATCACCAAAATTTGAAAATGTGTCGAAGCCTGCGGAGAAGTCATCGAATGAGATAGGGAAGGACTTCGGACGTCCACCAGATGAGGTAGGTGGCGATGGTCTGCTTCGAGGCAGAGCACTGAGAGGTCTAGCCCCCAGACCAGGTAGACCGTGCTTGCTAGGGACCGGTTTGGTCTTCTTCGAGAAGTCCACCTGGTAGTTGACGCCATTGTTGTTGTCCCAGTACTCGGTACCGTTGACAGCGTATTTTACGCAGAAGAACAGGGTCTTGTTTTCCAGGTTGACCTGATCGGCTAACTTGATGACGAAGTTGAATCGATCCAACCCATCATCCTGCTGCTTACGACGTACGTCATGGCTAAAGTCAGCCACGACTTCTGAAGTGGTTTTCCAGTAGTCGAAAGTGAACCGTGAAACAACTTGCTTCTGGAAAGCTAGGTTCTGCACAGCTATCGAACCAATCAGGGTTTTGTTATCAGACGACAAGAAGATTCGCTCGACGTGTACGGGCCACGATTTGCGGTGATCAATTTCGGTGTGGGGGAAATTGGCAAGCTTGATCTCCCACTCGAAAGATGGGCCACGTTGACGCACACCAGATTCATCAGAGCCAAAGGGGAATTCGGATTCGCTCTCATAAGTCTCAACAGGTGATGAGCCAGCGCTGACAGCCAGCGGTCGATCGACCTGAAGGAAGTGGCGCACGTGCTCAAGATGAGAGTCAAAGTGAACAGCCTTGGAGTAGGTAGGTGTGCCAGGCATGCTGGAGGGCCGCCTTGGTGCCGACGAGGCCCGAAGCGCAGGGCGGACTAGCTCACCCGACTTCTTCCTCAACATGGGAGGGCGGCTAAGTTCAGGACCCGAGTCCTCGTCTGATTCCGAGTCCGGCTTGTATACGTTGGGAGAAGAGAGTTGGCCCTTGGTGGGGCTCTCAAAAGCGATGCTGCCGTCTGTAGTCGACCGCGAGTGTGAGATCTTGCGAGCTTCACGGGACAGCGGCGGACGTGAGTCGTTGGTCGAGACAGTGCCTGTGTTAGGAGGGGCGACCGCACCGTTGACTTGCTTTACAGATTCAGTCCGGTTAGGGGAGCCCGATTTCCTTTGTTCGATTGAGCGGATGGCAAGGTGCAGCTCTTTGAGGTTGTCGGCCTCTAAGTCGCGTGTCCTACCGCGGACATCATCCTCATCGCCCGAGTTCTGAGCCGAGTCTGGTGGAGAGAGAGTCATTCCTGCAGGGACTAGAGTATTGCTCTGCGGGGGAGGAGACTGTCGGAGGCTACCGTGAGGGTCAAAGGCGTACTCGGGACCAATCTCGCCATTATGCAGCAGTTCCTTTACGTCATTCAACGATGGACTGCGCCTGTGCTTAGATAAGTATGACGAGGAACCGGCAGATCGAGGTAGCTGCGGTCTCGAATGACTAGGAAGTTCCGGGCTTAACAGAGCCTTGGAGTAGGAGTGTGTTCGGCTGATGGTAGGACTGTTCGACTTGGAGGTCTCTGGTGACTGTTGGGCGGGAGGTGTGTAAGGCATCCGGACGGTGATCGGGGGTAGAAGGCCGGGCCAGATGGAGAGGTGGTGGGAAAGAGGCCTAGTTACTCATCAAGAGCAACCAGCGACTAGGGTGGACGACGCGGAACAATAAGAAAACGCTGTAACAGTGGTCAGCATCAACTCAGGAAAGTCAAGATCGACATGTATAATAAATGTGTGGAGGGTGTTGGGAAGTTCTGTGCAGCGGCAGGAGCTGACAGTGACTTTCAAGCGGGGCACGTCAACCACAGACACTGAGGTTGCGCAACTGTGGTACGCAGCGGCAGGTCTGAGCCGGTGAATAGCGGAACAAAGAAAAATTGACTCACCTCTCGAATGGTTCAGAGGCCTGTGAACCGGATAGAGAAGACAAAGTCGAATTCAACAAAACGTTGCTGGATGTCGAGGTTGCAAGCAAAAAACAGATACTCGTCAAAACAATAGCCACGGGATCGAGAAGATCAACCGTACAGCACACCGTGATGCGAGTAGAAATGCAGCTGCCGAGCGTCGATTGCTCCAGACAAGGAAGTGACAAAGTCGAGAAAATGTCTCGACTTCTTGCCTGCAGCTTCCCTTTGTTGCCTGCGTTTGTATCCTGGAGCGAGTATGGCCACTCGCACGCTGCTCTTGCTGGACCGTCTGCCTTCCCACAGATGGCGGTCTCGTCGGGACTCCCGGAAGCGACTCCAGAAGAAACCGACTCGTAAAATGAGGATAGGCTGGCAAGGCCTATATGAGGACAGGGAGGTGATGTCGGGGAGGAATGTTGCTGTAGAGCAAGAATAGATGGGAGAGATGGCAACGAGCCCGGTATGTGTGTAAGAAAAGCCCAGCAGGCGTTGTTGAGTCTGGAGCGAGCCGGGTTTGGGACTTGGTGGGCGTGGTCAGCTCAATCGGCGTGGGACGAAGTGGTGATTGGACGGATCAAGTGCGCTAAAGGAAGCAGTAGACGAGGTGGCGGCGCAGGTTACGACAGGGATGTGCAACTTAAAAATGGAGCTGGGGTTTTGCTGCTAAGCCCACCTAGAGATAAGTCACTCCTCCGCTGTGCATGAGCAGGTCGTGCTAAACAAGATAGAGTGCATCAAGGAGGGGTGGAGAGCCTAAAGCTTCGTTCGCGGTCTCCGACGAAAGGCGAAAGGACATGCGCTTTTACCTGTGTGCATACGCCTCGACTTTGCAGTGACCTACATGGATGGCGGGGCAATGATATACTGATGTTCGCGGGCTATTCTGTTGCCATAAACAGCAAGAGTGCGCTGACGTCCGTTTTCCGCTGTCAGAGACACGAAGACGGCCATCCCAGCCCCAACGTGCACTGTCCTAGCATTCCAGTTGCTGGCGACGACGCCCGAGAGCCAATCAGGACCTGAGGCTCGAGCTTTGCGTTACGGTTATTACGGGCGCATTTCAATCATGTCCGTGCTCTGCGGAAGTGCGGCAAAGCCCCTCGTAATCTGTACCTCCGCGCTCACGCAACCTTACGCAACGAGGTTCTTATCAGCAAAAGCTCCTCTCAGCTGTGCGACTGAAGGCACATGTCAAGCTGCCAAGGTCTGATTGATAGCCCATTGTTGCCGCCAGCTTCCGCTTTATTCCCTCGGGGCATGTATCAGACCACGATTGTGCGATATGTCTCGCTTATGTCTTCCTCTGCTAGAAGATGATTGTAGATTGTGGCGATGTATGCGACGGTCTTCTGTTCGTGCACAGAATCCGCCAGTACATTTGATGAGTCCAAGATACGCCGCGGGAGGCGCTAAAGACGGACCCCGGCGCAATGCTGGACTGCCTTGGTTCTCGACTTTGATTCAGGCTGCGACTTCGCTTCCACCCGCTGCAGGCGCAGAATTTTCTCAGCGGCCAACTCCTGGCGCGCGGGACGCGCCCAGTAATCTCCCAACCAAAACACCCTGCCCACTGAATGCCATGAACATGGCGAGGGGCATTTTCGCCATCGCGGCGGAGCCTTCTTTACGCAATTGATGATCTACATAGTACCTCAGACGTAGATAGATCGGTTCGAGATGCGTTCTGCTTACGTATCACTGATCATGCCACCAGCTGGCTGTATACTGTTCGAGTACAGAGCATGAAGCAGCAGGCGGGACTAGGCGAACACTACTACGTCTAGAGCCCGCCAGCTTCCGCTGCCAGGTGTACCGGTAGTTACGAACAGGAAGCTGTTAGTTAGAGGAACGATAAGTCACGAGATCACCATCATGATGCGGACGACACGTCAGTGGCAGCTTGTGCAAGTTCCATGACAGTGGTGCTACGGTGTCCTGGCTGGGCCATTTCCAAGTTTCACACCCAAAAAGCAATTCTAACAGCGTGGAGTGATGCTGGAGCAAGAACCATGGCTTAATCAAGGTGCCTAGAACCGCCCCCGCGATTCGCCTCTCGAGACAGCACGATTTAATACAGTGATAACAGCGGTGAGACGTATCTTTCGCTTCGAAGCGAGCGTCACACACCCCACAGCCAATTAATTGACAGCCACGATCCCGATCGTCGGCCAAGGCAACACGAGTCATGACGAAGTCTTTTGAACATTAGACCTCCAATTTACACATCTCGCACAAGACTTGGAGTTTGGCCATGGCAGAATAAGGTGTGTGGCTTGCATTCTGAACCTTCGCCCGTTACGCTGTCTGGGGACGAAACCTGCATAACGGCAAGCGGAAAATCTTAGACAAGCAAAGCGGTCCGGTCTCTCGGAGTTCACGGCTGCTCCTTATGCACAGTTGGGGGCTGCTCTATCACTCATTATCTGCATCTAGCCGTGTCCCAAGAAGGTGCCTCAAATGATGCACGCGTTCCCTGATTTTCAGGCACAAGGGAAGGGGAAGCCCCAAGGTCTATGCACCTGCCGCGTTGTCGAAGTCTCTCCCAGGCGCTTGCGCGAGCGGTGAAGCTATGGCCAATCACCACTGGTTTTCTGCTGCCCTCCATGACTTTTCTCCGGTCGAAACAGGGTGGAACCGCTTCAAGTGGTTCCAGTATCTGCAAGCCATTGCTCGGCACCCGAATCAACTGGACCTTCTGGCCAATTCCTCATCTATAGTGCATCTCCTTGCCGTACAAATTCCGCAGACGTTCGGTCATCCATGCCTGAGCGGCTCCGCTGGGTGGACAATGAGCTATCAACGTAGGACGGAGCGTTGTACATGTCTCTTTGGAACCACTTTGGAACCAACCGAGCCACCATTACCGTCCGGGCACCAGACTGACATGCTCGAGCGTTTGCTGATCATGAGGAGCTCTGATCAAACAGTTCTGAATAGATCTGCGGTGGATAATGATCGCCCAGTGGATCAATCATTATTAAGCTTAAGTCAACATTCTGGGTATACATTCAATATGAGCATTTCACGGCAAGGTGAGTTTTTTGCCCTTGCCTTTGCCCTTGCCAGCACACCCACGGCTTTTTCAGAATACAGCATGAGTCGGCTTTGGCGGTGAGGGTAGCTAGGACAAGACCTGTTCCCAATAACAACTCTTGGGCCGTTCATTCCGGCTGTAGCATTTCAGAGTGTGGAGTTGCTGAAAGGTCGAGGCCTCTTGACGAGCGTTACGCCTGTGCTTCGCAACGGGATCCCTCCAACACTTTCTCGTGTAAATGCGAAACGATCGGATGTGTTGACGGCTTCACGTACGCCCCTTCCCCGCAATCTGCACCGTCTCTCTGCCGTTGCTACTGCCGTTGTGCGCTTGACTCGAAACCGCAGGTTGCCTTCGTTGTTTACACATACGTCTGCACATGCACTGGCAGCGCCTCGAACACGCGCTCTGCTGATCTCTTCAGGGTCCGACAGCTCAGGGTCTGCCAGCTTTGGAGCGATCTAGGACACGAGGAGTATCTCCGATTCTTATCGCGGTCTAGCTAAGGTTTGGCTTCCCAAGCTGCATCACCCCCAGCTTCAAGAGACCCTGTGCCCAGCAGACTCGTTGGTTCTGGCTTAGCATACCTGTTCAGGCACCCGGCAACTGCTATGGACCGTTCCATAGTGTAGGCGACTATCGAATCCAAGGCTCACACATTCGCCTCGAGGGCTTCGTCCAAGGTGTCCCGACGATTACCTACTGCAGTGGCAAGGCTCAACGGCTAGGTGGCGTTTTCGTGTGCTATACCATCCACTTCGGGCTTACGACTACGACGCATGAAGCACGCAGGTCGGCATTTAGCTGGCGTCAAGCTGGGCTCATCAGATGTTGCTTGTCGGGGGGTATCGAAGTGAACGGTCTCCCAGCGGTTGCGATTGATATGGACCGACCTCCCCGAGAGATGCAAGATGGGGCAGGCGTACTACAAACTCTTCGCCCTCCGTTTCACGCCCTTGGACATGGGCATCGTTGGCTGCAACATTCTCATCCCTAAACGAACTGCAGCAACTTGGATCTTGTATAGTACGATTCATTGGTGTCTGGTGGCCACCTCACGCAGCAGTTCCACAGCGGCGCGAGCAGTCTGGAGCATGCACTCCACACCGTTCAGCATGAGACAAATGCATATTGTTTGCGGCTCCATCTGGGGGACCCTGCAATCTAGCCACCATAACTTCGTAACGAAGTGGCACATACAGTAGTGGCCCTGGGGAGTCCTGGAGGTGATGCTCTCTCCAGCAGAAAATTTCACCCCCCAGCAGAGAGCCCGTGGCGGGGCAAAGCTCGGCGCTTCCTTGCCCCATTACAGGTTCACGGCGAAATAGCGACAGCCACTTGGTTAGCTAATGCAAGCCACACAACTTGCGCCATCGTCTAGTTTGCTGTCGGATCTGACCGTCGACTTCTCTTCTGGGCGGCAGCCGCTGCTACCCTCGATTATCATTATTAACCGCCCAAGGGACGCTTTCCGCCATATAGCGTTGCGCTCCGCTCCGTTATCACCACAGCTTGAGCGATATTTTCACATGCTCGACAACTCATCACTGCCTTCCTTTGCCACCCAACGCACACGACCTTCGCGCCACACAGAATTATCGCTACCGGATTCTCCACCAGCTTTTGTTGGGAAATCAGTCATCTCCGCTGCCATACCCATCACCTCCACGCTGGAGTCATAGCTCTCAATAATACGATTGCGCCGGTCCACCTTGGGGTGCAGGCGATCCACATACAGAGATCACGCTGCAGATGGACCATGATGGTATCTGGCATGTGCGTGTCAGGCTCAACGAGTTGCACATTTCATGATTTCAAACGCTACACAGTTTGATATTTAGTCGACAAGGGAGTCTGTCCCCCCAACAATGGTCTTGGGAGGCCAGCATCGGCCTGCACGAACCCCCCTCAGCAATCCTTGCCTTCGGACTTGGGAGTGTCTCAGGACGCCCGTCATGCTGGTCTAATCCTTGCTGACGGCTGCCGTCAGTTGGTGTGCGCAAAAAATGTCAATGCACCCCAGGTTTGAGACCAGCCTTGACCAGGCCTTGCCAGAATCTCCAGCGTCGTGAGGAATTCCCTCAAACGGTCTGCTGTGCGTCTCGATCGCCGTTGTCTTCACTAATTGGTGTCTTTGGCTACTAAGAAATGCCCTCGTATCATCCCGCGTCTGGGCAACGTGAGTGCTGCCGTGTCGAACTGATGCACCTATTGTTGCGCAGTGTAACAACACCGACTTCTCCACATTTATACCCTGGCCCCCCGGAACCTTTTTCCAGCGATCTTTCAAAGCGCAGTGTATCGAGGAGCCAGCTCCCTGCCAGTCTTCCTGGGTTCGTGACAGGCTGTCAAACATGTTCCCGAAGCAGTTGACAGCTCAGCTTCTCCGCAGAGCTGACTACACTTGCTTCCCTCCTTTCCCCGCTACTATCTCTACCTGAACATCCAGTCCCAAAGCTTAGTCACTGTTTGCCCTCAGCTCCCACACATCTAACAACCACCTAACCCGCTACCTAAAGCTAAACGATGATTGCACGCCAGGACCACCTGTCGATCACGGGCCCGATGGTGGTCCCCTTACGACCAAGCGCTTTTCATTACCTTGATAGCTCATGGCGACCTTTCCCAACAAAAATATCTGAACATCTCCCCATGGGGGATCCTCGCTTATGACATCAAAAGGTAGGGCGACGTGCTTCGGGCATGTGCTCGATGCTAAGTGGGTCGTTGATGTTGTGTCATTCATCTTGCTAATCAATTCTTGTATATCTCTCAAACTTGGCGAGGATCTGGACTGTGCTGCCTTTGCAAGCAGTCAGTCCAACTGTGAGGATACAGAGACAACTTCTAAACCGTCCAAGTTTAGGCCAAGAGCTACTCGGTACTGACCCTACATCATGATTCCAAGGCCTTGCTTTCTGGTTCGGGTCGTTCTCGTGACAACGCGGTGTCGCTGAAGAGGCAACAGCTTGCTATGGCACTGATATACCAAGACGACTTCAGATAGCTACAACAATCTATCAATCTCCAAGCTTCCACCATAGCTTGGCGGTCCTTGCAAGTCTCCTCCTGTCAGTACTCTTCCGTGCATGTGCGAGCCACATCACTGGGGACAACTGCCCCCGCTAGGTCGCCCGTCGCGTGCTGGGTTGTCGGAATATATTTGCTTTATGTACACACACTACGATTCGTTGCTACGAAAGGCAGGACTGCGATGCAGAGATACCAGCCGAGGAAGAGATCAGCATGACAAGTCAATCTCTGAAATTCGCACGATTTGGTGCTGCGACTCGTTTGTTGGAATCGAAGTATGCCAGTCTATCTACGCAGCGCGTATCGACCTCATGGCCGATGCTTGTACACCGTTCAGGCCATCATCCACAACTCATCCCATGACTTGCACGTTACTTTCTTCTCAACCGCAAATCACACTCCCCTTCACCAGCACTCTCAATTTCGAGGCCCCTTAACCTTCATCTCCCTAACCACCACCCTCATCCTCTCCCCAACAGCCTCATCATACAACCACCGCTCCGCGCCGTGCTCATCGTCCTCCACCACCTCCCTCGTCGGCCACTTGAGCTCCTTCTCCCAAGGTCCCACACCCACGCCCTCGCTCGCCTCGTCAATCTCGCGCTGCAACTCGTCCTCCCGCAAGCGCAACTGACCCGTGTAGCCGCCGGACGCCAGGGATTGCCGCTCACTGGCGGGCGCGAAACGCGCGAACCACTCCATGAAGAGCTGCTTGGCGCGGATGTTGGCCTGCAGGACGTTGTTAAACATTTCGATCTCGTGCATCGCGGGCTTCTCCACCTTGGTAGACGACTCGACCGTGGGGACCTCGGGTGGGGGGGTGCCGAAAAGGTCGTCCTCAGCATCATCACCATCGCCATCCGCAGCAGAGGTGTCTTTGATCTTCTCGCTGGAGGGTCTCTTGATGGTCGTTTCAACGTGCTTCTCCCACTCCACGTACCAGGTGGTCTTGATGTTGTCAACGTTCATCTTGCGTGCCGCCCACGCTTGCTTCTTGGATATGTTGACGAGTTTCTTTGCAATGGTCATCTGGGCCATGAAGTCACCGCGGTCCCCGAGGATAAGCTGCTGGCCGCGGATACCGTCAGGGCCAAAGTAGCTCCTGAGTTCACCCTCGCCACAATGCTGGGTTGCATACCGTCTGCTCAATTGGCTGATGATGTGCAGAAGCTTCTGCTCGGCGTTCTTACGTTGTAGATACTTGCCGAAGATATACTCATCTCCAGCGACGTACAGATCCTCAAGGCCATGGAAGATGCCGGAGAGGCTATACTGGAAAGCTCCGCCGCCGCCGCCAACATCGTCATCGTCATCATCCTCGCTGCCAGATTCTGCTCCAGCCTCTACTATCTCAGCGTCGCTAGGCTCTTCGTCTTCAACATCGTCGAACTGCGGGCCGAACACTGTGGCGTTAGCAACCTCCTGACGCTCAATAGCCGCCAATTTGTTCTGGCAGAGGAGCTTTTCATCATAGACCTGACCACTAATACGAGGCTGGCTAGCCACTTCACGCTGGCGGGCTTCTTCAAGAGCGGTGACTTCCTCCATGTCCTGGTGGTCCTCAATAACGAGCTCGCCGTTCTGCCCGTGGCCATCGCTCGTGGGCGCTGCCATAAATGCGGATGTTGAGGGCGCCTTGAAGCCGCCGACGAGGAAATCATTCCCGTCAGCGTCCTCCTCACTGACGTCCGACTCCGAGTCGTGCTGCGCTGCGTTGGATTCATCTTGAGCGGCAATCTCTGGTGCGTCGAGCTGCCCCGTTATTGCTGCAAGTTCCTGTCTCAAGTCATAGATCGTCTCTTCGCTTGTCTTCTTTCTGACCTTTTTCGGCTTGGGCTTCTTCTTCTTTTGAGCAGTCGCAGAGCCAGGTCCATTGACATTGCGTGCCGTGCCATGCTCGTCGATTTCCTGTACGACTTCGGCGAACTGTACGCGGCGTTTCTCCTCTCTCTCACGTCGCTGCTCTTCTCGCCGTTCCTCCTTTGCCTTTTTGTTTTTCTCCTTTTGAGCCTCGAGGTCAGTCTCAAGGCCAGCCAGAGATGATGTGACTTTGAGTGAAACCTCTTCAAGCCGCGGTGTGAAGGATGTACCGAGGAGATTCTCATAGCGCAACTTCACATTCTCAACTGGTGCCGCCAAGTTCCCATACTCAGTTTCCAAGCGGCGTTTAAACCCATCTCTAGCAGCCACCGCCAGACCTTTGCCACCTTTTGTTCCGTTTTCTAGGACATTCGTGGTGAAAGTTCTGGCTGAGGCGCACCACTTGAGTTCGATGCCCTCAAAATTGCGGAAGTGGCGAAGTTGAGCCATTACGATATAAGTCTCCCGCACCAGTTTTAGATCAGCCTGAATCTCTTGAAGACGCTTTCTTTCTGCCCGATAAGCTTCGGGAGAGGAGATGTCAATGTCAAATCGTTCGCCAAGCGGAATCTCCTTTTGTCGCCGTGCCTGCTCCTCCTGTCTCCCCAGCAAGGCTTCTAGCGTAGAGGTTGGATTGTCGCGTGTGCTTGATGATTTGGTCTCTAAGTTCAGTGGGCCGGATCGGTCACCATCATTCAAGGGTATGGAAACAGCCTCTGGAGATACCCTTTCGTAGTTTAATTCAGCAGACATATCGCTGGGCTCAAAGACGATCTTACTTTGACCGTACTGCACAGCCAGAAGGCGCTGTTCTGCTGCAGCTGAGTGGCGGCAAGTGTCTCGAACAGTCGTCTGCTCACTATGACGATCCTGGGTTCGCCATTGTTCAGCCGCTTGCCGTGAGGCTGGATGTAACCCGTTCTGATATTTTTGTTGGCGACTTTGAGTGTATGTCTGGTATTTGCTTGTTCGTTGCAGGCTTCGAGGCCTCGCAAAAGCCCGTGCATAGCCAAGAGGTAACTCGCTGGTCCTCGCTTGGGTATGATGTGGGCTCCTCGCTTTAGTTGCGGGCAAAGTATCAGCCTTGCTATGCGGATGACTATCACTGAGTGTGCCACAATAACTCTTGGTGTCGCCTAGGCCACCAAGTACAGTATCGCTTAAGAGTGACTGCCCTGGAAGAGGAGTGAGCCGGACCCCTATCGAGTCAAGTGTGGCTCTAAAAGAACTCAGTGTTGAAGGGACTTCAGGCTCAGGATCAGGACTAAACTCGTGATCTGAGGTGCTCGCTGGAGGAGTCGGAGGCGGAGGATCGTGTCGTCTATTCTGCGCTTGTTTGCGAAGGTGCCTGCTACGCTGAGCAGAACGCTCCTGCAGACGAATCCGGGCCTCCGAAATGCCGTCTTCCTGCTGATCTAGATCTGACTCATCGGGTAGGCCAAGAGCAGGTACTCTCCGTTGAAAGTGAGCAAGAGTCTTCAGCAACTCATCATCGGCTCCTGCTTCGATTCCGGTGGTAGAAGTGGGGGACATAGTGCTGCCGGTGTAATAGCCCTCATCATCAGAGATCTCTTCAAATGCTGTGGATGCTTTAGAAAGAGTTGCAGGCGTGTCGAATTCCTGCTCTTTCATAGAGGGTTCCTGCTCTTGAGTATCTACATCGCTTGTTGCCGTGGTAGAATCTGCGAGAGCTGGACACAGAAGGTCCAGCTTGACCTTTTTGTCTGGACACGCTTCTTCTTCTTGTATCGAAGGATGCTGGAAGGCCTCATTCGCGATTTTGACGGCACACGGGGCCAAAATCAAGCGACGTCTCTTTGGGGCAAAGGATACATCACCGAGCCTTACAGACTCACTGGCTGTGGCTTCGTCCGCAGCAGTACCCTTGACTGAAATCGTTGGTATCGCATCCGCGCGCTGGGTTGACAGCTCTGCTAATCTCCGCTTTCTAGTGGCGAAGAAGATACCATATTCCGCGTCTAGAGTCGTCCAGCCTTCCATAAGGTCGAACTGGCGCTTTACACTTTGGCGGGACTGCGGCGGGACAATCGGTCGCGAACAGTCCACGTCCATCTTCAGGGGTGGTACTGACAATGGCTGGACCGAGCCATCATGGTAGTCAACGGTATCGTACTTGCTGTTGAGTTGCCCCATATCTGAGAACTTGGGAGCTGACATCGGAATTTCGCTTGGTGTCCTGAATCTGACGGAGAGAAGCCTGCAAGAAGAAGAGATTTTCAAGAGATCGATGCCCGAAGTGTTAGTCAGGTGATGAGATTGATGTTCAGCTTAGTGTGCCGGATGACGTGCAACTAGAAGTCCTGTAGAGCAATAGGATTCATGGTGCAGTGGGTAGAATCTTTTCTGCAATTGCTGGGAGGGGCCAGTCAAAGAGGATGCGAGCCGTATCTTTCGACGTGCTGCCCTGGAAAGATAGTAGTAAAAGTCATGTCATCGGCTGAGAAGCAATATGTAGAAGAGAGGATAATGACTTAAGTAGTTGGGAAGGCTGGCCAAAGCACGGGCGTATTCACTTGGATGACGAGACTAACCGATATTGTCCATCGAACTCATGAGGTGTGCGTCTCTTTGGTGACTCAGCCTGAAATTGTCACTCACCGTGAGGTGCAAATGAGAGCAGATATGTTGGGTTGGAAGCCTCCCTGAGCCAGACCGCGAATTCAAGAATGAGGTACGGCAAAGTGTTGCGGACGCAGAAACCTTGCCCGTTGGCAGGCTGGGTAAGCTGCACACATTATTAGTGCTGGAGACATTATATGAGCGCCACGGATATTGTTAAATATCTGAGCACCTTCGCACACGAAGTAATGTAGTCGGTTCACGAAGCCCAGACCGACATGAACGTCCATCGGCGCTGGTAATCTCTCAGCTGACTACTGCGGGACAAGATAAGCCACGTTCGACAAACCGAAAGCGTTTCCGATCGCACTGTGCGATCGTAGTCAGAGATAAATGATGAATACGATACACAACGGTGTGGTAGGGTCGTCGAGGACGTTGTGTCTAAGTTTGGCAGCCGTGGCTGGGCTTGGCTCGAGCTGAAAGTCGACGGCGATCCAATTGCCTATGAGCTGGGCAACTCTTGGAGACTGTGACGACCAGTGCGCCTTTGGCCACGGGCGTCGTCTTTCCAACCTTTATGGACCCGTCACCCGCGGACTTCGAAGAATTGCTGTCGATATAGGCTGGAACGGAGGGCACGGGCCTCATTCTTAGGCCCTGAGCATGCGCCACAGCCATCCACCGTGATTATGACATCTCCGAACCCCACGCCGGCGACAGGGCTGCTGAACCTCGAGAAAGAGTTGATCTGTTTCATTTGCACCGAAGTACTCTATCAGCCGCTTACCCTCATCGACTGTCTGCACACGTTCTGCGGGTCATGCCTGAAAGAATGGTTCTCTCATCAGCATCGAAAAGCCTCCCACTCCCACTCGCATACGCCGAACTTGCAGCCGTACACCTGCCCAACATGCCGGGCCAGTGTAAAAGACGCCCAGCACAATGCCATGATCAACACATTGTTAGAAATGTTTCTGGCCGCGAACCCAAACAGAGCCCGTTCGGGGGAAGAGAAGGAGGAGATGGCCAAGGTCTACAAGTCGGGCGACAACATCTTGCCGAAAGTCGATGGGAGGAGACGAGAGAGGAGAAGAAGAGAGCAAGACGATCATGCCAGAAGAGAACGCCGTGAAGCCGAAGAGGCGCGCGAGCGTAGTTTACGAGAGGTCTCTGGCACATCCAGTCCACCCCAGTCGGCCAGTCTTCTCAGCCCAAGACACGCACAGGACAGAAGCCGGAGCCGGAGTGGGAGCCGTGATCAGGACAGAAGTACAAGTCACGATCATGATGAACGACGCGAGCGGCGCATACAAGAAAGAGCCCGGCGCAGAGATCGTAGAGGAGGGCCTGGGCCGGCTGACGATGACTCCAGATCGGACCTTGGACGAAGTGAAGGCGAGGAAGCCGCTTCCTCATCTCTATCACCGCCGCTCTCATCTCCTCGCCATCCGGATGCCGTTGAGGCCCGCCAGCGAGGCGCTCGGACTGTTGCTCACCAGGCAAGCCTACGGTCCCTTGTAAGTGCCTCGGACAGCGGCACAGGGACCGGCGACAGTCTCGACGAAGCCCATCTCATGCAGGAAATCTTGGCTGAAGGCCTGCTTGACGGCATCGATGTTGATCAGCTGACCGAGGCACAGCAAGATGAGCTAAGTGAGATTATAGCTCAGCGCTACAGGGAGTTGCATCCCCGGCGTGGCCAACGACCGACATCAAGCCCTAGTCCGGGCGCCCCACAGCCTTCTTTGGACCTCGTCGCCAGCATGGGCAGTCTTGGGGTTGACGACCCAGATGGCCAAGCCCCCCGGTGGTCGACAGCTGGCAGCCGCCCAAGTGCAGATCCCAGGCCAGCCAATCGGCCTACGAGCGCACAGAGGGAGACCATGCCTCCGACTTCGTACACAGTAAACTCCCGTGACCAGGTGAGGACAACATCCGAAACTCAAGTACCGAACCCGAGACGAGCTTCGGATCTTGGTGGCCGCCCAGATATGAGGGGACCTCGCTCAACTCATCCGGGAGTCAGATCAGCGACAGACCTGTCGAACCATCCACGTAGTGAGGCACCAGATCCGAGACAACTTTCAAGCGATCGCCGGGTATCTACAGAGCCTCGTGGCGACCGACGGTCGCGGGCCACTAGACCTGAGCAGACCGCCAGTCCACCAGAGGTGGAAACACCGGCATCTATGTCGCCCACCGCGGCGAGTGCAATACCGACGGTCAATGAACCTGCTCCGAGCCTTGTGACCCCTCGCTCGGTGCCACAGCAGGGGCCGGCCGAAGTTGATGGCACGTCCGCCGTCAACATCAGGACCGAATTTGAAGAGCCTTCAATATCCTGCTATCGATGCAATCGGAAGGGCATTCAATACGAGGTGTACAAGCATTGCAGTCCCTGCAACGTTGATCTGTGCCTCAGATGCTATCGCTCTGGCCGTGGCTGTAATCACTGGTTTGGCTTCGGCCACGCAGCACTGACAAGGTTTGACGCTTCACATCCGCAACGACGAAACCAAGCCATGGAGCTACCTCATCTGCTTTTCGGCAGGCAATTCCAAAGACCGCCATCGACCTCCGTCCAGACAGCGGAGCCGTCTAAGACTATCACGACATCCGATCCAGCGTCCCGGCTTCAAGAAGGCCATTTCTGCGACCATTGTGGAGCTTTTGCCAACGCGTGCTACTGGTCTTGCGACTACTGTAACGACGGGGAATGGGGCTTTTGTAACGACTGCGTCAACACGCACCACTGCTGTAGCCACGCCCTGCTTCCCATTGCACACAAACTCTTCGCTCCTGGCAACTCTCTACCTCGCAATTACAACCCTCATACCGGCTCATTAAACCTCACTCCGGCCGATGCTCACGCCTCCTTCACTCGGCCCCTCCAAAATCGCTCCTCTCCAGCCCACAGCGCCCCGTCATCCGTCACCTCTATGACCGACGCATCAACTGCTGGCCCACACCCTGACTACGTCAACCTGTCTATCACCACTCATTGCGACATCTGCGCCTCTCCCATCCCCCCTTCCGACTCGCGCTACCATTGCCCGATGCATCCTACGCCTACCGCGGCAGCTCCCACCCGCACTGGCGACTACGACGTCTGCACCTCTTGCTACCACAATTTGATCAAAATCGGCCGCATTGCCCGTGAAGACGGGCCAGCCGGCTGGCGCAAGTGTCCAACAGGCCACCGGATGATCATCACTGTCTTTGAAGCCTCGGCAGCTGATTCAGGCGGCCAGCGCCGTGTAATCCTGCACGACCTGGTCGGTGGCCTGAAGATGAGTGACGAAGACATCGCCGCATGGCAAAGCACGCTGAACAACAGCTCTGCACCGCCCTCGTCCTTCAATGCGCGTGGTCAGTGGACGTGGCGCGACCCGGCCGACCCGGCCGAAAACAACACCCGTCGGTCTCGCAGCCGCAAGTCCACCTTACTGCCAAGTGCACAGGAGGGCGGCAACAAGACCAGTCGCTTCCCGCCCAATGGTGGGTTCGGTAAGGTGTCTCGCGCGCTGTGGAGCTACTATCCCGAGGAAGGGGAGGAAGGCAGAGGAGAATTGCTGTTCCCCAAAGGCGCAGTCATTACGGAGATGGAGGATATCAACGAAGAGTGGAGCGAAGGTGTGTATGCTGGCGAGCGGGGTTTGGTGCCTCTGGTGTATGTACGGGAGGTTTGAGTGGGAACGTCGGTTTTCGATATTATACCCTTATGCAATGGCGCCGAGTTGTGTTCCATGGTTGGTTGCGGTGTTTTAAATGAAGGAATGATGAACGACAGGAAGTGAGAGACGGACCAAAATATACGGGCTATAGGACACGATCGTTCAATGATAATAATGTCCGTTCTCCTACAACATCACTCTATCCGATACTTCGCACACCTATACATCCCTATGGCTCAGTCGTAACCCAGCCAGGAAACAATCCCTCATCTCACAATTTGTGCAACCGCCGTCTCCCCTCCTTCATAATATCACCACCTCACCACGCAACTTCGACTACTGGACTGGACTGCTGCTTTCAAGAGTGACCCATCAAATACTCGTCGGGCTCGGTAGCCCGTCGCCGCCGCCAACACTTCCACGCGCAGCAGGAGATCAGCAGCAGGATCATGCCGACGAGGATGCCTAGGCCCAGCGGCAACGCCCAGCACAGGGTTTGGTGCGCCACGCAGTCCAGATGGCCGCCGAAGAGCGTGATTGTGCCCACCATGGGGTCCGGTGCGCTACGTCGGAAGACGCGTGCGTTGGGAAGGGGCTGAGGGGCTTGGTCGGCCGTGGTTGCTTCAGGAGCGATGGCCGGGCTGGATGAGAGGGGGGCAGAGGCCGGTATCCACACCGTTGTGATTGTTTTGTAGATCGTGGAGACTGGCTTGAGGGTGCTGAGAGGGAGGGTTGGCGTGGGCAAGGTTGTGGCGATAACGGAATTCTTAAGCTGGCGTGGTGCTTGGTCGACGGAGGTAGAGGAGGCACTGGCCGGGAGAGCGGCGGCGTGGGCGAAGATGTTGAAGTAGCGTTTCTTCTTGTCGTTATGCTCATCGTCGCCGTCCGAGGAGTCGTCGTCGTCGTCGTCGTCGTCGTTGTCGTCCTTATCAGAATCGCCTTGCATCTTAGTTAGCATTTGATACAATCGTTGCAGACGCATGAAGTCCAGTACTAGAAACAGCAAAACCAGTCTGTATAGCAGCATCAGTAGCACTCTCTGCCGCTTCCTGGGACTGATGCTCCGGGGAATCGTTAGTTGGGCCTGCACAGTAGCTCCTAAGCGGTTCATAGTCGTCATAGTACTTTGAATGGCTCGAACACCAATCCCTTACGCGACTAAATGTGTAAAAGGCTGCAGTTTTTGCACTTCGACGGTGCTCAAGCTCCGTTGCTGGCCATGTTGATCCCACATAGGTGGAGCCAGCATGAACAACACCGTTCCAGGTCCAAGCGCTGCTTGTGTAGCCTTTGGCTTGCGGTGTCATGGCCGACTCTTGGGCTGCGACGTACAGTCTGTCTGCTTGACTCCGGTTCACTGAGAACGGGAACGTGAACGTGGACGAGCCTGTGCTTCTGGATCTGCGTGCTTTTGGGGTTAGTGTATGTTGGGTTATCAACCTTTATCTTGCCGAGGAACGATTGTCCATGTCGTCCAATCAAGCAATTCGACACCTCGTCTGCATTTGTGAAAGCATAGTCTCCCATCTTTTTGACCCTGCAATGCGAGTGGAAGAAATTGGTTCACTTACTTCCTTGGTCGGCTGAAATGACGAGAGTGCTTGGCTGCTCAGTCCTCGACTCAGTCTTGGTCGAGGTTTCTGAATTTGTAACTGTGATTGCAGCCGTTGTTGTGCCAATACTGGTGGTAGTATGGTCGACTGTCTCAGGCTCTGCCGGAGAAAATGTGTGAACAGATACAGAGGTTTCTGTAGCAGTTTCTGTTTGGGTCGTGGTGGTTGGAGGAGTATACGTGATGGTAAGGGTATCAACATCCGTAGATGCTGTAGTCTGGACTGATGTGCTCACCTCGGTCTCGGTAGAGGTCGTTGTCGTAGTCACGGTGCTGGCTGGCACTGGCATGGAAGATGCTGTGACAGTCACAGTGGGAACTTGTTCGAGACCGATAGAGCTCCATGTCGGGCTTGCGGCAGGAGATAATGCGTCTGGCTTCTAGAAACAAATAAGCTGGGGGCAATATCCGTGGAAGGACATAGCGATACCAAGGCTCTCACCATGAGCACTGCGATAACCACAGCTAGACCAAGCGCAGCAACGGCCCATATCGCCACTCCAGCTTTTGACCCACAGCAAAGCACAGCATATGTCTTGTTGGGCTTCTGCGGTAAGGTAGCTGGTTGCTGTCTCGAGTACTCGCCTCGAAGATATCGATGGTAATCCTCATCCTCCGAATAATTTCTTGGTCTGGTCGGCTGGCCTGTGACCCGATCTCTGAGCTCGTGGACCTCTGCAGCCCACGGTGTAGACATCTTGGGATCTTCGGTAATCGTGGCTTGTGAGTCGGTATCGGGATATGGGTCGTTTGTGCAAGAAGGGTTTCCGTACTTAGACATTATCCGTTGATGATTGTACCGTTAGAGCGACCAGTCCAGACACATGAGAAATGCTGAAGACCTGTTCATGGGTTATATGGTCAAAGCTCACCTTCTCGCGGATGGCATGACAATGGAGACCGAGTCATACATAAACCAGGAAACGAGATGCCAGTGATTGAGGCCCGGCAGCACTGGTCCAGCACCTCTTCTTACCTGGACAAACCGATCTCAAACGCCATTGCCATCAAGTTTTCGAGTCATACATTCCATGAGACAGAATTCTGAGATGGTCACCTTTGGTCGAAGCAGAGGCTCGCATCACGCGGTATCAAACTTGAGGGGAGCGCCCCGGCCGTTTGGATGGACCGGAACTTGTGACTCGGAAGCACGGAATTCGCGAGTCAACGATGGCTCGCTGTCAGTGAGTGCGCTCGGGAACCTTGCATCAAGATAACCAAGACGACGACATGACCATCGTCGACGAGGGCAGTAGACATGTTGCATTGTAGGGCGGTGAAGACTCGGGCGGCACCCGGCGAAGAAGCTGAGGGGTGGGGCTTGGCACACCGAGAGCCGGTAGCGCAGATTTTGTCTGGACTGTGAGCATGGCGAGTATGGATCAACACCTGATCCTTGCCAGTTCATCTGGACAGCTGCGTTCGCCTTCTCCTCTCAACTGGGGTACAATGTCCACGAGAATCCGTTTTCCCGAGTCAGCCGGCGTGATACAAATGTATCACAAGGCAGCGACCCGTCCCACACGAGCGGAGGACTCCCTCCCACCGGTACCCCGTACCACCTTCATCGCCAAGCGGTGGCGCGTGGCCATATGATGTCGGTAGCGGCCACTTGCATTGAGCTTGGTGGCTGGATCGGCATCTAAATCCGTACTAGAGGTTTCTCCTCCTGGAGCCATCTCGCTTCTTGCCTGGCAAGTGCATATTTCTTCAGGTGACAGCCAAACAGAAGCCTCCACCCACACGCCAATGCGAGTGTGTTCGTCACCCATCTGCAATCCCGAGATCAAAGTCTCAAGCTCTCTTCACCTTACGGCTGTTCGGACTTGGCAGCTCCAGTGCGAAGTTGGTCTCCAGAACGCGCTACAAGCCATGTTGCGCGGGTGTCCGCCACATTTGTTTATGGCATACGAGCTATAAGGTAGGTCAATTTTGCTGCTGGAGCTCTTTCTGCCCGTTTTTGTGAACAGGTAGGATTGTGCCTCTTCAGTATTCGACTTAGCTACTCTTCGACAATATAGTCGCGATGGCTCGTTCGTTGCTCAGTCTCATACCAGCCGCAGCTGCGCTTGTCTCGGTCGTGCAAGCGCAAGCTCAGGATGAGGCCTATCACAGCTTTCAGTCTGTAAGTACTTTTTCTGAGCCAGCACCAGATTTGCGCTCATCGTATCGAACAGCGTCCAGATCTGAGACCACCGATCTTGACCGTCAATGTATCCGAAGATAGCGTCGAACCAGGCTATATCTTCATGGCGCCCTACCGCACCGATACCAGCCAGAACTCAGCTGTCATTTACGATACCGAGGGCAACGTGATCTGGACCTCATTTCCGCAGACCGCCCAAAATGTGGTCTACGATTTCCGCCCGTGCGAGTACAACGAAACCTCACATTTGTGCATGCTGGAGGGACAGCAATATCTTGGCTACGCCAGAGGCTATGTCTCGGTCTTCGATGAAAGCCTCACACAAGTCAGACAAGTCAAGGCTCAGAATGGTCACGCTGCCCTTGATCAGCACGAGACGGCCCTCAGCTACGACAAGAAGGCTACGCTCACTATGATCTATAATACTGAACGCGCCGATCTCTCCGCGCAGAATATTACGACGGGAATGGGTTGGCTGCAGAATTGTATATTCCAAAAGCTTGACATTGAAACAAACGATCTCCTTTTCGAATGGTCCGCCATCGAGCACGTATCCTTACAAGAAGCGCACGTATTCCCAAACACTACCGAGGTCGTTGGTAGCGGCCTGGTCGCGTCTTCGCCTTGGGACTACTTCCACATCAACTCCATGGATGAGAATGCTGATGGCGATTACTTGATCTCTGCCCGACACACCAGCTCCCTGTACAAGCTCTCCGGCACCAGCGGTGATGTGCTCTGGAGACTCGGTGGCTCGCGCTCGGACTTTGAGCTTCTGGACAGCTTCAACTTTTCATCCCAGCACGATGCCCGCTGGCACGCATCCAACACCACACACGATATCATCTCTCTATTCGACAATGCAAGCAACGGTTTCAACCGCTCGGCAAACCATTCCCAGGGCATGATCGTAGCTCTCGACCATCAAGCCGACCCGCCGACAGCGCGCCTCCTTTCCGCGTTCGCTGCTCCAGACGACATTCCCATCTCCGATTCTCAGGGCAACATGCAGCTGCTGAGCCCGGGAGAAGAGTGGGAGACTTCCAACGCCTTTATAAACTGGGGCAACGTTCCTGTCGTTACCGAGCACAGCCCAGACGGCCGCATCATCTTCCGTGCCAGTGTCGAGATCGATCCCAACGGGATGATGAACTACCGAGCCTACAAGGTCAACACCGCGAACCTCACTCTCCTTCCCAACGACACCCCCGCCCTCTACACCTACGCGCGCACCACCGACTCGGACACGGTCTACTACATGTCCTGGAACGGCGCCACCGAGATCGCGCGCTGGCGCATCTACGGCCGCAACGCCTGCGACGACGAGTGGGTGTCCGTCGACACGGTGGACAAAGCCGGCTTCGAGACCACGTACCGTGCCGACCAATACTTTGAGTTCGGCATGGTCGAGGCCGTGTTCGGCAACGACACGGGCATCCGGAACAGCACGATCAAGGGCGTCAGGACGTTCGTGCCGGGCCCGCTGTTGAGCCAGAACTGCGATGACGAGGGCTGCCAGGATACGGAGGAGTACAACGTGCCGGAGGACGGCGCGCAGGTGGCGATGGAGGTGGCGCAGTTGAGGGAGGCCTGTCCGGCGACGCCGCAGGAGCTGCAGGAGGAGCGTGACCGGGTGGAGGAGATGAGGGGCGGAGGTGCTGAGGGTGACGAGGAAGATGCGGCGAGTCGAGGCGTCGTCAGTTGGATGCTGGTGCTGGCTGCGGTACTGGGCTCGAGCTGGGTTCTGGCTTGAGGATGACCATAGTAGTAATGTGACATGTTCCTGCAGATCCGGGATATATAATATACAGAGCCTCAACAGAATCGAGACATGAGCTAGGTATTCTGCCCGCGAATCAGTTTTTTGGCACCGGAGCTTTCATGATGCTCGGCGGCGAGGGCATCGGGGCAACCTATGAAGCCGCGCGTGGGAGCTCAGCTTGCTTGATGAGATCCGCGAGGCGCTTGCGCATTGGATGCTTACGGCTGGCGGACTTTTGTGCTGGTGTGATAGCCGGTAGTCACTGCTGTACCAGTCGCGATACATCGTAGCCTCGTGGCAGACCGGAGGCCATGGAGCATGGTCTTTTGCGTGCTCGTTCGCAATCCATGCTTATCGAATCGAGGCTGGGAACTTGTCATACGATGTGACAGCCCAATGATATGATTTTGCAAGGATCTGTGGTAGTCGTTGTGGAGCCCATCATATCCAGCTAGCCAGCAGCCTTCTTCGCCGCCTCCGCCTCCCTCTTCCTGGCCAGATATCTCTCCTTGGCACTCATCTTTGCGTCCTCGGAGATCTTGCTCTTGGTCTTCTGCTGCTGCGCGGCCTGCTCCTTCTCCGCCTCCGCCTGCTGCTGCTCCAGCATCTGCTCCATCTGTCGCTCGATCATCCTCGACTGCCGTTCTCGCTGTGCAGCCCGTCCGTTCTGTGCGCCGGCCGGCCGCGCGGTCTGTGGCCTGTCCGACGCCGCCTCCTTCGCTTGCTGAGCCGTCTGCGCGGCGCCGGGCTTCTTGGGCGCCACATTGAGACCCGCGGTCAGGAGCTGCCGCTTGTCGATGACTTCGCCTTCCTCGTTGAGCGCAATCTTGGCGCCGTGGTCGTTGAGGGCTTTAGCTTTGCGGTCCAGATCGTCATGATCATCATTGCCTGCCTCTGCTGCTTCAGTCACACCATCTGGGCCACTAGCTAGTCTCTTCCGCTCCTCCGCCTCTTGAATGGCCTTCATGCGCTCCTCCTCTCGCGCGAGCAATCCCTTGTTGAATCCCATCATCCCCACTCCCTTGCGCTTCCCCTCTTCCTCCTCCTTCACCCTGCGCGCCTCTTCCTCCTCAGCCTTCCGGTTCTCCTCCTGCTGCTTCTTGTATGCAGACGTGACAAACTTCTCCTTGTCCGCAAACTCGTCTCCTTCGTTCTCCCGCTCGCGTTGGATGGCCTTTTCACGCGCCCGCTCGTGATCGCGCTTGCGCTGCTCCGTCGATGCTAGCAGATTTGTCATGTACTTCGGCCCCGCGGCCGCATCGCCAGCTGACTTCGTTTTGGATGTGGAGGCCGGCCGGAAGGTATCGTACACGGCGTCGTAGTCGTAGACGCTGGCATCTACTTCTGAGGCTTGTTTGTTGTGTAGTGCCGCGCTGCGTAGGGCGGAGAGATTGGTGTACTTATCCTCGCCTGCACTCGTAGATGTGGTGGGCTTGCTAGAAGCATCTTTGGATTTGGAGGCAGGCTTCTGCAGGCCGTAATTGGGAGTCTGTTGGGAGAGCTTGGGTGATTTTGCGGGTCGAGAGGCCTGGTCGCTGTCGGAGGAGTCGTCGGCGAGAGGCTGCAATGGCTTGAGGGGCCTGGAGGCCTTCTTTGCGCCGGGCTGTGGTGGTGGGGGTGCTGCGGACTCGTCTCCTGAGTCGCCGGAGAAGATGGCTTTGCGCTTCTGCGCAGGTTTTGATGGTTTGGCGGAGGGCTTAGTAGCACTCAGACCGAACGCCAGGGCGGGCATTGTGAAATGAGAGGTATGAGAGGTGCGAACAGGAAAAGAAGGCCGCACCGAAAATGTATGGGGTCCGGCGAGGATGGCAGCCTCGCGTTACACGTGATCAGGCTCATTGGAAGGGGTAACATCAGGCAGTGAATTGAATGATGATCACACGCTTCACTCATTATAACCATGTCCTATCCTCTCGAAATTACATGTATCTGGGGTCATACTATGTAGACATCGTTTGGGAAGCAACGAACAAAGCTGCTCGTGGGATAATTTCTTCACTGAACCGATTCAACTTGAGCAGCCCCCTTCTTCTCGCCATCGCTGCTGTCCTCCGCGACGAGATCGGTATGGTGACCGGCGAACTGATCAACTTTGGTCTGCCTGAACTTGCGAGCGCTGACTCTATTCTCGAACAGGACATCGAGCTCACCATAGGTACGTCCCTTCGGCTCGGGAAGGCGGAAATAATGGTAGATGAAGAGCAATAGGCACGCTCCAGCCCAGAAAAAGCCCGTCTTTGCTCCCCAGTTCCAGTTGGTGTTGAGAAGCATGCGGGGCATCAGAACATTGTTGATGATACCACCGACGTTGTACAGATTGCGGGCCAGGACTACGGTCTTGATCTTCAGCCGAGTTGAAGGGATATCAGCCACCAATGCGTAGCATACAGGACCGATGGTGAAATCGTAGACAAACGTGTAGATCATAAGAAGGGTTCCGGCGGCCAGCGAAGGTCCACGAGCTGTTCCGAGAACGCCCATGCCGCCGACGATCATAAGCATGCAGAAAAGGAAGGCTAGGCCCCAAAGGTAGAGAGTTCGGCGACCAAAGTGCGGCATGAGGAACCATGAAGCGACGGTTCCGACAGCGCCCTGGATAGTTGTCAATAAGGGCATCCGAGATGAAGACTTTAGGAGACTTACCATAGCATACTGACCCAGGTTGAAGTTGAAGGAGTTCTCGGTGTCGAGGCCTGCTCGCTCGTAAAACTGGACCGCAAATCCCATGAGGGCGGCTCCACAGAAAGCTTGAGTGACCCAGACCATACAGGTGATCTCAGTACGCCGGCGGTCAACACTTTTGAAGCAGTCCCAGTAGTTGACGTTAGAGTTGATGGCCTTCTCGAGATCATCCGTAGCCTTGATCATGGCAACTTGCTTGTCGGCATCGAAGGGAATCCCGCTGTTCCGGTTGGTGAGTTTCAGAAGAGCGTTCTTCGCGTCGTCGTAACGGCCATGGCGGACCAGCCACCAGGGAGATTCCGGGGCAAGGAAAACGCCGATGAGGATGAGGGGTGGCCAGATCCATTGAAGAGCGAAAGGGAGCCTGTAGGCCAACTGGTCCTCCCTGCCGACCATACTACGGAGAACACCCGCAGCAATGAACTGGCCAATGACCCAGCAGAGATTGACGTATGATGTCAGGTAAGGACGCAGCACGGTAGGCGTCACATCCGAGGCGTAGGTAACAGTAATGGTCTGAAAGACACCCCATGGCAGGCCGCAAAGAATGGCGCCAGCGAGAAGCGTCTGAATGTTCTGAGCAAAAACCGGCAAGAAAATGAAGGCAATCATCAGCACCAGAGAACCAAACATGGTCTTGCGGTAGCCGAACTTGTCGGAGAGAATACCATTCAGCCAGAGTCCTATGATGGATCCAACCTGTAGCACGTGAGCAAGTGTCAGACGGGCTGGGGCGGAATGGCCTACCTGAGTGCCGTTGAGAATACCGGACTGCCAGGGAGCAGAAACCTGCCTGCCGCCGGCTGGATTGTCCTCTGTGCCGTAGAAGTTGCGGAAGGGAGGTAGACCGAAGAAGGAGCCCATCAAGCTCAGGTCGTAGCCTTCCATCACGACTGCTGTGGAGAAGATGATGGAGAAAGCGATGGCTTTGGGGTAAAGGCGGATGGCGTCCCGAATAGTCAGCTCATGTTCGCCAGCTGTGGCGGCTTTGGCCTCCGCGAACGACTGAACGATGTTGGGATTGTCAACGCTCAGCTGACGCATAGCAGCATCGTTGACACGGACGACACCATCGTCGGCGCGGGCGACTTGGACGACGCTAGACTTGCGTCGCTCACTCATGTTGGAAGTAAGTCAATGTCAATGGGAGGAGACAAGAGAGGTCGTGGGAGAGCTGAGGGACATGACGCTGATCGACGGGAGGGAAGCAGTGTATTTAAGGGGGGTGGTTAGCTTCAAGGTTGCATGGGGAGGGGAATAACACGAGAGCAGGGCCAGCGTGACCTCGGTGGCGGAGAGATTGACCATTGAAACGAGTGTCTCCGAGTAATTGGCCGATGTATAGAAGCAAGCCAGGCGCCAAGGGGCCCCCACAGCTTCCCCGGATCACCTATGCTCAGAGGAGGGTAGCCAAGAGGTGGCCGGCTTGAGTCGATGCCCAGGAAACTGGTAGACAGCTTGAGGCTAGGGAAGCCGACGCTCCGTCGCAATCACGGCCAAATTGTGGGTTCAACGTGAAGCTGGGGGGTGGCCGATGGACAAAAAACGGACCAAATGGAGATCGGGGCCCCAGTACGGAACACTGGGCGTGAGGGGGCATGGTGTTTACGGCAGCTGGCCGAGACGTGATCAAGGAAGTTGCAAGAGACTACTGGCCGAAGAGGCAGTAGCTAGCGTGCAAGTCTCGCTTAGCCATTTCCGCGAAACTCTTGATAAGCCCGAGAACAACGAAGAATCGGCGAGGGAGAAGATGGCCTTCAAAGCTTCCTTTCCACTCCGCCGCTTGGCCAAGTGGCGCGACCTTGGCGGAAAAAGCATGGCTTCGTCATCGGTCATGCGCGGAATGTGTGAACTGAAAAAGGATTCTCCCACAATCATGTCAGGAGGAAGGGAGCGCAGTCCAGAAGGCTGTTGGCGCGGGTTAAGCCGAAATCTAGCTAGACGCGCAGGAAAAGGAGCGAGACGGGGCGACAGGTGAGATGATGGAGCCAAAGCACGACGCGGCACTTGCAAACGGACTGCTCTACGGTGGGCCTCTTGCGACCTTAGCAACCAGCGCAAGCCAGCCAATAGTAGTTCAGTATGTCGCGCATCTTGGCGCTGAGAGGACCCACGCCGACTCTGCTTGCGGCTTGACCTCCCTACCACCCCCCTGGCGTGCAGAAGATTCCATCGAACTTTCCAGAGCTGCGCGCGCACGACTTCAGGGACCGGTCCGATAGATTGTGGTCTGACTCGTTGGGCTCTTCGCTTGCACTGTCTGCATCGGTTCTTCACGTGGCAACCCCGAATCTATCCGCGTTCACTTGCTCTTCTTAGCCAAAGACCCAACCCTCCCAGCACTGACGACCGCCCTTGGCACCGCCCTCCCAGAAGACATGTCATACTACTTTGTGATAATTTCGCCGACCGACACGCCGTTGTTCGAGCTGACTTTCGGAACTTCCAAGGCAGGCGGAGATGGCATAGCCCGATTCCGCAACGGCGAGACCTCCCGCTACATGAATCAATTCATCGTCCATGCTGCTCTAGATGTTGTCGAAGAGGTTCAATGGCTGACGCCGAACATGTGGCTGAAGGTCATTGACAGCTATGCACCGACCAGCTCCCACGTGTCGTGTTTCATCGCTGGTTCCAACCACCGCTTCATGTTACTTCATCAACCAACGCCGATGCCTACTTCATCAGCTGGTAGTCGAGCTTCGACCATTTCATCCAATTCCATTCCTCACAACCCGACAAGTCCACAGACGGAAGATGCCATTCGGCAATTCATGACCGAAGTCTTTGAGCTGTGGGTTAAAGCCTCCATGAATCCGTTCTACCGTCTGAACAGTCAGGTTGTGAGCCCGGTCTTCCGCCAGCGCGTAACCGCAGCCGGCCGGAAATGGCTGTAGGAATGTTCTTTGTGTCAAGCTCGACACTGGCCGCGCTTTTCGATCTTGCTGCAGCCGCATTGCTGCAGAGAACAAAGCACACCTGCTGAGGCTAGCTGCAACACTTGATCCCTCATAGGGCACATGCTCACCCAGGTTACATCACCATATTACCTTCGTAGGGCATGCATGACTTCCCGCCTTACTCGTGAATGTTAGGCAGCCATTTGCAAGAGTATGGTTCTGTCACAAAAGCTTTCCGGTCTATCAACAGCCGCAAACCCTAACTGGATTCATTGCTCCTCTGCCTTGCGCCGCCACAGGCACTGATTGTACTACAATCCTGACCAAACACATGGCCGACAGGTTCTCATCGTGGCCATTGTGGGCTCAGATCCTGCTGCCACTGACGCTACTCACACTCTGGATACCGTTCTATTTCCTGATGGCGCTTCTCATGGAGTCGTCCTGCTGTCAAATAAGGCGACCAAGAGCGAACGACCTTGAAAGGCGACAAGAGCGGACTCCTAGGGAATTCACCGTCGAGGCGCGTCGTGGGGCACCTCCATCACAAAGCTGACCAGATTTTGTTGGGTTGTTTATGGTTCGATTCGGCTGCCTGCAAGCATCGAACCTGTTGCCTACGCGATTTCGGTTCACGCTACAACCACATCAGTCCGTTCTTGAGCCCTCTATGATTTAAAAGCAGGCACGATCTTGCACTTGCTCTGCCATGCTCTTACCACAATGCAGCAGGGCTGACGAGCCAGATTTACCACTACCTGAACCGTTCACTGCGTCCGCCCTTGTTCCTCTTTTCCAACATCTCACTCCCATCGAGTATCGACTAGTACTACATAATTTGCGCCATCACGACCCGCTCAGCACCAGCTAGCATCGCATCATTCGCACTACTACTATGTACTCTTGCACAGTCCTCTCATTTAGACCCTCCTCGTACGATCGGAATGGATATGTTGGCTGAAGCTGCAGCCATCGCCGATCGAGTAGATGGACCTTGCACATATCAAACCAGTTCTGGCTCATCGGATCCTGGCCCAACCGCGGCCGACCTCGGTCATACCAATGTCTCTCAAGATGCTGTAGCTGGCTGTGCCGATCCGACCGACGTTCCAGCAACCACTGAGCATGTTCCTGGCGGTATATTCCCAGAAAACTACGAAGAATACGTCAAGATTCGGCCCTCGTCGTCAAGACCTACATTACTTGACAGATTTTCCTGCAAATACGACATGGGATTATTCGCAGAAAAATCCTTTGACGAGGTGGGTGAACTCATCGTTAGTCTACCTGCAGGAATTTGTGACATCTTTCCTGCAGGTCTACACGATTTTCGTGGTCCCGAGATCTACACCATGGGTAAAATTCCGGCCCAGCATTTGACGAGCATGATGCATCTGCTTGCAGCAACCTATCGAACCTACGAGCGGCTGGCTCCCGCAACACACCAGGACCGACCCTTCGATCCCTGTTTCACTCCTGGCTATGCCATGGCATTGCTCAAGGGGAAACCCACTGAAGAAGTTCAATTGGCCGTGGACAAACTCAATCAGATGCATCTTGCCACTGAAGGCGACCCGAGTGCCACTGATGGCCGAGTGGACCATGCCGGCTCCCATAATGACCTTTTCCCGTGCGGTCCCGATCGTCTTGAAGATGCCATGCGAGCCCTTCGCTTCCTGGATGGAGCTTTCGTTGCAGAAGACGTGACCGACGCCCACATAGGTTACAGCCATCTCACCTCCTACATCAACCATTCATGCACTCCCAACGCGCTCCTGGTCACCGATTTCGGCGAGCAGCATTTGGATGATGGCTTATTCGCCCGCACGATGACCGTTCATCTGAAAGCGCTTGCTCGTATCCGGAAAGGTGAGGAAATCACAATCTCATACAACAGCAACGCCCCTGGGCCTCGCGATAAGCGCCGTTTCACACTGAATGCGACCACCGGCTTCGATTGTCAGTGCATCTCATGTAGAATGAGAACCAATGAGAATCAATGGAAGGCTGCCCATACCTGCGTAATGGCCATCGCCCAAGGAAAGCGAGCAAAAGGAAATCGCTATCAGTCGTCGTCTAGTGCCATATTTGACGCCCTCCAAGGCTTAGGACTCAATGGCTACCAAACCAGATACTGGTGCACTCAACTGGCTCAGGCGGCAAAGGTATGTGCTACCTGAATAGTCTCTCTTCTATGTGCTGATGTGTATCATATAAAAGACCAATGACCCGCCCGACAGGGTCCGCGAGTGGATATTCAGATCGCGAGAACTGGCTTGGTGCAAGCAATTTCTGCACGAATCGCATGGACGCCGAATTAACCTCGAAGAAATTATCGACGATCTCGGCCAGCATCAAGACGTCTCGGAATTCTTGCAGCTCGGAAAGGAGTTTATTGGCTCAAAGGATGTTGATCGAACCATTTTTCTGCTCGACGTGAAAGCGGCGGAGACTGACGATCAGCTCCTGGGCAAAGACCTGATCCCAGAGCTGAAAGAGCTGCAGGCCAAACAGCGCAGAAAGAAGAAGAGCGACAAGGAGAAGACGCGGAAGAAGGGAAAAGCGGCGCGGAAGAACGAAGAAGCCCAGCACGAAGCCCCTACAACGCAGGAGGAAGCCAAGCAGGATGACGGTCGGAGATCAGACGGAGACACTTTGCCCGCCGAATCACCCAAGACGAGTTTGGCGGTAGCGCTTAAGCCTCTACAACATGCCAATGATTCAGAGTCGGCCTCTCACAGTGTCCAGTACGATAGAAGGTCGGACCACGAGATTGAGGAGGCCTCCCAGCCCACCGAGCCGGCCAACTCCTCTTCACTCGTCGACCGTACCAAAGGTCCGCCATCAGACCCTGGAGCACTCCCGGCACCACCATCCCAGACCGCAGCAGAAGTACCGGGTGTGGAAGATTTTCAAGAGTCGGCCAAGCCGCCTTCGGAGTGCGAAAGCACCTCTGCTGTATCAGCTGCGACCAGCCACTCTCCATCACCAGCATGTGGCGATGATCCAGATGATCTGTCTCAGGAGCCATGTCCAGAGCTTCTTCATTCGCGGAGCTCATCAGATATGGGTGACACTCCTCCAAAACCGGTCTCCCCAACTATCGCCGTTCCAGAAGCGCCCAAGCTCGAGAGCCAGCACTCTTAGGAAGAGAGCCGTCCAGGTCTGCGGAAGGTGCCTCATAATCCAGTCCCGATCGCCTGGCCATTGCCTTACAAGCCCAAAAGCAAGCGACTTCCTCTTCTATGGAGGCACGCCTACTTTGGCTATGTTGGTTGCAAAAGGGGGCAAGATGAATCCTATGCGCGAGCTTGGGACTTCTGTGGCAAGCTGGAGCCCATGCCGGCTTACGAGTGGGTTCTTGACTACACAGGGTCGGTGCCGTTGCCCACAGGCTTTCGCCACAGCATCTACGACGCCGAAAAAGCGCGGAGCAGCGCAAAGTTCTTTCGGGCTGCGAAACGGAGCGAAGGATTTGGGGCGGATCTAGACCGGAAAGCAATGCAGAGTTGCTGAGACATTATCTATACAATACTCTCGTTCAATGACTAGTAATCAGTTCTCCCCTTCTTGTGCTGTTGATCTGCCGCGGCTTACACGTCTTCTGCAGGCAACAAGGCATCATCGACCCTGAAGCCCCTTTTGTGGTACGGAACGAGGAGGTACAGATCTGACAAAGAAGATGCCTCGCATTGGGCTATAGGTGATTGATTACCCAGGTTACGTTGTTCGCTTTCCCTGACTTGTCGTGTGCGCTCCGCACCCAACCACAGCCCAAGACAAGCAAGCAAGCAGCCACCAACACGTCGCATACGGTGCAGGCCCCATTCTATAGACATCCAGACGGCCCAGAAAGAGCAAACAGTTCAGACAGCCCAGACAAAATCGGTGTATCCACCCGCATTGTAAGCCAGTGCCGGTGCGCATGCCTATGTCAATGCCAATCAACAAGCGCTCAAACAATATGGGGTGCTGCTCAAATCGAAATCGTTCTTTCGGCTTTCGTAAAACGCCTCGTGTCCTTCATCATCAAAAAATATGTAAAAGAAACGCTATTGCATGCAACAACGTTAAGCCGTCGTGTTCTTCGTCACTCGCTTGCCACTTTCCTTTTCCTCGTCCCTTCAACTCTCAGTTCTCGGCAGCCTCGACCAGCCGTCCACCAAACCCCCTCAGAACCCTCGACTAGAAAGTCTCGTTGACATCATAGCCGCCCTTCCCCTCTTGCACGTCCTGCATGATCTCGACCCGGGATTGCGGTCTCGACACGCTTTCGCCCCTTCTGTGGCCCTGCGCACTCTCGCTCCGCATCGGCAGGCTCGTCTGGCTCTGCCGCCGGCCCAGCGGGGCGGGAAGCCGGCTGTTGCCCTGCCCGCCGAGGCTCGTTCTCTTCACAGGACTGGGTATGGCGGAGCCTATGTCGCTGACCCGGCCGCTCGGGCGCATGAAGCTGGTCCTTCGCGGTGTCGGGGTTGTGAGGTCTTTGCTATTCGCGCCGCGGCCATCGGTGTCGAAGGCGTCCTCGCCAGCATCTTCGATGATGCTGTCGTCGCCGACGCCGGAGTCGTCCATCGCGCCATCGAAGCCGTGGCTGCTCAGCGCGGATTTGGGCCGCACGCGATCCGTGGATGCGTTCGGTGCGAACTGCGATCCATTACCGAAGCCTCGGAGATTAGAGACGGAGGCGCGGCTGCCAGGACGGCTGTGGGAGGCAATGAAGCTATGGCGTGACGTGGAGGTGCGTGAATCGGGACGGGATGGAGGAGCGGCCATCTCTCCACGCTGTGATGTAGCAAAAGACGTTCCTGTCGGTGTGGGCGGAGGCATGTCTCGAGAGTAAGACTGGCCCAAAGAAGGCCGTGATGGTTTCGTCCGGGGCACGGAAGGCGTGCTATCGCTGTCTGGCTGAGAGGCGCCGCTAATCGTAGAACCACCGGCACGTTTGCGGCTACGGACAGTGACTGAGGCAGGGATGGCATGATTCCCGAGAGCTGAGCCGGAGCGAGGAGATGCTTTGGGCGGCGTATTCACGGGTCCAGGAAGCTTGCTGCGTGCGGTGTGCACTCGTGCTTCGAGATTCTGCATCTTGGATCGGAGGTTGCGGAGATGCATAATAGACGAGGACTGAGGGAGGCCAGAACGCTGGGGAATGCTACTTCCAAAAGATTGACGGCCGGTGCCGGAAGGCCCGGTACGCGAGATAGCAGGGATGGAGGGGCCGCGAGTATGGGAAGCGCCGGAGGCGTTGGGTCGTGGGTAAGTTGGTTGGCGCGGTGTCGGGATGCTGCCGTTGAGTGAGGTCCTCACCCGAGGTATTGAAGGTGTAGTGAACGGCTGGCTGGTCTTGGATTTGGTTGTGACGGCTGAGCGCTCGGAAACTGGCGGCGAAGGCGGAGTCGGGGTATCTGATACACCGGATGAAGAAGTCTTCGCAGGTGGAGTATCGAAAGAGGTATCTGTGGTCGTGGGAGACAGTTCAGAGCGCGGAGACGCCGAGACAGCGACAGGCTCGATACTGAGTTGAGAATTGCTTGTGGTCAGCGAGGCCTCGGCCTTTGCCAGCTTCTCCCTCACGATGTCTGCTTCAATCTTGTAATCAGAGAACTCGTCCTTGAGACGCTGAGCCTCTATACGTAATGCCTCACGTTCCTGCTCGCCAGCGCGCATCTCTTCTTCCAGCATGACGCTTCGTTCCAGCGTCTGATTGTACTTTGATTCCATGTCCTCCAGCGAAGACTCGGTGTTGCGTTGTTGGCGCTCATAGTCATCGTTTGCAACTTCCGTGTCTCGTAGGCGTAGTTGAAGCGTCCGATTAGTATCGCGCAGTTCTGTGATTTCTTTTTGAAGCGTCGACTGCGCCGAGGAGGCTTCGCTCTTAGCTTGCTTATATTTTGCTTTCCATTCATCCACTTCATACTGTAAGTTGGAAGCCTTGTCCTTCAGTTGGCGCTCGCGCTTTTCGGAGGCCTCGATATCTTTTTCAAGTTCGGCTTCCAGCTCCTTACTGGATGCTTGAAAGTCGGCGAGCTCGGATTCGAGGAGCTCATATTGCGCCTTGTAGTATCTCAGGTTATCTTCGAGAGAGGTGCCTGGTCCGGGAGATGACGTGGCCATGTCGCTTGAAGGCATCGTGGTGAGCGCGCAGTATCGGCTGCGCAGTCTATGTCTGGTCGCAAGTGGGTTGTAATGTTATTAGTCGGTGCCCAGCGCCATGAGGTAGTGGTACTATCGTTGGATGCCTAGGGTGGTTGGGGCTCTGGGAAGTCGGTGAGGCGCTGGCTGTCGCAGGTGCGAGGACGTCGTAGGGCCGTATTGGGAATTTCGAGACAGTTGTCGCAAGATAGGATGCTGCTGTGGTTAGTATTACCGGTCCTGTACAGATTAGTTTGTCGTAGGAAGGGATTGAACTTTGCGTTCGGGTAGAGGTGTTCATCAATAAACAAGCGCCCGCCTGCGCGCCCGGCAACGCGCCAAGACCCTACCCCAACTACGTCTACTAGTGATGATGGTATTGATCTGTTCATCGCACGTGGTAGATAGCAATTCAGTGTGCTGTATCCTGCCGAGTTCTGTTTGAGGAAGGAAAATGTGTCTGCTTCAGCCAGGCGTTGGACGACAGCGGTGCAAGTGGCTTCACCATGCCGAGAGCTGTGCGTCACGACTTCCAAGTTACGCCTTCTTTCTGCAGCTCCCTCTGCGCCTGCAGGCGGTAGGAAACGAGCGTCTTCATGAAATTCTGCGACATGCTAGTGACAGGGCTTCAAGTCTTCGGTACGCGCTGATGCGAGCATCAGAGATGTTCAAGAAGGTGCCATCAGCAGTGTCAACAGAGAGGCAGGTCGAGGATTTTGGCCAGCGTCCGTATTTCTTTGAATCGTCCCGTCACCCTTCATAGCTGCTAGCTAACTTCTGATGCAAAGATACTGATGTCGTCGTCAAGAAGAATGCAGATACATGGCTTCAAGTGCTCCAGCCGTGACTTTTGGTTGCCGTCTCAACCATCGCGCTAGCCTCTTTTGAGCCAAGTCAACTCCAAGTTCACCGTCGACTTTGACGTACAGGGTGACGATGATTGTTCTTCGACGCATCTCGAAATCATGTTCCACACAGACAAGTATAAATGAACCGAAGCATGCCGCTAAAAGCTATTGAGAACTTCGCACAGCCCCCGCGTCCTCGCGACAAGGTTTACGGACGGCGGAGACATGTACCCTTGGAGACAAGAGACACAAATCTTCAATTATTTGGCGGAAGCGATGCAAAGGAGATCGAGAAGGCGATAGCAACGCTCACGATATCACACGATAATACGAAGGCTGTGCGCGAGAATGGCAGGAGCCCTGAGCGTGAGAGACATGAGCCTGAAGCGTTGTGTTCCGCCAAACCGGCAGTCATACACCAGGGCCAGGCGCCAGAAGGGAAGTCGAGTACCCAGCAGACTGCAGTCAGAAAGGCCAGAGGCGAGGCACGGTCCAAGCGTGTGAGATCTCGTCGCGATCCAAGGCTCAAGACCGCTGTTCTGTCAGAAGTGGAATCAATCGCCCTACGGCCTGTCCTTGCCTTCCCAAGAGTGGAATCCACGGTACTCGATTTTGAGAGCTTCGGTACACAGCTGACCAAGAGATACGACATTCTCAAACTATCGGAAGGATCCTACAGCGACTGCTTCGTCATCAAACATCCCGACCAAGCCGCAGAAGTTGCTGTGATGAAGATCATCCCGTTGGACTGCGACTCGGATCGAACGTCAAGTGTAGCGACCCACTCACAAGGGTTTCTGCGTGAAATCAAGGTACTGTCTGCACTCGAACCCTATCACGGCTTCGCACAAATCTTCACCAGCCGATTTGTCAAGGGCAGAATGCCTGAGCGTTTCATTCAGGCAGCTAGAAGCTGGCTTGAAGAAACGACTGAGGACGTGGACAAAACAATAGATCCAGGGACCAAGTTCTCCGATGATCAGATGTTTGGAATCATTGAGATGGGGTTTGCCGGTCGAGATTTGGAATTACTGACGAAGCCGTCAGCATTCCAGGCTTTTGATGCCTTCTGGACGACCGTCATCTTAATTGGCAAGGCCGAGTCGGACATCGAGTTCGAGCATCGTGACCTTCACATGTCCAACATCTGCTTCAAGCCGGGCAAGGATGGAAGGGACGATGTTTCTGATGACTTTGTCCAGAGCATCAAAACCGTGCCGGACTCGATTCTAGGCTTATCCGGTTTGGACATTAGTATCATCGACTACACACATTCGCGGATGAAGTACTCGTCAAGCGATGAGGTTCTTTTTAACCCAGAGGCACCGTTCTCGGAAGCGGAGCTTGTAGAGCTTGCTAGAGACACACGGCTGGGTGACCAGACGGACACAGTGATCAAGGCGGACGAATGCATGTCACGTCAAGCCAGGGACAGCTCAGGGGGAGCACCCAAGTACTCCGCCTTTACGCCCAAAACGAACGTTATATGGTTGTCGCACGTACTGAATCAGCTCACGCTCCGCGCACGCGCAGGGAGGAATTGGTCAAGCATAGCAGGGAGCTCGTCATGCGCCAAGCGGATGCAGGCGGGGATGTGGGAGAGTCTGGTGGAAGTCAAGAAGTGCATCGGGTCCAGCGACCTGGACGCTCTGCCCACCAGCGCGGAGGAATTACTGCTCCTGGCCATAGAAAAGGGCTGGATCAGCAAATGCGACGTGGACTCTTTTTCGGCCCGTCTCAACAGCGGTTCGCAAACGCCTTGAGGATGTGAATATTATTCTGTTGCGCATAGCGACGGTCCACTGTAATTGATACCCTGTTGACACAATTATGATGATGATGACAAAGAACGACATTCGGTCATATACCCGCCGTGAGCATAAGTACTGTGAGAGAGGAGGAGTGCGGTTCTCTGGCAGCCAATCGCAGCCGAGTCTCGTCCGATGACCACATCACGTCCTGCGCGCTCTGTCTCTGGCCCCAGGCTGCACCACACTCCCCCCATCTAAAGTGATGATTTGATCCTCTATATGCCAGCTCAAGGCGTTGAGCTGCAACCTGTCTCCAACATGAACCGTATCAAGCGATTCTTTGAACCCGAACAACCGTACGAACCCCTTCAAGATGATACGCATGAAGATGGCGATAGCACTCTGGGCGAGTCCGACGACGGGCTGCAAGAGCAGGTCTTCTCCTGGGTTGAATACTTCGTATTCCTGCTACTCGGAGTGGCGATGCTGTGGGCATGGTATGTATCTCGCACCAGCACGGAACCAGTCGTTGACCTTTGTTAGGAACATGTTTCTCGCAGCAGCGCCCTACTTCCAGAGCCGCTTCCGATCCAGCAAGTGGATTCTGAACCATTTCCAGGCCGCCGAAGTGTCGGTCTCGACGGTCACCAATCTGACGTCGATGATCATCTTGACCAAGCTGCAGAAGGGGGCCTCATATCCGAAGCGAATCTCCTCATCACTCGTGCTATACACTGCCATCTTCGCCATTCTTGCACTGTCTACGCTGGTCAAGACCGGAGCAGGGGTCTACTTTGGCTTCCTCCTGCTCACTATCTTTGCTACGAGTCTGGCCACTGGTTTGATTCAGAACGGTCTGTTTGCTTTCACCTCAGGGTATGGCCGCAGCGAGTATACTCAGGCTATCATGACTGGACAGGGTGTGGCAGGCGTGCTGCCTCCTCTCGTTCAAATCATCTCCGTTGCCGCGGTGCATCGTAAGCAAGGCGAAGGACCGGAAGCCGCGGCCCAGTCGCCCAAGTCTGCCTTCATCTACTTTCTCACCGCGACTGCTATCTCCGCCATCTCACTACTCGCCTTCTTCTACCTTGTCCGCAGGAAGAGGCATCGAGACGCACTGCATGCCGCTACGAAAACGACTTTGAACGGGGCTTCGGAAGGCGACGCTCTCACTGGCGGGGCTGGACAGGGTGACACGAACAGTGAGCGAGCTTCCGTGCCGCTGATGGTGCTCTTCCGCAAACTGTCCTTCCTATCTGTGGCCGTCTTCCTTTGCTTCGCCATAACAATGGTCTTCCCGGTCTTCACGGCCATCACCGAGTCAGTATCCGGCATAGACTCGGCCACGTTCATTCCGCTTGGGTTCCTCATGTGGAACATCGGCGACCTCGGTGGCCGTTTGCTGTTAGCTGTCCCGAAGCTGTCACTCACCCACTATCCGTTCGCACTCTTCTGCATCTCCATGGCCAGATTGATCTTCATTCCGCTATACTTCTTGTGCAACATCAAAGGTCGTGGTGCATATGTCAACAGCGATTTCTTCTATCTCGTCATTGTGCAGCTCCTGTTTGGACTCACCAATGGCTACCTCGGAAGCAGCTGCATGATGGGAGCAAGCGAATGGGTAGCACCCGAGGAGCGAGAGGTAGCTGGTGGGTTTATGGGGATGATGCTCGTGTCTGGCCTGGCCGTGGGTAGCCTGCTCAGCTTCCTGCTGGGTGATGTGTAGAATACAATACATTGTCACATAGCTTGGCGCGTATACTTGGCGTTGTCAGCCTGCATACAGGTCTCACGGCCTTTCGGAATCTCCGTCGTACCACGTTAATGCTACACAGTGATGCCTAAAGTTCCGCGGCTTCACGATCAAAACAAATGCAATTCCACACCCCAGATCAGAATCTCGGCGTACGACTAGAAAGGAGTTTAGTCAACGAAGTCTGCCCAGCATACCAGGATATCTTGCCTGTTGTGAGTTTTTGCAAATTGCTTACGCGGTGGACGCGCGGGGCATTCAGTTCCAATCATTTAGGCGCGCAACAGACCCCTCCTCCTCTGGCCTGTCCCCTGGCCAAGAATAACGGCTGTCGGTGATCGGAGACTCGTACCTGGCACGTGACGAACGAGGCTCTACTCGCCGGACGTGCTAAACCAACAAAGGAGATGAGAGTGGAATCAATGCCCTGTCACCGTCCGAGCACTAAACCGCATGGATCTTCAAACAGGGGCAACGCAAATCTTGACCCAGCTTGATCTCACTCCCAAGCCTTGCGCTGGGCTGCAATCCTTAACTGCAGTGCACCTGCTGCCCCTGATTCGTGTCCATACTGAACTTTGGTACATGCGACACTGCCTCATCCATGCTGGGATACCGGAAATACGCGTTCCTAGACCAAGTGCCGCCTCCAATGGGATGCTTGCGATACCTCGTCCACTCAAGGCCGCATTCTTTGGCTGATCAAGTACTCGTGTCAGTGATGATCACGGCCCACGGGCATTACTGCGAATCTCGCGATCAGCCATCGTTTCATGTGTCAGCCGGGCTTAGCACAGCCTTCACCTGCTGTGCTCCCCCCATGCTCCCCAGTTAGCTTGCCGGGGGTGTGGACCCGATCAACGTTCTCATCTTCAAGCTCTCCTGCTATAAGCCCCCCTAACCAAGCTCGTGAAAGCGCCAGGGCCGGGGCGTGCTGTTACCATCTTCTGCAATTCTTGTCCCTCGCTAACCTGCTTGTCTAACTTGACGCTGCCTCCTCCTCGTTCCTGCTTCTACCACAAGTTGCCAGTTCCAAGGAAACTACACCTTCGTCGCCGTCACCGTCTATTTCCACCACACCTTTCGTCTCTTTGTAGTATACCACTCTTCCCTTCTTTCCGGCCCGCTCATTCCTCACAACCGAAAGCGTCTACCCGAACCACATTCCTACCAACCTATTTCGCTGGTCGAACCCAACTACTACACCCACCATACGCCATGTCCTTACTGTCCTCTCGAGCAACACTGGTCACTCTTTTCCTCTTCGCATCCTCCACAAACGCCATGCCTCTCCTTCACAAACGCGAGATGGGCACCGGTGCCAAAGCCGGTATGGGCATCGGCATTGCCGTCGCAGCCCTCATCGTCGTCGGCCTGATCGTGTTTCTGGTCATGCACGTGCGCCGCTCCCGGCACATTGCGCGCATCAACAAGGAACGTGCCGTTCTCGCAGGCGAGAAGAACACTGACGGCTCTGACAAGCCGGACAAGTTCGCACCGGAGCCGCAAGTGTCTGCCATTCCCCGCCGCAACAAGAGTGTCAAGGATCGGTTGATGGGCCCGCTGTACCGCGGCAGTGTTATTGACTTGCACCCTCTACCCAAGGCCAGAATCCCCGGCGAGCGCAGCAATCGCATGAGCACCATGACCCTCAGCCAGACAGAGGAGGGTCCTGACGGGCTGCCTTTGGTGGACAAGCCCTTTGGACGAGAGAGTTCCCCTAGGCCCAGCTTCAGCAGTAAGAGAGCGACGAGGATGATGATGATGATGTGAGCGTGGCATCGAAGTCTATTGTCTGCGTTGCGAGCACAAGTTCGTGAGGACGGCGCCGCGGACGTGGCCTTATCGAGGCAGCGTCCCTGGAACACATCTCAAAAGCACCAGGGCTTTTTTGCTACTACTGTTACTGTTAGACGGAGCTGTTCGGCGCTGGATTGGAGTTCTTTGGTCTACTGCTATTGCTATTGCTGCCACAAGCAGCCTCTCCTCGCGGCCTGCAGGCGCTTCGTTTGGGTCTGGCAAGACTCGTTCCAAGGCACACAGAGACGATTCGCGCTACACTCAGCAGCGAAGAGCGGGTATATCCATTTTGAACTTTTGTCGAATTATTGGGAGTGTCACCACAAGAATCTGGAATACTATATCAACTATCTAGTCGATGAAGGTAGAAGAGGAGGCGCCACCATGCTGAAGAAAACCATACTCTTGTATATCCTCTGCATGCTCTATTGCTCCTGCTTGATTTACTGCAGACTCCAAAGCCACCATAGCCTCTGCATACGTGAGCTAGATCAGTCTCCCCACTCTCATCGTCAGGATCAGCAGATCATCTCCCCTTGCCACGTTCCGTACACCGGTGACATGGCTGCACTTAGTCTCATCGCTCGTGGTCCGTCACTGACCGCATGTAAGGAGGCGCTGGCGCCGGCATCAGAGGCGTTTCAGCACATTACGATCTCAGCAATATCATTGTTCTAGACGCAAACACTCTGTAACTGAAGTCATCTAGCGGGCTGGTCCAAGTTCAGCTCGTCTCTGGACCAACAAGCCATGATTACGGGGGGAACTTGGGTGCTGCCTAGTTCGCCTCGTTGCGGTGGGCGTGGGGGCCCGCTGACTATCTGAGGGGTTTATTGCCCTTGGGTAGCAAGCTCAATCCAAACATTTGCGGGATTTGACCATGATGCTGTGGGAGTGGTCTGACTACACAGTCTGCATCCAGGCTTGTTTGGAAGACACCTAGTGCTGATGCAACGACGGGTCCGGCGGGTTCGGAGACCGTAAATCGGCGAGGCGTGCTATGCAAGGGGGGCCTGCTCCATCATGCGGGCCGGAGACGTGTGCGCCCTAGCTCGTGGTACCTCGCCTGCTGGAAGGCACATGCTTCTCGGTCTTCACTATAGGGTTGTTGGTCGTGCAAAGCGGGATCAACCACAAAGGAATGGATTGGCCTGACAGAGGACTAACCTTAGCCTACGACTGCACCGACACGAGCAGAAGCGGAGCAGCCATACGACGGTTGTGAAGGACTCATGTGGTCGTAAATAGGCTACACGATTCTGAGCAGGCGAAAGTGTGCTTCCCGGATTGACTATTGGTGTGGATGGAGACGAAGACGGCATACTCGCAAGGCAGGAGAAAGGCCAATGCGGGGCAACCAAGCCTTGAGGCCTCGTTGCCTGAATCTGACCACCGTTGTCCCTTCATAGCTCGCAACTACACACCAGTGCTTCTTGACCTCTTACACTCTTTCTACTTACTGGTTGGACCCGCCATAGCCAGCCATTTTCTCAGAATTTTGTCAAATAGCTGCCGGTCTTCCTCTGTTCTGCCAGAGCCACCTCCCCGCCCCTCCTTGGCTCACTGACATCCGATTATCTGTCCCCAAAACCTGACCAACAAAACCATCACTATCCAGGAAGCTCAATCGCCTCAGCAACTATGTCTGATCCCGAAATCGCGACCAAGGCGCCCGAGTCCGATGCAATGGAAGACCAAACTACATCACAACCTCCCACTACACAACCCACAGCCACAACCTCAGAGACAACAACCCAGCCTTCCGCTGTTTCGTCCACGGATAGCACCGCGCAAAGCGGCCCAACAATGGGCGCCCACTGCACGTCCGATCGGCCTGCTCCAATCAACACGCCGTCCTCTGGCGAAATCACAAAACTAGCCAACATCGACACCTACATCTCCAAACCAGCAGACTACCCGTCCACGCCCGCCAAACTGGCTCTGCTCCTCACAGGCGGTACCGGCATACACTCTATCAACAATCAGCTTCAAGCCGACCGCTACGCCGCCGCCGGCTACCTAGTCGTCATGCCGGATCAGTTTGACGGTGACCCGGCTCCGAACAGCACCAACCGCGTCACCTCGCCCACCACCGCTACCACCTTCGCCGAAGCGGCCGACGTCGAAGCTCAAACGCCTGCCTCATCCAGCTTGCTCGACCGCATCAAGCTGGGCTTCGCAGACACGGCCAAGTCGTTCGTGCTCGACATGTGGCTTGCCCGGCAGACGCCCGAGAAGGTCCTGCCACGCCTGCTGAAAGTGCTGGCTGCGGCGCGGGAGGAGTACGCGGACGCGGTCGCACACGGCGGCGGCATCTACGCCATAGGCTACTGCTTTGGTGCCAGATACGTCATGATTCTCGCTAGCGAGGATCCGGCCGCACACCCTGCTATTGCGCCGCCGGCGGCGGCAGGCACCGCTACGGGCATCGCGTCTGCGTTTCCGAGTGTCACGCTGCCGGTAATTGGCACGATTGGCGGCAGCGGGAACTCGGCGCAGGCGCAGGCGGACGAAGAAGCGGCGGAAGCTGCTGTACCCACCCCCGCGCCGTCAGGCCCGTTGATCAAGGTGGGCGCCGTGGCGCACGGCACGCTGGTGACACGAGAGGACGTGCGCGGCGTCGAGGTCCCGATGTGCGTGGTTGCGGTGGAAAACGACAGTCTGTTCCCGGAGGAGGTGCTGGAGGCGGGGCGCAAGGCATGGGCGGCTTCGGCCGTGGAGTGCAGAGTGGAGGTGTTTGGTGGGGTGCCGCATGGCTTTGCGGTCCTCGGCGAATATGAGGACGCCGGCATCATGGAGAGCCAGGAACGAGCATTTGAAATGATGAGGGGGTGGTTGGACGAACACTAAGGGTTCGGAACCAACGTCCAAATCACCACCTGGAGCTGGACAGCATGCATTAATGGGGCGTGTGGTATTCAAAGAAGGAGATACGGGATTGCTTCTACAGCTGCACCGCATAAGTGCTCGTGGAGGGCGTTGTAGGTCACACTCATGATACCAAGGTGATGCAATTCTCTTTTACGCATTGGGTCTTTTGCTTTTTCCACTTCATATTCTCGGCATGAGGAGGCAGTGCCTGTACGGTCTGAGCCTCGGATCAGAATTTGAATGAGACTCCCTTTTCTATCATGGTATCGAGGGCCGCGCAGCAGCTCAATTTCGCTCAAAAAAGGAGACAGCATACAGCATGGCCAAGCGCTCGTGGCCTTTTCGTTCCAACGAGTATCGGGGTCAGGTGTGTTGTGTGGGGCAAAGTTGTCGTGGCTCATTTCTGCATCATCAATTGGACGAACTCGTTGTCTGTCCGTCTCGGTCAGCTGGTATGTTCTCAGACGGAAAGGGTGGTACTGCGGGAACGGAACGTACAGTCAATTCGCCCATCACCATCCTGGTCCGCTTCGCGGATCATCTCGTCTACCTCGTCGTCGGTCAGCTTCTCGCCGATGGAGGTCATGACGTGGCGCAGCTCGGCGGCGGAGATGAAGCCGTTGTTGTCACGGTCGAATACCTTGAAGGCCTCGCGGATCTCCTCCTCCGAGTCCGTATCCTTCATCTTGCGGGCCATCATGGTAAGGAATTCTAGTGGGGATTGTTAGGTTCGTGAACCCAATGGCAGTGGCAGGTAGACGCACCAGGAAAATCGATGGTGCCGTTGTTGTCGGCGTCGACCTCGTTGATCATATCCTGCAGCTCGGACTCGGAAGGATTCTGGCCTAGAGAGCGCATCACGGTACCCAGCTCCTTGGTTGTGATCTGGCCTGTGCATCACATCAGCGTCCTGTTCTGTCTTTCTTGGGGCGACTGCCTGGGGAAGGCCGTGCAGGATCATATCCCACGAAGCACACGTACCATCGCCGTCCTTGTCCTGTGAAGATTGTAAGCATTAAATACGGTACAGAGGCTGATGGACTTACAAATAGGGAGAAGGCTTCGCGGAACTCGGAGACTTGCTCCTCGGTGAGAGAGTCAGCCTAATCGATGTATGTGTTAGTGTGCTATCTAAACATGACGTGGCGCAATTGAGAATGGTTCTATGTTTGTTAGGCTGCAATGGCGGGGTGAGCGTACCATGGTTGTCGGGTGGTACTGAGAAAGTCAGAGGCTCTGTCGTGGATTTGATGTCGACGATATACGGAGGGGTGGAAAATAGTATCGCAGTGGTGCAGAGGGGGGTTCTTGTGTGTTTGTGCGTGGTGTTTAGTCTCAACTTGTCAGGATGCGGGATGGGCAGTTGAACACTCGGGGGCGAGCTGGACTCTTGTGGGGACAAATGCGGGACCATGGTTTCTCCGGCACCGCTGCGACGACGCATGACGGACGATCAGGACACACTGCCTGCGAGACTCGGAGGAGGTAACGCCTACGCTCCACGACGTACGTTTGGACAAAGCTTGGTTGTGACCTACAGCGACACCTAAGACTCATCTCGTGCCATGTTAGCCTCATAGCGAGCGGCCGAAGCATGCGACACAGGCCACCATCCATCAAGGAGCACTTCCCATCACTGCTCGGGTACAGCCACATGACAATATGAGTTGGCGAGACCGAACAAACTTGTGTGCATAGCATTCTCGTGACTCCGGCCTGAAAGCTGACGTTCCACCAGATACATCTCTTATCGACAGTCCTATGCACATCATCCGGCGAAGCGACCTCGTTTCGGAGGCGCATCCAATGGCTTCGCCGATCAATCCGACGAGACCCGCGGGCTCATGTCGACCGGCGCGTACGACGGGGATGGAGATGCTGTTATAGAGATGGACCTCCTACCGCCTCGATGGGTTGACGTGCAGGAGGAAGTTGATGAGATCCTGAAAGAGATTACGTTTAAGGCTGCCAAACTGGACAAGCTGCACTCGAAGCACGTGCTACCAGGCTTCGACGATGAGCACGTCAAACAGCAGGAGGAACGGGAGATTGAAGCACTCACTCAGCAGATCACCCGCGGCTTTCAGGAATGTCAGAAAGCGATTAAGCGCATCGCGACTATGGTTCGAGAAGCCAAGGACACGGGCAATCTGGCCAATGGCGACGAAACTATGGCCAGCAACATACAGATCGCTCTAGCGTCTAGGGTGCAGGAAGTCAGTGCGACATTCCGTAAGAAGCAGAGCAATTACTTGAACAAGCTGCGGCAGCTGGGTGGCTTCGAATCGCCATCTGGCTTCGGACGGTCCGGCACGCCTGTGCAGAATCCTTACTCTGACCCAGCGTTGATGGAATCGGATGCCGACAAGTCCCTATCTCAGTCGACTTTACAGCAGACGGCGCAGAAGCAGCTACATAGCAATGACGCCGTCATTGCACAGCGGGAGCACGAGATCAATGATATTGCTAAAGGCATCATCGAGCTCGCCGACATATTCCGGGAGCTACAGTCCATGGTTATCGATCAGGGTACCATGCTCGACAGGATCGACTACAATGTCGAACGCATGGCAACCGATGTGAAGGGCGCCGAGAAAGAGCTTGTGGTGGCCACGAACTATCAGAAGCGGAACACGAAGCGCAAGATTTTACTACTGCTTCTGCTGTTAGTGATCGGCATGTTCGTCTTACTGTTGGTGAAGCCTAAAAGGAAGGCTGCGCCGGTAGAACCACCAGCCACCAACCCCCCTTGACCAATTGCCCGCTGTTCAACCATCCCACTATGCAAGATGCTCGTGCGCGGCTTCTGTGTTTGGTGTGGTAGCGATGCTTCACATCAGCTCCATTCCCAAGCGGACCAAGTGCTTGGAGTTTAAAATATCGGAGTCTCGGGTCAAGGCTGGACTACAAATGCTCCAGCTGTCTATGCTGTGCCCTCGGTGCGCACGGTGAACTACAACAGAACGAGAGCAGTATTTCTGAATCAAAAGCTGGCTGAAAGATGGGATAACTGCCGACAAGAGACCAACGACACAAGAGAGCAATGACACACTGCGCTGTTCATGCGCAAACCAGAGACCTTTTACCGGCGAGCCAGTAGTTGTCGCAAGAGCGAGTGCGCTTCGTCTCCAAGATCAAGAGGCGGCCGTCGCAGCTCACCTCAGAACCATCAAACCTGGAACGTGAAGAGCAGGGCTACCAGAGACCGACTGATAGGCCTCATTTCCTGCTTCCCCACCAGATAGATTTACAGCAGATCTATGTATGTATTCTAATTGACCGTCTCAAAAGAACCGGCATTCATCTGAAACCCACATGAAACCATTCCATCAACCAGTCAACCAGTGACATTCTTGCAAAACCCAAGAAAAAACCTGGTCGAGCCAAACACGTTTGATGGCACATGCCACCGGTTTTTCCACACGCAGTTGACTTTAGCATCCAACCACTATCTTTCTCTGCCTGCCCCCCGATGCAGCTAGACACCTCCCCAAGCAGGAAACCAGCCTACGCTTTCATGCGGCCCTTCCAGTAAATACGCCTAGTATGCAACCAGTATAGACCAGGAACCACCTCAGATGGAGAACACCCGCCCGCTGATGGCGCGCCGCGCAAGCAATTGGCGATTGCGCGTGTCCCAAAAGTAGCGTTGCGTTGCGTTTGCTAGCGGCCGCGACGTTCCGTGGAGAACCCTCAGCTCGTAGGGGCTTTGCACCACGGGTGCCTGGTTTGCGCCCGCAAAGAAGAGCGATGTGGGACTTTTTTTGGCCGGGCCTCGATGTAAAGAGTGCTTAGGTGAGGCGGCCAAGATGTGCTTGGGGCTTTCCGCATGGGGGGACGAGATGCTGACTTCAAGTCTGGGAGGGCGTGGGAACGGTAGGTGAGGGGCCTGATGATGATGATGGTGATGATTATGGTGATGGAAGGAAAGTAGACTGGGAGAAACGACTGGGTATCTTCTCGTTCTACCAAGGTAAGTATCAAGTCTGGCAGTGTGAACGCCATCCGCTGATGCCAGAAAACATATCAAAAGCATTTGCTGCGCCTTCTCAGGATATCATCCCATCCTCCTGAAGGCATTCCCACTAGCACTCCGTCTGTCCTTTCGATTCGGCCTGTCGTCACTACCGTTCCGCGGGCGCGACGCATGCTTGCCCTTCTTGGTCGGCTCAAATGTGATGATTTTCTCCCCCACCTCACCGCCTCTGCTTTTGCCTTTGCGCTCTCTGGCAGGCATGTTCTCTGCTCGAGCTTCAAAGCTGCGATCCAGTTCACTTCTCCTGAATCCTTTAGCCTGATCTGAGCTTGTCATGCGCATTTCCAGCTGTTTCCTGCGCTTCTTGTCCTTCTGCTGATCCTTCTTGTTCTTGCTCCGCTTATAGTCCGCCGTAGAGATGCGGCCCTCGCTCTTCTTGAAGGGGTCGTCTTCGGAGTCCTCATCGCTGGAGCCGGGGACATCATCCACCATCTCTTGTTCCACCGCAGTAAGGCCGCGCTCTTGGTCAAGATTGCTTCGAGGTGCAACCTTTGTGGAGGGGTTGAGTTGCTGAAATTCGCGGGACGTCTCGTCGACCTGGAAATCCTCATCCTGGAAGAGGCGGGTGAAGCGAGAATCCGCCAGTAGCTTAGGTTGTCTTGATTCCGCTCCTGCCATCTCAGGCTGTGGTTCTTCCTCTTCAGCGACGTCTTCTGTCTTCTCATCCCCTCCCTGTGCAAGGACACGCTGAGCTCGGCGTCGCTCGTTCTTCTCTTCACGTTCGAGAATGCGTTCGACCAGCTTGCGATTGACCTTCGCCGTGACCTTTTTCTTGCCTCGGATCCGACTCTCGCGCTCCTGTTCAATCTTCTTTTGGACTCGCTTCGCCCTTTCTTCCTCCCAGGAGGTCGGATTGGTAATCATCCGCGCTTCTTCGTAGAGCTGTTGGGCTACGAAGAAACCATGCATGTAGGGGCGGAGGAGATTGGTTTTACCGACGAGATGGTCGAGGTTGAGAGCTCGGAGTTGTGGGAGAGTAAGAAATTTGTGATTATCGTATACCTCGCCTCCAGTACGTTTGTTGAAGGCCATTGGATCATTAGGGTCATCAGCAAGTTCTTCGACAACATTGTCGAGGAATGAGCACCAACGAGGCGCCGGTCCGAGCTGGGGAATAAAGAAAGCATGTTGTTGGCGGCCTTCATTGGCGGTCAGAAGCATGCCACTATCCTTACACCAGGCAACAGAGTTGATATCAACAGATGGCTCGACAGAAGTCCAGGGCGCACCGTCGCGCTCGTCCCATATCTTAATGATGCGCTTATCGGCCGAAAGGACTTTCGGCTCTGTAGTCGATGCGCGAGTTGTTGAGGAGAAATGAAGATATTGGAGGTGGTGTATCGGATACCCATATCCCTGATCCTTCTTGAGAGTCGGAGTGGGAGAGCGCAAGTCGTACAAATATATGAGCCCAGATGAAGTCCCCGCGGCGATATTGATGCCTGAGCGATGAAAGTCCAGGGCTGTCACTTCAGGCCGGCCCTCGAAATCTGCTGGCAGGGCAAGCGTTGCTACCCGGGCCCGTGACCGAGAATCCCAGTACTCGATGGTTCCCATGGTGGTGCCGAAAGCAAAGAGTCCGTGACTACCCTCTGCGATCGAAGCCGTGTTCACTCCGCCCGTCTGAACGCCGCCTTGCAGCCCCGAATCGTCAATATCGTTTCCACCGACATCGACCTCGAAAGGGTTCATAAACCTTCCTAACTCAAGATTGATTCTGAAAACCTCGCCAGATCCGTTGTTGTTGACACCTACAGCCGGCACAAGGATTTCGGTGTTGGCCCGGTCGTATGCGAGGTCTCGACCGTATCGGGGTATTCGGAGGGCATGGTGTCGGCCACCTGGTGTATGAAACTCGACCGATCTGTCTTCCTGTAGGTGAATGGTCTTGGAGTAGTCTGATGAAAGAAAAGTAAAGGTCTTGTTGAGCGTGTCTGTGTGACGCGCCCATGCCATAGACAGGTTTGGCAGGTAATGAGTATGAATCTGAGGCTTGTATGTGCCGGTGCTCATAACCCACTCGCCGTCCTCACTGATGCGCACGCATTGGCTCGCCTCTTCGAACTCGAAGTCTTGGAGCAATTCCACACGATTGGCATAATCGGCGTGAGTATTCTTTCTCTTCTTTTGAGGCTGCCAGTCCGGAAGGTCTCGATTCACATTGGATCCCGAGACCGTGTACACCGGCACGGCGCTATTGGTGAGCTTCATGGTGCGGAGACGGCGGTTCAGAGACGCATCGCTCGAGTGCGTCTGTCCGTGAGTCAGTATCCGTCGCGCAAAAGCACAGCGGCGAAGAAGAAGAACATACCTGGTGGGCCGCAACAGAGGCAAGTTTCGCAAAGAACTTTTTGACTTTCCCGATCATCTCCAACTTTTCGCCCAGGCGCTAGTCTACGGAATGGGTTAGCGCAGAATGGAGCCGCGAGGGTGAGTTCGGAGTGAGTCGAAAGTGAGTTTGGCCCTCCTGTGAGTCCGGCCGCTTCGGGCAGCATCCAGACCTTCACTCATTCTGCCACATCCCATCAATCCATCACGCCCTGCCGACTCTTCTCACCAGTCCATCAACCTGTTGCTCTTTTGCTGTCGGACCTTGGTATACAAGTCGAGCCTTTGGGCTTCATTTGGTGGCTGCCGAGCCCGGATTGATGACTTGTCATCTGGCTTATATCGGCGGTGCATTCTAAGCTCAGGCTGCAGCATTGGTCCTCCAACTGCAGGAGGCGGTGCAGCTGGAGCCATCTTCAGGTTATCCCAGACCACAGCACATGATACAGCACCAATCTGAGATGCGACTGGAAGCATACTATCGTCGCAGACGACCACGGTGTTCAATCGTCACTCTACCTCCCAACGGCTGACCCGAGTAATGACGGCTGTTGCTGAATTTCCGAGCAACTGCTCTACTAATACAATAGTCCTGGTACGTTGTCTAAGCGACAGATGTTCGTTGAGTGCTCACTTTTTATAGCAAGATTTTGGCGAAGTGGCATATATAGTCTGCACGGTGTCGATACCACCACAGAACCACAATGCTCCTCCGGACCCTTCTCCGGAGAGCAATCTGGCCAGGCTCAAGCATACCGAGAAACAGTTCCACCAGGCCTCAATTTTAGCATCAATCGATAACGATGCACTTCAACTTTTCACCTTCTACAAGAAGATTGACGTTTTGAAGGATCAACGAACAATCTTGACCAAATTTGGCCAGATCCTCAGGAGCAACTCCTGCACAATCAGCTACAAGGCAGCTGCACGAGCTCCAGATTTGCTCAAACCAGAGAACGGTCGTCTTTACCGCTTATTCATTACTGCTGTCTTGGCGAATATCGAAATCACTGTGACCGATGGTCGCAGACTCACTCCGCTAGGACAACGTTACCACGCAGTCGAGGTTCTGAATGCACCCAGAAGCCTAATTGAGAATGACTTGGAGGAGTGGGCACTGATGCGCACCGACCTCCAAATGGTCCATACGGGGCAGATTATCCTCACAGTCTCTGAGCAGCGCCATCTAACTCCATTGACGGTGTCAGCCAGGGGATTGCAACAGCCCATCGATTACGGTAAGCCATGGAGAGCAATGCCCGTTGTTCTGGCTCCAACTGGCCAGCTTGCGGTGTATCGGAATGGATGGATCGGAAGGGCAGAGGATGGACACGGGCATCCCAAGGCGTTGTCTAAGCATCTCCTAGCATCGCTGCACATCTGGCAAGGACTTTTCGAGAAATGGAGCAAGCTGGAACCATACGTGGACACGCAGATTGACGACCTTTGGGCTGAGTTGTCAATACCTGTTCAAGAGCAACCAGTCACTGAGCCTCCTACCTCACCTAACGCGAAGAAACACGAAATTAAGAGTTCGATGAGCTTCAAAACATTGTTTTGGCCTGCAAAGTGGTGTTTTGCGTTCGATCTCTCACGTGGCTTCAGTGATGATGGCAGCGGCACAGAAGCGGAATACGATCCTGTGCAATTCATCCTGGAATGGTTCGAAACTTTGGGCAATGGTGACTATGGATTGAGCCATTCGACAAATCGCACAGCCTCGGCTGATAACGACGACGCTTCTATTTTTCCGGAAGACACTGCTTTCGAGAACGCCGAGACCTTCCAACCCTTCGGACCGCCAGTATTTCCTGCGAGCCAGACGGTTTACCCAACGCCTCCGGATGTAGTCATGACACATGCCACTCCTGCAATGTCCTCGGTCGATGGCATGGCGGCAACACCAGCGACTCTCTCGCGAATAGCGGCCGAGGCCAGCACCCTCCGTCAAGACCAAGCCATGGAGGTCGACAGCGGCATCGCAGTTGGTGTAGGGTCGGGACTGTACGACGAGGATTTGTTCGAAGATATGCCTGATGAGGCCTTCGGGCAGAACGCTGCTGGCGACGAACCTAACTGGGACTTCTTTGACAAACCCACGTTAGAGGCAGAGGCAGCAGATATCGAGCTTGCGGACGCTATGGATGTTGACCCTTTAACGCAGCCATCGGATGGGGCCGGAGATGAAGAACAGAACAACGCAGCTGGTAATGTGAGTGCTCCTCAGGTGTCAAAGGCCGAGACTTTGGCATCGCAGCAGCATGAAGAGATGGCCGAGCAGGTGCCATCATCCGTATCACCCAGCGAGGATGCACCGAAAATGGGCAGAGCATCGGCAGACCCGTTGATAACGGAGGAATTTCCAGCGCCAGAATCTGGGGATACCAGACCCCGTCGCCCGAGTGTCTTTGACGGAGTCCACCGTCGTACAACGTCACCACAGCGTGATCAACGCTACACAGCTACAGGTTCTTTCCACTTCAATGCACGAGCGGCACCAACTAAAATGGCTGCATCGCCTCCAAGTCTTGACCAGTGGATTAAGCGAAGCCCTTCTCCTTCAGTTTCAAGCGACAGCGACCTTAGCGGTTATGAGACGCCCATCTACGCGGATAGTCCGCTAGAATATAGAATACCAACCCCTGGACAGCTTCCGGATGAAAGTACAAGTATGGCAGCAGAGGGGCAGAATCTGAAGATCGATACAGAGGCTCTTGAGCAAGAGGCGCATCTCGTCTTCGAGCTTGTCAGTGTTCAGCATACGCGATCCACGCTTGACGACGCAGTCGTTTTTGCCAAACCCGCAGGTCTAGGATCACAGTTCGACAAACCAAATGTTCGCAACGGTTTTGCTCACGAAGTTGTTCACCAGATCACCCAGACTTGCCTGCTTCACGATGTTTATGGAGTTTCATCGTTGACCGTTGATGGCGCATCTCGACACGATGTTTCCCTAACTATGGGCAACCTGGCCGACGGCACGGGGTTCTCGAATGTAGCGCACTTGTGTGGCATCGTCCCGCCAACCAGCGGCAAGAAGCCGATCGGGCGCACCACAAGACTACCTGAACCGGAAGTGACCATGAAGAGGCTAGACAAGCAGATTACAGCACGGCCATCAATCCTTCCTTTCTGGGATACCTTAGGACTGCAGCCAGCACCAAAGTCGAAGGATGTGACAGCGTTCTGCCTGCATCCTCATGGCTCCGGAATGGCCGATAGCTGCCTCGATTTCTTGGATCGCATATCGGACGCATATGTTTCCTGCAACTTGGGTCAACATCAGGCCGGAAGTATTGCCGGCGTGAGTAGCGATGGCTTGCTTGAGGCTGACCCCAATGATCAGGGCATGTTCCTCGGGCCTGTGAGGCGGTTAGGAGAAGCACTTGCCAAGCCCACTCAGAAGGGCGGTACCCTGGTCATCTACCTGATTGCCAACTCGCGTCATGACATGGCCTACGTCTACTGCTCTGTCGCAGCATACGCCATTCGACGGCATGTTGAGCAAGGCTGGGCCAAGCGTTCTGAGCAGCTGAATCTGGTCTTCCAAGTTGTGCCCCCGGACTTTGTTGCCTCGTCACAGGAAGTGGTTGTTCCAGCACAGTCAGCATATAACTCCGTGGCATTGGGTGTCTACAGCCGAATACCTCCTTTCGATATCGAGACCTCTCTCGGCATCTGCGAGTATCCTCTGGTCCTCCCTGAGGGTAGAGACGGTGTCAACTTCGGCCTAGAAGCCGGTGTCATCTCACCCCTTTCTAAAGACGGAGCCTGTCTGCATGTCGGCTACTCGTGGAGCGATGATCGACGGTGGCTCGTGGCCGCCTGGACTGATGCGAGAGGATTTCTCTCCTTCGTGATGCCATATCAGATCAAGTCTCACATTCTCGGGCCTGCACGTTCAATTGACGAGGTGGTCAAAGACATGTGGGCGATTTCGCACGAACTCATGGCTCGGCAACGGAACAGGTGGAAATTGGTGGTATCGAGAGCAGGCACTTTCGAGGCGCCTGAGATCAATGCCTGGATGTCCGTGGCCAATTCTCGAGCCGAGAGTGCTAAGTCGAAGTGCTCATTGTCTCTACTCACGGTGGAGTTGAATCCGACGCTACGAATTTTTCCACAAGCAGAGCATGGCAAAAGTGCACAAAATGCTTATGGGACGCCAGCCTCGACACCTCAAGGAGGAGTCACGTCTCCTGAACAAGTTGTTGCTGCGACACCCACTCCGGGTGGCACGTCGACTTTGAATGCTCCCACGCCGCCTGAACAGGGATTCGATCCAAACGCGGATAACGACCTTAGCATCGTCGACCCGGGAGAGGAGAGCTGGGCGGTTATACTCCCATATGGAGTCAACCAATCCAAGGACATTCTCGAAATACGGCCTGCAGTGGCCAGTGGCTATCTTGTGAAGCGAAACGGGATCAGGGAAGAAGATGGCCTCACCATGCTGGGTGTGCACATGATTTGGCCTACGCCAAATCCAAGTACCACACCACCTGGGCAGCGCGAAGACGAGTTGGAGGACTTGGTGAACGACTTTCGAGGACTTGTGACCCTCGCAGCTGCCAGAGGCTGCATTGACAAGGCGACAAGTTGCGTGCCATGGCATATACATACATCTGTCACTGGGGCAACCACATTAGGCAAACTCATTTGATAGACAGCAGGAATCACACTGAAAAAGACGAAGACACCGGATTTGTGGATTCAGCTGTCGCACGCTCCGAGATTCAAGTCAGCTCATGGCAACGACCGGCATGAGCGGTACCGCGTAATAATGCTGCGAGAATGCTGGGGCTGTTGAATCCTGCGACCCAGTACCCACTCGCTCGGCTGCTTTAGCTACTGTCCAGGGCACCCAGGCTCGACAGGGTCTCCCCAAGGAGCTCGCCTTACCTAAGATGGTAGCACCATCCAACGCCGAGCAGATCTAATCAGATGGGCCCTGAAGACCCTACGAATTCTACCAATGGTCTAGCTCTCACGCGACCCATCTCTGCCGACTCAGGACCGTCACTCTCCTCTTGCTACCTCATTCAGTTGGCCAGATGCCCCCAAAACCTCTTGTTCTTTTCTTGGCCAGCCGTTGCGCGCAGCTTGAGGCATTATTTTTCCTCACGGCCGTGACCTCATCCCCGGAACCGCTGAAGAAAAAAGTGGAGGTTTGATAAAATTCTTTCAGCTGCTGAATTATCTGATAAGATTTAATGCTTGCATCTGTCCCCTCTACCACCAAGCCTCGTCTCTGTAACAGTATCTTCCTTGAATCTCAGCTGCGTTAGTGCCAGAGCGATTGTTGACATACTCGTTTCTGCGTTTTAAGCATCAACTCGACTGCACCAGGTCCGGAGCATCTCTGCATCGCTTCGGAACATCAATTGGACCTGCTTGAGAGACCAGTAACAACTAGCCACCATGTCGGCCTCAACCACGGAGACGCCTAACAACGGCCACGTCTACGCCGGTGAGAAGCATGGCGCTGTGCCCCAGAACGGCAGGGACAGCTACGATGTCGACCGACGCGCCTCGAAGACCCTCGGCGAGAAGTCACCCGGTGTGGCTCGCGTCGAAGCCATCTCCAGCGTGCTCACCATGAAGGATCGCATTGCTCTCTTTTTCGGCGTCTTCCTCATCTCCTACGCCTACGGCCTCGACGGCACGCTTCGCTACACCTATCAGCCATACGCGACCGCCGACTTCGGAGTGCACTCCCTTCTCGCCACGGTCAATGTGCTGCGGGCGGTGATTGCTGCTGCCGCGCAGCCCACCGCCGCGAGGATTGCCGACGTTTTCGGCCGTGCTGAGCTCATTATGGTGTCTGTCTTCTTCTATGTCCTGGGCACCATTATCGAGTCTGTGGCCACTAATGTCAACACCTTCTCTGCCGGAGCCTGTGTCTACCAGATCGGATACACCATGATCATCGTGCTCGTGGAAGTCATCATTGCAGATCTGACCTCGACTCGCTCGCGTCTCTTCTTCTCCTACATCCCCGCCACGCCCTTCATCATCAACACCTGGGCGTCTGGCAACATCGCCGCCGACGTTATGGCCGCCACGACCTGGAAATGGGGCATTGGGATGTGGTGCATCATCTATCCCGTGTGCGCCGCGCCGCTCATCGTCACGCTCCTCCTTGTCGGCCGCCGCGCCCGCCGGGAGGGCAAGCTCGACTCGTACAAGTCCGAGTTCCAGTCCAGGGGCGCGGGCGGTCTGGCGGTCCAGCTCTTCTGGCAGCTCGACGTTATTGGCGTTCTTCTGGTCATCGCGCTCTTCGCGCTGATCCTCACGCCGCTGACCATCGCCGGCGGCTTCAGTGCACAGTGGCGGCAGGCTCACGTCATCGCGCCGCTGGTCATCGGCATCCTGTGCGTTCCGGGCTTTCTGGTGTGGGAGCTGTTCTTCGCGCCGCAGCCGCTCCTACCTATCCGCCGCATGACCGACCGCGGCATTTGGGGCCCGATGGGTATCGCTCTGTTCCTCAACTTCTGTTGGGGCATGCAGGCCGACTACCTGTACACTGTCTTGATTGTGGCCTTTGATTTCTCCATTGCCGGGGCTACGCGCATCACGCAACTGTACAGCTTCACCTCCGTCATCACGGGCACGCTGCTGGGTCTGATCGTCTACAAGGTGCGGCGCCTCAAGCCGTTCATCATCGCTGGCGTCTGTCTCTTCATCGTCGCGTTCGGCCTGATGATCCACTTCCGCGGCGGTGACGACGGCTCCTCGCAGGCCGGCGTCATCGGCGCGCAGGTGCTGCTGGGCTTCGCCGGCGGCATGTTCCCCTACCCGGCACAGGCTTCCATCCAGGTCCAGGTCAAGCACGAGCATCTCGCCGTCATGACCGGTCTGTTCCTCGCCACGTACAACGTCGGCTCCGCTTTCGGGTACACCGTCAGCGGCGCCATGTGGACGCAGATCCTGCCCACCAGCCTCGAACGCAACCTGGCGTTCCAGACCAACGAGACGCTCGCCGCTGCCGCGTATGCGGATCCGTTCTCCATTGCCCTGCTGTATCCTGTTGGGACGCCCGAGCGCCAGGCGCTCATCGACAGCTACCAGCACATCCAGCGTCTGTTGTGCATCACGGGCATTTGTTTGTGCGTGCCTCTGCTGGCGTTTGCGTTTGCGATCCGCAACCCGAGGTTGGATGAGAGGCAGACTCTTGCGGAGGATTCGGACAGTGAGACAAACATCCAGATCCAGCGTGGACAAGAGGTGGTGGCGCAGGGCCAGGGCAAGTGGTTCCACAAGCTATTCTCTTGAGGTGTGTGCGATCTAGGTACAGGGGCGTGTAAATAGGTGAAGCATGCCGGATTATTGTGAGAGTTCGATATGGCTCTGTAGGATAAGGGGGCTCGGGAGAGTTGCGGCTTCGAGAAACGGAGAGTATATTAATAATAGTAGTTGTGTAATAGAGATGATTGTGAGAGCTGCACAGGGTCTTCACCTTTGATGCTGCGGTACTGCTGTGCCGGTCGTAGTCATACTACGGTGCCTTTCGCACTTGGTGCAGTATACTGTGCATTTCCCGCATGCCGACGACTGCGATTGGGCTGCCGTAGCCTGCGCGAGTCCTGGGCGCGTGATTCTTGGCATCTCCAGCTTAGCAAAGAGTAGGCTCACACGCGGGGCACAAGACCTCGAGGCAGCGAGACTGCTTCAAGCGGCCTTGTGGGACATGCTGTTGCGAGGCCCGCACCTCGTCGCCTCGATTTGGTGGGAGGCTTGCGGAGGGAATCCGCAGCCACGTCTGAGCGGATGAAATCAGAAAGAAAGTACTCTAGTTGCGTGGTAAGATGATTCCCGAAATCCAGCTTGCTCTCAGGGGAGCGGATCTCTGAAGCTCGGGCTCGTTTGGTATCTTGCAGCTGTTATCGCCTAGGGGCTCCATGTCAGGGATCTCCCCTTGCAAAGTTGGTATCTCGCTAGCTCGTCGGCTGGATACCTCAGGGTAGTAGAGGATAGACGGTATAGTACGGAGTACAACAAGTAGCGTATACACGCCCAGTCTCCTTGGTCAGGGATAGTGGGTCGGCGCGCAAGGCTTAAGCTCCAAGCCAATGTGAGACAAGGGAAGTTCGGGAGCATGGCTGCTGGCTTTGGCATTGGCATGTGTTGGCGCGACGAGTGTTCGGCAAAGCTTCTAGGGCTTGCATATCCGCTCCGGAGGCAGTATGGATGTACCTTGGGACGACAGGACAACGAGGCGATGGCGTGTCGCCTGTGTCGCGACCTGCACCGGCAGCTACAGTAGACGAAAGCTCGGTATAGGATTGGTCGATAGTTATTCTAGAACATGAGGGGCGGAGTCTTGCCGGGGAGTGGCCGCCTGCCGACTCGCCACAGGGACAACAGTATCTGCGACGCTGTTATCTGAGAATGCAGAAACGGGATCAGGCTCCATGCAGCGACCATCGTTCCGGCGTCCATACGACTGGTTGCGAGAGACATCGGTGCGCTCCGTAGATGGGGGCTCGGTGGGCCGACCAGTAGGAAACACAACGGGAAGCGCGATTGAATGCAACCTCATGGCGGATTAAAAACAGAACCTTCAGTGTCCAATCCGGGAGGACCGAGGTTCAAAGAGTGTCCAACGAGGCAAAAGGGCCGTGTGTGTGGCGTGAAGAATCTGGAGACAGAGTTTATCGCCAAGCCTTTCCCAAGCGCTTGCCTCGTTAGCAGCAACGACATGGGTGACCGGCGCCACCGACACGTGAGATGCGCTTCTGCTTGGCATCCATGGTCGCTGGTACGATGTTACCCTGCAAACTGGTCGAAGCAACGAGTGGACCGTGGTTAACCGCTTGAGCCGAACTGGGTGGGGGGGCGACAACGCGATAGAGAACGATTTACGAGATGATGGTCAAGGGCAAGGACCAGTCCGGCTAGCGTGCAGTCGTTTCGAGGACTCGCACAGGTCCAATACCGAACCAAATGCCAGATACCAGAGCTGAGGGGAGGGCACAACACGGATCCCCGCTCCGCCCCAAGGGCATCCCTGACCCAGACCTCGATCTGGCTTTCAGGTGTGCTTTTCCGCGATCGATCGCAGGAATGCGACGTGAAGTCTGACGTGCGACAATATTACTATGGCGCCTTCTCAGCCTCAAGGTGCGGATAGCATTTCAGAGGCTGAACGACGAGTTGGACGAGTTGACAGCGGCCATCCGCTGGCAGGAATGCTGTTACCTCACATCAAGCTAGGGAAGCTTTAGCCCGGTTCTTAACCTGAACACTTGGTGCCGGAAAGCAAACGGCCCAAGCAAGGGCTGGCGGCCGGGGTGGCGGCAGCAGACAGTGAGCTTGGATGGCTCTCGACCACTGGGAGAAGGCGATAACCCGGCGCCGAACGCCACTAGATGGTGTCGAAGCCCCCCAAGAGGAGGTGAGCAGGGGCTTAATCCGCTGCCAAGGCACATCTTCTCTTGGCAATGCTACCAATGTCACCAAAATCTGAACTATCGCGTGCGACCTTAATCACCACCCCGGCAGAACCACGCTTGCAGAACGCTCTGGTGCGGCGTGAAAGATAACACCAAAAATCACCTTCCCGTTTCGAACCAACCTCCCGTGATGCCAGAGAGGTAGGCCGGTGCTGATCTCGTGCCCCTTCGTGTCCGCTTGTGATATAATTGACCACGCAGTTCCCGCGACCCGGTCCAAGCCCTTCCATCCCACACCTCTCCCTTTGGGTCATCCATAGTTAGACATCCGAGTCCTTTGACCACCATGTCTGCCCTCGGCCACAACGAAGGCGACGCTGTCGCCGCCGCCAAGGTCGATAACGCCCAGTATGCCTTCTCCCCCATCGAGAAGGAACTAGGTCGCGGTTCGGTCGATGCTGGCCGCCGCACCTCCATCATCGCCGAGGATGAAGAAGACGAGCACATAACCGAAGACGATCTGCTCAACCTCCGCCGCGTCTCCGGCAAGATCCCCTGGCAGGCTTACACGATCGCCTTCTGCGAGTTGTGCGAGCGCTTCTCATACTATGGCTCCACTGTCGTCTATGTCAACTTCATCCAGCAGCCTCTTCCTGAGGGTTCCACCACTGGCTCCGACGATGACCAGCCTGGTGCACTGGGTATGGGCCAACGGGCGTCCACCGGCCTGACCACCTTCAACCAGTTCTGGTCCTATGTTATGCCTCTTCTCGGCGCCTACCTGGCTGATGCGCATCTCGGTCGCTTCAAGGCGATTAACCTCGCCATTGTTTTCGCCATGGTCGGTCACATCATTCTGACCGCATCCGCCGCTCCCAGCGTGCTGAAGAACTCCAACTCCGCCCTGGGTGCTTTTATCGTCGGTCTGATCGTTCTCGGTGTTGGCACCGGCCTCTTCAAGTCCAACATCTCACCCCTGCTGGCCGAACAACAAACCACGCTCAAGAAGAAGATTGTCACACTCAAGTCCGGGGAGCGAGTCATTGTTGACCCAGCCGTCACCACCGCCCGCATGTTCCTGTGGTTTTATGTCTGCATCAACATCGGCTCTCTCGTGGGCCAGATTGGCATGGTTTTCGCCGAGAAGTACGTGGGCTTTTGGCTCTCGTACTTGCTACCGACTGTCCTCTTCATCTGCTGCCCAGTCATCTTGGCTGTCTGCAAGAAGCGCTACCGACTCACGCCTCCTACCGGCTCTGTCCTAAGCAAGTTCTTCAGTATGTGGACCTATGCCATGAAGGGCAAGTGGTCCATCAACCCGGCCACGACCTACCGCAATTTCCATGCCCCCGACTTCTGGGATAAGGTCAAGCCCTCGTTGGTGCCAGTTTCGGCTCGCCCTGCCTGGATGACTTATGACGATGCCTGGGTTGATGAGGTCCGCCGCGGTCTCAAAGCCTGCGCCGTCTTCTTGTACATGCCTCTCTGGTGGCTCGCGTACAGTCAGATGACCAACAACTTGGTCTCCCAAGCTGCCGTTATGGAGCGCCACGGCGTCCCCAACGACATCATCCAGAACCTAAACCCCATCTCCATCATCATCATGATCCCGTTGATGGACTTCGTCGTGTACCCTGCCTTCCGCAAGTACAGAATCCCCTTCACTCCTATCAAGCGCATGACCGTCGGCTGGGCCACCGCATGCCTCTCAATGATCGCCGCCTGCGTGACGCAGTACTATATCTATGAGAGATCAGAGTGCGGCAAGTATGCCTCGGGCGATATTCCCGGCACCGAGGAGTCTTGCCCTGCTGCACCTATCAACGTCTGGGTCCAGGCCCTCCCATACGTCCTTGTCGGTATCTCTGAAATTTTCACCAACGTCACCTCACTCGAGTACGCATTTACCAAGGCTCCCGTAAATATGCGCTCGCTGGTCATGTCCATCAACTTGTTGATGAATGCCTTCAGCTCCGCCATCAGCCAAGCTTTCGTCGCATTGTCAGCAGATCCTCTGTTGGTGTGGAACTACGCTATCGTTGCTATCATTGCTTTCGTCGGTGGATTTGCCTTCTGGTTCAACTTCCGTCACCTCGACAAGGACGAAGACAGACTCAACATGTTGGAGGCCTCCGCCTATGCCGGCAAACGTAGAGGCAGTGTCGCTCCTGCTTCGGTCGAGTCCGGTGAAGCTAAGCATGTTGTTGAGCCGACTAAGGTGTAGTTTCATACATACGCTTTAACGTGTCTCGACCAGATACTTAATGAGACGACATCCTTAGGATGTAGATGATACCCTCGTGACGCAGAATGGCCGTTTGGAGTGGGCGTCGGCTACGTCAATGATAACAACAAAAGTTATTAAAATGAATCTAATAGATTTTCTCGTGCTCATCTTGTGACATCAACCTCTGTACACAGGGAATACGAGAATGAGTCTCAAACAAAATATCATTACCCAAAACACACTGAATCGACTCGGGAAGCTACGTTTGGTCTCGCCTAGTATTACTGCGCCCGGGCGTCCTTGCGGTTCATGTAGCCGGGATAGGCGAGACACACGCTGATTGACTCTGGCTTTCTGTGCACATGCGTGATGACAGACGCCAACTTGCAGCAGTCGAATGATTGAACAGAGGCCCAGGTTGATTGCCGCCGGTTGGAGCACTCCAGGTGGGGGTCATCTCCACTGGAGCAGGGCACCTCAAACAACGTCAGGGCCATAGGCATGGGACTCTGAACTCCATGTATGCAACACACCATATCTCCTTACTGTCAGAATAACATCGGAATCTTTGTACTGAGAAACTTCTCAAGAGTTGATCAAGACAATGCCACAGTAATCAAACAACAGGCACAACCGCCGCTCGAGCCATGTCCAGCACAGGCATTGTCACGTATCCGCCATCTGCCTCCTCCGGCTACCACTCGCCTGCAAAGTCCTCACTCACTGAGCAGCTTGATAGTCAAAATGCCGGCGACAGAACTCCACGCTCCTCCCACTTCAGTGCCACCACCACGCCAAAGCCTAGGTCGCTTTCCGATGCACCCAAACCCGCACTGTCGCCATCACCAGCCCTCCGCGAGAACCGTCGAGTCTCAAAAGATGATTCATCTCTCGCCCTAGAAAGTCCTACCACTCCACGTAGATCTACATTCCACGCAAGAGCCCTCTCGCTTACGATGCCGCTGAAGGACAGCCCTAGCGACCTCCAGCAGTCAACAGGATCATCCTCGCGTACGCCGCTCTCCCCAAACCTTGAGCCTGCTCACATCTATGGCTCGCCCGCGTCTATGCTGCCCCGGAGATCAAGAGGACTGGATTACACAAGAGCCTGCACAAATTTACACCATTCTACACTCGCTGAATCCTCGCCCGATGCTTCTCCTGTCACCAATAGGATTAATATTCCTCAAAGACGCAGCCTTGGTGGCTCTACTGTCCTAGACTCCCCTAGCAACACCGCGAGCCACATGTGGTCCACCATCCCGGAGCGGACCGCCCTTTCGTCCTCTGTCAGCAGTGTCAACATGTTGGACTCCGATTCCGACTCCGAATCAACCTCTGATGAGGACATGGGCATCGACCGCGAGAGCGAGGATCCTATGTTGAACACGCCTGCTGCCTCCCGGCTCCGGGGCAACCTGATGGGCGCGGGGTTCAACAGCCCTGGGACTGAATGGATGAATAGCACGCCACCATCAACAGCGCAAAGTAACCTAATGAGCTTCAGCTCCAACCTTCTCAGCTTTCGAAGACGAATTCGCAAGGGCAAGAGCCAGCACAGCTCGAGCAGTGTCTCTATCAAGAGTTCGCGACCGTCACCTGGCCCACTTTCACCGGGCATTGTTAAGAGCGTGGAACAAAACGGCTATTTTGGCACCGGTCTGACCCGGAAGCAAGTACAATCGAGGCGGGAGTCTCTGAGCCTAGGGACTGATGAACTCCGACTCAGTGATTCTGAAGAGAGCAGCAGTAAAAACGGTGTGATGCAATCTGATATGGATGTAGAGGGTCCCCGAGGCGTCATTCGACGCGCCGTCACCAGACGTGGCAACTTGCTCCCCAAGTCCAAAGGGTTTGCACGTATTAAGGCTGCTTTAATTGAGGAATCGACGCCGATCGATAGTGAAGCCCGGCGGGAAGCCGAAGTCATCAAGCAAGTCCAGGACACGGACCCCACCTTCTCGCCGCCTATCAATCCTACCTCAGACAATATCGAAACATCAATTGAGGACTCGCTTGCCAGCTCACTCGACAAATCGGCCCCTTTGACATTTAGCCAACACGCTGCCAAGAACTCGGCAGCAGGCCTTGGTTTCTGGCACAACAACGCCTTCGGCATCCAGGATGACCGCTATCGAACGCCTCCTCCCACGCTCCTTCCCCGTGAAAGCTCTTCCGCAGTCAGCGATGAGATGATGGATACATCAGCTTCAATGATAAACACCAATGGAGGGATGAATGGTGACAACCTGGCTCTGCGCAACTTCCAACGCTCTCGATCAAGATCTACTACACCACTCGCTGCAGGGGCACCCACCGCGGGAGACGTGGCAAGAAGAGTGAACAACAAACGTAGAAGAGAAGACGACTTTGACTTGGGAGACTTTGTCAAGCGCCGAGCCGTCAGCCCCGGCCTGAGCGTTCAGAGCAGCCCCGTCCTTCCTCAGAGCCCTATTGCAACTGCGGCGGATAAGAGTTGGGGCAAGCCACCACCGAAAGCTAACGGGAATGGGGAGCGGAGCAATAGTGCGAGCAGCGGTAGCAACGGGTTCAAGAAGGGAGTCGGTTTGCAGCGGATGGACGAGACGAACGACGGACTGATGAGTATGAGTATCGACTAAAGGCGGCAGGCCAACGTGCGGTATGGATTTGGGGAAGAGCGTCTGAGCGATTTGCACCTCATTTCTGAAGATTCTGTTGCATGGAATTGGGAGCGTGGAGTTGACGGATGCCCTTTGGATACAAGTATCGTGTTGGAGAGACAGAGCCATTCACAATGCTATGATGCACGACGCGTGACCATCAATGATACGCAAGCATTTGTAGTCAGTTGTCATGTACTTCCTTGGCTGGCTTCGGATTACGTTTATATTCGTGAGCGTACCTCGCATACATTGGCTGACGCTACTGGTGTTCGAGGTTCCAACACGTCTCGAAAGCTTCTGACAAGGAACTGCTGAATCAATCACTTCCTTCCTCTATGGGTACAGAGTGACCTTCTACAAATTCAGTGCCTTTTCTGCGGTGCCCGTACGCACATGCAGCCGCGGGATAACAGGATGACGTCGAGGACGTTCCTGCGTTGGAGTCGGAAGCCTTCCCCAATTCAACTTCTCCAGCCCACCAGAATTTTGGGCACGCAAAATGCACCGCTGCACCTGACCTGACCAGCTAGTGCTGGGCTACTTCGCTCGCTACCTATCCAATAACGAGACAGCCTCCTCTACATCCATGAATATCTGCTGGAGCTGCTTCTTCACATCTAATGACGCTCCCCTGAAGTGTTCCTGCCGTCCTCTGTTCTCTGCACCACTTCCCACCGCGAAAGATTGTCCTCCGCTCACCCCGCCCCGCCGCCCACCACCCTCCTTGGCCGCCGGTGGCCAGCGAACATCCTCCCCCCGCCGCAATGCACGCTCTTCTCCTCTACCCACTCTATGCCCTGCTGGGATACCTCGGCGTCATGCTCAGCTGCTTCGGCCTCCACGCCTACGTCCCCGGCTGCCCCCCAGTCATCGGCTTCGTTGCCCGCTGTCTGTCCGCATACCTATCTCTCATCGCCTGTGCGGTCTACGGCACTATTGCATGCATGGTCCTGCGGGTGTTCAACCTGCACTACAAGTACGGCCAATGGACCACAGCCAAAGCCTTCAAGTGGGTGTGCCGGTACACCATCGGGGTAACCTTTGAGATTCAAGGAAATGGAGATCAGATACTCAGCAGGAAACGGCCCTATGTCATAGTTGCAAACCACCAGACTGAGCTCGACATCCTCTTTCTCGGCGCCATCTGGCCACAGCACTGCTCCGTTACGGCCAAGAAATCCCTGCAGCGCATCCCGTTCCTTGGGTGGTTCATGACGCTCTCGGGCGCCGTCTTCATCGACCGTGTCGATCGCAGCCAAGCGCTCAAGGCGTTTGAGGGTGCTGCGACCGCGATGCGGGAACTTAGACAGAGCGTCTTGATCTTCCCAGAAGGGACACGGAGTTATAGCAGGAAGCCGATGCTCCTGCCGTTCAAGAAAGGAGCCTTTCACCTCGCGGTACAGGCTGGCGTGGATGTGTTACCGATCGTGGCAGAGAACTACTCGCGAGTCTTGGATGTCAAAGGACTGCGATTCAATTCTGGGGTCATTCGTGTTAAAGGTGAGTAGGCCTAGCTGATCCCATCTAGATTTCAGGCTCGGGATGCTAATGGAACGCAGTGCTTGACCCCGTATCGACGAAAGGCCTGGGCGCAACGGACGTGAACAAACTCTGTGACGACACCAGGAATAACATGCTGGCAGCCCTAGAAGCTATGGCGAAAGACCCGGACTCACAATCGAAGGCTAAGGCGCAGTGAACGAGCGGGCAAGAGCGTAGAACAGCCAACGAGTCTCATAAGGTCAAGTTCATCCCCTCTGCTCGGGCCCATCATCGGAATCCGGTCTACGAGAGGAGATAGTGCTTCGCATGCAACGATATCTTCAGCGGATCATACAGCGAGCCACACCGATGGCGGCGCACTCCACGAGCCCAGACTGGGGACATGGAGAACCTAGAGTACGAAATCATCCCTGGACGGCAAGAGTAGAGGCTCGATCCTAGCATTAGGCCCAACGTGCAAAATATGCAGCCCTGCTGCCAAAAGAACACCCTGTCAGACCGCGAGACAGACGCCGTGACATGAAGCAGGACACGCTAACAAGCTCCTCGTGGGAAGCACTTGGCTTTAAGGTTGGAAAACGTCGCCACGCAACGGGAGCAAAATGTGGTGGTGTCCTTTTCAAGAGTTGTTTCCTTGTACGGCACCATCTCTAAGCCAGAATGAGAAGCACGGTGCAGCAAAGCGATTGCGTTACGCTATTTGGCAGGGAGATCACGACAGGCAGGATAAAGAGTGAACGGTAGAATCGCATCGACTCTCACAACCATGAGGCTGCTTACTGTCATTTCCTAAGGTGTAAGGTGTGATACGTGTCACGCGATTTCTTGGTCTATCATGAATCGTGATCCTTCCGCCCCGGTACAGACTCCCCTGGAGGAGTGGCCATCTTTCATCATCATCATCATCATCATCATCATCACGCGCCGTGCCACTCACCCCTTATACTTGTTCGGCACCAGACTTTTTGTTGTCCTTCCAGGCAATCCACGCCGGCACCTAAATCCTCCTGAAGAAATAGACATACGCAAAGCGCTTCATCTCCTCGACTTCTCCACCCTTGACCACCTTCTCATCATTGAATAGCACCCACTGCTTACCCTGGCCTTCCTCGCCTGGCACCTCCTTCCTGATGAAGGCCACATAGTGCCCCGCGTGGATACTGGCACCTTTGTGACACACGATGCTTTGCAGCTCGAACTTTGCGGGCAGCTCCTCGCTACCTGGAATCTCACGAGATGCTGCGACATCACCAGGAGGAGCAGTGGCGGCGGCATCATCGCCAAAGTCGCCTTGGTCGTCAGGGTGGCTGAAGACCCAGTCAACTGCCCGCTCAACATCGCCGTTGCATTCTTTGAGAGCCTTGCGAGCCTGTGGCGCGGATATACCCATCGCATCGAGCATGGCCATCTTCTCGGGGTCCGGCCCTCCTGTGGCCGCGCTCGGAGCTGAGAGAGAGGAGATGTCAAGTGGCTCATCGATATCCGGGTCTTCCATGTGCTGGAAGAGCCAATTCATGGCGGTTTCACCGTCAGCATTCCCAGTTGCGTGCAAAGCGCGGATGCAGCGTGGTTCTGGGAAGCCCATGCCTGTCAGCTGTGCCATGGCGGCTTCGTTAGGTGCAAATTGGGGGGCGGCAGCCGTATCTTCGGGTAGTTCCTCCTCGCCAGGCTGCAGCCCCGTGGCTTTGTAAGGGGAAAGGTCGAAGGGCTCGTCATTGACTTCCAGGGGAATGTCGAGCTTGGTGGGTACCCAATTAATATGAGCGAAACGAAGGGGATTGATGACGAGGTTGGTAGGGAAGGTCTTGAACTTGAAAGACTTTGAGAAGGATTTGGAACCGCAAGCAGAGCAGTTGTAGTCGACTTGTGTGGGGGTAGTGAAGATGTCTAGACATTCCTTGAGAGACACGGGCTCGTATTCGGAGCCCCTCTCATTGTCGGGTTTCGAGGGGTCGAAGGCGGCTTTGCGTCGAGCTGGAACAGGAATTGATATGTTGTCTTGTACATCGGTCCGGTAGCGAACCCTCTTGCAGGTGAGGCACTGTAGTCGGTCCTCCATTACGAATTTGAAGGCATTCACAGGATCTTGGGCAGGGTTTGGACGGTTCGAGATGCTGATGTTCTTAAACAGGTGCAGAAGAAACTCGAAAGCGTCTTGCTGGCGCATGGTTGAGAACTCTTCATGGTTACGGCCGATAAGATGCTTGAACATGGCTGGTGATAAGCCTTTCTGATGAGGAACCTCTGGCGTCTCGGGATTCGCATGAATCTCCATTTCGGCTGTCGAGTATCTTCCCGATAGGAGGCCGTCCGCGAGCTTTCGTAGCTGAGTCTCGATATCTTCAGCAGGAGCCGAGGTTGAAGGAGGACCCTCGTTGGGGTGATAATACCGCTGCTGGAATTCCGGGAGAGAAAAGAGGCACTGAACGCTGCTGGCAAGATAACAGCTGTTACCAATGTTCTTGAGTCCGGTCAAGCCGTTACCGAACAGAGGTTGCAATTCTTTACCGTCTTCTGTGGTCATTGAAAAGTCCCACTTGAGGTTCTGCTCGACTTGCATCTCCATCAAGCTCTTTTCTGTCTTTTCCCGCTCGGCGATATTGATGCCCCAGTGTGCTAAATGCTTCGCCAGGTCTGGATCGACCCGCTCCTCGTCACACTTGTAGCAGTAGATATCGGCGTTGCCTTCGGGAGTGATTGAGCCAAGCTTGACGGCGACACCGTGGCCAGCCTGAGTGGCATGTGCCAAACCATGTGAGTTTCCACCAACGCCACCGAATTGAGCACGTCCGCAACCTAGGTTGCCACACTCTAAACACAGCCACAGGTTTTCTCTTAGGTCGCACATGGAGCAATGGCCCAAGTCTCCCGATGGTATTTGCCTAGCGTCTTGCTGTTCGAGACAAAGAGTGTGCTCACATGGTGTAAATTCTTGCTCCCACGCTTTGACTTCCTCCGATCGGGCAAACGTCATGGCTTTGAGCACTCCGTTCACCATCTCGGGGATTTTGCCTGAGGTTGGATCAACACTCTGCAGCTGGCAAGCATAGCATCTGACCTCAGTCTTGGTATCATACCGATCTTCTTCGGTCTCGGCAGCAATAGCGAGCTTGGTCAACTTCTGAGGAGGCTCATCTCGCTGAACCTGTTTCCGAGTTCGTTTAATGTTGAGGACTAGAGGATGACTCGAGCTGCTATTATGAAGCTTTGAATGATTCCGTTCACCAGCACAGCCACCATTGAAGCAGGAAAGGCAAACGTCCAAACCGGCAGGGTCGTCGATAGAGTCGAAGCATTGGGTACAGTCTTCACGATACACAGACTGTGTAGGGCGGGGTGGCCTCAGGCTGGGATCGTTGACGTGCGGGCAAGACATGACTGGGGCTGTTACGGCTCCCAAAAGTACGAAGGGAGAGCCGAGTAAGATGGAGGAAGAGAGGAATGACAAGTGGAAGGAAGTGAGCAGGCTGTCTCAAATTGTTTGCCTCCATCCAAGAAAGTTGCTGTGGTACTTCGTCAGCGCTGCGGGCAGGCACGCGGCCAGTTGGAGATTCAGGCACCGCCTTTCGCCGATTACCTAATAGTGGGTCTATTCTGTTGCTCCGCCTAATTCCGGACGAGGATGGACTCGATGAGACGTGTCTCGCGCTCACTACTGTTGTGGTCTGCTCCGCCACAATTCTTCAGTCACTCTGGTAGCGATCTGATTGTGCTCATGATGTCTACGGCTTATGGTTCACGGTAAACGCTCCGTTGCATGATAGAGGAAGTGTTCGATGCAAAGCGATGGCTCTTCTGCAGAACGAGGAGTAAGTACGCTCTAGTCAAGAAACTCCCCCAATCTAACCTTAGCAGCTTCGCAATCTGGTACTTGCGGACTTCGTACCTCGCCAGCAACAAGGATGGGGTAGGTGAGCGCTTGATCAATGTGAACAATTCCATTCTCAACACTCCTGGGTTTCGCGCTGCTGGCTGGTCAACCGAGCCCATACGGAGAACTTACTCTCCGCCAATACCAACAACGGGCGCGGCAGAGTATTTTCAGAATGGTGCCAGTCTCAACAGAGAAGTCTTACTGGCCGACGACGAAGATGAGGGAGGAATGGTGACGGGAAGAGCGAGTAACGATACGATAGGCCCTGCGCTCCGCCGGCGCCGGCGAAAGGAGCAGATTGACGATGACGATAGCAGCGATTTGAGCGACGAGAGCGACGATGCAGAGGGCAATCAGCGAGCAGCACAGCAAATAAGATTCGCCAAAATGCCTGCTCGCACCCGTGCAGGGTCTTCGCCTGGACAGACAAGCGAGGGAGCCCATCCCGATGTCATGGTCACTTCACCTTCGAAGCCGCGGGACGGGCGACATCGCACCGGCTCACTTGGTGCTGTTGAGGCTGTCAAGGCTCGAGCTCGAGCTGACACTGCTACAAGCAGTGAGATGTCCTCTGAAAATGAGGTCGACCCGTCCTACTTTCAACGCCGCCAGATCAATGCACGCTCAGTCCCAAAATCAGTCCCGAGGGACCAAAGACCTGGGGAATACACCGCTCCTCTCACAGCCGCACACTATGAATCCGATGAAGACAGCGTGGGTTCGGTTGCATCCTCTGACTTGGGTGAAACCGTGGATTCTGCCTCTGCGCTGGCGGTAGGCACCGTCTCCCCTTCATCGTCTCCCGTGCTCGCTGGCCTGGCTTCACTCGAGTCGACATCCAGGAGCCTGCATTCCGGTCAGTCGGGGTCCCCAAAGAAGACACGCACACTTCCTCTGCTTCAACAGCTACCCCCTTCTCGTCCTATTAGCTTTGTGCCGCCAGTCAGTGCCCTATCTCAGGCTTTGAACGCGCAAAAGCAGACTCCCAAAAACCCCATTCAAGGCTTTGCCAATCTTTCGGCCAAAGGCACCCCCGATGCCTTGTGGATCAAGATCTATGCACCATTTTCCACAGATCCAGAGGAGCCGTTTGAGATGCCGCTGGTCAAGACCTCGAAGGACGGCCTTCGCATTATTGTGGCAGAAGCGATTGGCTTCGCTCTTTGGCGTTATACAGAAGAAGACTTACAGCCGCCACTACAACCGTCACAACTCAATGTGAACAAGTGGTGCTTTCGCATGTGCGAAGAGGGCGAAGTTGAATACGACTTTCCAGCCCTCGCTCGGACACGGCCAATTGCTGACTTCACGTCTAATAACAACAGAGGTGCACGGGGTCGATCTAGGGGCCGGAACTTCGACGAATTCGCTCTCGTCGAGGTGTCAGAAGGCGAGCTGAGGGCGAACAACGCGGAAACACCGCAGTTTATCCCACCCGAAGAGGAGGTCGCTATTTCAGCAACACCAGCAACACTCCAAGCGGAGACGAGTCCGAGTCCACATCCAGGAACCAGCCGTGCAACATCCTCGCGAACAAACGTCTTGCTCGCCGGCCAGCCGTTTGCGTCCGCTCTCAGTAACACATCATTGACACCTGCCGACCAACCAGTTCGTGCAGCTCAACAAGCTACGCCACGAATTGGGCCTACCAAGACCTTAAGGGTTCGCTACTTCGATCTTGATGTCTCTGCGCGATCAACCACCCTTGAAATCTCGTCGGATACCTATCTTGCTGAGATTCTCGATCAAGTCTGCAAGAAATGGAACTTCGACAAGGGCTTCTTCGTGCTCAAAGTCACAGGTACCAACACGGTCGCGCCACTGGACCGTACTGTGGAAGCTTTAGGGACCAGATCCGACCTGGAATTGGTTCGCAAAAGGTTTGGAGCTGGTCCAGCTGGATTGGCCGGCTCACCTGGTAGTGCATCACCGAATGCTCCTTTGCTCCTGGACATTCAAGGCCCGAAGAAGGGCAAGAAGGCGCAGACTGCATTTGCACGAGAGTTTGCACAGAAGCAGGATCTTGCGTCTAGTGCGAGCAACTTCAAAAAGTACTATGTGACGAGAAAACAGCTCACATCCTTCACCCAAGGCAACCAACGAGTCCTGATGTTTGATGGAGATATGCTGCATATTTTACCAACGGATGCTGTCAAGAGTTCATATGCAAAGACTAGCTCCCTTGCCTTCAGCGATATCATTCGGTGCAAGATCAGCAGCAAGCATAGCAAACTGGTGAGGATATCAGTGCCCCGACCCAACGACCCCAAGGGTGAGCTGAAGAGGTACGACTTTGAAGCGCGTACGGCAGGGGAGGCACAAGAGATCGTTGACGACATCAGTCGCGAGATGAGACGCGCAAGAGGGTGATTGTACCTGCATAGCCATGATCACTTATCATTTTACCCACTGAGCGGCTCCGGCAGCGATAGACGCTGTAGAGGGGTACACCTGCTTTCCGCCGCCCTGATGGAGCCGTTCTTAAACGTGGTGGATAATGCGTCCCATTGGACCGCCCGTTATGTCTGTCTACAAGCTTCCCCGCAGAGTGCAACATCAGCAGGCAAGCTTCAAACGTTGAATCGCGATCTTGGTCTAGCGGTGGGCGTCCGAAGTACCGCCTTTAGGCAAAGCGGCACAGCTGGAAAGTTGGCCGGGCAAGCTGCGTGTGGGCTAATCAGCTGAGGCAAATGCTGTCCGTGGACGGAAATGATGCGGGAGGGTGGTGAGGGGCTAGCCGTAGCTACCTCATCTTCGCATGCACCAGAGCAGCTGTTCCTGTTTTACTACTCTCTGATGGTACAGTGCTTGTGCTATCCTACAGTATTGTCCTCTGAACTTCACGGGACCGCCTGCTATCGTCCCGACTCGCTTCCCAGCGGAGATTCGTGGAAGGCGGCGAGCTGCATTGGGCAACGTGGCAAGCTTTATCGATTGTTCGTCATATCCCACCTCTGCCCCAAGCCCACCCCTGCATTCAAGCCAGCTGGACGCCAACCGCCTAAGATCCGATCACGTTCACCCATGAATTGCTATCTCCAGCTTGTGATTGTCCACTCCTACACGCATCAACCATAGATCATCCATGCTCCAAGCTCTCGATATAGCTGTTCTAGCGATCGGAGCCAACCCCTCGGTCGCTTAGCATTCCGCGCCTCACCCACCTTCAGAGGAGGCTGGTCACAGCACCGACCAACTCGACCCCTCGCCTGCTCTGCTGTCCATCGTCCAGCACTGTGGTCCCCTCAACTACTCCCATCAGCGCCATTGATTGGGACGCATTGCCTTGAGCGACTCCCAATTTATCTCTCGCTTGCTATCGATCTGCGACCGCGGCTTCCGTTCCTCATCTAGCCTCGTTGTCAGCTGTCGCTTGCCGCCCGTGCACACCCACTCTTTCTCTATTCGCAAACTTCATTTGGAAGCCGCGCTTCCCCACGTCGCCCTTATGCCGACTTTTGGAGGTCTTCTCAAGAAGAAGAAGACAAAGGAGTCAACAAGCGAGGAAAAGGGCTCTGGCTATCAAGCAATCCAGTACAAAGAATCCCATAAGAAGGACACTCAGACCTCCTCACAGTCCTCTAAGCCCGCCGCAAGCGATACCTCCAAAGCCACTCAACCCACCAACATAACCACCGTAACCTCCACCCCAGATCCTACCAATGACCGAACTACCTCCAACGGCTCCCCTGAGCAAGAACCAATGAACACTGCCAACCTGACCAACCCTCAGGGTGGGTCAGTAGAGAGCAAGGCTACTCCAAGGCAGACCAAGGGTAAATATACCCTGACTGACTTTGCATTGCAGCGTACACTAGGTACGGGCTCGTTCGGTCGCGTACATCTGGTGCAGTCTAAGCACAACCAACGCTACTATGCTATTAAAGTCTTGAAGAAGGCCCAGGTGGTCAAGATGAAACAGATAGAGCACACAAACGACGAGAGGAGAATGTTGCAAAGGGTCAAACACCCCTTTCTAATCACTCTCTGGGGCACTTTCCAGGACTCCAAGAACCTGTACATGGTTATGGATTTTATTGAGGGTGGTGAGCTGTTCAGCTTACTTCGCAAGTCTCAAGTATGACCTATCTCTCGTATCCCAATCCACACTAATTATCGTCTACAGCGTTTCCCCAATCCAGTGGCCAAGTTTTACGCTGCCGAAGTCACGTTAGCGTTGGAGTATCTGCATGCACAGAACATTATTTACCGAGATCTGAAACCCGAGAATCTCCTCCTAGACCGCCATGGTCACGTCAAGATCACCGATTTCGGCTTCGCGAAGGACGTTCCAGATATCACCTGGACGCTATGTGGCACGCCGGATTACCTGGCTCCCGAAGTTGTCGCCTCGAAAGGATACAACAAGTCCGTGGACTGGTTAGTATCATCCTGCTGCCCTTGTTAACCTACTAACCTCCGTAGGTGGTCCCTTGGCATCCTCATTTTCGAAATGCTGTGCGGCTTCACACCCTTTTGGGATGGCGGCTCGCCTGTGAAGATCTACGAGAACATCCTCAAGGGCCGTGTCAAGTATCCGCCATATATCCACCACGACGCACAAGACCTCTTGGTGCAGCTCATCACCGCCGATCTGACGAAGCGACTAGGCAACTTGCACGGAGGTAGCGCCGACGTGAAGAACCATGCCTGGTTCAGCGAGGTAACGTGGGAGAGATTGGTCAAGAAAGATATCGATGCACCTTATGTGCCGCCTGTCAAGGGCGGTGCTGGCGACGCGAGCCAGTTTGACAAGTACCCTGAGGAGACGGAGGAGTATGGCAAGAAGGGTGATGATCCGTATGTCTTAGCTCATATTCTATCTACAGGAGTATAAAACTAACAGAGGTTAGATACGGGCATCACTTCGTCGACTTCTGATCGATGCGAATTCACGCGCGATTGAATTCCCCAGACGAGGCAGCGACAGAGGAGCTAGGAGAGATTGTCCATTGATACGGACACTACGCCACAGGTCGATCGCCGAGGCAGCGCGATCTATCACGAGGCGATGCGGGGCCGAGATACGGGCTAGTGGGAGCAGCAGAGTGCCCGATGCGATTAAGGAAGTACGGTACTGGACGTCTACGATTGTACACGACTAAAAGGGGTCTGGGCTGCATTGATTACGAGTACAACGACTGTCACAGCGGAATTGTCCTGGTTGCGATACAACTGGCACCGCACGTGTGGCCGTCTCCTACTGTGTTTGGAAGGTATGCCTTAGAGCTGCATACGTATGCCCTATTTACTGGAATTTGTTATTGCGGAAGCAATGTTGTATAGCTGGTGTTCTACTGCTTCGTTCTGGTGCTAGGCCTCGTGTGCCCGAATGAGGGGAATTCATCACTACGTATCTCCTTGACCTGCGAAGCGGGTCATGGAAGGATCTTGAGTAGTGTACATTCTCATCATGCTCCGAAAACGCTCTAAACTATTTTTGTAGCCCTTCAGCGCACTCACTTTTGTACATACGGTTTTTGCCCCTCGAGACAGAAGACTATCTCTAGGCTGCCCGTGTATCCAAGGCTCCTGTAGCGAACTCCGCGGTACTCGAATTAGGGGTCAGTCAGCCCCCGATCACCGAGACGAGTACCGTCGCAGGAAGCAATCCGGCTGCAAGAGCCATCCGTCGGCGCTGACGAGCATCCTAGCATTTCGTCGGACCGTACCAGCCCTTTACAAAGCACTGCCTCCCATAGGAACTTCCCGCTGCTCGCGCTGCAGACGGCCGACATACGCAACGTTCACAGCGTTCCACGCCTGTATGTATTTGTCCATACAAGAGCTCAGGCACGTCTGCTCCTTGGAGCTCAGAGACGACCCGGGCGACGGCACGCAGTGCTGGAAGCAGTTCTTGTTCACGGTCTTGATGAGGACCTGAGCATTGGCTAGATTGCTCGATTGGCTGATCTGGGTTTGGATGCGCTGGCGAATCTCGCCGGAAGAGGCGGTCGAGGCGTTGAAGCCGCTGGGGGAGGAAAGCGGTGCTTGTGGGGGCGCGAAGTCCGTGGGTGTGGGTGTGGTGCTGTTGGAGGAGGAGGATGAGGATGAGGAAGAGGAGCCGCCGAAGAGTCCCATTTTAGATTTGTTGATGTGGTAGAGTAGTAAGGCAGAGGAGCGGAAGAGTTGCGCGTGTTGGTAGCAGTCGAAAGGTAGCTACCAGTCTCGGTGTATGGCTACGGGAGGGACGGTCGCTATGCGCGGAGTAGTCTTGGCCGAGTCTGTTCGTATCAGCTTCGTTTCGATGGATTATCCTATTGGCTAGGCTGAAGAGGGTTGATGCGATGAGCAGAAGGAAGAATTATACAATCGAATGAAGAGACAACGACATCAAGAACAGCTCAAGACTTTTGCGGAGCCATCAAAAAGTCATGTCCAAAGATGAGCACGCGGGCTGCGGACCCACATCGCCTCCAACTCGCCTGCAGCATGATTGAATGGCCACCATTTCAAGATCGCAGCTGTAACCACCAAAGACCCAAGTTTCAGGAGTACACACCCCACAAACTCCTTTGCTTCACGCTCTTTTCTTCTATTTTATTACTTTGCGTCCGGTGGCTCTGTCCAGACAGTGTCTTACCTCTGTCTTGAAGGCGCGGGCGCAACTCCTCAAAGGCCTGAATTCGTTACTGAGCGTCTTGGTAGCGTGATCATATTTCGGTAGGACATAATGCGGTGGCTGACGAGCCTGTGCGTGCTGGCAGCCAGCTGGACTGCGGGTGTGCTGGCTGCCGATGCAGATTCAGAGATGAAGAGTGTACCAGTATGTGTGGAAACCACTCGAGATATTGTCTCCTCGCTAGGTCCCGAGTGTCTCTAACGGTAGCCACAGCTACGAACGCACTCCCTCTCGGCTCCCTATCTTGACTCCGATATGGCCTCGCGCTGGTGGGACTTTGGCGGAGACACACTCATTCGTGCCGACAAGTATGTGCGGCTGGCGGCTGATCAACCCGCGCAGTCTGGCTGGCTCTTCTCACGCATACCGCTCACCGCGAACAACTGGGAGATTGAGATGGAGTTTTCAATATCGGGCAAGGGCAGCCTACACGGCGATGGCTTTGCGTTGTGGGTTACAAAAGAGCGGGCGCAACCGGGCAATGTGTTCGGACACGTGGATAGATTTGAGGGGTTGGGTGTGTTCTTCGATACGTACAAGAACAATCGGCCAGGCGTGGTCTTTCCGTACGTGATGGCGATGATGGGGGACGGAAATACTATGTACGATCGTGCGAACGATGGGAAGGCGAATGAGTTGGGCGGATGCTCGGTTAGTACACTTGACAGCTGGCGAAACAAAGCTGACACAATGCAGGCTCGAGGACTACGTGGATCGACTGTGCCATCGAAAGCAAGACTAACGTACATTAAAGATGAAAGCCTGTCCTTGGAGCTGCAGTATAAGACGGAGGGCACATGGACCAAGTGCTTTGATATCAAGGCCACCGACGCCGTGCCGTTGAAGCTCCCCAACCAGGCCTACTTGGGCTTCTCTGCCCATACTGGAGATCTGTCGGACAATTTTGACATTGTCGATGTTCAAACGAAGAACCTGTACACCCCCCGGGCAGCGACCAGTCGGCAGGGATACGGCAAAACTGCTAGCTCGTACACCCGGCAGAAGGAGGGAGGCGGCTGGATGTGGTTCTTCTTCAAATTGATCCTTTTCGCGGGCTTGTGCGTGGGAGCTTACGTGGGCTACAACGCGTACAGGACACGGAACAGATACTCTCGATTCTGAGGCGGCGTATAGATAGACACCGGGATTCACAACCGCACGTGACGAGGTCAGACAGTCACAATGATTGATTAGCGACGAAGAGTGATTGCAGTGACGAGCAGCCTCGGAAGTTGAGTGCTGAGCGACGCGGTCAGAGGCAGTGAAATTGAATGATCCGAAAGCCAGCATGCTCTGTTGGGCTTACAGCGTCACTGATGGGTCAAGAAGACCCGAAACCTTCCCACCACTTGCCACAGCTTCCGGAACTCATTATGGCGAAAACAACGAGACATACGACGGCCAGCAGTAGCCGCTGGGTATATGTAGCCGGATTGGAAAGCGCGTTTGAGAGAATTGAGGTGCCATGCAAACAAGTCGCAAACATGCCAAGCTGATCTCCACTCTTCTACTCCAACCAATCATTTGTCGCGTCAATGGATCTGTGACTGTCCTACCTGGCAAATTTGGGCTGATTTCAGGTGCTCCTTTCCAGAACCCAGATCACGGATCTTTGTGCAGTTGATTTTTGGCGCGTTGGAAATCTGAATCATCCCGCCAAGGCCTGATCTGGCCGCCTACCTTTGCCCCCCGTGACTGCCCATAAATCCGCCTTTTCCCTCCTTCCCCCTTCTCCCGCGTTTTTCTACTTCTCTCGCCAATTGACTCTGCGTCCTGCCCATCCACCATATCGCATACGCTGCGAATCTTCCATCCAGAACACTTTCAATTCTATTAATCTCATCCTCATAACACCGCAAACATGACTGGTCGTAAGTACACATGAGCATTGCAATGTTTGACGCGTCGCTGGCCCCACCTCGCCGTCAGCCGACCTCATCGTCGCCTCATCACTCCACCTTATCGACACAATGTACTGACAGATTCATGCAGGCGGAAAAGGTGGCAAGGGCTTGGGCAAGGGGTAAGCATTCTTCTTCCTTTCGACGTGAACCATGGCTGATAATCCTATAGTGGTGCCAAACGTCATCGCAAGATCTTGCGCGACAACATCCAGGGTATCACCAAGCCTGCTATCCGCCGTCTCGCTCGCCGTAATTCCTTACCACCCTCGCACGGTCGACTTTGTTACTAATGCAGAACTAGGTGGCGGAGTCAAGCGAATCAGCGCTATGATCTACGAAGAAACCCGTGGTGTTCTCAAGTCGTTCCTCGAGTCCGTCATCCGTGACGCTGTCACCTACACTGAGGTATGTTGCTCCTTTCAGTTAGCAAGCCAACAAAAACTAACCCTCAAACAGCACGCCAAGCGCAAGACTGTCACCTCCCTCGACGTTGTCTATGCTCTCAAGCGCCAGGGCCGTACTCTTTACGGGTTCGGTGGCTAGATGTTGTGTCATTGACCGTTGTCTTCTCCATACGACCACCACACTGTGCCTACTAGCTTACGGAGCTTCACGGATTACGACTTTTGCGGCGTTTACGGTGCCACACCACTGTTATTATGGGAATGGGATTCAGGGCATGGCATTTTTCTGCTGGAACAAGACAGCACAGACACGCGATAGATACCAGAAGCTCATCATCGCACATGGGCAGGCCCTGACCAGGGCACTACTCATTAGATAGTCGCAGACATCATCAATGAGAACTGCATTGACTATTGAACTTCGCTTCGTCTCGCCCTGTTCTAACCTTGTAGGCACACGTGACAGAACCCAAGCGCAGCCTGTAGCGGGGCCAGACCTATGTATACTCAAGCCAGAGCCTCGACACGTAATTCCTCAAGCGCACGCAACGCATCAAAGATCACATGCAGCCTGCCATTTGTGTGCCTATTCTGCGCAGGCGACAGTGATTGGACTACCGACAAGCGACTGTCGCTTCTACACTTATTTGCCTTTGTCCCACTCCGCAGACCCGAGAACGGAACTGCCTGGAGGGTGGCAATAAGCTGCACGGAGATTGGTTGGCGCGGATCTCGCTTTCGCAACTTCAGGTACTCTGTATGGTGAAGACCGTCGTGCAGCGGACGACGGATCTGGGCGCGAGTTCAGGCTGCAGCGTTTCTGGACTGCGCCCCCACTTTTCCTGTTAGCCTCGAATGCCTGGCCGACCTGAAGGCAACCGTCAATCGATGCGCCCCCTTTGATAATGTGTTGAGCTTCTGCTTTCGACTACCTTATCATTTGATCCTGACATAACTACTTTGCGGAATTCATCTGTGACGGATATTCGATGGTTTGAGTCTCGGGGACCGCTGGAGAGTCTCGCGCGCCACAATCGTCGCATCTAACCCGATAAGCGGTACACCGGGGCGCCAAGACTACATCCTCAAGTAGAAGTACAGTCTGAAGGCGAGGAGGAAGATAGATTCGGACGACTTCAAGACTCGACACATCTCTCCAGTCAGAGAACTCCATTAGCGCATGGCGCCACCCTCACAATCACCCATGGCTTTCTTCCAGCGTGCAGCATCTGGTCACGCCCCTGGTGCTGGCTACCTTGCTCGGCTGACGAAACTGTACTCCGACACCAAGCAATCATACGAATCGCTGACCTTGGCCACCAATGCGAAAGCTGCGCTCGAGCAACAACGGCCCAGTGAAGCTGATAGTCACGACGATGCCGAGGTACGTGAGCTAAGACGGGATTTCCAGATCCAGCAGGACCGATTGCTTGCGTGGGGCATCAGCTGGAGCGAGAGCGGCGAAGATACCGAAAGCTTCAGAGAAGGCGGCGAGAAGAGTCACGCTGGCGAGAAGGATATCGATCGACAGATCGAGAAGGCAGGGTTAGGCGAGGTGGTAGCGAGTGTGATGAGCCAAATCAAGGAGCTGCTGGACCAGAGTGGGCGATTGCAGCATCCGGAGCGATATGAGGCCATGGGAGTTGGAAAAGGAACAAGACCAAAGAAGGAATGGAGCCAGCACGAGGTCAAGACTGGAAGAGTACTTCTGGAGCAGCTGACCACTTGCATTGATGTCCTGTACAGTCTGAGCGAAGGAAAGGAGGGCCAGAGTGGGAGCAAAGAGAAGGAGAAAGAAGCGAGGCGAGAAAAAGGTCGGGGTCTGGAGGATGACGTGGAAGAGGCTTACGGGTTCAGAAGAACACAGAGTCCGAAGCCGATTGCACAGGCTGGAGAGGGCGAGAAGTGGCATCCGCTATATGTCGAGTTCAACCATATCGATTTCGAGTCTGGGACAGGCTTTGGAATGGCGGACCCTCCACCCTACGATGCCGATTATGTCGATGAGCTGCCTCGAGAGCGAAAGGTTGGCATCTTGAGAGGACAGAACAAGCCAATCTTGGTCGAGTTTCTGACACCCGACATCCCGCCCTATGTGATCGGGACGTCAGATGATGTCTTTGAATTGCATGAGTTGGGCGAGAAGCTGTGCCGGCAGAGGAAGAGTCTGTCGTGGTGCGGCCATCTGAGGTTGGTCGGCTTCACTGTGGCGCAAAAAGGCCCGAGATGTGGCATCGTTTATGAGTTGCCGACCGGGGTCGGACACCAGCAGCTTCTGTCCCATCGGACTCTCGAATCGGCCATCACAGCCACGCACAACCAGGATTCAACCCAGCCAAATTTGGAGGACAGGTTTCGTCTCGCATACAATCTCATGGTATCGGTACTCGGTTACTTCGCCAACGGCGATAGCCATCGCCATGTCAATAGTAGCAATATTTTGTTGATCGGCAAGGAAGCAACGCCTCATCACCCTGCGAAGGCCGACACTCGTTGCCCCTTTCTGGTCCAGTCCTGCCAGGATCTCGTTGCCCAGGGCAAGGCCACCGAGCCACTGGCTTCAGCCATCTACCGCCACCCAGCGCATGATCCCCTACAGGCTGAGCAGGCGGTTCCTGCCTTCGACATCTACAGCCTTGGTCTGCTTCTACTCGAAGTCGGCCTCTGGATCCCGCTCACAAAGCTGTGGAAGGCAAAATACGATCGCCGTATCTTCATGGCTCGAGTACAGCAAATCTACACTCAGAAGTTGGCTGCCAAATGTGGCACTAAATATATGCGACTGGTCCAGCGATGTCTGCATGCACCTGCCGAATTGTTGGGTCGGGATCAGCCCGAGGATGCAGGTGCGCTCCTACTCGAGGTATCGAAAGAGCTGCGACTGTGCCTTGCTCTCGACGAAGAAGGCATGCCACCCACTACCGATCTTGAAACTTTCGAGTTACTTATTATCGAGCAAATGTGTAAGACTGAAGAGAGGAGGAACAGCAACCCCGAGCCTAGTACATCTCTGCCACCTCTGCAAATCCCAGGCTCACAGAAACCCGAGCGTCAATACTCTGGTACGACCAAGGCCGGTGCTGATGCTGTTCGACGCAAGCCGCTACGAGTTCCTTCCTCGGACGCCATCCCCATGCCTGTTGAAGCAAAAGCTCAAGAGAAAAAGAAGAAACGATCAGCATCCTCGCAGCTGAAGAAATGGCCCGAACTACAAATCGATCAGCAGGACCTCGACCAGTGGAACACGTTGCTGATGCCTCGACTCCGCAAAATCCTCGAAGATGCCCTTGGTGAGTCTCCAGAGTCTTGCAGCGTTAGCCTGATGAAGATCGGCGCCACTCCAGAAGCTGCTAAAACCACAATATGTGTCCAGTGCCAGAACACTGCCAAGGTACACGAAACTCTACGCAAGCGCTTCAAGCCAAAAAAGGGCTGGGGTGTTGTTATACTCAAAGGAGATGTGCATCGCAGCGGTCAGCACAAAGCTCGGCGTTCCGGTGGGCGTAGGAAAGCTCCCCGTAAGCCCAAAGAGCAGAAGTATCAAGAGAAGCCAACCTGTGGTGCGAGCATCGGGGCTTTCCGCGATAACGAACACCTCCCTCCCTGCAGTTTTGGTGGTACGGTCCTCGTCGACGGCGAACCTTTTGGTATGACTGTTCACCATATGCTCGACGCCCCTTCCGACTCCGAAGACGAGGACGAGTACTCGAGTGAAGAGGAGGAGAACAAACCCAAACGGTCTGCTGCTAGAGGCCCGTCGCAAGCTCAGTTGTCCGCTAGGATAAGCTCCGAGGCTGATTTCGGTCACATGGAGGGCAGCCTTGCTGTCAGCGATGAAGAAGTTGATCTGAACTCGGACCTCGAGCTATCACCCGATGAGGGTGATGACATGCTGGAACTATCAGACACCGAATCAGAAGCCTCCACCATCCGTCCCGACTATGCTATTACCGACGACTCCGGGACCGACCACTGGTTTCTCGACGATTCCTCCGACACCACGACCCCGTCGCTCATAGCAGACGACTTCTCGGACGAGGAAGACGAGGATTTCGATGACAGCGCTAGCATTGGCGATAAGCCTGCCGTCGTGCCATATAGCCTTGAGAGTGAGGAACTGGCAGTCACTCAGCCGGCACTTGACGATGTTGACGAGGACTTCTTCCCGTCTGAAGAAGATCGTGATGAAGATCATCTCGCCAGCCACGCCTTCGGCCGTATTCATGCCAGCAGCGGCATTCGTCGCGTTACACGCGGCATGCTCAAGCATGAGATCGACTGGGCGCTCATTCGCATTGAGGATGAGCGGCTGGACGTTGCCAACCTAATCGCCTCTTCTTTCTCCGCATCCAACTCGCCCAAGAAGCCCAGCCAGCCATGTAAGGTACCTGGTTCGGTTGAGGCTTCTGCGGCTGCGAAACAAATACGGGATAGCATCCCCACGCTTACCAGCATCACACCAGCAAACAAGTTGAGCGGCCTCCCTGTCTCCTGCCACGCACGTTCGAGTGGATTCACTAGCGGCCGCATTTCTCAAGCTATGTGCCTGGTGAAACTTCATGGCCGCCGCAGCTTCAGCTATAGTTGGTGTGTTGACAGCACTCCTTCACAGCTATCGCGTGGTCCTTCTGTTCCTATGACGGCTCCTCAGCGAAGTATCGCCGCCCTCAACCAGATGGCTGCCAAGCAGCACGTTGCGTCTGGCGGTATCCTTGGTGTTCCTGGCGACTCTGGTGCGTGGGTCTATAACCCCAATACGGGGGAGCTGGCCGGCCACGTTCTCGCTTACGGCGAGAAGCTGAAGCAGGCGTACATTGCACCGATGGAAGTGCTTTTTGAAGACATCAAGGCGCGACTTGGTGCGGCAAGAGTGGAATTGCCAGGTGGTGCAGGTGTTGTGTGCGAGGATGAGAAAGAGAACATTGATCGGCAGATTAAGGAAGTATCGGCAGGCTTGAAGCAGCTGGGCATTGAGTCGAGCAGTAAGCGGAGCTCAGGAACTGAAACTGGAAACACAATGGCAGGTGCAAAGAATAAAGACGTCAACGTCAACGTAGGCGTTGGAGATGTGGATGTGCCACCGGCTGTGGGCAGAGTTGCTGTCGCGGGGAGTTCGTGTTGACTGACCGCCGGAAAACGGTTCGATGAGATGATTGATCGGTGGAGGAAGATGATTCCCACCGTCTGCTGAGGCGACGGTGACGAGGACAGGTTTTGCTGGAATGCGAAGACTGCACCAAGGAGTTTAGGGAAAGGCAACGTGGTCACCACTGCCTGCACGAGATTTGCATTGCTAGCGCTACGATTACAATTCATCATTCATTTGTCCACACGGAAAGACTTGTTGAACCTCCCCTGCCTCATCCGCTCCTCAGCGGCGGGCCAGTCAAGTATCTGCTGTTTTTCTTCTTCCGCAGCCTCTCGTTCCCAACACGCCGATCTTCAGTCGGCCCCCGCAATCTGTCAAAACCCCTCGCCAGCCTCGCTACCAGCGTTTCTCTTCGTTTGCGCACCTTTCTCGTAAGCTCGTTCGCGTCCGGCATGTCTCCGCCGCTATCGCCGCCGTCCAGCAAGTCCCACACGGCCGCCCACCCTTCCACCATCTCCCTCACGCCATAGCCTCGCATGGCCGCACTCTGCCGATTGCTCACCAACTTCCAGCGGCCCTCGGCACGACTCATCTGCCGCAGTCGAAACAGGTACTCTTCCTGCACGTCGGCCAGGTCGACTTTGACGCCATACTCATCGCGCAACTGGCGTAGGAGCTTCGCGCCGGCGAGCCAGGGTTTCGGTGGAGGGGATGTGGGTGATGATGATGATGATGCCACCGAAGAGGGCGTTTTGGAGAACAGTTCATCGCGCCACTTGCGGCACTTGAAGTCCCAAGAGATGAGGGCGCGTTGGAAAGGGGAGGTAAAGAGCTTGCCTAGGTCAGCGTCCGTGCCTGGCGTGCGGTTGGAGGATTTGAAGTGGTGGGCGAGGAATGTGCAGAGGGAGTGGAGCTCGGAGATGCGGTGGTGGGAGGCGAGTGCGATGAGTGGTCGGAGAAAATGGGAGGGGGAGATGGTGGTGGTCGTGGGGAGGAGGCGGAGGAGGAGGGCGAGGAGGTAGGAGAGGGTGTCGAAGTCAGGCGTGGGGATGGATTGGACTTTGGCGTGACGGCGCGGTAGAAGGGTGACGATGAGCTGGTTTAGGACAGTGAGTGTGATGCGGTGGCCTGTACGATGGAGTGAGTCCACTATGGAGAGGACGAGGCGCCAATCGTGGCGGATGATAGCGCTGCGGAGGAGGAAATTGGTAGATCGCTCTTGAGCAATTGAATCAGTATCTCCGCCGTTAAGGATCGTAAGGGTGCGTGTTATGTCTGGGAGGGAGCCTCGAGCTTGATATGTGGTGAGAAGGCGGCGTTGTAGATCAAGGTCCGAGAACTCATCGTGGTGCATATCAGAGTCGGCCATGAGTCGTATGAGATCGAAGTTGCGCGAGGATCGTAGGCGGCGGATAACGTTCACGAAGACAGAGGAGCCAGTGTCGACTTCGAGCTCGCGAAGGCGTCCAAAACGTGCTTCCAGGGTGGCGAGGTCTGGTGAGGAGAGGACAAGCTGCCTGACAGAAAGGGGACCGAATTCGACGGCGCCCAAGAAGATGATTCCGTTGACAATGAAGTCGAAAGAAAACGAGGAGGTGGCGAGGGCGCGGGCAATTGTTTCGTCCTTTAGCTTGCGCTGCGAATCGACAGAGACTTTGAGGGAATTTAAATCGTTGGCATGGGGGTGGTCTTGTACAGCTCGTTGCCTTTCGCGCCAGTAGACGCGCCGGGCCTGGCTGGTAAATTCTACACCTGCAGCTTGCAGACCATGCAGGAACGGCTCGAGCTCTTGACCTGTATGCGCGAGATAGCCGATAAAGGGTAGGAGTATGTCGAAAGTCTTCGGTTGGTCCCGCTTGGCTAGTAGATATCGGTGCCACTCGAAAGCTTCTTGTGGTTTGTTTTGCTGCCAAAGATGAGGGACCGTGTCGTGGTAGATCTTAGTGTCCGGCAGGAGGTCTCGCACCCCGCGAAAGTATCTGAGGGCCTCGGCAGATTCAGACTCGCAGGCGATGTGAAACGTCCGTAATAGATCGTCCTTCCCTTGGTAGCATTTCTCACGGATTTGAAATGCAAAGCTTGGAGCTTCTTCCGGTCTGTACCGCAACAAGCCTCCTACTACGCCGACGAATAACTCGGTTGGTAGGTAGCGTCGATGAATACAGAGTCTGCACACATCCTTGAGGAATTCAAGGTCCTCTGTAATGCCAGTAAAGATGAAGGCATCGATCAGATCTCGAGCATTTGCATTGTCTGCGTCCAACCGTAGACTCTTGCCACGGTACCTCATACCTCTCCATGTCGCCTTGACGCCTTCAAGACCGCGTCGCTGACGATTAATGTCGAGAATGAACAGCCACAGATCAAGGTCTTGCCTGCGGCTCGGTTGATCCAGAAGGCGTGTTCCAAGCTCACGAGTGTGTCCTAGGTCCGCCTCGAAGAGCAACTGCTCCATGGAGTGGATGCCATGAAGACGGGCTCTGCCAAGAACTCGTCGGTCGTGGATGGAGAGCTCAGGGACGGTCGCGTCAGATACGGGTAATATCTCAACAGCACGTTGCTGTCCGAGTCTCGCCGTGCTATGAAGGCATCGTGGGATCTGTATGTGCTTTGCAAATGGACTTGGGACCCTGGCAGCCCTCCAGAGGTGCAGTTCTTGGCGACCTAGGACTCCGAGCCATCGTGCTCTCATCAATCTAAGCCTCAGTCTGTGGACATCTGCGTTACAATCCCAGCATAGTCCTGGTCCTGGAATGCTGGTTGCGAAGATGATTGTTCTTGAGCCCCCGCAAAGAAAGATGCGATTACTGGCGTCGAGTGAAGCTCCGTTGGAAAGCCTCGCGCCCCAATTGGAAGGAAACGAAACTAGTTTAGTGCCTTGGCATTCAAGCTCCTGCGCTCGACTTCACAGCTCCGTCTCGAACCTCACACCACTTGTACTACCGCCATATTCCTCTCCGCTCCTTCCACACCTTCTACCTGGGAGTACTACCGACGTCAAAATGGTTACTCCTACGGCTGCCCGCTTCATGCAGGCTTCTCGAGCCCGCCTCTTCCGCCCTGGTGGCCAGCAACAGTTCGGGTGAGTCTAGTCGAAGCGCGACCAGCTGGAGCTGGGAGAGCTTGAAAGACAGGGAAAGAGGAGCAGAACTGACCTAAATCTATAGTTTTGTCAACCGTGAGAACCGAGTCCCTTTCTACCAACGCCTCTTCCAGAACGGTGATGGCAGGAGACAATGGAGGAAGGTCAGTTCCCTTTTTTATTTGGAAGATGCACGAAAAAGATGCCCTGGCTATATCCTGTGACGACGTGACGACAACATCACGGACGACTCTCCTCTTGATCGCCTTTCCGCGAGAAATAGCAGACTCGCATGGCGAGATCGGACGCACCTGGTATTTGTGCCTCAAACCGTTCCTCGACTTCATGACAGCCACTACGACTTGCTACAATCGCTTTGTGCGATGACATGGATCTCTCACCGATTGGCCATGTGCCTTGTGGAAGAGTCGAAAACGAGTTATGGCTCCCGAGAGCTTCACGGAGATTGGCCCTAGCATTATCCTACACACATCGACCGCCACTGCTTGAACACTCCCTGCACTTACGCAACATCCCTTACGGACCCTTGACCGAGATAATGAAGGTAGCAATGTTGAGTCTTTGGAGGTTGATAACAGATCACTACCTGGCCGCGGAGCACCTTCATGACTCAGGCCATTCTTCTCCGTGGCCCACGGTTTTCTTCCACGAACATCTGCTAACTTTTGCCCACACAGACCTCTCGTTCCCCGTTCCTCCTCTACCCCTACTACGCCTTGAACTATGGCCTCCTCGCCTGGGTTTTGTGGGGTGCCGGCCGTGCATCTCTCGGCTACAAGTCACCTTGGGGCAAATGAATGTATCGTTTCTACCGGACTAGAGTGGAAGAATAAGCAAAGCTGTACATACCACAAATCCAAAAACCCAAGATCAAATGATTGATTCGGTTGAAATGGCATCTTCTCTATCGAATTACAAGCTTTTATGCCTCCTCCGACTCGCAAACGTACAGCAAGGACGCTTGATATGCGGACTATCTCTGGCTAGCAAATGCACACTTGGGCACTTCCGAGGACTGCCGCAGGAGTGCACTTGAAACTACGACGATTCTGCTCGCTGCTAACACATGTAGAGACTGGTATCGACTCAGCGGGGAGAGATCCGCACTGACATACGTCATTGGCACGACATCCATCACACGGCTTCCATAGTTCAGTACACGCACTACTCTGGTTCACCAACTGAGGTGTCCTTCATGCTGCAAAGTCTTGTCAGTTCATCACGCCTTGCAAGCCATCACCAGAGAGCCCATCGAGTATTCAGCCGCCGCCCCGGGACCTTGCTAGCGCATGATATCCAACTCCCCAGTCTTTGCCTCTCCAAGCACTTGCTAGCCAACACTCGCACGATGTCGTCCTCTACCGGTAACCCTGACCTTGACTTATATCCTTCAGCTACTGGGGCTGCACTCAAGTTCGCCGAAGCTCATTCCAACGTCAAAGATGCCCCTCTAACTCTATACGGTGGCTGGTTTGTATGCTGATCGTACCACCTTCTCGGAGCACTCCCGCTAAGATCAGTAGTGTCCTTTCGTCCAGCGGGTATGGATAACGCTTCACCTAAAATCAATACCACACCAGTACGTCGAAATAAACCCGTACCACAAGTCAGCCGACTTTCTTGCACGCAACCCACGCGGCCTCATCCCCACCCTCGCGGTCAACGACCCTAAGTACGCCGGCGTTTCCACGTCGAATACAAACGGCACCAACACCAAGGAAATGGTCCTCTACGAATCCAACATCGTCGCCGAGTACCTAGACACGCTGTACCCAGAGCCCCAGTTGCTCTCCTCGGACGCCTACCTTCGCGCGCGCGAGAAGATCTGGATCGACTTCGCCTCCACCAAGATCGTCCCCGCCTTCTACCGCTTCCTGCAGCACACGCCCTCGAAACCCTACTCTCTCGACTCGGCGCGCAGCGAGTTCTTGGCCCACCTCAAGACGTTCGTGAGAGAGATGCACTCCCGGGGCCCGTTCTTCGACGGCCCCAATATCAGCATGGTGGACATCGCGGTGATTCCCTGGGCGGAGCGCGTGTTTCTGCTCGACCACTACAAGGGTGGTAGCGGCGTGGGGCAGGAAGAGGAGAAGGGCGATCGCGAGGTGTGGGAGCGGTTTTGGGCTTGGGCCGAGGCCGTGAGCCAGAATGAGAGTGTCAAGGCAACCATGAGCGAGAGGGAGAAGTATATTCAGGCCTATAAGCGGTACGCCGAGGATACGACGGGGAGTGAGGTGGGGAAAGCGACGAGGACGGGCAGAGGGTTGCCGTGAAGCATTGCTGGAGAGGGACTAACTAAGAGCCAGGCGGGGCCAGTGGTCTCCCTGTGTGCTGGATCTAGATATCTTCATACTTTCATGGCCATACTTTCCACGCTTTTGCTCGTTGCAGGGTGGAAGTCAGTCTATGCACACGATCTCAAAGCCTGGCCTGGCATTTGCCAAGCAGTCCTCTCACCTCCTGCGCTCGTGTTCGCGTAAGAAGTCGTCGAGCTCCTCGCAGGCGCAGCCTACCGCTTGCCATCCCCTCGCAAGTCCCCGCCCAAGCCATACCCTCTGATCTTCTCCCACTCGACCCGCTGCCGCGTGACTGGCAACTGCCTCCTCAATCCTTTGAACATGCCCTCATTCATGCCCACCACCGCGCGATTGACCTCCTCCTGGTACTGCTTCTCCAGCGCAGCCACCTTGCGCACGACCGCCTCCCCGGACCCACCACCCTCGACATTCGTCTCCGGCACCGTCTTACGCGTCGTCAACGCCACATTCCCGTCCTCGTAGTAATGCACATTCACCAACAGCGTCCCACTAATCGACGAGCTCGCCGGGTCGTAGAGAAACGTGCTGCGCCAGCGCCCGCTCAGGAAGTTGCCCGGGCTGGCTTTGAGCGTCGAGAGCAGGAGCGCGATCTTACCGTCCTCGGCGGTCGAGGGACACACCGTGAATGCGGACGTGATACCGCCGCCGCTGCCGGAGGGGGGGTAGTGCTCGGCGAAGTGGGCGGAAAGGGCGCGGCTCAGGGAGGACACGATGTCGGCGTGCGGGGAGTCTTGTGTGTAGGACTGCGGCGCCGAGGCCTTTTGCGTCTGGTGGTCGAGCGTGAAAGAGGTAGATGACTGTGTGTCGAAGTAGGAGGTGGGGGAAAGGCGGTTATGGGGGGAGATCAGGACCTGGGTTCGCACAGTAACTCGTCAGCTCCTCGCTCCGTGGTCTGAATTGATTTGTAGGCATGTGAAGGATACTTACATGTTGGCTACCGCTTGGTAGCTTCACGGCGATCAGGTGCTCCTCGTTGTATTTCTGAAATGCGGGCTTGAGTTTATCGATCAACGCTGGATCATCGTCGGAGGTGAGAGCCTTGATGTCATTGACCACTTCGGTGAGCTCTCCCGCAGGAGAGCTCTCTATGAAGGAAGAGCAGATCTCTGCTGTTGAGGACATGGTAGAAATGAGAGAGGCGAAAGACGCAGGCTCACTACACTTGCCGCAACGCAAGCAGCAGCGTCCGAGAGTGGCATGCTCACTCAAGGCGGAGTTAGGAATTAGAGACCCTGGGAACCAGCTCGATGCCAGTCACTCGTCTCAACGTTGGCACTGCACACGATTATCGACAAGATTGGTGACAAGTTTGTTGAATTATTCAAAATGTAGAATGTAATATAAAAATATGGCAACATCGCCCGTTTCTAGCACCCTTCATGTATGGTCCTGGTGTGGTGGCAAGGCTCCCAAACGTCCCGCCAAAATGCATCCTCCCTTCGCTATGATTTACCATTGAAATGCTCCCACGCTCGTCTGTGCAGAATGCCGGTCATGCCAAAAAGCATCGTCATTAGTAGTAGCCTCCATACTTTTGTTGTTGCTGATGCTGTTGAGGGTTCTGCCATTGTTGAGCCGGTGGTCCTGGAGCTTGGCCCTGGCCTTGCCACACCTGGTAATTTGATTGAGGATCGATAGGAGCTCCCCAGCTTGTGAACTGAGGCTGTTGAGGCTGGCCGTACTGCTGTGCGTATCCGGGAAATTGCTGTCCATACATTGACGACCGCTGGGCTTCCTGATGGGCCTGGAATTGCTGAGCCTGAGCATGGTGTTGCCGTTGGGCAATGGCCGCTTGTACCATGTGGCCAGAGACTCCTTCTTTGATATATTTCCGTTCCTGCTCTCGTGCTTCAATCGCTCCAATTAGCCCAACGGAGGGATCGGGCGACCTGGTACGATCGCCCATGTTTAACAGAGGCCCGCCAGTCATCCTTGCCACGTGCTCCTGCTCCCGGGCAGAGAGATTAGAGCTGTAGTCTAGCAGGTGAGTCGAGTTTCGAGAACTTGGCCGCGAGTCCCGCTTCTTCTGAAGTTTTTTGGGTGCTTGGGAGGGCACTGCTACATGCTCAATCCTATTTATCGATGCGGTCCGCTGAGGAATATAACCAGTCGGGTGTTGCGCAGCGGCGGCTCGTTGCTGGACGAACTCCTCTGGAGTCAATGCCGGACCAGGACTTTGACGACCTGCACCGATCCCCGGTTGCCACGCATAGCTCGGAGAGCGTGAGTGGGACTGGTAGCCAAAATAGTTCGACCGCCTGTCCTCAGCCAGGGCTTCAGGTGTTCTCAAAGGAGACTTGCGCTCTGGAGTGCCCGGACTTTGCCCTAAACCCATTGGCGTCATTGGTCGGCTCCCGCTCGGCGAGGCGCCCGTGCCTGAACCGCTCGCGTTACCACCTAGGGCAAATCCCATAGCTGTGCCCGGCCGGCTGGTTCCTGGTGTCAAACTCTGAGTAACGCCAAAGTCAATCTCGGGAATATCTGACTTGGGTCTTGCTGAAGTATCAGTGACGATGCTAGGATCCCCCACGGTCTTCAGGACCCCAGTTCTGGGGCGTGGGATAGACCTTTCGGACTTATTGTCTTCGGATTTGCGGGTGCTGGCATAGTCCGGCGATGAATCTCGATCATAGTTGAAAGCGGATCTCGCAGACGCCCGGTCTGATGACCGAGCTCTAGCTAAGAGCAGGGCATCGTCTGAAGGAAGCTGTGGGACAACTTGCTGGGCCGAAGTTGCCGCAACAGGCTTGCGTCGGATAGAGTGCTGGCTTGTTTGCCGGACTTCGGGTGGGCGGATATCAGCCGGGCTTTCCGTCAGGTTGGCCCCATCTGCTACCATTGCTGGCGAGGACGAATTAGCAGATGATCTCATATCGTCAGGTTTGATTGAATTTACCGCTCGTGGTGCGTTCTCGTTTCGACCAACACGCCAGGCAGCAGCAGCCGCAGCGCCTGCAGTGTTGACCTCTCTCAGCTTGTTGACATCAGCTATCTGCTCGAGAGTGGCGTTTGACATGCGACTCTTCTCGCGGCGGAGTTCAGGTCGCGTGTCAGGGCGTCTTCGAGGCTGCTCTGTAGGTTGATGTTGGAAGGTGGGTGGCGCAGCGACTGGTCCAGGAGGCTTAAGCTGCTGCATGGCTTGGTTGACATCCTCTGCGGCATATGATTGAGATCGCTGGAGATTCAGGCTTGTGTCAGAGCTCTCCCGACTGTCCACTAGATCGCTGTTGCTGCGACTCGGCCGACCAGTCCGATAGACTTGCCGATGACTGGGCGGAACTGGCGTAGGCGAGATGTCATCGCCATCCGGAGAGTCTCTGTCCATGGACAGCCTGGAAGACTGATATCCATTTTGCCGCGGATTTTTCCGGGGGGAAAGAGCCACGGATTCAGAAGCGGCCCTCGTGTGATAGTTATGTGCTGGTAAATGCGCGGGCGCCGCCGGAGCTCGCGGGGGAGGCGAATACCTGATATCGGTAGTTGACATACTATGTGCATGACCCCTGCTGGGCGGCGTTGAGGTCAAGGTTGTAGCTGAGTCATCTGAGTATTGAACGCCTAGACGAGAGTTCATACTGGCCGAGAAGCCAGCTCGCGCGCCAGACGTCGGGCTGGATCCGTTTTGGCCGCTGTTGGCGATCCTTCGCGATGTCAGATCCTTCATTTGTTTGCGCCATTCTCGCTCTTGCCATTTCCCACTACCATCAGTATGGATCAGGGACGCTACATCCATGATGTCCAAGTAACCGTATCGCCTCTGTTTTGGCATTGCGAACATAAGCCCTCGTGCATCAAGGGTATCCGCGATCAGTCGATTTGGTCGGCCATAGAGGTGAAAGGTATCATAGACCGGAAATAGCCAACGAAGTAGCATTTCAAAGCCGGATACGGCAGGATGAAGTTCGGGCATCACGAAGACAAAGCCTTCGGTCTTGGATTCGGGGTTGGAATGAATTGTGATCCTGCCTTCCACTTTAACCAACGTAGATTGGTCAATCAAGGGTTTCGCTTGAGGGTAGATAGCGTAAGCTGCGTAAGCATCCGTAATGGTCGCGATGGGTGTCGCCTTCTTCGTCTTCTTGGTGTCGTAGAACTTGATGTCTCCCTTTGGATACGACGGACGCTCGTATGCGGACCTCTTCTTCATGGATTTGGTCGCTCTCTGCCATTCCTTCTCATCAGGGGGTTCGATAACGCACCAGCACCGTCGCCAGGGTGTGCCGGCACCAAATCGGACACGCGCCCAGTCCTCGTGCCTGAATTTTGCTCGTTCCATGATCGACTTGATGTTATTGAGGTGCTTGCCTTTTCCGGCAATCAAGGAACCGGTATAAAGTTCCTGCAAGGAAGAGTTCTCGAACATGGCCAGACGAATTCCAGCCGTCCATTGCGTCAATGAGTGTATAGAGTTAAAGTGTAGAAGGTATCGGTTCTTTCCGGCGGTCGAGATTGACAAAACGTTTTGCAGGGGCTGAACGTCCTGGTTCCGTGTCGGGAGCGTTTCAATCTAAGTAGAGTAAGTTTTGACCCGAGAGGGTAAGTATCTGGGCTTACCATTTTGATTGAGGCATCGGCCAGGTTGATGAACGTAGGAGCCACTTCGCCATCTTGACCGGCGGCATCCAGCGCAGCAGCATCCCACAGGGATAAGATAGTGCCAACAAGTTGCGCAAAGCATTCAGTCCAGTTCCGATCCGCATTCGGCTTGCCGTCTGTGCAAAGTTAATACCTGGCCAAAGAGTGATTGCAGATACATACTCGAATCGAGGTCGTTTAGCTTGAGGAAATATCCTGTGGGGACGGGTCAGTATCAAAGCCATCTAGCTTGGGATGCATAAGCACCTTCTTGATATAACTTGTTGCTGTGGCTCGACAAGTAACTGCTGCAAGTCAGCACTAGACCAAACGGGAGAATTTGTGGTCGGCTTGCCTAAACACTGGTTGCAACTCTTCAATATGCAACTCCCTGCCCAAATCCATGGCTTGTAGTGGCATGAGCATCGAGTTTGGGCGGGACGCGCCAGGGGAACGGTGCGTAGGAGTGGTCTGCGGTACAGCGCCACTCGAAGGCTCTCTGACAGCTCCAGGGTGTTCTTTTGACGGAAAGTCGTTGACAGGTTGGCGATAAGAGTCGGTCTGTGTCAGAGGTGATGAGCTTGACGGCTCCCTGGAATGGGTGTGGAATGTGGCCTTCTGCAGGCTTTGCGACAATTTGCGGAGCCGTCCCATCTTGTCTGCCTCAGTCGTTCTTTCTCCAACGAAGTTGAATGAGTGCTGGCAAGAGCAGATTCGTATGCAGCGTTGGACGGTGGCAGGTGCAACGAGAGGAAAATCTCAGGAGACGCGCAATACGCAGCCGGGATCTCGATGAGCGAACGCGTGGCGGAGTGGGCGGAAGACGATGTCGACAGCCGAAAGTTCTCTGGAAAGTGAACAACGCCAATATCAAGCGGACTTCCGAAATGAGCGACCGACAGCGTGTGTCCTGGCCTGTAGTAGAGCTGCAACGAGGCAAAAGCTGCGAAATATTTTGCTACTCGCGGCTGGGGTGTGTCTCGGAAAGCCGACAAGGCCGCCAACACTGGTGGGCGATGGTAGCAGTTGCCGGTAATAAGTGGGTTCCTGGCGGCTCAACAGCAATGCGCGGCTACAACAGGCAGTTGGACGGCTTTACTACAAGTACCCAAAGACCCAGAATGTACCGCAGACAAGGAGAAGCGAGTGGTGGTGCAGTGACCGATCGGCGCTACACCAACTATCTACATATCATTCTCCCGCTGCAGAGCCACCGGTTCTCATCCATTGCAACGGGCAAGACGTCACCGGCGGCTGTTTACGTATGGTGGTGTGCCGCCGCTGGGCTGGAAAACTCCACACCAGAAAGGAACATGACCCAGCACAGCCTCAGCCCACGCATCTAGCCTGCTGCGGGCGCCCGCTTTCGCCTAACCCAGCTTCCCATGTTGTCACCCACAGCGGAGCCCGATGCCCAAATTTCAGATTGAGCTAGCTTGATCAAAATGATGCTGCTCTGCTTGTAGCATCCATGATCCTCGCATCGTGATCGCGAGAGCTTAAGCAGCTCTTCGCCTATTCTGGTACTGGAGCGTTACAAAAGCCGCGAAACACGAGTAAGAGGCACAATAGTTCCGTTCTGGTCCTTCCCTTGCCCAGGAGATTTCTGCGGCATGCCCGGAACACCACGAAATTGCTGGTCCAGTCAAAGCAGGATGCCACGACTTAATTGTGACCTCGCAATAACAAGCTAGCTGTCTCTGGGTATAGCCTACTGTAAGACAAGCCTCCAGGATGACCGATCCGGACCTGCGCTGAGCGCGGCATACGTACCATCGGAGAGACAAATGCCGATGCCGCAGTGTCGCGTTTCGCCAGACTCGCCCAGCATGAGTAAACAATGATGAGCTGGAAATCGATGATGCTGCAGCTTTAGATGAGAAATCCTTCTATTGGTCGCTCGTTCCACAACCCATTTCATGAAATCGAGCAGATAAGCATAGCATTGTTCGTTGGTGCTTTTTGCGGCCAGCTTGTGTCTATGGGATCAGGTATCCGCTGAGTGCGAGGTCAAACGCATGACTCGCATTTATCAGTACGGTCTACCTGCTAGCCAAAAAGTCACTCCTTATCCTCCACCGACCTCAATGCCTGAGCAAGCGCCGCCATTTCAGCTTCCTGTTCCGTGTGGGCGGCAGCATGTTCAGTGACACCTTCCAACATTGTGTGGCCCGGTGGTTCTCCGCGATCAAGGTTAGGGTCAATCGCATTGTCGGTACTAGAGGACGCTGGCTGAACGACGTTTCCACGACTGGCACTGTCCGCGTATGTGGTAGTAGGCAAAGGTATCTGCGAATTCTGGTAGGTTGCGGCCGAGGCAAGAGCTTGCAGGTTGTGGGGATCTCCTGTGTCCATTTGTTGGTACTGCGACCTTGGGTCGTTCACTGATGATGAGCTGAGAGGCGGATATTGAAACGCAGGTTGCGTAGCGACGGCGCTCGTCATGTTGACAAATTGCCCTGGACGTGGATCAGCTCAACTCCTGTAGCAGTGGTCTTGATCTTACACTCCCGATGCGGAATGCCTCCTGTTGTCAATCGCTGCTCATCTTCCTCTGCCCACGCGGACGCACTTCCCCTGTAGAACTTCGTTGACTTTTTGTCGCCTACCGATGGGTTTTGGTCGTGTTTCCAGACATCGCCTTGCAATAAGTCAGTGCCCCGAGTAATTGATAGGCTTGGTGTAGGACGTCTTACCACCCACCCAATTGCAGTCACGATTTGCCTTCTCGCAGTTAAGACATCCGGGTTTGCGCTCGTCGCATTTGATCTTACGGTACCGGCAGGTCATACATCCTGTCCGTTTGCGCTTGAAACCACCAGGGGGCTTGCTGCCCTGCTTTCGAGGTTGAAGCAAAGAAGAGTTGGTACTTGTTGAGTTAGTGAGCGGAGTAGACATCGTTGTCACAACGCGTCACTGGCGACTTGCTATCCGCCTAGTTCCTGGATGAGAAGGTGTAGCGAAGCTGCACATGCCACGCCGCATTTTCTTATGGTGCACGGACCTCAATTCTCTGCGGCTGAGCATTAGTACTAATCCCGCAATCTGCGGGTCAAGTGTTGTGAGCAGCAGTAAGTGCAGAACAGATAGTGAACCAAGAACAACTGTTGAGAAGCACTGTGAAACAGGGCTTTCTATGCATCAGAGACAATATTTGACGGATTCTGTTGAGTACAATCTGTACTCAACCCAAAGTCTCCTAATTGTCGTTGACGGTATCATAGAAACGGTTCGCAAATGCTACGAGACTTTGTCCTACCACGGGCGGCAGGCTCTCGTCGCTGCAATGAGGTTGAATCATGTCTTCTTCGTCTTCTTCTTGGGGCGGGATTGCTCTTCTTCATCACTCGCGCCCGAGCCACCGGCATCGTCTGCGTCTCCATCTGCGTCAGCCATTTCTGCATCGCTATCGCTACCACTACTATCGTGCGCCGAGTCGTATTCTTCAGCAACATCAGAATCAGAGTCGGCTTGGAAGTCTTCGTCTGGTGACTCGTCGTCTTCATCCGCCGATCCTCTGGGCGCTCCGGCTTCGTCGTCCGAGCTCGCCAGATCCGGATTGTCCAATGCTGCCTTCAGCAGGCTCGAAGTATCGTCAACCATCTCGTTCTTGTACCGGATACCTTTGGCCTAGAGAACTGTTAGTGGACGCCAAAAAGTTTGGGGGTTTGGCAACCTACCTTGAAAAAGTCCTCGAGTGACTGTTGCTCCTCGCGGTTAATGTTACTGAATTGGTGCTCACCCGCTCCACCCTTCAGCAGCAAGCTAATGTCAAACGTGCGACTAGCAGCGAGCGCGCCGCCGATTCTGGACATGACGATCTTCTCGACATTGTCGATGGGAACATAGGTGGCTGGCTTAGGGACAAACATGAAGCTGCGATCCAAGCAGTACAAGGCACCTTCATTGGCCTTGATCGAGCACTTAACTCCCTGTAGGTTATGATGACTGGAGAAGTCTTTCGAAGGAGTAATGACCTTCTTGCCGGACAGGCCCTTGAACACTCTCGTAATGACATGGTGGAGCGGCGCCTCGTAGTGGCCTTCGAGCTTGTCCTTATACTTGGTTTCCAGCTGCTCCTCAGTCAAGTTGAGGTCGATAACAGTCTCATCGTCGAGTTTCAATTGCATTACGATGAAAGGGTACCGTGTCTGACCTTGTCTTAGAGGAGGATCCAGGCCAAGGGTAAGCAAGGTATGGACTTCGTCGATCTTAGGTAGCATGAAGACCTTCTTGATCGCTTGGTATTCGACCTTGTAGTCGTAGGTCTTTCCGCGGAGGCGAAATGACCCTTCGTACATATCGATATCGAATCGACCGCGGGGAGTGAGGAACAGCACATCGGGAAAGGTCGCAATGGTATCCCCAGCAACGTCACCAATCTCTGCTCGCTGCATGAGCGTCTCGTAGAAGAAGTTAGCTGCGCTTTGCTCTTCATCCTCCTCGCCTTCATCGCCACTAGCCGGCTCTTCGCCATTGGCTTCCTTCTTAGACATGGTGCCTGGGATATAGAAGCGCATCTCAACCAGCTCATCACGAGCCGCGGCAGCCTTCCGGCCCCGATTCCTCGTCGTTGCTGGCTTTTGTCCATCGACGCCATTCTGTGCCGTATCTCCAGCTAGGTTGAACTCGACCGCGATCTCGTTCTTACCAGCCAGATTGGTATTTGAGATCTCGGAGTATGGAATTTCGAATGCAGGTCGATTTTGGACATTGAAGGCCATCTCTGCACGTCCGAACTCGGTCTTGCCCCAGTTCCAGCCTCGTAGAGCATGCTCCTTGTTCTCCAGGTTGATGCCATACCAAATCTTGAAAGCTTTGCTTGCCCGGTCGAAATCAGCCTTTTCAAAGCCATCTAGCTGGATTACTGATTGTTCTTTTGTGATAATTTTGATCTCGTAGCCCTTCGCGGCTCGGCTCCACTGTGCGGCAAGGAAATGGTTATAATCGAGTGTGAAAGGTTCTGATGCGCCACTCGACTTCCATCCTAGACCAATCTCAGCAAGTCTGCACTTGCCGGGCTGTTTTGAGAGATCAAGGTGAATATTTTCGAAGGACTCCCTGGTGCTGGTCAGCCTACTATACGAGGGCGCTTCCTAAGAACTCACATCGCGCCTCCGCGCAGACTAAGGCGCTGCGACGGAAAAGATCTCGAAAGTGATCAGATACGATATTGCGTTATCGTATTTTCTTGCGTAGTTTGGCTTGTTCGACGTACTTTATTGCCACAGTCAGGGTCAGTAAGAGAGACCAGAGGTGCGATGATGCGATGGTAAAGGTAAGCAGGAGAATAGCACTTTCGCACCTAGTAAAGATGTTAGATTCACGTCGCGACTTGGAGAACGCGGTCTCGGGGCTTGGCATCTCGGGGCCGGAGCGGTGGAACTTTCAGCCCACAGGCAGTAGAGTACGATGCCCGACTCCGCCTTTGAGCTCATCATAGGTAATCCCCACTGCCTCATCTCCGTTCCGTTTTCGCATTCTACGGATATAGTATTGCACTGCAGAGCCACGCTTCGTGTCGTCGACCACCAACAGGCAGTCCACAGCATTGTTTCAGTCAACATGGAAGCTGAGCAAAGGACGAGACCTTGAACATACCTCCAACAGCTACAGCGGGCATGAGCCCCATGCGGCCTGCGAGCTCCCTGCTGCTCGCCCTGCGACCATGTCAGAACGGCTCGAAGATCAGACATCTTGACCAAGGTGTTGTCTTTTCATTGTACAACTCTGCGCCGAGACACTCCAGGATAGATGCGCGCGCAGTACATTTGTCAACTCTTGCTCAACCACCGCCATCTCGTTCAGCAGTACCTTCTCTCCTCAGACGCAACCGCTACCCGGCGTTGCCTGGATCCAAATGTGAGCATGGCATCCTTCAGCATGCCCGCCCTTTCACAGCTACGTCGTTCTTCTGCCGCGAAACCCCGACACCAGTAACAAAAGAAGAGAAGTCGCCGAAGAAGACATCTGAAGATGAACAAGACGACGAAGAGTTTGGTAGATCTGAGAAAGCCAACGCGGCATCTCAAGTCAATTTAAGCGCAAAGCTGTCAAAAGACGGCGCCGGATCTGGTGCTTCGGGTTTCGGTGAGGTATGGCGACTGCTCAAAATCGCACGACCTGAGGCCAGGGTCCTGCTCGCAGCGTTCGTTCTGCTTCTGATATCATCCGGTATCACCATGTCAATCCCGTTCTCGATCGGTAAGATCATGGACATTGCAACGAAAGGCAAGGCCAATACAGAAGGTGACTCGAGCGAAGCGCCAAACGAAATGCTGTTCGGATTTAGTATGACAACATTCTATACCGCGCTGGTGTGCATATTGGCAACGGGCGCAGCAGCCAATTACGGTCGCATCATCATTCTGCGGATTGTTGGCGAAAGAATCGTTGCGCGACTACGGTCAAGGCTATTCCGACAAACCTATATTCAGAATGCCGAGTTCTTCGATGCCAACCGTGTAGGAGATCTGATATCGAGATTGAGTTCAGACACCATCATCGTTGGCAAGTCAATCACGCAGAACCTATCGGATGGGCTGAGAGCCTTCGTCAGCGGTACCGCTGGGTTTGGCTTGATGGCATGGGTTTCACTAAAGCTCACCGGGGTCCTGGGTCTGCTATTCCCGCCTATCGCGATTGGAGCCTTCTTCTATGGTCGAGCTATTCGAAATCTGAGCAGAACGATCCAGAAGAATGTTGGTACACTGACAAAGATCGCGGAGGAGCGACTGGGCAATGTTCGGACTTCCCAAGCATTTGCGGGTGAAATCCTGGAAGTCCACCGTTACAACACGCAAGTTCGAAAGATCTTTGAACTTGGCAAGCGGGAATCTCTGATCAGCGCAACATTTTTCTCCTCTACCGGCTTCCTCGGTAACATGACGATTGTCTCCCTCCTCTACGTCGGAGGAGGTATGGTCAGTGGCGGGGAGATCACAATCGGTGAACTCACATCCTTCTTGATGTACACCGCATACGCCGGCTCTTCGCTATTCGGCCTATCATCTTTCTACTCAGAGCTGATGAAAGGTGTTGGTGCCGCATCCCGATTATTCGAATTGCAAGATCGGGAACCGACGATTTCGCCAACCGTAGGTACCCCTGTCAGCAGTGCGCGTGGCCCAATTCAATTCAAGCAAGTCACATTCAGTTACCCAACCAGACCAGCAGTCAAGATCTTCAAAGAACTGGACTTCACAATTCCGCAAGGATCCAATGTTGCCGTTGTTGGACCCTCAGGTGGAGGCAAGTCGACAATTGCCTCGCTCCTTTTGAGATTCTACACACCTTCCGAAGGTCAGATTCTGATCAATGGCAAAGACATCTCGACCATGAATGTCAAGTCACTTCGTCGCCGAATCGGTGTTGTTTCTCAAGAACCAGTTCTGTTCTCTGGCACGATCGCTGAGAATATCGCCTATGGTCGACCCAATGCAACTCGGGCAGAAATTATGCGAGCTGCGAGACAAGCCAATTGCCAGTTCATCTCCGACTTTCCTGATGGGCTCGATACTCATGCAGGAGCTCGGGGCACGCAGCTCTCAGGGGGTCAGAAGCAGCGTATTGCGATTGCGCGAGCACTGGTGAAGGATCCAGATATTCTCATCCTCGATGAAGCGACTTCTGCACTCGATGCAGAATCAGAGTAAGTGACACTCCGTCTCACGGACTGCAAGTTTCCATACTAACCTCTTTCCAGAACACTTGTCAATGAAGCCCTCGCGGCCCTCCTCAGAGGTTCTAATACCACGATCTCGATTGCTCACCGTCTATCAACGATCAAGCGATCCGATACTATCATCTGCTTAAGCAATGATGGTCGTGTTGCGGAGATGGGTTCGTACGAGGACCTAAGCAGCAGGCCGGATGGTGCATTCACCAAGTTGATGGAATGGCAAATGAGTGGTGGCGAGCCTACTCCAGGTATCAACAAAGACATACCGATCAGCAGTGGTGGTCGAGGTCTCCCAACTGAGTCAGAAGAGATCGAACTCTTGCTTCAGTCCGATGAGACTGAGACCGAGGATGGGGGTGAGACGGATGAGAGCGTACGAAACTCCAAGGTCGCAGACCCAGTCACTGTGGCTGCAGAGGAAAAGAAGAAATAAAAGAGCGCCCGAGGTCACAACCTTGCCACGATTGCACGATGGCGGTGGTCGAATCAAGCACTTGTTAACACCAGCTACTGTAGCATAAATACAAATGTCAGAGACTCTTCTCTCGTATAGCAATGTAAGCCAAAGACCATATGAGACATGCAGCCTACAGCGTGTACTCCACATATCATTGCCATAATTACTAAGATGCGACGTACTGCCCAGGATGTGAAGGGCAAGGAATAATCTGAGTCACGCCCCGGAAAATTCAGCCTTCCCGCCAAGACTCTATATCAAACTCTCCTACAGTGCAGCGACTTCGCTCTTGCCTGCATACATTCTCACAGCTGATCATGTCCCGCTCGGCACAATGACAGGAAAACCAAAGGGCAAAGTCCATTTGCTGGACTATGTGGCGGGCAACATCCGATCACTCGTCAATGCCATCGAGAAGTGCGGATGGGAAGTTGAGTGGGTCCGAAGTCCGGAAGATGTGAAGAAGGCCGACAGGATTATCTTGCCAGGCGTCGGTCATTTTGGCCACTGCCTCACATCGCTGTCCAACGCTGGATACCTTCCTGTCATTCGCGAACATATTGAAGCCGGCAAGCCTTTCTTCGGTATATGTGTTGGTCAGCAGGCGCTGTTCTCGTCGTCAGTCGAAGCGCCGAATGTAGCTGGGTTGGGACTGATCCCAACTTCACTCAAGCGCTTCGACCCAGCAGCTGCCGAAGATGGAACCAAGAAGTCAGTTCCTTGTATTGGGTGGAACTCAGCCAGCACGCTGCATCACCAGGCTCAGGAGAATGGCACTCGGCAAAGCTTCTACGGTCTAAGCGAATCAAGCAAGTACTATTATGTGCATTCATACTTCGCACCATACACGCCCGGAGAGCTTGAAAGGGACGGCTGGACTGTTGCAACAGCTAGATACGGCAGCGAGACGTATGTGGGAGCTATTGGTCGCGGTAACGTTTTTGCTACGCAATTCCACCCAGAGAAATCAGGCGCAGCCGGCCTAAGAGTCATCAAAGCGTTCCTCGAAGGAAGACAGCTTTCGGAGCCTCTGCAGAGCTCGGTAAACTCAAAATTGGCTGATGTTACGGACGCTAGAGGTGGCATGAACGGTCTCACGCGCCGGATTATCGCTTGCTTGGACGTCCGTACTAACGACGCCGGTGATCTAGTAGTCACTAAAGGCGATCAATATGACGTACGTGAGAAGGACGACACCCGTGGTGTTCGGAACCTAGGGAAGCCAGTGGAGCTAGCGAAGCGATATTATCAACAGGGAGCGGATGAGGTGACGTTTCTCAACATTACGAGCTTCCGAGATGTGCCTATTCGAGATCTACCTATGCTGGAGATTCTACGGCGGACCAGCGAAGAGGTCTTTGTGCCCCTGACCATTGGTGGTGGCATCCGCGATATGGTCGATCCTGGCACCTCCCAGACTGTGAAGGCACTGGATGTTGCAAAGATGTACTTCGAAAGCGGAGCGGATAAGGTCAGTATCGGTAGTGACGCCGTACTCGCTGCAGAAGAGTTCTGGAAGAGAGGTGGCAAGGGCGACGGCACAAGCGGGATTGAAACCATTAGCGCTGCCTACGGAAGGCAGGCAGTGGTTGTGAGCGTCGACCCTAAGAAGGTGTACATCAAGAACGGTGAAGAAGCGCAGACACATCACTTCGTCAAGTCCTCGGAAACAGATGTCGAGGGAAGGTCATTATGCTGGTATGCCTGTACGATCAAAGGTGGCAGAGAAACCCGAGATCTTGACGTGGTACAACTGGTCAAGGCTGTCGAGGCAATGGGCGCCGGCGAGATCCTATTGAACGCTATTGACCGCGATGGCAGCAATCGAGGCTATGATCTTGACCTGATCCGGATGGTAAAGGCTGCCGTGGGGATTCCGGTGATTGCAAGCAGCGGTGCAGGTGTACCACAGCACTTCGAGGAGGTGTTCAGAGAGACCGCGGTTGATGCTGCCCTAGGGGCTGGCATGGTGAGTTTCCCGGCTCTGCGGCCTTTTGCATCAACGCTAACGTCTCATGCAGTTCCACAGAGGAGAGTATCTCGTCTCGCAAGTGAAAGACCATCTCGGCGAACAAGGCTTGCTGGTAAGACCGTACGAGGAGCTGGCGCCGTAAGACCAATCATCAGCAGAACCAGCGTCGTCATAGAACATTGTAGAGGCCAAGTAGAGTAGCATTGCATCTGTATGGTGTGCTCATTAGACCACTGAACCTTTTGATCTCATCCTTCTGCACCGTGTCGTATCGTCCTCAACGATCGCCAGACCAGAAGCTCTGGCTTGAATGAATGCTCGTATTCCCTGGAATTGACCGGCTGCTATCTGCCTCGATCCAGCACTCCATTGGTTCCCCACAATTTGCTAGCAAGACAGGCCCCTTATCCAATCACACAATGCTGTGAGCTGCAGCCTCGCTAGAGCCACAAGGCGTCCTATCACAGATCCTCTTTTCCAACTTCAACCTGTTTCGCCTCCCTCCCACAATTCGGCTGCCCTGCAAACCAGGCACTGGACGTGCAGTCTGCGCCTCAACCACCCTTGATCGATTCGCTGCATCCCGAGCAGCCGGCGATCTTGGCCTTGATCTGCTGACAACTCACAGTGATGGACCTGATGCCTAATTTCCAGCGTCCACGCCCAGGTTGCGGTCGTGCCGCAGGGAATACCACGTTTGCACGGGTACAAGGTCACCGCGCGTTTGGCACTTGGCACAGCCATCCTCATGTACCCTTCACTTGTTAACGAACAGGAGATTTGTGATGCTTCTTCACTACACATGACTGCTGACCCAAGTCTTTCTTTCCGCACCCTCCGCATTCTTTGACATATTTTCAGTAACACGCAGTATTGCCCACCAGTCGCAGTCCGCTTGCGAACTAAACGGGACTACGGAAATATGGTTGTCTTCATGACATTGCCACTACTGACATCGACACTTCTGAGTTCCATCGTCTCAGCACAAGTTGACAACAACCTGAGGGACTGCTTAATCGAGGCCGCCAATGGAGACAAGGGACGAGTAGCGTGGCACTCGAAGTTTGCCTTTGATATCTTGGATGTCCACCGGTACAACCTACGCTACGACACAAACCCTGCTGCCGTTACATATCCTGAGAGTGCCGAGGAAGTTGGCGCAATCGTCAAGTGTGCTGCGGCTGCCAAAGTCCCGGTCCAAGCCAGAAGCGGAGGCCATTCATTCGGAAACTATGGTCTGCCACCTTTGCACATATTCACTGCCAATACTGATGAAGCCCAGGGATTGGAGGAGACGACGGCGCTGTTGTCGTCGATACTAAACATCTCAACCGGCTTGACTATTTGGACTCCGACCAGACCGCACACATTGGCCCTGGCAATGGTCTCAAGGATGTGAACGACTTCCTTCTCGAGCACGGCCGCTTTGCCTCTCACGGGGATGCCCCTCAAGTAGGCGTGGGCGGTCATTACACCATCGGGGGACTGGGTCGCGTCTCGCGCCAATTTGGAGCGGCATGTGACAACATTATCGATGCCGAAGTCGTGCTCGCAGACGGTTCCATCATCAAGGCCTCGAAGGACGAGAATGAGGACATGTTCTTCGCAATCCGCGGCGCGGGCGCGTCCTTTGGCATCGTGACTGACTTCCACATCAAAACACATCCCGCTCCATCTTCCGCAATCGCCTACACCTATAACCTCACCCTCGGTTCAGCCTCCCTGCAAGCCGATGCCTTCAAGGGCTGGCAAAAACTCATCTCCGACCCGGATCTCCCCCTCAAAATCAGCACACAATTCATCGCCTTCCCCGGCTTCTCCGTCATTACCGGCTTCTTCTACGGCACAGAAAAAGAGTTCAGCGCCATCAACCTCGAATCCGCTCTACCGGGCCTTGACTCCAACGCCATCTCCATCGAAGTCGTCGACGCCGCAGTGGCCGTCGCCCACGACGCCTCCGAACTGGGTCTTAAGCTCTTCGGCGACCTTCCCGCGCACTTCTACAGCAAATCTCTCTCCTTCAACACCTCAACCTTGATGAGCGACACCGCCATCGACAACATGTTCAAGTATCTCTCCGATCTCGATCTCTCCACACTGGCGGTCCCCTACTTCGTCATCTTCGATCTCGAGGCCGGCGCCATCAACGACGTGCCCGCAGACTCAGCCGCATACGCCTTCCGCGACAGCCTGTACTTCCTGCAGAGCTACGCGGTCGACCTGCTCGGACTGTTTCCCGACCAAGCCACCAAGTTCCTGGATGGCCTGAACGAAGTGGTGCTGGAGCACGACCCGAATGTCTTTGGCAGCTATCCAGGCTATGTGGACCCGTATCTGAAGGGTGCGAGGCAGTGGTACTGGCGCGGGAACTATGAAAGGCTGCAGGAGATCAAGGCGGAGCGCGACCCGAACGAAGTGTTCAAAAATCCGCAGAGCGTACAGCCAAAGAAGTAGAGGGGGTCCTGTTTTGAATGGACTCGTACACGGAGTTTTTGGAACGTGTTCATGCCGGCAACATGACTTTTCGTAAGAATATTCATTCACCGCCAAAATCAAACTGCGCTTGTCCTCAAAAACGCTCATGGGTATCCAAACCAATGTTCAACTCCTCGCTGACTATCATCACGCCGCAGCCGGTCTCCTGAAAGGATGTGCCTCGGTGTTCAACACCCACTTGTCCAGATCCACCACATCGCTGTCGTCAAAGATGAGGTAAAAGTACTTCAGCGTCTCCGCCAGCCAGAAACTCTCCATGCGATCACTCTTTTCCGGTCTCGCAAGGCGGACATCCACCACCGCTGCATTCGCAATGTCCGTCCTCGTCGCCTTGTCAATGCTCTGCCACATCCGCCACGCATCCTCCTGATACCTCCGCTCGCCCGTGATACGGTAGAGTATGAAGACGGATTCAATAGCCTCCGGCCGTAGGATATAGCGGGAATCGCCGTGCGCCGTGAACCCGGCAACCAACTTCTTCTCTTTGGCGAGAATCTTCCCGCGCTCCACGGGGTTCACAGATGGGTCGTCATCAGCGCCTCCCAGCTGCTTCGTCACGGCGGCGAAGTACTTGCCATCGTCCCATTCGCAGCCTGAGGTATCGGCGTCGATTCCCTTCGCACAGGGCACCACATGGAACGTCTCCGGCATGAGCCCGGAGGGCGTAGCGTTGTAGGCCCAGATGCACCCGTCAAGCAGCTGTTTTGCAATCTTTAGGTCGCTTGGACGATCGAAGATCTGCGCGCCAATGCCAACCATGCCGGCCAAGAAGCAGGTCAGGTGCTGGCCTTGCGGATCCAGGGAGGCTTGTCCTTGCTCGGTCAGCGCCGTTGTGCCGGAGAAGAGGATGTCGGCGTTGGTGGGCACCATGGGTTTGAAGAACAGGAAACGGGATGCAGCGTCGAGGGCCTTTTCGTACATGGTGCGGTAGGAGCGGATCGCACCATTGAGAAGCATGTACTCTTTCGGTAGGTACTCGTAGGTCGAGTCCGCCATGCCACCCAGTGTGAAATGGTTGTAGTCGAATCTGAGGTTGCGGGCGTCAACGATGGTGGGCCAAAGTCCCGCGATGAGAGTGCCATCCTGTGCATCCGCCATTAACGACGAGATTCTCGCGATCGAGTCGTAGTATTTCGGGTCCTGCGTCAGTTGCGATAGGCGTGTGAATTCCAACGACAGCGATCCCAGCTCCGCGAGCAGGGTGAAGTCTGCGGCTTGAACCTGTCCACCTAGCGCAGACTTTCGCCAGTCCCATCTGCAAACCGGCATCCTGTTCGTGGTGTCAAACGCACTGTACAGGATCTCACCCAACTCCTTTGCCTTGTCCAGTAGTTGCGGGTACTTGCCCTCGCTCACATCATACGCGGCCATCATGCCACCTAAATATCGGATTGTCGTTTCAAAGACGTTGAGCTCCTTCACCGAGTTTGTTGTAAAGTCGATCTTCATCACAGCCTCCACCGCCGCCTCAAACTCCTCTTTCATCCCCATCAACCATAACGTGTCCAGGGCGTCGACCAGCGTAGCACCCCAGCCTCCATAGTTGTCTAGTGAACTGCCACTCAAAGGCATCACCTCATCCTTGCCGAACGCATGCGCCTTATAGCCGCCCCAAGCGTGCACAAATGCATCCTTGATGGTCTGTCTGCGCTCTTCACGTTGCGACTTTTGGGCGACGGTCTCCGGGTGGGATGCGAAGTCGAATTGGATACGCGGGATGGGCGTGCTACCGGTAGGGAGAGGCGTGAGAGATTCAACTGGGTATCGTTCCGGCCATTTCTTCCAATGGACGTCGCCGTAATAGGTGTCTGCGGTGGATGTAGGACTCCGCAGGAAAAGGTAGTAGAAAGCGACGAAGAAGCAGAGCGCGGGCGCCACCCACAGCTTTCGGATCAGTAGCATGCCCGAGGAGCGATGACGATGAGCTGTCACATTTGAGATGGAGTCAGGAGGTACTGATGCACAGTGTACATGGCCTGGATAGTCCTGCGTCGAGATACGTGCCCAGATCTCTCGCTGACAGTCGCTTCGGAGGCCCAGCACTGCGCGCGCAGGGGTGACCTCGGCGCCGCGGGAAGCTTATGCAGGGGAGCTCCGAGCCGGTGGTGAAGTGCTGCAGGGCCGCCGCCCCCGCAGAAAGCTTCATGGCTACGAACAAAAGTTTCGTCTATCGTCGCCTGAAGCAGTGACTATGAGATCTACCTAGCAGATAGCAAAGTAGAGCTCTGAGTCGCAAACAAGCAAGCACTCAATAGGCTTGTGCCCACTCTCTGTGACGAACGACGCCCTCACCACAGCGGTTGTTTGCTTAAACAGTGCTGCTTCCCCACCTACGCCCGCCTGATATCGCCCACGAGCTCAACAACGACATGCAATTCTGACGTTCCCCTCCCGAATCTGGAGCCACCTTCGCCCTACAGCTGCCAGTATCTACCAGCTCAGAACGATGACCCTCATCGCCCTCTTCCTGATCCCCGTCCTGCCCTCAATCCCTTCGCCGGCGCCCGCTCTCCTAACACACCTCACTCTACATCTCCCCTCCCGGCCGCTCACGACAGCGCCAAGCCCATTCACTCTCACACACCATCTCTTCGCCTCGACCTCCTCACTCCTGCCATCTCTCGCCTCTACGCGGCAGTACACCTCGCTGCTGACCCTCAGCCACACACCCCAACACACCTACGTAGGCACCACCTCCAACAACGAAAACGTACAACAGCTCGTCATCTCCACGAGCTCAGCGGAAGGGTTCTTGCACCTCTTGCACACTAAACTCCAGCCGTTATGGTCACCTCGCCAAACCCTGCTCGTCACGGACGGCACCGCTCTAGCAGTCAATGTCTCAATTGGCACTTTGTATGTGCGTGTCGGGGACCTGAAGCTGGCGCAGCGACAGGGCCAGAATCCCGGCGCGGGCAACGCTCTGAGGGGCGTCCTGCTACAGATCACGTGGCCGGAAGTCGAGGGCATGGCGGGCGAAAAGGCTAGTGCGGAGCACGAGGGCGCGGTGAGAGGGCTGGTGGAGGCAATGCTGGCTGGAGCGGGCTGGAGCGGCAAGATGGACGAAGTGCGCGGTGTCGCGGGCTATGGCGAGGCAGAAGAGCTTCAAGAGTCCGGTGATGGCGAGAAAGGCAGAGAGTCTCAGAAGAGGCAGGGGGCCGGCGGTCGAATGGCGACGGCCGCGCTATACATGGAAATGCTACGCAGCAAAGCGTAAAAGAGACAGGTCTTACAAGGCTAGTCCTCGGCCCCGCCACTACCACATGGGAGGTCGCTTCGAGCAGGGGACACTGGGGATGTCCCTGTCCCAGGCCGATGAAGAGCATCCTTCCGCAGGGCAGAAGAGGAGGACCAGCAGCAAGAACCTGTTGCTATCTCATGCAAATCACGATTGATATCGAGCAGCAATCCCTGAACTACGAGTAAGCAGCACATCAGCTCAGCACGCCCCAAGTCCTCTTCCGAGCCCAGCCGAGCACAGAGCATCGAACACGGAGCTCGAGGAGGCGCAGCATGGCCCACTACAGCGCGCGATCAATCCAGCCATCCTCAAACGCCCACTCACTCCCGCGAAATGATCCTTACCCACGACGACTGCATGTGCCGATACTACATAGTAGACTCCTCCCGAAGGAACAAAGCGCACAGACCACCGCGCGACACGACACGACACGCCACGCCACGCCACGCCACGCGGCGTGACAAAAGTGTTAGGGGCTTGTCACTTGTCAGCGTTATCAGATCCGAGGCACCCTTGCAAGCACGCTCATCCCATTTTGAGAGGTCACACCAAAAAGCCAAGCCCAAGCCCAAGCTCGCGCGCGATCAGGCAGTGAAATTATCAGATCAGATTCAACTGTACACTTTGAACAATAAAAACACTCCAAGAGCCGGGGAGATAGCTGGACAGACAAATTGATTTGCTCTCATGTGTGATCTACATTCTTGTAGAGAGATAGAGAGATTCAACGGTTTCTAGAGACTGCATGCAACCCAATAAATCCCGCCCCTTTTCCATCTCATGACCATGACCGTGCCTAGGCTTGCGCCAATCTCGAATTCTCGCTTTGCATGTCGTTTGCCATTTTTGTCGCTGACAATTGTTTCTGTATCCCATATGATGATGACCCAAACATATCTCGAAACGCCGTAACTCCATGCCGAACGCTACAAAACGCCAGCCCATATGTACAGTTTGTCGGATGTTTGTTCAGCCCCCCATCTTCTTGCTCCTCTCTTACCAGGTTTCGGCAATATATTGGCCTCCAGACCTCTTTCCTTCCCAAAAGGCCAGCGCCTCCTCGTGATTCAAGCGGCCCTTCTTCATGACCACCTGCACCAACGCTGCCTCGACGCCCTCGCCCATGCCTTTACTGCTGCCGCACACAAAGATCCTTCCATCAAGCGCATTGATGACGAACCACACGAGGTCCGCTTGGTGCAGCACTTCATCTTGCACGTACCTTCCCTCGGCCTTGCGGGACTGTACAACCTTCTTTACCTTCTCCTCGTGGACACCCCAGTCGCCAGAGTAGAGTTCATCCACCAGAGAATCACGCACGCCCTGCAGAACCCACACCTTGTTTGCACAGTTGGCGGACTTGAGCCTTCGATGCACAAACCCACGGAAAGGCGCGATGCCGACGCCCGCACCGATCAGCAACATTGGCCCATCCGTGACGAACTCTCGTGCGAGTGGATTGGCCATGAGGCCACGGAATATAGGGACTCTGAGATCCAGTTCTCGAGGATCCTGACCAGCCTTTTCGGCGTCCAGGAGTCGCCGCGCTTGGCGTTCGAGGAAACCGGATCCGACACCTGTGCGAGAGGAACCATCAAAGTTGGCAGCTTCGTGGATGGTCACCGCGATCTCGATCAGGCGGCGGCGCTCCTTGCCCTCACAACGCTCGTTAGAGACGATGGGGTCCTGCGAGAGAGAGTAGAAGCGTGGCATGAGTTGGTTGAGACAGGAGAGAAGGTAGTCCAGAGGGGGCCGGGTTGAGGGGAATGCAGTAAGGAGCTGCAGGACGGTGATGTAGGGGCCGGTCCGGATGTCGCAAAATGCGGCTTGACCTTGCGCGGAAGCCAGGTAAGAGAGAATCTTTTTCTCATGTTCGTTCTCGGCAAACTCGGCTAAGAGGCGGAATATCTGCTTCGTGGGAGGGTAGGACTGGAGGTCGACACACCACAAGAGGAGCTCTCGACGCGTCGTGACAAGCTCTCGGGCCTCATCCTCGCCCCAAATGGTAGGCCAGCGGCCGTTGGTTGTCTTCATCAGAACTGGCTTGTCACGAACAAAACTCGGGACGCCGAGGCGGTCAAAAACCTCATCCACCACGTCTGGCGCATTCGGCGCGCAAACGCCAATGGCGCCACCAACTACGAAGTCAACATCACCACCTTCGACAGGATAGTCTGTCACATCAAGATCGAAGTGATATGTTCGCTTCTCTGCACCCGGTTTCGTCAACTCGCGAGTGTGGAAAAGTGGGGCCGAGTAGACGTCGTATGGGGGATGTGGCGTGACGAAGTTGGGAGGATGCTTTTGAGTCTCGGGCGATTTTGGGGGAGCCGCAGAGCCGTTGGACTGTGAACCGAGCTGCTCAAACGAGACAGTCTTTGGTGGCATTTCGATCAGGCCAGTCAGCTCGCTCTCCAATCCCAAGTGGCTAAGCCGAATGTCGAGACTTCTGTATGCAGCATTGTCGGGCACGATGACGGGGATGCGTCCTTCTTGTGACTCTGCCGGCTTCAGTTGCTGCAGCATGCAACATCCACCACCACAGCAAGCCGCTTGCACCATTTCGGTGGCTGCACCCTTTGAACCAAAGATGCGATCGACATCTTCAGAATTCTGGGACACTAAGACAGTTGAAGCGCGTCTCGCGCGACCGCCAGATGGCACAGATGTCTTGGGCATTTCGTTGAGGTCGTCATCTGAGGGATCGGGAGGGGTTGACGGAGTTGTATCGATACTAGCATTATCGTCGGAGTATACTGTGTCTGCAGGTTGAGACAGCGGCGACTGGCTCAACTGTGAAGCTGAAACGGACATCTTTCGTGTCTGCCGAGGCTCTTCAGGTATCGGGTTGCTTGAGTGAGAGCTTCTCCTCATTATGACGGGGTGACTGGAAGTCTGGGTGTCGGGGGACATTGCAAGGTGCAATGCCGAGAATTTTTGTAGATCTGCCAGTGGGTTCAGGTTAGTATGTAGTCTGTGGCGTAATGTGGAGTGATAGTGGATGGTTGGCCTGTAGAGGCTTGTATATATTCAGGCGGTCAAGGCAAGAAGCATTTGGAAAGGTTGTGTGAGACTGACGCGCCGAACGTACTGGGTGATGTTGGGATGAGGTAATGTGCGGAACGATGGCTGAGAGCCGGGAATAGCCCTCGGAAAACGCGTGCCAGCTTGTCCAGTCGTTGTTTTTGGGAAGCAGAACGCGATTCGGTGAATCTAGGAGCACAGAGTATTCATTGATGGTCGTGGAGAGTGTCGTCGAAGTAATGTCGAAGAGTCGGTGGCCAGAATGGGGGACTCATGAGGGATGAGGGGAGGGCGCAGGCTCAGCAGATGGGAATTAATGAAAGAATCACCATGCGCCGAGCCTTGGAGCTTAAACGGGGACCACTTTGCCTACTTCAGCGGCTGGTTGGGGAAAGCCCTCGGAACCTGAGCGCGGTATCTCCCAAACTCTCACGCCTCTGTGAATCAGCTGGCGGAATCTTCCTGGCGATGGACCATTATCGGCGTATCTTACTGCCACTCAATACACATATGAATTGCTGTTATACACTGTCTGTCGCAAGCCGGCGGTCTCCTTGCGGACCTGGAAGGTGCTACTTCGTACTGCTGTACATTTCTTGTGTCCGCGATCGGCTATTGTGCCTTGCGCCCTGGTCGTTCGGCATAGAAGCCGCGCCTATCAAACCAACAGCCACGCCCCTGGGATTTCCATATGATAGCAGTGCAGTGGCGATTACCTTGCATGCCTGTTCCCACGATAGGCCCCGTCGCACGTTGTCTACCGTTGACAAACGCCAATCTCGAGGGCTCCTCTCGCATCTCCGATCGCGGCACCCCTCCGCCCTGATCTCAAGCCTCCCCTCGGTCTTGGGAGGCCTCTCATTCCAGTCATTTTTCCAAGTTACCCCACCATCTGATAAAATATTCATCTAATCTTGTCAGATCATGCCCAAATGGCGCGCTTCGCAATTTCGCGGTTTCACTCTCCGGCCTGGCACCACCGTTCACGTGACGGCTTTACGCTGTGCTTCCCAGGTTTCCGAGCCGTCGTTATTCAGCTTCCGGATCTGATAACAATAATCTCTCATTCTGCATCGTGCTTTCCGCGTACTTGTACCTGCTGCGCCTCTGTGCGCTTTCTTTGCGAGTTGCACCCATTTACCCCCATGAGTTGTTTATCCTGCCCATGTGGTCTATGAGATCGTGTCTCGTGATGATCCACATGGAACTACACTTCTCAACACTTTTGCCGCCCTTCGTGCCGTGCACCACGGCCCCACAGCGCTGTCCTCCGATGTCCGAGCGACTTCAAAGCCATATTCAGAATGAACGAGTGCTCTCTATATGACATCTGCGGTCACATGAATAGTCTGCCTCCATCAGGCTCTCAAGCTGCTGACATGTTGGTCCCAAGCCGGTCATTTGAGGCGCTCCAGCCCGACCTCCTCAGCTGGAGATTCGTCCACAGCAATGGGGAACGGCTTATCCACTCTTCGTGCGTTATGTGGGACCGGCGAGAACCTAGTCCTGGTTGCATATCTCTTGGGTCGAGCATTTCCATGCTGACAACACATCCCGGGCTATAAGACATCCCCCTCCCAGTTCTAAGCCACCCAGCCGGACTGTTCGTGGCCGGTTTTGACAACCACTTGCTACGGATCATGTTAGGAATCACGTTCTTTGCAAGCCAAGTCGTACTATCTTCGCATTGGCCACGACTGATCTTGAACGCCTCGTGTGACGACCTGGCCGCTAACCTGGTAGGCAATTTGTAGGCCAAGCTCAGGACACGAAACTGTCATCTCGACCTCTCGATATTGCATCTCTGCATGGATCCAACGATATACTGCGAAGTCTTCAGCGCCATCTATCGGCATTTGCTGCATCGGGTTCCAGTTGAAAATTTTAACAACATAGAGGTCAACTGTCTCCGTGAGTATTACCGTTCTTGAACCAGATCAAGAAGTGCTTCGAACCGTATTTGGCTTTGCAACCGAACGAGCGAATCCATTCATCATAAGCTCCGTGCCAACGATACGATTCCGGTAACAGAGGCAACGCTTGCTACCAATAAAGAAACAGGGCGAGACCGGACCTCCTCTTTGATACTCTGGTGAAGTCTCTGCGCCAATGACGGCGTCCGTTGCTTCGGTTGTCCACCCTCAACATCGACTCGTCGATCGTGTTCTTCAATGAAAGACTGAACAACAGCCGCGCTGGAAGACTGCCGTTGCACCACATTTTCAACGGCACCCTCGTTGCTCGCGCTGCCAGACGACGAGCCTTCTATGGCCAATTCCGTGATATCGACTTCTACCTGCGAGCGTCTACAGCGGTGAGTCCTGTCCGTCAAGGTCTCAAGTTTGTCGATGAGAGAAGTCAACTCGGAGATTCTATGCTCAAGCCCTTTCACCTGCGCTGACAAAAGCATCCTTGTGATGCGACGTGGCCGGTGATCACCATGGTCAGCTAACCCACCGCTCGTAGTCTCCCCCGCCTCTCGGACCTCCACATCGTCACCGGCAGGACCCTTTGTTGGTCTAGAGGCTGCGGTCTCGGCCAACAGTGCATTCGAAGCCCTCTCACCCCTTTCCTGCTCTTTCGTTGTCGTCGGTGGCCGCAACCCAAACCCGCTCGACCATCCCGACGATGAAATGTCCTCCAGGATCTTGCGGATATCATCTATTATTTTGTGCACCATAGGTTCTTCGCCATCCGTTTCTTCCAACCGGTGCGCCCGCTGGTAAAGGCGATCGCGTTCCACATCGAGCCGCGCCTGCAGCACGCCATGATCCTTGTCTAGCTGCGCTGCTTGAAGGATGGAATGAATGCGATTTGAGGCGCGGGAACAGAACTCGATCAAACTGGTAGCCACAATGGCAGCGCTTAAAATTTCCATCATGGCAAGTAGGTGGCGATAAGAATGCACAGTCGCTGCTTGTGCTGCGACTACCAGATAGACTTGGCGAGGAGAAGGACACGGTCTTGTGAAGTGGAAAGTCACTTGCGAAGAGGTTGCAAGGGCTCTATGTATGTTTGGTTGGAAAAATGGGGCAGTGCATTTTGCCGCTCGACTGCCTCGTATGCGACGAGCCAATAAGAGAGACTCTACAGAGCCCGATGCCTCCCAAGCGAGCCTCGAAAGTGCGTCTCGCGCACACCCAAAAGGCCCGTATAAATACCACAAGTCCACGAATGCATACACGCGTGTCTACCACGAGGCTGTACACCAGGCAGTGAAAGTCTTGGCAGATTGGGGAGAGTAGGCCAGGGGAATAATACCTCAACATCACCCATCATGCATGCAAAAGCGTGACACGAGTAACTGACTGTTCCAGACGCCCAGCCGTTGCTTCTTCATTGACAGCGGATGGTGTCGAGGGACATCGATGGGTTTTCTAGACGTCACTCACTGCAATGATATTACTAGAGCGAGACATCCACATTCGTATATAAGTATCGCAATCAGCAGGCTATACATGTCGAGCAGTGGGAGGCGAAGCCTTTTTTTACAAGCCTTGCAGACTGGTCAAGCTAACACTCAAGTCCAGATACAACCATCAGAAAAGTTGTCAGGATCATCTTATTCGACCTCAAACACTCAGTATCACCAGCAATCAGAGATTATACATGGTCAACTCATCATGACCTACCAAAGTGTGTACGTGGAAAGGAACCCGAAGCTGTGCACGACGTGCCTAGTAGCGACCGACAGCGGACTCTTTACCTTACGTTCTGGAGTGGCAAGTACTACTTATAAATCTCGATTTCAGAAGATCGAAGCTTTTAGTCTTCTAGAATGAGACTGCCAGCGTGCCCGCTTCTAGCCCTCTGCTGGAAAACTCACTCTCGAGCGCGTCTGAACATGGTCGAAGGATTTTCGTTGGTGATATCGTGTATGACAAGTACTGTGCTTCCGCAGCTCCTTTCTGGCGATCTTGCACCCGTTCAGACGTTGTACTTTGTGAGGTCGCGGAGTCTGTCGATACAGTTCGTAGCTTTCGAGACGGGGCCAGTTCGTTGGTGCACCTCATTTGGAGAGATTGAACTGTTCCCGATCGTAGTAGCGGTTCTTATGGACGGTGCCTATAGTACTTGTCACTTCAGCTGGGAAGCATATGGTAAGTATACGCGTTCTGTTGTGGTCGCAACCGGTTTTATACACGGCAGTTGTGCTCTTGTTAGTCCCCCATGTTAGTACATCATTTCTATTTCGCACATCGCAGATGGGATTGTCAAAGCCTGCTGCTTACCTCCTTAAGTGTCATGTTCACTAATAGCAGAGGGTCATCTCGGCCGGGCCATTGGCCTCGACAGGGGTAGTATGTTCTCGACTCTCGAGCCCAGGTTCCCCTCTGGCATACCATAATCAATGTGTACTGGTTCCATGATGATTCGAGCTTAGCATTGCACCGAAGCTGTTTCGCCTCTGTTAGAGATACCGAGCTAGCCAGTGCACTTTCTCATCAGATAGAGCAACTTCCTGTCAATGAGCTCCACGAGTCTGAGCGTTGTATTGTAGTGGCTTGCCGATTGTGCCGGTAAGGCCCAGGCAGCGGCGCAGGGCGGTGCACATCCAGTGGAGACCCTCGAGCCCAGGGGTCTTGGGTGCGGTCATGACCACTGCTCTCTTCCCACGTAGGGAAAGGCAAGTTGCTAAAAAGGTGGTACAGTAGTTCTCGAGACCCTACCGCGCGTTTCGACCTTTACGAATCGAGACTTACGAATGCCCGACCGCCCCGATCTTTAACTTGGAGAGAGTTTAGGCTATTAATTGCTGTACGGGCCAAAACTTCCGTGCCACCGAGCAGCCGAATGATGCCCGAAATGTTTCGAAAGAGCCCCAGAGCAACTCTAGGCAGGGCGGGACATGATCCCCGACGCAAGGGTAATGCCGCGTCGATCGAGGCTGCCCGCTTTTACCAGGCCATATGGGACTTTTGAACAATGCCCATGAAACAAAATGTCGCACGGATGCGGGCCGGGGGTCGGAGAAAGGTTTCTCTGTGGCGCAGAGATGCTTTTTCGAAACATCAGGGACAGGGGATGACGGATATTCCGGCGACTGCCTTAGCAGAAAGTTAGGCTCGTGGAAGGCTGGAACCGTTGAAGTCTGATCTCTTGACAAGTTGACATGTTCTCCGCAATAAAGCCAGATACGGAACAGGCGTGCATGTCAGTCATTGGTAGGGCAATGGGTCCAGCCAGAGATCCCAAGATCCCGATATACCGAGCCATCACCGCGGAATTCCTGGCCAAAAAGTTGTGGCTTCTGTGACTCTGATCCAGTTTCGGATCGTTGATACATTATTGAGCTTGAAGAGGTCGGATGGAAACCAGCAGCCTCACGCTCTTGGTCACGGTCTCTTCGGGACCTGCGGATGATGACTTTCGTAGCACGAAAAAGGGTACTTTGCCAACCCCCACACTATGGAGGGCGGCGTGAGACCTCAGACAATGGTGCCTAGGCGTTCGCTAGAACCTCCTTGAAGCGTCGACAGTGTGCTCCGTATTCAGGCCGGAAGAGTGCGATTGGAATGCTAGATGATCGAATTGGTCGATGGTTCAGCCACCAAGCGAGTGTCTAGGTTCAGGGATCTCCGCGAATCCGGACTCGGCTAGCAGGATCTACTGTCATCGTGTAAAATTCCCGGTGATGGTGATGGTGATGCCAAGTCGCAACTTGGCCGACTTAGCGTCGTGGTTGAGTCAGTTGTGCGACATCGAAAGAGGACATCCGATGTTGCTTTTGGGTGGCCGGCTTGCATGCAGCATTCTTGGGATCTACTAGCGTCAATAATCTCGTCAAATCCAGCATCTAATACCCTAATCTTTGACGCGTGTTCGGCTTCGGTTTCTGAAAGGCCAAGCCAGCAGGAGATCTCGCTCGCTTACATAGACTACGGATAGTGCGTGGAGCTGTCTTCGGAAAAGTTGCAACACCGACGGGTCTAGTGGGGTGATCATCGATCTTAGACACAGCGCTCATGCTGTCACACCGTCTTGTGCAAGAGATGAACGAGGCATGCAGTTTAGTGGAGACATCCATGGATATCCCTGTCGATTCGTATGGGGAGTTGATCCAGTCCTCGTACCAGCTGAGATATGGGCACCGAGGGCTTTTGCGCAGCGGCGCGACGCTCCTTATCATGGTCCGGCATTCCATGTCTGGCAATAAGCGACGAACTCGGGAAACAGTGCTGTGGATTGCTTGAAACAGAGGTCCAAGCTAGGCAAACGGCCCCAGGGCAAGCTCAAGCTGACAGCCCTCTGACAGCTCGATCTCGCCTTCTTCCAGGGACTCAAAAGTCTGCCCCTGCAGCGCGCACCACTTCAAAATCTGGTCCCGGTCTAAAGAATCGGCAGATACCAGGGCATTAGAGTCTCGGTAGATGTACGACAGCGAAGCGAATGCTGCCGCTGGCTGTGGGCGTCATCATCAGTGAGGCTGAGGATTGCTAGGACGACTGTGCCCTCGTTTCGGTAGTCGCTTGAGTTGCATCTTTTCCTGCTGAGAAGGAGGGAGACTTCCGGAAGAGCCCGGAAGGAGGACAGGCAGTGATGTACTCCGTATGCACAGCGCAGTGTGAAATTAGACTGGAGCATGGAACACGAGAATTCCTGGCCCAAGGCTATTGTTCCCCGAGTCAATCTCGGTATCTTTGCCTCAGTCCTTGGATACGTTGCTCTTGCGCATGTATGTTGCAGGCGGTGCTACAAACCCACTGCTAAGGCCGTAGGATCATTAAACAATGGTCGACCAAAGAGCATTAACACCGACGCCTATACCTAGCCAGACTTTTGCATATCGTTCCCGGGGTATCTACGTAAAACATCCGTCATGATCTTGGTGGCATTCCTCCCAGCGCAAACCCGGAACTCCTGAAATCAAATCATACCGTTACCGGGAACTCTCCGAATCGTGACCGTGGCCATTCTCTTCGTCTTTCTTTGCTGCCAGCTCTTTCTTCATGGTGGGCCAATGGCGTCTCCTTGCGTTAATGAACCAGTTGCTGATCTGGTGGCAATGTGAGTCAGTAACACAGACAGATCGACATAGCACTTCACATACCTGGTTGAGATTTAGGCCCGTCTGGCTCATCAGATATTGCTTTTCCTCCTCGGTAGGATAGGGATGGTCAATATGCTGTAGAAGCCAACTCTTCAGCAGGTCCGTCGTCTGCCGGGGGAGGTTACCCCTCCTGCGTTTGTTACCGCCCCCATTGTCCATAGGAGAGTAGGGTACTCCTGGAGGTAGGCTGCCGTAACCCCCCGAATAATGGGTTCCGTAGTATTCGCTTGGGGATCGTTGACTTGGGCTGTATGATGTCTTGTAGCCGCCATCCATACCGTGAAAGCCTCGATCCGCCCCGGGGAATGTTTGACCATAGAAATTGGACCGCCGAGGCACAGAATTATGTCCAGGATCTATAGCGGAGGCTGGCTGCGGATTGCTGTTGTACATGGTGTGCTGAGCTGGTCCTGATACATAGTGATAATCGAACGGAATCTCGCGCATCGGTGGCAAAGTAGAAACTTGTTTGGATTGCCCAAAGGGCTGATTGTAGAAGGACTGTCTTTGGTACGAGGTCGACATTTCGGGGAAAGTAGAGCTTGATGACCAGGTGGAGTTGCTTCTTGGCTGAGAATAATGGTTGAGCGACTCGTAGTTTTTCTGCCCTAAGTCGTCGATGCTATCGGGCATGGAACTTGACTGGGAATAGTTCGGTGAGAGCAAACCAGATGTCGGCAGTCGCTTGATGGATGTGGTCGAGTGTGAGTGAGGGTCCCCAGGTACAAAGCTTTGTGTCCCCGAATCAGGACCCGATTCTCCTGCTGAATGAGGAGGTGGCGCGAGAATCTACCATTGGTGAGCACCGACTTGAATGGAATTTTTGTGCTTACTTCTCGGAAAGACGGGAGTAATTGCTGGTTATCGTGTTGTCGTAGCTGTTGTTGTTGATGCGGCTGTCGGCGATGTTGAGGATTGATCGTGGAAGAGTACGCTGGATCGGGGTTTCTGCCGTGGGTCTGCCTTCCTATGGATGCATAGTCAGAACGATGCTTTCCGTACCCATGTGGATCCATGGAGGCGTTTGGGCGGACTGTTGCCAGCATAGTTTGCCAGTGGTCCAAGGGGGCAGATAAATGTAAAAAGCCCAATGCAGGAGAGTGTGAGGTTGCGTCTTTCGCAATCTGTCTCACACGACAGACTGATGCGTCAGGAACAATGGACAGCGACCACGCGTGCATGAACAAACTCTCGAACGCTCAAGCCTCAAGGGTCCGCTGTCAACGGGCTGCATGACAGCAATGACAAGAGGCAGGTAGATGGATGAAGGGGGCAGCAAAGGAGTGCAAAGCTTCCAGGTGAGGCGAACATGGGGTTGACGACTTACCAGCAGGCTGAGCAAGTGGTGGAGAGGAATATCAGGTTGAGTTGAGGCTTGTGTCTGAACGAGCAAAGCGCAGCCGGCCTGAAGTAAGGAGCGAAGTGTCGAATCGAAGAAGGCGTGCTGTTGGCTGGGAAAAGCGTTGCAACGATATACTGGACTTTGAGTCTGGCTTTGAAGTAACGCAATGCTGGAGTCGTTAGGCAAAAGCACGAATCGAGACTTTGTCTAGCGGCAGTTCGGGTAGGGTTGAGCGTTGACAGCAAGCGAGTATCTGCCACACAGGGATATGGCGATATGACAGGTGCGGCGCCCAAGGGTGGGAACACTGGGAGGATCCAAGGTGTGGCGGCACAGAGGTGGTAGTAAATTTCCCCGTTCTTAGACGAAGGACAAGAGACTTCAAGGCTGGCAGGATTGAGCTCCCTGATCATTGATGAAGAAAGCTTGAGGAGGGAAACAAGGGGAAAATGATGGCTTTTTGTGGAGGTTCTGGTTGCTGGCTCAACTCTCAAGGGGCCGGGCTTGAGACGACGAGCAGGGAATGTTACTGCGCGGAAGTGTAGGAAGGCTTGCAGACTCAGTATGTTGGTCCCAAGCTAGCGAGCAAGTCTCCAAGTCCTGGTACTTCCGAACATACAGCGGGATCGCTCATGGTCAGAAAAAGAATCGCATACTGGACGTGGGACGACGCATAGGCCGAGTCTTTTTGGAGCCCAGCTTGGGGGATCCCGGACGGGCTTGTGAGTGGGACACACTGGTAAGTGTTGAGTGGCTGTTCCCTGCAGATCGACATTCTTGACGAGCGCCGGACCAGGGCCAGGGTCAGGCATCGATCAAAGGCACTTCGGACACCAGCAAGCCTTCAGGCCGGTGCTCCGTGTCGCTGCGGGTAGCATAGCGTCAAAGGCAGTCCCCGGACGGGTGCGGCGGTCTTGACGGGCCTTCAAAAGTCACGACGCTCGATTCTGATGTCTTTTTGCAGACCATGTACATGTTCTTTGTACCCGAGACAAGAAACACTTTCGCTTGGGTTTTCGCTTCCTCGTCGCTGGGAAGATCTTGCATGCTCGGATCGTAGATCTCGGATTTGTGCCGTCCGGAACGTGGTTGGCTGCTGACAGGCATCTAGCAGTGAGGGAATCCAGCCCAAATGTCAACAGCTGATGAACTTGAACTAATTCCGGCCTCTTTTTTTTTTCTTTGAAGAATGAGAAGGGTGGTTTGCGTGGTGTGGGTGTGTTGGGCATTGAAGCCGACGATGGTAGCTGAGCCCCGCGCAGGTGCTGACCACAAAGCCAAGTCCCAACTTGGACGCTGAATCACGCCTCATTATTGTGTGTTTGGCATCCATCCTTGCGTGCGGGGCTTCATCAGCTCGCCGTGTTCACCATGTTGAAGCATATCCGAGTTTTGGGCAGCTGTCGCTGCGGACCCCTGTCTCGGGAGCTGCCTTAGTGGTTTTAAGCGAGAACCGCCCTTGCTCGAGTCGGCTTTCAGGCGCCCGTTCCGCCTGAATTGCAATGTCAACCTCATCCTTGTTGCTGCGGTTCGTGAACACGCGAGATTGGCCCAATGCCAGGAACCGACAGGGACCAGATCGTTGGAACTCGCCCCGCCGAGACGCCCGATCTGTCGTGTTACCCATGCCTCCTCCGATCAGATCTTCATGCTCGACTCTTTTCGGTTGCACACATCAATTCCGGTGGCTGCAAGTGACAGCACCGAAAATTGGATTCGACACCCTTTACCCTCTACCACCGAGTCCTGCCTCCTCGTACAGATCACTACCCTTGCCGAACAAGCACACGAGTCTGCACCACCTGAGGCCCGAGCTGACTGGTCACTCGGCTCCCGGTCCTGTCTGACCGCCTGCAAAGGATTCTGTACACATCCTCATGCAGACCCTGCATGTCCCTTGCATTTGAAGAACTATGGCGACTATCACCAGCATGACGCACATTCACTGACAGCCTAATAACAACCACGTAAGCTATTCTGACGTGCAGACTGATTGACACACGATCGTATTTCTGACACTACCCGATTCTGAGCGGCCTTCCACGCGCCAAGGGGAGTCAGGCAAGAGCTGTTCGCATCATGGGCACCGGGTCATGTTGCCATGATTGGCAGACTCAACATAAACATGCGGTGAGAGGTGTACTGCCAGACGCCGACTCTGAGCAACACGCCAAATGATCGACATTCCGTTACGCGGGCCAAGTCGCGCAGCAACGTGCTATATTCCCATTCGTACCACAGTAGACGCAGAAAAAGTACCCTACGTTGCCCTCCTGGCGACTCTCTATCTAGACTCATCGATCGTGGAGCAAAGTCTCCCAGCTGGGGCATCTGGAATGTGAGAACTGGGGCCGGCAAAAGCTACCTTACTTGCTCACTCAGAGCCATATTCGGCCTCCGCAAGCCGCCAGGGTGTCATGTTCACCAATCTACGGACATGGAATTGCAGTTGCGTCGCCCACCACAATTGCAGCCTTCCCGGGTGAGCCGGCTCGGACCAGCCGCTTCTGCAGCACACTGCTCGCGGAAGACCCTACATCCTCTCAGCTCTGATAATCACAAGAAAGATGCAGAGCGACGACAATGTACGTAAAATGGCGTTCGTTGATCCGACTCGCAGACTCAGGTCACAAGGCGATGCCGCAGCGTGCCTACCACGAGTCATCTATCATACCACATTCTCGTGACACGGGCAATGCTTGCAGCACTAGCACGCCTCGAGGTGCATCGCCATACCCTCATGAAAACCGGAATGCCCAATAAGCTGATAGACGCTGGAATGCGGTCATCAAGACGGGTACCTGAACTTGCGACACAGGCAACCATGTTGTGCGCTGCTGTGTGCCGCTTTATGCTGTGAATGCTCGAAAGCAGCCTATGAGGCCGTCGCCCGAAACTTGAGTGACACGGAGCGCCACACTAATTCAGCCAATTTGTAACGAAATTCGCCGTGAGTCTTGCAGACATGGATACACCGGCACCGCACCTCTGGAGGCGTTACGCGTGGGTTTCGGCTTTCCAACAGTCTGCTCAACTGTCGACAAAAAACCGATCCCGGATCGTTTTGCACATCAACGAGTTTGATCTCACGGTATCAAAGCCGTAGCAGCCACGAGAATTGATGCTCAGGCCTACATGTTCACGTTCTCGCCAAGTTCGGATGTCTTCACGGGATCTGCAACTTGTGACTGGCAACGTCGCTTCGACGATACACGCAGCGATCATTCGATGCCAACACTTCAACCTCCCAACCGTGCGCACGAATCATTGCAATGCCCAGGCTAGAACCTCACCATATCGGCAAACCGCGAGCGTTTATATGCCTGCGGTCCGTACGGACCCTCGGACGTCCAAACCCTGGCGGTGATTGGTTGATTATCCGTCTCGCATGCAATGACACTTCTCTCGTGCGCTGCTCCGCTACCAGGGGCATTCGCCAGCAAGTCGAACAAGACCTCTCACCGACATCGACCTTGCCAAGATACTCACCGCAGTCGGCAAAGATGCCCCCAGCAGCGAGGTTCGAGGCCATGGGTTAGCTAAGACTTGCCAGACAGAGCTGGAATGCCGTCTAGGGTTGCCGTCCAACGCGTATGCCGCAGATTACTGGCACAAACAGTGTGTGCGCACTGAAGGGGGGCCGTTGGATCATTTGCCCACCTGGCTCCAAAGTCTGCGCGATTGTGCTTGTTGCAATTCGCACAGAAAGAGCAGCAAATCGCCAACACGATACTGGGACTGCGAATGTCGAGGATGCATGAGTCAAGCTATCGAATCCATAAGCTGAAGGATGTTCCCCGTGTGGTATCCTACGATGTTGCTCATTTATGCCGACGGTCCCACGGGCGCGCCTAAGGCCCTGCCCGCTCGTACTCTTCGACCTCCCTTGCCTTCTCATCACTTACCACGACCTCGCCTCCCCGCTCGTCCTCCGCCCGTGTCACGGCGTTGACTGTCCATGCCGTGGGCAGCACGAATAGGAGGCTGCCGATACACAGTCCCCAGTTCAGGCCCAGCTGTGACATTGCCGGCTTATGCAACGCATTGACTCGCCAGGCCACAGCACCTCCAGCGGCCTGCAGGCTCTTGTATGCACCCACTAGCACTGCAGCTCGGGCCGTGCTGTTGCTCTCCGTGCCAATGAGCCAGTAACAGTAGCCCTGCCACAAAGCATCGTAGGCACCATAGAAGATGTACAGGAAGATGGGACCCGTGGACACCGAGCCCTGAGTATAGTCAATGTCCTGCTTGAGTCCCTCAGCCATGCGGCGGTCTTGCCAGCGCTGGAACGCATAGCCGCCACCCCAGATCACCATACCGGTGACGAGGAGGAACGCCCAGCCCACGCGAGCGCGGTTGGTGCGGCTCAGGAACGGTAGGTCCAACAACATGCCAATGATCAGGCCGCCCAGCATCTGCGCAATCCAGTACAGCGCGCCGTTCAGACTGCGGGTGCGGATGTTGAACGTCATACCGTTGACGATGTTCTGCTGATAAGAGTAGAAGACGTTGGCCGAAAAGAACAACGGCAACATGCACAGCACGCGCCACTTGAAGAGGATCTTGACCACCATCTGCGCAGACCCTTTCCAGGAGTGGGACTCCGTCTCTACGGCGGCATGCAGTTGTGCGAGCCGGATGCGTGACGGTGAGCATATGAAGAGACCCAGAGCCCAGCCGACGAGCATGATGATCATAAGTGCAATGTACGTGCTGTCGCTGACGGTGCCGGATTTGGAGTGGAAGTTCAGACCGAACGAGGCCAGGCTGCCGATGCCCCCACCTAGGTTGAAGATGACCCAGAAGACGGCGATGGCGCGGCCTTTCTGCGATTCAGGTACGTAGGTTGTCATTATTGCGCCCTGGACCTGCGAGGTTGATTAGAGAGGGGGTCCGGAAACGGTTGTGACCTAACACAAGGGGACTACTGACCACCCAAAGCATGCTGGCGCCAACGCCGAGGATCGCCCCCGACGCGATCACGAACGCACCATTCGGATGATCTATTGATCATTAGCAGAGAGCTGCTGGCAAGCCGAGCGCCAGATACGCACGGTTGAAGTTCAGTAGGCTGCCGCTGTATAGCGCATAAGTCCAGCCCCCGAGCAAAAAGCACAAGCGAGGCCCTGTTCGGTTGAAGACGGGGCCGCCGACGATGAGAGCGGTGCCCGCTGTGCATGACAGCAGGGCCACCGTGGCGTTGGCTGCGACGGTTGGATCGACTTGGCCGGATCCGCCGAGGCCGCCGAGGGCATTGTACATGCCTGGGCAGCAGAAGCAGATCATGCTGATGAGGATGATTTGTGTCCAGGGGTGGGCGTAGAAGGCCACGAGCTTGCCCTTGGAGGTGGAGGGTTGGCTCGTGGCTTCTTCGGCAGGAGCATCATGTTGCTCGATCTCTGGAGATGTCATGTGGGGAGAATCTTTGGGCATGATGTCGTGCCCTGGCTTGTAGAGCTGAGATTTGTAGCGAATAAAGCCGACAGAAATGAAGCACCGGCTTTCCTCGTAATGAAGTTCCCAGAAGCTTTGCTAAGCTTTGACTGCCCTCGTGTGGCTGACACCTGCATATATGATCCCGTTCAGCGAGGTTGCATGTCGCATATCAATGCGTTGCAAGGGGAGCAAGCATGCTGCGTCCCAACCGCGCGTGGGCACCTCCACACCCTGGATTCAGATCCAATGACACTCCAGTGAACTTACCAACTATCATCGGCACGTTGCTGCTCTTGTGCCCAAATGAGGCAACGGAGTGGCACATCGCGCATCACGCGGCGTTCCGCGGTAGCAGAAAACGAACGAGAGGCGAGAGGCAGCGCTGATAATATCCGCCCTTGGCTAGCAACGGCAAGTGATTCGCCTATTGAAGCGAACCCTTCGGTGCCGCCTTCCGATATCTGGTCATGGTTGAAAGTCAATATGAAAGGTTTTGGGCGGAAACCCTGGAGTTCTCCGCAGAGCCGTCAGTGAGAGGTTGCATTCCGGGGGTGCAATAGCGTTTCATGGAGATGGAAGCTCTGATATGGAGGTTGCACTATGGCACCTCACGTTCGCCGCTGGCCATCGGCTATGGATGGGAGATGTTGCAAGCCGGTGTCGTTATGAGTTTGTCACATCGTCGTCACAAGGCGTTCCCTGATGCTGCTTGTGGTTCGACGAAGACAAGTTTGACAGGCTGATGGTCGCAATGATACGTCCTCGAGCTACGTAGGCTTGGCCGGCGCAGTGCATCTTTGCCAGGCTGTCAATACAGGCGGCATCGGAGATGAGCCAACGTGGCGTAATGGAGGACGTTATCAACCTGGAAACCCTCCAGAGCGAAGGAAGAAACACCAGAAGTATTGACATCGACGCTGTTCCCACTGTGGAGCTATGTCGAATCATCAACGACGAGGACAAAACGGTTGCAGGTGCAGTAACAGATTGCCTGCCGACTATAGCAGAGGCTATCGACGCTTTGGCACAAAGGGTGCAAAGGGGCGGTAGAGTGGTCTACGTTGGTGCTGGGACGAGTGGAAGGTGCGTGTCCTAATATTCCATCGTCGAAACCAAAACCATGCCTTACGCGTCGCGAGTAGACTGGGCGTGCTCGACGCTTCAGAGTTGCCGCCGACGTTTTCGGCAAGACCAGAGCAGTTTGTGGCTCTTATTGCTGGCGGAGACAAGGCTCTCAGGCACGCCCAAGAGGGCGCCGAAGACGATGTCGAACAGGCGGTCCTGGACATGCAAGGCATCGGTCTGAATGGTCAAGATGCACTCATCGGCATTGCTGCGTCGGGCAGGACGCCATATGTTCTGAGCTGCCTCCGATATGCCAAGTCGGTGGATTGCAGGACGGTCGGAGTTGCCTGCTCAGCACCATCTGCCTTGCGCAAGAGTGGGGATGTTGACTTCGTCGTCGAAGCCGTTACTGGGGCCGAGGTCGTGACTGGTAGTACCCGCATGAAGGCAGGGACGGCAACGAAAATGATCCTCAACATGCTGAGCACGGGGATTCAGATCAAGCTCGGGAAAACTTTCGGCAACATGGTAACGTGCTCATCTTGATCATTGTCCACCAGCACTAACACCACACGTCGTAGATGGTCGACGTCAAGGCTACAAATCTGAAACTTAAGCAGCGCGCAAGGAATATCATTCGCGAGCTGTGTCCTTCCCAGCAACACCTGCTAGATCAGGAGCTGGACTCGCTACTAGTTGAGTGTGGAGGAAGCGTCAAACTTGCAATCGCCGCTTTGAGGCTTCAGACCAGTGTCCCGGAGGCAAGACAGCGTCTCGATGATGTCCGTGGAACCCTCAGTCGATTGCGCAAGGAACACGAAGACGTCAGTTTGCCAGCAGTCGAGGATCCTTCCGGCCTGAAGTATGTGCTCTGTGTCGATGGCGGAGGAAGCAAGTGTGCTGCGTTCGTGCTTGCAAGTAATGGCGAAGTGAGCTCAGCAGATGCTGTAGGGTGCAACGTGTAAGACACTTTCGGAACGAATGCGTGCTCGTACTGACATTACGCAAAGGACCACAACGGATGCCAACACGGCAGTCGCTTCGATAGAGACTGCGATCAGGGGGGCTGTTGATGCTTGCGCATCTCTTCGAGGACGTACAATTAAGTGTATACCATTTGCGAAAGTTTGGATAGGTCTCGCTGGCTTTGACCGACCACAAGTCGCAGCAGAGGTGATACCCCGAGTGCAAGCACTCTTTGATGGCAGAACAACCGCCAAGCTGACTGTGACGAATGATTTGGAGCTATTAGCTGCGTCAGCCGGACAATCTGACGGCCGGGATGTCTGTGTACTTGTCGCGGGCACTGGTTCGATTGCAATGGCCTTCAAGAAAGGTTCAGAGAGATACGAGCAGGTCGGTCGAGCAGGAGGTTGGGGCCCGCTGCTAGGCGATGATGGCTCCGGGTTTGATATTGGCCGACAAGCAATTCGCCTTCTGCTCGAAGCGCAAGACCGCGGGCGCTGGACGGCCGAGAGAGGGACCCCCGTCAATGGTGTTGACACATTGTCTGAAGCGGTGCTTCGTCATCTCGGCGTTTCTACCAAAGCGGGGGAATCTAGAGATATTGTGGGCTCTCTCCTGTTGCCATCACCGAACGCCGTTGGTGATCCCAAAAAGCGGATAGCAGACGTCGCCAGGGTGGTCATCCAGGAGCAAGAGACCAGCGAGATCGCTGCAGCCATACTTGCCCGATCGACCAAGAGTCTCACCGATTTGGTCCATCAATTGACTATAGCATCAGGAATTATACCCTCGGATGCGGCTTTGATTCTGACTGGAGGCATGATGCAGGATTCAGTGCATCTCTCGCGACTGACGAAGCAGATAGCAGCCACAGGACTGAGGTTTGGACGAACCGACGTGGTGCTACAGCCAGGCTTGTACGGTGCTCAACATCTGCTCTCGACCCTCTCAAGCACAGGATCAGCCGACTCAATATGAGCAAAGCTTAAACATGGATGGATTCTCTGATGGCGTGAAGCTCAAGAAGGCGGTTGCTGGCCTCCGGTCCAGCCACAGCCCAACGATAAAGCAAGTCTCGACATGCATGTCAGGCTGCGAGGTACGACAACAAGGCTAGCGATGACGACTACTGTGTCTCGTCTTGGGCTCGAGATGGGAAGAGTTAACAACGCAAAGGAGCTCTCAAAACAAAATTGGGCAGCGACGCCAAGGTCAAGACTTCTGACTCGGCATACAACAGGCTCGAGGGAACGTAGATGCGAGAGAAGCTCACTAGGAAATACGGAAGGGAATGAAGTCGACATAGTGAGAAGATTCTTTTGTATTAAAAGTGCTTGAGTTCATGTTCATCTGCACAGTTCCTGCAGCAAGAAGTAGTGATCCATTCCCTCCTCCCCCTTGGCTCAGTATAACACTTGCCGAAGTCTGCCTGATAACTAGGTACCGTCTCAGATACCCCAAAGCAATGCTGCACGCCATGCTGTAGCGGTTCCTGAACCCGTAATGACTGCTATAGCCTCGCATTGGATATTGCCCTTCCAGTCACTGCCATTCAGCCGGAGCTGCTCTACAGTTCCCTGTAATCAGCCTCTCTGGGCTTTCCTCTTCGATTGCGCTGCCATTGACGCTGAGGGTTTACAGGCTGCCGCAGGTAGGCGTTGTCTTCTTCATTGCCGGCGTAGCGTTGCTGGTTCGAGAACTTGCCGCCTGCTGGTCCGCTTGGTGGGTAGAAGCCGCCAGCCTGGTTCTGATTCTGCATCGCCTTGGGTCCGGTTGGCACATTGTTCAGACCTTCAGGTTGCTTCGGTGGCTGCGGAGGCTGGTTGAAATTGCGAGGCTTGTTGCGGAACTGATGTTGTTTGTTGAAGCCACCACGATTGTTTGGCGGACCGTTCTGAAAGTTATTGTTCATGTTCATATTGCTACCCCCGTTGATTCCATTCAATTCCGCCATACCGTTCATGCCATTCATGCCACCCATGCCTGCCATCATGTTCATCATGTTCATGTTGGGCATGTTCATGTTCATATTTGGCATCATGTTCATCATGTTTGGCATACCCATTCCCATGAAAGGCATTCCCATCATGTTCGGCATACCCATCGGGAGGTTCATACCCATGTTTGGCATTTGAGAGAAATCGGGCGGCATCATGTTCGCTGGAAAACTTGCGGTGTTGGCATCGGTATCGGATGACTCTGCTGGAGTTGAAGGTTTATCGCCATCCTTAGTTTCTGGAACTGGCGTCCCTTCGCCCGACTTCTGTCGCTTCATAGCAGGTACTTCAAGATTACCAGAGATTGAGTCGTCCGCCTCGTCCGCTGAGCGTTTCTTGCTTTGACCTGTCTCGGATTTGGGAGACTTGCTACCGTCACGAGTGACAGGACGAGATCCAGTCTCAGCTTCCTCTGGTTTTGGTGTGTTCACAGAGGCGGTAGGGCTTCTAGAACGTTGCTTCTCATTTGACTTCTCCTCCTGATACGCTTTGATTTTCTCCTTCATTTCATCGTCTGGCTTCAAAGCTTCAAGACTGACATTTTCTGTCTCGCAGCCTGGGCAGACCAGGTCATTCTCCAATAGAGCATTCTCGATGCAGTCGTGGCAGTAAGTCCTCCCACAACAAGGAGTCTTCATTGGATCTACAAACAACCGTTGATCGATCGTGCACTCCAAGCCACGCTCTCGTAACTCTTCGTTACCTGCTGCTGCATTCTGCTTATTGGCTTCGGAAGCCTTGACCTGCTCTAGATGCTTCTTCCAAGTCTTCTCGTCAGCCTGGGCAAAGACGTATTCACCTTCAGCATTGACCATGAGGTGCTGACGTTGTTGTTCATCAAGCTTGTCGATGTCAGCCTGATCAATCTTCTTCAACATAGACCGCGGGATGCCAGTCGTGCGCTTGATTCGGTTCTTATTGTCGTATGTGGCGTCGTCGTTGGTTGGACACGCTTGGATCCAATGACCTGGAGTTGTCAGTAAAAGTTGTCAACCTTTCCAAGGAGTTTGTACTCACCCTTTTTGCCACAGCGGTAGCAAATGTAGCCATGCGGAGGTTCGCCTTCGGGCACATTGGCCTTCTTGTTGAGACGGCTACCTAGCTGCATAGGAACACGAGTTTCATGTGACATCTCTTGTTGTGTTTTGGCCCATTGTGAGCTGCTGTACTTGTGCAAAGCCTCGATTCTTTCTTGCTCGGTCATGTTCGCGTTCATTTCTATCGGTGGAGCTGGCATGCCTGAAGGCGCAGCAGCCGAATGTTTCGCACTGATGGGGGGTTTGCCAGAGACATATCGGGCAGCTCGACCTTTGCCAGGTGCGGTGGCCGGTAAGCGGACAGCATCAACGGTGGAGTCTTTTGGGATGACTTCGGTGTCGTCAGTGTATTCTACGGGGTGTCAGCGTTTGGACCAGTACAGAAAGGAAGCCTTTTTACCATCACTTGAATTCTCCTTGTAGATCTTCAGGTCGAAGTCGGTGCCATCGCCCAGGTGGGAGATGTTGATGATTTCACGTTTGAGATTCCAGACGTCGATATAGGGGCCATCAAGAGGGACTCGCTGAGGCTCCTTCTGCGATCTGAACTTGTAGTACACGTAGGAGGCCATGTTGGCGGTAGCCACAGGCTTAGATGAGGAGTTGTCGACCCAGCCGAAGGACGTCGAGTTCAGCGGGCAGGGCAGAAAGTGCAAACAACAGGCGCTGTATTAGTCTGAGGAGGGTAGGAAGAGATGGCGATACAAGCAAGAGAGATGTATTTCAAAAGGTAACGAGGTGTAAGTCAAACAGCGCCGATGGCCAGCACTGAGATCTGTACAGTGCGCCACGTCCCAGATCCAACCAACACACTCAGCCCCAACACTCTTGTTTTCAACTTCAGACGGCTAGATGAGATGTCTCAGAGGTTGTGAGATAGCAAAGGGTTTGAGGTTCCAGGCCTATATCTGCTCTCCTGTTCTGTGGCGACAAAGGACTGTCCACTCGATCAAAGACTGTTTGTGCGGGTCAAATTTAGAAGGTTGCCGACTCAGCAAGTGGAAGGCGTGAAGAGTGTCACTGGACTGAAAGGTGATGAGGTGCAAGTGATGAAGAAGATGGCGAGGTTGAGGATTAAAGGCGGCGATCATGGCTGAAGAACCTTCGAGCCTGCGGTGGAAACCTTGCCGGTGCACGTGACCATTCGATCTCAAGGCTACGAGGCTGAGGGGCAGCCTGTTGAGCCAATCACAGTGCACGTGTCGGCGACTTATCTTTCGCTTCAACGTGTCGGGTGGCAGTAACATTACTCTGACTACGGCTTGTTACTATACAATTCTAGCCAGTAAGAGAGAAATCATGGCTAGAATGCAATCCATCGTTCTGACGGTGTCAAAGCCTATCGCAGACTAGTGGATGAAGGCAGAAGTATGTTCATGTGAGTGCAATCAGCAACCAGGATCTATTTATCTCTTCCCCTAAAGACCCGTCTACAGACGGTGTCGGTGATGAAAAGTGTTTGTAGAAGCCAAATATTGAGCCGATAGACAGCCCGTAGACTGCTAAGCGAGAATCAATTGACAGCGTGCAATGTCCGTGATTTCCACACCAGTCCGCCTTCTTGATCGCGGCCTGGCCCAGCTGGTAAGTATTGGAGAGAAGAAAGAAGAGTTGACAGTACAGGCTCGGTATTTATATTCGAAGAGACCGGTCCATGGAACAGGCAGCAGTGTGTCCGAGGGGCAGTCTAGCTTCGATGGGATTGCTGCCTGTTCGGTACTCGCCTGGTTGAGGATAGTTCGCTTCGGAAGAGGTGGGACCTCTGACTGAGCCGTTCGATTGGTGGTGAGCCGTCCTCTCGGTCAAGTCTAGGTCTCAGAGTACTTGTGACCGTGAACAGATGAGCCAAATACTCCACGAAGCATCGTGGTGATAGAGCCGCCTCTCAGCTCAATCCTGCGCCAGTGACTTCGAGAATCACGCAGTACCACGGTTGCGCTCGACGATACAGCGGTTTTCGAGCCATAACTGGTGGCCCTTGCTGGAGCCCATCCGGTATGCAGCTCATGACTCCCTCCGAATCGAGATCACCTCCCAAGCTGGAGGAATAGCCTAGCTCCCGACGAGAATCGGCCAAGGAAATCAGGACCGGACTTAGCAGCTATCCCAGAGACCCCACTTTCCCAAACATAAAGAGCTCTCGCCGGCTCATCCTTCCTTCTTCCTTCTTCATACTTGTGAGCCTCCCTCAACTTACCCCCTACGTGGCAATGTTTGCTAACAATGATTCAGACCTTGTGAGAGCGACCGTGATCAAGAAGACGGTTTGCTATTGAGGACTCTCTCCATTGCACATCGGGGTAGAGGCTTTACTCCAATGTCCTTCGGGGCTTTGGCTTGCGCAATTTTTGTCTCGCACACACTTTTCATCATTGTTGTCGCTCTGTAGCGATGCTTTGGGGAAGAGGTAGGTAGTTGGTACGGTAGGTAGTTCTGAATGATACTGTCCGTGTAGACTCAAATGTAAGTTTGCTCTCGTCGTCAGGTTAGGCCGAGCTTGCTATTGCCAGCTGCGCGGAGATGGTGCTATTGTGATGCCTGCGTGGTGAGAGTTGCGGTCGATGGCTGCAGGCGGTCTCGATGTTGTAGCAGCTACCCTGAGCAGCGACTGTTGGTGAGATCGTACTCCTTGATTGTCTTTGATAAAGCTGCGCGTGTTGATAACGGAGAGCAGGCAGGTCACGCAGGGGTGTCGGACTTCGATTGCTGCTTGCGAGGAAGAAGTTGCCTCAGCACACAACTCCCGCCATCGCGATGAACGCGTCCGGCCATGATGGTGAGGTAGAACTGCTTGATGCCGATGAAGGAACTCTGCCTCAGGTGAAGAGCAAGTGCGCAGGTTAAGCTTGCCAGACTCGGGTTGTTGGCTGCTTGTTGGTAGGCAATCCGCATATGAGGCTCGAGACCACGACCGCTCCTCTAGTGTCCGGATCATGTCTCAGCATGCCTCAATATCAAAAGTCGAAGACGCCCAATGGTCACCCGCCTGACCCCGTGCCTCCACTTAGCGACGAGGTCATCTATGCACGCTACAAGCTGGTATGATCTCATCCTCTCTCATCTGTGGAAGTCTGCAGGTCATTTAGATGATAACACGCTCCTCAGGCGGAAGATCTTTTCGTTGTCAACAATCGCCCCACCGTTCTTGCAATCTGTCAGGAGCTTCGAGACCCTTGCAACAGCTACGGCATGAATCAAGTTCGCCTTGCCTGTGTGAATTTGCTGACGGCCATCTGCCTACCTTTTGACATTGCGCGCGGCGCCGACCATGCTCAAGCTGTGGAAGACTTCTACGCTCTCATCGACAATGACGAATTCCGATATTCCATCAACCACCCTGCGCTAAGTGCACAGCGAGCACCCTGCTGCACCGATGAGCGCCCTCATGAGCAATTGAAGGGCGAGAGGACCGTGCCCCCTTAGGAGAGTATGGCAAAGCCTACCCAGCCCGAAACCAAGGAGCTTGAAAGTCTCTCCAGCTTGACAAGTGGTGACGGGCATAGCGAAGGCGTAGACAGCCCATCTGAATCTCTCGAAACTCCTGGTGACCACCTCGAAACCTGCTCTAAGCCACTACGGAGATTTCCCCTGCGCCTACGCGTTCACGACACTGCCACAGAAGGAGAAGACTTTGACGAGTTCTACACAGGGGAGGGGTTGGAACTCAAACACCATCCTTACCTGCGGCTCCTGGAGACTGTCGGTCCTGGAGACTGTCGAAGGCTCCTTGAAAATTGATGGCGTTAGGGATGAGCAAAGAGGCGAGTCCAACCTTCTGGAGCTGCTCAACGTTGTCTGCAAAGCAGGAACCTCGCATCACGGCGGAAAGCATATAGATGGAATAAATAGTTCGTAACCTATAATCTCTGAGCGTTTCGGAGTATAGAGTACTTTCAACAGACAAAGACCATGGCCAGAAGCCCTTCATTCTGGCTGACGATCCTTGAGCTCACTCGAGATCCTTCGTGCTGAGCGACTGAGCATTGAGGCAAGGTGATCGTATCGATCGCGTCTCTTCCACACGTGCGCGAATTGCTTACCGCAACTCTTCCATGACCCTCTTCAACACGTCCTCCGTCTTCAGACTCGCATTCTTCGGATCTTTCCGTATGCGCTGCCACACCTCTCCATGTTTCGGTTCGTTCGCCACACACTTCGAGATTACCTCTTCGCGTTTCTCCTGTTTGATAGTTAGATCCACTGCATTCCCAATGCGAGAAAGCGAACTTACATCAGTGCCATGCTGGCCCAAAAACTTCAGATACCAGCCCCACGTATCACCCAAATCCGGATCCAAAACGAGTGCCTTCTCAAACCACGTCATGGCCTTGTCCAACTTTCTCTCGCCCCAGAATATGCGAGCGACCGTCACGAAGAGGATGGGGTCGTTGTCGACGGCCTTGATAGCTTCCAGACTCTGCGGCTTGCGCTGTGTGCGCGGCTGCAAGTGCCAAATATTCTCTGACCAGAGGAGGCCCGACTTGGGACACTCCTGTAGCGCTTTGCTCATGAGCACCTTGGCCTGCGCCGTGTTGGGCGGTGTGGCCTTGAGTTCGACGCGTACGCTCTCCGCCCAGAGCTCTGCATTTTTGGGATTCTGCAGTCGTGCCCGGTCGAGGACGGAGCGGGCCTTGATGGTTATGCCGGCAGCTTGCTCGAGGCGAGCTGCAAGTAGCCAGAGTGGTACGGATTTTGGGCAGGCGCGAGTGCCTTGCGCGAATGCGTCGCGGGCTTGTGGGATCATGCCTTTGTCTTGGTAGATCTGGCCTTTGGTCATCCAGAGCTTTGCGGAGCGCGGGAAGCGTGTTTCCTTCTTGCCGATGACCGTTGAAGTGAGCCCTTGCAAAACGAGGTCGAGGGCCACGTCAATGTTACCAAGCTGGCGTTCGTAGGCGGCGGACTTGTACCAGACACGCTCGGTTGGAGCTTCCAGCCGAGCTTGGCTGAGCAGTTCCCGTGCCTGGTCAACTTGCCCAGCATCAGCCTCGAGTTTGACAGCCGCGAGCCAGATTTCTTCGTTTCCGGGATTTTGCTTGAAGGCGTTTGCGAGCACCAATCTGCTGCCGTCGATATCTCCGGCATCCCATTTCTCCTTGGCAAGCTGCAGCCACAGGACATCAGATTGTGGGCAAGCTTCAACAGCTTTGTCGAGTAGTTGCCAGAGATCTGGCTTTTTGCCGTGATTGCGCTCCAGGTCAGCTGCAGCGAGCCATAGGGAGATACTGGTTGGGAATACACGTAGGGCATACGCATAGATTGCTCTTGCGGTCTCATATTTGCCTCGCCCAATGCTGGCTTTGGCGTCGTCCTTCCAGATCTCTTTCCGATCGTCGTCTTCTTCCAAAGTCCAGCCTAAAGTCTCGCGAATTATGTTGGAGCAGGTAATGACAGCGCCTTCCTCTTCGCACTTTTCAGCTTCCGTGATCCACTCTTCACGCTTGGGCATGGCTGACTCTCGAACCAGGGCTTTTACAGCTCTATTCATGAGGTTCACCTTATTGGCATTACCCATTTGCTCTTGTAACCGTGCTGCAGCGATCCAGATTTCGTAACTGGTCGGCACCGCCTTCCTGGCCTTATTGAGAACAGCCTGAGCGTTTTCGGGGCTTTCAAGTCGTGCCAAAGCCAGCCACAGTTCGACGGATAGGGGAATGATCTCAGTTGCCTTTGCAAGCATAAGTCTGGCATCGGCAGCATCTTCTTCAAGGTTAACTGCCTCCTTCCAGATGGCGACTGATTGAGGAATGTGGTCGAGAGCCATGCGAAGGACACGCTTCTTAGCTCTGTTGTCCGACTCGAGTTTCATCGCCTCAATCCATAGGCGCGTGGACCTTTCATTGTTCTTGATGGCACTGGCTGCAATGATTTTGGCGTTGTGATTGTCGTTTAAGCGGATGTTTTCTAGCCACGCATCTTCACTCTTCGGACATTGCTCACAACCCTTTGCAATAAGTTTTCTTGCCGCCACGGTTTTCCCAGCCAATTCTTCGAGTCTGGCTACCGCGATCCATCCAGGAGCATGTTTCGGATTGGTTTTGATGACCGACTCAAGGAGGGTTCTGACTCGATTCACATCGCCGAGCTCAACCTCGCTGGCCTTGAACTCCGACGTTGCGAGGCTGGTGAGGTAGCCTTTTGGATCAAGACTTGTCGATGTTCCGTTGCTAGCACCATCACCTTGCGTTGCCTGAGCCTGATCCATCCGGGCTTGCAGCACCTTGTTGCGGGCGGCACCAATGTCAGCGAAATTAGTCATCGTTCCGTCGGCGGCATCTGTGGTGTTTGCATCATCCTGTACGCTCGTTTGGAACTCCGTGGAATCCCTCGCGCCCGCAAGTACACTGTCAGGCACCGCATAGAAGCGCTTTTTCATGTCTTGCTTCGTTCGCCTGTTCTTTCCCGTCATGTCGCCGGCGTCTGGTAGGTTGGCCCAGTCATCATCAGTCATGGTGGCCAACCCTCGCTTGAGATCTGCGAATTGCTCGGATATTTTGGGATTGTTTCGGTCGAATTCTTCTTGTTCTTGTTTTTCTCGGGCTTCCCTAGAGGACGACGAAGGATTCATGTCGGTAATCTGTTCGTGCAACGCGGAGAGATATAAACCACGAGTCTCTTGTAAGGGGCGGGACTGGGATGGGAGAACTAACCTTCTTGCTTGCCGCCGTTTGGCCATCTTATCGTCAACCTCCTGGTATATTCGATCCGCCTCATCGTCTTCTCGATCGTACTGGCCGTAGGCAAAGAGCCCGACCTCGTTCTCAGGGTCCTGAAACCGCTCATCGTCCTCCTCTTCCTCGGGCTTCTTCTTATCTGAGGCGCCATATGCGGTGGGCGGTGCCGCACCAAGTTGCTGTGCTCTTTTCGCGAGAGCTTCCTGGATCTGTTCGGGACTGGGACCTTCGCGCGCAGGACCAAGGTCTGATCGTGTTGTGAAACCAGTTGCGCCGCGACCGAGACCAGCAACGTAGTTCTCGGGCGCTTGCTGGTTGAGGAAGTCGCGTCGACCAGACATGATTGTGTGTCGAGTCTTGCGCGACTCACCTCCTCACACCTCGAAGGTGGCCACGGAAAAGTAGGGTGTGTTCAATGAGTGTTGTTCAGAAACTGTGTTTGCCTGGTGATCCAAAGAATTATGGCCCGGCGAATCTACTGCCAGCCTTATCGATAATGGCGTTCTGGTGCAGAGAACGCCTAAACCGGCTCCGGCCAAGCCCCGCCCAGTCGGGTTTAGCGCCATCTCGCCGCTTTTCACGTCAATATGTAGACGCGGTCACCGGTGGCGGCGACACACGGCTCTTTGCACGCGATGTCCTAAGCATCGTAATCCAGGGTCCAACTCGCCCACAAATGACCGTGGTGGACTTGCCCGGTTTCATCCAGGCCAACACCAAAGGCATCAACACCCCAGATCGCCAGATGGTCGAGGAGATCACTGAACGCTACATTGGTCAACCGCGCACCATCTGTCTGGCCGTCATCGCCGCCAAGCCCGACTATATCAAGTAAGGTAAAATCTGCGTCGAGTGCCGGCCCCCGGGGGCGCGTTGGGAACAGCATGAGGCGGCTTTGCGTGCACCAGCCCCTCACCCGCGTCGCCCGACGGCCGAGGATGCAGTCACTCTGCACCCCGGTCATGTTGAGACACCGGCGACTGGGCGCTTGAGATATGGCCAGCTTGCCTAGGTGGCAGTGGTACCTAGACCCACCTGGATGAGGCTGTGCAAGGGTGAGCAGCGACACCAGACGCTAGGGCCGCGATAACTTGCAGATTGGTGAGAGCAGTGTGTATACTGAACTTGCGCTTGGATTTTCGACGCATCAGTTGTGATATGCTCGTGTCTTGGGAGGCCCCACGAGAACGACGACACAAAAGCACGGGTCCTGTGTACGCTAAGGAAACATACATACAGACGTCGCGGACAAGGACCGGTCAACATGTCTCAATGCCCTCCCCACTCCCTGAGCACTCCCACAGCAGAGTCAGAATTTGGTCGTGAACAAGAAATGAATTGAAACCACCTGTATGCCGAAAGGGTAATGCCGGCAGCTACGACTTCTTTTCGACCATCGGCACGCTACCCATCATCTCCTGCGCCGGCACCGTGCTGCCCTGCAGCTCCCCCGCCGCCGGCTCGCACGCCGGCATTTCCTCCACCTTGGCACTGGAATAGGCGTCCATCTGCTTACTATCCATCTCAAACCTCTCCCCGCCAGCTTTGAGGTGCGAGGAATCCTTGCCATCTCCCAGAGCTTTCTGGCTGTCCGTATCGCTGGACAATCCACCACCACCACCAGCGACACACTTCCGCTGCCGGTTCCGTGTCCGCCAGAACCACCACGCCAGTCCAGCCAGGAGAGCGACACCAACCACAGTGCCCACGACGATACCGGCAATCTCGGCCTTGGACAGCGGGCCCGGCCAATTGACGGGGTCCGCGTCCGGTAGCGGCGGAGGCACTCGACTGCCTTGCGCAATGTTGTTGGCGCGCAGGCATGACATGGAGGAGCTGGCAGCGACGATGGAAGCCTGCCGTGAGTTGTTGGCCGGGGGAAAGAGCACGGTGAGCACGGGCCAGACTCGGTGGACGAGTTCGTCGTAGGCTTCAGCCGGCGGGGAGGCATCAGTGTACGAGAGTCCCGGGGGGCTATTGTAGCCGTTGAGGACGCTGGCGGGACGTTGTTCAGAGGTCTGATAGAGGGAGCAGTTAGTCGGTTTGGTTGTGTTGTCGGTCAGCAAGTGGGTGTCGATGTGCAGTTCGGTTTGTTCCTCGCTGTATTGGAACAATGGACGACAGGCGGGGGGCATTGGGTAGTGGGAGCTGCCGGGTTGGCCGAAGGCGTTGCTGATTTGTTGGCAGATGGGACTCAGGATTGGAGGCTGTGGCAGCGCGGGTCAGTAAAATGGGAAAAGAGGGCGTGGATGAGAAGGGAGATACGTACCGTGAGGTTGCTAAAGGGTCCCACCGTTGGATTTGCAACGAGCCAGTACGCGGTCTCCTCGGCGCGTTCACTCAACTGCTGGACGCACTTCCTGGATAGCGTCTGTTCGCACGAACCATCGTCGTCTTGACCCCGTCGAATGGTGTTTTCCGGAAGGTATCTGAAGACGAAAGCACATGCACTGAAAGATTGCACCCAATTCAGATCGATGCTCGGGGAAGGATCCAGCCAAAGGCTCGCGACCGCACCGAAGGACTCTTCTTCAGTGACATTCTCCAGAGGAGTCAGGGAGTTCGCACTATAGTTGGACTGGACGCTGACTCTCCAGACGCCGACGCCGTTGTCAACTGTCCCTGACGAGCCAGTGGCGTTCCCGCTCTCGACCAGTTCGCGACAAACGCCCTGCGAGTCGGCCTCAGCGTCGCCTTGAGACTGGGTCTGAGCTGCTGCCAGATTAAAAGAGAGGCCCCAGCAGGCGAGCGGAAGCCATCGCATGGTGAGCATTGTTGGCAGTCTCCAGTAGGGAGAAAATCGCGGGTTACAACACGACGACAGTGTGGTGCTCTAATAATTCATCCCGATAGCAGTAGTGCTGTAGAACGACGGGGCCACTATGGGACATCTCGTGTTTTGGATAGGAGTCCTATTCTTAGTAGTACCCAGTAACCGGTCTCTACTCTGCATGGCGCACGGCGATCTCTCCGTCATGCGCACCATCGCAGTGCTCCGTACGGGGCCCCGGCTCCGTGTCGACTCTTGGGTGCAATTTACTGGACATGTGCCTAGACTGGGCTTGGCCGACGAGCATGCACTCTATCGCAGGCAACGATGCCCGGTTGACAATCCAATCACTATCGTCATCACCTTCGTTGCTCTTGGCTGGAACTCACGTTCCTTGGCCTTGCAAGGGGCCAAACGGTGTACGTGGAGGTTTAGGCGGAGTACCTAGCGTGTTTCGATGTACTTTAGCTACGTAACCCGGCAGTAGTACAGTACCCATGCACGCATGTAAGAGCCGCGGGTCTACCACTGACTTGTGGGGCTGCGAGTCCATGTACCAGCCAACAAAGACCCGGAACCTCGGGGGCCTGCGCGTCTGTCGAGGTTCGGGTCCGTGAAGATTCGCTAGTGATAGTTTATCAGCAGTTGATTTGGCTATAGCTGCTAGAGAAGTGGTACAGGCTGGCTGGATAGACAGAGGGTGCTATAGTTAGGCGTAGGTGATGAGAGGTGCAGCCGCGGATCGGCTGGACACCAAGTAGATTTATCCTATTGTAGTGGGGAGGGTGGGCCGGCCACTCGTGGGAGGTGTCAGAACGAGGACGGCCTGCAGTCGCCCATTTCTAGGACATCGATGGGGAGTGCCGCGTCGCGCGTGAGGACGCTGTGGCAGACGGGCGAGGGTGAGTCGAGGCTAAAAGAAACCTTTATCATGAAATGCTGGCCCTAGGATGTGAGATATAACACAGAAGCTTGGCGTCTCAGGTCTCTCGTAGAAGATGAATGTTAGCCTGTGACGACTTGTTAGTCACGCTACTACCACTTAAGCTCTGAATACTGGAGAGAGCCAAATATGTATGGTGTGCCATGCTTCTGGTAGCCTTTTATTAAGTGTAGGGTGATGAGTATTACCGCAGACTTTCACAAGGGATTCTCTGGGTCTTTAACCACATATGTCTTGATGTCGCCATACATGAGCGCTTTAATCTCATTATAGTAGCTGCCGCCCTTGCTCAATATTCCAGGATGTACTAAAGTGCCTGTACATAGGTAAAGAGTGCCGTTAGGGCCAGCAATCAAAAAACGTACTTTCTTTTTATATTTGACTCTTCCCTGACCTTACTTCGACCTCTTGAAGAGACCTTTAACCACCCTACACTGGCATAATATGTATGCAACGGGCACATTTTTAGAAACAATCGTAAAGTTCTCAACTAAAGACTCCTCCTTTTGTGCGGGAGCCTGCTGGGCAATGGTTTTCAGTCATTGACATGGACCAAATCCCGTTACAGTGTGGAATAGGGTCCCTCGTGTCACGGTTCGCGGTCAAAAACGCAGTGTTGACCTCCTGCAAGAGATCTGCCCGAACTGCGGGTCCACGTCAATCCAAAAATCTTCCCACCTTGAGAAATGTATCATGAATTTGACCTCTCGCCCCCTGGTACCACAAGCGCTGTGCATGAGCCTGGCACCGCACATCCGTCCTGCAGCTGATCAAGGACCGTTCCGCGCTCTATAGAGGACTAGGGTCATGTTGTTGGGGGCAGGGAGCCAATCATAGGTGTGCTGAGGGAAGCCCAGGTAGTATCGCCCTAGCATTCTTGAAATTGATCTTTCTGCGAGTTTCCGAGTCCATGTTAAATCCTTCAAGGTGCTTGAGGAAGGCTGGGTATGCTGGCAGAGGAGCATAAGGGAAGTCACTCTACGGCCAAAAGTTAGCCGGTCATATAGCTTGAGATGGGCCGGTGTCACTCACGCCGTACAGAATGTGGTCATTTGGTACCTGATCCAAGAGTAGCCTTATCACTGCAGGCGACGACGACAAAGCCAGGTCGTAGTAAAAGCTACGGAAACTTTCGACAACCTCCCTGTGGTTAACACCTATCTTGAAGGATGCGACTGGGCCAGGGACCGCCTCCAGCGGGACGCTGATGCGACTGATGATGTAGGGAAGACTGCCTCCGGCATGCGACAAGATGACCTTGCAATCAGGATATTTGATGCAGGTTCTTTGCAATATCATGTCCATCGCAGCTCTTGTCGTCTCGTGCGGGTAGTCGATCATAGGCTGTGGCATCTTTGAGTTCACAGGATTCGTGTCAACAGGGTGAGTAGGGTGAACAAAGACCACGCATTTACGGCGATTGAGTTCTGCCCAAATTGGTTCCAAGTCAGGGTGGCCAAGATAGGTATGTTGATTGCCATATCGAGTGAAGACAGTCACGCCGTCGGCGTGCAATTCGTCCAGTGCGAAGCGTATTTCCTCAAGAGCTGCGTCGGTATCTAGAAGGCTTGGGAGCGATGCGAACATGGCGAACCTGGATGGCGATCTTTGTCGATGAGTGGCAGCTTCCAAATTGAGCCTGCGCGCTAGATCATAGGACGCTTCTCCAGTCAAGATACAGGCACCAGGAGCCGTGACTGACAGCACCGCGGCCGAGACGCCAAGCTTGTCCATGACCTTGATCGATTGCTCGGCGGACCAGCGTGGTGTGGGCCATCCGCTGGGGTCACCACCTGCTTGCTCGACAATCTCAGCATAGAACTCCGGCACGAAATGGTGGTGTGTATCGATCTTATTAATTGGAGGTTGCGTTGGCCATGCCAGAGCGGCGTTGACAATTTGGTCGCCGATGTCCTGCATGATCTTGGCTGGTCTTGCGGCTAGAATTGCCAGAAGTCTTGTGAATGTCAGGATATCTATTGCAAGCAAAGACATGGCAGACGAATGAGTTGACTCTCAAATCTGAATTGTGATAAGTGAGCCACCCTCCCTGGGGGGGTCCAGGTTTTCGGCCTGCGCGATCTCTCGCACCGGAATGCTTCCGGAGCGGGCAGCATCGCTATTCAAACGGATGCTCAGTCCAGTGATTGAACCTGGCGAATGGGAATGCAGAGTTGTTTGATCTGCGTGTCTACACCAAGAGCATTCAGACGAATGGGAATACTTCCGAATTTTGCAAAACTACCGAGGCAATTGCCTCGCACAGCTGCACCCCGTTGGACGATCTTGCCCGAAGGCTACTAGGGTTACCAAGACGTCATCACACCTTGGTAGCGGCCTCAACCGTAGAATGAGTTGAACAGTATCCTCGTAACAGAATCGAAGTCGCGTATGGCGATATGCAAATGGCTACCAGGGAGAGAACGCCTCTGCCGCCAGATGCTGCCCGAGAGAGCCCACGGAGAAGACGAAAGATCGCGCAAGCATGTGATCAGTGCCGCACTCGCAAGACCCGTTGCGATGGAAACAAACCGGTCTGTGGTGAGTGCTTTCAACGCGTCAATCAGAAGAATAGGTGTCGATACAGCTCAGCGCTGAAACGAGATCAAAGCCACGACAACTACGTAACAAGCTTGATCAACCGCATCCGAGAGCTGGAGTCCAGGTCGAAGCCCATGAACGTTATGGAAAGTCCCCGTAGTGAAACTTATGGGCAAATCCCGCAAGCTCGTACCAGCAGTACGACAGTATTATCTGCGGCCAGCCCATATACTCAGCCGCCCGAGACAGCCTCTGACGAAGCAAATGATGTCGACGCTATGGGATCAACGCTGAACTGTAGCCCTGTGGCTAGGAAATCTCCCGCTGGGTATTATGGCACCTCCTCGTCCATTTCTTTCTTGAACGATGTCTACATTGCCATCGGACGTGGCGTGCCGTCTAGCGCTAGCGATACTACTGCGGCCATCCCAGTTCCTCTGAAGGACTCTTCTACCGAGCTGTTGGGCAGTGACTCACCAGATCGCTTCATTTTACCCCCACGCCACACGATGGACGGGATCTTGGACGTCTACTGGCAAAGGATACATCACCTGTACCCTTTTATCCATCGACCTACCTTTCAGGCCGCTTATGAGAAGCTTTGGCTGCCCGCTGGTGCAGCTGGCCATTCAAGTGCCCTAGAAAATGGCATGCTCGGGTCAAAGAGATACGGCCCTGACAGTGTCGTCTTCCATTGCGCTTTGAACGCCATCGCTGCTTTGTCGTGTCACTTCATGGAGCCACGAGGCAAAAACCGTACCAGGCTTGCTGATGCTTTTGGCGAGAGATCTAGAAGTCTATGCCATCTCGACCTCTTTGATGAAGGATCCTTGGCCTTCGTTCAAACCTTGCTGCTCATTGCTCAGTATCTCCAGTCTACGCCATTTCCCAGTCGCTGCTGGAATTGCATTGGCATCGCATGTCGCCTGGCGCAGGGCATGGGCTTGCATGTAGAGAGTCCCGATCTTCTGTCACAACTCACCGCAGAGGAAATTGACATGCGTCGACGTGTGTGGCATGGCTGCGTGACGCTCGATGCAGTGGTAAGTATGACGCTGGGTCGGCCGCTAATGCTTCATAAGGCAGACCGCGTTCCACTCCCTCAGCTGTTGCAGCGCGAGACCGCTCTCGGACATGTTCGGCCCGTTGTGGTGGAATCCTCGCACACCGACTTCTTCCTGGAATCATGCAAACTCTACGCCGTCCTACGCGACATAGTCTCGGAACTATATCAGAAATCTGAAGACAAAGCTGGAGGCTATGACGCCATCATTGCCTTTGATGCTGCAATTTCCACACTCGAAGACAAGTTACCGTCTGAACTCAGACCCCATGAGGCACGTCTAATGCCAGAAGACACAACAGGAGCCGATATTTGCCTTCAACAAGCGTACGTTCTCCAGGCGAGACGGCTGCACCTGCGCATCTTACTGTACCGTCCGACATTTACGAGACACTGTCAGAGCCTTTGTGCACAGTCAGGCACGCAAGCAGCTTCGCCAGAAGTCAGAAGCATTACTGAGGCATCATCAGGCTTATCTCAGGCACTGTCAGAGGCTTGTGTTGAGCGTGCCACTCAGCTCATTGAAACGGTACATGAGAGTATGAGCAAATCGGCTACCGGAGCCTGGTGGTACAATCTCTTCTATACTCGCACGGCTGGCGTAGTCATCCTATTTGCCATGGCGTGTCCCTCTCTATTTAGTTCTGCATCCAATGCCGACCGACTGTTAAAGGCCTGGGAACTGTGCCAAACAGTGCTCGCGGACCTCGAGAAACTCAGCTCCAGAGTGTCACCTTGTATGCGTCAATTAGAAGCCCTGCAGAATCAGATCCAGAAGTCTTGGAGCAAACAGGAGCAGCTTCGACCTCCACCACGCAATCAGATGCGACACGATGGCATTTATGCATTGCAAACCACTCCCGCCATTGCGACTACGGCATTATTTGACAGTACCACAGATCATGCAAACTTTGATGCTGGCGGACTTGGAGTGGCGTTCCCTGATGAGAACTGCTTCGAATTCGATCTGACTACAGATTTCGACTGGGAAGCATTCCTGTCAAACACAGGCATCTGACCCCGAAGCAGTATTCTTATTATTGGCGGAAACCACAGAGTTGACACTCTCTCAGCGCCCGAAAGGTGTGGTTCCGTTGATGAGCGTTTTATGAGATTATGGGCAACACTGAGCTGTGCAGAAGGGCACAGACAGCCAGCAACATCAGAGGAGGAACAATTTGATGGTAGGAATGACTCGTTCTTCCCTTGAAGCGCTTGTTAGTCTCTATCGCTGAGCAGGGATGGGATCTCGTTACCGCAATTTTCCAGTCTTGCCAAATTGGGAACAAGCTCCTGTACCAGAAATGCGCCTGTGACCATGGATAACTCATTGCATTCCACGGTGCGCCCGTCTCATCATCCTTCTTGACATACCAAGATTGGCAGCCTGTGTTCCAGACCGTGTTCTGCAATGCTGATTGAACGTTCCGTGAGTACTCCTGCTCCGCCGAATTGTGGATTTCGACCGTTGACGCCAAGCCTTGCAGGACAGGTGCAGCAACACGTAGCGCATAATTGACCATGTTTTCCGATGCCATTACTGCAGAGGTGTGGCCAGTAGCAGCATTAGGGCCCAGAAGCATGAAGAAGTTCGGAAAGCCGTGGAGCACTGAACAGTTGTAAGCCTCAGGACCGCCAGCTTTGGCCCAATGCTCGGTAAGCGTCTCGTTTTCCACTCCTTTGACGACCATGGGTGAAATAAACTCGTTGGTCTTAAAGCCATTTGCCAGGATGATGATATCGGCCTTGATTATGCCATCAGTTGTTTGCAATCCTTCAGGGACAATGCTGAGTATTTTGGCGTCAGTCAGGGTGACCTTCGGCGCGTGCAGACTAGCCAGATAGCCGGTATCGAAGATGCGACGCTTACAGCCAACCTCAAAATCCGGTATCAGTAAGTCGTGATACTTGGCTGGCGCGGTCTGTCGCATGTACCGTTCAACGGCAACACGCCGTTTTGCTCTCAGTGCTGCAGCGGCTGGTGTGTTTGGGAATGTCGGAAACTCCCGCTCCGCCATGAGAAATATCTGAAGTCGATGCAGCCTCAAAGCAAACGGAACATTCCTGAAGACCCAGCGGAGCCAGCTCGGGTATGGCTGATCGATAGGCGGAAAGACCCAATGTTTGCTGCGCACTACCTGTGTCAGACTCTTCACCCTACTCACGATACTGGGCACAATCTGTGTTGCTGTACATCCATTGCCGATCACAACAACATCTTTGTCGTCTAGAGTCACCTGCCGGTGCCATCGTGCAGAGTGGAAGATGTCTCCTGAAAAGGTTTCTTGACCTGGGATACCCAGATCCCGAGGATAGACGAGCTGTCCGGCGGCCGAGAAAAGAATGGTGCATTCATGAATCAGGTCCAAACCATTTGCAAGATCACGGACGAGAATCCGCCAACGGCAGCGGTCGGCGTCCCATTGGCACTCTTTCACATCCGTTGAGAATGACATCTTGGTGAGCAGGTCATACTTCTTGGCCACCTTTAACAGATACCTCTCGATCTCAGCGTTTGTTGGCAGAACGCGCGACCAGTCTGTGTTCGGCTCGTACGACAAGCTATACAATGCGCTGGGCACGTCGCAAGCACATCCTGTCAATGTAACTAAGCCTTGTCACCACCATTAGAAAATGATCTTACCGGGATACTGGTTGATACTCCAAGTCCCGCATGGGCTTGGGGATCTTTCGAAGAATCTAATATCGGTTTCTTGATACCATCGCTTCAATGTCGCGCCCAAGCCAATCGCTGACAAGCCCGTTCCCACACAGGCTATTTTGGAGAACGAAACTGGCGGATCCATTGTCACACAAAATGATGTTTCACCTGGATGAAGTCTTTTTGGCAGTCCCGATAATTCTTATACGCGTCTCAAAATCCTCCGTAGGGGAAAAACACAGGTGTTTCAGTGAAGCAATAGCTTCAGCGTGAACGCAGGAGTTGACCCGTTTCGGTGACTGTTCCCCGGGGCTGATCCGGACGGACATAAAGTTGTCTGTTCCCACCGGAACCGTCGCGTGAGCGGCATGGATTCCGCTGACGGTTCCCGGACACATCGATGATTGTATGGCGAATCAATTTGTCAGTATCTAACATCGCCTGAGAACGCCGAACACCAACTAGAAGATAACTCACAGCCGAGTTGGTGCAAAAGACTATTGATTGTGGCAGGCTACTACCTAGATGACAACCTGTCCTGGGAATGCGGATACTATCTATGCTGACCACGTGGAGGCAGATATCTATTGGAGTATCGGACAGATAGGGTCTACATGCCTTCCCGAATAACGTCGCTGGCATGACTTCATGGCTCCTAGCCAGTTCACCCGTGGTAACAGGCCATCAATCATGTCCCTTCCTCAGCTTTACAAAGGCCGCCTGTGTCAGGGTCTGTCGTCTGCCTCCCGACATAATCCACGCGAATGCGCTGAGTCGAGTTGCGCAACATTTCGCCGAGCCAGTCAGGTCCCGCAGCCTGGGCAAGGAGGTCAGTGCAAGTTTAATGCGAAGACGGGCAGTGTCGACCTACAAGCATTGCTACAAGTCCGCCAATTCCTGGCAACCAGATGGACCTGGACTCCCGAGCCACTATGGCATCGACTATAGCCTCTCCTACCGTGTCAACGTGGAGGAGGGGCGAAAGGAACCCTGACTGGTTCGTCTTCCCTTTGAACATCGGCGTGGCAACAAATCCGAGTACCACGCTGGTAACACGGACTTTGGGCGCCTTTTCTTCGAAGCGAAGTTCTTGTCGGAGAGTCTAGTGGGAAAATCAGCCTCTGACGTGAAAAATGAGGTGGCGAAGAGACTGTAGGTGACCCACGTTCTGCAGGGTCAGAACTCCCTGTTTCGTCGCGCCATAGTCTGCTAGCCTGGCTGGGGTAATAACGGCACTGAGTGAGGAAATCCCCACAATGTGACCATGGTTTCGCCCTACCATGGCTGGTAGGAACTCCTTGACAAGGAGGAATGGAGCGATAATGTTAGTTTTGAACGTCAACTCAACGTCATGATACTTTCCACCCGTGATGGTCTGACCCCTCGTCAGACCCGCACTGTTGATAAGGATGGTCGGTGAGCCAACTTCGGTTCGGATGCGCTCGCAGACAGCCTTGAGGGCATCGCTTTTGCTCAAGTCGCAGTGGTAGCAGTGAACTTTCGAGTTTGCAGGAGGCGTGAATTCGAGAGGACAGAAATCGATGACCACGACGCGAGCGTCTGGCTCTCGTTCCAGGAGTTGTTGCACGACGCTGGCTCCTATTCCACTGCTCCCACCAGTGATGACAGCAATCTCAGAACCCCAAGATTGCGACTCTGCCGTGACCCAGTTGTTAAGAGAGCCGGTATTCAGAATTCTGTTCAACGAGAGCAGTGCTCCTGCGACCGTCACACATAGCACCCACTTTGCTGCATGCCGAAGCCATCCGGTGATGTTGCGGTCCCTATCCTCTTCCACTGATTGGGAGGACAAGACTGAGATAATGATGAGGTATAAGGCCAAGGCCACACAGGGGTTCAAGATGGTATCCTGAAGCGCCCTGAAGATGGGGTCGATATGTATTCCTTCCCTGGGCCGGTACCTTTTGAAAAGCATTGTCTTCACCTTGGTTTGGCCTGAGTGTTTGCAAGACTTTAAGGATAGACAAGCTCTCGAAACAATGGTACGCCAATATGCAGAGAACTTGTATCTACTTTCGTCCCGGGTTCCAGCGGGACCCTTCCGGGGGCGAAAGTCGGCCCAGCATATGTTTAAGAACAGCAGATACAGTTAGAAACCGCTGTGAGGACTGTATCGTTCGACTCGTTTGCACAGATCTGCTGACACCACTCATTGTGGACGGGTCACACACATCATGCCCCTCTACGGAGCAGAGAAGGCTGATCTCGTGCTCAAACTGGTGTTCATCGGTAAACGACATTGTCTCAGTCACTTTGAGGGCATTATATGCTGATTGTGTACAATAGTTCCGCTTACTCTTGGTATCAATGTGCTGGAAAGCTGCTACCTCGCTGTACGAAGAGGCTTGGTATTGAAGGACTATCTCATCGTCGCAATCCTCCGCACGTTCCTGACATGTCTCTCGCCCCGCCAAATTGTTGCGGTGTCACCGTCTACTGAAGCGACGTTTAGTAGCTGGTGGACGCAAACTCAAGCATTTTCGGCGAACCAGAACTCTGCGCTACGCGCGACTCCAGTCACGGAAGTGGTGGCGGATGGTGCCAGAATCCACTGGATTCAGCCGCCCAGTCACCGATCCGAGGTTGTTCTCTTTTTCCACGGTGGTGGCTATAACGCACCGCTATCCACAGGGCATATGAATTGGTGTGCAGCTATTGTGCGGCATTCCCTGAAGGCAAATCGCACTGTCGCGGTCGCAATCCTTGAATACGGTCTCACTCCTGATAACCGCTATCCGTTGCAACTCCGTCAAGCGCGGAACGCATTGGAACACTTGCTCAAATCCGGAATCACTCCTGAGAATGTCATTATCGGCGGAGACTCTGCCGGGGGTCATCTTGCCCTAAGCCTCTTGTCTCACTTGTTGCACCCACACCCGCAGTGTGAGTTGCTGAGCTTACAAGCACCACTCGCGGGTGCTTTCCTAATCTCGCCTTGGGTCACGGACAAGACTGAATCGGAGTCGTTCCGTTGGAATGCTCGGATTGACATGCTCTCATCTAACCTCGTCCGGCGCAGTACTGGAGACTTTGTTGCGTCCTCCGAGCTGGAAGCGGAACGGGTGCGGGGTCATGGCTGGGCCATGCCGATGCAAGCAGGACCTGGCTGGTGGGAAGGCTTGGGTGGGGTGGTTACGAGCTTGTATATCACCGCTGGCGAGCAGGAGCTGTTCAGGGATCACATTGTAGAGTTTGGGAACCATCTACGCACGGAGCTGAGCCTTGTGGGAGGTGAGATGCCGGCGGTACAGCTGCACGTTGACCCAGGAGAGGCCCATGATCATATCCTCGTTTCGTGTCTGCAAGGTCAAATGGATACTCCAAGCATGAAAAGACTCGTGCGGTGGATGAAGCGTGCCTGGAACACTTGACCGATTCTACTCCTGACCAGAGAATGGCTAGTGACGCCGACTGGCCAGACTCGGTAGTATCTTATCATCGCACTGCATGTTTTTATGAGAACAAATAGCTTGAAATGCAATAAAACGAGTTCCTCAAATGTCTAGCCGCGCCGTCTCGAGTACATCCGCCTCCATCGCCTCTTTCAGGATAAGTTTCTCGTGGCGTGGGCTTCGCATCAGCACGCGAACGGGGAAGGGCTCCGAAGTGAGATGATGGTTTAGTTTGGTGTCGTCTAGATGGCGAACCTGCTGGAATTAGCCCAAAGGAAGAGCCAGCAATCAACAAAGTGCGCCAACTTACCGCCGCAAAGTCGAAAGCCAAAGCCAGTCGAGCTATATTGATCAACAAACCTCTTTGAGCAAGTCGGTAGCCTACGCAGATGCGTCGACCACCACCAAATTGCCAGATTCCATGTGCCACATCCATCTCATAACCATCAATGAAGCGCTCTGGTCTGTAGAGGTTAGGGTTGTCGCATTCATCGCTGATTGCGATTCCATTAATAACGAAACCAGTGCCCTTTGGAAAGATGTAGCCTTCGAATTCGAGGTCCTGGGTCAAACAATGGTCTGGTGTGAGTGGGAAAATAGGACGCCATCGCAGAAGTTCTTTGATGCTGGCACACGCGTAGGGTAAGTGCTCCATGTCATTTAGCACCGGATAGCGAAGCACGCCATCTTTGTCGCAGAGCTCGTCGACTTCCGCTCGTAATTTTCGGAAGGTCTCTGGGTAGCGAATAGAGGCCATGATGAAAGTGTTCAGAACCTCCCGTGTAGTGTCGCTCCCGGCTTCGATGAGCTGCATCGCCACATACATCGCATCCTGGTCGGAACCCCGAAAGGCTGAATCCGGGTGGAGAAGCACGTCTCTCACAAACGACTGCGGAGCGCTGCCGTCGTCGATACGATTCCGCACGGGGTCCCACCACTTGCGGTACACAGAGTGGTTCCAACGGTCAATTTTGCTCCAGTAAGGTCGCCAAAAGTGAAGTGGGCGAGGTAGGCTATCGAGCTCCGGAAACCAGTCAACCATGCTCGAGCCAATGCTTCCCACGAAGGTGGTCACAACGTCTTGGAGGTCCTTTAGATCTTGGCTCGACATACGGACTCTCTCGCCAAGTGCTATGCGGTGAACGACCGAATTGGCATAGCTGTAGTGGTGCCGATACCACAGATGCGGCTGAAGAAGATACTGCGCCATCATCAGAGTGCTTTCGGTTTCCTGCCATTCGCCGTATTGCTTGAGTGCGGTCCCATTCAGCAAATGATGCATGACACGGCGCCGCTCAGTCCAACCGTCTGGCGGCAGAAGAAGTGAGCGTCCATGGCGGCTGACGATTCCACTGGACACGGGCATTGGCGACCTCCCATTTGTCATTGACCCTCTCTTGGCAATTAGCTCTGTTACTACCCTATGGCTGTTGAGGAGAACCCAAGTCTTGGATCCGAGATGTAGGGTGGTCATTTCACCATACTGCGACAAGCGACGTAGCTACATCATTCCTCAGTTAAAGCATTCTTTTTTTCGATCCGAACGGAACCTACCATGGCAGTCATGGCGCCTGCCTGATGACGTTGGCGGGATAACTGCAACAGATTCCCGAACAAGGGTACACCTTCAGGTCCCTTTGGCAGAATGGGCCGACGTCCATCGATTGTTGGACGCAGACCGACAGGTTTGAAGACATGGCGTATATAGAAGATGGTGACCAAGAACGGCGCAAGGATCAGGAAAAGCGTTGAGAAGGCTGCATTGTCGGCTATCGACAGACGAATGCTTTCATGTATTGCCATACTTTCCAAAGGCCAGTTGGCACTTGAACCACGGTTCCTATGGTCACCATGTAGTATTGGTATAGCTGCAGCCTTTTCAACCTTTGTCCGGAAGCATTCCGGGGCTCCGGGTCGATGCCGGAAGTCGTGTACTTAACGTAGGATCTGCAAATATCCACAATATCAATGCGGGGATTTCAAAGACTAACCTGGGTTGACATGGCATTACCCCAGATCTCGTCCCCAACCCCGGAATTGATACCGCTTCCCTTCACTATACCTATATAAACTGCTACCTCAATCTTGCCAGAAGAGTAGCTTGCATCAATAAGTTATTCCTGCAATATGTGGCTCAGTGCACTTCGTCTAAGCAGTTGTGTCCTAGCATTCACTCGGCTTGCTTCATCGGCTTATGGCTATCAATTGATTGACACGCATCACCACTTCGTTCCTGATTTCTACAGAGAGGGTGAGCTCACTGCCTTCACTCCGTACATGACTGAGGGTTTTCTAGCGGTGATTGCAGCGGGAGGAGATCCTTCTGGGTGGCCCATCCCAGTATGGCATCTGAATGACTCTGAGGCCTTCATGCAAAGAATCAACACGACCATGACAATGCTATCGCTCACATCACCGGGAGCTGCGATCGCCAAAGACAATGATATGGCTCGCACACTCGCTCGACGTGCCAATGAGTATTGTGCGCAGATTTCAAGCCAAATGCCCGACAAGTTTGGTTGCTGGGCAGCGATGCCGAATCTCCTGGACATCGAAGGATCTCTGGTCGAAATCTCATATGCTTTGGACAATCTTGGTGCGAACGGTATCACGCTCTTCACACGCTACGGGGATGGCAACTATTACCTAGGCAATCCAGCCTACGAGCCGATCTGGGCGGAATTGCATAGGCGGAATGCTACCGTGTTCATCCATCCTTCGGCTCCAGTCGACACTAAACTCGTCAATCCCTCCCTGCTGCTACCAACCATCGACTATCCGCACGAGACAACTCTAACAGCCGTCGACATGATCATCTCGCGCACTCGTGTCAAGTATCCCAATTGCAAAGTCATCCTCTCCCATGCCGGCGGCAACCTGCCATGGTTATTCACACGCTTCGCACTTTGGCGGAAAGCCGCACCGGTGACGGCACTACGTGACGGCATCACGTATGACGAAGCCCTTGCGGATTTACGCTCATTTCACTACGACCTCGCTCTTTCTTCTTCCCCGGAGAAGCTTGACCTCCTGTTGAAACTTGTTCCAGCCGAGCGGATTCTATATGGTAAGACCTTGCAAGTGCTACTGTCGAAGACTAAACATTGATAATCCTGCCTCTAGGCTCTGACTTTCCATATGCGCCCACAACGGGGATTCTGGCCTTCCGTCAGGCACTGGAAGATTACCCAAAGGCCGAAGGGCTGAAACAGAAGATCTACTATGAGAACGCGTTAAGCTTGATTGGATAAGAGGGCGCCTGTCGCTTCCAAAGAGTCGCTGTCCCACGGGTGAAAGGGTCGAAGTGAATCTGCACAGCCACGTAAATCATCCGCAAATACAGCTCGTGTCCTGTGCCAGCCTGAGTCGCAGGTTTGGTTGTCGATATCCACAGGATTGGTGTAGCTTGTCTTCATGAGAATCTACGGGAAGTTCTGGTGAAACTCTCAACTTCAATGGGGATGTCCCCCTGCCTGCCGTCATGAGCAGATGTATCTCCGCGAGCGTCTTGGCTTGCAGGGCTGGGGGATTCGCTTACAGTTAAGTGTGGACAGCCACGGTGCTCAGTGTTCTTGATAAATTCGCCAAAGACTACACAGCTGTACCGGACTGTTCACTCTCAGGACGTCTTCACCGAGGTATAAAAGGGGTTGGATCACTATATTTGAGGTATGGGTGGCGCGATTGGACGCGTTCAGACAATGGGCCTTCGACAAGAGAGAGTTTGCCAGCGGATCTGAGACAGACGTACCATAACATCTCGCGAGTGTTAGTCTCCTCGGACTTGCAAGAAATCTCTTTAGACCATTTCAGACTGACGAATAAGACAGAAATGAGACTTACTGTGGGCGTGCTCTCGAAGTGATGGAGGTGAAGACCACCGGGAAAGAGCTATGTCAAGATTGGAACGTTCTAGGCATGACTATTGACTGTCCACGTGACTGATAGATGGCGAATTCAACTACTGTGTCGTGTCAGCTCTATAGCTGTAGTCCGTCAAAACTCTTTTACAATTCGATTGAGCTGACCGATTCTGCAGCGCCGGCTGTCATTGGATCTGGGGATGAAGCACCGTCTTCCAGTCGGTGTGAAGTTTGACGTGTGATCATGCTGATCCAATCTACTCTGCCCTGTCAATGATGTCCACATTGTCGCACCAGTTCTGCCAATTTCAGAACAATTACGCTCGGAAGTTAGTGCCCTGTTCGTGGAGGGTTATCTAGCTGGCCGGGGGAGGGCTGTGACGGTACACGGGCTTGTCTGAACGTCCCAACGCGAAGAGCCGGAGAGTAGGTAGCAAATTTCTATTGCTCGTGTGGGTAGATTAGCAATACTCACACTTCGCCTAAAACATCATACAATCGAGGTCGGTGTTAAGGTGTGTGTTCCTGAATGTAGGTGCAGTAGCACGCGATTAGCAGCCAAGGATGACCACCAGTGAATAGACATTTCAGGGCCGAAAGTTTTGCTGGTCGTTTCCTGCAACTGGGTCACTGACCATAAGATCTAGAAGGACAGGACAGCTTTGGCCGTATCAACGAGACCGTCCTTCTAGCCCATCTCAAGTGGCTACGGCATGAAGAGCCTTCAGAGCACAATACAAAACATTTCCATGTGAGGGGGGAACTTGCCAATATCGCCTCAATGCTGGCAATTGACGGTTTGAGTGACAGTCAGACTACATAAAACTGGGCCCTTGATCACTTCAAAAACGGGGATGGCAATGGAGCGATCCTCAATGCCATCACCAATGTTATCAAAGATTCTGATACCGGGGAGCTGTTACTCGGGGCGTTTGTCGCCTCAGCGGAGGCAATCCGAGCGTATCAGCCCGCTGTTGCTATCACTGCTTTAGCCGTTCTTAGATCAGTGGCTGTTCTCGCCCTTTACGTCAGCCTGGGAGCGAAGTGGCTATACATCGGGGCTATTCAACGCAGTCACACTGTATCACAGGCACTATTAGTCTAGGTCTGTCGCTACTGGCCCGGTTCAGAGTCTGAGTACAACATGAACAGCTGAGGTTCAGAGCCGAGCCTTGGCTTGCAAGCCAGATCTATGTTCAGCAAGCGAGCCAAATCCGGGGAACGATAGTCAGTGGCTTATTGATTACCAGAGCTTCCCGCCTCAGAGATAGTCAAATTGGAGGCTCGGTTAACGACCTTCTGAAAGCGATGCCCAAACCGGAGTAACGGCGGCTTGACCGACGGTTCAGCCGGTTGCAACCTACCGTTATCGACTTGAGTGTCCGTCTACAAAGATGCGAATATCAGAGTGCAATTGGCAAACCTGCTGATTGAGGCCCGAGTCGACTCGTGGTCCCTTCGATTGTGCGTACCTTATGTGATCTGTCTACGTACAAAGACACCGTCTAGCAGAATTCCCGGAAAGGCTTGCAAAATGCTACTCGCCATTGCCGTACTAGCACTCAACCAAATTGTAGCAGCGTACGTCTCTTGCACCCGGCACCCCTCCCAAGCAGTCACACTCACTCACACTCCACTCTCACAGCACCTCGTCTCCATCATTTAGCTACAATGCCTCTCAGCCACGATGGGACTGGGACCCAGCCTTCGGGCCACTTGACACTGACCCCTCCACGAGCGATTACCTCAATCTATCCTCCGGAGTGGATCTATGGTATACCACGATGGGCCAGCGGCGCCACGGCGATCAGGTTCCGGTGCTCATCCTTCATGGCGGAGCAGCAAATAGCCACGCCATGTATCGTCAGGCAAACTTTGTAGCGAAAACGCGGCATGTCATCTTGCACGAGTAGGTGCCCCGGCCCGCCGCCTCTCCTTCGTGGTCTAGCTTGGCGGTCCGCATGGATGGTTGACAGACTTGAGAAAGGTGACTGCTAACCCAAAACCCTGACCGCCAGCACACGAGGCCAAGGCCGCAGCCCATACAAAGGCTTCACCTCCTTCCACTACGACGACATGGCGCGCGACGTCATCGCGATCCTCGACCACCTGGAGATTCCCCGCGTGGCCGTCTTCGGCTGGAGCGACGGCGGCATGACGGGCCTGAATCTCGCCATGAACTACACTGAGCGCATCGACCGGCTTTTCGCGTACGGCGCGCAGATCCACTACAACCAGACGCACTTCCCTGGCAGGGACGATCCGATCATCACCTCCGAGACCGGGACGCTTGAGAGCAATTTCGAGAATAGTGGCGTCACGCCCCCTGAGAAGGAGGTGGAACAGCGGCAGCTGGGTGGCATGCGCAAGAGACAGGAGGGCGGCGAGGAATTCTGGTGTGAGAGTATCAGTCCCATGCCCGAGCGCTGTGCGGACATGTATGCTGGCGTCCTCGCGTAAGTGATCGCCTCCTCCTCACTGGTCCTCCTTCTCCCCAGTCCCTCCCAAGAGGTCATCTGTACCATATACACGTACACACTCAAGACTCAGCCCTAACGAGTCCTGCCCACTCGCAGCATGTGGGAATCCGAAACCACCTGGGGTCGCGAAGCCCTCGCCAAAATAAAGTGCCCCGTCTGGACCGCGATCGGCGACCATGACAAGTACGTGCAGCGCAGCCAAGCCGATGCCATCGCAGCGTGGACCCCCTTCGCAGGCCAGCTCGTGCTGCCGCATACGGGCCATTGGGGCCTGTTGCAGGACTGGAAGGTGCTGAACTTCATGCTGGATTATTTCCTGGAGATGGAGTTTGATCAACAGGTACCTTACTACTAGTGATGCGAGCAGCACGAGAACGGACGAGTGAGGGGCCGATGGAATGACTGATGCGCGTCTGCGAAGGAAGCTGGGATAGGCGATTTCCTCTCCAAGTGGGTTGGCGGCCTTCTGGAGGAGGGCGTCGATGCTGGCAGCTGGGCTGAGAATGTCTCATATTCCGGGTTCGGGGGGTAAGTGTTGCTTACTGCTATCCATGGTCGACAAATTTCGTTGGTGGCAATGGGGTTCAGACGGGTGGGAGCGTGCCCTTGTTCGGCAGAAGGAGATGACTTCGTTGTGCCGACTATGGTGAACGATATTTGGTATGGATGAGCACGCTGAGATTTGCGCGGAGGAGATTTGCGAAGCTGCCTTCGCTGAATACAGGAAAGCATGTAGCCACTTGCAGTGCGAGGTAGCGTTGCTTTCATGGTAGACAAGTGATTTTTGGTTACACACATATCGTTTAAACCTTCGAGCTTCGACATTCTAAGATTACATGGTAAAAGCACCCAGGTCGTCAAAGACTCTGTCCGCGAGAGATCAGAGTCCGCATGCCCTCCAACGTTCGTAAATACTCGTCCATCCCGTCATCCATCAGTCTATCGTTATACAAATATCGCAAACCCCTGCTCGTCAAGCGAGCACCCCAACGCCCTTGCACGATGCACACATACGATTCCACCCACCAAACCCCTTTCACCAAACACCTCACCCCAAAGCCCTTGCAAAGAAACGCTGCTGAACATCCCCAGCCTCCTCCTTAAATGCGTGCAACACCGCCGTGCGGTGGTCCGGCGCCAGCACCTTGAACCACTGATCCACGGCGCCAACGTCTTCGGAGAAGTGTTCGTTGCGTGTGCCTACAGCGGCCGTTGCCCTCACAGGCGGCTGATGTCCCGTCTGAGCCGTATTTTTCTGCTGGAGCAGCGTGAAGAAGACGGCAATGCGTTCGCTCTCGGTCAGAGAAGAGAACCAGTCGCGCATGGACTCGACTTCGATGAAGAATTTCGGATAGTTGCGGACGAGGGTGGCTTTGCCGTCGGAGGGGAAGCCGAGAAAGGCGTAACGCCGGGTTCTCGTCAGGGGCTGGGCGTGGTCGGTGGAGTGGAGGGCGTTTCCGCCGAGAGGTTGGGGGTGGCTGATTGCTGGATCGATTCTGAGGGTAGCTCTGCGAAGGCCTTTCATAGTTGCCGCCTGTGGGCCAAGAGGGGATCGTACATTCATCGTCGGTGTGGATGGGCAGGTGTAGTCGATGGCATGTGCGTAGAAGAGGAGGCTCTGAGTGATTGAGTATGCTTCGGGCCAGGCAAGGTCTGATGGTAAGTTGGCCCCGTTGACCGTGTCCCACAGAAGCAGATCGTCGAATGCTTGAGAGGACGGGGAATCTACCTCAATGCTTCCGCCAGTTGGAGCCGACTTCCCGAGCCACGGGTTGAACAAACGTCCTGGGTGCTCCTTATCTGACCGTTGCATCTGTGGGTCGTGGTACAACAACAAAAAGTAGTCGACTTCCTTGTCATCATGATTGGGTTCATCCACACCTTCGCATCCACCGTCTCTCGGCGACATCGAGTATGGCAGGAATATACCAGAGGCAACGTACATCTGGCCAGCTCCGGTGCGATCGTTAGGGTTGTCGCATGTACAAATGACCACCATCGGCGAGCGGGTGCGTACAGTAGCACCGCCACGTCGGCCTGCAGGTCTCGCCACGGAGCGCACGAGGGTCTTAGCCACAAGGAAGTTGGTTCCCGAAGGCGTCCGTGTGTCCTCCCACTGGTGCTTGCACAAGCGGCAGTCGCAATACTTGACTCGATCAAGTCTCGACCATTCGACCAGCTCATCTTGTCGGGTTTCTCGAATGTTTTGGATTTGCATTGCGCCGACGGCTCGGAGATACTCGACAAGATCGTCGTACTGATTCGGGAGAAGGTGTGTATCTTTGCCAGTAGTTTCTGACAAGGATCGCAGTCGAGCCACCGGTTCCACAGCGGCATAAAGACTGGACATGTTTACCTCCAAGACTTTGCACAGGTCCATCAACTCTTCGTCTCCGAAGCCCCAGGCAGAGGATGCAAGGACTTGCAACAAGGCGTGGCTGACCGGGGCATTGTAATCGACCTTGATATGATTCCCATCTCCAGCGATTCCGAGCAAGGCATATACTTTGTCACGTACATCTGAGGCGCGGGAGTCTCGAAATTTGTGGACCAAGTCGAAGATACCCATAGCCTCGGGATCTTCTTGCCGCGTAAACCACTGCTCTACTATGAATGAGGCAGGGTTGTATCTGAAGGAAGCGCGTTGGAAGTAATCAAGGTCCTCGAAACTGGCGGTCTGGAGTGCGATTGCCCACACCTTCCACGGAAGCATGGCCGTGCCGCATAGGATTTGACAGTCATTGGAAACGAGGATCTCTTGGACGATCCATATTCGGCGCCAATAGCTCCTCGAGGCGAGTTTGAGGAGGGAATCGGATGCATCAAATTTCTGTCGGTAAGAATCGCGAATTCTAGAACCTCGTTCCCGCCTTGACAACTGATATATGTTGGCTGCGGTTACCTTTTTGATCTGTTCGGGCTCATATCCGGATAGCTCTTGAGCCTGGAAAAAGGCCCTTTCTGAGTCTAGATCAGATTCACCAAGCCAGGCGATGACTTCATGGGCGTTCTCGTAAATGAGCCTCATCTGGGAGACCTGATGATTCCTCTCCTCGCTTTTCGTTTGGTCAATACATATGGCATCGATCCACAACAGCAGTGGCTCGTTGAAATCGCCATCAATGTATTTCTTGGTCAAGAGACTCCAGAGGAACTTGTACAGGTTTTTCCGCACTGCCATAGATCTCCCGTCAATGGAGATGGAGTGCACATCAGCATCTGAGCCCCACTCGTATGACACAGCAGTGTAAGGTCATGCATTGTCGAGAAGCCGTACATTATTCAGCATTTGGCATTGTATGACTTCGCTGGCTTGTGGAAGAACCTTCAGTAGGCGTATGCAGCACTCCGACGGCCGCAGATCAAGAGCGCTATGCTCAAACGGCGGGAGCGTGTCAAGATCTTCGGGCGAATAGTAAAACCGAGAACGTTGAGATCTACGTGATCGAGCTGCCGTGGCCGTGCGAAGAGTTGCTGCATGAACACCTTTGAACAGGGCGGTGAAACGATCAAGAGAGCCCATTTTGTCACGTCTGGTCCCTCAGCTGCCGCATTGGCGCATTAACTTTGAGGCCTCAGATATCAGCACCGAACAAATCACGGCTCAAGTGAGGATGAGGGGATCGTCGTTGAAGCATCTCGAGCTGTACCTGGCGAAATGACCGGTTTACAGCAACTGCGAGAGTCTCCCAGGTTTATGCAGGCCACGCTGGACTATGACGTGCTTCCAATCGGTCATTTGTTTGAGCGAAGCTGCCAGGTGATTGTGGATGAGGCAGTGTCGAACATAGCCATCGAAGGTCATTCGTCGCCTGGAAGAACTTTGGGGGCGCAAACCAAAGATCCCGGGCAATGGCTGACATCTCATACCGAGTGATGAGGGACTTTGGAAAGTTAGATAAGCATGAGCGGGCTAGCGGTGTGATCTCCGGCTGCAGAGAAATCTCGTAGAATGGGCATGTCGAATGTCGAGCTGTCCGGCGCAGTTCGGATGTTAGGGGACTCACCACAGATACCGCATTGTGCCGTGAAGGATAGGCCGGTGAACAGCATTCAACCGACTTCCCCGCCAGGCTATGCATCGGTGGCCCGCTAGGTCATTGTCATAGGTACAAGAATGACAACGACACTCTACAAGCAGGATCAGGACGAGGCATCTCGCTGAAAAGGCGCGCTGCTGAGAAGGAGTGACGGAGGAAAAAGTCGGTTTCAGTTCTTGCCTGAAATAATGCCGATCGTCACCGGGAAGGCCCGTCCGGACCTTGCATTAGCGGCGCCTCGCACCTGGAAAATCTGGGTGACGCATGTCACTCCAGCGTAACCCCCACCCCTCCAGCTACCTCAGACAGACACAACTCTCATGCGAATACCCTTGGAATCCAATCTTGGTACCGGCATAAAGTAATCGTGAGCTAACCTTGTGTCCGACACATCAGTCTCATACACCTCAAATTCGTGCCTTCTGAATACCGTGGCCAGTGTTTGATACAGAAGACACGTCGCTAAATTCATTCCCAAACACGACCGTGGCCCTTTGCCAAATCCAACGAAATATTTCTCGAGGCTGTTGCCATTGTATTTGCGATCTTCCATCCAGCGCTCAGGCCTGAATTCGAACGATGCAGGAAAGACATCCTCATTGTGATTCATGTCGACGATGGTCATGGAAATTGGCGTGCCGGCCGGAATCGTCCAACCCCTGAACTCCACATCTCGATGAGCGACGCGCGGGATGCGAGAGGCAATGCCGTGGGCCGGACGGATACCTTCACGCACAACGCCGGTCAGGTAAGGAAGGCGCTCAAGCTGTTGCCAATCTGATGGAGCCGAAGAGTCGGGCACCACTTGGAGCAATTCTAGTCGAATTTTTTCAGCGAGGGCGGGTTCGTTGACCAGATGAAATGCCGCCATTGACAAGGCCCATGATGTTGTCAAAATAGCTGCATCGATGATGACCTGAGCCTCCTGCTGTAGCCGCAGGACCGTCTTTTCACGGTCAGGCAGATCACTGTTCAGCATCTCATTGAACAGCGTTGGATGCTTGGCGGCCCTCTTTGAGCTCCGTGATGGTCTTCTCGAAGTCCCTCTGGATCTGGATGTGCAGATGGAAGGACGGTTCCAACTTCATAACCAGCCGTCCTGGCAGGCTATTCAGAAGTGGCCACAGTTGAGGAAGGTCGATGATTTGCTTTTGCGGTCAGCCGTCGCAGGTAATATAGGTCTACGAAACGGATCGAACGTACCAAGCACCAGCCATTGCTTCATGAAAGGTTTCGGTGAAGTCGGGTGAGTTCAAGTGGTCATACGTCTTTCCAAAACAGAACTCGGTCACAACGTCTCCTGCCAGAGCTGTGAATGCCCGGTCCATTCGAACAATCCTCCCGCTCTGCTTATAGGCCGCAAGCTTGGAGGTAAGTATGCTCAGCTTCTCCCGAATCATAGCTTGAGAATCCGTAATTCGACGCTTGGAGAAGAAGGAGGCAACGGCACCGCGTCTGAGCTTGTGGTGCTCATGACCAGAGGTGGTGAAGAAGGCATTATCAGTGCCGAAGCGGTTGCAGAAGTAGTCGGGCTTGTCCAGCTCGCCGCTTTCCACAAACAGCTCTTCATAGAAATGCGGGTTCTCGTATCTGTCTAGGTTGAGTTTGTCTTCCAGCGTATATGACCGCGATGAAAGCACTCAACCTACATGGATCTCATTGGGCGTCACGCGGATGATGGGGCCATACTGCTTGTGAAGCTTCTGGATTTGGAATGTGTATGGGCCTTTGAGGACCACTTTGTAGTAGAACTCGTACCACCTGGTCAGAGCGGCCAGTTTTGAACCAGGAAAATGCCTGATTGGGCTGAGAAATAGCCGTTGGAAAGCCGTGACAAGGCCATATCCAACGACCAGTAACACGAGGCCGACATCAAGTAGACTGCTGGGCTTCAGCGAGAACAACAGGTCCATTCCAAGGCCAGTAGCCAGTATGGCACCTGATCGCTTAGACGTCCCCGCAGCTCCGAATCTAAGACGTCGACGTTTAAGGAGGTCACCAGTGCTAAGAGATCGCGCTAAGAACTTGAATCATTTGTTCAACCCAAGTGCGATTTGAAACAGAACTTCATCATTGCTTCATCGCTTTCGTTTCTCTATTACTGTAACACATTAAATCAGACAACTCCATGCGCAATCGCTATGCAATCCATTGACCCGAGCCACCGGTACTAAAACGCCAACTTGGCGATGCATCCAAAAGCTGTGACCCCGGGGGCTCCCCCGCCTCAACGCGTTCTTGTCTCGCCGTTGCTGCCTTGGCTGTACACGCTGCTACTCCGTCGTGGCAAGGCCTCGGTGTAGGCTGGAGGCTCTGCAAACATGTCTTTTGCCTGTCCAACCACTATGGTAGGTTGACCGTGCTGAGCTTGGAATGGTGTATGACCCATCTGGAGCTCGGTATAACGCGCGTCCTGTGCTTCACGTGCCTTCTCGAGCTTCTTCGCCTTCCTGTCCTTGACATGGACGTAGGTCAAGATGCCGGCGCCGATGATCAATGAGGCCATGATGCTGTGTTGATGTTTGGAGGGTGGTGTTTCGGATTGTCGGTTGGTTGCGGAGGTTTTGGAAAATTTGATTGTTGTATTGCTTTGAACTGTTTGATACTGATGAGACGACTGATAGAGACGAGCGCACCACTTCGTCTTATAGTCCTACTGGGCTCAGTCGCATCATCGTCACAGCGACCGGAACTTCGTCGATGGTCTCTGCGGGTGGCCCTATTGAGCGAATGCGAGGTGTACAGCCCCAATCAATTTGAGATTCTTGGGCGCTACGGCACAGGCGGCGTGTCTAAGCCATCGGCTTCACCCGTACGCCTATCAAACATTTGTCACTGGCACCAGCACATCACGGCACCTCAGTGACCACCTGATGTAGCTTGTCGACATTTGTACGGCTGACTCTTCCAGAACAGGATTTCAGCCTCGAATTTGGCTTTAGACGATGCACTTTCGGCAAGTGCTCTTACCGACGCCCGATCGGTACCTGCTTCTGCGTCTCTTCAGGCTTTTCCTGCACTTCCGCAGATTCGCATCCACTTCTCCGTCTCCTTTTGCAGTATCTCAATACCACCGTCGATGAGCTTGACGATCGAGTCATCTGCATGATTTCTCAAGTGATTACTCCACACCTCAAGCAAGAGTTTGTTGACGTTGAGTTTGGTTACTCCTGCAGCGACGCATTGTTGGATCAATCCAGGCGAGAAGTCGTTTGTTCCATGTAATACCAGATGCGCCTTGCCTCGGATATGCTCACCAACGCTACGGAGACGATCGAACTGCAGCTGGGGCCCGGATGGTGGATAATCACCATGAATATTTCCTATGCTGGGAGCCAGGAAGTCGATGTTGACAGCCAGGAAGTCATCGACCTCGGACGGCGTCGTGAACAAGGCTACAGCGGTCAGCTTGTATGCTCATGCTAAACACTGAAAAACGGTACCTTCAAGCTCACCGGTGTCGGCTATCCCATCCTCTCCGCCATTGATCCGGCCACTTTCAGCCTCGACGGTTATACCATGCTCATGGCACAGGTCTGCAAGCTCATGCGTTTTTCGAAGGTTTTCCTCATGTTCATAGTGACTCATGTCCACCATGATCGAGTCAAACGGCAGATGCGCCGCAATCTCCCGGATTTGTTCTTCGTCTTGGGCATGGTCTAGGTGCAATGATATTGGTACAGAAGCTGCTTTGCACGCCGCCGAGGCTGCCCATACCAATGATGGAAGTTGTTTCAGTGTTGACGGAAACAGCTGCAGAATCAACGGCGAGCGGCAAGACTCAGCAGCTTGTGTCAGAGCAGTCAACTGCTCAACATTGTAGGCGATGGCTGCGAGCACTCCATACTTCCCCCGAGAAGCCGCCTCCAAGATCGCGGATGTTTTGTTCGCTGGGTTCGTTGCCCTCATGTTGGACGCTCAATACTTGGTAGCACTCCGAGTCCAGCAGCGTCAACCATACCGACTTATTTCCTACCCTTACCCGACACAGACCAAGACACACGGCATAATGTCCGAGAGTTGTCTGTGGGTCAAATGCTGTTCGAGCACAGCAAGACACCGGTGTACCACACCGTCCACCGTGCCGATCGCCGAAGGTGCGGGGAGAGTGGAGATTCACTTCCCGTCCGTACATTCGCCGACCCGTGTGCACCTCGTCTCGGGGGCATCTCTCATGAAATGACTGCTCCAGATTTTAGCCACCATGGTTGGGGTTTCCAGCTTTGCAAATCTGAGCTATACCTGCTGGAGGCCTTCAGCCACCACGAGACGAAGCACGGTCTTTCAAGCATGCAGCACGCATGGCATCTCCTAAGAGACGAAAACCACGACCTCCACGTGGCCGAGGCCTTCGGTCCACCGTCGGCTGCCTCACTTGTCGTAGTCGGCGGCTAAAGTGCGATGAGGCTCGGCCTACATGTCTCAATTGCGCAAAGTCCTCGAGAGAGTGCTCTTACTTGCAGCAAGCGCCAGTCGATGATGAAAATACAGTCAGTTCGGCCACCACAGACACTCGTGAGCGACCTGCAAGCGGTAATCTCCAGGACTTACGTGCTAGAGTCAATGGAAACTCAACCATCGTTGGGCAACGATCCATTTCCGAGGAGCCTTTGGCATTCAATGACTCGTCTCTGTCGGATAGCTTTGAAACAGAAGCATTTCGGGGCCCCACCGATTTTGTGCGCTCGCCCTCAACAACTGCGAGTTTTACCGCCGGCACAGCGCCGTATCAATGGTATGAATTGATCGCACAAGATGCTTGGAAAAACGCCGAGAGCTATCACTACCTTACCAGCCACGGGTCGAGATGGAGCTTCAATTCCGACGGCCTGATGACACTCAACACGCTTGCCTCTCCCGCGTCCAGTGTCATTCAGTCACCGGAAACCCGAGCTCCAGCGGTATTAGCGTCGCGGTCAGACCCTGCTTATCAAGTGCCTGATCATCAGCCATGGAATACGCTCAAGCGCCCTTTGCTGAAACCACGGGAAGTGCAATATCTTCAGCACTATATCGACTTCGTTGGACCTTTTCTAGACCTGTTCGATTCTCACCAACACTTTACGACAGACGTGCTGCGTCTCGCACTACGCAATGAAGGTCTCCTGAAGTCTATACTTGCACTAGCAGCATCTCACAAATCTACTTACCCCGTCGAGTCTCAAAAGATCTTGTCCGTTGACAGCCTTCTGCTGGGCGATCAGGCCTCCCGCCCACAGAAGTCCGATCGCGAGCTTGCGGTCGAGTACTATTACGAGACTCTGGGATATCTGTCCCAAGCGATGCGAATCCCGGGATATGCACATAGCCAAGAGATTCTTGCCAATGCCGTTCTGATCAGCTGGTTTGAGGCCTTTGAATCTGACTCGTCCCAAAACTGGGAAAGGCATCTCAAAGGTGTATTCTGGATTCAACGGAGCCAAGATGTGAACGGGGAGTCAGCTGGTACCCCAGGAGCGATCTGGTGGAGTTGGTTGCGCCAGGACCTTTGGGCAGCTTTCAGGAACGGTAGACGACCTTTGACCATCCATGTACCGACCAAGCTTGTCAACCAGTTAAGTCCAGATGAGCTCGCTTGCCGTGCTTTGTTCTTGCAGGCAAGAGTAGTCTCGTATGCCTCCATAGAAGCACATGAGACAGCAGATCTCGAGCAACGGATGGCTGAGGGAAACGAGCTGCTTTCACTCCTGGAAGGGTGGCGCAATGCAGCGCCCCAGAATACTCTCCAGCTTGATGTTGCCTTCCAATCAGCGTCAAAGTCAGCATACCCTCCTGTCTGGATTCATCCACCGATATTTGCGGCAGCCATGCAGGCCTACAACTCCGCCAAAATACTGCTCCTCCTCAATCAACCATCTCGAGGGGGACGTGAGGAGTTCCACAACCGGCAAAAGTTACTTGAGGAGTCTGTCGCATCAATTTGTGGCATTTCCGCTGCTCCGAATGCGACTCATCCCCCACTAGCGATGGCCAACTCTCAGGCCTTGTTCATAGCCGGCCAAGCCTTGCAGAAACCCGAGAGCCAGCGCGAGCTTCTGCATTTGTTGCGAACATCACTCGAAGCAGCCAAAAGCCCTTTTACAACACTCGAAACGGAACTCAGACAATCATGGGGCCTCTTATAAGCTAGCATCGCGTTGATCGTCTCGCAGAACAGTTTCCTGGCACGTCAGAGATTCAAGGTGGTCTCCGAATAACTGTCGAGTTCACTACCAAGCGATTTTTTGACAGCCCTGGAGGACCCCCCAGCATGTTATGAAAGCTATGACAGATGTCTCATCTCATGTTGTGACACCTAGCACGATCTCCGCGATCCGCCGGCTCCGTACGTCTTCAGATATTCTTCCGCCTCAACACCACATTCAAAACTGCATAAACGCATACTCCGAGGCCCAGCAGACCCGAGATGACACCGAAGCCCATCAGATACTTCGGTGCGTCCTCTGTTGGGAACAGGTAGGAGCCGTATATCTGAGCAAGGTTGCCCATCGCGTTAACAATGGCAAGAGCCACGGCGCGTGACTCCGCGGGCATGTCACCGAAGGTTGACGATGCATACGAGAGCGACAATCCGTTCGCAGCCCAAAGCCCTGCAGCCATGATGACCAGCATTGCTAAAAAGAGAAGATGTTAGTGAAGCCCAACCAAGTTTGCAGGACTACTCACCATATCGGACCGTAAAGTTGTACACGGTGCAAACGACAATTCCGGTCACCAGAGAAAGCGTCAACCAACCAGCAATGATGAACCCTCGCCAGTTCACGACTCTGTCAGAGAACCAACCGGTGGCAAGTGTGGTGACAAATGCGACAGCATATATCGGCACAGTCATGTACTGCGCTTGAACTCTGTCCTCGTAACCAAGGCCATGGACCAACGTAGGGTAGAAGTACGACAGAGTTGAACTGCCGACGATGACCATGTACCCAACGACCAATGGCCAGGTTCTCCAATCTTTGACCGCCACCACGAACGATTTCCGCTTTCCCATAACCTCTGTGGGGTTTGCCCGAACATTGACGCGCGATGATTTGAGGCGTTGGATGGCGATGTACCTCTCACGCTCCGATAGCTTCGAGGTGTTGGCTGGAAAGTCGAAGAGGATGAACTTTGCGATTACGGCGAAACCTGGTGATGTTAGGACAGGAAGCAGCAATATGAACGTCCAACATACCTATCGTTGCAACACCTTCGACAATGAAAAGCCAGCGCCAGCCTCGAATGCCGTGGGCCCCTTCTAAGCCGCCCGTGATGGCCCCTGCCAGCAAGCCGCCGAAGGCACCGGAGAGAACTGCTGCCGAGATGTAAATTGCGAACCTCTTCGACTGCTCCTCCTTCTTGTACCAGGATGATATCTAGAAAGGTTAGATAATGAAATGAGGTGGGTCTCCGGCAGGGCGAGGTGAGCTCGATAGCCAAGTGACAGGAGTGCTTACAATAAGTAGGATACCAGGCGCGAAGCCGGCCTCGAAGACGCCCACAAATATCCTTAGGACGACAAGATGGTGATAGTCAGTGACCGCAGCCATGCAGCAGACGAGGGCGCCCCAAATGATCATGATCGTTGGCAGGTAAAGCGATGGCTTCCAACGCACGAGAACCTGCTCTGAAGTCAGCAACGGTCGCGCAGGTCACGAAAAGATATCCTCACCATGTTCGACGGAGCCTCGAAGAGGACGTAAGTCACGAAGAAGACCACCAATGAGACGGAATACTCGTCGCTGGTGAGTTGAAGGTCATCACCCATGCCTGCCAGACGGGCGTTGCCGATATTCGTCCTGTCCTATCGAAGGCGTTAGGGTGATGTGATAGTATCATCGACTCTCGGGAACATACCATGTAACTCAATAAGTACATGAGCCAGATACATGGCAAAAGGTACAGATCTATCTTCCTTAGGAGTTTCTTTTCCTCGTCAGGTGTCCAGGCCCCGTCACTATCAGGCGAGGAGTCCTCCACCTCGTGGAGATCAGAATCCATCTTGTCTGTGCCGAAGGCCGACATGGTGTCGCATACAGAGATGATGTTTTGTCGCGCTGAATGGTGAGATGATGGTAGTGCTCACCATGAGGTGGCAAGACTGCTTTATACACTTCACAGGCACGGCCGTGCTCAGCAATCATCTTCGACGTTTTCGGCATAACCCCACTAGAAGACTCCGCAGACACATGGCGGATATGCAAAGCGATACTGCGGGTTGTGGGGAAGGAAGGTTGTGACCGTGACGAGGTCATCCTGATTGGAATGAAACTCAGAAGGACGAAGACCGTCGCAATGCTGTCGTCAAACCTTCGGTCTAGCTTCTGTGACCCAATTCCTTCCCCACAAGAGATAGCACAGCATCCACTTAGCGCTCGATCGAGGAAGGCCTCGCAGGTCGTGACTAGCGTGTCCTCGTCTCGAGGCACTTTTCCAACTACTCCACCATCACCAGTACTGCATTTCTTGCCGCTCGAAGCTCCGTGGCCGTGGACATGGGGCTTTCACATTCACTGCTAAGCGATGTCCATTCGCTCTCGACACCGATGGCGGTCCAAGGGCTGGACACCTTATATATCGGTCAGACGCAATACGGCTGACCAAGTACACGACCAAATTCCGCATCCTATTCCCAACAGGAGAAGTCTTAACATTTAGACATCTGTTATATTCGTTCAGTGAATACTTCATTGTTTCCAGGTCTAGCAAGCTATCGTGTTGCCATCATGTCTCCATCCGCAATTCGGAATGGCGATGCCCAAACACCGCCATTAGCTCAACAACCTCTCGCTAGCGATATCGAGCCAACGACAGATGCGCCTGTGCTCCCGGAGCAACCGACAGAGGTCAGATCAACACAACCGCCAGCTGACCATCACTGGCGCATAACGCTCGAAGACCAAATAATCGCCATCACTGGTGCCAATCGGGGGATCGGCCTCGGAATCGCAGAAGTCTGTCTAGCAAACGGCGCCGCGGCCGTCTACAGCCTCGACCTATTCGAGCCCAGCGAAGAATTCTTCGCCCTGTCCAAAAAGAACTCGCAGCGCCTACGGTACGTCAAATGCGACGTCACCTCGGAGCCCTCCGTCTCCGCCGCCATCGAGAGCATCATCGCGCAATCCGGCGCGCTGCACGGCATGGTTGCCAACGCCGGCATGACCAAGCACCAGCCCGCACTGAATTTCACGTCGGCGCAACTCGACCAACTCTTCAACCTCAACGTCTTCGGTGCCTACCACTGCGCCACCGCAGCGGCTCGCGCCTTTATCCGACTCGGCGTCAAGGGCAGCATCGTCTTCACATCATCCATGACATCGTACCGGCCGAACCGTGCTGCGCCCAGCGCGCCCTACGGCGCCACCAAGGCGGCCGTACGCAACATGACGCACACGCTGGCCATGGAGTGGGCGGGCCACGGCATCAGGGTCAATAGCGTCAGCCCTGGCTTTGTGCGTACGGCCATGACGTACCATCTTGAGAGAAGCAGTGACTGGGCGGATAAGATGCGTTACTATGGTGGGATGCCGCGGCTCGCGGAGCCGAAGGAGTTGGGGGGCGCGTATGTGTATCTGCTCTCGCAAGGTGCTAGTTACACGACGGGGATTGATATTCCTGTGGCGGGTGTCGTGGGGGCTTGGTGAGGATGATATAGAATAGATGTAGGATGGTCTCTGAGTATGGAGCGAATGAAGCTACCTGCATATATCTATTGATACAAGTCGGATTTTCGCTTCGGCCTCGAGCGTACTCAAAGACCATCGGGGCATGCGCAGCTCCGCGTACCAGTACCATTGTCAGGAGTGGGTATCAGACTCATTCATCACGTCGGTCGGTGTGAGTGGGTACACAGAATAAAAACGTTCTAGACCTACCTTGCAGCGTGAAAGCTGCGGAATGCCCTGTTCGGGAACTGGAGTGGATTCGGGGACGAAGAGCAGGGAACCTGTATGCGAGGCTCATCAGCTACTTACCTGCTGGGAATCATGCAGCATCGTGGGTGGCGCTTTATGGACCAGGTGGGCACAAGGCTGCAACTCTCCGCCTCGATGCGCTGTAGATTCGAGAATCACTGTCAAGGCAGATGATAAATGCAAGTTCATATCAAAGTCTTACAGGGTGTATGGGCAACTAGCCCTCTAACCCTTTGCAGCTTAGCCCATCCGTCTATCGATAGCCCGGCTATTTCCCGGCTCTTCCTCCACAAAAATTGTTTCGTCAATCTCGCCTGGACCACAACGACTTAGATCGCCTTGACAGACACAACGAGGGCGTGCAATGTGAGCTGTCACAGATCAATCGACACAAAAAGACAAGCGAACATGCCGAAAGCAAATAGGTCCCGCCCCAATGGCGGGCCAACTTCGCCTTACGCCAAACCGGCCAACAGCAAAACCACCGCCAGCGCATCCAGTCTCTCGAATGCCATCTTCAAAATGAACACCGACATTGGCCAGCACGTGCTCAAGAACCCCGGTGTGGCGCAAGCGATCGTCGATAAAGCCGACTTGAAGCAGTCTGATGTCGTGCTCGAAGTCGGCCCAGGTTCAGGCAATTTGACGGTCAAAATCCTCGAAAAGGCCAAGAAATGCATCGCCATCGAGCTCGACCCGCGCATGGCGGCCGAAGTCACCAAGCGTGTGCAGGGCACGCCACAGGCGAAGAAGTTGGACGTCGTACTGGGAGACTTTATGAAAACCGATCTCCCCTACTTCGACGTCTGCATCAGCAACACCCCGTACCAGATCTCAAGTCCGCTAACGTTCAAGCTGCTGGCGTGCAGTCCGAGTCCGAGGGTGTGCATACTCATGTTCCAGCGCGAGTTTGCCATGCGGCTCTTTGCGAAGGCAGGCGACAAGCTATACTCGCGACTGTCGGTGAACGCGCAGATGTGGGCAAAGATTGACCACATCATGAAAGTGGGCAAAAACAACTTCAAGCCTCCACCGCAGGTCGAGTCATCGGTCATTCGCATGGTTCCGAAGAACCCGAGGCCAAACATCTCATACGACGAATGGGACGGACTGTTGAGGATATGCTTCGTCAGGAAGAACAAGACGCTGCGAGCGAATTTCCTGGGCACTACCAGCGTGATCGCTATGCTGGAGTCATACTACCGCACATGGTGCGCACAAAACGATATCGCCGTAGAAGACGGCCCTCCTTCGAACCCAGATGCGCTCATGGAAGTGGACAATCCAGCGGCTGGCGAGGACGAGTGGAATGGCTTCGGCTCCGAGGACGAGAACGACGCCGCCATGGATATGGATATTGACGACGAGGATGACCTACCTGCCTTCTTCAAAGACAACCAAGCCCAGAAGATCCCCAAGACGCCGTCTCGCAAAAAGAAGTCTAAAGTGACAGAGCTGGTGCGTGAGAAGGTGCGGGTAGTGCTGGAAGATAAGACAGCCCTGGCGGACAAGAGAGCCAGGATGTGTGACGAGGGTGACTTCTTGAAGTTGTTGTGGAGTTTCAATCAGGAGGGGATCCACTTCACATGAATGACGAATAGCTACAATACCGACGGTCTGCATCCAAGTACGCTGTGGGATGTCCGGCACAGCTGGATCCCACAGCAGTCGACTATGGGAACCTTGTGGCTATGGGAATGGCACGGCGCATGTTCGTCCAGTTCCTATCGGATTCAGTTCGAAGAGGAATAGGCCAGGCGATGAACCGAAACGACAAACATGTCAGAAGCCTGCCATTTTCGGGGGTGCATTCCGCGTGGACCTCGACATCTCTCACTTAGTGCTGGCGCATGAGGCCGAGATGCCAGCAGCGAGTCGCTGACTGCACAAAGAAACCCGCGTTTCATGTCTCGCGTGGAAGAGTTAGCCAGCGGCAAAGGACAAAGCGCAGGCCTCGCGGCACTCCATCCGCCCGGGGCTGTAGCATTTCTTGCGGAGCAAGTGGGCTGAAATGGTGAAATGGAAAACCACACTCCAGGGAATCGTGGCTGAAGAGACACGATCACAGGACGGAGAGGCGGCTCGTATGCACAGGATCCTATGATGAGGCCTGCTCATAAGGGACGGCAGTCCTAGGCGACGGTCCTGTCAGTCACAACAACAGAATCATCGACTTGCCTCCGAAGAGATACAGCCCAAAACAGCACCATTGTCCCAACACTAAGAAAGCTTCTATCAGGCACATTCTATCGAGTTATATCACACCATTCCCCGGCCGCTACTCCTTGCCAACAATGTCTCTGTCAACCACATCCGTCTATAGCTCTCCAGCCTGCACAACCCTCCCCTCCCACGATCCGAGCACCCATCCTGGAGCAGCCACTTCTTCGGCTTCACGCACCTCCTCCTCCCTCTCTGCATCCACCTCCAACTCCACCTCAACAACCACAAACACCTCCTCCAAACCCCCGACCCCACGCAGCCAGCCACCCCGCCGGCCCTCCCACCAAGATCTCCGCCTCTACTACCTCAACCTCAAGCTCCGCATCCTCACATCCGACTACAACCCACGCCGCTGCCCGCACTGCAGCAGCGTCAGCCATGGCGCGAGCTGCTGTCCCGAGACCTGATCTTTTCTTCTTCCCTCCTAGACAATCCGATTCTTTGGCTTTAGCTCAGGTGGGCTCAGGTGGAGGTTGTCGTGTGGCTGTGGCTATGGCTGTAGCTGTGGTGGCGAGGGTGATGATGATGATGATAGACGAAAGGAGCCGGAGAATGAGGCAATGAGCTCTGCGGGTGAAGAAGCATCTTGGAAGGTTTATTATATGTGCTGCTGGCGAGGTAGATTGGATGAATGGGGTCAGCTGCACGCATCACCTCAGATGAGTCAGAGACTCGGGTTGGCATGGCATGGCGTATCGTTGGATCATGTATTTGCTACAATACAGTACTGCTATACAACTTTCGCGTTGCTAAATCACAGAGTGCGATATAGTACAGTAGAGTAGTGGGTAGCAATCCCCTCCTCCCCACGGCAATGCACCTCGATTGTCATGTTTTAACTTTGCTTCATCCATCCTTCTTGTCAGATCTTCCCAACACACACGACCTTGTTGCGTATAGCCCTCTGCTATACCTTCAATCCGTTGTAGTCATCTCATCATCAAGCTCATACCGCATTTCAGCTAACAAATGCCCTTCACAAGATCTTTTGTCATCTCATGGTCGAATACCCCAGTCGCAATGTATCAGACGCTGACACATAACCAAAATAAAAAACTCCAAAAAGCGATATGGATCGATAAAGTTTGCCACTGAGGAAGCGGCGGTATCCAATGCGAGTCCAAGAAGTTACCGTAATAAGGCAGTAACAAGCATCCAATCCATCGATAATCGACAATAGCGAGATGAAGCTTTTAAGAATTGCTTTTACCGCCCTCGATCATCGACAAAGCTTTTCGAAAAGCAGAGATTGGGTATCGCAACTTTTCTTCATCGTAATGGCAAAGAAGAACTATCGAAAATGGCCTGTCCAACGTAGGGGAGAAATGAATAGAAAGTAGATCGACCGAAGCCGGCTCGGACGGATGGTAGGGGGTTGTAGAAAGAGGTCCGTCCCACAAAGATCACCGGGCCAGGAGCTGCGATGATAAATGCAGTCGATTGCGACGACATGGCCGGTGAACCTCGTGAGACTGGCACGACGTAACAAAGACTGTGTCAACAAAGATGTGAGATAGACCAGACACAACCTCAACCTCCGAAAGAAAAGCGATCGGAAGGGGCGACGCTGGATTGCCGTCGACGACCTCCATCGCGATCGCTAGTAGCCCTGGCTCGGCTAGTCGCTCGCGAGGTTTTCGAGCTCGTCTTCATCGGAGATGCGGGTGGTCGCGACTCGATGACATGGGCCGATCGCCTATCCCCATATTCTCGATCTCTACCACGGTCAGACGAAGCGTGACTGCTGGTGGCAGCTCGGCTCCGTGAAGTGGATGATTGGCTGACTGCGCTACCAGAAGTTGTGGTATTTTCAAGAAGTTTCTGCTCCTTACGCCTGTCTTTTTCCTTTGGTCTCTCTTTGTCAGGCCCGAATACGATTGTCGGACCACCGGGTATCTGGATACTGAGCCGATCCTTGTTGTTCGCCTCGATGACGATGCTCTCAGGTCGAGCCTTTTTGGCCGCGGTCGAGGTCTTTGATCCAGAGTACTGACTTTCACGACGACTGTAATTGCTACCGGCGTCAGAACGGCTGGGAGCCTTGCTGGAGTTGCTCCTGATTTTCTCAGTGAGCTTATCGGAGGTCGAGCTACTGTGTTTCTGCTGATATGCCTCTGCATCGGCCAGTTTTGCGTCAGTGTTTGTCAGCGGCGTGGTAGCGCGACGTTGTGTAGTGTCCCTCATAGCTGCGCTCTTTGCAATCGTCTCAACGTGCCGAGCGTCGGAGTAGGAGACAGAGTGCCGCGCCGATGGACGTGGCATCGCCCGGTTGGGACTATACTCGGCCGGTTGTGAATAAGGCGTTGGAGGCTGCCTGTTGGCTGCGTCTGATTGACGGACACCAATAGCGTACTCATCGTGGTCATAGTCGCGAGGTCCGCGTGATCGCCTTTTCTCAGCGATATCTTCGATGTCATGTCGGCTACGAGACATCTCGTAGCGTGTGTCATCGTCATGGGTATACGACTTCTTCATGCTCGGTCGGCGGGCAAGCTCGGAGGTCTTGACTGGGCGCTCTGGGGGAGGCATTCGACACCTGTCTTGCTCGTAGCGATCCTCTTCGATGCTTCTGTTAGATTGGTGTTGAGGCATCGACGGTCTCGACTCTTTCTTAGAGACAACAGCTTGGGTGAGACGTGGATCTGCTCGGCGGGGAGGGTCTGGTTCGATAGTCTCACGCCTAGGCCTCGGAACCTCTTGACCCTCGTATACGCTAGATCGTCGGCGTGGATTAGGTGGGCGGATTTCGGGAATAGGCTGCTGACTGAAGTATTCTTGAGGACCAGGCTGTGGAGCGTACAGACCATTGCCCGGAGTACTTGGGGTTGGCGGATAGTTGTAGTTGTAGGGTTGGGAGGAATAGACAGGTGTCATTGGGCTGTGGTATACAGGCGGTGCATAGAAGCCAGAAGGCGATGCGTACGAAGCCGGCATTGGCTGGGTGGCAGAAGGCGGGAATTGCATGGGTGTTCGTGCTTGGTGATATGATGGTGTTTGACGCAGCTTGGCTTCGACATCGCGATCCTTGACCTGCTGAGTGGATGGCTTTCGAGCAGCCTTGGGACTTTGCGGCTTGGGAGCTTGTCCGCTTAGCCTGGCCCGGATGTCGTCCAGTTCTTCCTGGGTCATATGGTAGCCCACCTTGTCGCAAGACCAACATTGTGCGCTTGGAGGATGGCAGAACTTCTTCTCCACGTCCTTGGAATGAGCAGTTTCTGGAGCCTTTGGCCGGATGGGCTTCTGTTGGCTGACGGACTCTCGACGTCTGACTCCCGGACCACCACTATAAGGCTGTCTCTCCCTTTCAATCTGCGCAGCTTGGGACTTCATATCAGCAAGCTTTCTAGCATCCGCACGCTCCCCGTCGACGGTGCCTGTCCTGCTGGAGTAGCCTGAATCGCTCCCATCCTTGACGGTTTTGGCGAAGGCACGGGTATCAGGAAGGACAGAATTCCTGTCGTCATCGAAGTCCTCAACACAAGCTGGCCGAGGACCGGTAGAAGGCCTTTCCGGCATGAATCAGCGTTGAATAGAATGATGCCTTAGGCGATGGATTAGGATGCTATGATGGAAGCGAGACTGACAGAACCGGGTTGTCGGAATGTACGGTGAAGGCTATAGCTGCAGGTAAGGATCTATGGCCAGAGGCGGTGCCGGGGTGGTGATTGCTTGCCTCCCTTTGCTGCTTCTTGTTTCCCGGGCGAAGGGTGGAGCCTGAAAAGAGAATTCCACGGGCGCGGAAGGGGGAAGGCGCGACCCGCCTATCGATAAGCTTAAACGGCGTTTCGGGCTTCGTTGCCGCCTGGGTCGATACCGGCGAGGCAGAAAGCAAGAAACTTCCACCGAGGTTGATTTGATACACTCGCTGCCGGAATTGACTTGCTGAAGGTCTATCTGTGTCGGCCGATTGACTTGACTGGACTGGATTTTCCAATGCGATGCAGTACGTGTAGAAGATTTAGTGCTCGATCGGATGGTGCGCTCGTCTGTGGGCCAGGTATTCCTTAGGCAATGTCCGCATCTTGATTGCAAGGACAGAGGGGTGGCAGGTCGGGATGAGTTCGTACGCGGTCTGTTGGCGGGCAAGTCGGCGGGTGATAAAGCACGATGATGTGCAGTTACGCACAGAATGTTGACCGTTGCTCACAGGCACGGATAACTACCGAGACGATGGTGCACAGATGCAGTGCTGGCGGTGTTCCAATAGGAGGCAAAAAGGTGTCAAGCCAGTTGCGACGTGAAATCAGAATTCTTATGAGACGGGATTAGGAGTCATGATCTGCTGCAAAGCCGGACAAGCGCCCCTTAGGCTTCATGGGCGCACCAGCAAGAGTAGAAATCCTCGACCCCGGTAAAGCATGATGACGGAACAGTTTGAGTCCTGGTGTCCCCTCCTTTTCCTTTCTGACCCCGTAGGCGAGTCGCTGGAAAAATGGCGCGGCAACCTGATTCCCTGTGACTTGGTGCCTGTTGCTAGCTGCAGGCATGCCCCCATCTCACTGGCTGCCCCCATCACCTTGCAGCCCAATGGCTCAAGACCAAAATGTGATGCAGTAGCCTGGCCAGCCAAACCCTTGTCTACCGTTGATTTCCCTAGCTCACCTAACTATATACAGAACCGGTCAGTACGACAATCGCCCACTCCATGCACCGTCAACGAACAGCCAAGTGTCAGCTATCCAGCAATGGCGGGGGAAGGTGTGAGGGGGTGGTGTGAAGAGGGGCTGACTACATGTCGTACAGAACGTGGTCTCAAGTTCACTGACTGGTCTGCCTCAACCCTTCCTGTGCTTCTTCCTGCAGTCCCATGTGCCACTCTGTCTCAACTTGCTTCTGCGCGGCCACTCAATGCTGCCGGTGCGAAGATCTCGGTCAACCGCCAATGTATGGTTTCACGAGATCAGAAACTCTCCGCTCCGTGTCACCTCGCTCTGCCGGCAAGGGTGGGCTGTCGAAACCGCAGCCCGGCTCTTGTTCGCTCGCAATGCCCTCCCCGTCTGACGGGCCAGAAAACTCCAGACTGCTGTGGAAGCACTCAACCCAAACGTCCATCCCTGCGTCAAGAGGTACGTGAGCAAATCACGCCAGCATATGCTCAACAAGCTTCACGTCAAAGATAAGCAAAACATTTGGAGGCGAGATCAGGCTCAAACAGCCCCTTACGAATGCCGAACGCGAATGCCTACGGCCATCTGGTAAGCACCTGCCGGGAGCAAGGATTAGCCGATGCCCAACACCGTCGCCTCTTGCTATGGAGTTTTCTAGCTAGCTTCGATTCTCGGGCTTGCAAGACAGCTTCATCTTGGATCCAGACCATCGAACCTCCAGGAATATTCATTCCACATCCACAAACATCCACCATGAGACTAGATTGTGATCGCAGCTACACTGATCTCTCTTGCAATGTCGATCATGTAGGGCAGCAAAGCGGAAAGCCGTGCCGATCTCTACATGCGCTCCACGGGCGACAAACCGAGTAGCGTCATGCCATTCCACAACACCTGTCTTGCGGCTTCGTACAGCGCTAACCGGGCTTTCTGCAGCTCTGGCTCACTGCCCACCACTTGCAAGTGGTCATAGCTGGAGCTCAGAGCATGCGCCATCTTGAAGAGGTAGGTCAGCACAGTTGCGGGCTCTTTGGTCTTCAAAGTGTTGTTCACCACGTCAGGCCACTGTGCCAGAGCTCGGACGAGGTTGACGGCGTGTTCTTCGGCAAGCTTGGATAGATCCGCACTCTCCAGCGAATTGAGATCCAGTCCGACTTTGCGCTCAATTGAGCATAACCGTGCGTGGGCGTACTGCAGATAGGGTCCAGTGTCGCCCTCGAAAGCCGTCATTTGATCGATGTTGAAGTCATAGCCGTTTCGAACTTTGCCTTTGAGATCTTGCACCATGATGGCTGAAATGGCCAAGATATCAGCAACCGATTCAGGATCCTCGAGCTGCTGATACTTCTTTTCATTCTTCCGCATGACATCCCACATGACTTCTCTCACGGCGGCGATGACATCGTCCAGGAATTTGACAGTACCCTTTCGGGTGCTCATACCCTTCACCATACCGAAGCTGACATGCTCGCACTTGTCTGCAATCTCCTTGTATCCACTGATTTCCGTGGTCTTGAACAACTGCGCAACATGTTCGTTCTGTTGGTCGGCTATGACATACAGCATTTTGTCGAAGTGGTATTTCTCGTAACGTTCATGAATCGCCGCCAGATCCCGAGTGAGGTACAGTGGTGTGCCATCTTTCCGGATGATGATGGCTTTGTTGAGCTTCTTTGCGCCATGCTTCGCAAAGTCGATGAGAGTGGCGCCTTGGTCTTCTTCTGCAATACCCTGCTTCTTGAGGTTTTCCAAGACCTCCTCCATCTTCTGTTTGCTGACTTGAGATTCGCCCGAAAATACGTCGAAGGCAATGTTCAAGCGCTCATAGGTCTTCTTGTACTTGTCGATACTCATGTCTCGGAACCTATTCCAAAGTGCGATCGCCTCCGGGTCGTTGTCTTCCATGCTCTTGAAGTACTTTCGTGCTGCCTCATCTTCACTTTCTTCCACAAGCGGTGTGAGCTTCTTCTCGAGGTCTGACACGTCCTCCCCAGTCTTGCGCTTCTCCAAGATCTCCTTTTTCAGCGCGTTGATCGGCTCATCCTGCTCGGCTTTTATCTTGCTGATCTTCACGTAGACTTGGAACAGGTGCTGAATGGAGTCCTTCTCTAACTGCTCATCACTGCCGAACTTCTTGAAGCCATTTGCTAGCAGGCCATACTGCTTTCCCCAGTCTCCAAGATAGTTCATTCGCATCACCTCCCAACCTGATAGCACAAACAGCTTTGAAAGGAAACCGCCAATGATGGTACTTCGTAGGTGACCTTGATGGAATTCCTTGGCAATGTTCGGAGAAGAAAACTCAACGATGATCTTCTTTTTGCCCTTCGAGGGATCAGTAGGGTCTTGCAGACCTGGTGATGAATCGGCGCCGTAGGCATTCTTCTGCTGAAGAATGAGAGGGACTACTCGCTTCTTGAGATCTTCCGGCTTGAAGAAGAACGAGACAAAGGGACCTTGCGCCTTGGCTGTAACAAGAGTGTTCTCATCGGTTGGGAACTTCTCGGCGATCTCCTCGGCGATCTCCTGGGGTTTCTTGCCCTTGATACGGAGTGCTGCAGCTGGTAACATCAAATCGCCTTTGTCAAGAGTCTGGGTCCATGATAGAACAGGAAGAATTTCGGATTCTTTCTTGTCAGCTAGGGGGGCCACACGCTCAGCAATATGCTGACGGTAGAAGTTGACCGGATTGACATAGTCGCCCATATTGGTGGTCACTGACCGCGTCGCAAAGCACGATGAGCTCTGGTAGGATCTGAACTTGCCGGAAGGACAGCAATTGCGGCTTGTCGATTTCCTGGCGATTGCACGTGATATGGAACAGGGAGAAACGCTTGATGTCGGTTCTTGGCGAGATCTGAGAGATGCGTGTTGAGTGTACGACCGAGAAAATCTGTCACAGACAGAGATCCGGACAGTCCCTGACAAACGAAGAGGAAATTGAGGAAATTTCAGCAAAGATTGTGGCATTGCCCGGGGGTTCACATTTATGAGTATGCAGAGTGGCAGAAAAGTTGTCACAAGCGCGTCACGGTATAATGTTACTCCGGTACCGACCATGGCCACCAAATAGCGCGGGACATCGACTCTCGTTCATAGACTCCGTACGCTTCCTAGCCGTTCACAACATCCATGTCCTATGAGTGCTCCCACACGAGAAAAGCGAACGTATGAGCGCTTGTCGATGATGCGGTATGCCCGGTGACAGCGAACACACTGCCTCGCCTCATGCTAGACCTTTTCGTTTCAAGGACGCCAGCGACGATGCAGGACAGAAACAGAAAGACGGGTCCTCCTCTAGGAAGAGACGCCGGCATCACCGTCATCACCATCGTTCATCTCGACAGCGGAGCAAGCGCCACAAGGCTTCCTCACACATAGAAGATGGCCTGCCAGGCATGCCCGAGTCTGTGCATGAACTTGATCCAGACCGAGCCTTCCGCGAATCTTTATTCGATGCACTGGGCGACGATGAGGGAGCAAACTTCTGGGAGGGTGTTTATGGCCAACCCATCCACAACATTCCCAATCAATATGTGGACGCAGAGACTGGTGAGTTAGAGACCATGAATGACGAAGAATACGCGCAGTACGTACGACGAAAGATGTGGGAGAAGAGTCGCGAAGGTATTGAGGCGGCAAGAGAAGAGAGAAGACAGGCGAAAGCAAGGGACAAGGCGCAGCGGGAGGAAGATCGCAAAAACGCAGATCACCAAAACCCGACAGCCGAGGGGCCCTACAACAATGTCTTGTTCGACTTCGAGATCGAGGCAAGCCTACGTCGTGGGCAATGGCGAAAAGATCAAAAGAAATGGAGGGAGCTGTGGAGGGATTATCTTCAGCACTGGGACGATCTACAGGCCATGGCCAAGAATCATAAGCCGGAGGTCACTCAGGAGAACATATTCCTCCGCAACAAGATCGCCTGGCCAGTCGAGTCGGGGAAGCGGACGGACGTCACGCCGGAGGAGATCGAGCGGTTCATCAACATGGCATCCGGAGCCGCCGCACCAGATGCCGAAACCAAAGCCAATACTCTGGCAGCAGCTGTCAAGTCGGAAAGAGTACGATGGCATCCGGACAAGATTCAGCAGCGTTATGGCTTCATGGAGATTGATGAGACCACGATGAGAGGAGTGACCGCGACGTTTCAAGTTCTCGACAAGATGTGGAACGACTTGCGAAGTCTTCATCGATGATTACAATGATCGAGTGTGCTTTTTTGAGATACCCAAATAGAACAACAAAGTCTACGACAGCTCTTAGACGATAGCTAAGTCTATACCGTGACTATGACCGGGCTCCAAGTCTTGATCTAGGTGATTTGGCGTCGAGCGATCAGTCTTGCTTCATCGTCTCGCCATCTGTCCATTCGTCGATGATCTCTTGTGGCACGTCTCGAACAAGGACATGCACGTGTTCCATCCCAGGCACCGATTGCAGAGCAGTCCAGTTCTTGAACCACATGACTTTCTCTCCGGCCCCGGGTAAGCCCTCGACCCGGTCAACGAACGTCTTCTGAATGAAAGCTTGAATCTGTTGTCTTGACTTTGGAGTCATGTCCCCTCTTGTCGGCTCTGAGTCGAGGCGTCCCTTCAACCAGACTATCAAGTGTCTAATGCCTGGATCCATGCCATAAGGCCAGTCATTAGGCATGATTCTGTAGTCGGCCGCATTTTCGAATGGTACTGGATCTTGTACTGCGAAGCGGGGCCCTGTCTCTGGTGTCGAGGTTGGTAGTGGGTTCCATCCCAATCTCTCTTCCATCACGTAGTTAGGCACACTGCCATATTTTGCCTTGGTTTCACTAGACCATTTCAGATACCGTCTTAGATCCGATGGCTTGCGCTTCAAGACATCCAACCTATGTTGGGCTGATCACAGTCTTAGACTTGCCACACCCATACCTCACACTCGACTTACCAATGATATGCTTCAGCTCATCCCATGTATGTGGGCGGAACTCGTCGTCTGTTTGAGCTAGAATCTGCCGGTCTAAGTCCGTCAAGTTGAAAGGCAGAGGCGCTTCTTGAGCTCCGATGGTCATGATTGAGGTGCCTGAGTCTTTATTGGTGATGACTATGGACCAGACCGCCGTCTTTCGGCAAGTATGGGTCAATTATGCGAAGCCTGTACTTCATCCGCAGGCATTCAAATCAAATGTCCACCCGAGCCACAGCGTGCAGCAGTTGCCGGAAATCTTTGCTAAATCGGAAGGATACCGCGATTCTTTTCTGTGCAAGTAGCAGCCGTTCCGCTTCCCTTTGTGGGGCTGTCCCCAGATAAATGTTGACTCGGGAATCCCACCACCAGACTTGCTTCGAACGTCTTGCGACCGCTACTTCTTTGAACTCCCAGGCAGTGATATCAATTTGCTACGCGAGTTCATCCACACAGGAGCCAATCCACCGCAGCTATGTCGTACGCAGTCCTGTTCATGGCCGACTTCGGAGCTTCACTGACCGCAGCAGCAGTGCCTCAGGGCCCCTCTCAATGAGCAACGTGACCGGAGTATACCTCCCGTCGTTGATACTCATCTTCGGTGTCGCAATCGCAAAGCAAGAATGGGTCCCTTACGCCGCCGCGGTGGCTGCTGTTGCCGGCGGCCTCAAGATCTACCTTTCCTCCTGTTTGTGCAGTCACCCCACCCATTGAAACCCTCTCTAACGAACTTCCAGCACCAGCAGCTAAGAAAGTCCTGATTCCGGACCAATTCCAAGAATTCCCTCTTGTCAAGAAGATCGAAACATCGCATAATGTTGCCATTTACCGCTTCGCCCTCCCTACCGAAACATCCATCCTCGGCCTGCCCATCGGCCAGCATATCTCACTCGCCGCAACCCCTAAAGGCGCAGAGAAAGAAGTTGTTCGCTCTTATACCCCAATATCCTCCGATGAAGATAAAGGCTTTGTCGAGTTCATGATCAAGGCCTACCCTCAGGGCAACATCTCTGCACACATGACGACTCTTAAGCTGGGCGACACCATGAAGATGCGGGGGCCCAAGGGTGCCATGGTCTACACCCCCAACATGTGTAAACGTATTGGCATGATTGCTGGCGGCACTGGCATTACGCCCATGCTGCAAGTTATTCGTGCCATCAACCGCGGTCGGCCCCTTGATACCACAAAGGTGGACCTCATTTTTGCGAATGTCAACCCAGACGATATCCTGCTGAAAGAAGACCTCGACAAGCTTGCTGCGGAAGACCCCAATTTCAACGTCTACTATGTCCTGAACAACCCACCCGAGAAGTGGGATGGCGGTGTTGGGTTTGTGACGGCTGATATGATCAAAGAGAAGCTTCCGCCTCCAGGTCCCGACATGAAGATTTGCATCTGCGGTCCTCCTCCGATGGTGAGCGCGCTAAAGAAGGCAACCGAAAGCCTAGGCTATCAGAAGGCACGACCCGTGAGCAAGCTTGAGGATCAAGTTTTCTGCTTCTAATCGGGTGCAAATGAATCAGCATTCGAGCCGCAAAGCACTACTAGAACAGCGTCAATACCACTACTATTAGCTTTCTGTTGCCTACAAGCCTCAAGCAGAGTTGGCTATAGTGTCTCGCTTCCGGCAGGGCCCCACCTGGCGCGGAGGCAGTGGACAGCGATGGGTGTCCTAACGGTGATGGGGGAAAATGTGGTCGAGAAATAGATATGATAGAGACAATGCTCAACGCGCTCCAGAGTACTGTCAAAAGATCCCTCATGCATATGCATATGGTCTGCATCAGTTTTCTTGCATTCCGGAAATTCACTGCCTGTCTGCAGCGAAAATGATAGGCCTCAATTCCGCCCCGGTCAAGCGCCAAGACAACATCAACGACGTCATCGCTGCCTTCCAAGGAAGCCCTCAGCACCGACCGATCGACAACAGCCAGGGCAAGGGTACCGCCACCTCGACCGCGTTGCGCGTGCCATGCATTGGCAATGCCTTGGTCTTCGAAAGCCCAGAACGTGAACGTGGCGTGGCGTCCTCGAGCAGATAAAGGAACAAGGCTCCTAGTCGTCTCGACACGGGGTGGCAACTAACTGTATAAACTATTTCGATCAACCTGGTCACGACTTTCAGCATTGAAGCTTCTATGGCATTGACGACACGTATGCACATACTGAACGATTTTGCTGTTCTGAACTTGAGATACCCTCCGGTACATCAGCAGAGCTATCTAGAGCTATTTATTTATTTTTTCTCATCCTGTCTTCCTGAGAACACGATCGCGCCATAAAGAGTCCATCTGAAAGGGCACATAGAGATACACATACTGTACAAAACGCCTGCGAGCGAACAACAGAGCAAGACAACAGAGCGTGAAAGGTAACGCCCACCAAGGCCCGTCTCCAGCAAACCAGCAAAGGCCACACCAGATAGCCATCCACTGGTGGAATCGAAGTCCAAACGAGTGCATCGAGCAATCTTTCGGACACACAACCATCCATCATGCCACGCCCACGTCACTCATCACCAAACCCCCACCTCTCCCTCCAACCCATCAGCCTCCTCGCCCTAGCTCTCACAAGCCCAGCCTCCGCACAACAACAAAACGACACTTCCTCTTCCGGGCCCGGCACCAAACGTGGTCTATCCTGGATCGGCACTTCGCACTCGGACGACGACAACCTGCTCTTCACCTCCTCGGCTTCCCCGCTGACCTGGTACAAGACCTGGAGCTCCTGGCCGATCCGGTCAGCGCGCCGTCTCGAGTTCGTGCCGATGATCCACTCGCTAGAGAATATCGAGCAGGATCTCTCGAATATCCGCGGCGGGAACGCCAAGTACGTCTTAACGTTCAATGAACCTGACGGTAATACGGACAGCGGAGGCACGAGTATCGATGCCGAAGGTGCGGCGGAGGCGTGGGCGGAGATTGCGAAGCTGCGTGAGGATGGGCATATGATCAGCCTGCCGGCTACGACGGGGAGTGGGCCTGGATTCGAGTGGCTGGAGGAGTTCAATGAGTCTTGTTGGCAGCGCTATGAGGAGACGGGCTGCGAATTCGACTTTGTCGCTGCGCACTGGTATGGCGCGTTCGAGGGGCTGGCGGCCTGGTTAGGGAGGCTGCACGAGGCGTGGCCCGATCAGAAAATCTGGGTCACGGAGATGGCTTTGCCGCAGCCCGCAGATGAGGAGGAGGTGTTGGGCATGATGAATCAGAGTCTGAGGTGGATGGATGAGACAGGCTGGGTGGAACGGTATGCGTGGTTTGGCGCATTCAGGGACGATGAGGCCAACAGTTGGACGGGAGATGTGGTGAGTCTGTTGGATGATGATGGTGGCTTGACCGAGTTGGGGTCCGTGTACATGGGAGGTGAAGCTGAGGGCTTCCCAGTTGGAAAGTCGGAACAGGGTGTGGCGGCAGGGTTGAAAGTGCAGTGGTCACTGGTGGCGGCTTCGTTATCAGTTGCAATGGCGGGTTGGTTTTGGCGATGAGGCTAGCGATAACGGATGGGAGGCGGATAGCTTGGTTCTTGATCCGTAACAAAGACGAATGGTACCGTTTTACTCGTGTCCGTCGAGACGTTGTGCGTACGACTATATCGGCTGAATCCATGTCGGGATGGTGGCTTGAGGTAGCTCATCCGGCCGACGGATCCGCGGAAGGGTAGGCGGCTGCCCGTCCTGCCTCCGTGGCCGTAGTCCGGGTTATAGAGCTCGAGTTTTCGTAGCTGGTGGTTCTTGCCGGCTTTCATGTCTCGCCATTCCTGGATAGAGATGAGGGTCAGGAAGGTCGTGTTGAGCCAGACAAAAATGCTGAAGATGATGGCTGCAATCTGCAACTCTCCAATTCGATAGATCATGGGCTCGCATTCGCGGGTGAACATGTTAAGCGAATTGCAAATAACGGCTCCGTTGCTCGAGCGCGTAACTTCGGGTTGCCAGTGAGGAAACAGGCCTCCAACTCCTGCAAAGACTATGGCGACAAAGAGAATGATGATAATGAATGCATAAGTGATGATATTCAGCAGAATGGGGAGGCGCTTCTGTCGCACGAAGGTGTTGATGACTGAGGCGCTGCTGAAAATGAACGCAGCACATAGTGGAGCGAGGGGAAAGCCATCGGTCCAGTCTCCTCGGCTTGGACCTGTCGCATGGAAGAAGTTCCCATCCCAAAGTTCTATCGATGTAGCGAAGAGGATGATTGCAACGAGCGCGAGGTTGATCGTGATGAGGTGAAGGATGGTTTTGCTACGCCAGCGAGGATCCGAGGTAGCCAGCTCACTGCGGATGGAAGAGGGGATTAACGACGTCAAAGCCATGGTTAGAAACGAATGAAGGCCGGCTTCGCTGAAGAATCAAAGAAGACCAGCTTCGTGGTGGAAGGGAGAGGAAAGGGATGAGGCAGATACATTCCACGGTCGCGTAGAGCGTTATTGAGGGCGAAAATTCACAGCTTGACCATCAACATGGGGAAACATCCTACCTGCGACATTCGTCGTGTCTGCTGCCGGGATCGAGGCTATCCGACTGAGCTTGAACCTGCTTTCTGAGGATTTCCACGTCTCAGGCCGGTGATATCTCGAGAAGGTGAGATGAAGGATCCCTCTCGAAACACGGACGCGGTTTCAGAGTGGAGTTGGGCACATGATTCGGTGGCGGTGATTGGCCGATCAGTGCGCTGCTTGCAGACCACTTCGAGCCTCGTCTCGTGCTGAGCCTGTGACTCTGGATGGAGTAGTGCTGCATCTAGACCGAACCAACATCATCTACGAGTCTGCAGCGCCAACGTCAGAAAGGTGCTTGTGTCGCTCATCGTCATTTATTGTTGTTATCTTTTGCCAAGCACCGTATTGCGCGCGTGCCCCAACGCGGAGCCTGGGCCTGCAGCTTATTGTTTGTGGACGTGTATGCAGTCCGGCGTGAGGAAGGGTAGGTTTCCGTGCAGCTGGATGTGCATGCAGAATCGTAGAGTCGCTATCGCAGCCCAAAAGAATGAAAATAAACATGGCTGCCGTCTCCAGCTCCTCATTGCCTTTCGAGCAGATCTGAAACCACAATGCAGACCTCCGTGATGAGATACGGACTCCCTGGAGTACTGACACGGACAACATTGATGCTATTATGCTTCCAAACGACGACTACCGTCCTGGGAAGGCAGCTGGGGCTACGACATGAAGATGGAGTGCAGATTCCGTATGGCCTGCTGAAATGCTGGTCTATAGAAGGGACGGCTGACGTGAAATGTAGATCTGATGAAATACGACTTGATCGGGTACAATCGAACGGCACTCAGTTCAGCATCGACAGCAACAAAGACAGGATAGCAACGACCACAACGTCGTACTCGGTCAGCAGCAGCAGACTATACTTGTCACGAGAAAAGGAAGGAGCGCAAATGGCGCTTGCTTTGGGTATCGCAGGGGTGGTCCTGGCGTTGTAGCACACAATATCAGTCCTACGAGGAGGCTCAGCAAGCATGGAAGACGCTGTCATTCATACGGGGTAAAATCCTAGCTATGCCCCAGTGCGGGATTTTGACCGTCATAGGCAGTGAAATTAGCGTCGACAGGGGTTGTTCGGTTGATCTACGCTCAAAAGACCGCCATGGAGCCGCGCTGTACATCTGTTCTTGCCGCGTACCAAGCGACTGTCACAGGGATCGGTACTTGCTGGCCAGTGCTGCGGCACGTTGACTCGTCTCCCGCAAGATTTTGATCTAGCGTTGACTTTGAACCTGTTGTCTCTGGATTGTTACGAGATCTTGTCTAGGCGCAATTAGGACCCGCAGCACCCACTGCTGCCGCCGCTCCCGCCGCTCCCGCCGAAACGCGGTCGCCCATTACATCACTCGAGCAATGCACTTCCACATCTAGCACCAGCAACTCGTTCGCTTCGGCCTAAATCACCACCACCATTTGTGACTACCACTACAACTACTTTTATTCATCGGGAAGATCTCGACTTTGCATTAAACCCCCCGATCTGACTGACCTCGCAACCCCCGCAGAGTGTTTCAGCCTGTGTCGCAAGCGAGCCACACCTACCATCGAAATGCTCTCGCCGTGAATACGCAGATAATACTCCTATGGCGCACGTTCAGACGCCTGGCGGCCCTGATGCGATCGACTATGCCTTGCAGCATTCCCCACCTCCCACTCCCCCTAGCAGTCAACAATCCTCAACACCTCGAGTCGATTCCGATGCGACTTTGACAGAGGAGAAAGATGAGGCGAATACGCCATCCCCAATCCAACAAGATGCCAGCCCGTTGCCGGCGCTAGATCGCCCGGGTATCCTGAATCGATATGCTACAGAAATAGCTGTGCCTGTCAATCCAAGACCTGCCATACTCAGGCAACAGAGGAGGTCTACGGGCGCGGGGAATTCTACCAGATTGGAGCTCACCGCATCTAATGTGGCCCCTCGACGGGCTGAAGATCCGAAGTCTTCGTCCTCCGAGAACTCTTCAGATGATGAGTTGACCATGCAAAAGAGCAATACCGCACCTCCTCATAGTCAGCTATCGGCGAAACGGCTCAATCAAGTGCGGAGAAGTCCAAAACATGGATCCCGGCAGCTGACTGTTGGCAATGAGTACTTTCAAAGTCTTGGTCGCGTTGCAAAGGACGGACGGCTCAAGATTCATGTCAACGAAACTGTTGCCAAGTCAGGATATCTCAGCAAGGCATTGGGCACAACTCTGTCTCGACACCTACGCCCCGAGGCCCAACAAGAAGCTGCAGCTGCAGAAAAACAGAAGAATGCATTCCAACAGTCCAAGCAAAACCTCCAGATCCCTCGACTCAACATCGTTATCATGGTGATTGGAAGTAGGGGCGACATCCAACCTTTTCTTGCCATTGGCCGGATACTCAGGGACAAATATCACCATCGAGTACGAATTGCATCTCACCCAGCTTTCAGGGATTTTGTGGAGAAAGAGATCGGGCTGGAGTTCTTTTCTGTTGGAGGCGATCCTTCAGAGCTCATGGCATTCATGGTCAAGAATCCCGGTTTGATTCCCTCGCTGGAGACTATTAAAGCCGGTGAGATAGGCCGTCGACGGGATTCAATGTACGAGATGTTCAATGGCTTTTGGCGGGCTTGCATCAATACGACCGATGACGAGCATGATATGCCCAATCTTCAGATGATGGGTGAAAAACTTCCCTTCATTGCCGACGCCATTATCGCAAATCCGCCATCTTTCGCACATTATCACATTGCAGAGAAACTGGGTATTCCACTTCATTTAGTGTTCACTTTTCCCTACACGCCGACCTCATCGTTTCCACATCCGCTAGCAAACATCAAGTCAGCGAATGTGGAAGACACCAAATATCTCAACTTTATGAGTTACCCGCTGGTCGATCTTATGACATGGCAAGGGCTTGGGGACCTGATCAACAAATTCAGAGTCAAGACGCTCAACTTGGAGCCGGTCAGTACATTATGGGCTCCAGGGCAGCTTAGCAGGCTGAAGGTGACAACCACCTACCTGTGGAGTCCATCTTTGGTTCCAAAGCCGGAGGACTGGGGACCGGAAATTGACATTGCTGGATACGTTTTCTTGGATCTGGCCAAGTCATACAAGCCTCCCGAAGACCTTGTTGCATTCCTTCAGCGGTCCAGCGACGCCCGTCCCATAGTTTATATCGGCTTTGGTTCAATTGCTGGGATAGACGATGCTCGTGGGTTTGCTCGGATGATCTTCGATGCCGTGGCTAAAGCTGACGTACGTGCAATTATCAGCCGAGGCTGGGGAGGCATGGGCGACGGTATGGACAAGCCAGCTGGAGTCTACCTCCTTGATAACGTTCCCCACGATTGGCTTTTCCCTCAAGTAGACGCAGTCGTTCACCATGGCGGTGCAGGTACAACCGCTGCAGGCCTGAAATTCGGGAAGCCCACAATGATTGTGCCCTTCTTCGGCGATCAGCCATTCTGGTCTTCGATGGTAGCTAAAGCCGGCGCAGGTGCCAAGCAGGCCTGGCCGCTGAAGAAGCTGGACAGCGACAGGTTTGCTGAAGGCATACGACAATGTCTTGAGCCCGATGCCAAAGAAAAGGCACAGGAAATTGCGAAGAGCATCGAAAAGGAAGGGGACGGAGCCGAGAACGCGGTTGATTCATTCCATCGGTCCCTTCCGTTGGATTCTATGCGGTGTGGAATCTTCCCTGATCGCTTGTCTATATGGTCCGTCAAACATACCAATATGCGCTTGAGTGTTCTGGCCGCAGATTTGCTAGTCGAGAACAAGCAACTTCAATGGCAGGATGCGGAACTGATTAAGCATGTCAATTGGAAAGATTTTGCTGGGCCTGGGGAGCCGATAACAGGTGCAGGTGGTGTCATCGTCAATGCTTTTCAGGAAGCATTTGAGGGGCTTACCAGTATTCACGAGACGACAAAACGTGACATGGCCAAGCACCAGAAGAAACGAAGAAAAAAGAAGGGTTATTCAGTTGAGGACGCTGTCGTGATTCCGGGAAATTTGGCTCATGCGCTTCGGGGAGCCTCGACTGAGACTGCAAGGCGCGATTATGCCAGGATGTCGGCGGAAATGAATCTGCACGGCGAAGCCGCTCCTCGCAGAACATTCATGAGTCCATCGCGTCGTGGCAGTCATGAATCGAATGAACTCAAGCTGACAAGAACCGACACGAATCTGAGCCACACCCATACTCCGGTGCTTATCATGAAGGATGTGGGAAAGGGCCTAGGCCGGACTCTGAAGCCCATTGTCAGATTGCCCTCGAACATGTTTTACGCCATGACCTTGGGTTTGCGGAATGCTCCTCGTCTATACGGCGACAAGACGGTTAGGCCACCTCATGACCCCATCCATGGATTTCGTGATGGCCTCGAAGTTGCGGGGCAAGAGTTCTGGTTCGGTATCTATGATGGCGTGACTGGCCTGGTGCGAATCCCATACCTAGAAGTGTCCGAGGATGGGGCCATGGGTCTTCCCAAGGGTATCGCACGTGGCATCGGCGGCTTGGCATTGAAACCGACGGCGGGAGCTATGGGTCTGTCAGCTTATACCGTCAAGGGTATTCAGATGAGCCTGCGGAAAAAGTACAGAGACATCCGGCGAACTGAACGCTGGATACGAAGAGCACGAATGTCTCAAGGCGCCAAAGCGGTGCAGGAGCTCAAGACACAGGGATTGACGAGTGGTCAGCGTGGTCCTCCTGACGCGAGACACTCTGGCTCAGAATTGGAGCGAATGAGAACTAAGGTGCTGACACAATGGTCAACACGAGGCCTGCTTGCCACGGGCGAGAACGCGGGGACCAATGGTCACGCTGTCGGCACGTCTCAGCAGAAGCCTCCAAGGTCACCGAAAAAGGCGGAAACATTCTGATGATCAGTCGTACACATTGGTAGGATTCGCAGGGCGCACATGTTTGTGAGAAAGAGACTTGCAGCGACTTTTAGAGTACATACGAGATACCCACACGTCTAGTAGCCCTGAGCGTTCCATAGCAGAGATGAGAAATGATTTGTGTGCGACTGACTGGAAAGCACGCGACAACGATTCTGGGGAAGCCACGACCGAGCGTTCACTGCCTGACAATCGGCCATGATATCCGACAGGGTCCTTTGACCAACCCGACATCGGCACACTGATATTAACCGGTCGGAATTCATGACAGTTACCTGACCATTTTCGATGACTGTCGTCGCTCGAGATGCTGTGATTGGACGATAAGGATGGCGAACTAGACGGGCCTTAATGCTCCGTACCACCACTTGCCAATTTTTGAAGACAAAGAGAAATCGTTTCATTGAGCGGTGCTGCCGACCAGAAGCAACATGAGTTGGAGTTACAGTCGTCAACTCATTCCATCGAGTAAGTATCTGAGCCATTTGCTCTTTTGTGGCGGGTGAAGGCGGGTGGACGTTCGAGCGTCCGGCGTGAAAGGGTTGTCGAGGAGGGGCGTTGTGGACGTGGGGCACGCAATGCAAGGTACCGACATACCACCGACTCCAGGTGGGGTATTTCTAATGGGTGAACTGTTTCTGGTGGCTGCAAGCCCGCCGGCGTGAGAAGCGCGTTCGGTGCTTGAGCCGACATGCATGTTGACAGGGCACAAGAGGAGCACGGAGCTCCCGAGCCCACCCAATCCAGAGCTGTCCAGCTCATTTTCAGCCCCTACCCACCACCCAGCTGTTGGGAGCCGTGGCGGCGGGCGGGCTCTTTGTCTGAGGGCGCGGCTCTGGGCCTTCGGAGCAAACAGGAACAGGGTGGGCGCTGGGCATTGGAGAGGGGGGGCGCAGGTTGGACACACACCCCACAGCCAGGCTCGGGGCTGTCGTACACCGCAGCTCAGGTCAGCTTCAATCTTTTACTGACAAAAGTAACTTCTTTTTGGTAGCCGAGGATGTGCATTGCAGCTTCATAGGCGTTCATGTCACAGCTTGATCGAACAGCTCATGGCGGATCTGGGCAGAAGGACCGTTACCAGCACCTTTTACAGATCGCAGCAGTCGGTAGTCTTATCAGTAGCGGTAGGCAGCGAATGATAGGCGACGCCCACGGGCATCAGGGTCGCTCGAACCACGTTAGTTTGCTGGCTAGCCGGGGCGATGCCGCTGAAACCACCAGACTAAGCCTTGGACCAGGATGGCCCGCGCGTCATATTTTGGAGCTCGTTGGGGGTGGCCCATCGCTCCGAGTCGTGTCGAAGCATGGTTTCCGAGCAACAAAGAAAAGCTCCCGGCTGCGATTCACCAGTGTGGCACGCTCTTCCTCGTGCAATTGCTTTTTTTAAATATTAACCGTCGTCCTGCTCACTTATCTGTCTTCCCCCTTCCTCATATTCACCGTTGATACTCCCCCTTAAAAGCGTCTTGATCTAGGAAAACTACTGTCCTTGAACTTGCTACTCCTCTCACCACCATCACCCTCACCACAGTCCTCACTTCACATACACGCCCGTCATGGTGAGCTTGCTCCTACAACCTGCTCATGCGACAGCGCACGCGACCATCTGATACTGACTGCGATCCCAGGCTGAATCTACCACCGTGTCCAATGCGGCCAACGTAAGTGGTGCCAATACTCCCATCTGACCTCGCTGATCTAACCCACTTCAGTTGGCGAAATACATGAAACTTGACCAGAAGGGCAAGGTCCTGGCCGAATACATCTGGATTGACGGCACGAATGGCCTGCGCAACAAGACCAAGGTACGCATTTCTGTCTCGCATTGCCCTCACCTCATCCCATCACCCGAGGACGGTCTCAGACCTCCGACCCATACTGCGACGAACTTTCGCGACACGAACGTCAGCCGTTGTTGCGCCACTATCTCGGATTATGCACATCACTTGCATTGGCCGTTGGTCGGGCTGAGATAATTTTGTCATTTCCATGACCACCGCCAATGCCACCGACTTTCGCCGCAAGCATCCCCACCCAATTGGAGACAACATTCTAGCCTGCGTTCCAGAACCCGCGCCTCAACCTTTGTTCACACCACACCGAAATCGGCTTCGCTTCCACTGCGCCGAACTCAATCGCCTCCACCATCGACGTCTGCCACCGTGAATCTTGAATTCCGCACTTACCCCTCACGTCATTTTCACCCTGCGCCATGAGGCTAACCACTGTATTTTCTAGACTCTCATGAAGAAACCTGGCAGTGTGGAGGATCTTCCCGAATGGAATTTCGATGGCTCTTCTACCGGCCAAGCTCCCGGCGATAACTCCGATGTCTACATCCGCCCCGTTGCCATGTACCCCGACCCCATCAGACTGGGCGACAACGTCCTGGTCATGTGCGAGACCTGGGACCCAGATGGAACTCCCAACAAGTCCAACTTCCGTCACGACGCAGCCCGTCTCATGGAAGCAAACAAGGACCACCACGTTTGGTTCGGTCTTGAGCAAGAATACACTCTCCTGAGTGAATCCGGTTGGCCATACGGCTGGCCCGCTGGTGGCTTCCCCGGTCCTCAGGGCCCATACTACTGCGGTGTCGGCACTGGCCGTGTCTACTGCCGTGACATCGTCGAGGCGCACCACAAGGCCTGCATCTACGCCGGCATCAACATTTCCGGCACCAACGCCGAAGTCATGCCCGCTCAGTGGGAGTACCAGGTCGGTCCCTGCGAGGGTATTGACCTCGGTGACCAACTCTGGGTTTCCCGATGGCTCCTGCACCGCATTGCCGAGGAGTTTGGCGCCAAGGTGTCATTCCAGCCCAAGCCAATCCCCGGTGACTGGAACGGTGCCGGTCTCCACACCAACGTCTCTTCCTCGGAAATGCGTGAGGAGGGCGGTATGAAGCACATCGAGGCTGCCATGAAGAAACTCGAGCAGCGTCACATTGAGCACATCAAGGTTTACGGTGAAGGAAACGAGCTCCGCATGACTGGTGCGCACGAGACCAGCAGCATCGACAAGTTCACTTGGGGTGTTGCCAACCGGTATGTTCTTGGCAAGTTCCTGTCTTGAGCCCACGTACTGACTCTGCCAGTGGCTCGTCCGTCCGAATTCCCCGTCAATGTGCTAAGGAGGGCAAGGGTTATGTAAGTTCTGATTCTCCCTTCGTTATTATATGGTGCTAACTACCGTGCCGTTTGAGGACAGGCGCCCGGCGTCGAACGCTGATCCCTACCAGATCACCGGCATCATCGTTGAGACAATCTACGGATCTCTGCCCGAGGAGAAGTAGATGGGTCGACTTGCCAAGACTTGCCAAGACGAAGACGAAAGATGCACATGATACCACCATTCTACGATGCCCCCACTGTGAACAGTATTACTAGCGACGGGTGACTTTGGGGTCCTTTTTCTCTATGCCTTTGCACAAAAAGGAATCAGAACGGCGCTTTTCCGGTCAAACACTCCTAGATATCCGTACAGCCTTTTGATGGGTTACGCTGAAGACTTTGTTGGCACAGAGAGAGAACGAGACAAATGATAAATCATTACAGACAGAAGCAGCTATCGAAGATCTGTGTCGATGGTTCAGCGAACAATCATCTGCGCTGTGCCATTGACGTCGTTTAAACGCAGGCAGTGAATTCTCAGGCAGTGAATTTCTGAGCTAACCCAAAGTTTATTTTATAGCACCACTTCTGGCAATAATGCGCCCCGACATGGCTTGGCGCGCTTCCTGGCCTTCGGACCTTAAAAACGCCCTCTAGCTCGTAACGTTTCCACGAGTAAAGCCCCGCAGGGCTTTATTATGGAACGATAATACTTCGCTGGTCCCGCACCGTCGCAGATTCGCAGTGAGATGCGAAATGCCACTGAACGGGAGAATAGAACAAGGTAATGGATAGTGTTCAGCGCTCGCCGCAAACGAATATACATGACTGCTCGTAAGGACTGGCTCACCCAGATCCGTAGACAGTGTATCTAGTGGGCCTCCCGGTAACATCCAAGTGGCTTGTTCAAGCTCATACCAAGCAGTACTCCGGATTTCGGTATCGTGGAATCACGACGGAATGAGATATCTGAGTGTAATGCTTGATGTGTAAGATTCTATAGATCCTCTGAGCTATGATGAGCTATGCTATGCTTGCTTCGCAGTCACCTGACAGTACCTTCCCATAACGTTCGGTTCATGCGTAAATATTGAATTCGACTCAGATGAGGCCCATGGAGAGACAGGCTAAGATGCCTGCAAGGGCTGTACAGTCGTCCGCCCGACCATTGACATTGTTCTTG